CAACTGCCCAACTATACCTACTTGGGTACTATGGGATGGTATGTTTGGGACAAGCAGTGGATATGTGGCGGACGATACAGACGCTAGAATGTTTCGATAGTGCACATCACGATGACCATCCAGTCGCCAGTGCGCCAGGCTGATGAAGTGCTGAGTGGCCTTTGGCCTCCCACCAGTCAACGTGCAGAGACAGCCTGCACCGCACCAGTAAGCCTGTCTCCGATGCCAAAAGCACCGACGACTCACTCACTTGCTGTACACCCCTGGAGTTCGAGGACGCGACTCCTGGGCTGATGATCCATCCCCGTGCGCCTTGCCATTTCTCTCATCCTGGATCACGGCATTTACCAATGGGCCTCAAAAGTTCTGGTCTAGTATATCTCTTCAGCCGCCCTGCTGAGAGAAGACGGTGTATAAGCCAACTGACACAATTGGAGCCGTGGCATGGGCCTGTACATGTCCTAAGGCAGCTCAAAACTCCCTATATCAGCCCGCGAGGCTACCTAGAGGTCAGTCATTACGGGTTCTGCACCGTAAAAAACGGGCATCCACCTGGACAGATGCCGCTGTGTGAGTGCGTGCATCAGCCTTGAGAGCTCACTCTATGGGCAACTCAATCGTGGTTATTGATTGTTATGCAACCGGCATCAACGGCAAATACACCAGCCATCTGCTGAATCTAGGCGAAAGACTACGCATGCGGTGACGAAGGCTCATTAGGCATCGATGTTTTGAACAGACGTTTGCGTCGCTCGTTTCGGTTCTGCCTGCCTGTCCGACTTCACGTGGAAAGCCTGTTCAACTTCCGGTTTCGTTGTTCCGCTTCCATGCTTGGCGTCGTACCGACGATCCTGAGACCCCTGTGTGCCTGGGATGACGGGCCCTGCCCTTTTGTTCCGGAGTGCACCTCCGCGAGCACCTCTCAACTGCTACGTACAATACGAAGAAAGCATTTCGATAAAGGCTGTTCTAGCACCCGTCGTATGCCATCCATCCACCACGCCACAAGCATGGTTAGTATCATGGTACAACTCTGAGTGAGTAGGTGTCAGTAGCTTCTGATGCAATCCGTACAGCCTGAACAGGCAGTGAAACCTGATATATTTCCACAAAGGTCAATGATATGAGACTTCCAATAGCGAGTCTGCGTAGGTATGGCAACGGTACAATATGGCAGGAGCCAGAGGGGATGTCGATCTCAAAGCCATGACGAGTGGGCAAACGAGCCAAGACGTCCCATTTGACGAGATGGCCGAGGCAAAGTTTATCCAGATGCGAGCTGGGCGTACTGCAACCCTGAGCGGCGACAGTGGTTTTGCGACCACAGTTACGGAGTACCTAATAATCTTACGCGCTGCCGCAACCACACAGGTCCGGTACACCCCCAACACAGCAAGTGTTTCTGACTCCGAAATGAGCAAACTCAAAAGCGTTCCACGAATGGGTGAAACTGCTTCATATAGCAGCTGAATGAGACTCGCGTTTCTTACATAACAAGAGAGACGAATGTTGCTCGATGCGTCGAGGTGGAAAGGATCCTGCCGGCGGCAGGCGTGGAATGCGACAAGACAGGATGCAGTGTCTTGGTGACCAGCAAATCAAGACGGACACCCCATACTACGCGTGTACCGACACCCAAGAAAAGACGAGCCAAGAATGCCCCGATACACCATCAATACTTTTTTGTGTCTCCTTCCCAGAGGCCGAACAGTCTCCGGCGCCGGCTCGTGGAGGATCTCAGTAATTCATGCACTGACGCGGATGACTGTACCATAGTACCGTAGTCAGTCACCACGGCGTCCCAAGCTGTCACGTTTCGCCCTCCAGGATTCATCCGCAGCACCAGAGTAAAAGCAAATTGACTCAACGGTACGAGCGGCAGGACGCGGTGCCAGTTCATGCCAGGCCAGTGAGCATGCCTCTCCGTACACGTTGTGCATCAAAGTTACCCAGGGAGAGGCATGCCGTACGGTGTCACCTATGCTTTTAGGGTATTATATCTGGTACGAGGTCGTCTCTACGACAGACGACCGTCGGGACCTGGCCATGGCGGCCAGGATACTGCATGGTTGCAGCTATTGGCCCAACGGGTTTAGTTAGTACTGGGAATTAACTAATGTTGATGTCGATGCAGGCCGTAGTAGCGATGAGCGCTTGGTGCGCAGGATTGGTAGCCTCGTCGCAAATGCCCGAAAACCCTTACGCTATGCCCCCTTGTGCGTCTCCATTCGCCCATATTTTATTGCCGTCATTACGAGCGCCACCACACCGGTTCGCGCTGGGCACTGGGCGCTGGCAAGCAAAGACTTGCCCACACCCACACCCACACCATGTCCATGACGGATGATCAGGCTTTCTGGCCGACGGATTGGCGATGATCTCAGCGGGCTCAGGAGGCTGTGACACGGGTCATATGGGAGCAGAGTGTGGCCACTTTGATCTCTTCAAGCCCTCGGCCACGGCCGTGACCAGCGTCAGACCGCGAACAGCGCCTTAAAGGGCCGCCCGGGCGAACAAAGTTTGAAGCCCCGAGACAGGTCTTTTTCTGGTGGCCGACTAGATAAAAAAAAAAATCCGACTCTCTTACGATACGATGTAACTTACAGTACGTTACCGGCAAATGCGATGTATCTAACCTCCCCCTCCAGTGGGCCTTTTCTTTGAAGCACACCGTAATGCCAGGGTGTTCTAGACTCTGATTGATGGAGCAGTCCTTGTTTAGCTTGGGGCGGTGGTGGGTGACTGGGGGCATGGCTTGCCCAGCCAAAGCGGCCTAGTGACAAAGGCCGACAGGAAGAAAGAGAGAAAAAAAAATCGATCCGTTGCAGTAAGGGTGATTGATTGACTGAGGGCTTGGCCGGCCGTATCCGTTTTTGTCGCCGTCGCGTGTCATTGACATGCTGGGCTTGGATGCTTGGGGGGTCATTCCTCCAGACAGACCACCTGCGTCTCAGCGGTCCTCAAGTCCCAAGTCCCAAGCCCCAACCGGCCTCCCAGGGCCCCCCTCTCCCAGCAGACTCCCAGCAGACTACCACCCCCTGGACTTCCACTCACACACCCGTGGACTGGACCCCCGTCGTCCTGTTCTCCGCCGGGTCCAGCAGCTGGCCTAACCGTTTTCTTCCCTCGACTGCGACTGGGACCCCCGACGACATCACCATCAATACGGCCACCAGACGTCGCATTTTTCCCCTTCCCACCCCCCGTCCCCCTTCCTGCCCTTTCTCCCCCATCTCCATCTCTCCGCCCACCTCTCTCTCCATCCCTCACCTCGACATCCGCGACTCGCCCGCAACCCAACAGCGGCCTCAATTGGAGATCTGCCAATTTCACGAGGCCGTCGACGTCAGGATTCAGGTTGTCATTTTTCTTCCTACCCGTTCACTCGCAGGCTGGGGAAAGAAAAATAAAAAGCGCGGAGCCAAGAGAAGACACCAGGGCTCGCTCGGTGTTGCGCTACGCTACGTGCTAGGCCCGGTTGCCGTGCAGGGCCAGTCTGTGCTGAAGACTTTTGGTAGTCTCTGGCCGCCAACCCGACACGCTTCCCCCCCAAGTCCCCAAGTCCCCAAGTCCCAGTCCCAACCCAACCACCAACCCCAGCCAAACGTCACTTGGAGGCACAGGAACTCCCACGCGACCTGCGACTGCGACCTGCGACGAAGCCCATCGGCTCAGCCGGACGTCGATCGCACTGCACAGCTCACAGCTGCCTCAGCACACACGCCTGCTGGCCCTCCCTTTCTCCCCCGGCGTCGCCAGCTACGTTGACTTGAGGTGAGTTCTGATTTCCCGTCCTGTTTTTTTCCTTATATACCTGCGTTTCGTCGACGCCTGTGTGAGTGCGTGTGGTATGTGTGTGTGTGTGTCTTGGTCTCCGTCTCGTCTTGTCTCCATCCGGCAACAGCAACACGGCAACGGCCCAGCACCAGCGCTGCACCCACAAAAAATCCCTGGGAGCAGAGGGCCCACCGAACCAGCCCAAAGCTTTTTGGCGCATCGACCACCGACACGATTCATTTCCGCCGTTATTTTGATGCTCGTCGTCACATCCCGGCCGCTTGGTTCTCACTCCCACGCCCTCTCTTCCTTACTCGCCTCCCGCTCGCACATCCGGTCCGTCGAGCACAACAAACAACCGCATCCTGGTTCTGGTTCTGTAGCAAGCAACCAGTCTGTTGTCGGGCTCTTCCTTGGACTGTCGCGTCGGCAGACACCATCACTCCAGTCTCGCCCATCTGCCTCGACTCGTTTGATCCTCGACGACCGACTTCGTTGTCTGGCTGTCCTGTTTCCTTAACACCACCTAGTCGCCCCCCGACCAGCTCCCATCGCGTCTCGGACCAAGACACATACTCGGCACTTTGTTCACCGGTCCTTTTTTTGTTCCACGCAATTGTCAAGACTCGGAACAATGTGCGGCTGACTCGAGAGACAATGAATACAGTGCTTTAGAGTTTTTCTGCCCGTTATACCCTACGACTGAATTTCCATTCCGCGTTGGCATTGGTAAAAGCTACCTACGATTCACATCGCTCATCTCGAAAGACTTCATTGTCATCTTCGAATACCCTCACCTTATATATTCAGGCCTTGGCTGCGCTTGAGTATTGACGACACCTGGGAACGCCTTTCCCAGTTTGAATCATCGTCACCCACCGACACGTCCACGACTTCCGTCGAGATCCCCTTCGCGCACTCCCAGAAACGCGTGCTTGCACATCGTCAGGGTTCGCCAGAGATCAGGTCTGAACACATCGTTGTCGCATCTTTCCCTCTGGACTGATCGGATCATCATATGGCTGGAGTCTCGCATTAAGGTTCCTCAACCTTTTTCCTTTTCATCTTTCACCCTTCGGCTCTTCAGCCTTGGTATCATCGGCCAGCGTTCAGTGGACTCGCCCACGCAACCCTGTCCAGGTCTCCCAAGTGCTTGAAGCAGTGCGACCGGTTTTGTTCACCAACATACCACACCCGTTCTCCGATTCCATTACATCATCACGATGCCGGGCGGTGTGTGTGCAGTCCTCGACTACGAGGTCGAGATGATGGCAGAGTACGTGTCGGACATGTCGATGCGTCTTGTCATGCCTAACGCCTCTGTCACCGCGGCGTCCCGCAAGTTTGTCTCGCAAGTCCTCACCTCGACAAGACTTCCTAGCACAACCATCCTGCTTGGCCTGAACTACCTGGCGAAGAGGGTTAACACCCTGAACGCCGCAGGAGGTTTCAAGGTCAACGAGGGACAGGTTTGGCGCATGCTTACTGTCTCGCTCCTGTTGGGCAGCAAGTTCCTTGACGACAACACCTTCCAGAACCGATCCTGGTCCGAGGTGAGCGGTATTCCCGTTCAGGAGTTGAACACCATGGAGAACGACTGGCTCCGTCACATCGACTGGTCGCTTTACGTGAACCTGGACAAGAGCGGCGACTACAACGCGTGGCTGAGTAACTGGAAGGATTGGGAGACCAACAAGAAGCGCGAGCAGCTTGTGCAGAAGCAACAGGCTGTCGCTGCTCGCGAGAGGCTGGCTCCCATCCGTACCGACATCCGCACCAACTCTCAGCACCACCCTCTGGCTTACGAAGGCTGGACACCCGAGGAAATTTCCGATTACGAGCGTGCTCGCTTCACACGCGCCGCCGCCAAATCCTCCTTCCGTCCTCGCGAGAACTCCTGGGCCACACAGTACCAGACTTCCTGGTCTGCTGCACCTCTCACTCCCCCCGATTCAGGCTATGGTACTCCCGAGTACCTGAACTCCGCTGCCTCGCTGAACTCGCGTTACAATGACTGGTTCAACTCAGCCATGGCAACGGGCTACAGGGGCTACCAGTCGTCGGCCCCTACCACCACTCATGCGTCGTACAACCACAGGGCTTCCACACACCAACACCAGTCTTACTACAACCACTACGGTGGCCAGGGTATCTGGGATGCAAATATCGCTGAGTGCAACTGTTCCCAATGCATGGCGACCCTCCATAAGCCCGCGCACTATTTCCAGCATCATGGGTTCGGTCAAGCCGTGGTTGGTTAAGGATTCATCTACAGCAATGCCTGATCTGTCCCCAACGCATTGAAGTGCGCGGTTGGACATTTGCACGAGTCGCCTTGACCCGAACACCAAAGTTGGGCTTGGTGACCGTTCTGCCCACGTGAGGGCCCTTACTCGGCATCTTCATGAACATACGTTTGCAATTCAGATACCCCGGAGTACTGGTTGGATGAACATCAGGACCACACCCCGCCAGTTCTTGCTGGTATCGAGCAGAGCCCTTGATTTATCATGCCGGGTCTTCGATACCCCGGCTTCGAGATCCTTGATGTCAAGGTGCGGCGACCTGATAGTCTCTTCCAGGTGTTCCTTTCTTGATTATTTACGAATTTTCTTCTTTTGTTCTTCATTTCATCAGGCGTTCAATGGGCCCGTCGACTCGACCTGGTCCACGGAGTTTCTACTAATAGACCATGGCTTTCTTTTCGCATTCGTACTAGGAGGGGTGGCAAAACTGCGGATTAATCAGGCGTTCAAAAACAACAAGATGGCTTGTCAAGGCAACCATCGTCAAGTCGACCAATCATTCTCCGGTCCCCCTACTCAGAATTATTCAGACACCGACACAGATCCATCCTTGGTGACTTGGGATTGGAGAGTCGTCATCGAGATTGGATTTACCGCCAACCTTTCGACGTGGAAACGACGATTAGAAGCAGTCGTCTGGCTCTTGTTTTTGTCATTTCACGCTTTATACAGATCGCCAAAAGCACAGGCTTGTTGGCTTAAGGGATGGGAGGCACGGCTGATTACAGTCGGTCTGCTGGAAGGCCATCAAGATCGTCGCGGCCCAGCACAGCCAGGGATTGCCTCGAAGCAAACCCCATTCCTGTTCCCTTGGTTATTGCTTCTTTACAAGAGATTGGAACAAAATGGACTGCACATTGCATTGCATTCGGAAAGCATTATGGAAAAATGGATTTTGAGGGGTTGGTTGATTTTGCTTTCGTCGGTTACGACCTCGATACCACCTGGCGGCACACTGGTTATTCCTTCAGTGTGATACGACTAGCGGCCCGAACATTCAAGTCGCCGCGGTTACAATCGCTTTGAATGGACGAGCCTGGTGCTGCCTGCCTGTGGAACTTTTTAGATTTTCTTTCCTTCAGTTTTGCATTCACTAGAAAAGGGGTACTTGGCTTCTGGAATCTGTAATGTTCGGGGGTTATCGGTTTTGAAGTTGCACCACGAAGTGGTGGTTTTTGGATTTCTTTTTACGAATGGCATGACTGGAATTTGGCAAGGGATGAAACGGCATACTCGCCGACGTTACGGAGGAAGCATCACAGGGCACACACTTGGCCACTGTTAAAACACATGTACAGCTAGCCGGCTCACGAAGCTGGTTCAGTGGGAAGACTTGTTAGCGATGGATGGATGGTCATTGACAGATGCAGTAGCTACCGTGGTGAGCGATCCAACAAGAATTAGCTCACCGCGGTAGTGGACAGCAGCCGCAAAGCCTTCGCTTATACGCCTACAGACACCACGAAAATACTAGATAATAAAAAACCCAGAAACTGACCAAACATTTACATTCATCAACTATGTGTTAACCGCTGTTCCTATTACTGGTACCCCTTCAATGCTAATGAAACCTGCCAAACCGTTGACCAAGTCCTCGTCTTCCTGTTCGCTTCTGGGTCCTTCCCAATGTGAGAGACCGTGAAGTCAAACGAATGTAACCATCCACTCTGCTCGACCACTTCCATATACCGAGTATACTTGCGCTGTCGGCTGACGGAGGCGTTTCCTAGTGGCCTGTACTCTTGAAGATAGCCATCTGCTGTCTCCGTCGTTCTTGTTCGTCAAGGCCAGTCCCTACAGACGCTGCAAATCCGCTGAGCCTTTCTTGATGCTGTGATCCGTCTCCATTGCTCCGACTGAGATCACTACGTCGGCTCTTGAACTTCCGACGTTCTTATACATGGCTTCTGCGCGGGGTCTCGGTAGTTACCATGCGGTGCTATATGTGGCCTGCCAAGATTCTGGATCAGCCGTGTCCTAATGCGAGGGGTGGCAACGAGCACCATCGTCATTGGCCGTGAACGTCTATAGAAGCGGCTTGGCACTTAATCCGACATCGTGATTTCGGGAATAAGTGAGAGTAGGGTGTCTAGAGACAGGGTGGAAACACGTAGGGTAGTTGATCTCCAAGTCCTCTGTAATAGGCTGCTTCAGGCTAAAGCGAAACTCTACATACAGGCAGGTATAGCAACAGCTGAACCAGGAGAATACTTATAGCCGCAGCTGCTGCCTGCTCTACTCCGACTCTCGAAGAAATACTGAGAAATTATACCAGAGGTGTTCGTACTGGTCAACATGTTGTCATTTCTACTCGTGACCTTGTGGCTGATTAGCAGCGTCTGGTCCGCGCCGGGGGACTTCCTTCCCGAGAGTGCCTTGGGTTCCGATGCTGCGCAGGCGAACTACTACTGGTCCTTCTGGCAGGAGGGTGGTGGGAGCCACAACTGCAACAATGGCGCCGGAGGTTCCTACACCGCGAAGTGGTCGGGAGGAGGCGGTTTTGTCTGCGGAAAGGGGTGGAGCCCGGGCGGATCGAGGTGAGCTGAGCAAGCCCCGAAGCCAAGCCCACACGCCGTCGTGGCTGACATGCCCTTCTCATCTCCCCTCCTCTACAGGACAGTCAAGTACAGCGGGACGTACCATCCCACGGGCCCGGGCTACCTGTCGCTGTACGGGTGGACGCGCAACCCGCTAGTGGAGTACTACATCGTGGACGCGCACGGGGACCTGACGCCCGGCGAGCCGTGGACGGCCCGGGGCAACTTCACGGCGGACGGCGAGGGCACGTACCTGCTGTACACCAGCACGCGCGTCAACAAGCCCAGCATCGTCGGCACCGCCACCTTCCAGCAGTTCTGGAGCGTGCGCGCCGACCAGCGCGTCGGCGGCACCATCACCACGAGCAAGCACTTCGACGCCTGGGCCCGCGCCGGCATGCGCCTCGGCGCCCACGACTACATGATCCTGGCTACCGAGGGCTACACGGCTGCGGGCGGGGGCGGGAGCAGTGGGAATGCGAGCATCACGTTGGAGTGACGGGTGGAAAGGGGGGCCGTTGGCGAGCGGGCACTTTGGTTCTTGATGGGATGGTTGCGATGTATCATTACCGTGTCAGAGGTCCAAGTGTGACTAGTTACTTGAAAGATTTTGGCGAACTTTCCTGTAGCTGCCAATGTGCGTATAATTATAGTTTCAATAATCCATGTTTGGTATTACGGTCGTTGAGTTCATCGGTAAGCTGACATGGAGGAACATACTTTACTTTCGTAGCCTCATCCACCCTTTCATCTCGGTTTCTTGTGATCAAGCAGTATCCATCTAGCGAGCAGCTATGTAGGGCTTCACTGCTTTCCCTCTCTTCTATCACCCTGCTCCGCGTCCTGCCGAGACCAGATTTGACAATTGCACTTCGTCACAACTACGCCGACAATAATGAGATTCCGGTCAAGTTCTTAAAGCTTGAGCAGACCCAGCCATACTTGTAGACTGAAGAGGACGTGGTCCGAGTGCGCGAAATATGGAACCAAATTCTTGCGGGAATGGCCGATTCCTTGGGATCCCCTGATCTGCTGGTTGACACTATCAAGAACAAGATCATGATCCATAACCCGTACAAAATCACGTCCAAAAATCAGATATACCGACCCTGGAGAGATCCTCCCCGACACCGAGAACCCACCTTTTACGATGTCGTTGGAATGTACGTACTGAGTTTTGGTGACCTCCATCGTGAGATGAGACTCGCCGTGCTGAAGTACAACTGAAAATGGATGTTGTGGAACAGGGAAGTGAGATTCCAATTCGCTCCACGTCGGGGTGGAAGAGCCATCCGACATGACCGACTATCTTCTATCCATCGCAGGCAGTCTTAAGAGGGCGTCGACCAAGATGTTAATATGAAATGGTGGGCTCTTCACAAAAGCCGCACATCATTGGCCAAGACACTTGCTGAAGTTCTCTCCAGGAGGAGGAATCACAAGCGTAAACTTGATAACAGTGGTCCGTCTATTGCAATCCCCCATACAAGACGCAATAAATAGAATTGTGTCTTCACATGTTCGCTTCATTCACGTCTAACATGCGTGTACCTTGGTCACCAGCTTTAACAAAGTAAATATCGGAAGCAAGCTTTCAATCTAGCCAAAAAGAAATGCTGAAAGCCATTCTGTGAGGATGCACCGATGGAGACGTGAAAAAATATATGCATGTATATATGTATATACTGTTTGGAACGTAGATCGACAAAAGATTGATGATGAGAGTGGGATTCGAACCCACGCAGATTTCTCTATACGGAATTGTTGTTCAGGTGGACCTGAACCGTACGCCTTAGACCGCTCGGCCATCTCACCAGATGATCAATCACGTGATTGAGCTGTTGTTGAAGAAATGTCTGTTATCGTTATCCATGTCTCTAGCATTGAGCTAGTTGAGAGAATGGGGTTATCAGAGAATTCGTGGATCCACATAAACTAACCGAAGAATAAATACGGCCGGTGGATATTGGTTGGTCGGCTTGTGCCAGATGTGGCTCGTCGGGCTGTTGCTGTAGCATCGACTTATGTTAAATCGAGTTGATTGTCATGTATGGCATCTATGAATATGAGGTCCTGTAAGTACATTAGTGGATATCTCATGCGATCACTGCAATCAACTCACTAGAGAGACATTGAGAATAACGCATCTTCAGTGGGACCTAAGCTCATGATCATGAATATGGCCGACTATCTACCTTTGTAGCCACATGCCATTCGAAGTCCGAGGCGGTAATAGTCCGTGCGATGCGTGACCCCAGTACCGTTAATGGCTTGAGCACAAGAAGTTCTCATCGGAAGCCCGTAAATTCATGTGTATAGTGGCTACAGTGGACATGGCTGATGTTTTCTTACTGAAACTATCAATAGACTTGTCACTGGAAGCTGAAGAGGCTTGCCTTATGGGGTTGTGAGGTAATCACCTAATACGAAATGTCATTCGTGTTGACACGAGAAGGCACCTTCGCAGCGAGTCATTCCCTGTTTAGAAACCGAGTACTTCAAATAAAGATAGGGGGAGACAATGAACTAGATACGACATGAGAATCATCGAGCCAAAAATGCACAAGCGACCGTATCTGATGTCCGAACAGTGCTTGCACAGTTAGACACCGTTACCACCTCCAGGCAGCTCGGCCAACCCTGGTATGACATTAGAACAAAGACAGGCATGTTAAATAGAGAATGGAAACTCACATCCTTCGGTATTCTCGTTGACAGTATTTTTCACAGAGCATTGGTTCTTGACCTTGGTCTGTTGTGTAGTTAGTCCTTTGCAGGTGGCACCAAAACAGGCACCGTCCATGGCTTTCTGAAGAGTATCATCCTTCCAGCCAAACACATAGTCGGCATGCTGACCGTACCCGGTACTGTATTAACGTTAGATATATCCGGCTGCGGAATCGTGAGAGACAGGAGCAGTTCACTTACTTGTCACCGGTGCTCAGATAGAAGGGCTGCGTTCCGTCGGTGGGCCAATCTTCCTTGGCGAAGACGGTCGTATCCCACATGATCTAGTTTCATTTGGTCAGCATGGGAAAGCACTATCGATACATATAGCGGCAATAAGGCGAGAAGATTACGAACCTCAAGATGCACCTGGGGGATCTTGACTGGATGGGTTGAGGGACACTTCCCGTTCACGACAGCAAACGAGGTTGGACCACCTTCGGGGTGGGCCACATGGTCCATATGATTCGGGCTGTCAAGATTCTTTCCATCCCAGCAGCTGCGCTTGTGAGCCGATACGCTCTTAAACATGGATAACAGTGCTTACTTAGGGAAGATAATGTTGGAGCGGATACCGCCGGGGCACTTATTGGCGGGGAACGTCTCGGTGTCGAGTTTAGCATCGAAGCAAGGGGAGGCCACATTCCCTCCAAAGTTGGGCCCAGTGTAGCAACGGAAGCAACTCTGCATGTTCTTCCCCAATCCTTGTGACTTGCGTCGCATGGAATCGCCGGCAAGCATTCGGAAGCCCTAAGATGATTAGTTGTGAGTCATATATCAAAGTTGGGATTGTGAAACATACAGGCTTGAAAGCGGTGGTCTGCTTGGAACCTGGTGAAGTGTAATACACCGTGATACCGCCGTTATCGCCATTAAGCCCCTGGTTAGCGATTTGGGGCACGCGCTTATAGGTTCCATTACGAGCCTTGAAATACAAATTGGCCGTCCAATAATTGGAAAAGTCCTGATCAAAGCTGCATGTGGTGCAAGTCGCTAGCTTGGACACATCTGTCGAGGCTATCGAAGCATTGAATGCGTTTCCGCCGACGACTTGATGCAAATGCGGAGATGGATTCAAACCAGGATTGACAAGCCTGTCAGAGCAGTTAGCCACTCAAGGGAGGTATATTAATGAACGCAAAGAGCTTGATTGCGTACGGATCCAAACGCTCAATCACAACCTGAGAGCATCCAAATCGAAGCATAGCAGTACCGCCACCGCCTCCGCCGAAGCCACCTTGGGGGAGAGCCCGGGCGAGAGCCGCAAGCGCCAGGGAGCTGCTGAGCCAAACCATTGCAAAGTCAGAGCAACAGATGGATACAGACGAGTTGAGTCCGATGGGTCGAGGAGGGATGCAGAATTCTGTCTGAACAGGATCTTGAGCTGATGATAAGGACTCTCGGCACTTCAACGCATTTGATAGTCATGAGGCGCCCCGCAGGGGGCTCAATCAAGGATTAATATCACGGCATTACCCACTGGCCTATAGGCGCCCGTCTATTTACTATTACACATTTTACCGCATATGCCGGTCGCAGCGACTCAATGATAGCCGCTGTTAATCCAAAAGGTCAAATCTACAGGATTGCTAGACTAATACGTTTAGAAGAGAGATACCGATAAGAGGTGAGAACCGGGTTGGCTCTGTACAGGATATGTATAGCCTGAAGTATGCATTCAGAGCGCACGCAATGTCCTGTCTACAATACATTTCATTTCTTAACAGGATTCAGAAGATTCGGGATTGGAATTTATAGTGAGAAATTGACCGTCCCTGCACCATGATGGTGAACCCCTTACCGTAAAGCCTTGAATATGCCTCACCACTATGCCTGACCTCCCGTGCTGAAGCTTGCAAATACCACTACCGCAGCAGGCCTAACACATCGTCCAGGTTACTGATGTTCATAGTATCAGGTGAGCAAGCTGAAAGCGAAGGATAAATATTTTTTAAAGCAAGTCACTTCGTGTGGCAGTCAAACATTATCACTGCCTCTTCGTCACCGCCACATATCAATGCACCAGTACTACCAAACAAAGGACACGTTCCTGTCGAAACTGACCTTCAGCTGCGCTGGAGAGTTGAGCATAAGTTGAATTAGCTTATAAATTATATGAACATGTGGACAGCTAGAGCTAGTCGGAATGACATGTTCGAGGTGGTAACAGCTTTGACGACAAGCCTGATTGGGCTTGAGTAACACTCTTTCCGAAGCGTGGGCAATTGAATGCTTCCATTGCAAGACGTGCTGCACATTTTAATTGGTCCAAGTTTGTCGAGGCCATGAGGACTGTGAAATGTCTGGTCCCATCATAAATCACGGTGTCAAGGATCGGTGGCTTGCTCTTCCCTGACTATGTAAAGCAGGCCCCGGCCATAGGCATTGTATAGTTTTGCTGAACCTACGAGGTATGCAGTCGGGCTGCAAGAAAGCTGTCGCAACTAGCGGCCGCTTGATCATAAAGATATGGCCGCTCGTGTGTACCTCTGGGCTATGATTGGCCGACAGCACGACGCCACCAAACGCGTGCTTCGTATGCTAGTGTTTCCCCCTGCTAATATCCAGCAACTAGAATCGTTGCCAGTACTGTCTCAGCGACTATAAAGGTGCATCTTTCTTCATCGCATATTGAATTCTAGAAAAGTATGTGTGAACAGAAACATCGTGGTAAACTTCACACAACTCCATTATGGCAACTCACGAGAAACCTTTGCTACTTTTCACCTCATTTCCCTTGGCGGGTCATACGCAGCCGCTCCTCAAGATCGCCGCCTTCGTCATCAAACAAGGCTATGAAGTAACCTTTATTGCTGCCAAGGAGTTTGAGCCCGCTATTGTTGCGATGGGCGCCACGTTTGTCGCAACCCCAGGCGTCATGGAACTTGTTCCCCCGGACTGGTTTGCGCAGCGAGAGTCCCGTGCAATCGGTTATGAGCGAATACTTTACGATCACCAGACGGTCATGATGAGTGGCATAGTTCAGAAAACGCAGATTGTCGACGATACTCTTGTAGAGATGAGAGGGGAAAATCCCAATCGCCAGATCATCATGGTGCTGGAGACATTCAATCAAGGTGTCTTGCCATTCAAGTACGGCCGACCCCCACCCAGAGGATTCGACCTTTTCCCCAAGACAATTGGTGTCAATACCTTGCCTATGTATATCCAAGGTGTCGACGTCGGGCCATTCCTGATGGCTTTGCCGCCCGACTCGACTCCGTCCGGGCGGCTTCGAAATCAAGCGCTCAATAAGTTGTACAATGAGTCGCCCTTCAGCCAAGCCTTGACTCGGGGCTACAATGAGAAGTACTTCGAAGCTGGGGCCACTAGACTGCCGGAAGGCTTCCCTGGTGATGCTTGGGTCACCTCCTGGGATGTGACACTGCAGCTTTGCTCCACAAGTATGGAGTATCCAATGTCAGACCTGCCTAGCAATGTGGTGTTCACAGGCTGCTTGCCACTTGTGACCCCGGAACCTGCCTACAGGTACCCTGATTGGTGGTCCGATGTGGTCGAGAACCATGCCAAGAAGAAGATTGTTTTCGTTGCACAAGGCACGGTCGCCATGAATTTGAGAGAGTTGATTCTTCCCACAATCCTAGGAGTCGCTGATAGGGACGACATCTTACTAGTTACCACTCTTGGCATGAAAGGCGCAACCCTACCGGCGGACTTTGTCGTTCCAGGTAACGTGAGGGTTGCCGACTATCTTCTTTATGATGTGATCCTGCCATATACGGACGTTTTCGTTTCCAATGCAGGGTACGGCGCTATCACACAATCGGTCATGGCTGGCGTTCCAATGGTTCTTGCTGGCGAATCGGAAGACAAGATGGAGACCATAATGAGGACAACATGGGCCGGTGTTTCATGGAATGTCAAGACTCAGACTCCCACACCGGGACAAATCCGTGAAGGCATCGACGCGGTGTTGAAGGACTCCACATTCAAGCAGAGGGTTGTCGAGTTGCAGAAGGAGAATGAAAGCATGAATGCTCTCGCCAGGATAGAAGAGCAAGTTGTTAAATTCACCGAATGATTAGTTATGACTGTGGTGTGTATAGGATAAGACAGTAACTATTCGAGGAGACTGTTATCTGAGGTGATTGAAGTGAGAAATAAAAGATGAATGCGATGCCGCCGAAAAAAAAGTGACACAGGTCGACATTGACTATCTCGTACCTTGCCTGCAAAGTTCGGGCCTAACGGCAACGGTCACGTGAAGATCACGTGAGCCACACGTAAACCTCCAGCAATCCCGTGGTCGTGCCATGTTCATCTAATTGCCGTCTTTCAACGCGATCGGCAGGTAGGGCAAGGCCAATTGCTAGACACGTGGCTTAAAGGCCATAGAATACAGTGTATCGAGGTCAGTGCCGCTGCGCGAGTGTTTCTTGTGATGTACGAGGTGGCTAACACGTCGCAGGAGTAGCCACAGCAAGTGAACCATGGAGACCACTATGGAGACTGATGCATCTTCATCGAAAGGACAAGATGCCCCGAAAACTCAGCCGGAAAAGCTGGAGGGGGAGGAGGTACCGCAGACAGCGAGTCCAGCCCCGAGCTCAACAAGTTCCTTGTCGCGCCCACATTACGCACCGCAGTTCTCCGCCACTACCGAGATGATATTGAAACGCATACGGGGAGAACCAAACAACTTGAGCTCGGCGATATCCTCTGCGTCGGCAGCTGGCGCAATAAAGCAGTCGGCATACGAGGATACTAAACGTCGCCTCGTCATGAGCATGAACACATCTCTGACTCTGCCTATGCCGGCTTCGATACCAGTCCCAGCTCTGGCGCCATCTCGCATGATGCCGAAGAAAGAGGGTTCTCAAGCAGGTGCTCTACCATCGCTGAAGCCCCGCGGTCGCCCTACAAAGTTGGACAAGAAAGGCAAGGCACCGCGCGGGGCTAAGCGCAAACGAGGGAAGGACGAAGACGATGCCTCCTCCGTGCTGAGTGACCCGTCAGAGAGCGACGAGGATGAGGATTATCAGAACACAGCCACCCCAACTATGACCAAATCTGGTCGCCAGATACTCAAACCGACACAATTCAACCCAGCAACAGGGTCAGGAGCTGGGAAGAAGAAGCACTATGGGAAGAGAACGCCCGAACAAGCGTTGTGCAAGGTATGCACTCGTGGACTCAGCCCGACGAGTAATCAGGTCGTGTTCTGCGACGGTTGCAACTTCTGCTGGCATCAGCTCTGCCATGACCCCTACATCGATGACGAGTTCGTTAGTGATGAGTCTCGTTCATGGTTCTGCCGGAACTGTTTGGCAAAGAGGGAGAGGCATCTTGCGAAGAAGAAGTCAATGGACGGGTTCAAGGGTGTGAGCTGGTCCACCAAAAGTGCTGACCAGGTAAGCTCCGCTGTACTCCATGCAAGTTATTTTACACTGACCTTGCTCTGCAGAGAAGGACGTATCTCTCAGGTCTTCCGCAGGGACAGCTTGTCAACCTTATCATGTACAGTCTCGAGCTACACCCGGACCTTCCCCTGTTTCCCGAAGGTTCTGGTGCCAGAAGGGGACGTCCTCCTGCGGTGCAACCAACCGCGGTACGGATCGCCGTGGAATCCAACGGCCCCGTCAACTTCTCAAAGCTGTCCACTCCCGACACGCCGTTGAAGCCGCAAGCAGATCGGGAAGGCTCCGAGGAGTCCGTACCGCCGGCATGGCCAAAGGCGGGATCGGGAGTGCTGGCCAAACTCGCTTTGAACGAAGACGATTTCCAGGATAAAAATGATTTCGAGTCCTTCAGTGTTGCAACGTATGAAGCTGGGAAGAAGATTATGGAGAATGGGATGCCAGTGTCCAGTCAGGAGACAGCTGACCGAAGCAGTGGACTTGCCTGATTACTCGCTCGCGAACCACGAGGCGTAACAGGCAGTAGTACCCAAGCTTTCAAAGCCTGATACAACAGAGGGCTCATAGCGCCTTTGGCCCGTACCTAGATTGCGCCTCGATTATGTTGCCATTGCTCTGGCACGTGCCCGTCGGCTATTGTAACTGGGCTTTATCTGAAAGCATGATTCGAGTACTTCACTGCTCAATGGATGGAAGCGAAATGTTTGGAAGTCGTATGCTTCTGTCTGATTACAATCGATTATCAATACAATATATACAATACTTTTTGCGCCTGTGAGCCCATGTACCGTCTATAACCGTGTAATCCTACCCAAGTATATCCATATATAAAATCGCTTAGCAAGACAGATCGTAGTTGGGCTGGAGAGCCATGAGGTCACCAGCACCGTAGACACCGAAGTCAGGGGTGGCAGTTCCGTACTGGGACTCCTGGAGGTCGTACCACCACAGGTTGACACCCTTGGCAACGAGCGAGCATGCGATCTGCTTCCAGTAGCTGCCAGCGTTCTCGGCATTAGCGACAGCAGCGCCGATGGTGTCGCCGGTGACGGGCCAACCAGTCTCGGTAACGTAGACGGGCTTGCCGTTGGCCAGGGCAACAGTCTTGTCGTATCCGTCGTAGAATCGGGTGGTGGCCTCCTCAATGCTGTTGGGCTTGGCCTTCTCCCAGTAGGGGTAGCCGTCGAAGCCAATCCAGTCGATGGCCTCGATGACAGCGGAGTTGGTCGAGTTCAGGAAGGCATCGTAGGTGTCGACGTGGCCAACGGGGGCACCCTCGAGAGGAGTACCAGCAATGGTGCTGCGGACCTTGGAGATGCAGTCCAGCAGGTAGGTGGCACTGGCGCCGACCTCGTTCTGGGAGTCACGGTAGAGGTCCTCGCTACCGACGGAGATACCAACAACAAGGTCGGTGAAGGCAGTGCCGTACTGGTTGATGGCAGCCTCGAGAGCGTTAATCTCGTTGGTAATGGCGGAGTCACCGCCGGAAATCCAGAGACCAAGCAGAAGGCTGGTTTTGGTTGCGATAGCTGCTGGGATGGCCGAGATAACATCGGTGGTACCCCACTGGAGCATGGTGTATAGACGAGCACTGCTCCATCCCTCAGTGCCGGGCAGGGACTGGGCACGGCGGAACTGATACTCAAAGTCGGCTTGCTGGACAGCACGCTGGTCGAGGAAGAAGGCACCGTAGTTGAATCCCTTAATTCCCGAGTTCTGGGCTGACTTCGACGAGCTTGAAGCCTTCACAGCGCCGGTGGAGGCCGATGCGATGCTGGATGTGGCACTGCTTGGGCTGGAGCTGCTGCCTCCGGTGCTGCTTCCTGAGCCATTGGCGACGGTAGCATTCTTGACGCCGTAAGGAACCGAAGCCGTCGATGAAGGGGCCACAGCTCCTGCGGTGCCCGAGGGGAAGACGGACTTGCAGGCGGCGTTAACGCCGACAGCTGCAAGGCCGGACACAGCCAAGGAAAAACGCATATTGTATAAGAAATAATTAATTGATAAAAAGTCTAGCGAGTGACAATGGTGAGGAAAATAGTAAGAGTCTTGGAAGTTGGACCGAACAAGCGAATGTCAAGAATCCGAGAATTGGTTTCTTAAAGATCAAAGAACGACACGGAGAGCGGATCAAGAAAAGGGATCAGCGGTTCTAGAATCGTGCAAAAGCAGATTTGGACCAGGGATCAGAACCTGATCCGAGGATCGCACCCATTGACGCAGGGGTATAACGGTGGGTCGATTCGTCGTCGTCTGCCAGGCACGGCTCCAGCTAATCTCTCGCCAAGGCACGCCCGCGGCTCCACTGCCGCCGCTATACCGTCCCCAAGCAACCCAAGCAACCCAAGCGCTCGTATTTCCCGGCCCGCGGGCGGCTCAGCCACGGTGGGACCTGTTGCTAATGACGTGGATCGCTAGCGACGTGTATTCGTCCCCGTGCAACCCCGGCGGCAATTTCAATGCAGCACCATTGAAAATATTAATGGCCCCCAGGGCCCTGCCAATGTAAGCTTGCCGACAGCCTCAGGAGACACGTTTCTATCAATAGACCTCCGCCTGACTTTCGGGCGGCAGCCTGGTCAACCATTCATCGGTTTACACAGTACTTGGGGGCCAATCTGGTAGAGCAGAAGTGTTGGAGATGAGTCTTCAGACGAACCAACCGGCTACCACGGATCGTGGCCGCCCCACTGGAAACTTAGTGCACACCCACTGCCAACTCCTGAATCGAACTGCCCCATTGATGACGGATAGTCAAGCCGGCACAAGCGTGTATGACGCCGTTTCGTTAATTTTTTTGTGCCGTTGTGTAGCGGCCCCGGAACGCCACGTTTCTCTGTGCCCACATCTGAGACAATTCGACAACAGTATAAGTTGTGCGACCAGGGGATTCCAAGCACAACTCTGAACTTCTAATTCGACCGTAACCCACGCTAATTGGAAGTAAGGCGACCAGGTAAACAAACAGATCTGCAGCCGTAAGACTTCGACCAACAAAATTATATGCTGTGCCGGAGAACACCTCAGGACCAATGTGCACACGTCATTGCAGGTTGCATACGAACTTCTCGCAATCGGCTAGAATTCTTTAGAAAACTTGCACACCCCGTGTTCGGTCTTTACGAGACTGCTACGTTAGTCCGGATTTTCCGTTGCACCGTGTGGGTCGCATAGTCAGTCGCCTTCCGAGATCGAGCGACAGCCCAACACGATTCCGCAAGTCACGTGCCAGCACACAATCGAGGTAGATGCCGGCGAAACCAAAAATGATGCGCGTAGTCGTATCGATAGAGGGAGATCAATGGACCCCTGTGAGGTACCATGCGGTTGTGTCAAAGTTCTGTTTATACGTGCTATATTTGGAGGACGTTTAGCTTCCAAGCCTGTAACACCTAACTAGTGCCTGCAAGTAGCTGCGAAAGGAGAAGCGAAGTTCAAACCTCCAGTGTTTGCGAACCCAACGTGAAGAACTAACTTAGCCCGCCATTCTTGGTAGTCTTGCTCAGTTGCGGTAAGTTACTGCAAAGCCTCTAGGTAAATATATCATTAAGTTTACTTGAACAATCTAGTCATTTGCCGTTACTCATCGTGTCTTGTTACAATTGAAAGTCTCGATTATAGACCATAGTCCGTGGCTTACCAGCAGGTAGAGGTATCATGTCTGCGACTTTTCTCAGCCTACGCGCCCTGCCGGTCGAGCTACGAAAATGACCTGACTTTTTCATTGGTGTTTGCATTCGCCTGCTGGGTCTTTGAACGTCACGGATTGTCGAATGCTCCCAAAATGAACTCTTATAGCAAAGAGATTAGGGTCAACATGACTGGGCGCATCCGCGAAAGCTGGCTGGGGAGATGGACGCCTACGAGAGGTGAAAGGATTTAGGCACGTGGACACAACCAAGCTCTGCGGCTGGGCTAATCCTTCTTTTAATGAATCATTAAAACGCAGGTCTGACTCTCTCGGAATGTTTTCTGCTCCTTATACGACAGCTGCAGATCTGGGATGCAGGGGGTGGGGGGCCAAAGGGCTGAGCCAAGGCTTTTGCGTCTCGGCCATGCGGCTCCGCCACGAAGGACGAAGGACTGCGAGGCAGAAGGGTCTGAGGTAAAATGTAAAGACGAAATGGTGACCGGAACCCCCTGGTGTTTTGGCCATTGATCTTCCACATAACGTTTTGTCGACTTATGTATACATCAACCCAGACCATATTGAACTGAGTACAATGCAGAGTCGCGATGTCCGAGCCTGGCTACCCAGTGAAGCACCCATCGCGGATATCGCTGGGATAGGAGTGAGTTTCCACTCCGACATAATACTCAAAACGAGAATGTCACATGCTCAACTGTACTTCAGGTGTTTGTCGGGTTCGTTAGCACGAGCTGCCTTGCGCTGTCGTCGTTTCTCTTGTGCTACATACTCTTCCACAAACCGGAGCAGGATCCGTTCGGCGATACGTGGCCTGCAAGCTACGCGCCGAACGAGATCGATGCACTGGTCCTTGGAAATGTGCGAGGCTTCTTCAAGAGATTCGGCGTCGAACTCCACTGGCTGGAGCAGAAAAGGAGATCTACGAGATTCGAGGTGCTTCTGCAGCGGGTGATTAGTGTTCCGCCAGGTGGTCAACAGTTCGCCTGAAACTGACTCTACTCGTTACAGGTCATATTAGCGACCCACGACGCGCAGGTTGCTTCTAGCATTGCACTCTTGATCTACAGCTATATAGTCGCAGAATATATGGTCGCGTACCAGTGGCTATTTGTCACCTATGTGGGGTCGGTGCCTATGAACTCGACCGTTGAGATACTTGCTGACCTTGGAGCAGAGTGCTCGCGTTCACTACAAGTCTGCTCTCGCTCTCCGCTCTCCGCAGGAATTTCATCGAGCGTCCTTACAAGTCAGCCTGGAGAGTCTTCTTAATGATGTGCCACTTCGTGGTCCTAGCAGCAGCCATGGTACCAGCGGCCAAAATAAGGGGCAGTATAGCCTACGGCGTGGACAGGCGGGCGGTGCTCGCAAGACCCGCGAGCGACTACTTCTTGCACGGCAGGGCGTACTTTGACATGAGCCATGGCGCGCACTCCTCCGCCCTCCTTGACGCCATCTTGATTTCGTGTTTCCTGTTCGCGGCTCTCTTGTACAGAGTTATTCGGCTACTAGCCAAGCCGGCTCAGTTGGCGATGCGGCTTCGCCGCACCCTGAGGACCGACATGGAGGACTCCCTGGTAAGTGACCGCGTTATTGGTGGCTGGGCTGGTGAGATATATACCTTCTTTGTTGTACGCCCTTTCCTGTCGATATATCTTGTCAGTCGCATCTACGTGGAGACTGCGAATTCGGTGCTTGCCGAGGTAAGGTTCTACTCACTAAAGTATACTGCACCTATACTCATGGTTTACTAGATTTTCTGGCCCACGGCCATGGGGATATGGGCTCTATGTCACTTGATCGAGGTTCGACGCTGGGGTTTCGAGTCCGAACTTGACCAAAATCTTGGGTGGACCTTCGCTCAAGTCACTGTCATTGTCTTGTTTCTAGCCCCTTTGAGGTTGCTCGTGGAATTCATTTGCAGACTTTTCTATAACGGTACGAAGGACCTCCCAAGTTTGCGCTGACAGAAACTGATATATTGAAGACCGCAAATTATCGTTCGCTGACGAAGAGTTTGAGCCAGCCTCACAACCCGGGCCAGAGAACCCAAGAATCGATACTAACGATGATCAACCAACCGCATCAGACATTGAGCGAATAGACCACCAGGGAGATATCGTCGATGAGGACGTGCATCAACTGCTCAGCCGGAATGTCTACCGCACCTCTTCCTGGTTCAGTTTGGCGCTGCCAACGGTCGCAGCAACCAACGTGCTGTTCATTATCCTCCTGCTGGTCGGCCCCACTGACGGCAACGGCTCTCGCTTCCTCGTCGAGACGCTGGCCCTGACGTCCTTCTGGTACTTTGTATACCAGTCACTGCTGCTCTGCGCCTTTTTCCTGACCAGCATGGCTGTCCAAGACAGGGTTCGGCACCAACGGACGGCGCTTCAAGTGTACCGGTCCAGCGCTGCCCTTGCCGTGGGCCTGTCCCTGGCCTCGGTTCTCGACACCTTCTACGGCCCCATAGGGGGCGCGCCCATGTCCTACGTCGGACTGGGCATAGGCGGACTCTTGGTGGTCCTATATATCGGCTACGGCTGCGCGAGCACGGCCGCCGGCCCTCGGCAGCGGCGAGGCGGGGACTTGGCGGACGTGGAAGAGCAGCAGGGGCTACTAGGTAGCCGAGAAACGGACTGATCGTATAGGAAAAGAGCACAATATCAAACAGCAACGACTTATATTACCCAAGAAAACGCAGAACTAGTTCTTAGCCTCTCCAGCCCCCCCAAGATACCCCACCGCCTCGTCCAGCGACGCCACATGGGCCGTCATGGGCAGGACCTTGCGCATGACGAGGTCGTGGACCTCGGGCTCGCGGTCCCAGCAGGCGTCGTCGACGACCGTGGCGACGAAGCCCTCGTCGGGCGCCTCGCGCGCCGTGCTCAGCACGCAGCCGCTGCTGACGACGCCGCACAGCACCAGGCTCTTGACGCCCAGCTCGGCCCGCAGCAGCTCCAGGATGCCCTCGGACTTGAGCGCCGAGACGCGGCCCGGCACGCGGTCGACGAAGTACTCGCGGGCGCCGGCCTCGCGGCGCCCGGCCACCGCCCCCATCTGCCGGCCCAGCGCCGGGTCCGCGGCCAGCGCCGGCTTGAACCCCGTGGCCCAGCGCTCCGTCAGCTTGCTCGTCGGCGCCGGGTCGGCGTCCACGCGGATGAGGCAGTGGACGACGGGGGCGCCGGAGGCTCGGGCGGCGGCCAGCAGCTTCTGCGTGGACGTGATGAGCTTCTCCTTGGCGTCGGCGTCGGAGATGGTGCCCAGGATGATGTTGTGGTAGTCGAGGAGCAGGAGGGCTGTTTCCTTGGGCCCGTAGGCCGAGGGCAGGTTGGGGCTGGGGGCTGATGACATGCTTTTCAGGTTTTTTGTATTATTCCGGAAACTTAACTGAGCCCTTACGAAGATGATAGCAGTTTTTGACAGAGAATGGAGAACGCAAACAATTTCTTTCAGTGTCTCTGGCGGATCTGTTGACTGTACAGAATGTGACTTATAAGCCATGATACCCAATAGGTCGATATGCGCGTTCGGCTCCGAAAAGTCTCCACACCTGTCCGTAAAGGGCTGTCGACGCTCTCTCAGGCACCGGTGATTGGCTCCGTTGCGTACTATGGCATCCCAATCCGGAGATAACAACTCAAAGGCCGTTGCATATCCCACCTCGCACAATGACAAGAGGTCGGAGAGCCTACTCGGGTCCATGCTAATTTCCAGGAGATATCGTCGCATGCTGGGATGAAGCGCGAGGAGCCAGATAGTTCGCCTGGCATGGTGCTAGAATTACCCGGACTTACGGCTTTTATTCAGGTCCTCTTGGTTCATAGTAAACCGTAACCGTGGCGCGCAACACCGAGTTGCTGATCTAGGTCATTGCTCATCCCGGGTGGTCTAAAGCTATAATAGACGTCCTTCGAGCTTGTACCTGGATCGGCCATCCGGGCAGCAGAAGGGAGTCATGCGCAATGCCTGTATTGGTGATGCCAACGGAGATAGTCTACAACTTTTAACCACCCCCTTTTCATTCGCCGAACCAGGATATCGCTTTGTGTACGCCAGAGTGCTTTTTTTCTTCTTCCTCGTGTATGCCATGCCATGCCTCAACGTAGCATCCACCTGTCTGTCTACGAACTGGCTGGATCTCCATATGCCAGGTGACCGCCTCTTTTACAACCATGCTGATCTCGGATCTAAGGACTCATGCTGCCGGTTCCCCCTCAAGCTGCCGCAATTCTAGATGCTTCTCATCGTACACGTAGCGATCCCATTTACGCAAAGGCCGTGACCTCGGGCCACTTCTCGGCCGCCGCCTTCTTGAAGCCATCGACCTCCTTGCTCCTCCAGCCGCGCAGGAGGGCCAAGACTTCCTTGGCGTCCTCAAACTTGATGCCCTTGACGCTGAGTACGTCGGCCAACTCTTTCTCGACCTTGCTCTGATCCTCGCCCAACAGCTTCTTCGCCTTGATGGCTGCGATCACGTGAGGTGCGCTGTTGCTGTTCTTGGCCTGGAAGTCGGCGTTGTACTTCTTCAGGTCCGTGGAGGCGTCAAGAGCGGTGAATTCTGACTTGATGACTTCCTGGACCTTGGCAGGCAGAGAAGCGAGCTTGGTGTTCAGGACGTTGCGGAAGTGGACCAATTGCTCATGGACTCGGGGATGCGAGGCGTCCAAGTCCAGCGCCGACTTCAGGCACCTCAGCGCCAGCAGGTATTTTTCTGGATATGGGGTCAGCAATGTGCAACAAAAGTCTTGAGACGGAATGTGGGGCGTTGTTTACCTCGTCGAATGTATACCTCAAAGCCGGCGAGTTGTGCATCGATGAACTTGGGACTGTACTGGAGCAGGTGGGAGAGGAACTTGGTTGCCTCGACCAATGGTTGCTCGGTGGCTGCAAGCTTGAGCCCGTTGGGGTCGTCATCCTTCTTCTTGTTCTCGTCGAGGGGGCTCTTGGCCTTGTTAGGGTCCTGCTTTGCTGCTCTCTCGGCCGCTTCCCGCTCTGCCTTTTGGGCCTCCTTCTTGGCCTTCTTCGCAGCCTTCTTACGCTCCGCGGCATCGTCGCCATTGGCATCGGTGCCGTTGACTCCATTCGCCAATGACTTGCTGTCGTGCATGCTGATGTACAGGTTGACAGCGTCCAAGGCGGAGCGGCTGTAGAAGGGGTGCTCGCGCACCTGATCCTCCCAGCGAATCATGTCCACGTAGGCACGGATCTGTCCTTTCCGCAACGAGAAGCTGTGGAAATCGAATTGGTCCTCTACCCACACATCAAAGAAGCCATTGACGAGGTGGAAACGCTTCAACGCCAGGGCGACATTGCCCTTGCGGGCCTGGGTCTCACCATCCTCGGTCATGTACCAGACACACTGCATGTCGATCAGGTCGCTCAGGGGACCAGCTTGCGAGTCAGGTCTAGTAAACATGCCCATCAGCTCCAATGCCTTTTCGGAGTTGTCATTTCGTAATTGGTACTTTGCAGCCTTGGTGTTGATGTAGCGGTCCTTGAGATCGAGCTTGCGTGCCTCGTCCATCGTGTCCGCCGCCTTTTGCGTGTTACCGTAGTGCTTCCATATCCTAGCCTTGGTCATGTGGAACTCGAGGTTCTTGGGTGCCAGCTCGAGGCCTTGGTTGACAAAGTCCATAGCCTTGGCCAAGTCGCGGCTCAGATGGTAGTTGTAGTGCTGGGCGAGATAGTACAGCGCAGCGCCCTCGCCCTTTGGTGGATCACCATTCGACGGTGCCTTCTCGCCGCTCGACTTCTTGGATTCCAGGTACTCTTGCGCGATGGCACCAAGGGTATCCTTCTTGAACGCGTCCACGTACAGGTGCTTCAGGTTGGCAAAGGTCGATGGGATTCCTCTGTCCAACATGAGGCCAAGGTATGCCTTTGCAGCTTCGCGGAAAGCGTCCCCTAGATAGTACAGTCAGTGAATCGAATGCGTCTCCAAGGGATCAAGTGGGAACGAACCGGTCAAGAAATCCAGGGGTAACCGCTTGGCCGCATCGCAGCGAGGGTTCTTCTCGACGTACTCGTCGTACACGGCCTTCCTTGCTGCCTGGTCGTCGGCGGCCACGTTGACCACTTCGAGAAGCTTGGTGTAATAGTCGGGGTGGTCGGGGTTCCGGTCCAACAGGGCTCGGTACGCCTTCTCAGCCTCTTCTTTCCGGTCCAACTTGGCCAGGTACTCGGCGCGCAGCTCCATGACGGCCAGGCGGTCGAGGTTGTGCCTGGAGATGGTCTTGAGGTGCTCCAGGGCCCTCTCGTAGTCGCCCTGCTCGGCGATGATGGTGTTCTTGTACATGACGGCCTCGGAGTTCTCGTAGTCGGTCTTGGAGGGCGGGGACTTGAGCGACTCCTCGTAGGTGGTGAGGACCTTCTCGGCCTGGGCCAGGTCGCCCGAGAGGTGGTGGGCAACGGCGAGGGCGGTCCAGTTCTGGCGGATCTGCGGCCTCGCCTGCAGCATGGCGGACCTGCTCTGGATGTAGCCGGCGAAGTCTCGCATCTGGATCTGCAGGAAGGCCAGGTCCCGCTGGATCTGGGCGGACTCAGGCTCGAGCTTCAGGGCGGACTTGTAGGCCTTGATGGCCTCCTCAAAGTTCTTCTGCGACCTGTACAAGAGGCCGTAGACGTGCCAGCAGATGTGTGACCTCATGTCGGCCATGAGGGCGTCCTTGCCGAGGGCGAAGGCCTCGTCCGTCTTGCCCTGCTGGTTCATGATCAGGGCCTTCATGGCCATGGTGTCGCCATGCTTGGGGTTCTTCTTGAGGATCTGCTCGGCGGCCTTGAGGCCCCGCTTGTACTGCTTGTCCTCATAGTTGCGGATGACCTGGCGGAACAGCGAGTTCTCCTTGGTGCTGAGGGGCTGAGGCATGGTGGGCGGATGAGGGAGAGGGGGAGAGAGAGGGGGGTTTCGGCGCGGCTCGCAGCCGGAGAGTGCACTTGAGGATGCGCCGAAGGGGAGCAGAGAGCGGGTCGGAACCTAGGCGGCGCGGTCGTGCAGAGGACGGGGGCACCTTTGCGTCGAGACGTTGAAGAGTTGAATCCGGGACAGCTTCTCGGGTCGGATTCCTACCGCACGCACGCACACAGCACAGCACAGCGCACCAGACAGACAGACAGACAGCCAGCCAGACAGCACGAGACCCAGAAGAAGCTAGCCGGCGGAGCTTGCAGGGGAGGACCCACGGCGACGGGATTCCGATTTGGCCTTTGCTGCACTGGACCCTGACTAATAACGTCACCGGCCAATGTCCGTACTCTGTACGCAGACGGCGAACCAGCAACACGACGATGCCTGAGTCGAGGCAGCCGGAAGTCAAGCTCGTGTGTTGCGTTCGTGGGCCGGAGGGATCGCTGCAGACAGGATTCAAGCTTTGGCATCTCCCTCGTTCGACCGCGGAATGGGCAGATGGCTGACTGCAGCTCCCCTTCGCCGAGCTTTATCCGAATATACCCAGGCACTTGTCTGAGACAGATCGATGCCGGACACACAAGCCAAAGGTGGTACATGGCAGCATCCGACTGAGATTCCGTTGGCCGTCGCAACATAATAGTTTCAACAATCTTCACTTGTGGCCGACGCGCAAACATGTTTCTCTCTTTGACCGAAGTCATTTATAGTCCCTGCTCCAGCACCAACATTAGGCTGTAGGCGCATCTAAGCCAGGGATAGGTAGGTCACGTCAGGTCAAGTATATCGCTTCCGCAACCAGCACAGCGGAGGAGACCGTGACTCGAGCAAGACTCCCAGTAGCTATCCGACGACATCTTCTCTGCTCATGCCTACGCGATTTCTATTCATTACAGCGGCGAGTTAGATCATGGTATTTACAAGGTGCATGTACACGCGAGGTCGTGTGCCCTGCAACCAAAGCCAGAGACGGCTCTGCCATGGCGGCTACATGGACTACGCCGACCTCAAGGCCTCGGCTTGGGCACGCCCTGCCTGTCCCTCCATTCGTTCAGGGCCTGGTCGGCATCCTCTGTCGGCTCGGTGCATCGCTCCCGGACCAGCCCCCACGTCCGCGATCGCACGATGGTCTCGACATTCCTCTCCTGTCTCAACAGCTGCGCCAGCTGCTGTGTCCGGGGCTCTCTGGGGTAGTAGCGGGCCGAGTAGGGGTCCAGGCGCTCGTTGACGATGCGCTCGCGCTCCTTCAGCGACTCGGCCTCCCGCAGCACGGTCTCGGGGTCGTCCGGGTCCGGGCTCGTGGCCACATATGCACAGTAGGTCAGGATGTCAGACCGCGACTGCCACGACGGGAACAGGGCCTGCTCCTTGAAGGCCTGGCAGGACTGGGGGTCGAGCTCCCTGCGCGACCGCGGCGTCCGGACCGACGTGGAGCTGGGGTCGAACCCCGTCCTCGACGGCGTCAGGAGCGCATTGAGGTTCTGGGTGATGGAGTCGTCGACGGCGGCGCGAGATATCCGCAGGAAATCTGGCGGCTATGGTTCAGCTCTTGTCATTTTTGGGGGGCACTGTAACAATGGTGAGATGGCGGCGAACCTCGCAGGGCGACTGTGTTGAAGCAAAACTGGGGAGTCAAGGCGGCCGGGGCCTTGGGGATGTCGGTCATGATCTCACGCGGGAGGGCGGGCTTAGCGGCATCCGTCGTGGGAGCCGATCGCTTGGACCAGAGTATTCCTGCCACCGTGCCGGTTGTCTCTGGGCTGGTCGGTCTATGTATAGTGGAGTCTATTACGCGGAAGAAGGTGGCCCAGTGATGTGCCTGTCTTTTGTTTTTCGAACGGTGTCGTGAGCAGAGGGCAACTAAGATACAGCTACACGCGGCGTTCAAGCTCGCCGCCTGCTGTCTACCTTGCCTATTGAACTAGTATTGGATGATGACATACGAGAGAGCTTCAGCGTCCGAATGGCCCTAGCTTCCCCGCTGCAAGGGCCTAGGTGCATAGCGCCCGTCCAGCGGATTCCATGCCTGGCCATGCCCAGGTGCAGCTTTCCCACAATCAAGTCCTTGTAACCTGAAGCCCGCTGTGGCCAGCCAGCCAGCCAGCCAGCCAGTCCCGCCGGCCTAGCGCCCCTCTAGCTGCATCAGGCTGAGTACGCGACAGCAGCGCCTGCCTGCCTGCCTGCCTGCGCAGTGGCCCTGTGGCTCGCCTTGCATCAGAGAGACCTGAGTCCGGGCTCTTTTGGTGCTGTCGAAGCTCCGGGCTGCACCTCATAGCAAACATCCCCAACGCCAACGCCTACACCTTCATCAACCACATCCATCCCAGATCCACGCCGCCGCCATCTGCGACCCTCACATCCCGGCCGTCGCTGATTTGGTCCTCCATTCCTCACTGTCTCGACCGCCCCCCGCCTTTCCCTCGATCCATCCCCACGTCCACCTGAAGCCACATCGCAGCCCGCCATGTCAAGCTCCCAGAACCTCGAGGGCGTCACGCATCGTGAGCCCGACGACAAGAAGAAGCAGGGCGGCGACGGAGGCGATGGCGACAAGGACCAGGGCAAGAAGCAGAACAACGACGGCGATGCAGAGATGGATGACGCCGAGCCCGAGGAGGACATCCTGGACGAGGAGGTCCTCAGCCTCAGCACCCAGGACCTGCAGACGCGGAAACGCCTGCTGGAGAACGATGCCCGCATCATGAAGAGCGAGTACCAGCGCTTATCGCACGAGAAGGCCACCATGGGCGAGAAGATCAAGGAGAACATGGAGAAGATCGCCAACAACAGGTAACTCCACCATCCACATGTCGCCTCGCCTGGTCGGCAGTCGCAGCTCACCCGCTAACTCCCCAACCCACCAGACAATTACCCTACCTCGTCGGCAACGTCGTCGAGCTGCTCGATCTCGACCCCACAGCCGAGTCCTCAGAAGAAGGCGCCAACATCGACCTCGATGCCACGAGAGTGGGCAAGTCGGCCGTCATCAAGACCTCGACGAGGCAGACCATCTTCCTGCCGCTCATCGGTCTGGTCGACCCCGAGAAGCTGAAGCCCGGCGACCTCATCGGTGTCAACAAGGACTCCTACCTCATTCTCGACACATTGCCCGCCGAATACGACAGCAGGGTCAAGGCCATGGAGGTCGACGAGAAGCCGACCGAGAAGTACAGCGATGTCGGTGGCTTGGACAAACAAATAGAGGAGCTGGTCGAGGCCATCGTATGGCCCATGAAGGAGGCCGAGCGCTTCAAGAAGATCGGCATCAAGGCGCCGAAGGGTACGTTTCTGGCTGGATCGCTGCGCCGCTACCTATCACATCTTACTAACGCTTCTCAGGTGCGCTCATGTACGGCCCTCCCGGAACCGGCAAGACCCTCCTCGCCCGAGCCTGTGCCGCGCAGACCGATGCCACTTTCCTCAAGCTCGCCGGTCCCCAACTGGTGCAGATGTTCATTGGTGATGGTGCCAAGCTCGTCCGTGACTGCTTCGCCCTGGCCAAGGAGAAGGCCCCCGCCATCATCTTCATCGACGAGTTGGATGCCGTCGGTACCAAGCGGTTCGACAGTGAGAAGAGCGGTGATCGTGAGGTGCAAAGAACCATGTTGGAGCTGCTGAACCAGCTCGACGGTTTCGCTTCCGACGACCGCATCAAGGTCCTGGCCGCCACCAACCGAGTCGATGTCCTGGATCCCGCCCTGCTGCGGTCCGGGCGTCTGGACAGGAAGATCGAGTTCCCTCTGCCGAACGAGGAGGCGCGTGCCCAGATCCTGAAGATCCACTCGCGCAAGATGAAGGTGTCCGATGGCGTGAACTGGAGCGAGCTGGCGCGCAGTACCGACGAGTTCGGTGGTGCCATGTTGAAGGCGGTGTGTGTTGAGGCCGGTATGATTGCTCTGCGGTCGGGGAAGAACAAGATTGGCCACGAGCACTACGTGGATGCTATCACGGAGGTGCAGGCCAAGAAGAAGGAGGTGAGTATATCTAGTTCCCGCGGTTTGCCATGGCCCCAGCTAACTCCATTCCCAGACGGTCAACTTCTATGCATAGTTTACGCGGCGTCAAGGAAACTGGCCATGGATAGAGATTGTCATCATAGACGCAGAGCAAGCTGTAACATTACGCGGCACACGAGGCTAATACCGATACCACAACGTTGCCGTCCCCATGGGTCACGTGCAGCCCTATTCATGATGCAGCTTGATTCCCGGGTCCACAGCTCGTGCAGTGCATGACACCTACCCACTGCACTGTCTTCCTCTGTCGTTCCTTCAAACGCTGTTGACAGCCGTATCTAAACCCTTGCCACACTCTGAGGGTTACCAGTTGCTCTATGGTTTCTCTCAATTTTACGTCAAGGAAGATGAATCGTAAAGACCAATTACTCACCGCGGCCTCGTGCTACCTCTTGGTAGCTGTGGAGGCAGAGGTCCATCATATGCTGGTCCACATATCCCGTACGATCGTATTGGATGACTTGTGATCAATGCTCCCACCGGCTATGTCATTGTGTTGCACGTCATTCACCGTTGTGGTGACTGGCACCTGCACTCTGGAAGTAGGAGTTAGACCAGCGCTGTTTTCAATATAGCAATAAGATACGGCTGGCTTTGAGCCAGTGTTCGTGCCTCGACACCTAGTGTTGAACAGCAGGTTCTCCTGTGACAGCGGAAGTAGTACGGCAACAATGGGGCTCCTGGTGGACGCCCAGTTGAAACATAGGTCATGTTCGAATCCTCCCTTGTCTGCTACACAGCCGGTTGCATCAGACCTGAACCCGAATGCTTGCTGAAATTGAGTTACCCGTATCCATCGTTCCACGAGCGTCGTGCGGGTTATATAAGTTGAGTGGCGCCTTTCAGTAGCCTTGCCCTCGCATTCCTGTCATGCAGGAACTGGTTTTGCGCATCCAATGAAGCAGTCTACCTTTCGCTGATTTCCCTTACATTGCATGTTACACTGCAATTTTAGCCCTCACAAGGGGCCAGTCCACACTAAGCCGGAGAAAAAGCCCAGGAAAGCTACAGTAAAAAGACCGCCTGATTTTGATCTAATCGATAGCCAAGCGCTTGTATACTGTATATCATAAATATACTATGAAATTTTTCGTATGTGAAAAATCTTGTAAATGGAGGGTTGAATACTTCACCCACGCGGCTATCATATGCTCCCGGATTAGGTACTTGCGGCCAAATATTTGGACCGTATAACCTGGGACTAGACTAATCAGAATCGTATTCAGACCGCCAGGCTTGTCTCGCTCTCGCTTAGAGGCACTCGAGTGGCAGCCGCAACGCGCTGCCTAGCGTTGCTTTGCTGTATTTCCAGGAACCAGTCGACACCGTCACTGTTCGAATTGTTAAGGCTTACCTCTTGGCTTTGCTGGTTCCTTGCCGCAGGCTAACAAAGTAAACAATACACCTTTTTCGTTCATTGAAGTGCCTTCCATTGGGACGATGCCTTCCGAAAAAGCTGTGCCGACCGGCAGCGATGTCGGTGGCGAGTTCAAGCGGACACCCGACGAACCGCAGCTGGCTTATAAACTCGGCAACATGTTAGACAACGAGGCACAGCTGGAAGATGATGATCCCCCTGATGTTTCGGCCGTCTGGGTGCAGGAACTGGGCCGACTTTGCTGGTCGATGGAATGTGTTTATAATCGCCTGTGCGCTCTCGGGAGTCGCCGAGTTGGCTCTGTGGATGCCGGCCACCTACGAGTCCGCGGTCATCGGCTTCGCCGTCATGTACGGTTTCGTTTCGTGCGCCTTCATCGGGCTTTTCGCGGCCCTGCCGGAGTCGGTATCCCCTATGCCCGAGGTCGAATGCCGGATGGGCGTTGTCATGCTCTTCGTCTCGATTCCCGCCCTCACCATGGCGCCTATCGGCGGGCAAATTTTGCAGAGCTCAGCGGATGGTTGGGTTCACATGAAGATTGTCGGAGGTGCCATGTGCTTCGCCGGGTCTGCCATTATGATATGTGCCAAGGTTCTCTATACTCAAAAGTTTTCGTTGGTGTTCTGAGGTGAGATGGTGAACACTCGCGACTCTACACGCACATCGAGGCACAGGGGCGCTCTGAGAAGATTTGGTGGACGACCCTATATATTGACCCACCGCAAAAGTGATGGATGGAATGTGAGTGCGTATTGGACGCAGTCTGTAAGAAACCTCAGCTCATCTATGCATTTTGCTTGACCTATGATCTCATCTGTTGTTTTACCTAGATATTTCTTTCTCATTACAGTGTATCAGGGTAAATCTGAAGAGGAGTGCCGCGCCATAACTCTTCGAAGTTTATTCTCCAATACATTGCTGATCAAACGCAGTTCCTAGAAGGCCATAGGAGTCTCGCTGGTGGGCCGCGCCGTGGTGCCCACAATCACACCGAGAGGATGTGCGGACAAAGTAGAGGCTGTATGATGACTTAACTCAACAAATTACCATGTCTACACGATGACATGGCCGACCAGTCCCAGCGGATCAACACGTGGACATTTTCGCCGAGGTTATCGAAGGTGCCGGCAATCTCGACGGCAGCGTCAAGGATGAAGACGATGCTGGAAAGAGCCGCATGAGGCAAATACACGCGTTGTGGGGAGACGCATGATCCGACGGTCTGGTTTCGGATGAAATAAAATCACAGAGCTGAAGAGGGCCTATCAGCGCTACAGGGTCTAATCCGGCCCTAATCATAGAGTTTGACGATTTATTAAGGTTTTGGGGTGTTGTTACATAGTAAGAAACTCGTCACATCCCTTTCATAATTAAGATAAGCGTGGCTTGAAAACGCCGCAATTTTAGGCTCGCCAAGTCCTGCGACTATAGCAGCAGCTACCCAACCACTTCCGAGGGTCTTGTTCCATTTGAGAAGCGCCGTGCTTCTTTTTCTAACGCTCTAAGTCGAATCTTGGAGTCGTCGCCCTGAAAAAGTCTTTCGGTTATTAAGTACGACCAAATTGTCAGACAAGCTGCCAATAGCCATGCGAAGAGATTCATATCCCACATCGCTAGTAGGCCGGCCTTCAAAGCGAGTGGTTTCAACTGCCTCTGGAGCCGAGCAATTTACCAATCCGTGATTGCTCAATAAGCCACTGGATATAAAAACCTGTTATCATAGTTCTTCAATGTTGGCCAACGCCGCTGCCATGATCGACACTAGCGTCGGGATTCCAAGACAACGTAGACCCCGCGGCTCCCGTGATCCTCCAAGGAGCCGAGATCATGCATTTTTAGGTCAGTGGGGCCCATCAGCTCGGCCACGGGTCTCGGCAATCAAAGCAAATTGTCATGACCATCATGGGGTTATAAGTCTTTCTGGTGATCATTTCAATCTGGAAAGAATGTCAAAATGAGCCATTCAAAGTCGAAGCCGTACCTCTCTCACTCTCGTTTCCACACTCGCCGATCATGCGCCTCCTAGATACCAAGCAGCGGATAAAAGTTTCTCTGCTTCTTAGTCAATATGTAGGAGTCGCCTTCAGCAGCGCTGCTCCTGAGATCAATCTGGACTTTGGCTCATTTAGAGGCACCAACGAGCTTGCCAATGTGGATAGCTTTCTGGGCATACCGTTTGCGCAGGCTGGCCGGTTCGAGAACCCGATTATGGTTTCGGCTGCAAACAAGCTTGAAGGTATTCAGGACGCCAGCAAGTACGGGTTTCAATGTCCCCAGGGGGCAACTGCGTCAGTTCCAACTGAGGGACTAGCTGAGCTTGGCCCCGTGCTGCAAGCAATTGGCCTGTTGACAGCTCGCGGGACCCCAGCGCAGGATGAGGACTGTCTCAGTATCAATATTCAGGCACCGAGTGGGACTTCAGCTGGTGCAAACCTCCCAGTCTTATTCTGGATCCATGGTGGCGGGTTTTCAACCGGAGCTAGTGCAATTAGCAGCAACACAACATCACTCTCGGTACGGCTGTTAGGCGTTGATGTTCACCAAGGAGTATATTGACCTTTAGATAGGACGCAGTATACCAAGGCGGCAAGCTTGTCAATTTCTCAGTTGAAATTGGCCAGCCTGTCATATTTGTTTCTGCCAATTACAGACTCAGTCTTTGGGGCTTTCTCGCTTCACAGGAAGTCACAGATGCGGGTGTGGGCAATCTTGGCCTGAAAGATCAGTAAGGTGTACTACCTTCGAAATCGGATAAACCCTCTTTACTAATTGTTGATCAAAGGCGCATGGCTCTACAATGGGTACAAAAATATATTACGCAATTTGGCGGAGACCCGGGAAAGGTAACTTTATTTGGTGAAAGCGCGGGCTCACTGTCTGCGGCCACTCATATGGTCCTCAACGACGGTGATACCGAGGGCCTATTTCGAGGAGCCATCATGTTCTCTGGTGGAGCCTTGAAATTACGAGATTACAGCAGCTCTCAAGGCACATTTGACCAGGTGGTTTCTGATGTGGGGTGTACCGGAAGCCAGGATCCTTTGTCATGCCTAAAGAACGCGAGCTACTCTGACCTTGCGGCGTCGGCTCAAAAGTTCCCCGGTCTGATTTCGTATGCTGGTTCCTACAATCCATTCTTGCCCAGGCCTGATGGAGACTTTCTCAAACAGTCACCTCACAGCTCAATACGTGAGGGTAAAGTGGCAGATATTCCTTACATGATTGGCGATGTGGAAGATGAAGGCACGCTTTTCTCACTAGTCGCGCAACTCAACACTACGACAGATGACGAGTTCGTTAAATATTTCACAAACACGTTCCCGGAAGTGTCTACGGAGCAACTAGAAGCATTCACAAGCCTCTACGCAAACCTGACCGAAGAATCAGGAACACAGACCCTTGGTCCTCAGTACAGGAAGCTGGCTGCAGCTATTGGAGATATCCTAGTAAGCAAGTCCTGTCTGAACCATGTTGTCACATCTGATGTTCTGTAGTTCCAAAGTGGCCGCCGAGATCTACTCAACTTCACGCGATCGACGCAGAAAGCATTCAATTTCCTTATTGAGCAACCCGTCGAAGATTACGCAAACCTTGCAGTGGGGAATATATCTGCACTCCAGCCACTGGGCTCGTTCCACGTGTCCGATGTTGTATTAAACACATTCGGAACTCTGGACCCTGCCGTTTCAAACAATTCACTGCATCTTATGTCCGCTATCATAGCCTTCACTAACCATCTTGACCCCAATTATTATTGTCGCAAGGATGATGTTCCGTACTGGCCCGCGTGGGATCCCGCTATTAGGGCTCAATTCCGTTTTGCAGAGTCAAATACCACTGTTTTGGAAGACGTCTTTCATGAGAGAGAGTTAGATTTCCTAAACAATAACGCAGATGTGTATTTACTATGAACGACCAGCAGAATTGATGGCAGCTAGACAATCGAGAAAGAGCAACGAGACTTTAGCTGGATGGAGGGCTCTCCCCATGCGGATCGCATTCGCTCTAAGTTACTTCAAATAAATGAACAATTCTCATTGTGACCGCAGCCTCTTCTGAATGGGTGCAGTAACCATTATCTTATGTGGTGGACCGTGAGTGATATAGAAGAAATATTCGGTGTCTGTCCCGCATACGTATTAGCATCATCCGTAAGGACATCTTTACTGAATGCAACTAAGAGATACAGAGATGTTTGTCAGATATTGGCGAAACCGGTGCCTTTGGACGTAATCCACAGGTCAATGTTCAGAACGGCGAGTGAATGTCCTTATCATCATGCATATTGGCCCTCTTAATAGGAAGAAGTTCAAGTGACATACCGTAGTGTTTAAAGTTAAAATTATCCGGGATGCCTGGATGGGTCGATTGAAGTCAGCTTGCACTGGCTTGCGATGTTCTTAAGCCTTTTGCTGTTAGTTCCACTTGAGACTGTATCAAGTCTGCTGCCCAGAAAAAAAATGAGTCGGAAGCGGTCCCTACCTCCTTTACCAGTAATAAGCTGAAAAGAATTGCAGTGCGCCCTCATTTAAATACCGGTCGATGCCTATTGCTACCATGTGAGGCTCTGCCGACCAACGCCCCACTTCGCCATGCATCCCAATGAATCATTCTGATGCACCCAATATAAGTCTTAGTGTATCATAATGAACCAGGCTCCCGATATACCCTTATTTTTCAACGCAATGCGCCACGTAGTGGCTAGTTGGCCACCATGGCTAGTGCCACATAGACCTGTACACCTACAAACCACCTAACCTCCGCCTTATAGACAAGTAGGAGGATTCTGTTTTCCATTTGTTTTTCTTACATGTTCATGATGTTATTGAAAAGAATAACAACGGAGTAAGTCCTTTTGTCAACTATCCTAATCAATGTAATAATATCGGTCGTATTAATGTAGTAGTCACTTATCCGCGAAAGCGACTTTAGTTCCGTTGCACACGATACACTCCTATGAACTACGTGCAATTCCCACTACCCAAGGGCGGTTATGCATATGTCATGGAGTGACTGCTCATAGTCCAGGGAACTACACGAAGGCCAGGCGAACACTAGAGTTGGAGCGAAATGGAGGATGTGAAGAGACATAGTGGAATGGCTATTAAAGTGACCAACTATACTGATCATAAGAGATCAAATGGTGCTAGAACTGGGATAGTGAGTGTTCCCTTGGAGCTGATAAACCTTTCAGGGTTCGGGGGATGATGATACACAGATATTCTAGAATGATCATAATACTAGCGTCACGGCAGTGCATTAGGTTTATAGAAGGTCCGATGAGATACCGAACAGTATCCGCTATATAATCCCCATCTTGTCCCTCTTCCTTGAAAGTGGACAAGATTCAGTCTCTTGATGAATTGAACTATACGTTTGGACTTCTGATTATACCTGACCTCACAACCCCTTTGACAACTAGCCTCGTTGAATGATTCCTAAAGTAGCTAGTGTTCTTTCCCGTATTGTTTCGGTTGAACACCTCCTTTGAAATCACATGCAAACCCTTGACTAACTTGAGGAGTATGAAGTGTTCCAGTCGCGCAACAACTTAGAACCTGATTCCAACTTTCATGCGGGGAAAGTAGCTCTACGTAGTGTGACGTACTCAATACTTTTCTCAAGCAAACCTTATCTGTCCTGAAGCTTGTGTTGATTACGAAGCCCGCTCGATTACTTACGCGCTCTTATGCGCCCACCGACATGCGAAGATAATCCTCTGGATACCAGGCGAGCCATAATCTACAGAGAGTTTTCATCTACGCTAATCTTCAAGCTCAGGTCAGCTTGACCGAAGATATTTCCGGTGCAATACCCCACAACAGTAGATGATTGCAAGTCACTAGAAGACGCTAGAGCAGAGAGTTTGTACTAACCCCCGTTACGTACAATGCCTTTGGAATCAAGTCTTACGTAGTATGTAATTACAGATCGATGAAGCAGCCCAATTTAGCAGTAATTTGAGCTTCTCGCTTTGTAAATACGGCGCTAAACTATCCTTACGGCTGTCAAATCAACTGATGACGCACTGTCCGTTGGAAATATTACGCTGTTCGGAAACGGCATATAAGGGCACTCAAGCGCCGACTCGTCAGGCTCGTTTTCCTTCCACAACTAGGTCCGCCAGTCCATCTGCAGTCATCATGTCTCATCTGCAATACTTCACATACGCAGGATATGGGAAGAAGATCACAGATGAGTACCACTACAGTTCCACTGTGCGAGTGGGAAACCGTTTTGAGATCTCTGGACAAGGTAGGGTTTCATTTCTCTGCCTTCGTTTCGCGCGCTGCATCTAACGGTTGTGTAGGAGGATGGGATCCTAACAGTGGCGAGATATCAGGAAATCTGACAGCAGAGGTGGACCAAGCCTTGGCCAATGTCGATCTTGCGTTGAAGCAGGCTGGAAGCAAGGGTTGGCCTGAGGTCTACAAGATCACCATGTTCTATACAACCGATGAGGTTTTGGGTGTTTGGCAGCCGCTTGCAAAGAAGTGGTTCCCAGACCACAGGCCAATCCTCACCGCTATTGGCGTTCGAGCGTTAGGCCTTCCGGCAATGCATGTGGAGATCGAAGCTGTTGCTGTTGAATCAACGTGAGGACTTCCTGTTCCCATGGGGGTTCTTGATGGTACGTGAACAACCATCATATACGACTTAATTGACTATTATGTATTAAAACCCTGCATTTAGGCTATTTTGGACTGCTCGCACCAGTGCGAAAGTTTTAATGATTTGCTACGGGCAGCTATTCTGGCTGCGGAGCGTCACAAACCCCATATTGTGTTAACTATCAAGCCTAGCACCGCTTCTCACTTCAACGGCCATGGGAGGAGAGAACATTTTGGGCCTATAAAGGTCGCCAAGTGAACGAACGAATACTTTCGTCAAATTTTTGGGGTCGTTGTCTGCAAGAGACCGCGCAAAAGTTAAAGGCCACATTTAAAACTCATAGAGGGAAGACTAGCCCTGCGACATTCGTTCTCAGAAATAAGTTATACAATTGGCATCTATTGCGTATGAGTAAAGCAAAACGACGATCGGGTTTACCAGTCGAAGCTAGAGATTTCTGTCTCGCCTATAGATCCAGCCAGACCCGCCACGTGCACCGTGAGCGGCTATACACGGTGACGGCTGCTTCACGTACGCAAGGTTATGATCAGGCAATTATGTAGCACGAGTAGATGCCCGCTTTCAGCATTTCCGGGACCGGCCATTTGACAATTCATATGGCTGGCCAGACAGGTGGGCACGGGACGCGAACACAATTGCGGCTTGCTGGTTGTCGTTCCGCGCTCAAAGTGGCTAGATGCCGTGGGAGACTAGCCTGTGGGAAATTTTCCGTGAATCGGGCGAAGTTACCAATCAAACGACGGAATGCGGCAAGGGAAGCCGCACAAGCACTGTGCAATATTTCCTTTTCGCAATGTGACATTTGGCGCAAGGCAAATGATTATGCTGAAATACAATAACCCAATAACCCTCCTATTGAGTATTTATTCCATTGGTAAGACCCATGATGACTACTAGTTGACGTAGGAAGGAATCTTCAACGGGCTTCCATTCTTGAATCATATTGAAACATTTTGACCACCAGGCACGTTGTCATTTCATTAGAATGTCGTCTTACATTATCGCATGCATAGTGCTTACCAGCACTGTTGCGGCTCAGCAGCCGGCCTGGGCTCAATGTGGTGGGCAGGGACATACTGGTGACGTTAGCTGTATCTCCGGATACACATGCGTTTCTTTGAACGATTATTATTCTCAGTGCCAAGCATCATCTACAACCTTATCAACGGTCACAGTGACGACAGCTCACACTGCGCCCGCCGCAACCTCCTCTACAGTTACCATAGCAGGAGAATTTCAATTTCTGGGCCGAGTCAACCCAGCAACAAGAGAGCTGAGCTGGCCAGGAGCGGGCCTAGCATTCAATTTCACGGGGACTTCTGCTTCCATCAGTATCTCGGCCGTGAGTGGTTCAGTCAGTGCTGATTTGAGCATTGACGGCGCCGAGCCGATCGTCATTCCAAACGTTGAGGGCACCTCCATCTCTACTCCGCAAGGCCTAACCTTGGGGGTCCACACCGTCGTATTACGTAAACGTTCTGAGCCGGAGTATGGCTCAGTGATTATTGGCAACGTTACCGTTGACGGGATTCTTGGAGCGTATGCGGTACCGACGCGTCGTATCGAGATTATCGGCGACTCAATCAGCGTTGGGTACGGACTCGATGGCACAAATCCTTGCACGAACAACGCTTCTGTGGAGAATAATCCGAAGACATATGGTGCACTGGCTGCTAAGGCACTGGGAGCAGAGTATAGTACCGTCGCATGGAGCGGAAAAGGGCTTGTTCGCAATATCGCTATCGGGGCACCAGACACGAGTCCATTGATGCCGGAGCTCTACACTCGATACGGCGCGAATGATGCAGACAGCAGCTACACGTTCCCAGCGGCAACTGCCCCAAATGCAGTTGTTATAAACCTCGGCACCAACGACTTCAGCTATATCGCTTACACATCATCCGGAGAGCCGTACAATGCGCGGGAGCCGATCAATGCCTCCACCTTCACCGCCGGGATGGTGTCATTTGTCCAAAATATTCAAACACACTACCCCGATGCGCACTTCTTCCTGCTGAATTCTCCGATGCTCAGCGACTATTGGCCTACTGCCGCTGATGCGCAAAAGTCCACACAAACCAGCGCTATTAAGGCCGCCATCACACAGCTAGGTGGCTCGAATATTCATTTTGTGGACTGGCCTACGCAGGGATCAGACGTCGGGTGTGATTATCATCCTAATGCTGATACACACGCGGCTGAAGGTACCGTTTTGGCAGAAGCCATAGGCGCTGCGCTTAACTGGTGATTGACGAAAATATCTACACGTTGAATCATATGTACAACATCAGATTTATGAACAAAGCTCGACTTCTCAGTCTGTTGTAATCAGATTACATAGGCCGCCAAAGATGTGTGATAGGAATGGCGGTGTCCTGAAAACACGAAAGGGAGAGGGAGAAAGAGTTATCGAGGATCTGCTGGTAGACCTAGCATGGAGCGAGAGAGAGCATCAAATAAGTGACAACCAACAACCTGCCTTGGAATCAAGTGGTAGTTTCTACTATTACAGTTACTTAAGATGAACGATCGAGGTGGAATACAAGCCACTCTCAAGCACACCCCCCCCCCCCAAATAATTGTGCGGCTTTTGAAGGCACGAAACATAAAGAGCGCATATAAAATGTGTTTCATGCATTATGTTATGTTACTCTCAACATGATGTTAAATCTTGCTAACTAATTTCTGCGAATAATTGTCCCAATCCACCTTGTGCCCAGCTTGGAATTCCCTGACACCATAATTTCCCGGAGCACCAGGCCTCATCATTTCACCAAAGAGACCTTTGATGGCCTCGTCTTGTTCATGATGCCCTCCATTGACCCATCCGGTTCGTACCAGCTCCTTGCACATTCTTGATGCATCTGAAGAAGCAATTTTGAGAGCAGAGATCAAGGAATCCAAGCAACGCTCCAATTGGTCGGGATCTTCAGTCACACGAATAATAACTCCCTTGGATTGCAACTCTTCTGGAGAAACAGGCCGACCAGTCAGCATTGCTTCGCGACTTAGCGGAATTCCCCATTCGCGTACGATATATTTCGATATCGTTGCTGGACACAAACCTAGCTTCACTTCACTCAGCGTGACCGAGGCTGATTTCGCGCAGAGCCGAAGGTCACAGGCAAATGCGAGCCCGACCCCTCCACCAAAGGCAGGCCCATTCAATGCCGCGATTGTTACTTTGGGACACCTATCAATGGAATTAAACAACCGAGAGAGTCTATCCAGCTGAGAGTCTGTAGTTGGACCGCTAGTTCCAACGGTTGTGCTGCGTCTCCCAAGGTCCATGCCAGTGCAGAAAAACTTGCCGTTCCCGGTTAAAGCAATGCGATGGACCGTGGAGTCGTTAGACGCGTCAAGGAAGACTTTGACCAAGTGTTCAATCATGGTGACGGTCAACGCATTTCCATTGTGCGGGCGGTTCATTGTGACTTTGAGATTGACTCCACACCGATGCACAAGCAAGCCGTCCGTCTGCTGCGTTAAGATCCAAGGCAAGGCTTCCCTCTTGGCCGTTGGCGGATTCGTCGATGTTGAAGATTTAGAACACTCAGCATTGCCCTTGACCGCTAGAGCTGCTCCGGCTCGGCTTGCTGTTTTCCTAGATAGACTCCTAGAGATCCAGTCGCCTATTGTCATCAACTTTTGGAGGTTGATACCTGTTGATATTCCGGCTGTTTCGAACATGTAAACCAGGTCTTCAGTTGCCACGTTTCCCTGTGCACCTGGTGCGAAGGGGCAACCTCCCAAGCCTGCAACACTACTATCGAAGATACGAAGGCCACACCTGTGAGCTTCCCATACATTGGCAAGGGCTTGGCCATAGGTATCGTGGAAGTGGCCGGCCAGCTTATGGAGAGGAATATCATTGTTGGCGAGAAATGCAATCAGTCGTTGCACATTGGCTGGCGAACCCACCCCAAGAGTATCACCTAAGCTAACCTCGTAACAGCCCATTTCCATGAGCTTTTGTACGACTATTAATACTGCTTCTGGTGGAGTCGGCCCATCGAATGGATCGGAAAAGATGCATGAGACGTATCTATTCGAGCAACAATCAATAACCATTTGATCACTACCCGAGAACAACAAGTCCTTATCAATGCTTACCCTCTGACCTCTAGTCCTTGAACCTTGGCTTCTCTTGCTGCCAACTTGGCTCTTTCAAGCCCTTCTTTGACCGTGCAGTTGGTGTTGGCTTTGCTGAACCCCTCTGAGGCGCTAACAAAGACGGCCAAGTGTTTCGCCCCACACCGCACGGCGGTCTTGACGCCATTGAGATTCGGAACAAGCACAGGCAGTCGAAGCGAGTCATTCTGGAGCATTGATCGAATTGATGGGCTACTGAGTATTTCGTGTCCATCCTTAAGTTGAGGGACAGCCTTGGGGGAAACGAAGGACGTGAGTTCGATGTTTCGTAGACCAGCGTCATGCAACCGATCTATGAGCCGGAGCTTAACCTGGGTCGGCACTTGTTGCCGAATGTTTTGCAGTCCATCCCGCGGGCCAACTTCAACGATTGTCACAGCACGTTGCATGGCTATAGGGAAGGGAAATTACCGATACAATAAGGCACAAGTAAATGCTGTATTTCATCTTTTTCTATATGCATGGTACATTTCGCTGTTTTTTCAACTGTCGAAGAACAGGAAGCTTCTTGTGACTGGCGGCCCGCGCGGACCGGCCGGTGGTGAGTGGGGAGACATTTTGTGCATCGCCTGCTATGTGGCAAGGCGGCTTTGGCCAGTAAGTACGGCTGAGTTACTGCAGCACCACCCGATACATGATTTACTTCTGTATTAGCGTTCCATGAAGATAGATACAGAATGTAGCCTTTCCAAACTTACATGTTTTGTTCCCAAGTAAGTTGGCAATGAAACTGCTTGTTATCATAATGTGAAGTTCGGTCCGTCCGGTCCGACGCCAAGCACAGGCCCTGTACTCAAGTTGGTACCATACCCTCTTCTGATAGCAAGTGTCATTGAATTGGAAATTCGACTCCTGAGAACGTCAACATCAGACATCCACGATGGCGCCGTTACATCAGTACCCTGTCGGGCAGTCAGCTTTAGATCTACGCAGCGATCGGCTCAGACAGAATAGGGAAAAATGGGTTCCTGTCCTTCAAAAATTCGAAAAGGCTCTAAATGATGTGAGCAGCGAAGGTACCGAGGCTTCGCTCTCACGACACCAGAGCCGCGGCCAGTTGCTCCGTATGTGCGATCAAAAGATTTTTTCTGTAGGTCAGAACTAATGTACTGTCTTCTTAACCAGCTCGGGATAGAATTGCTCTACTCCTTGACCAGGGATCTCCATTCCTAGAGCTTTGCTCCTTTGCGGGCTACGGGAATCGGGACTCTACACCGTGCGCAAACCTGATTGCTGGGATTGGAACTGTCAGGTACGCATCTCGAATACCTAATTGCAAGATGCCCAAAATTCTAATTTCTGAAGTGGAACAATATGTCTTTTGATGTCACATATTCCAACACAAAGTGGGGGAGCCTGGAATGAAATGACTGGTGAGCAAAGTAGCATACACATTGCAGGCTTTGAAGACTAAACTGATTCTGATTGCAGTGATAAAGGTCAATCGTATGTTAGAAATAGCTACCGAGAATGACCTGCCCTTGATTTCTTTGGTTCAATCGGTAAAGTTTGAAAGCCTGAGCGCGCTTTGGTATTTCCCCTGACATCTTGTTTTAGGCTGGTGTGTTCCTGCCTCAGCAATTCCGAGTTTTCCACAAAGGGGGTCAGCTTTTCCGCGATCTGGCGCTGAGAACGATGCAAGGAAAGCCATCCTGCGCAATTGTGTTTGGATCATCTACAGCAGGAGGTGCCTACCACCCCGCATTGTCGGATTATACCATATTTGTTGAGAATCAAGCACAAGCCTTCCTAGGTGGTCCACCGCTGGTCAAGATGGCGACTGGGGAGATTATTGAAGCTGAGGAGTTGGGGGGCGCACGAATTCACGCGGCCCAAACCGGACTGGCAGACCAGATTGCAATAGATGAGTGTGTAACACGTTTTCAGGATTTGACGGTATATATGCTAACGTAGGTATTGATAGGTTTGATGCAATCCACAAAGCCAGGGATTGGGGTGCTTCTCTGAAACCTCGATTATATCGCGTCCTTCACGAAGTCAACCAAGCCCGCATTCCACGATATCCAGTGGAAGATCTACTGTATCTCGTTAATCCTGATATTCGAAAGGCTTTTGACATGAGAGAGGTCATATTACGGATCGTCGACGACTCTCGTATATCGACATTCAAGCCCCAGTATGGACCAAATATGCTGACAGCGTGGGCTCATATCATGGGTATTACCATTTCCACTTTGGAAAAATGCTTTGAGCTTACAATTTCACAGGACATCGGGTAGGAATCGTGGCCAATCAGGTCTCAATCATCAATCCCCATGAAGCAGCCAAAGCTGCTCAGTTCGTCCGGCTCTGTAATCAAGAGCAAGTTTGCATCTACTCCATAAATCGCAGCAGTGTGACTAACGTGGGGCGCTTTCGCAGGTGTAGTCCGATCGTCTTTCTCCACAACGTCACGGGGTTCATGGTAGGTGCCAAGTCCGAACACGCTGGTATAATTAAGATTGGGGCCCAGTTGGTGTCTGCAGTTTCATGCTCACAGGTACCTCACATTTCGATTATCATGGGCGCTTCCTATGGAGCCGGTAACTACGCTATGTGCGGAAGAGCGTACAAGCCCCGCTTCATCTTCACTTGGCCCATTGGAAAGTGCAGCGTTATGGGACCAGATCAACTCGCTGGCGTCATGGAACAGATACGAATGGCAAAGACCGAAGGAACTAATAGCAGTGTGCCCGAGGAGAATTTGAAGAAAGCAACCAACGACTTCCGAATCCAGGCACAGAAGGACGCAGAAAGCTATGCCACTAGCAGCATGATAATTGATGATGGGATCATTGATCCAAGAGATACTCGCGATGTACTGGGGATGTGCTTGGATATTGTTTCAGACAAGGAAATTGCAGACAGGGATGGAAGTAGGTTTTTAGCCAGGATGTGATATAGGCAGCCGAGCGCTCTCACGAGTACTCTTACATTTCGCTTGTTCTCTCCAAGTAGCACAATTCCATCGATTTGTTGTGTTATCTGTGTGACTTTCATGATTGTAGTCCTAATTAAGATCAATCAGTCAGCATACCAATATACCCGGTCTGCGGAGATATCTGAAAGAAGCCTTTCGCGGACTTCAGGTTGGTTGAAAGGACCTTGCACTTTTGGACGGACGCATTAAGTTCTTCGCCACGGCGCAGAGATGCTAGGCCCACCATCGGTCCGCAACTCACCCAGATCCTGGCAATTGGCGGTACTGGACCGGACCGGGCCACCGGTTGCCTCATAATTGCAGCGCGCAAGGCAGCTTTAAGCACCAGCTATAGTACCATCGCTTCCAAGTTATACTGAATCTACTCCAAAACATGTTTAACCGATCGGTTTAGCCACAAGGATACCTTCCACGATGCCTTCCACAGAAATCGAAGACCCGACTCTTAGCGCCATGCCGGCTCGGGAACGTTTGTTTGTTGCGCCGCTACCAGTCAACCCTGTCACAGGGTTGCCGTTCATCCAGAAGCTTTTCATTGCAAATCGTGGGGAGATAGCGTGCCGCATAATTGCGACATGCCAAAAGCTCATGGTCCGAACTGTTGTTGCATATGTCCTGGAGTAAGACGACCACAGTACAGACTGATTAATGTTGATGGGACTAATATGATATAGGGATCAACAGTCACAGCATGTGGACGAAGCTGATGAGATAATCTGCTTGGGTAGCATGGGGGATCATGCAGGGAACCCCTTTCTGAACATTGATTTGCTCGTCAAGACGGCTGTGGATGCTGCCGCAGACGCCATTCACCCAGGCTATGGCTATTTGAGTGAGAACGCTGGCTTTGCAGACAGAGTTCGTCAAACCGGACTGATATTTATTGGGCCCAGCTCCAGTGCAATGTCAACACTTGGGGACAAGCGGCGATCTAAAGAATATCTCTCAGAGAAGGCGCCGCACGTTCCGCTGATCCCTGGATTCAAGGGGTCCAGTCTTGATCTTGAAGACCTCCTGACTTCCGCAACAAACATCGGATTTCCAGTCATGCTCAAGGCTTCAGCGGGCGGAGGCGGAAAGGGCATGCGTGTTGTCCGAGAAGCGTCCCAACTATCGGGCGAATTAGCTCGTGTGCAGTCTGAGGCAGAGAGATCCTTCGGATCTACCGATTGCATATTGGAGAAGTTCATTGAAAAAAGCAAGCATGTCGAGATTCAGATCATGGGAGACTCACACGGAAATGTCATCAGCTTCTTCGAGCGGGACTGTTCTGCACAGCGCCGACATCAGAAGGTCATTGAGGAGACACCTTGCGAATTCCTGACAGACGAGTTGCGGCAAGCGATGTCTCAAACAGCGCTTACTATTGCCAGCTTTATCGGTTATGATAATGCGGGAACTGTTGAGTTCGTCGTCGATGTTGAGACGTGCAAGTTCTTTTTCCTCGAGGTCAACGCGCGGTTGCAAGTTGAACACCCCATCACTGAGGAGGTCACGGGTACCGACCTCGTAGCATTACAGCTTTATGTTGCTGCTGGTGGAAATTTGAAAGAACTGTCCAACTTGCAGCAAGTGAAGCAAACTGGACATGCCATGGAATGTCGACTCTGCGCTGAAGATCCGTCGCGTGATTTCTTCCCAGAACATGGTACAGTTCAACTTTGGCGACCATACGACAGTACTGCTTCCTCAAACGGATATGTTCGTCACGAGACAGCGCTGAGGTCTGGATCCTCTATTTCTATCTATTTTGACTCCATGGTAGCGAAGGTTGTAGTGTGGGCGCCGACGAGGACGGAAGCAATTCAGAGAATGATTCTGGCACTGAAGAATCTTGCTTGTGTCGGTATCAAGACGAATCAACTATTTCTTCAGCGGTGCCTGGAACATCCCTACTTTCATGATTTGCGATACACCACATCATTTATACCCCAAAACTTGGATCAGTTGCTTCGAATCAGGAGGCCAAAGAAAGCCCGCTTTGCCGAAATCATCATATCAGCCTTATGTTTCCGTTTCACTTCAAGAATGGAAAGAATCAATTCTGGGTCTCGAATTCCATTTGGGAATGTGCGCACCCACTTTCGCACCCAGCGCTATGATCCTGTCAGTGTCAATGCAGACGTCATCGTACCTAGCCACGCTGAAAATCCACTACTATGTTTATGGAAATCCGACGTTCCGAACTCCGCTTTCCAGGATGGGGAGGTCAAGATCATAGAGCTTCTGGAAGCATCTAAAGCTTCGACGCCGGACGATGCTGACCAAAACAGTTGGTCAAGCCCTGCCAAAGCCACAGTGAATCAGTACAACAAGATCAGCAACATGCTCCGAAACGAAAGGCATGGCCTGCAGCCGTTGGTGAGGTTCAAACTGCACAGGTTTGAAGCCATCGCACGGCTTACATCCGCATTCAACAACTTCCCTTGCCAATCAGCAAAAGTTGAGATTAGTCTAGACGAGACAAAGTTTTGGGCATATTGTGTGGTGCCGGATAACCGCTCAGACAAGCTAGAGCAACCGCAGGAAATCCTCTGCCACTTTCCCCATGTAGGAGAATGGCTCGGTTTCCAGCGGCATACTCTGTTGTCGTATAGTGAAAGTCGACGTGAGCTGGTAAAGGCAGAAAACAAGAACGAGTCAAACGAGATAGTAGCCCCCATGCCATGTAAAGTACTTTCAATCCAGAAGAAGAATGGAGACCATGTGGAGTCTGGAGACGAGGTGATGGTGATTGAGAGCATGAAGATGGAAGTTTCCGTTAAGGCGACCAGAGCAGGACTATTCGAAACGACATGGGTAGAACGAGACTCTGTTAGCGAAGGCCAGGCACTATGCCGTGTCTTGTAGCTGTGCGGCATCAATAGAATCAATGAACCGGTGGGTCTTCACTTCCAAATTATGGCTACCTCTCCGTGTAGAGAATAGTGATCAAACTAGTTCAGAGCTAACGAAAAACCATGGTTCGATAAAGCAATACAATACGAATCACTCTACATCAGATCAAAGCATTAGAATATGACATTAACATTATATAGCAAAATACCGGAGTTTGAAATTATCCTTTTAATATTATTTGGTTGGAATACCAATAGGGGTCCAGCGTTTAGATATAGGACTTTTTCAAAGCACCCAAAATATGATCAGAGGGCCAAATTATCAAACCGGTGATCCGTGTTACTTTAGTCTACCGGTGTGCCTTTGTTGCGCGAGTTCACGACACCTTCAAGCCGTTTTCGTAGTCGAAAGCATCCTAGCGTCATAAATACAGATGAGAATGACATCATCAACGCAGCAGCAGACCTAGGCATGATAAGCTAATCGTCAGCACTTCAAAAGTTGAAAGAGCAGCGGAGTCAGTTCTCACTTACGGCGACAATGACATGTTGAAGGGAGCGAACAGTCCAGTAGATAGACTCAATGAGACAATATTGTAGGCTAAAATCCAGGAGAGGTTGAATCGGACTTGACTCATAGTCATCTTGGCTATGTTGTACAGCTCAAGGACAGACTGGAGGCTTGAGTTCACGATAATGACGGCACCACCAATAGTACTGATGGTCGTATCCTTCTGGAGGCCGATACCTACTCCAGCCGCAGAAAGAGATGGAGCATCATTGAGCCCATCTCCAACCTGCAGCTGATATTAGTAGCCAAGTCCTCGAAGTCTATGCAGAGAGTCATACCATGGTCACGATATCGCCAGACCTCTGTAAAGCTTGGATACATTCTCGTTTCTCATCCGGCAGCGCTTGTGCTTTGATGATGGGAATGCCTAACTTCTGGGAAACGCGCGAGGCAGATTCTTGGGTGTCTCCAGTGAGCTGGGAGGCTTAATATCAGTATACAGCACTCCAGATGTTGGTGAGACATTCTACCGTACCATTCCACACTCGTAACCAGCTGCAACAAGACTCTGCACCACATAGTGCGCTTCATCTCTGATAGAGTCCTAGAGTTTGGTCAGTCCCGCCATTTAGAGATGCATAGGTTTCTAACAGAAACAAGAAATGTGCCGGCGTATGCCATGTCAATCCCCATATGAACAACAATCATGCCTGTGTTGTCCATGGCGAGCTTTTCCGGGACGTCAGTAACTCCGGTGTCCATGAGATACCGAGAGTTTCCCATAACAATATTCCTCCAGGGATGTTTCCCTAACTGGACCTCACCCATAATACCTTGGCCAGAATCGCATACCAAGTTGCGATATCTGCGAAGATGCTGGTTTTCTGTCCATGCTGGTCCGAGCTTTCGCAATCCAGAACTAAAGATGGCTCGGGCAATAGGATGCTGGTTGATTACTTGACTCTCTACCGTGCAGGCATACTCCCAAAGGATGCTTCCTTGATTCACCCATTCGGGCAAATAATGGAAGTTTTCCACATGAAGCTTGGCTTGTGTCAGTGTACCAGTTTTATCAAATACAACCTTCTGAGACATCTCGAGCTTTTCAATAGTGTTTATACCTCCGGTAACGATAATTCCTTGCCGACAAGCGGTGACTATCCCGAAGACAGTCAGCAAACATAGGAGCAAACGATCTCTGCAGCCGAATCAACATACCAACGGCAGCAACCACGGCTGAAGGTATTGCGAGGTTTACGGCACAAGGGCACGCGCTCGTAAGAATCGTGACCGTTTGCGACACCCATTGATAAAAGATGTCGTACATTGACACGTTACCAATGAGGGGATACAGTTTGATCAAAGGTATTGTGAAGGATAGGCCTATTACGACTGCAACGAAATGCCTCGTGATGGTGTTGAGTAGCCTATGGTTCTCAGTAGACTCGGAGCTGGATTCTGCGGCACTTTGCACCAGCTTGGTGTAGAATGAAGATCCTTTCTCTCTCTGAACAACGCATACCAGGGGACTGGTCAAGTTCCTAGTTCCCCCAAGTAGATAATCGCCTACATGTTTCTTCACAGGAAGAGATTCTCCAGTAACAATCGACTGTCCAATAAGAGAGGAACCTTCAAGCACGTAGGAGTCGCAGGGAATGACCGAGTGTGGTTCGACCAAAATCTTATCAGCCGGCCTAAGATATGAGGTTGGTACCCTCTTGACGACGATTAGTTGCTATTAACTACTTCATGAAGGGATTTGCCTGTCCTACATACCTCCATCGTTGGATGCAGCAATGCAAAGTCAGTCTCCAGGATGGGCTTGTAAATCTGAGCCAGGTCTTTCGATGCCGCACGTCGAGACAGGATGTCCACATACTTCCCTGAAACAACGACAAGAGCAATGCCGACTGCCATTGAATAGTAAGAGATTGATTGTAGCCCCGTACTCGCAAGCCAATCCATGCATGGGAGAAGTGATCCGAGGCCCATTGACAGCGAAGTCAAAGTGTTCATATTCATACGGCCACCTCGTAACCATTTCCAACCATCCTGGTGAATCCAGTATACCGGAATAAATTGTACGTATAGTATGACGATAATGGATGCGGTGTGTAGACACCACCTCAAGCATTGAACAAGGGTTGATCGTCCAGGCAGAAGATAGAGGCAAAAGGTTAATGCCTGGAGCAGCGTAGCACAGCGGCCAATGTGAGACAATGTAGACCCAAGATGATCCGTTTTGTCTCGATATTGAAGAAGCTCAACTATCTCTCGTGGAGATCGAGGGCCGGGTTGAGCATCATAGCCGATACTGCGGATACTTTGAAGTATAAGATCTTCATTTAGATCCTTGTTGCTGTTGCCTATCACAGTTGCCTGCTGAAGAGTCAATGATACTCTAACTTTGGCAACACTGGGTAGTGCCAGTAGTGCTTCTTCAACCGCGCTGGTGCAGGATGAGCAGGTGAGACCTCCCAGTGACAGGGTAAGCGATGACCCAGATGCCGCGCCGGCCTGTAGTTTTATTTCGAGGCCTGGATCGGGCGCGTCTGGCCCAAGTGTCGCCTTGTCTTCGTTATACTTAATATTATCGCCGATATCCAAGAATTGACATGCTTTAATCAAATGGTTGATACAAAATGCTGCAATGTAACAACATGCCATGATGTCGCGCTGCTGATGCTGGCGTGAAGCTGGACTGGACAATGACCCGCCACGAACCGCTTGAGCTTGTTTGCATGAAGTTGTGCTTGCGTGTCGAAGTGGAGGCTAGTAATTGTGCGATGGGCTGCCATCAACCTGCCTCTCATCGTCAAATCAACAAGGTCTATCATGGCGGCACAGCACCATGCGGGTCGGCGCAACAGAGTGCTTGTCCGGACTTGTGGGCGGGGCCGTTTTCGTTCCGCACTGCGGACCGTCTTGCGGGCTAACCCAAGGCGGGTTTCCCGCTCGACATGCAGTGTTTTCAAGCCACGCGCTTCCAATAGGCTGCTAGGAAACGCTGCACCGCTGAATCCGCGGACGCCAATGTTACACAAAACTTGCTTTCTCTACATAGAAGTACTCGGATATACTTGGTGACAGTGTCTTGCCAACGCTCCAGATAGTGTCCTGCTGGGTGCTGACAGCCACTATTACTTGAGAATGGACAGGAGTCTTCGTGGGGCATGTAGCCTGGACATCCTCCGCAGTGAACAGTAGGAATTTTCCATGTGACAACTACGCAAATCCGAAGCATCTTCAATTTTCCCAATACTTCGAGGGAACATGCGCCATGATACTGAGAGGGTATGTGCCAGTCCTTGCCGGTTAGGACCCACGTTAAATGGTCTTGCCATGACCACAGCGGTCCGATGGAACCGGGGCTCCGCCTCAAACCATCAAGATTGTTCAAGCTATCGGGAGGCTCAAGATCCATAAGAGCTAACCACAACAGTCTAAGAAACTCATTAGAAATTTGGTGAAAGACGAGAACATTTATTTCAATTTGTAGGTTGACCAAATTTCCAGCAGCCCACAGACACATTGGCAACAATGGCCACACAAACAACGACACAAGAAGGTGCTGCCATTGTTGTAGGACCCCGAACCCCGGTACTATGGAGCAAGACGCTGGGAACCCTCATTAGGGAGCAAGCAGCCAAGCATGGAGACAAGGATGCAATCGTAGTTCCATGGCAGTCGACACGCATGTCATACCGACAAGTTGAAGACCGTAGCAAGTTAGTCGCAACAAGCCTAATATCAATGGGTTTACAGCATGGTGACGCCATTGGGGTGATGGCAGGAAACCGCGTTGAATACGTTGAAGTCTTCATGGGCGCCGGCAGAATAGGCTGCCCAGCTGTAGTGTTGAACAACACGTATTCCGCAGAGGAACTTCGCCAAGCACTCGCACGAGCCAGTATGTTCTCACATGATTGGGATACAATCCGAGTTACTAAAGAGAACAGATTGCAAAATGCTCTTTATCGCAACACGAATCGGAACCAGATCACTACGTGGGCACATCGCCAAAGCTCTCGGGGCTTGTTGGCCACAAACTGATTTGCGACATGTTGTCTGCTTTGGAGATGCCCCAAATGTTGCTGAGGTCAGCATTCAAACGTACGCATCTTTCCTGCAGGGCTTACCGTGCCCTATAATCGAAGAAGCGAGGTTGGAAAGTATCGAAGCGAGTGTACTGAACTCAGATATTTTGAATTTACAATTCACATCAGGTACGGAACCTTCAAGCTGACGTGACTCGTTTCGGAAACTGAAGCGTAAATAAAATACAGGTACAACCGGCATGCCCAAGGCAGCCTGTCTCACCCACCAGTAAGGACACAATGGTCATATCAGTCTACTTGTTATTTTCTAAGTTTTATACAGCAACATAATCAACAACGCCCGATTCGTTGGGTCCGCCATGAAACTTACCTCCGATGATGTAGTTTGCTGCCCTCCACCTCTATTCCATTGCTTTGGACTGGTGATGGGCCTCCTTGCAAGTTTCTGCTACGGTAGCTCGATCATGTTCCCATCAGACAACTTTAGCGCGGAATCTACCATACATGCTGTCGTCCAGCACAAAGCTACAGCGCTGCTTGGAGTACCCACAATGTTCATATCTGAGCTGGCGGTCGTGAAAGAGAAGGGATACGAGCTAACAACAATCCGCACCGGCCTTGCCGCTGGCGCCATGGTTCCTTCCAAACTTATGAAAGACATCCGAGAGCAGATGAATATCGAAGGAATGCTAATCGCCTACGGTATGACCGAAACAAGTCCTGTCACCTTCATAACCTCTATAGACGATAGCCAGGAAAAGCGATTTACAACCATAGGACGAGTCTTTCCCCACACTTCAGCGAAGGTGGTCAATAGTCGGGGAGACGCCTTGCCATTTGGACAACGGGGAGAGATCTGCACGTCGGGATTTGCACTCCAGAAAGGGTACTGGAAAGATGAAGAAAGGACGAAGCAGGTAATGAGACCGGATGAGAACGGGGTCATTTGGATGCACACTGGAGATGAGGGCTTCATTGGTTCAGATGGATATGGTCGTATTACAGGTAGAATCAAGGATCTTATCATCCGAGGTAGGTGGCATGCTCGGCAGTGGACTGGCCGCTGATTCCCTGACCGTCAAGGCGCTTACATGGCATAGGCGGCGAAAACATATCACCTAGTGAGATCGAAGATCGACTCCTGGAACACACATCTATCGGGGAGAGCTGCGTCGTTGGTCTTGAGGATCACAAATACGGTGAGGTCGTTGCGTGCTTCCTCAGTCAAGCTCGAGGGGCATCTGAGAGACCATCAGACGCCAACGTGCGGAGCTGGGTATCACAAAAGCTTGGACGCGTCAAGGAGCCGCACTACATCTTCTGGGTCGGGGATCCTGGTACCGGCAATGAGATCCCTAAGACCGGTAGTGGAAAGTATCAAAAGCATCTTGTTCGTCGACTTGGAAATCGGCTGGTCAAGGCGAGACGAAGTTGCTCGAACCCTAAATTATAAAAGAGCCACCGTACAAAAGAAGCGCCTTCACTGGTTCTCTTAACCGTTCTGGTTCATCTAGAGCAGCGTCTCCTGGATATTTCTTGATAGGAGATGTCAGACGTGCTCGCCTATAGTTCTATCTACCAAAGCTTCCTCCAAATCACAGAGCCGTATGTTCCGTGTGAGGGGCAGCCACTATTTATACTACCCGCATTGCCTAGGCATTTTGGGAGTGCTGCACTTCCATTCCGCTATTGTCCGACCCACACAGTATAACCTTATCCCACTGGAACCGATGCCATGTTCCGGCAACCCCGCACTCTTGCGTCTGCCCAGGTGATTTTGTGGATTGTATGTTCGTGCCCCATGGGGGACCCTAGCCGTTTCACTAGCTTCGCCCATATTATGACCCCTGTTGTTCCCCTCAGCTTCGGCTCAGCATAAGACACACTGTAGTGATGTGTACTTAACGGTATTACGCGTCTGGAGCTGAACTCTTACCTGCTCATTCCGCACCCCACTTGATTCAGAAGTTCTGATCCCATCCTTTCCCATTGATCAGAAGCCCTACGCCAAAATTCTGTTAAAGCGCAGCCAAACCTCAACCTGCCCAGTATGCCATGAGAGAAGATGTCTCCAACCCCCCCGAACCAGGTCCAGGCAAGGGGATCTCCCCCAGATTCGTCCGCTTGGCTGGGGTCAGATGGCCGCAACGCGACCATATCAGGAGCAATTCGCCGCATACGACAAGCATGCACCCACTGCCGGTACGTGTATTGATCCGCTCCCCGCTGTCATGGGACTGCGTGTCCCCGTTATCACTTCGTGTGAAACGGGCCCGAGCTAGGCTTGCAACGCCGCCAACTACCGTAGCAAGCAGCTTACAAAACACTTGTCCAGCCATCGAAAGACGAAATGCACGGGAGAGAAACCTCGCTGCAAGAACTGCCAAAGAGTTGATCGAAGTTGTCACTATGAGCCTTATTCACAAACGCGGCCCCCTTCGGTCATTCCTCCGGCATCGCAACTCTCCATGGCGCTCTCCTCTAAGTCACCCCGCCCGGAAGTTGCAAATGTAAGATAGTACTGCAAATGAGACCCAAGGTCACGCTTGAGAGCCCATACTAAAGTACAACAGCCTGAACTCCTGAAGAGAATCAAGCACATTGAAAGTCAGCTTGCTTGGCTAAATCAGATGGCTTGGCTGGATGACATTGGTCAAGTGGAAACGAGGTTTGTGACTTTAAACACGCATCCCTTTACAACTTATCCGAGTACATTGTCTGAATGTATGTGACCAGAACGAGTCCTATCGCCGTTGATCAAGTACCCAACACCCCATCTGCCGCTACCTCCGTGTACCCGAGAACACAAAGGCCGAGGCCCCCGCGAGACTCCACTTCACCACCCGAGCGTCGATTGTCGCAGAGCGTACCACATTCTGCGGAATTGGACGCAGCTAATATTCCGTGAGTCTAGATCACTCCAGCTGGGATAAATTCAATCGGTTTGACTTGATAAAGACGTTTTTCAACCTTACCACCTCACTCAGTAATGCAGTCCCTGATCGATACTTATTTTCTCCACGCCCACAACCAACCCTATTCGTATTTTCAAGAGGAGAGCTTTCGGGAAGGACTCGCTTTTGGCCAGCTACCAAAATGCCTGGTGTATGCGGTTCTCGCAACCGCACTCAGATTCTCCAATGATGCATATTTTAACGGTGCGAAAGATCAAGCCACTGAGGCCTATGCCCGGGAAGCCTGGCTCTCCGTTCTAAACGACCACATGACGGCAGAGAATTGTCCAAACTTGCACGTCGCCCAGACGACCAATCTGTTGGCCATCATAGACTTCACAGGTAAGCCAATTGTGTGGCTAGCGCATTCCCTCCCGTACTAACGCAGAATGAACACGAGCAGCTGGGCGGACCAGTTCTGGGTGGCTCAAGATTGGTCTTGCTGTACGCATAGCCCAAGATTTGCAACTGATGAAAGAGCCATCTGGCACATCCTCCGTTGTTGAACAAGAGAAATGTAGGAGGGTTTTCTGGTCGATATATCTTCTTGACAAGCTTGTTTCTTGTGGCAGAAGTCGACCGCCTGCTATTCACGATGAGGATTGCCAAGTTCAGCTACCATGTGACGAAATGGCCTTTCGCAACGGATATGCCCAAAGAACAGCAACCCTTCATCAGGTTTCCAGCTGGACTGCGGAGTCGAACCACATTGGTGGTAACTTCGCTCTCGCCATCTTAGCGGCATCGGCTCTTGGGCGGTGTGCACGATACGTCTTGCACCAACGAGAAACTGACGAGTTGGCTCCCTGGGACTCGAGATCTGAATTCGCCACTATCAACACATACTTGCTCCTTGTCAGTCACCATTTGCGGGTTGAAAGCATGTCCGTCGACGACATTGTTCAGAAGCACCAAAAGACAGACGGCTCCCTGGACTGCCAAGACGCAGGACATATGTTATTCTCCCATGCGGTGTTTCACCTATGTTACTGTCTTCTCAACCATCCTATTTTGCTGCTGCTTCGACTTCAGAAACTTAACTATAGGGTTCCCGCAAATTTCCTAGTGCGATCTCTACACACTAGCTGCGAGCATGCCAGCATGATCATAGATATCCTTGACCAAGCGGCAACAGCTGGCCTCCCCATCCGAGCCTCTTTCTACGCATATGCCACGACTTTGGCCGGCAGCATAATCACAATCGCCATACAAGCCGAAAATCAGCCAAGTCTATTATCAGTATCAAAGCTCCAAGAAAATAGCCAGCAAGCCTTGTCAATTCTCGAACGGATGGGACATGTATGGGAACATGCGTCGAAAATGGTATGACTGACAACTCACTTTCCCCTACCTTGTTGCACGTTTGATCAATTACTAAGGTTTGCTTTGCTTTCTTGCAGCATCAGCAACTGTTGTTATTCAATGCAAGCGATGTTGCATCCGAAATCCGCTTGGATTCCAGCCTGCCGCTTGATACCAGCCCTGGGCTAGAGGATTTACTATGGCCTATTGTTGACTATGGACTTATGTGTAGTAGACTCAAAGGATCTGAAGCCAAGGATGCGACTTCACGGCCGCCCCCTTTCGAAGAGGTCAATGGCTTTTCAGGCCTGGATTTCAACGTGGATATTGACTCCACCGAGGGTTTCTCAGGTTTTGGGACGGATGTTGCGAACACAATGGATCCTGACTACTACATGTCTAGCATAGAATGTCAACTGTAATCTGGAGGGTATTGTGACATGTCCGTAACCCAATGCCCAATGCCAAAGTATAGTGTGTTATTCGTCACGATGCACGCCTCCGAGAATGCTAGTGATCACGGATCGGAACGTATACCTCTCAGTCCTAGAAACGACCGCAGCCAAGTCTAACTTAAATGATCATCCAAGGCGTAACATCTGAGAGTAAACCAGCCTTGTCATCACGCAGATCACAAACCTTGGTTCAGAATGCTTCAGGCATTATCGCGAGCAAGTGATGTTTATTTAGCATAGAACGCGGCTTGAACATCACCTTACATCTGACTCAGGATTGTGTCGAGCAGTTCACATCACCCATTATCCGAACAATCCGTTCCTGAAGCCCGAAACTCACGGATAGAAGTCAAGCTGAGCCAGGCCAACAGAGCTTCCATACTCGAGGTCATAGCCGCTCCGGACCGTTCTGACACTATTCATGCCATGTACCCCAAGTGATAACCCCCATAACCTGGGGTCATCTCTTCCCATAGGCCTCTACCCCACACCCTATTTTAGTCCACAGTACAATGGTACGATTTCATCTTAAGGTACACTGTTATAACAAGCGGTCCGCTTTGCTTGCTCCAAATCATGCACTGGCTCTGGTTGGACACATAAAAGGGAACTGCTCTCCCATTTATTCACACCAATCCCTGCAAACAAACGGCATCTCAGGCATCGGTCCACTCACCGTAGTAACTTCACCTTACCTGGTTACTCAATCTAGCACTCATAATGACCGGTACACACAATGAATATGCTGTGGATAGCAAAAACCTGACCGATCTTGAGGCTGGCGGAAATGACGGACTCAGACAACTCCGCTCGGTCCAGAGTGTAAGCATGAGTCCTGAGCTGTTTGAAAAGTTGTATCTTTCTCCCCCAACCAAGGCTGCCGGAAATTTGAGGCGCACATTTGGAAACCCGACACCAATGTATGGAAAATTCAAGACAGTGTAACTTGTTTCGCCGTTTCTTGCTGATGTAGCACAGGGCTCTCGTCGGGTTTCTACTATCTCTCATGCCACTTTCGTGCGATCTAATGGGATGGCGTGGAGCCGGTGATTTTGGTGTCGCTACAATGTGCGTCAATCCCGCCTCTTTCTTCCCCTTGGGACATTGGCTATACTAACATTCGTGCCTTTCGGTTATCAGAGCCGTATACTTCTTTATGGGTGGTCTTCTGATGTTTCTAAGCGGTGTCTTAGAGTGGATCCTAGGAAATAGCTTTCCCGCGACCGTATTCTGTAGCTTTGGTGGCTTCTGGTTCGCGTTTGGAGGAACGCTCAACCCGACTTTCGGAGCATATAGCTTTTACGCCTCAGATCCCTCGAATCCCACAGCTGGACTTACAGCTGCAAGGTTCAATGCAAGTCTCGGTAAGTCCACCGGAAGCCCAAAGAAGCTGACTAGCCCATCCGATACCAATAATCACCTTTGCAGGTTTCTGGCTGGTAATTATGGGCATACTCGCTTTTCTGTACATGATATGCGCTTTGAGAACAAATATTGTCTTTGTTATTATCTTTCTGAGCTTATTACCAGCCTTTGGCTTGCTCACAGCTGCATTTTGGCTCCAAGCAGCGGATTTCGAAGGAAACACGGCCAAGGCCAACAACATGTTTGTGGTAAGCTATCTGCATCCAATTCACTTTGACCGCTCTTTCTTGAAATTGACTGAAATTTTTTCAAGGGAGCGGGTGCGAGTCTTTTTGTGACGTGCATTGCTGGTTGGTATATTCTCGTGTCCATCATGTTTGAGATAGTTGACTTTCCCCTACAATTACCTGTTGGAGACCTATCTACCATTATTAAGGGCAGAAATATGAGGAAGTAGGTAGTCGATTGGCAAGTCTACGGGCTATATCTCCAGGGGCATTCCATCAAACCATATTGCAACAACAAATGCGACAAGGGAGACCTGGGTGGATTTTGGAGATTTCCACGTGATGTGTATTCTAGCATGGCTTCTACCTTTAATCAACCTTCATCCGATAACAACCCCTCACGATGATTCATATATGATGTTAAATAGTAGGGAGCGATAGAAATTGCATGTATTCAACAAGAGCTTACTTATATTTGGGTATGCTATCGGTACGGGAAGTTACGATTGGTACATTAAAGAGTTAAACTGCCGTCAACGGTCATTCCCCCTGCAGTACAAATATGTAGTTCGCGACAAAAGACGAGTTATGCCCCGCATTCGTCATATCCGGACCAAGTCCCAGATTTTCGAAGCTGAGAAGGATCGCCTGTTGCCAGCAAGCAGTAAACTCGGGGAACCACTGACAGCGCAGCTGGTGTTAACCCCGCAAAGTCTAAACTACCCCCATGGTCTTGGCGATGGGCGGAATAAACGAACGGGGTCCGGACGGTCCCACAAAGACCCCGAGCGCGGTCCGTCGCTGGCTCTGCACGACGTTGGCTTACGCACTGGGAGGTCTGGGCTGGGGCGCGTGTAGAGGAAGTAGACAAGTCAAGTTCGTAAAATACGAAACATACAAATCAAGAAATCTGTACGGCCACTGCTTAGTCGTAAAGTATTGGTCTAGGCTGCTTACCGGGTTACCTCTTTCTTCTTCCCGCTGACTCACTGACTCAGTTCCCGAACTCGGACCGTCACTCTTTTTCATCGTTACCTGCACGCTTATGCCTTCCTGTTCAAAAGCCTAGCTCTAGAAGCCCAGACATCATACACAGCTTGTTCCACGTTGAGACATACTGGAGTATCTCATGCGGGAGAAAATAAAACCAACAAACCTTGAATACCCGAATAGTCACTATGGCGCCATCCGCAACTGCTACCGCAACGATTCAGACAAAGTCAAGCACACCGGACCTGAGCTTTGATAGGTCATATGTGCAGATTATAGGAGGCAAACCCAGCCCTACAAAAGAAGTTAGGCACGGCTTGAACCCTGCAAACTTGCAGCCCAAGGAAGACGTCCCTCTTGCGACGCAGGAAGACCTTGATCGTGCTGTTACTTGTGCTAAAGATGCATTTAAGACGTGGTCTCGTGTACCATATGAAGAGCGTCGCAACGCGGTGCTGGCCTATGCCGATGCCGTTGATCACCTGAGGCTGCAATTTCGAGACCTTCTCGTCGCTGAGCAGGGGAAGCCTGTAAGCACACCATGTATGATTCATTTCTTGCTATATTGACTTTTCAATCTTTTCAGATACCTCAAGCAGATTACGAAACAGATGCAGCAATTGAATGGATGCGTGGGATGGCCAACATTGCTCTTCCCGAGGACGTAATCGAAGACAACGCGAGACATACGGTGACCACGCGATACGTTCCGATTGGCATTGTGGGTGCTATTATCCCGTGGAATTTCCCTCTTCTCCTCGCCACGGGAAAGATCGCTCCAGCTCTCTTGACAGGGAATGTCATTATTGTAAAACCCTCGTAAGATCACCCATCTTTTCCTTTCTGCGCATGAGAAACAATGTGATAACACTTTTGAGCTGGTAGACCCTTTACGCCGTATTGTGGGCTCAAACTCGTTGAACTCGCCCAGCAGTTCTTCCCACCGGGCGTCGTCCAGTCCTTGAGCGGAGATGACAGGCTTGGCCCATGGATTACCAGTCATCCTGGTATCGATAAGATTAGCTTCACTGGGTCTACTACAACTGGTAAACTTGTGCTCCAAAGCGCAAGCAAGACGCTCAAGCGTGTGACCTTAGAACTGTAAGTTACAATGACAACGCGCTTCTTGTTGGTCTCAGTACAGTATTAAGCTTGTGTTAGTGGCGGAAATGATCCAGCCATCGTTCTCCCTGATATCAACATAGACAAGGTTGCTCAGCAGGTAAGTCGCCCCCAGTTTCGCCTATTCAATCAAGTCAAGACATATATACCAACTGCTTCAAGGTTGCATTCTATGCATTTCTGAACTCGGGCCAGGTAGGTTTTTTGGTACAATTGTAGCGTGGATTCCACTTATAATAGTTCTCAGATCTGCCTGAACCTCAAAAGGATCTATGTGCACGAGTCTATATACGAAGAGTTTAGGGATGCGGTTGTAGGGCACGTCAGATCATATGTCATAGGTGATGGTTCGAAGCCCGGCGTTAGTCATGGGCCACTGCAGAACTCGATGCAGTATGAACGTGTTAAGACGTTTTTCGACGATATCGAGAAGCAGGGCTGGAAAGTGGCCACTGGAGGAAAGATTGAGCCATCTCAAGGTTATTTTGTTACTCCCACAATCATCGACAGACCCGACGAAGATTCGAGAATCGTCGTCGAGGAGCCTTTTGGTAAGTCTACTACGTCTTGTCCCGCATATGGATCACTTATTCGTGGTGAAGGTCCCATTGTGCCACTCCTGTCCTGGAAGACAGAGGATGAGGTTATCACACGAGCAAACAACACTTCCATGGGTTTGGGGGCCTCAGTGTGGAGTAATGACATCAAGAAAGCGACGAGAATTGGCAAGCTGATTCAGGCCGGCAATGTGTGGATCAATACGCACTTTGATCTTTCACCAATGGCGCCGTTTGGAGGGCATAAGGAAAGCGGCATTGGGGCTGAATGGGGATCCAATGGCCTCAAAGGCTTCTGCAATGTTCAAACTCTTTTCTGTAACAAGCAGACCGTCAGCTAGTGTGGCCTTGATTTGAAATGGAATTCTCGTTTCTTTGTTGTATCTACGCCTTTCTATATTTTTGATATCAAGCAAAAGTTGCGATGCTGGCATCACACCAGACACGCTGCGTGATTATACCCTGCTCACACTAGTGCACCCACTTTTCAGGTCATAGGAGACTAGCAGGGGCTTCTCAGTGTTGGCCCCTGATGCCATCGTTCTGATTTGCCGTTGTCCTGCAGGTTTTGACGAATCATGACCATCGTCGGACCGCTTCACGGACCGCGCCGTGTGAAATATGTAGAACTGAACACTGTACTTCCACAGACCTGGGCAGTACCTAACAGGGGCGGGCTGCACATTAGGCGTGGATTGGTTCGATGTTTACACTGTTACGCACACGCGCAACTGAGGTGCTCATTGAATTAGGTGAAACTGTTGCATATCTACATTCCAAGTAACGTTCATGACTACAGCGAAATTGACCACAACGAGGAGTACTGCCTCGATCCTGGGTTCAAGACTTGCCCGCCTCATCCACGCTCTAAATGTGTTCCAAGTTGCACTCACTCTGCTCTCACCATAGTAGAACGGGTTTGATTGTCGTTCCATTTTCCATATCCCTAATGGCTTGTTCGTATTTCTCCACCTGTAGCATGACTTTTAGCGCCTGCAAACCCACAATTTGGGGGAGTTCAGAATGTTCCTACAGGATAGAATTTGACGAGCTTATCCACGGGAAATTTCCCCGACCGGTACCACCGAATCATTTGTGGTATATACTGGGTGTCGAGTTAGCCATAAACCTCACATCAGATTCATCATCGTACTTCTTCCGGGTAGACACCGCCTTCCATACTTCCGAAAATCATTTTGCCGGTCTAGACATGGTTATTTAGCTTGGCAGTCATAATAGTGGTTTTGGCTTCGTCAAGCTTACCACCATGTACGGGACAATTTGTATCTGCAGACCGGCATCCATCGGTGCTACTCCAAGCAAGATCATCTTGCCCTGATGGGCAGTGAATTCAACACCCTGCTGAATCAAAGGCACAACACCGGTCGCATCGATGGTAATCGTGCTTCCAACACCTTTCGTGATTTTTCGAACTTCATCCGTCAGAGAGTCAGGGATTTCGGCAGTGTTGATGCCGTCTGTTGCCCCAAGTTTTTTTGCGAGCTCGATGCGCCCTGCAACACGATCTATACCAATGATGGATTTGCAGCCTCGGAGTTTCGCAGCCTTCGACGATACTCAAGTTAGGGAAAATCTCAACTGCATTGAACGGGTTCCATACCATGATGGCAGCTAGTCCAACACCCCCGAGACCTATAACAGCAACTGTATCATCAGCCTTTGCGCTCGCTAGCTCTGTTACTGTGCCGGCCCCAGTCTGTGCAGTAACTTAGTTAATTGACACGAAAAATATGATTTGGCAGCGTCTTCTCTTGACTCACCTGAATTCCGCAACCTAACGGTGCGAAAAGCTTCAATTCATCCTCATCCTTGATTAACTCATTTACTTTCACGATAGATGTTTCCTGGACTTTGGTCAACCTCGAGAAGCTTGACTGGCCAAAGAATGAGCCGGCAACGTTGCGAGTGTTGTCGTCAGCGGTGGAGAATGTTTTACCGTCGCCCGTAAAGTTAATATGGGAGAATTGAGAGCAGTATCCAGGGGCACCAAATTGGCAACTATGGCATTGAGTGCAAAATGCGAAGGACAGGAGTACTGCATCCCCAGGCCCTACTTTGCTAACCTTCGGGCCGACTTCTCTCACAATGCCGGCACCTGCCAAAGTTCAGCAACGTTGTACTACAGGGGAGGGGAGTGCAGTACATACCCTCGTGTCCCAGAACCCGTGGATATGGAGACACCGGAAATCCCGGACTCCCGTCTGGAGCTGTGCCACAACCTAGATCAGTGTGACAAATCCCTGATGCAGTGATCTCAACGATGGCCTCATAATCGGCCGGCCGTCCTATATTGACATTTTCGTACCGCCATTGCCTTATCCCATCAATTGGGGGATGGGCTACGATTGCTTGAGTCACGCTGGACTTCGACGCCATTGTGTCGGGTATATGGTCAAAGGTTACTATGATGTATGAAAAGGTGTCTGTCTCTTGTTGAATCAAGCACGTTACAAGTAGCAATCAGATCGTATCAGTCATTAGAGCACAGAAAGAACTTTGAATTTTCTATGTCACGTATCGTGCATAAACGGACCGCTATCCTGTCAATAACGCTCGGAACGGACCTAGAACCCGCGCATCGCTCCTAGATCCGGGCTATTTACATCTATCACAGAAGCGGAAGTGTGCAGGCCAAGAATCAAGGGTCTGAATCAACTTCATGGAGCACCCCAGAAAACAGTTTCCCCGCATTCAACCTAGAGAATGCGGAGAAAATGGGGTGACATCCGCGGATGCTAGTGCGTTCAAACCCCAAGCAGCGGACCGACGCATTTATCCTACAAGCCAAACACGCTACGGTCTATAGACTCGGAAGTCTTTTACAAATAGCTTCCGAATCAACAATGTTTTTACCATCATTTTACAAACTCTTATGAGTTATAGTTTTTACCGTTCCGTTCACCATGTCCCTTACGGTGAGCATGCCACTAGACAACGTCGCACCTGTTAATGCCTACTTACATTTCCAATTAGCTGACCAAGGCTATTCCTGCAGCCAATGGAGTCCACCATGATGACTCCTTAGCTCTCGATAAGGTCCAAGTAAATGAGCCCCGCATGAACGGCTTCTCTACCTCGGGGATTAGCAAATACCAGAACGAGGCAGTGGGCGACTTTGGATGGGGGCCGTGGACCATTCAAGGTACGTTCACGTTGTAACGGAAACTGTCTTGACTTCCAGTAATCTGCATATTGACCATCGACTCAGATGTCCTCATTCCTCCAAATGCAGGACGGGGTCTCATAAAAAAGTACCATCAGCGCCGTACTCTTTACCAATACCTAGGACTGTCTTTGGCAGGCTTGTGGGTGTTTCATAATGTTTCAAACACTTCTTACAGAGCTGCTGCTCTCGGACTACTGTTCCCAGGTGCTGGGTTCACCGCCGTGGCCACCATCCCATCAATACTAGCCTTCTTGGCCACTGTGGTTCTGATACCGGTAACTGTGTTCATCTGGTTTGCCATGGGGGGGATATTTTTCCCGCTCGCTCTGTGGTTCGGTAGCAGTGTCGCCGCGAGCTTCATGGCAGGCGACAAGTTATTCGACCAGGCTCCTATTTTTTGGGCAATGTTTTGCTACGGAGGAGCGCTGTGGCTCATGAGCAATGCTCGGTCGTTGAATGCCGCAGGGTACTCAAAAGCTCAGGAGCGCAATAAGTACCTCGTCAAGGCTGTGCAGGAACAGCAAGCGACCGCCGTGCCAGCTCCCATCCCCGGCTCTCGTGAACTTTCTTTGGAGACGCTGCGACATGTACAGCATGTCCTCGAACGTGGATTGAGCGCTCGCGATGACTTCAGCTACCACGACGTGATTGATCAATTCCAGACTGGTGCTGTTCGCTACCAGCTATACGGTGTTGTGGACGTTCTGAGCCTCTACCAGTGTCATTATGTTCCAGGCTTCCACGGATACCTTTCAAAGGCTTCCCAAAACTGTATTGAAAAGAGTTTGCAGAAGAAGATCATGTCGTGGGTCTCAACTCTTTTAGAACTTGGTGAATATTCTAATATCTGTAGGTACTGGAAATGGGAATCCATTTTTGGAAGGTTTACCTTAAGCGATTGGAACCCAATCAAGAAGGATAACATTGTATGTGGTCACTAATATGGTTTACTGAACCTCCTAGGAGATGCTAACGGTCTTTCCAGATGGTAACTGGTTATCTAAGCTCAGCTATTGGGCTTTACGCTCAAGCATCAGGCGATATGCGCTATAACGAGAAGAACGCGTTAGAGTTTGTTATTGACGATGGCAAGCACTACAAGACAAACTACGAAGGACTTGCCGACGCTTTGCACGAAAACATGACCGAAAACCCATACTGTCTCTACCCGTGCGAACCCAACTGGACGTATTCCCTCTGCAAGTAAGTCCCCCCTCCCAAATATCACTCAAGGATGTAAATTGGCTGAAACTCGGTACCCAGTCTCACCGGAATGGCTGGGCTCGTCATTTCAGACAGAATCCTCGGGCGTGATCTTGGTCAGAAGCTCCGAAACCGTTTCGAGAGGTCTCTTGAAGAAGAATTCACTGAGTGCGACGGTCGAATCCTGCCTATTCGCAGTGAGTTCACAGGTCTTACGGTAGGCTAATTCACCCACACTTATTATTGTGATCACAAGCTAATCTGTTATGCTATTTCCAGCTCCCTGGCTTATGCGGCACTTTGACCGATTGCATTAATGCCAAGCTCCTGACTGCGTATCTTCCTCATCTAGCCCACCGCACTTGGGCAATCATTCGCAAGGAATTCATAACCTATGACAAGAATGGCCAGTTGCAGGTCCGCGACCTCAAGGGTGCGGATAAGATGGACCCTGGAAACTACCGTGGTGGTGAAGGTGCCCTTCGTGCATTCATCGCTGCCACAGCAGCTGAGTTCGGTAATGAGAAAATCCGCCAGGAGGCACTGGACCAGCTCGACCAGATCTACTTCCCCGTCGAGACCACAAAGTCAGGTGCTCATTACAATAAGGGACTGTCCACCACGTCACAGAATATTGCCCTCATGGCTCGCCTTGTCAAGCACCGTGACCTGGCCAATGCTACACTTCACGGACCGAGCAAGCATGCGCTTGAAGGTCCCCTGCTCGAGGGGGCGCCGTTCCCTGACGTTCTGGTGGCTAAGGCGTATAGCCCCGATGGCAAAAGCCTAGATCTTGTTCTCTACAACGGAAATGATGCAGGCACCTTCGAGCTTGGATTTGAGAGGCTTGTTCCGCACCAGCGGTACGCTCTGAGCACAGGCGATTACATCACTGCGGACAGATTTGGAGAAGCGAAGTATCAAGCCAGGATCAATGGTCGCACACAGATCGTTCTCAGTCCTATTTCTTGAGCTGCTGAGGTATCTGAATGGTAGCTCGAACAGTAGTAATGATCTCCTTGGACAAGAATGAGTTGTTCAAGATCAGGAAAATATGGGCCTGGATAATGGTGGAGATTGGCCCGAGAACCGCGGCAATGGCGATCTTAGATCCACTCGCTTGACTTTGCGCTTAGTGCCATGGACAAAAAAATGTTTGGTTTTGCTCCGAAAATGGACGTCAGGCCGGAGCTGTGAGACTTCATATATTTTGTGCAATAGCCGGAATGATAAGACAGCTTTCTATTTTGGGACCGATACGGCCAATTCAGTGTCTTTAATAGGAATTTATAACAACATGCACAATCTTCTGCCCACCTTTGGGGTTGAGGAGAGAGGGTTTGTAGGCCCAACGTGTGGAACAAGGCACTGTATTTGAATCTGGTCAAACCACCGCTTTACGCAGTTGTTAATTGCACTGCCGAAAGAATTATACGTGCATGTACAATTTCGTTCATCATCTGACCTTGGCCGTCACAGAGGCGTAAAAGAAATATAGACGGGAACTGCATAGATACTATTCGCTCAGTGTACGTAGCCTCTGCGCAGCTGTTGCATTAGTGATCATTTGTCTGGGCGAACACCCTTTAAAACATAAGCCCTAGAGCTGAGGCAGTCTGCAGACCCCGGTTCAAGGCGCTGGCATGAGAATTTGACTTGTTTGGATCGATAGCACCAGTCCTAACACTACCGAATAGTGGAGGCGGCGCTAAAATAACACAGGCGTTAGGGCTCGGACGGGGCCCCTCACTCACACTGCATAGATACTATTACCGGGCTGCAACGTAACTCTGGCCTGTTGGCCTAATGGTAAGGCGTCACTTTCCGGTGTTCCAGCAGCGTGTTTGGTGAAGATTGCGGGTTCGAGTCCCGTGCGGGTCGCAACAAACTTTTTCCCTCTTTGTTTGTGGTGATATTGTCAGTTTAAAGACCACATTGCCACCCAGGTGCGCGCTTTTTTTCTTTAACGTATCCGATATGCTGCTTAAAGCATTTTATCGCGAATGGATGCGCCCAGGCCTGTTAGCGTCTTCTTACCGGTCTTTCAACGATAATGCCCTCGGGCTATCTGGAAGATGACTGAACAGATTATATCTCTTGAGCAAACTTTCAGCGAGAAGTTTCTCCGGATCTAGTCCTGAATTCACCTTGATTATAGATAATGACAAGAATATGATAGGATACTTCCGAGTCTCCACTAGAGGCCTCAGAAGTCGCCGTACTCGAAAGACTAGTCCTCGCATTTCTCCTGGGCTAGATCGAGGAAAGGCATTAGCTAACTAGGCAGGCTTCATCCATTTTTAGGTATTATCCCTAGTCTTATGTGAGACTGGACCGCCAATAGTTTCTTGAGTAGAATGACCATTACCTGTTCGTTAGTTCATGAATTGTAGCTGAACCGTGGCTAAGACAATAGGTTCAGACTGCAAGACAGACAGCGATGCGGATGGCGCCTCAGGGTTCCAAAGAGTTATCTGACGGGTTCAAGTCATGCAAATATGCGATCTGAGTATCATTGCTCCCACTTAGCGATGATAGCTAGTCACGCAACATCGGCGAAGTTTAGTCGCTCTGCTCTGATTGAAGGGTGCTCAGGTCCTGGGGGCTCATCAAGAGATTCCCCCAATGTAGAGGAAGCCAATGGCTGATAAGTGTCGGGTGCATCCCTTTTCACTGCACGAGACTGCTTTGTGTCAGGTTAAGACATTCGACAGACCCACCTTGCTGTCGCTGGATCTATGCTGCCCACTAATGTAGGGGTCTCAGACCAGCCAAAAAAGAAGGGAAGAGGGGATTGAGCACTTGATAGACTTGATAGACTTAATTCAAGGAATTCTTCTGTTTAAGATCGATATATTTATTGATTACCTTACCCCATGGCATTTTATTTGGAGCTTCTCTCATCTGTTCACCTACAGGTATCTGGAATTTGTAATCGACCCTTTAAATTACGGCACATCAACACCAATTAAAGATACATTATAGAACCATCCAAATGAAGTACTGTACGCTCATTTCATCTCTATTAGGCATCGCCGGTGTCTTTTCAGCTCCTCTATATCCAACCGCCCCGTACGCAAATTCAACTGGACATCTCATAGGAAAAACCCAGTATCAGGGATTCATCCTTCCTTCAATTGTCAAGAACCACGACATAAACAGCAACCTCAACACCAGGTCCTCCCAAGCTGTTACCTCTCGAACAGTCAACAGTGAAACATCGAGCCTTTTTGAAATCCCTATTCCTGCAAACTTGACCGGGAAGAGTTGCCATTTGGTTATCTCCGCGGACGTTGCCAGCAACGGTGACGCGGTTTCCGGATCCCAGGCTATGGACATATTTAGCACCAATATTGTAGATCTCGTATCAATGAGACAAGGCAACCTCCGAAACATACAGCAAGCTCGGATGCGTTTCAACACCACGTCTGGACTGTATACTTTCGACGAGACAATACTTGCCCCAAGACTCAAGGACTTTCCCTGTCCTGCTGGTACTCAGTTGGAGTTGGAATCCGTGGCTGTGGGCGACTATGATATTAATAACATCAGGCAGGATTTTATCTATAATGGACAGAAAGCACCAAATGGTTTGAGTATTGGCTACAACTAGTCGGGCAATGGCGGGGAGTTGGCGGGTCTCACAGCTAGAGACTGTTGGCTGTTAGACGGACGGGACATGGCGTTTTGAGTGCTTTGACATAATACCTTAGTCCATGTTTGGTACTTGAGGTTGCGATACTGGTGTTAGGTGGGTTCAAACTAGAACTCAATGTATCATGTAATCTAATACTACAGATTAGATGCTTCAAAACACTTGTCCAACCCTGGACCGCGCCACATTCACGGAGATCATATCATTCGAAACATTACAAATATATCGCAAATGATATTCACTGGATAGAATTATGCTTGGTGGAAATCAACGACTCGAAAACCTAGACCAAGTCCTAATTCTTTCCCCGAACCACCAGAAGCCAAAGGAAAAAGGGATAAGACATATGCATACAGCACCCAGGATTGACCCACCCAAAGCTAAACCTAGGTCTACCAGAAGATTTGTGATGAAGAGAGGAAACGCAGCAGCTGCGGCAGATCGAATGAAGTTGTTGATTGCCATTGCACTGTTGGCGTGTGATAGGTAAACCTCAATGAGATATATAACTCCAGACATGAACACTATGATAGAGCCACAGCCTATCAGAATACCAGAGCACGCCTGAGGTATCCATGATATAGATGGGTCGGAGGTCCAGGCGAACCAAAAGATGCCTAGCCAATCGATTAGCCACAGTCAAAGTTGGTCATTGCGAAGTCTTATACCTGCAGGTAGAATTACTGAGCCCAAGATCATAGGAACGAGTCGCCTCTCTGGCACATGAACCTCTGTTTGTCGCATAAGGAGGGGAATGTAGTAAATATTGTGGTATGCCAGCATACAACAAGCCAAGAGTACGCCGACTAGTATGCCAAGAAATGGCAGGCTCGCCTGAACCGATGGCCAGCCTCTATAACTCGTAAACGCTATCGGATACATTGTGAATGTTGTGTATATGATTCCGTAGACGACGCTCATATATATTGTCATGAAAATTAACTGTAATGAGGTGTTAGCACTATTTCCCATATGCAAGGCCTGCTTTTCTGGAAGTTAATACTGACGATTGGCTCCTGACAGATCATGCGAATAGGTTTGGCCAAGTATACTTGGCAAAATATGGACGTGTTAGGGGTTTCTTCTGGAAGCTGCCTGAGGATGCTTTCGTTGCCGGTATCCTTATAGACTTTCCGGGCCTTACGTCGGGCAATAACAACCTCAGACGTTTCTGGGGTGGACAAGAACGCCAGCATTCCGAAAACCGCGGCGCCTACCATGGTTGCCCAAATGGTAAATCTCCAACCCCAGCGCGTGGCTACTATGTTACCAACTATCGGTCCCAGTGAAGGGCCACTAAAGGTAGCCGCACTAAAGACAGCGGTGGATATTCCTCGTTCGGTAGGATGAAGCAGGAAATCCACGTACATGCCGCCGAGAATTGCCAGCATCGATGAGCCGGCAAGACCGATAAGAAACCTGAAAACCAGCACCACGGAAATTTGAGTAGCAAGCGCACATGGTATGTGTAATAGGCAGAAAAAGAAGTAGCCAATCCACAGTGGTCGAGTTTTGCCGTAAAGCTCGGACGCAGGACCCCAGACCATAGGCCCAAATGCGAACCCAAGCACGTAGAGGGAGATACCAAGGAGAGCCACATGGCTAGATACTCCAAATTCCGCCTGAACGAAGGGTATAGCTGCAGAGAAAATGCTACTGCCCAACGATACAATAAAGGTAGCCAGCGAAGTTGTTACAACAATGGTCCATTTCCGGGCGAAAGACCAGTTCGCTGGTTTGCGTGGGTCTTGTGGCCCATTCCAAACAGAGTCATTTGATTCGGTAACGGTGATTCTCTTCATGGTTTTGTTTTCTTGGAGGGCCTGTTTCTGAATAAGTGGGCGTCTAAATCATAGGATGGCCAAGTTCTGATTCAACGGATCTTTGAGAATGCAGATGGACTTTTGAGAACTCTGATAAGATGCATAGACTGCTCCGCAAGAGGATCTGCAGGTGGGGTAGTATTCTTGATTTGACCGAGATGGATACTGGATCCGAAAATACGACTCATAAGCGCGGACGGGACTTGGCCTGTAGATAGAGTTTTCTCAGACTCTCGGCAACCCATTACCAATTTGAACGATTAAGGGCTGAATAAACTTGCTGCCCGGCATTTGCAATCGGTGTTACGTGAACTGAAACTCGGCATTTGCAAGGAACGTAAATAGACTCACCATTTACATGATTCCGTGGAGCCGTCTTCGGCAAGTGTTCCATAGAAATGATCGAAGTTCACCTACATAATTAGAATCCCATCACTGTAGAATCCGATCTTGTCAAATTTCCATTGAGAATTCACCTTTTTTTTTCCTCAACCAAAATCAGACGCTAGAAGTACTCTCTAGTTACATCACTTTGCCCAAGCGCACTATGGATCACCAACTTGCAATCAAGGCTTTGGCCTTGCTCTCAGCCGGCGTGATAATTACGCAGGTCATGCGGGTGTTTCTTTCACCTCACCTCAGCTCGTACAAGCATATTCCAGCTCCAAAGCAAGGAAATGTCCTATTCAGACTGCTCTATGAGCCAAGAGTTCCGGAAATAGAGGCATGGATGGACAAGATCCCCCACTCTGGTCTTATCCGATACTATGGTATTTTCAACCGCGAACGCATCTTCATTGCCAGCCCAGATGCAGCAAAAGACTTGCTTGGTTCTGCAAACTCCTATAAGTTCATCAAGCCAGAGCTTCAATGGATATTAGCAAACAATATTGCAGGCCATGGCTTGCTGATCCAAGAAGGAGATGAGCACAAGGAAGCTCGCAAGCGATTCAATCCAACCTTCAGCCCTGCACAGATGAAAAAGTGGTTTCCACGTCTCTGGGGCACAACAATCGAGACAATGAACGGTCTTGAGAAACAGGTGCAGCAGAACACCGTGGCGGCACCCGATACAATCACGAAGGGCTCAATGCGGGGTGTTACCAGCATACTGAGGCTCGTATCCGCAGCTAGTATAGATATGATTGGTCATTTCGGGTATGACGTTGAGTTCAAGACGCTCCAGAATTTGTCAAAACGGAGAAGTCAGCTGAAAGAAACCGTCGAGGACCCAAAGCCTGCGTTCGGCCGAGCTTACATTGAGATGTTCAAGACCACCCGGCGGGGCCAGCTCACTCTCAACGCAGCATCCCTGATCGGCCCCAAGATCGCTCTTGCACTGCCAATACCAGCCGTAAAGACCATACACGGAATCATGGGCCTGGTGAGAAGAACAGCGGAGCACATAGTCACTACACGTGAGCGCAGCATTGCTTGCAAGTCCGAGGGGCTCGACACCGACATGCTCACAATGATTCTGGGAATGGATCACTTTTCTCATGCCGAATTGGTGGAGCAAACCGTTCATTTCCTTGCAGCCGGGACCGAGACTGTGGCAGGAAGCACCTGCTGGGCGATCCATCTACTGTCGAGACACCCAGAAATTCAGCATCGCCTCCGTGAAGAGATCCGAGCAAATGTTACTTCTCCCTACATTGCAGGAAAGGAAGCTGTCAGCGAGTCCCAATTTACCAACCTCAAATATCTCAACGCTGTTGTTGAAGAGGTATTGCGGTTCCACTCAATCAATACCTTACTCTGGCGCACGTGCATTGAGCCGGCAACAATCAGCGGAGTTCCTGTTACCAAAGGGACCGCCATCGTATTCTCTCCCTGGGCTTTGAACCGCGATCCGGCGCATTGGGGCCCTGATGGTCGCATTTTCAACCCTGAGAGATGGCTAAATGACCCGTCTGGAGGGTCTGAGCATCCTTACTCGTTCCTGACCTTCGGCGGTGGCCCCCGTCGATGTGTAGGGGAACAATACGCGAGGAACGAGCTACTTTGTCTAGTCGCGGGGCTGATTGGACGTTTCCAATTTTCTCCGCTCAATCCATACAAAGAGTCCGATGAGGGCCAAGAGATAGGCGACAACTTTGCCTTGACCATTTTCAAGATTTACTCCGGTTGGAAGCTCCAGGTGGAGCAGGTCCCTGGCTGGTGATTACATGCAGGTAATCCCGCTAGCAACCCTGCTCTCTTCTGGCCGGATGCATGACGGATAGGTACCCGACAAGCGAGGTGTGTGGGAGAATACAAATAAGTGATTTGGAAACCGTATGTCATTGATTTCGGCGGTGTATTTAAATTCCGCTATCACTTCACTGTTCCTTCAGGGCTCTAGAACACATCCCAATTTGAACATGCTAGCAACAACACTGAATGCTTTAACATACGCTAACGATTACTGCACAATTTCTTTCCAGATTGAAGTACTTGTAGCCTGTTAAACCTAAATACTATCGGTCTTACTCTATTAGTCTTGGGCCTCGGTTCGCGATGAACATGGTTTTGGCTGGCACCCTACAGGAACGCCGTGCATGGATGGTTCCGACCGCATTGTCAAGAATGCGATTTCTAATTTGCCATTTACTAATACCGAGTTTCGCATCCCCTCATGGTGTCGGGTTTAGAGAAACTTTAATATGAAAGAGGTTTAAAGCGTTTAGAGTCCCACTTCTAGCTTGCCAAGCTCGCTCGAGGCCCCCTGCTATGTGTGGCTGGCTGGGCACCATGTAACAAACTGCCGTTAGTGGATGGAAACATTATTTAAAGCTGCAGGAGTGGTTCCGGTGGGGGCTCGGTGAGATTCCTTTTTATGGAAAGAACGCAATTCAAAGGATTCCGGTGTGGTTAGTCATCCTGCAAAGAAGATACAATGCGCTTTGATTCGGTGCGCTTCCGTACATAGTATGCATTGCAGCCAATAGAATTGGAATGGCTTCCGCAACTCTGTACATGTTCTATAAGTTTCTACACGATCAGAAAGTTTATGCACTTGTAAAGAGCAGTGAATGACTTCGAGCAAAATATTGCCAAGACAACCTGACGTTGGTAAGCGTCGTTAATAAGTCTCGTCGTAGAGATTATGTTTACAATTTACGCCTTCTGTAAAGCACTACTTCCTCCCGGAACCAAAATTTCAGTATCGAAGCCACCGACAATTGGATGTTAGCGCCTATACTTGGGGATCTGCATTACTTGCAAGCCAACGAGGCGAAGTATAATATTCACGAAACCAATAGACTTTCTGGGCAGCGCACCGAGGTGGGACGCCTGCTCGTATCGTCCGCAGAGAACCTTACGAACTGTAAAGCTGGTAGGCTAGAGTTTGACAAGTTTGACCAACACCTTCAGGTTGTCTGCCAGCATGTGCATTCCATAGTGGCGACAATAACACTGAAAGAAATGCCGCCGCCAATGCCGCCACCAACGCCGCATAAACTATGCTATATTTCTGCGTGTCGCATCCCACTGATGAAGGCTAGCGGGTAGTGGAGAGAACAGAGGCAACAGCATGCGCGTAGTTTTCTTCGTGATTAGTGAACACATGCCAAGTACCGTCGGCAGCACAGCATCAGATTTGGAATGATGCTCCGTTTCAAGAATTCTTCTACGGGTCCCGCGGCGAACGCGTTCAACAAACGGGTGCGGTCACTGAATATCAGAAGAAATATACCACGGCAGTTTGTACTAGAGTCCAAGTGTGTGCAATTATAAGTGAGTCATCAGTATGGCGTTGCAGATCACCGTCTCCCCGTTGACAGAAAGCCCAGCACCTGCCGGATTCACCTCATATATCAGCCAGTAGTGCCGCTGCTGTGGCAACTCAGTTCTTAATTCTGGTTAAACGAATATCGTCTGCCGAGAATGTGTCAATGTTTAGAGTTGAGACTGTGCGATACTCTAGACCGGTGTGTAAGGCTGGCGTCGCTCGCGGGCCGTGCCGAGGATCGGCAATTCGTCCGTGCAGGGGTCGGGGGTTTGCGGGCTCTCGGAGATCTTTATTGACCGAGTTTGCAAAGTGTAGTAAAAAGTCGGCGCTTACGCGTCCCATCCGCTTGCACAACCTACTACACCATGCTCCTTGGCTGTTGCGTGCCCACCTTTGCACATTATTAGCTGCAACAGGTAATGCGCCGCGCGCGCTTGAATAAATCCCTCAACACGCAGTGTCTATCGCATTCCTGCAAGAAGCCACTCCTGGAATGTCCGTTTGGGTGCGATGTAGCTCATTCTTCATCACAACTTTGAGCTCCAAGAAGAGCATGTTCATCGAAGCTGTTTGACCTACGAAAGCGCAAGCTTTGGTATGACGGAATACCTCTTCATCATGTATCGTGTGTACTGCCAGCTCAAAGAGAATTGCACCGTAAAACTGTGGTTTACCAAAATCCTTTAAGCAAATACATCGTTATTGATGTGATAGTCCCTTGCCATGCTTGAGTACACCAATTGGCTTCGGTTTCAAGGCTTGGCGAGAGCTACACTCGTCTACAACTCAAATGGCCTCAGCGGAGAGAGCGTGTTGGTCTTCGGCGTAATTTTTGATCCCAGTCCATCAGGCATATTTACTCCTATGGAACAAGGTGAGCCTTGACTGTTTCAGTTGTTCCGCTTGTTTTCTTTCAAAGCTAAGCACCATGGTGGGCTGAGTCTTCAAAAAGGAGGGTTCGACTCGCTTGAGCTTTATTCACAGAGTTTTTTTTTCCCTTAATTGTTTTATTATCCGCACTATTTATAGTCCATGTATATCACTGTAGATAGTCGCTAATAAACAGTCGATTCTGATTTCAAATGCCTGTCTATGGCACCACCGTTCACTTTGGATTACGGATTTCGTTTTTCCAGAAGAATATCTTTAATCAATGGAAGGTTCATGGACCAATATGCTCTTGATATTCTTTAGGTTGATGATCTAGAAGACCCCAGAGAATCAATTTCGAAACAAGCGCAAAGTTGGGTATAGCAGTAGAGCAAGCTTGGCACTAGAAATAATCTAGAGTTAATATACTGACTCACAACGTTGTCATTATCTTGATATAACAGCGCTTAGATTTGATAAATAAAATGGCTTTCAACGAAGAAATCAAATGCTAGAATTTATGAATGCTCAACAGTGATGCAAGCTTATTGTTGCCTTTTATCGAAGCACTGAAGGGTAACAACATGCAGCACCGAAAAAGGCCTATGACACACCGTTTTAACCGGTGTACGTGCAAGTAAGACCAGATGCGGAAGACTTGCAGTCTGTCAAAACCTCTCCGCTGCTAGAGTCCTTGATATCGATGATGGTACCACCGTTAGGCGTAACGGTGCCTTGACTTCCAGAGGCCGAAGCATCGGTGAAGGTGACAGTGCCGAAATCAGCGAAAGGAACCAGGCTTCCACCAGACTCAAAGTCCTCCACGATCCACTCTGCGTTGGTCTCGCAAAGCGTTGATGGCGTACTGGTGAAGGTGTGGGTAACCTTCTTGCCAGTCGTCAAGTTCTCGAGAGTCGCAACGCCAGCCTTCTTGGAAGAAGCATCAACTTCCATCCTGATCTTGTCACCGACCTTGATAGCAAAGTTGGAGAAAGAGTGCGAGTAGTCGGGAATCCACTCGTACCAGGCGTCGAAGGTGCCGTCTCCGTAGAAGGAAATTCCAGTCTGCAAGATAGCAGTGCTGCAAGTATCACCATCGATGCCAACCCAAGCCGATGCGGCAGAGTCGCTGTCACCACTGACGCGGGGCACAGTGATTGTTCCTTGGACCTTGTTGAAACCCTGGCCGATCTGAACCGAACCGGCCCAGTTGCTCGAATACTGGGGGTAGCTAGTATTTCTCATGTTGGGGCTCGACAAATGCTGAGGCCGGCCGCCATTGCGACGTGCTGGCCGACGAGCAACAACATTGTTCTCAGCGGGCTGCGGCAGAGCAGCCGCAAGGCCAGCAATGGCGATGAGAGCGGTAGCGTACTTCATTTTGAGGTTCAGAGAAAGTAGCGAATGATAGGCAGAACAGCTGAGGAAGCAGTCAAGGGAGAGAAGGTGCGAACACTTGAGGTTTAGAAGCTAATGCTTGCCAATCGAGACATGCTGATGAGTGCTGCTGCATCACGTATTTATAGCAATCTACCTGATCTCAATAGCGACAAATACACGCTTCCATGTCACGAGTTGGGTTCCTCCTTAAAGGTGGCTATTCCCTCTATCGCAGGTGGCATCTGGATTAATGAACAATGCAGTGCACTAGTGTTATCACGGGGCATTGATCTCAGTTAAGCAGGTGTGAAACTCCTAGGTTATGGGGCCATGCGGTAGTAAACTTATTCGCACTTTGGCAGACCGCAGGAACTCGTCCGGGAAGGGCTTCATAGGAGTCGTTCGTGGGCTGCGACATAAGCTAGGGATATGGTCCAATCAATGTTGAACCGCATTTCATAACTGCTGGATCGGACTTTCGGAATGTTACGACCGTTCTAGCTCCTCGCGGTGCTGTCTATGCTACCCTACTTCACCCCTTGTAGCCGAGGCAGGCCCACATGGTCGTAATTTGCGATGGCCTGTCCAGTTGGGATGATTCGCGCCGCCAGCAGTCCGCGACCGACTACGTTGAACTGCTAGGTACATATACTTGACAAAGCCTTACAAGTCAATCGTAGCTGATACTAGCATGCAGAGCCCCCTATGCCTACCTACGTATGCATTCCTGACGAGGGGCGGAAGAGCAGATTACATAGGAAGCCTTCCATTGCGTGGCACTACAATTCCTTGAGGCGCGTTCGTCGGTGGTGGAGGCTCAAACACTAGTACCCCACCGTCAATTTATTATCTTGGCCAGAAAGCTTAACCTGCGCCAAGATAAGCTTGTTTTCGCGTTCCTGCAATCCTGGTTGCATGGCAGAGAATAGAGTCCGATCTGCTGGGATTGTTAAATTGTCCACGACTAATGAAGAAGGTGCATGATGAAGGTGGCATTCATGTTCAAGCAGCACCAGTGTTTCTCGTTCGGCGTCGGATCTAGCCGGCTACTGCGCCTCTCGGCTCTGCTACATGGCTGAATTTCCGCTCTGCCCATTCCTTAGCAGACCAGCTTCCCCAGATCTTGGCTTCTTGGCGGCGGCACTATTACTACACGATCAAAGATGCATCTTGAAGAACAGATTGCGCTGGGTTTAGCGAGCGATATGCTAATTTTGGGTTGGTATTTTTGACATGCGCTTTTTAAAAATTCGAAGAACATCTCTGCTTTTGAGTTTCGCACACCTCAACCAAACCTTTCTAGACACGAGGGCGACCCGCTATGGTCATGAGAACCCCTCCCGAAGAGGAAGCTGGTTAGCAGCGCGACTTGGGTTCAATGCCGATCACTTTATTAGCGCATTGAGCAATTCATGGAAACGTGCTGGCATTAAGGCCCATTACTGCTCGTATTCGGTGGTGTGGTGGTTGCCTGAACTTGGATCAATGATATGTAACCAGAATATTCCAAGGCGGCGAGTCGAGGTCAAGACCAACATGCCCACCAATCAGCACTAGAACAGGTCACAGGCCAAGGTGAGAGCACCCAATGGTCGTTCCGATGGGATATTCTTCAAGGGTTCCAGCTGGTTACATTCAACTTGCCCATTCGAGGAGACATTGTGCTGTCTTTCAAATCACAAGTTCCCAGCCTGTAGGATTCACCGGAGCGGTACCTTTCGCGTGGGCGCCATAATATATGTGACACGTAGTACAGATACCACCACAGCCTTTGCAAGATCCATGATGTGGCTTAAATGTGCGTATTCAACTATCTACATCGTTCTCTATCTCTTAGTAACTTCTTCCTTTTACGTGGTGAGAAGAATGCTGCTCGTCATTTGGCTACTAACGAGCCCACCAATGAGCCCTATGTACATAAAAGACCCATTTGCGGCAAAATTTAAAGTGTCTAAATAACGCTCAATGTGCCAATGTAGAGCTTGCAACTGTAGGGAGTATATCACACGATTGTCACGGTCCTTTCTGCTGCTGCTCCCCATACCTTCTCAAAATTCAGTCGAGAAAGACCCCTACCCCCACCAAGAGTCAACAACTCGCGCTCCATCAAGCCAATGCGGCGGTATGTCGAAGATCCTGGCTCGCAAGGCTGAAGAGCAAGACCGTTCCATTTGAGGTCGTGCGCATAGAGCTTCTTCTGTACCAAAAGACAGTCCACCACCATCTCAAATCCGTCGGCCTGAGGGAACGTATCGATATCAAGGATACAAAGTCCTATGTCCCCGTCTGTATCATGTAACTGGAGAACAGATAATGCCACAGGGTTTGCGGTGGGCCTGCGGATTGTCACAAGTTTCTGCATTCGTCCGGTCGCAACGAGGTAGCCGTGCTTGACCCTGCCAAATGGGTTTCCGGCCGCTTCTGGGACAATGTCTAGCCGGTCAATATGAATACAGGGTTCGTAATCAAGGCTGTAAGTGTTGAAATGCACAGGTTCTGGACACGCAGCCCAAGACTACGAAGGGGCAGCATCAACACCCGGGTCTACGTCGTTCGGTGGTTTCCGGGCCGGTCTCTCATGCATCCATATCAACTGATCTACTAGCTTCAAATTCATGAAGCCCGCGACGTATTCAACACCCATAGCATCACAGTATCTCCTCGCCAGTCCGGACACAGCGGGTAGTCGGTCGTTGAAGTTTGTCAGTTCCAAACACGCGTACTCCACGGCGAGGCCAAGCTACCTGTCGCCCAGGACATCCGGCGAAAAGGCATCAACATTTGCCAGTCCCTGGCAACTTACATCAGTGCCTTTCTCCCACAGGACGGTTGCCTCAGACCATTGTGATTCATGGTATGCAGCACTTCGGCACTGGTAGTACATTTCGTAGGTTCCGAAATACAGAGTTCGAGGAGATAGAGGCCGCTCCTGCATAACCCAAGCCCCACTGAGAAGTTGCGCCCTTGACCGCATCGGAGTTCCCAGTTTATTGCCATCATCGGTATCGTAGTGAATGAACCCTTCATTAGGGATATCGAGGCTTAGCTGATCAGTGCCTGTTGGGTCGGGAAAAGGGCACCGTGCGTTAGCCGCCGTTTTGCGAGCATGTAGGAAGCCTGTGTTCGTGTCTAAAGCCGCACTGGCTCCGATGGTGAAAGCACACTGCTCGAATATATGATCCATCCGGCCGCACTGGTCAGCCCAGTCCCCGCCAGGGCCCTGGATGATGCAGAGACTGTCAATCCACAGGAAGCGATAGCACAGGCGCCGTGTAGTTACGATGAAATCATGGAATGTGCGCTGTAGCGTCGCCAGAGCAACCGAGCCCAGATGGTCCTGGTAATTTTCCGTAGTTGTCATGAGCGGATGCGCTCCACCCCAACAGTGACTCAGTGTGACATAGAGACCCTTGATTCCTTCTGTCTCAACGAGCCTCGGCTCCAGGTCGTTGGACCCAGAATCAATCACTCGTTTTGGAAGCGGCTTGTCCTCAATGGGCCGGCAGCTTTCATGTGTTGTCGAGCAATTATCAATCCATCCCTTGCAGACGCTGAAATCTGCATGTTTCTGGAGTCTACGGCCAATGGCTTCCGCATGCATTCCAGTAGATGAGGTAAAAACTAACTCAACCGGCTCCCTCATCCATGGTCTCTGGCAGTACAGACGTGTCGCCCCTTCACACGACCCCCTATAATCAGTAATCCTGTCTCTCGCCAGTCGAAGCTGTTGGTCAGGCAATCCATCTCTAAGTAGATGTTGTTGAATGGCTTCAACTTCTGTGCACGTGGAATTCGATCGCACCACCTTAGTTATGAGAGCCTCCATCCAGAGTTTACATATATCACACCCGCGCGATGCAGCTGTTTGTAAAGATGCGAAAGTCGCGTGGTACAGCTGCCATTCCGACAGTGTTTCCCCATTGCCTGGGATTTTCGCCAGGTCCAGTACAGCACAGCAGTCACAGAGACTGGCCATACTACTATCAACTCGTCGATAGAGAGTCGCGTGCACGGGCCGATGTAATGGCAGACGTGAATTGTTCTTAATAGACATACGACTACTCAGTACCGATGACAGAAGGTCAGCAACGTGGATAGGCCTGTGGCCCGACCAAGTAGGGCGCGTCTGCAATCTGATCCGCACTTCTCCCTGATACAGATCCCAGGCAGATAACCTTCATTGGCGAGATGGCACATGTCGAAAGTCAGCCTCAGGGACTGTACTGCCGGGCTGCAATGACTAGGCCCATGCAGGTCGACACTTTCATTCCAGCGTCAATCTCTCCTGTAGGCCATCAAGACTTTTCTTGTTGAATGAGTCGTCAATCGACAGGACATATTTCACGGTTTGCATACGCGCGCCCCCTTTCGGTTCTTGAATCTTGAGACTTGGAACCCAAAGTGACAGTACAGAGTGCAACTTCTGTATGCATGAAATGACATTAGATTGAACCGACCAATCGTGAACAGAGTACCTGAAGCACGACATACCATCAGTCTGTCTGCCTGCCGAAGTTCATCCAGTTTCGACAGGTGACCCCCGTTGGCGCCGGCAGCCGCGACAGCACTAGCATCTTAGCGGACTCCGGGGACCCGAAGTGCTGCCGGTTTGCGGGCCTCCAAGCATCACCACCGGCGATGCAACTCCACCTTTGCCAGCTTCCCGCCCCATCTTCGGGCGATATCATTCCGAATAGTGCCCTTGGCGGTGCGTCGACGAGGGGCAGCTGCGCAGATAACTACGCCGAACAGCCTCATGATTAAATGTCAGGCTCTGCTGCACATCGCCGGAAAGGTCTTCAGAAGTCGTCTGGATAGCTCTCCTGTGTCAACTCACATGCATACTCTTGGTGCTGTTACTTTCTCCAATTATTGACCAAGATGGGCGGCGGTGCACCTGTTATTTGTGACGTGCGGTTCGAACACCATCCAACCGGGCTTGGCCTTCATGAGCGCTCTCCTCGAATATCATGGCGGTACAAGGCAGACTCATCTCATGCTCCCAGCAGCTGGATTCAAACTTCATATGAGGTTGAGATCAACCGCCGAACCTCCGGAAACACGCAGGCTTTCAAGATGGCCAGTGACGAAAACGTCTTGATACCATGGCCCGATACGCCTCTTTCTTCCCGTGAGAATGTCGCCCTTCGTATCAGAGCATGCGGAACCAGCGGCTCGACACCTAGATCGACGGATGGGAAAACAGCAAACACAGAGTGGTCGGATTGGGTCGCTGTGGAAGCCGCCTTGCTGGAACGTCAAGAGTGGGCGGCTGATCTCATCACGAGTTCAACGAGGACGGGACTACCTCTTGACGGTGAGAGAACCGAGTACTTTCGACCAATACGGCTTCGCAAAGCTTTCGATGTAAACAAAAAGCCCGAGCAGGCGAGACTGTATATTACTGCACTTGGTGTTTACGTCGCATACCTCAATGGAACCCGGATCGGCGATGAACACATGGCTCCAGGTTGGACGTCTTATCAACACAGGTTGCAGTATCAGACATTTGATGTTGGAAATCTTCTGCGCATTGGTGAGGTCAATACATTGGCCATTGAGGTTGCTGAAGGATGGTATGCTGGCAGGGTTGTCTGGGGCAAAGGGGTCACCTGCTTCTATGGTGACGAAATTGGAGCCCTTGCTCAGCTTGAAGTACGCCACTCAGACACGAACAAGCCGGAGTTGACGGTGAAGACCGACGAAACCTGGCAATGGCTTGAATCCCCTATTCAATCAAGTGGTATATACGATGGGGAGGTCTACGATTGCCAGCAAGAAGAGAGCAACTGGAATAACGTCAGCGCCCAGACTGAGACATCTTCTTCCTGGCAAGCAGCCAAGAAACTCCCTTTCCCGGATGCAACTTTATTAGCATCACCTTGTCCTCCAGTCAAAGTAACAGAACTTGTGAGGCCCACCCGGATATTTCAATCACCCTCAGGCAAAACTCTGGTCGATTTTGGTCAGAACCTGGTTGGCAAGATTCTCATCCACTCCCTCTCAATGCCACGAGGTCACACACTGACCATCCGGCATGCGGAGGTCCTTGAGCATGGAGAGCTCGGCACACGTCCATTGCGCTGTGCCAAAGCAACGGACTCGATCATATTTTCGGACTCTCCTTTGGCTCAATACATGCCACAGTTCACTTTCCATGGTTTTCGATATATTGAGCTGGATGGGTGGGCTCCATCTGACCCGTCGGACCCCCTAACTGTGGACTCAATATCAGCAGCTGTCATGCACACAGACATGCGCCGCACGGGCTACTTTGAGTCGTCTAACGAGTCTCTGAACCGCCTGCACTCCAATGTTACCTGGTCCCTTCGTTCGAACTTCTTCTCTATCCCAAGCGACTGTCCACAGCGAGATGAACGGCTCGGCTGGACAGGTGACATTCAGGTGTTCGGTCCCACGGCATCTTTCCTGTACGATAGTGCAGGTTTCATGGGAAACTGGATGCGCGATCTCATCAGCGATCAAAAGCAAGCGGGCGGCATCGTGCCGATGGTAGTCCCCGACGTGATGCCAAATGGACCCTGGCCTTGTGTGGCTCAGGCGGTGTGGGACGATGTAGTGGTACTTCTGCCATGGACCCTGTACCAATGGTCACGGGACGATGGACCACTTCGGGAGTGTTACTCAGGCATGTTGGACCATCTAAGGGTCATACCTCGTGCGGATGACGGGCTTTGGGAGACCGAGATGTGGAAGCTCGGAGATTGGCTAGACCCGGCTGCTCCATCAGATAACCCAGCCCTTGCCATGACTGATGGCACATTGGTGGCAGATGCATACTTGGTGCATGTCACGCGGACAGTTGCGAAAGTCGCAAGCGTCTTGTCGAAACCAGAGGACGAGAAACGATTTCAGCAAGAGGCTGAGAGACTAGCGAAGGCATTCAGGCACAAGTATATTGCCGGATCTGGTCTTGTGGTCGGTGATACACAGACAGCTTTGGCACTAACTCTGGTTTTTGGACTACATGAGGATACTGATGTAGCTGGGCGTGCCTTGGCTGCAGCACGGCTTGACAAGTGGGTTCGCGCAGCAGACTTCAAAGTCAGTACTGGATTCGCTGGTACAAATGTGATTCTACCTGCGCTATCTTTGGATCTGCCTGCGTCCGCATCCAACATACAGTTAGCATACAAGATGCTGCTGTCAGACAAGTGCCCTTCTTGGCTGTATCCCGTCAGTCAAGGCGCTACCACCATCTGGGAGAGATGGGACAGTATGCTTCCCTCTGGAGAGATCAACCCAGGTGAAATGACCAGCTTCAACCACTACGCTCTTGGCAGTGTAGCTGCTTGGATGCATGAGGTCATCGGCGGACTAGCCTCTCTTGATGACGATACAGGCATACCGGGATGGAAGAAGTTCAAAGTGAGACCGAGACCTGGCGGCGATTTGACCAGAGCCAAGACGGAGTACCTGAGCGGATACGGATGGATCAAGTGCAAGTGGGAGATCTTGAGCACGGGAAGCGGTGTAAAGACCTTCAAGATGAGCCTCACCGTGCCGCCCAATTCGACAGCTGTGGTATTATTACCGAACGCTGAGCAGAAAGGTGAAGACGAGGAGGTACTCGTCGGTTCAGGGGAGCACCATTATGAGTGTGCATATGAAGACCCTGGCGAATGGCCGCCAAAGTCCTCTATTCCGTTCTGATTGGCCGGACGAAAGACACGTATATAGTCAGAATAAGGTTTCGGTGGCGAGAATCATAACCATAGCTACCCGATACCAAACCATGAAAGAAACTAAGCAAAGAGCCACAGTACTATTAAAGCCTAGAAAACCAGGAGTGCCTATCAGTTGCTCCGTCATCATCCTTGGCTCTCATGAGCCGTCTCTGGCCCGGACACCTCCGGCAACCGAAAACCACGAGACCGAGCCGACAGGAAAGGAGGCTTCTCTCGCAAGCGGTAACCCCACCACCGTCGGACCCGAGAATCACAGAACCGCAGACCATGCACACCACAAAAAATAAAAAACCCTTTGTAGAACGAGTATTGCCGGTCGTGGCCATCACGTCCGAGAGCCAGTTGCAAGAAGTCGCGAACATGAGTTCGCTCCATGGCAGCGAGATCATCCGGTCTCGGGACAGGACTGAAGCCAATCAGACCCATCGTCTTGTTACATACGCTCTCAGACCTTGGGCTACGAGGTCATGGAGCATCTCCACAGTAGACACGAGGGAGTTCCGGTTAACTCAAAAATTCGACAACCAAGCGTGCCCTGGGCAACAGCAATCATCTCTGCCACGTGAGCGCCTCTCTGGTAAGTAGATCTCAACCGTCCCAGCGACTGAGGCCATTCCGCGGCCGGCGCGCCGGCGCTGACCCACAGCAAGCGAACAAGAGTATGCATCATGCGGATGCCTCCAAGGCTACAATACACCCGCTCCCCTTGAATGGTTTGGTTGCTAATTCAGCCCTTTACGGTCATAAATCATGGGGATTCATCGGTCAGTTAACAAATTGAAGCCTTGGTCCGTATTAACCCGCCTGTGATTCTGAAGAGCTTTGCGGTAGCGGATCGTTATCACTCCTTAAATCTGTACTTGGCTGTCAGGTCATACCATCAGGAGATGAGGTGACGGAAAAAGAAGCCATCAACACTCGGCTGTTGACGTGACCAGTGCATCATAACATCAGAGGAGTCAAGAGCAAACATTGAATTATAGTGCAATTTCACAGTCTCTGCTACCCCTCCCTACCAAACATCTGTTTTCTCAACTGTCTTACCGCAAACGGCGAGGCTGCGCGTTGATGCTCAATAGTTATCATCCTCACATTCCTTCTTGATTTCAATTTCCCTCTTGATTCCGACTTCCTCCTTGGTACCCACTTCCTCCTTGATGTCGCCCGGCACCCGGCCTACACGGGGCTCGGAGTGAGGGTGCTGGTAATGAGTGAAAGCGATACGCCTTCCGCCATCAGCTGGGGCGATACCTGGATAGTTGAGTCTGGCCAAGGCGTACTCAACATAGCGGGGTCCTGGTGTAAGTAAGCATGATGTATGCTGAGAATAGAAGTTCGAACGACTCACGGCGGATATGAAATAGTCCCTTCCCCTTGCCAAGAATCTTCACCTCCTCTCGGCTCAAGAATAGTAGAGCCAGAAAAATAGAGCCAGCGAGCGCGGAATCGTTACCCGAGTTGCGGGTCACATTGAAGTTGTTGACCGTGGTCTGCAGGCCTATGTGCTGAGCCAAATCACACAGACCCAGCTGGATGCCTGCAGGCAGCACGTTCGTCAGCTGTAGCAGAGTCAGTTAGGCTCAATACAACGCTTCACCCAGTCAGATGCTAAGGGTAGGACGCACGAGAGGGGATGACTTGATGTCCCAGATCTGATAGAAGACTCGCTGGCGGTAGAAATCGCACTGGAAATGGGCCAAGACGCCTTCGACAATCTGGGCGTCGTAACCTGCCACGATGACGTCGCGAATCTCGCCGTTTTGAACTTGCTTCTTTGTCAGATGGAGCTGCGAGGCGCGGGTGAAAGTTTTGTCCAGCCGGTAGCGGATCTGGTCAGCATCGATGTACTGACTCTTGCCAAAGGCATACAGCCAAAGACGAGATATGTGTGTGGGGTCATGACAGGTCGCATCTTGGCCCCCCTTTCCAGTATGGTGGCCCATGAACTGCTTGACGATGTAATGCTGTGATCGCATGATCGATTGAAGGTTTTCACCGCGCCTTCCAGGGTGGCTCTTGCCCTGTTGCTGAGCGAGAAGGTCCAGGTCCAAGAATGTCAGGCCCATCTCGGAAATGACGAGCTGGTCACCTTCATGACTTTGGCAAAGGGCCTCGAAGGACAGGAAAACCACGACCGGGGCTCTGGTGACGTCTGTATCCCTCAAGAACACATCTTGAAGTGAAGGGACGCATGACGGGAAAACGGGCATGACTTCATTGAAATGCTCAGGTCGGTTCTCGGGGGGATAGTAGACGGGCTTTGTTCCGTCAGTCGTCACTCTGGGCTCGCCGTTGGGCTCGCGGTCGAAGAAACCCAAACCCACAAAGGCCAGAGCCCACACAGGCACAGGACCTCTGAGGTTTCCAGGGCTAGAGAGGAGTTAGTTTCGGGCATGACACACGACGGATGGGCAGTTTGGTGACATACCTTCCCGGGGCCGCCTCGGCCTTGGCTGCAAATGCATCCAGGCTCATGTTAACGATCCTGCACAAATAGGAAAGTCAGCTCCCAAAAGGATAGAGAAGGAGACATTGGGGGAGGAAAATTGTCTTCTCTGGAGGATGGGAAAGGAAACTCTGTTTGAGTGGCAAGGAGGGAGTGGAGAACAGGGAGGAAATGGCCACCCATTTGCTAGCAAACGGCAGCGAGGAAATGACCAGAGGTCCCCCGGACGCTCTCTCGTGGTGTGTCTGGATGGAAGGTTCCAAGTATGTTCAGTGGTGATCAGGATGAAGATTCAAGTGTTGTTGAGTGGCCACAGTGCTCTGCGTAGTACTGTTGTGTAGACAAAGTCACACACTCGTGACGACGCTAATGGCACACCCAAGGTGAGGTCGAGCCCGGATTTGACGATGGACTGGTGATGGTATTGATGATGGTGGTGATGATGATGATGATGGTGATGATGATGAAAAGAACGATGAAAAGGAAGACTTACCTACCGTTTTGTGGTGGACGTGATGGACGTGGTGGACGTGATGGATGTGATGGGGGGAGGATCACGGGCTGGTGGCGAAAGAGTTTGCGTTGGTGGTGGTTTTGGTGGGTTGGGAAATTGAGGGAACTGTAAGGAAAAATGAGGGATTGGCAAGGAATTTCGTTTGTTTGGTGGAGGGAAGCAGCTATCGAGGTTGTCCAGGTGGTGTCAACAAATACTTGACGAGGAAGCAGGTGCGCTGCACCTTACCTGGAGGCAACCGGCCATTGTTGCCCGCAGTGGCTGTTCCCGATCCTCTGCTGCGCTGATCGCGCCGACCGAGTGGCCGCGCAGTTGTCTCGAATAATTTGGATGGTGCTCGTGGGTTATAGTTGGTACGTAGGTAGCATCTACTTGCATCGGAAACTCGGGCTGTGATCCCGCAGGGAGGCCTTTGCTAATCAGGAGACTCATTTTTTCAACCCCATTCTTGTCCCTTTCACCCTCCCTGATTTTCTTCAGCCTTACCATCACACGTAAGCGGGTAGATAGTACATCGAGAGTTATCACCTTGGTTTACGCCAGCGGCACCGCAGGGAGCTCTGGGAAAGAGGGGACTTGACTGTCTCTGCCGCAGGTTCTCTCCTCGGCGAAGATACGGCCCAAGATGCTCACCGAAATGCCAGCCATCTGCTCAATATCTGGGTATTGGTAGAAGGTCAATCACCTCACCGACATCAGAATCCTCCTCCATGGCTCTCTTCAGCTTGTTGAAATATTTCTGCTCCTAGCCCTGCTCAACAGAGTCGGGATTCAATTGTCCTGTCGCTTGGTGATCTGCTCGAGTCGCTCTTTAAGATTTAATCGGCGCAGGTCGGCCACTGCCTGCTACTTTCTCGTGCCCTCTCTTCCATTCAACATACTGTTCAACATACTGTCACTTCACACACAGAAAACACACACAGGCAAGATTGAACGGTTTCAATACTCTCTCTCTTGGTGACTATCTTCAGATCCACGCGTACGACAATAAGACCCTTCCCACGATGGCTGCAAACGTCTAGGGCTAATGGTGACGCCTGGGAGCTCGAGATCGTCACTTTAGCAATATTCCCAATGCTCCAAAAGGTGAGAAGTCAGATTCACTTCACCTTCGCCCCGATATTTTTAGATTGTTCCATTTGTATGCCGGCGGTTGGGTGGCGAGCTGTCGCGACCATGTGGGAAACTCATTCGTGCCGGACTTCCCCGGCTGAGATTATGACGAACACTGTATTTTCCATCTTGTATTCCGGGCCGTCATTATTATCGCCAGTCTAATAACAACGGGTATCCCACTACACATCTTAGGATTAGCACGACTAATCGGACTCAACCCAGGAGACCCGACTAATTCCTCCCTAATTTCATTAACTATTCTACTGCAATACGTACTGTTGTTCCACTTTAACCCATTGGGAAAAGTTTGGCTCTTTCTAATTAATATGGCTATTCCAGTATGATCCGCACTGTTACTCCAAGTGAACCCACTGGAAAGAGTTTTGGGGTTTTCAAGTTCAACCGACTATTCTACTGTAATAAGCACTATCATTCCAATGTGACCCACTACAAAGAGCGTGGCATTTTCTAACTCATATAGCGATTCTAGTCTGCTACGGATCATCACTCAATTATCACCCACTTGCAGCGCAGAACGAACAGTTAGATAAAATAACTCACAATCTTTTATATCTCAACAGAAAGAGCTTCCTAGTCACTCCACATTGGACTTTGTTTCGAATGACCCTATCATGTCGAAATCCCGACGAATATCCTACGTTGATGGCAAATACGTGGCCGCGCCTCACAATACCCATTTTCGCTATTGATAAATCCCAATGATAACTCTCCTCGTAAGATGCCGCATCCCCGGCATCATGTGTGAGGCGAAAACTCCCAGTCCTCATCAAACTGGTCAAAATGCACCTCCGCATTTCCTTTGAACAAGTTTTCATACTTGTCGACGTAAATACTCGGGTCCTTGCGCTGCTCAAAATAATCGTGAGCCTGGGCCTTCATAACGGGGTGGTTCCACATCGTGGCCATCCAAGCTAATCCATCATCGGATATGCCATCCATTGGAAGCTGGTAGCTCCTGAATCTCTGTTTATTATTAGCTTGATTCACAATATTTACTCATTTATGATGATATTTACCCAGAGAACCGGCCAGAAGAACGCATCGGCGATGCTGAACGCGCCGAACAGGAACCCTTCGTCCTCCTCCCCGAGCTCCTGGAGGCGCTTCTTGGTGTGGGCTCTCGCTCCACTCCAGATCCCTACCATCTTCCTGATTTCATTTGCTGCAGCCTCCGAGACGGGGATCTTCCCCGTGTATTTGGCTACAAAGTTAGTGTGGTACGTGTTGCGCATCTCGCCGAAGCCGGCGTGCATCTGCGCGGCGGCTGCGCGGGCCAGGGCTCGGAGCTTGGCATCTCGTGGCCAGAGGCCATGGTCGGGAAACCTGTCGGCCAGGTACTCGCATATGGCGAGCGACTCTTCTACCAAGAAGTCCGGGTCCTCGTCATGGGGCTGCAGCATTGGATAGAGGCGGCCGTTGAAACGCTCGTCGGTGGGCCGCTGGGCAGGGTCGAAGATGTTGTAGTAGTTCGCTTTATAAGGGATCTTGAAGTATTCGAGGACCAAGACAACTCGAGCAGTCCAGCCTAGGAGTCATGTGAGTCAATCAACCCTTGTGCAGCATACAATTACTAGGCTTACTTGAATACGTGGTCCAGAAGCCATGGAGCGTGATTTGAGACTCTGCGCCTCCTGTTTGAGCCATGACGTCGAGAATGTATACAGGAAGCAATATGGTTCTCACAATTGATCGCAGGATTCCAATTTTGCGATATACCTACTCGAGGAGTCATTCCTAAGCTCAGTGAGTCATGTGAAGCTATTTTCGGCAGGAACGCCAGGTTCGTATTAGTCACCCAGGTACCCGTTGAGCCAACCCCGTTCCCGTTAGCCAACTTCAACACGGGTTGACTAGACAGGCGCCATAGGAAGCTTGATACATGGAAATATCAAATCAATCATGACATAGGTTCAAATATACGAACTTCTGCGCACTGTCTTTGTTAACAATATGCGAATAACATGAACGTAGAGTCTCGCCTAAATGCCCCCATCAGAACGAACACAAATGTCTAACCAGAAGCAATTTCCTCTTCGCCAGTGTCTTCCCCATCCATATCCTCCTCAAGATCGCTGTCGTCGACGACGCTGCTATGACTTGACAATGCTTGACGGCTATGTTGGCTCTCGTCGTCTGCTCTCCACATCTTTAGCCGCAACACTGTCGATCCAAGGGTTTGGCTCTTCATCGAAAGGCGAAATCTCAAGTCGCGCTCTCGAAACCTCCATGAACTCCTCCAGACTCTCAATAGCCAGTTCCATCAACTCATTCCGCACATACAAGGCTATGGCTCGGAAAGTTTCAGCCTCTTCCTCTATCCTTGCCCTCGTCTTGTCTCCGGCCAGTCTGTGCAAAGTCTCTCGCGCTTTCAGCGGATTACCGTCTTTGATATCAGCGATTGTTGACTTGAGAGTCGCGCACTCGGCGAGAATGCCGCGGTTTCTGACGTCTATCAGAAGCTGCTCAAAGAGGTCCACATCCCGTTGATGAGGTCGTCTCTCGTCCGGGAAAAGAACAGCAGAATCGGTGTACATAGTCCACCACAATTCTCCCACGGGTGTCAACGCGTTGGCGTTACGCTGCCTAATATCCAGGCCTAAGATTCCTGCTTTGAGTAAATAGTCATACATATTAGAGGAGCCATATCTGGCAGCGAAATGCAGAACATTGAAGCCATGCTCGTTAGCAATATCGGTTCGTGCTCCTGAATCAATCAGCAGTTGTGTCATGGTTACATCTGTGCGAGAGACTGCAGCCAGTAGTGGCGTACGCCCGTAATCATCAGCTGTATTTACCATCGCAACCACTTGATTTCGGATGATGGCAAACAGCTCCTTCTTCAGGGATGAGTGTAAATCCGCATCTGCTAAACCAGCTAGTACAGAGAAGCCGGTGGCATCCTTGTGGAACAGCGATGCGCCGTGTTCGATCAGATACGATACTATGACGATGACAGACTCTGAATCACCACGTAATGCAATCATGAGTGGTGTCATGCCGAGAGCATTGAGGCAATTCACGTCGCTACCGGATTCCACAAGTATTCTTACGAAGTCAGGCAACCGAACCGCGGCAGCCAAATGGATTGGCTTATCTCCCCGGAAGTCTTTCACGTCTGGGTTTGCCCCAGCATTGAGAAGAGCTACTAGTGCACTCTCGTTGCTAAGGCAGCACGCAATATGTAGTGGCGCCATACCAGAGTCATCGAGTTGGTCGATGGCCGAAGGGTGCGATAGCAAGGTATCTGACAAGCCATGACGATCCCGGACTGCTTGGTGCAGTGGAAACTGCGTCGAATCCAAGTCTTGTTCGGCTAGTCTGATGATCCAGGAATTGATAAATGACTCTTCGTCTGATAGATTGATATTGAAGTATTGGCGACCCTGCGCATGCATTGCTGCTCGACTAACTAGATATGAGGATACGGTTCCAACACGGACGTGCGCAGGTACTCACCTAATGGAATCTGTGCCTACCAACATGTACTCGAAACTGGTTAAGAAATACCTGGCGGTGTCCCATTGACCCTTCTGTATGGCCCACTGCTTTCTAAGTTAGCACCATCTCCGGGATTATGTACAGTATCTTGACTAATCACCTCTAACGTAGACTCTCCAGCAACACCTAAATCAATAGGCATACATGACCTCTTCCGTATATATCTCAATGTAGCACTCGGGCTACCAATTGTAAAGTAGGTCCATAAGCCATCATTCGCCGACAACAAGGTAGGCAGTCGCAGCGAGAGACCAATTCCGGTTTTGAGACTGAAGGTTGCAGTGAACTCAAAACTTCGCTCTCCTACCCATTGTGGTAACTTGGCAAGAAAGCGGTATTTGAAGGGTTGCAATGAACAACGGCAAGAGCATCCGGATTTCCACAGTCTGGTGATTGTGACTGCTTGTTGACTGCGACACCGAGGTTCCCTTGAGTGACAAATACAACAGCATGGAGCTCGTTGGGTGTTATAGAAGGCACCATTTCTACTCGGGTCATGCAGTCGAAAGTTCGTAATGGAGCTTTTGTCCCCATATACGCTTGCTTCTGGTTTGTTGCATACAGCATTCCTTTCGACGGTCACACTATGCATTTCCAGGATCAGCGTGTTTTGGATTCGCCGCTCTTGTCTAGGTAGTACGTGGTTAGTCTACTAACGTTGCAGTAGCAAGGAATACGTAGGAACCGCAGGGTTAAGGGAATTTCATGCGGTCGCAATCTACACTTAAATGTAGAAGTGGTTGTATGTCTCGCCGTGCCACTTATCCTTGAAAAGAGCTTGCTCATTTGAACTGCCATCCCGAGAGAGAATACTCACAAAGATTGCCTGAAAGCCAGCATGTCCATAGCTGATTTCAGGTGGTCCTTGATCCGGCGGGCTCGCTCACAAAGTCGGGTGATGTCCTCTTTCTTCCAGACCCACTTGATGCGCATGGTCTTGGAGAGCCGCTGGCCGTTGTCTTCCGATGGGCACTGCTTTGCCAGTTCTTCGAGCTGTCCCAGGAGCCGGTTGAGCTCCTTTTTTATCCTCTCAATATACGCGGGCTCCTTGGGAGCGATGACGTTAGGCAGGTCATCGGCGGCGATTAGGCCGAAACACATTTGGACGTCTTCGTGCAGTGCGACGAGTATGTCGAGCTGGGGTCTTGGTCAGTCTTTCTCTGACCTACAAGAAACATGGCAACCGTGGTGGGTATACCTCAAACAAGAGCTCCTCCAGCTCTTCTCTTGTATTCGCGAACGCTTGGACAGCCTTGACAACTTTCGGTATGGCAGCCAGCGCCTGCCCGATGGCAATAAAGCTGGCGGCGGCGCTGACACCATCCATCGCCAGGTGCGTGAATCAGGCCGAAAACAGGAGTTTGCCGAGAGCGTCTCCCAGGGGTTACTCGATGGGGTCGAGGTCCACGCATGGGAAAGAAGAAGAGAGGGGAAGGGAAAGATGGAAGAGGCACCTCTCTTTGGGAGATATAAGGCTCTGGGCCATGGATGGTCGGTCAGCCCCGGAGTACGCCTGCATATCGATGTACCAATCAGGCTGCCAGACCTCACCGCGCCCCGGAAGATGGCGCATCGCTGGGCTTGATCAGCCAGGAAAATGTCGCCAACTCTTCTCGGACCTAAGTTCGCCAGATCCTAAGTGGACAGGACATGCAGTGTAACGATTGCTTTGCAGGTTTATGATTTGCTGATTAAGACTCTTATTATATGCTGGCATCCCAGCTACAGGAGGTGTTATGTACGCACAGCCGACGCAATCGGTCACCCAAGCGCTACATCTATGCATATAAGTGCTCGAGGAACAGGTGCTAAGTATAAGAGACAATTCTTGTCCCTTCCGCAATCGACAAACCCTCAGGGCCAACGGCAGCCCACCATCCAATCAGGATAACGCCATGGTATAAGAGCCCGTACAATCCCAAAGACCCCTAGCCTCAATCGACGCCGGCGGGGGAATACAAACCCTTGAAGTCGCCGCCGCCGCCTCGAACTCCCAGCATTAAAATTGGTATATCCATGAGCTCCATCATCTGACACCAGCCCTTGAGCTCCTTCCGCGCTCCCTATCATTATCCCTCCGAGTCGTGCCGGTGGCTTTGAGCCAGTCGTCCCATTCCTTGGAGATCTCCATCAACACGGAACCCATGACCGTCGCGCTGGCCATGAGACCGTGGCCCTCGCCCTCGAGAACGCGGACCTCGCATCTGCGCATCGTCTTGCCGAGCCATCGAACATTCTCGACGGGCACGCGGTTATCCCTGCTGCCGTGATGGATCACTACAGGCCGCGTGATGTCAACGTAGCGGAAGCCGATCGTATGACGACGCTCTAGACAGACGAGAAGATCCACTGCGGGATTGGCACCGGTTGTCGCCAGGTCCCAAATGGCATAGGTGAGGCGGGTATCGTAGGTCAGCTGGCGCTCTTGGTCGGCCATGGCATCCGATGCTGCGTTGAGGACGGCATTCTGCGAAGAGCTGAATTCTGAGTCTCGTGGTCGGATCTGATCCATGTTCTCGGTGACCATGGGTGGCGCCTTGGTGTCATCGTCCATCGGGTCCTGAGCCATGTTTTCCTTTTCGAGGCCGGGGGTGGCATCACGGCGCCCCGCCACGGTGGCAGTAGACTTTCGCTTGCTCCGGCGTTGTTTCGGGAGGGAACTTGTGATGGAGCTGCTCGTTGCAGTCATGAAGGAACTGTTGGCAGCTTTAAGAAAAGGGGTGGGGAGTGCCCGGAGAATTCGCTGAGAAGTGGGAATTGCGTTGGTAGGAGGCGAGACGTGCGATGTACCAAAGACGTTCATCTGTGATGGAGGTATCCACGGCGCCAATAAATGGATGCGTCCTCGGATGTGTTGTGGCATACGAAGCGCTGTTGCAAGGGCGTAGATGGCACCGGCTGAGTGCGCTAGAATGGAGAATTTGGTGATTTTCAACGCTTGGCATATTGCGTACACGTCGTCTGCGAAAGTGTTAGCATAATGCTGTCGATCATGCGGGACGGTTGGTCCAGCTTACCGGGCCAGCTGAGCGGAGTCGCTGTTCCGTCTGTGTAGGGCTCGCTGTCGCCCACACCAGGGCGATCAGGGGTAATGAGCCGCAACTTGAGCGTCAAGGCAAGCTCATCATAGAAGGCCATGATATATCTCGTCAATCCCATGCCTACGCAACAGAAGACTGCTGACCCTTCCGAGTCGCCAACTTCGGAGAACGAAATCACCCTACCCGTCTGTGGGTGCTTGATTTTCTGTGAAAGTCGAGGAGAACATAGATACGATTCAACAGCATCATCGACAGAGTCAGCACTAGGTGGTCGTTCGTAGGACACCTGAGTTTCAGGTCCTGGCGCTTTGGCATCCTCTTCCGAGCCTCTCGGCGCCGACAGTCGCTTCAGTCGCGAGCTGCTGCGCTTCATCTTGAGAGCATCCCCGGGCTCCGGCGTGGTGCGGCCTGAGGTCCTCCTCTCACTGCTGCGCGCACTACGCCGCCTGCTTGAATAGACGGAAGGAAATGGCGCTCCATCATCAACGGCGTCTTGTACCGCTGCTTTCTTATCATTCCCAACTGTGGCATTGTGGGAGTGCCGCCTGCTCAGGGAGGCGCCTGGCCTCGCCGACTCGTGCATGTCTGCCCGCAATATATCTTCGCTCCTCTTGGTAGTATCAGCCTCCGAGCTCTGGCGGGCCAGAGGTCGCCGCTTAGAAGCGGACAAATCTCGTGACCGGTCGTGCTCTTCGTTCTCTGGGATACTGTTGTTGACGCCGTTGTCACTGTCACGCTTTGTTCTTGTAGATCTAGACGACCTTCTCGCATTCGAGCCCGTCTTGCGTAGAGACGACTCACGCGTCGGAATGGGCCTCTGAAACCCCGGTTCAGTGGACGGGCTACGTTCAGGCATGCCCTCCTGGTCTGTTGGGTCGAGGTAGTATGGTTCCTCGCGGATGGGTGTTTCAACCAATGATGCGTCTGGCCGTGACGACGACGCTCCGTTTGACCCGTTGGGATTGCTGCTCGAAGAGCCACCGCCGGCACGCTTGCGCTCGGCGTCTGAAGCTCGCAGCCTCTCCTTTGAGCTCATGTACATGAGCCCCTTGGAATTGCGGCCCGACTTTCTCCCCCAGCTGTCTTGCGATTGCTGGCGGTGCAGCTCGGGCGTCTGTGGTGCTCCACGTTCGATCGAGAGGTTGCCGATGCTCCGTGAATCATCATGCGACGAGGAAGCGGAGCCTCGGGAGGACGGTCGCGAGGATCGCAACAGCGACTTCAAGCCGGCGCTGACTTCGCGATGCGGGGATCGAGGGGACTTGGGGGCCGTCAATGGCGACAAGCCGGAAGGGGGAGGCGCCGTTCGGATGATGGGGGGACTGGCGGCCAATTCGTCCAGTGACACGCTCTCCTCCTCCAATCTGCCGAGCGACGGCGAGGAGAATGCGCCGTAGTCGACACCAAAGCTGCCCTCCCTCGGGGACGTGGGCAGCGAGAGGGTCTGGTTGTCGAACAGGGAGCTGGCCGGCTTGGAGATGACCGACAGGCTGGTGATCAGGGAAGATATGACCTCGGGCGATGAGGGGGTGAAGGGCCGGCTGCCGTCTTCGCTGCGGTGGACGTCGACTCGCAGTGACTTCTGCCGCGACGAGTGGTGAGGCTGCCGGGGGATAGGGGGCAGCACTGGGGCACCCGAAGTCGAGGTCGCGGCCGAGTAGGAGTAGTCCATCGCAGAGGCGGCAAGGCAGGAAGGCCGGACTCGTCGGGTCAGTCGAGCGGGTTTTCCTTGGTGCGCCTGACTAAGGTAGTCGGTTCGTCCAGTGTCTGTAACGCCAGGCCGTGGCTCCTGCAGGTGGGAGAAACGAGAAGGAGTGCAGAGTGCAGAGTGCAGCACGCGCCGCCGTCGAGCGCCGTACCGTAGCGGTTACGGGTTTGCTTGGCCCAGGTCACACAGCCAGCAAAGCTCGCAATCTGCAGGGTCCGGGACGCTGGCGACCCAGGAGGAACTGGCACCGCGCTCGATTGGGGCAGGTCGGTCGGCGGCTCGCAGGTAAGCCGTGACTAGATCTACCCGGCGCGCAGAGGTTAAAATTGGCTGTGGACTGGTTCCGGGTTGGGAGGAGGAACTCGACGAGACCGCCAGCGACCGGACGCGCGTGTGCACAGTAGTTTGGGATCTCTCGGCGTCAACCCACGGCCCAAGGATTATGGCGCGCAGCTTGTATCGTTTCGGTCAGGGGGGTGGATTGGAAGTCGAAGGCAATTCGGGCGGTGGATGCGCGCTTGCTGCTCATCATTCAACAGCGTGACAGTGATGGCAGCGGGGCGTAGATCATGCATCCATCCCCCCTGTGATCCCTGGATCGTCCGGTGTCAAAGCTCCTTGCGTGTGTGCGTCGTGTGTCTCTGTGCGTCGGTCGTCGTCGTGCCATGTGGGCTCCCGCCCGGAAGTGGTGGGTGTTGCGACGACTGAGGTGGTAGAGAGATCGAGAGATACGGCGACTCGGGTTTAGATATAATGCATTAATGTTGTCTTGCTGCCCGGTCTATATACTTTCTGTCGCACCCGGCTGTCATCTGAGCCAAGTTACATGGCAGGCGACAGTCAACAAGACAGCAGTTCAGTCTCGCTCACTTCCCTTGTTGGACACTGTGCAAGAATCTCTCTCCCGTCCGGCTCGACGCTATGGGAGTAGGTAAACTTTGCGTCCCATTTCCGAATGTCTTGCAAGTTAAGGCTGCTCCCGTTCGGGTTAAGGGTCTCATCTTGGGCCTTGGGGTGGAGCGCTTGCTTATTTCCCCAATCTGCACGCTGACTGGCCAGAGCTCCCAGTATTGCCGGATCGTCCATCCACTTCCATCTCCAACCCCTGAGTGACCCTGTGGTGGGTGATATGTTGTTTCCTGGTAGCAGCGTACTACGGTACGACTTTATTGAACTATCTCTGCTCCATAACTTCAACTCCCGATTCGGAATGCCATGCCACGTATCAGGTAGTCCTGAAGCCCAAAACGTCATCCAGCCCTGCCATTCATGTTTGCAAGATGTCAGTCTTAGAACTGCAGCGTGGCGCAATGTCGCAGTCTTTCGCCAAGGGCTTATTACGAGAGTCGCTGCTCTTGTCACTGTTGCATCCAAGACACGAGTGGCGCTCCCACCCGTCTACCGTGTATGCAGTGGGAGCATTGTGGCACTGGAGAAATGAGGATGCCATCCATATGCCTACTTCCCGTGTGAGCCTGTTCTGCAGAGAGCCTGGTTTCGACAAGTCTAGCACATCTTCTCTGCAGAGTACAAGAATCGAACATCCGCCATCCTATTATAATCCTATGTACAGGATCTTACCAAGCCAATGCAAAATGCAACCTGCATGAGATGCTGGCGTTCATGTACAATACGTGGCTCGGAAATTACTAGCTCTGCAGAGTTGCATCCCGTGTGACCTTAAGCGTCGCGTCGGCAGTCTGTGTGCTTCTCGAATACGACAGGATAAGATGTGGAAATGAAAAGACGGGATGCCAATGCACAAGGCTTTCTTTCGCACCTGAGCCCGATGGGAGCTCTCGAGTGAATCGAGTCTCCTGAATGTTACATAGTACATAGTACAACCCCAAGAACCCCTGGCCAGATCGTGAAGCTTCGGGGCGCTAGAGGGTTCTCAATGGCGCTTTGTGGGGAGGCCCAGGACACCGGATTCATCACGGGCCATGGTCAGCTTTGGCTAATAAGGGGCCCGTCGGGACATGCTTAGCGTACACCTCGGTGACGAATATCAGGTCCTCAGATTGTGACCCAAGACCCCGTATAGAGCGACTTATAGCAACACATTGATCAGCGGTTAGCTGCGAGTGACCCTGCTGTAGACGCCTATTGCAGCCAGTATCTGAGAGCTCATTGCCCACGTCAAACTAGGTACTAGTGCGAGCGGTGATCTTCGATGCGGATAGTAGCCGTTGGTACCCACGTCGCATTCCGGATGGAGTTAACCAAAAACAACATCGTCAGTTTAACTGTACATATTCTCAGCATCAACCGACAACCAGAGTCAAGGGGAATCTGAAACCATGTCTCCCTCCCCGCGCCATCATGAAATTCTCCGCTCAAACCAGAACCCCTGCTTATCTCAACCTTACGCTGATTCGCGAATCTACTGTATGTACAGCCGGGCCGCGTCGCTGACATCTCGAAACGCCGGGGTAGGGTAAGTTGGCTATTAGTGAGACCTACGTCATACCCAACCACCACCCAGTGGAAACATCATGGTAAGCAAAAAATCAAGGCAAGGAAGAAACTCAGGGCAATTCGAACAAAAGTCATTCATCCGTCTGCTCCATCTCCAGCCCATTTCCTATGATTATTATTACCAAAAGCAATTTTCCTCTCGAAATAGCTACACCATTGGCGCCACGCTGAGGCTAGAGCGCACCGCTCCCGAATTTCGAAGTTGGAAGCACAACCCTATCAGCCAAGATGCTGGACGTTCTGCTATCTCTCCCGATCCTGTCGTACTTTGCGGCACCCGCGCTGACCTCATGGTCGACGTCTCTGAACCTGCTCTTCTTCTACTTGACATGGTCGACATTGGTCCTGTCGCATTCGCCCCTGAAGATTGAGCTTATCGGCACCCTCGCCGTGCGCGTTGTGCTCTGGCTGGTGCCGTCGTTGCTCTTCCTCCTCTTTGACACGGGGATCCCCAGCCTGTCGGAATCCATCAAGCTCTATGGCTCCTCATCGCTGCCGCGCCGCGACGCCGCGAGCCAGCTCAAGAAGCTGCTGCTCGCCGTCGTGAACCTGCTGCTGTTCACCGCGGTGCAGGCGGCCCTGTCGATCGGCGCAACCATGTTGCTGAAGGGCCCGCTCTTCAAGACCTCGACCACGCTGCCCCTGCCCTGGCAGATCATCAAGCACATCGGCTGGCTGTACACCACGCGCGAGGTCCTGACGTACTACATCCACCGCAACATCCTACACTCGCGGGGGCCCCTAGCAAACCTACACAGGGGCTATGCGCACTCGCACCGTGGGGCTCCGTACTCGCTCATGCTCTACGCCGACCACCCGCTCCCCCTGATGCTGCACCGCCTGCTGCCCGTCTACCTCCCGTCCTTGCTGATCCGTCCGCATCTCCTGACGTACTTCCTCTTCACGGTGTTCACCACCGTCGAGGAGATGATGTCCATGTCGGGCTACAGCGTCGTCCCAGGTATCATCATGGGCGGCGTTGCGCGGCGGACGGCCACGCACTACGCCAGCGGGGGGCGTGGAAACTTCGGTGCATGGGGCCTACTAGATTGGATCAATGGCACCAGTGTGGGTAAAGACGTGATGGAGGATATTCAGGATGAAGCAGAGAAGCACCAGCTGAAGGAACGGGGAGAGAAGGCTGCCAACGACGCTGGGAACCTGGTCCAGGATGGTATTGACGGTTTGAGAAAGAAGAGAGCTAGCAAGAAGAAGGCCTGAGTACTTGAATTTGCTCAAAGTAGATCTAATGCTTTCTGAATAATAAGCCTTGTGTTATGTGCAACGTTAATATGAGCATAATGTGTGATCACGGACAGGAACATGATAGTCATCGGTTAATCCGGGCTGGATGACTGCTTCCGACTTATGTTTCCAGTGCGCATGTTTATTTGTTCATTGGCGAGAGGCATATCCAGACCCTGTTCTGCAAGGTCCGGACCACTCAGCTATTGATGCTTCAATGCCAATATCTCTAGGGTTCTATACCCAAAAGGCGGCTCTGCCTCAGCAGAAATTCCACTTGCTGCCTGTCGGCCTCGTAAGTCAACCTCAGCTTCGCAATATCAGGCTCCTCCATGGGCGAAGAAGAGGCCAGCGACCCCGTAACAGCATTCGGCCTGGGATCGGGCGTATAGTGGTACCACTCATGTCTTCCATACGACTTAATCAGCGTATGTACCATGTAAGCCTCTACGGCACACCACGCGCGGCCGAAGTAACCGTCCTCGACGACACTGATCATGGCGTCGCACTGTGCCACAACGACTGGCAGAGCAGCAACGCCAGGATCCTTGTTTTCCTGGTCAATACAAGCAAAGTCCTGTGTCATTTGGTCAGTCTTGCTTATCTAGAGCACGTATATGGAAAGAGTCCGTTGAGTATACTTACAATCCAGATATTGACGTTCTCTTTCTCGATTTCAGAGCGCTGTAGTATAAGCGCCTCTATTGCATTACACATCCGCTTGTACTGTGTTTGCAGGCTATCATCTGGGCCTGTCCTCACTTGTTCATTCTCTGCTGGTCGCCATCTATATGACAGGAACACGACGAATGGCTTTGCTGCTACGTCATGCGCCTGTAGATGCTTGATTCGGTCAAAAGACTGGGTCTTCTGGTCCGTAAACGCTGGCAATCGACCGCAGTCTAGGAAATCCGAGTAAGCCACCATGTTCAGGCTGTCAAAGAGACCGCGTTTGGTTTCATCTTTGATCAATACTTCCGCATACCTGCGGCGGACGTTTTCGATACAGTCTTCGCCGCCTCGGCTCAGTTCGGGACGTAGATGCTCCTGAAAGATTTCTCTGTAGTGCTTCTTCAATGTAGCAGCCAGTTGTAGCTCTGTAATTGCAGCGGGACTCATTTCTTTCCGTAAGCCATTAGTGATCACGTCTTGCATGCCCGTGTGCTCGTTGTACATGGCATAATCCAGAGCGCTGTAGCCCTGCTCATCGTAGCGATTGAGGTCAACTCCTTCGTCCACAATGATTTGTAGATATTGGCGGTATTCCTCAGATGGCTCCTTGCACAGGGCTATCGCACAGGTGCACTTTTCTTCGGATGAGTTGAAAAGATCCATGGCTTTATCCTTCTGACCGTCGCGTAGTAAAGCATACCCAGAGAAGAAGCGAGATAGTGCCCTGACAGTTGGATCTCGTGAAGTCTTGGCAATCGCTTGCGACTTGCTTCCAAAACTGACTGCCGCGGCCGTGTTCCCCAGTGCGGCATGGCAAAGGGTCAAGCGGTCGTACCCGATTGACTCCCACTGGACTGCCCGTGGCTGGAGTTCTTCGTACAACGCGGACTCAGGGTCTACCTTTGCGAGCCTCTCTTGCAGGCTCCTCGCCCTATGCACCCGCTTTTCAAGCTGCGCGACAGCATCACGCTCCATCTGCTGTGCCAGCTGATGAGTTGCCCTACCCGCGTTCCCGATAGCTCGGCACGCTGTAGCCTCTGCTCGCAAGATCAGTTGTTCATGTTTTATGTCGTCACCGCCCTTGCGGTGTGCTGTCTCAATGAGTTCTAATGCCTCCATGTACTGCTGGAGGCAAGTATCCCTTGCTTTCGCATGTTCACTCTGGTGCTCGTAGACAATGCCCAGTTCTCCCATGGCTTCGATGCGAAGAAGGTCGTTCTCCACTTCTCCCACGCTGTTTACCTTCAAAGTCTGGAGTGCCTCTTTGAGATGCATTTCTGCCTTCGCAAACCGACCGAGTCTTCTTTCAACACCACCCATGCCCGTCAGGACCTGAGCCCTTTCGATATCTGCCAGCTGGTGTCTTTCGACCAGGCCAAGGGCTTCTATCAGATCTTTGGAGGCTTTTTCCCATTGTGCTGTCTTTTCGTGCTCCCGAACCCGGCCCAGGCATGCTTGGAGAAGCCTAGAGCCGTCTTCTGGGATGTGCATGGTCATTGTCGCCGATAGATCGATGTGCTTGAAGCCACAGAGGGAGATAGAAGCAAAAATTCGCGTTACCAGGAGAAGCGGTCTGCAGAAAGCTACAATATGGAAAGAAAGGATTTGTAATATGGGACAAGGCTGTCGTCACCGCAATTCTCTGCGTAAATTCTTAACTTATCTGGAGACCATTTCTTGCAATAACGTGCCAATTGATTGCAGAAATGTAACCATAGGAACCAGTGTGCGGCCGATCAATACCTGGCTTGAAGTCAAAAGGATCTGCACAATGGCCGCAAGCTAAGACACCGTAGATGAAGAGTCGAAGAATATGTGATTCCTGGGGTTGCCGTCGCTGACGGTAGTCAGAAAGAAGTGGGGTTATACGGAGACAACCGTGAGGTGTGGCCCGCTTTCGGGCGAAGGAACTAATAGGGAGGTCAAATCGCAACAACACATGAAAGAAGAACTGAATCTCGGTGAGGAAGCGCTGCCTCTTTTTGATCCCTTTGGCGGCAACGGATTGAAAAGTGTGGACCGTGAGAGACTTGGACTCAAAACCTTAGGTAATGGAAGCACTAATATGAAGAACCTAGCCTCGTCTCTGAGCCACATTCTGGGATCAAGCAATCAAGTTTTTGCACATCTTATATTTATATGTTAATTTTCTGCAACTTTCTCCTCATTAAGCGTAACGACGTCCAATCTTCAAGGCGTGTACCTCACCAGCGGAAAAGGTTGCGTGTCCCACGGTATCATCATCCACAGCGGCCCCGTATTGACTGGGAATGACACCCCACATCAGCGCCTTGTCCGCAATGTCCTCCTCGAATCCTGAGGCTTCTTGAGCCACATTAAAGGGGCAACGATAAGAAGTGTCCGTGGGATACGAAGCGCTTAGCGGCGCGGAGCTGTAAGACTTCTCCGCGGCATGGCCACCTTGCTCTGCGCTGAGAAACCGCTTGTCCGAGGCAGACGCTGCAGGACACGTAGCCGCTGCCAGACTCGCGCTGCAGGTTGCCACCAGAGGCATTTGTTCTGCGCCTTTATACCGTTTCACCCAACTTAACGTTATGGTTCCGACGATAAAGAACGCCAGTAAACCCAGCGCTGCTAGAACCGGGCTAGACGAGTAGCCGACAGTAGCAATAGGTCGCCCAGAGATCTCCTTGTCATCCGGGCCGTACACCGCAACGCGCAGTAAGAAGAGACTTTGAGAAAGTAGCCAATGCAATGCGGTGCTGGTTACCATCAAAGGTAAAGCAAGCTTATAGGGGACCTGGAGGAAGTACGTATCTCTCTGTGCCGTTTTCCGCTTCGGGAAACTGACGCGAAGACCACGCCTGCGTATGGCGTATGAGCTGACTTCATGGTGAGCCAGCATGCTGGTAAGTACCGAGTTGCACGCCACATAGACGTAGGTTGCAACGAGCTGGGGTATGTTCGCCAACAGCGTACTCTTGAGCACGCCGAGATCTTCGCCTGGCCCAGAACCTGGGCCTATGCTCACTGTCGTCTGAGTAGATGCTTGGCCAAACCCAAGAAAGAGCTTGTCCTGCAGACTGAAACCGAAGTACAATGCAAAGAGAGTAATGATACAGAGAGCTGATGGCAGAATGTATATCAACCAAGTCATGCCGGACGGTCCAGTATGCCAGCGTGGTGCTGTCTTGGGCGGTTTTGTTTTGCTCCTTCCACGTCCACATTTGAGGAAAGCGAAAGCTGAGGAGCGTTGGGTCGCCTCTCGCGCCTTTGCTTCATCCACAGTCTTGTGGTTCCTTTGGGTCCGGCCCCCCAGCCACGGGAGTGGCATCGGCCTGTCCGAATCCCAGAAAGTAGCATTCGAATCGTCATGGTTGCTCTGATTGGAGTCTCGAACCAGACGGGCGGAAGCCAGACATCTTCCAGCAAATCTTGTGTCCGGTTGGCGTAGATAGCTTGCGATCAAGTCTCCACTGGTAACAATCCGTTCCTCCCCCTCATGCCTGGGTCGATGCGAGACAAGCAGCCACGTACAAATGAAGCAAAGTAGCTTTGCTGCGTTGGCGACAACAATTGCATATAAAATGGTGGGCGTGGTCCCGATACGGCAACGAGACTCAACAGTCTGCGCTAGGCATGACTCAACGGAGATGTTGCCCCTAGCAAGGTCGTGTAGATAGGGATTCGATGTCCAGTTTGCGGCAAACGATAATGGAGTCCAATAAGTCCCATTTTCTTTGGCGAGGTCTTTGTATTCGCATTTGGGTGAGGTCGGGGCTGGCAAGCCACAGACCCAAGTATCCCCCAAACCTCGGTCTTCGTCGTCGGAGCCTGTCTGGTGTGTGGCTGCGAAGAGCAAGCTATTTGTAGAGTTGTTCACATCGAAAACCAGGGCAACATTGAGATATCCTTGGACCATAGGTACACCATAAGCATCAATACACTCTGACGGTGTGAGATGTTTGACACTTGAGTTTCGAACGGCTGGAAACCAGATGTTCTTGAAATCCTCGACGTCCCCGTTGAACCATTGATCCACCAACTGTGCTTCGTCCGCCGTAGCGTTTGCCCCGTTTAAGAAGTCTCTGGTAACGCCGCCGACGAAGAAGTCGTTTGAGCTGACGGTCTGAACGACTGCGGAGTTCCACAAAAGGTGCAGTGGAATAGACGTAATGGCAAGCACAGCACAGATCACCGCTCTTCTCCAGTCAATGTGGACAAGGTTCTGGAAGTTTGGGACTGCAATTCTGAGCCACTTCTTCCTAGTATGAGCTGCGTCAATCTCGTCTCTTGTTGGTGACACAAGAATCTGCATGCAGTAATTCGAGGCTCCCAGCAGTACTGTCGACAGCACGTTGATGACCAGATGGGAACCCAAGGAAATACTCTTCGCAGTGCCACAATCACCTGCCCAAAGTGTCGAAAGGCCGTCGGTCACAGAAGTACCAGCGATATTTCGTTTCAGGTTGAGGTAGGCCACAACTGCCAGTACCAGGTTCAAGGCGAGCACTCCTGTAGACAGAAGAGCACATAAAGCAATCCCCGTGCGCCATCCCGCAAGTTGGTATAATAGCTGCTCCTTGAACGTCACCGCGTATGAGCTGTAATTTGACAACTTCCGTGCCATCGACCTATTTCGTTCTTTCGCTGCCCCAATACCCAGCGACTCGTCCCAGGTTGAGCTCTGGGGCTCAGAAGAGGGTACGGGCTCCCACTGCGGCATCGGGAACGATCATCAAGGGAAGATCATGACAAACCAAAACCACGCGCTTCTAAGGGAGGGGAAGAAGAAGATGAGAGGTGAAAACGAAGATGGAGAGATGTGTTTCGGCATCGAGAAAATGTTCCAATGCGCTGTAAGAATCGTAAGTACCTGGGGCAGCCAGCCCCCGGCAAGCTGAAAGGCTGCTCGCTTCGCTACAGAACCCTGTTGTAAGGCGGCTTTGGGAATCCTTCGCCCCCACCGACAGGCTGCAATCGGCGGAGCCTCAATTTTAGCGGCCTAGAGCTGACATGGAACCGAAGCGATCAACAGCACCATGGCACGCATACCTAGCTTTTGCGTCGCCTTCCTGACTTGACTCGAAACGTTCGACGCCATCGACATCTAGTCCAGGATCTCTCGAATTTGAATGCACTGGCCATTGTCGATAATCACGCCATGTGCAAGCATTGCTGCAGGCGTTCATACCTGGTTTCTTATGTTTTCCTATTGCGAGCCATAATCGACCTGCGTAGCTTTGCGGCTCAAACTTACGCGTGGCGCATTTAGATTCTAATGGCGCTGGAAGGATCGTCTCATCGGCCACTGGTGCGTAAGGGCCATTGGTCGTCCGCGACACACATGAATACGTGGCAACGTGAAGGCACCTACTATAACCAATTGATGTCCGGTTGGTATCTCAGCAAACAATCTAGCGTTAACTGGCTAGTTCAGCGGCTACTCCAAATAAACTTGTTTGTCAACACACAGACTCCACCCCTTTATTCTATCATCGAGGTACTACAGCCCCAAACACCCACTGGGCCCCGTATTACTCACACCTACGAAGTAGCACCTTCATATGCTCTAAAGGACCTCAAGTACCGGCGACGTTTCTCCAAATCATATGCCAGACTTGGAGTTACAATTGTTGGGTTTTCCGATCGCCCGGATTAATCCAGAACATAGGCACCGTATCAGATTTTACGAATCTTCTATGAACGAGTGAAGTTGCAATCTTGGACCGATAATGATCGCTACATCTGTAAAGTAAAGCAGACCTAACCGGTTATGTCTACTAATATGAACAAATCTGCTCGTTCGAAATGTGTCTAATTTTTCGTGAGAAACCATGAGGGCATTCTTGAACAACAGGAATTCGAGAGGGCTGAGGTTCTATAAAGTAGTATCTGTGAGGATAACCTGTCTATCTACCTAGGCACGTAAAGATCAGGGATCTAGCAGGGGCCACTGTCTATGGACAGGGCATCCTATGTGGTGATGTTGAGGGAGACAGATAGCTTGCCCTTAAAGTGCCTCCGTTCCTTAGTTGGAGTTGAGTATGTACATTGGGGTACGACCTAGAAAAAGATCGTGATTGTTAGTAATCAATCTTAAGTTGTAGGTAAAGGGAGCTAACAAGTAAAGTGATGCTTGTAGGAGCTTGTGTTAAGTCCACCGCTACATTCGAGAATTTGATTATTCTCAGTAATGACATCACACTCCGCAATTTGGTTTCCGTCAATGTCTCTAATGACAGCACTTGTGACGTCGCTGTAGATAGCTAATGGCAGTGGTTAGAAAGAATCAATCAGGGTCATACCATTAGGACTTACTAAAGTGAGGGTCCGTACCACCATTACCGATCCAAAGGGTAGACGGGGTGCATTTCTGCGTGTTGTTGATCTCTAACTCGGTAATGATCCAGTCACGTATATTCTGTGCTTCCTCGCAGCCCTCGCACCTTACACCACCGCATGTATTTTGCGACACATCATCGAGAACGGAGAATTTTGGTCCCCCGTCATCGCAATCGGGAGGGTTGTTGAAGAGAACGCAGAACCTCCCAACACCAGCGCCGTCGACACCATTGGTATCCTCGCCGCAAAAGACCATGAAATCAGCCACGGCGGCGGGTGCGAGGATAGAAATAATAGCAGGAACACTGTACTTCATATTGGAAATAAAGTTTCGGCGTAATGTAGCTGGAAAGTGCTTGTATATCAGAGAGAATGGGAATGAGGTTGCAGATGTCTGTTAGTGAACAGAAGTAAAGATGAGTTCTTAATGACTATTTATACTTATCTGAAGGATACTCTTTCAAACCAGATTATCGGTTTCGTATAGGTGACAATGGTTTTCGGTTTCGTATAGGTCACGACGGCTTAAGCCTGGGCAATAATGGCACTAGTTATTGATCCCGAAGGATCTTAGAGTCTTGGCGTAATGAACACGAGCGACTGTAAACTCTATCGACGCCATAATCCACAGTCATATACATGTATAAGCACGTTGTATGCGCTCAAAATTAAATTAGACTACCATTAGAGGATCAATTTGCGCGGCGAGATGTAAAAGTCTGGCCATCCCCAAGGCTGCCAAGGTTCGAACCTGGAGGCTTCAATCATAGGCCCCGTGTTGATCATTGTCGCGTGTAAAAGTACTCGGCATTAGCTTGCACAAGAATTCCTATCGCTGCCATGTTGTTGTCATTGCGCATGGCCGCTTCGTGTAAGCATACTAGCTCTTCCCGATGTACTACTCAGCTTTAGAAAATGGGCTGCTCTTCCTGTAGATACAGCATCTACTTATCCTGCTGTGCTTCCCAGCACACGCCTTATCTAAGCCTTGCTGAGAAAATTTAAAAGTCCCCAAGAAGCACTTCTACAAGAATGTTATCTCAAGGAACTCACGTAAAGAATCTCTTAACTAATCGCTCAACGTGGAATATATCTCTTTTCCATATCTTTGATACACAATGGATAGCGTAGCTCGGAGCCTCTGGGATGCTTTCTGGGTCCTTTGTCACAATAAAGGAGATGTTTCCCAAATGTAGGCTTCCAATATCGCGCCGTGTGCTGTTGGGGATCCTTCCAAGCGTCAAAGCCCTGGGCGGATGACTTTTGTTGAAACGGGCGATGTTGAGCTATTGCGAGTACGGTCTGGTAAAGGTACTCACAGGCATTTGAAGCCCTCGCCTACACATTCTTTACTGCCTTATACTCCATATTAATATATTTCTCGGCTATTGATCGTTTCAAACAGCGAGAGATAGCTAGGGCGTAGCACATCACCGTCGTGCTTTGGCAGCCCTAGGTTTTCTTCCCCAACTGACCAACCTCCCCCATCAGCATGGCCGGCTTTCTTCGGTGTTAGACAACTATTCATTCATTCCGCATGCGTCACCAAGCGTGCGCGCGCCTGGACGTAAAACCATCGGTAACGACGACCGGGTTGATTCCAACCAGACGTTCTGGGCAGTGAGTGGCACCGACATCACGGAGGCCGCTTATTGATTTATACCCCATGTAGCTGTTGCCTCCCATCTCTACGCCACCTCATCTGGTTTAGGGTGGGATGTGGGCGTACTGACCTGATTAGGGATGACAAAAGCTGTGGGCAGTCTGGACGACTCAGCACGCACAGGCAGTCCGCGTTGCTCTTTTTGCAGCTACACGCCTTCTGGAACAATGATACTGTCCTTTTCGGCGAGGCAGTGCGTTCTTTCTCACCCTGCAAAAATGATTTTCACGAGCGCTAATGAGTCCAACAGCCAGCCGCCTGAGAAGAACACCCTCGCGTAGTGCAAGTGCACCTAGTGCGTCGGTTACCACGGGGAGTTGTTCCCTTCCTCGAAACCACACTGAACAAACAAAAGGAATTGAAGCTGACGACTAGTCGCATACCAAGACTCCTGTGTCGTCGGCGAGGGCAACTGTTTTAACCCGACGGCTGCCGCTTCTGCAGTGCCTGCGACGTCAACCACACGTATATCCAGAACCCCAAAGCTGAGCCCTGCCAGTGCTGCAAAAAGTCATGGCACAGCGCACAGTGACTGTCTATTGGAACAATCAGGGTAATGAACTTACCTAGCCTAAGGTGAGGAAGGTTGTGAAGATGATTCGCAGGGTGCATTTTGCAGCGATGCAGAAAAGAGAATTCGCAGGATCAAGTCATATTAGGAGAGCACTCATTGGTACATCAACTTCAACTCAATGCCGAACTTCAATACCACAATCCGAAGACTTTCGCTGCAAGTGAAACCCCAGCGCATCTACATATCATGATGTCTATCTTCACTCTGTTTGCATGCTGATTCCAACATCATCGATCATGTAAGGACCCTTGTACCAGACGAGCCTTCTCGATGAATAGATTACTTGAGTAAGTGTATTCACTCCCATTTGAAAGACCTTCGCTAATCTGCAGAAGTTTTGACCAGTCTGAAACAGCAAACAGAAATAATTCAGCTGTCCACTCTTTATCGTCTTCAAGGGTTACCGCCCCGAAGTGATGAGCGACCTCCCCAGCACCGCGACGCAACGCAGTAATTCATACAAAGACGCCAGAAAGACCATATTGCGTAGAAGGATTGCTAGGAATTGGCAACCTTTACCACTTATGAAAATATCATGGCGAGTTTTGTTAGAATCTGGATGGTTTCAAATCCTTCAGGAGGGTGCTGGACGTTAGGTTGGTGTGGGCCGGACCGTGTGGGGTGAAACTCGTGCATGTGACATAAGCTGCGTTAGCTACACTTGGACCATAAGAAACTATATCCGATATAGTGTAACGGTTAACATACCTCGCTTTCACCGAGGAGCTCGGGGTTCGATTCCCCGTATCGGAGTATAACACACGCCCACGAGGGCATCGCTTTTGCACCAGCTATCATCTTTTTTGGTCCTTCTAGTCTCTGATAGTCTTATGTTATCGTTGCTTTGATCCCCTGTGTTGGAAATAAATTCTTGCAATACCGTTTGGGAGGTACCATGTATATATGGATATACTTCCAGATGGTTTGACGGATTTCATTCGTCGTAAGCACCAACTAAACTATGTTGTTCCATTTCCCATCAAGAGATGCTTCGGACAACCGCTACACGGAAGTGGGTTACTGACCGGGGTTCGCGATGCCGAGGGGAATGGCTTTGCAACTACGGAGTACTTCACTCGGGATTCTTGGCTATGAGCCATGGCACACGAAGCGTTACGAGGGTGACTCATTAATCTCCTACGTGCCGAGTCATCCTACCGTTACCTGCACAACGGACAGAGCCTAGATATTCGCAAGCCCTGGAACATCTATCTGCGAGGAAGGGGATGAAAGGAAGAAAAAAAAACTGAACGGAAATGTTACCGCTGCCCGGTGCCTATTATCGTGGTCAAGCACGACCGAGCCGTGACTCGTGTCTGTAAAACCCATTGTTGCCCGGGGACCAACGTAGGACTTACGAGAGCTGGACCACAATACCACCTAGGAAGCTCCGAGTGTGGGACTCACAAGGCAGAGATTGAAAGGAAGGCGAAAAGAAGGGCATCTGTCGGTTTGCGATGCCGAAGCTCGAAAAGCTGATTGGAAATTCCCCTACCGTCCAGGTACTGTATGGGTCCCCAGGGGGCTGTCTAGCGGGCTTGCGCGCAGTTAGCGGCGAGTGACCCCGTCTCGAAAAGGAAAAAGGCGTTGGTTGACAGCGGGTCCAGTTAGTGTGTCGTACTGAAGTAGTAAGGGCACAGAATTTAGGCGGAGCTGGTCACCGCCAGATTGATGATATCGATATCATGAAGGACTCACGATGGGTGACAAGCATAACTTCGCCCAGACACTATTTCCGGAACCCGTTCACTTCAAGAACAAATGCACAGATCGAGAGTCCCGGAGATGAACTCTAAATTCCTGGCGGGTAGGAATCCTACTTGTCGAGGAGCCGGTTTCGGTCCTGGCTTATTGGCCGAAATTGACAACTAGCGATGAGGATCGACAACCCGCGAGTTTCCAAGATTGCGCGAGCGTCGAATGAAGGTCGCGTATAGTGACGATCAGCTGCACGAGAAACTGCAACACCAACTGCACAGAATCCAACAAGCGGTCTGAAAGTCACTTGATGCGTTGAGCAGGGTGATCTAATTCCAGTTTGTACAAGGCGCCCGTTGGCATGCGTCGGGGAGTAAGATGTTCAGCCGCTATCAGATAACGGGCTTTTTTCTAGAAGCGCATCCATCAGACTTTTTGAGCTGAGGACGGTAAGGATTCTCCCGTTGAAAAGGGACAGGTAAGTGCGCGTTTTCCACTCGAGTCAAGAGAGTTTGCACCTTCGGTCCGTTGGGGATCTAGTTTCAGGTACGAAAGCAGCGAGCTAGGCGACTGGTAATAAGTCACTGTGGGGAAAAAGGTGCCATATTCTTGAGTTCGCCCATTTGGAATCCCTTGACCGAAGTGATGTCACTCGACGAGGAGGGGGACGAAAATGCACCCAACCCGACAGTTTGGCTGTGACACGAAATGTCTGCGGCACTTGGAGTAAAGGAGGTTGGCTCAGAAATGCTGCCATGCTGTGAGGTCTCACGTAGGACAGCATGGAGGCATAGGCATCCTGCCGTCCAGTCGGTACCCCTGAGCGGGAGGCACAGTCAGCTCATGTCGTCATAAGGGTCTTTTCTTGTCAGCGTAGCCTTGTGAGCTCTAAGCTGTGCCACGGGACACGGGTGGCGTGCCCATGTGCCCTCAACGAGACCCCGTAAATTCGCCTCACGATGTCTTCCCGGCGCGACGAAGCGGACAGATTTTTTACACATAGTTGGGGTCACGCGGGAGACAAAAGAAAAACGATGGGCGGGAATGGGGCAAGTTCCTCTCCGTCGTCGTCGGCTAGTCGGGGATTTGATGCTTGCGCCAGTGTGCATGGGAGCTCAGCGGGAACGAGCGTCGGGCGCCTCATCATACGCTCTGATGAGGATTGCTTGTATACCTTCCGATGAAGGCAATGATTCGACGTCGGGACAGCAGAAAATGTCTCAGAAAGGTGTCCCGGCGTCCGGCCAAGGCGTGCTGTAGCGCAATGTACGGTTCGGAACGGCCAAACTACACCGTGCAGAGCTCCCCGAACGCCCGCTGTGGTTACCTGTGCAGAGGATTCTAGGATCCCCAACGAGCAGCGAAAATACCGTATGCGAGTGGAGCGTGCTTCCTCGAGACACTGTGTATCTTGGCCCTGCCCAGCTGATCATGACATCACTACGGTCATGGAAGCGCGGTGAGTGGGGTTCCATCCTCGGTGTGTCTAAAAACCACATCCCTGGCGGTCCTGGTCAGATCTGAAGACCCCGGTACAAATTCCATCGTGATTCGCAGAGCGTTCTGGCGCATGGGAAACAGTGCTTGTCTGACGCTACGCCGGATGCGAATTGAGCCCTGTAGCACCAGATTCTATGGGGATGGGTGGGATGTCGAGAGAAGTTCCTGTTTGCCTGTGGAGATTTAGAGTACACAATAGTTTCGTGCCAGTATGAGCTTTGAACCCTGCCTGCTTGCAGCTTGTAGTGGCCGATTTTGGATGGAGCAGAAGAACTTTCGGACTCAGGGTCCAACGGTAGAATCCATTGATTGGTTCGACCTAGCGCGCAAGCCATCTCTGGGTGGTGGCCCCGGAGCCGTGATGAGGCCTGTGAGGAGTTGAGGACATGAAATCTCATCTCATCTATGATCTGATCCAATCTTTCCAGGGTCCAATGGAGAGGAATTAGAATGCATGTGGTCGGGCAGTCAGACAGTCAGACTGGCTGACTGGCCAGCGACTCAGCGTAGCACTCCATGCCGCTTGCAACGAATGAGATTCGTAGTCGCGGCCAGATGTCGTTCCCTCGGGCTGGTGCCCAAAGGAATGGAAATCCGACCCCTCCTTGCCTCCCGCCTGCCCGCGCTCACCGTTTGGCCGCGCCGCAGTGTACCGCAGTAGCCACGTTGGTGTTGACGACGATACTCCATACCTCTCCTAGTGTTGCAAGCATCACGGGAGGCTACGGCCCAGTGTATGTCCCGCCCACGCCCAGGCACGGAAGATGCCAGAGACGCCTCAGGTCAGCCGTCATGACGAAGTTACGATGAGCTCGTCATGGGACGGTCAACTCCAGATTTCCAGGAGTCAAGCACCGGCTGGGCACCGCCAATCTTTTCCTCCAAGGACGAAGGTGAAGCAAGCTTAAAGCCCCTGGACGACGACACACCCCGGCGCAAAGTTGCCGTGCTGTCCAGCTTCCCGGTGGTCTGCCAGCCTGTCGCGCGCGAGAAGCACGAAGGACCCTGGTAGAAGCAGAGTGCGCGCCGCAACGGGCGAGACATGATTCGCCAGCCTGCCCAGAGCTGCCCCTCCATGCTCCATCAGATTCCCCATCAGCGTTCCCACAAACGTCGATGATTTTCCCCATCCCAGGTGCAACGAAGACTTGAGAATCCCAGTTTTTGACTTGCAGGGAACCTTTGGGCTGCGCCAATGAGAGCGATCTCGTGGCGTCACAAGCGCCGATCTACACAGTCGCTTGCTGGGGACTGGTATCTGTCTGGGTTTCTGGCACTGTCCGCGCGCTGTTCAGCCTCTGGTCAACTGGTAATGGTGCCTCGTGGGTAGGGCGTGGAGAGCGACTATTCCCATTGCAGCGCCTCCTCTTGGGCCCGATGCAGGGTCCTTCCACGTCTCAGAGCCCTGTCAAAGGTCTGCGTCCACCAACAAATGACCGCTATTTCGATCCTCTCGGCCTGAAGAGGAAAACGGCCGGGGCGCCTTTTCCTGCGGTAGCGCCGTGTCCGGCTGCAAGCTTAAACCGCCTCCAGTGCGCGCCGCGGGGCCTCAGTGCTTTTCTGGTACGTCGCCTCTCCTCTAATGCCTCTAATGGGAGATTTGCAGCTCTCTTAGGGAGGCACCCAAGCGCACCTTGCGGTGACTGCTTGTCGAGCTTGTGACCTACGATGCTCTACGACGGGGACGCGAGCTGCTCACGCACCCTCCGACCCTCTAGCAGCCGTCCAGCTTGCGCCGCCGAGGGCCGCAACTGGGTCCTGGTGAAATTGCGTCCCGGTTTGATCTTGGATATGTGAACTCTGTTCTGTAGTGTAGCATGCGTCTACTTGCTGGCTTCTCATTGCCGGTCGCCCGCCCAAACAGCGTATATAGTACTGGCGGGACTGGGTGTAACTTTGCACAAGATCCGGTAGGCATAAGCAAGATACGTAACAGAGCATGTATGTAGGCAAGCAAGCGGGCGACCAGGTTACGAGCTGGGCAGCGGGCAGGGCCAAACAAGAACTGACGTCGCTCTCGCAGTGGCCCTTGGCAGACTTGAGTCTGCTCCCAGCGCTGGGGAGAGGCTCTGGCGTATTCCGGGTGCCGATCACCACCCAGCATCGGCGACCCACGGGTGGCCACTGGGCGTGCGACTTGGGGGGAGTACGCACGCAGATACCGCAAGTTACCCCCATGGGTGCGCCCATTGCGTGCCCGTGACATGTACCGCAGTATGTATGCCGTTAGGGGCAGAGGCAGGGCAGGGCGACAAGGTGCGAAGTTGGACCACGACCCCCTCCCCCCCCCCCCCCCCCCCCCCCCCCCCAGCACCCAACCACATTGCGCAGGCCCAAACAATGGCAGCCCCGGCCTGAATGACGATCGCTACGACACCTCTGGAAGTAGGTCCGCCCGCCCCAAATTTGCCTGTCAATCGCTCTCTAAGCCCGACCCCGTGAACCCTTCGTCCCGCTGTTTCTGTCGACTCCTGGCCTTCCCTTTTATGGTGGGAGCCTCCCGAACCGCCTTTACCCTCTCCGGCCAACGTCTTGTGTGTCCTGCCGCCTGCCGCCAGACAAATCCTTTCCCCATTCCACATAATCGCGACACCCAATTCCAGACCCAGACCCAGACCCAGATGCATCCAGCGCGGGTATAGCAAGACAAGAGAGAGAGAGAGAGAAGAGAGTGCATATGTGTGTGTGTGAGCGAGAGCGTCCAAGGCCAACCTAAAGGACGAGAGACAAAAAGGAGAGCCCCGAGGCTGCCACCCGCAACCCGCCCGCCCGTTACCAGGCCCGCTGCGTCACCGTCACCCGCCACACAGCAAAGCACAGCACAGTACAGCACAGCACATACAAGCGGCGCCCTCGACCCTCGCACTCAATTCAGGGACCTGGCTGGCTACGCCTCCTCGTATCTTCTTTCCGCGCCCACTTTATACCTCCGCCGCGAAGACCTCTACACGAACACATCCCGCTGCTAGTTCTCTCCCGCCGCCGGTGACGAACGAAGAACCGTCGCCACCCCGAGCCCTGTTACGTTTATTTTAAGCAGTGACTGATTGTCTGAACCGTGGCGCGCGCTGCTTAACGTGCCAGAAGCACAACCCACGGGCCTGACTGACGTTGAAGCTGCAATACCCACCCGCGCGCCGACTCTAATATTGAACCTTGGGGACCTCCTTTCCCAACCTTCACGGCCGCCACCGACATAATCCCTAATTCGCCCTCAACCACCACTCTTGGTCCAGGATCGAACTGTTGCAGGCCGATCTTGGAACCCCAGCCCAAATCCGCAGCACACAAACCACATTCGACAGACCGCAATGAGCGAGCCGGCCCCGCAGCCACCGCGTACGTCGCGATCGGACTCGTCGTCTGGATCTTCGGTCGAGAGCCACGTTGAGAGTCAGGAGATCCACATGCCCGTACCTCAGAGACCGGCGCTCCCCAGCCGGAAGAGCAGTGGCACCCTGATCGTGCCCCGGGACTCATATGAGGTCGGCCCCGTGCCGACGCAGTTCGAGCCTGGCGACGTGCGAGCCATGAGCCCAAGGAGAACCAGCGAGGACCTGGAGAACATGGGCCGTGAAGCACGAGAAGAGCTCCACCGGTAAGCCCCCTTCTCGCCGCTGGAGACCGAAGCCGTTGCGACAGACTGCTGACATTCCCGTCCCAGACATGCAAAGGCGCTACAAGACTCCCTGATCATGATCTTCAACCGCATAGAAGCCGTCAAGGAAGAACACGACAAACTCGACAACAACAACAAGTTCCTGCAGAAGTACATTGGCGACCTGATGAGCACGTCGAAAATCACCGCGACGGGTCCGCGCGGCAGGAAATGATAGCGGCCCGATTACGAGGAGAATGTCCTGGAACCCGCCTCTTGGGTCCCCAGGACACGATCCGAACAGTATTCTCCCACGCGGCAACCTCATGTCGCCGTCCCCCGGGACATGGGGGCCGGGTCCGCATATAAAATGCATCACAGCGCATCGCATCCCACCTTTAACTACGGGACCGCCGCATCAATATGTCGGCACAATCATGGGTTGCATCAGCACCCACCGGCCGCGAAACACGATGCTGGCCCTTTACTACTCTTCACCTTGTGATATTATTACAAACTCATGGCACGGCGTACGACACGAGACATGGACTGGGGAAGGCTTTCTGAAAAAAAGAGAAGAAGACCATTATACCACATGCCGTTCATGATTTTTTCAAACTACTACCCAGCATTAGGACACCCCACTGCCTATGGGCTGGAGAGGGCATCGAGGCCTGGCATGGCCCTACCGGCGTTTTTGAACTGAGACTTTTTTGTTACTCTACACATTGGACTTGAACCGTCATCACACATGGGGATCACTGGAACCGGCCCTGGCGGAACTCTGGTGTTTTTCTGCTTTTACGTGCGCAGAGCTCAAGAAAGGGGTCGAAGGAGAAACCTGTATCCTTGACCGGCATGTACGTAGGCGTTTTGACTTTGCTGCATTTGCCGCTCGCATTATGATCATCATAGCCAAACATGGACAAATACAAATTATTCGTCCCACCCTGCTGTCTTAGTCTGCCGTGAGGCCTGAATATGCTGTGAGACTACACCACTACCGACGCAGTTGGCCGTTCAGTCGACGTCCGTGGGACCTCGGAGGTTGCATAGAAGCAGTACATGGAAACCTGAGAGGCAGGCATACTGCGCCCTGGAAACATCTAAAGCACGACACGGCCAACTGCGTCCGGCTCCCAAAAGGGGGCAGTTCATGTCTCGTGCACCCGACAGGCTGTCCAGATATCGATAAGGGGGAAGTTCTCATCACGCAATTCGAGGCCAGTGGTGCTGGAAGCATGACATGACATCTATCTTCCTCTCCCACTCATTTATACGCGCTTGTGCTATCACATCCTCGGCCCTCGCCCATCCACAGCGGGAACACCTTCTCCCGTGCTGTCCTGCCTATATGATCGGCTGGCCTGGTGTCGGACCACAACATATAGTCTGGCGAAACTTGTGACTTGGTTCCTTGCTACACGACCTGTCTGGGCTCTAGGGCCGTGTCTTGATCCATGGATCCGGCAGCACCCGGGGACGAACGTCGTCGCTGATGGGTGAGCGAGGGCTATATCGAAAACCAGGTTGCTGCGAAGGCTGTTGAGGCGCTTGCTACCCCGAAATGAACCGTCGCTAGTGAACTTCAGACTATATGGACGGACTGGACCGGCTGTTAGATCGCGGTGCTGGCTACGTTTGGTCAAGACCATCGCGATGGAGATGAGAGCAGATGGTCATTTGGGAGGGATGCCTATCGGATGGCAGAAGACTGAATTTCTCCAACAGGAACGGAGGCGATATTCTGTCTGGCCATAGACTGCGAATGAAGACTGTGAGAGCTTCAATCACTTCAGGATGTGTGCACCATGTCTGTGATATTGACAACTCGACTTTCAACATCTACTTCGATCACTCACTGATAACACGTGCTTCATTCATATAGCATGGAGTATTTACAACACCACGAAAATTCGTGAGATTCCAAATTGGGAGTCAGATCCATGTGCCCTACAAAGGCCAATAGCTAGCTAAACAAGTCCCGATACAGTAGCAACGCCGTAGACCGGTCCGGCGCGCGACATCTCACTCTACAGTTCCGTACTCTCAATGACACACTCCACCCCTTTTCTGCCTCCGACCAGAATCAACCCTGATCATTTATTTCTTAGCACCCCAGAACGCAACCTTGACGCCGTTGCCGGGCTGGAGCACGATCTCGGCCTTGAGCAGGGGGTCGCCGCCGTCGACGTCGTGCATGAAGCTCTCGACGCGCTCGAAGCGCTGGAACAGGCGCGTGAGCACGTAGCCCATCTCGGTGAGGGCGAACTGCTGGCCGATGCAGATGCGGGGCCCGCCGTTGAAGGGGATGTACTGCCAGGGCCGCGGCTGCCAGTGCTGCCAGCGCTCCGGGCTGAACTCGGCCACGGGCTTGAAGTCGCGGCCGGGCGCCGGGTACAGGTCCTCGCGCCGCTGCATGACGATGGTGCTGTAGCCGATGGGCGTGTCCTTGAGCACGGCGATGGGCTGCTTGCCGTCGGGCCCGCCGCCCGTCGGCAGCGTGCAGTCCTTGAGCGCCAGCCGCACGTTGAAGGGCACGACGGGGTAGAGCCGCAGCGTCTCGTTCATGACGTTCTGGAGGTACTTCATGTTCTTCAGGTCGTGGTAGGTCGGCGACCGGTCCAGGCCGACCTGGTTGATGATCTCGTCGCGCAGCTTGCGGACGCACTCGGGGTGCCTGCTGAGCTCGTAGATGGTCCACGACAGAGTCGCGGCCGTGGTGTCGCGGCCGGCCAGCAGCACGGCGACGAGTTGGTCGCGGATGACCTTGCGGTCCCGGGTGAAGGAGGCGAGCTCGTGCAGGAAGGTGTAGCCCTCGTCGGACTTGGTCTTGCTTAGGAGCTCTTCGGGGCTCAGTTGGAGCGCACGGTCGATATATGTCTCGCACAGCTTGTTGATTACCTTGAGACCGGCGTTGAACGTCTTTAATGGTACAAATCTCTGAAGCGGACCAGCTCTGGCGCGGATGTTCTGGACCCTCTGTACTTCGTTGAAGGCTTCGGCAAACTCTTGGCGAGGCGTGCTATATAGCTGTTAACAGAGCGATGGCGGCAAGTGTATACCATCAGGATGCCTACGTGAGTGACTGAACGTCCAGACCCAACAAGAAGTCGGTTGCAACGTCGAGGGTATAACGGAAGAACAGGTCGCTAATCTCGATGACTTTTCCGTCCCCAGCCTCGAGGTCAACCTTCTGATTAACCCCGTTAAGTGCCTGTCCGTTGGCCATGGCCTTGAACAGGGTCTCAAGATGCGACTCAAAGCAGTCCAGATCACTGATACGTTCCTTCACGAACTGCGGCCGGATGAGCTGCCTGCTGGCATGCCATTTTTCGCCGTCGGTAGTGAAGATACTGTCGCCGAGGAAGTCTGACCATTCGCGGTGGAAGGGCTCGCCCTTGCCGTAGTCCCCAAACTGCGCAGCTAAGATGGCCTTGATGTTCTCCGGGTCGGCGGTAAAGACCAATCGCCTACCGATGATCTTGGACTCGGCTGTGTGTCCCGGAATGCCCTTGAAAAGAGTATGCCACGACTGTAGGTTTCTGTGGTGCCTGGCGGCATCCACCTGCCTCATCACAATGTCAAGGCCTGTTAGTAGCATTAGCACCCCGATTTATGCAGGCGATGGCCGTGGCTACTCACCAAGTGGCCATTTGCATTCGATCTTGGGAGCAGTTCCGCCAGCAAGACGCCCCAGTCTTTTCTTTCGATCAACATAGTTGACTATTTGCCATAGTACGTAGCTCACACTGGCAAAGATCAGTAGCCCCTTGATGGAGATGTGCTCCACGACAACCTCAACTAAACCCATCCTGACGTAGGTATAGTTGCTCAGGCCTACAAGCGACTGTGGGATCCAGATTCTTTGATTTTAGAATTTGATTTCAAGGTGTACCAATCGTAAGGGCTCATGGGCCTCGTGGTTCGGCGACTTCCTCGATCAGCACGGCTGAGGAGCTTCCTTGCAAGTAGAAGGCACTCTATAGCACCAGTTGAGAGCAGCCGGTATTGCACACGGACAATATAGGCTTTGTAGGTTTGAGAACAACACAAAAGAAGGTTAAGTAGATCAAGATCCGCAACTATGCGTCCGTCCGTCTATAGAACAGGTCCGCGGCTCCCGAAACGCGAAGCTACAGTGTAGCTCGGTTTTCGGATCTCGTAATGCAGAGCAAGGGGGTCGAGGGCTCGGATGTGGTGCCTGGGGGACGGACCAGGCAGGTATTATATTATATCACTGGCAAGATTGGAGGCGCGGCCTGTCAAGAGGCCTGTCCCATGTCAATGCAGGACGAAAGAGGAACACTGTACGGTACGGTACCTAGCCGACCTGTCGTGCACCGCTTAGCGAGTGCCATTTTCCCAGCCAAAATCGTGGGTCCCGAACCCACAGGGTTCCAGGGATTCCGGGGATGACCTCAACCCGTGAGTCCGCCCGACCCCTCAAACCGAGCGCACCGCCAGGGAACCTGCTGGGAGGGGTGGTCGCCGATGGAGGTCAGTCCGTGGTGTAAGCATCCTATTGTCAAGTAGACCATGGGCACAGAATGTGAGTGAAGGTTTGGCCCAGAAGAGCAGTACCGAGGCGCTTGAGGTGGGGTATACGTGTCTCGCTTTTGGAAGCAAGTGCTAGCGGTTCTAGCTTCGAATTGGCACACTGGACGATCAGTCCGGCCAAGGGCTTTCTTATGCTTGATGATCCATCACTGTCTGAAAAGGGACTGGTATGCGAGTTTACAGGCTACGAGCTCAACAAATCACAGTCAATGCATACCGTCTTAAGTGATTGCTGTTCAGCACGCCTGGAAAAGCATTATGCGCGACTAGCCGTGCTCTCCGAGGGACATCAGTCGCATCTTCTGGCAATTGGGCAATGGTAGCAAAGAGCCATAGCTACAGTACTAGCTCTAGGACGACAATAGCCCGGAGAGTTTGCGGTTCCCGGGCACTTATGTGTAGGATCTGGCGTGCTGGGCCGAGTCGACCGCAACATTATGTTCTTTCATCGGGGCACATATAGGGACCGATCCGCATGCCTCTTCTGGCTAGCAGGTCGAAATAGAACGAGCGCAAAAGGTACGCTTCTCTGGCAGGGCCTTTGATAGTTGTTTATCTATCTGTGGATCAGGATTGCTGTGCCGTTCAGACCCTCAAGCATGTCGGTACCGAGGGATCGTCACGAACCACGAGTGGTCCAGAATTGCCTTGCCTGTTGAAGAAAAATTACAAAAGGTTTCACATGATGAATTATGACTGACGGCAACCCCTCACATGAACCTGCGCAGGGCCGAGCTCTCACGCTTATTTTCTCGTGGGAGCTCCAGGATTCCGCACTCCCCCCAAAAACAAGCCGCTAATAAAGCCAGGGCCTGCGTGGCAGGACCACCCGAAAGAGTGTGGGGTAGACAAGGGACGAGGGAAGATACTCAAGCGGAGATCGTTCGACCGTTGGCCCTGAGCCAAACCCGTTGCAGTAACCATGTCATGGGTTAGTTCCCCCTGCGATCATTGGCCCGTTCAAGACAAGAGCCCGAACACATGTAAAAGCATCGCGGCTATCGATGGGTTCAATATGCCTACAAGTCACTTCAGATGAAAGATTAGTGGTATATCACGGCTTTGTCAGTAACACTTTGACTGGAAACAAGAAACAACAGCTTATATACGACTTCACGACTTCATCCATTGGTCAAACACTTCTGACGCTCTGGTGTTTATTCCTGAAAGTAAATTGCCACAGCCAGTAGATGGAAACACGAGGCAGTGGATTAAGTCAAATCAGAAGTCAGTCAGAGAAGCTGCTCAGTGTATTATTCGGTCTCATTTTGCGGACCGAAATCAGCCGACCTAGATGCCGCGCGAGAGCAATCCACGAATGCCCGAGCGAAAATATGTACAAGAAATCCTTTGGCCTCTCCTGCTAACCGGCAGGATGTATAGTTATCCGCATTAACGATTAGATTACCATCGCAATGACAGATCCTCCCTTCGTAACATCGTCTCACACGCCAACCGGCCAGGAGCAGGTGCTTCCGTTCCGGCCCTGGGTGCAGAACGTCATGTGCACCGGCGCGGCGCCGATGCCCCGCGCAACCATGCGCTCCCGGATGTCGGCCAGGCGGGGCGCGGCCTCGACCGCGCTCCGGTTGTTGCCGCTCGCGTCCAGCCGGCCGGACCAGAGGACCTCGCCGGCGGCGCTGGCCCGCGGCCAGATGAGGCTGTCGACGTTGGTCTCGTCGATGGTCTCGCTCCACACGGCCACCTCGCCGCCCAGCACCAGCTTGGCCTGCTCCTCGGTCAGGTTGGCGCGGGGGTCGTGCTGGTAGATGAGCTGCCAGCTCTTGGTCGGGCCGCACCAGTCGTTGAACGGGTAATACGTGTCGAATGGCTGGCCGTTTTCAAAGTTCAAGAATTGACCACGGCCGCAGTCAAGGTACTATTTCGCAGTTAGCGGGATAGAGAAAGAGAGAGAAAATCCCAAAGGAGGGGACAAGCTCTTACCCAGAAGTTGTAGTTGCTGTCAATCACTTGGTGGCCAGCGCTGGTAAGTTCCTGGACCGCACTACCCCCGAGCCAACTCTGGACGACCACATCCTTCTCGATGGTGATGTTGTAGTCCTTGGGAATTTCTTCCCACACCAGCGGGACAAGACCGGCCTTTCTCACACGAGCATGGTTCTTGTCGGTGAATTTCTGGAGAAGCGGTATGAGGATGGTGGTGTCGTTGGTGCCAACCGAAGGATCGAGCAGATACTCTTGGAAGTTGAACTCGTCACCTCCAGTGTGGAAATAAGCGCTATAGGGTGAAACCCTCGGCAGCAGATCGTCCATGAGGGTGTCGAGGAAAGTATCGACCTTGGTTTCATTGAGCCGGAACTGCCCACACGGAGGCTCGGCACAGTACGTAGTCCAGGGCTCAGCACCCCATCCGGTGATGATGTCAGGGTGAGACTCGGCAACAATACCAATGTGACCAGGCATATCGATCTCGAAAATAACCTCAATACCACGGTGAACCGCGTATGTCTGGATGAGCGCGACATCGTGGGGAGTGTAGACAGCATGAGGCGCGTAAGCTCCCTTTTCTGAGACCTCCGGCATTGCCGGAATCTCCAACGGCCATGCTTGGGAGTCTGTGACGTGGATGTGCAGCCGGTTGAGCTTGTTCCATGCCATACCATCGAGAATACTCAGGATGTTCTCAACGGGGTAGTAGTTTCTTGCGACATCAAGCAGTATACCGCGGTGTGGGAACTGTGGTGCGTCTTTGATTTCGACTGGCGCCAGTGTTGTGTAGATCTGACGGTTGGTGTGCTGGTAGAAGAGCTGAACAAAGGACTCCAATGCCCTAAGAACGCCTACTGCTGAGACGGCCTCGATCTTGGCGGTACCCTTGAGATCCACAGACAAGCTGTACGACTCGTCCACGCTGCCACCCACAGGCTTCCAGGTGCTGGAGTTGTCCTTCCCGGTCTGCGAAATCTCCAGCTTCGTGATGAGCGTCTTGCCCTTGTTGGCCGCCGGCTCTGTCTGTTTGACGGCATTACGAGCATACAACTTCCAAGGCACAAAATTCTGGTTCAATATGGCGTCAAGAGCCCGACATACTCCTCCATGCACAATGTCTTGGCTGCGGAAGTCTGATCCCGGAGGCACAAATCCACCGTACCACGGAAGCTGTAGGGCCAACAATTCTTCATTAGTACGGATCGCAGCAGAAGGGCAAGAAGGGTGAGACAGAGAGGACCACCGTACAATTCCGCCATTATAAGTGACCTGGACGTTGTGTTCGATCCAGAGGGTCTGGTTGCCGGTGGTAATGCTGGTGGGGGCTGGCCAGATCGCCAACGCTGGCGTGACGCTCAGCAGGAGGGTCGAGACGCGGCTCACGAGCTTCATCATGTGCATCTTATCTCACTTGGACACCATGAAGAAACTCAATTGAGACGGGAATGGAAAGGGTCGGAGAGGGTGGGATGTGACGTCTCGGGAACCCGTGAAGTATATATGTATGTGCAGGGTGTTGGGCCGTTTGTAAGAGCCACTGTTGACCCACTTGCTATACGGGTTGACGGGATCCCTAGCGTTGCCGGATGGTGATCGAATGCAAGATTGGGAGAGGCTGAGCCGCACTTTATCCTTGTCTCAGACCTTGGGTAGCGACAAGGCGTCGATGGCTGGGGGGGAACAAGTCGAGGTTGGCACGGGTTCGTCCTCTGCGTGGCAATGGTGCAGCGGTGCAGCAGTGCAGCGTGAGGGCGTGGTCACCTCGATCTCGCAGGCGCAGCGCAACGTTACGTGGGTCGCCTTGGGGGATTATAACCTTAGCTTCTGTGACCAGTGTGACCGCCGACAACTTCTGGAAATGCTAGGTAGCAGGAAGCAGGCAGGACGGACGACAGATGTGGTGACGGCGCGACTCCCCAAGTCCAACGTGGGGTCAGACTAAGCCTTGGAGAAAATAAGGTTGTTCTGCAATCTCTCCCGGGGGGCACGGAGGCAAGAGACAAGATGATTAACGACGGTAGTTGGCGGCCCGTACTGTACTCTCGTCAATGCAGGAGATTGGGGGTTGGAGAGGATCCCGGCGATAATGCCGTGGTGGTAAGGCGCATTCGCAGGTGGCTTAATTTGCAGGAGGCAAGATGAGCAATGCTTTTGGGGATGGCCTGGATGGCTGTTGGCTTGGGGCGATCTTGGCAATCAGGCAGTTGGTAATTTCATGCTCCTGATGAATTAAATGATGGCGATTCCTCCTGGCCCCGGGGGGCCCCTCAGCCAAGGTAGGCTGTTTGTTGGTTGGACGTGCCTCATTGTACTATGGCATGCCATTTTAAAGTGGGAAACGGTCGAGGACAAAAGGGTAGTGATCTTCAGCTAGATCGACTGAAATGAGAGTCCCGCAAGGTTCCGTCAACGAGCTAGCCGAAAGCAAGATACATTCACGAACTCGCCATAAGCGGAAGGGGATGCACGGCTGGTTGCACGGCGTCCTGAATGTGCCACACCTACCTAGATCGAAGCTTGTGCTGCAATACGACCTGTGGCAGGTGTAGCCAAACTAGGCACGCGGTCTGTTACATGGTCAAGAAATCCGTGCTGAGATGGTAGCAAAGGTCTTGTGCGGGTGACACCATGGTGCACAGGTATGCAACTTTTACCGGCCACATCCACATTGCCCGCGTCATGCAGAGGGGATGCTGCAGGTCGGTCAGTTCCATTGCTGGAGGGTGTGACCTGTAAAGGATGGCTTGGCTTTGTATGCGTCCACTATGCCGACCAGCAGAGGCTGGAGCTTTCGCAGGATACGTCACAATCGGATGTTGTACCCTAACTTACATAGGGGTGCGAAGAAGCAATGAGGCGCCTGGCACTCATTCAGAGTTGGGGTAGCTGTAGGATACCATGAACCATGGAGGCAACTCGTCTTAAGTTAGCTTTGGTGCCTGGCGATGCCAATGCTGTAAGTATGTATCACTCTGGCTATGTGTAACTCGAGGTAAGTATACGGAGGCACACTGTTCTCAATTCAGATGTTGCTGGACTGACAAGCCTATTGAACTGCCGCAAGCTGTGGATGCTCTAAGTTAGGGGTCCAGGTCCACCTCACGCCTCCGACCAAGCCCAAGCCCAAGCCCTAGCCGCTGTCCCGCTTGCTTGACCTGACAGCCTGACAGGCGATGGATCAGGGAGAGCTTCTATTAGACGAGTCCCGTCGCGGCGGACTAGTTCCAGGTCGGGCTAGGCTTCTAGGCTTCTAGGCTTCCAGCGACAACTGCTGTGTGGCTCATTCCGGAATCCGGCAGAAGCCACCGTCTGTGGCTTGATCAGCAATGTTGATCGGATCAACCATTTCTCCCCGGCGCCGTTGCCATCGCCCCCAATCTACACCAATCCCATCCAATCCAATGCCCCGGCCAGGATCTGATCCACCGCCCCAAGCCTTTCTGTCATCACCGACGCATCCACAGCAAAGTCAGGTGAAGCAACCTCACAACACGGGCTGCTTCTTTATCAACCACAAAAGAGTCCGTCCGCCTCGACCCGCCACCATTACCTCTCGCCAAGACCCGACGAGTTCCATCTTCTAGTCGTATCCAAAGCAGCCGTCTTGCTCCTCCTGACTTCCTGCGACCGTTTCCTTGCCAACTCGGGAGCTTAGATCGCGACGTCCCGCCGAGCCTGCTCCAGGTGTCTACTGCCTGTCGGGGTTTTGCACGCGACATCCATCTCCAACCCAGCGTAGGAGACGGCACACTACCAGACCGTTGTACTTCCCACCTCCCCCTTCTACCCACTCTCCCTCTCGAGCGCATTTGTCCTCCGAGACACACGGCGCCCCTCAACGCGCCCACCATGGCAGTCGAAATCGCGATGAACACGCCGCTGGCGGATGCCCTCAACTCGGCTATGCGGCCCAAGCTCGTCGAGGTTGGCTGGGCTGCCGACGGCGATGACTCGCCTCTGTCCGAGTACATCCTTCTTATGCTCGTCAATGGCAAGACACAGGACGAGATCGCCAGTGAACTAGCCGGCGACCTGCTCAACCTCGGCCCAGACGATGCCGGTGCCAAGGACTTTGCCCGATGGCTCTTTGATGAGATCGAGGCCTATAACAGAAATGGCCAAGCTGGCGGTGATATGGCAGGTGTCACCGGCCAAGATGCCGACATGGAGGGCGTGCAAGACACCGGCTTCAATGCCCCGTTGTCTGAGCTCAATGCGTAGGTCACATCATGTCCTGCAAAGCATCATCGTCATCAGTGATACTAACACCCTACTAGCCCTACAGGTCCAAAGTCCATGCGCAACGGCGACGTGCGCGGCAACCGAGGCAAGCGCATGATCGGCCAGATGAACCGTGCCATGGACCGAACCCACGACTCGGTCCTCCACCGCGTTCGGGGTGCGAACGGCAACGAGAGAATCAACGCGCACAGCAGGCAACCCCCGACCGGCCCCCGCGGTGCTGGCCGGATGGGCAACCGCGCCATGAACAACCGTGCCAACAACATCGTCCACGGCATGGCCGCCCAGATGCAGGGCATGCCGGGGGTGCCCGGTATGCCCGGTATGCCCGCCATGGACCCCAACTTCATGATGGCCAATGCCAATGGCCAAGGAGATCTGTATGCGCTTCTTCAGCAGCAAAACCAGATGATGGCCACCCTACTTCAACAAACCCAGAACCAGGGCCAGGGTGGAGGACGCGGCGGTCGCGGCGGCAGGTCATTGTTTGAGCGAACAGATCGCGGGCGCGGTGGCTTCAAGAGGGGTGGCCATCACGGAAACGGCCACCACGCTCGCCAAGAAGACGGCTCCAACGGCGCAGCCGAAGGTGACGACGTTGACATGGGGGGCGAAAGACAAAACCAGAACCCCGAAACGACAGTTTGCAAGTACAACCTGTCATGTACCAACCGGGACTGCAAGTTCGCCCACCAGTCACCAGCGGCTCCTCCGGGTATTACTGTAGACGTCAACGACGTCTGCACGTACGGTGTCGCCTGCAAGAACTTCAAGTGCGTCGCCAAGCACCCGTCCCCGGCCACCAAGCGTGCCCACCAAGGCGAACAGGAGTGCAAGTTCTGGCCCAACTGCGCCAACCCGAGGTGTCCCTTCAAGCACCCCGACATGCCAGCCTGCCGCAACGGCGCCGACTGCAAGGTTGAGGGCTGCAAGTTCACGCACGTTCAGACCAAGTGCAGATTTAACCCTTGCACCAACCGCTACTGCCAATACAAACACGACGAGGGCCAACGCGGGACATTCCAGGACAAGGTCTGGACGGCCGAGGGTGGTGACCACGTCAGCCAGAGGCAGTTTGTCAACAGCGAAGCCGAAGAGGTCGTCATGCCCGGCTCGGAAGCCGCCATGGACGAGGAGGTGGCTTAGGGGGCCTTTGGCCATCCAGCCCTGATGGCCCGTACAGGTACGGGCCGGGAAAGTTCGGCGATTCACGAATCCGGGTTCAGGGACTTGGGAGGAGCGATGTGAAGCAGTGATGTCGGAAATTGGCAGCAAGAAGCATTACCATCCCCTGCTACGCACCGACAAGCGGATGCTCAACCACGAAGCTTGAGGGTGATGTTCAGGGTGGTCTGGCCCAGGGGGGAGGACGAGAGGGACAGCAGCGATTGGAATTTGTACAGTATGATTATGGACATTTCGGAAATGGCATGATGCCTTCCAAAGGCAATCACCCGGCGTTCGGGGCTTTTGACACTAGATGATACAGGCGTTCTGTGGCTATAGGAAAAGTCAGGGACTTCTGATTCTTGAGCGATGACAAATATACCCATGTGCATTCTGTGATTCCTCCCACTGCTAAGACTTGGTCTCATTGAACTTGCATCCTGAGGTGACAGGCTGAAGATATCTTTTATATAGAATAGTGATGACACATGAATTCACACTTCAAATTTTTTTTTAAATCTTTCCAACATTCAGCCACTCATATTGACCTCCATTGGGATTTTTTTCGTATGATGCCGCACCGCACAGCACGTCATGATTCTGGAGGTGGCCTGATGGGAGCCGTGGTCCCTTGCATCATGCGGTGGCGCTAGGAAAATCAGCCGAGGCGAGGCGTGTGGCCTGCAGTACGGCAACGCTCTCCTCCCTCTGCAGTCCCAACGCAGGGTCTCGCAAAGCGCAGCCTCGACATGAGAGCAGCACGATAGCCTGCCATTGCCCGCGTACAATGGCCTCCAGACTCCCCGACGACCTCTTCATAACGCTGTTGAGGTCTGCGTATGGCAATGCACGGCATAGCTTGGCCAGCCGCAGGCCCGCCAGAGCTCCGAAGCTCCCCGCCGACGCCGCCGCCAGTCGACGACAACTCAGTTGCCTGACCCTGGGTCGCACACGCGCAATTGGCCCAGCACAGGTACGACTTCTGTCCGCCTTGCAGCGCGGGAGGCGAGGGTATGCGGCGGTCGACTCCACCAAGCGCGCGGGGCCGCACTTCGAGCAGAAGCCGCGCCAGATAGCCATCCTGGGCGGCGGCGTCACTGGCCTCACGGCGGCTCACTACCTGGCCAGACATGCCACCAACGCGCACATCACCCTCTACGAAGCCAGTGACCGCCTTGGCGGCTGGGTCGACGGCAGGCGGACGCCGATAGACGATGGCGCGGGCGGCGAGGTTCTGATGCAGCGCGGGCCGCGTATGCTGAGGTCCGGCGCCACCTCCAACAAGTACGACGACCTCGTGTTCTACGATGTGGTACGTCCGGCCCAACGGCCCAAGGCCCAGTCCTCTTCTCTTGCTTTGGGACCGTCGAGCTGACCCCTGAAACCCACAGGTTGCAAACCTCAAGCTCCAGAGCAAAGTCAAACACCCCAAAGCGGCCGCCGGCACACGCTACATCTACTACCCCGACCACCTTGTCCAGCTTCCCGAGCCAAAGCTAACGTTTGAAAACATCACGAAAACGCTACGGTCGCTCTTCAGTGAGCCGATATGGACCGGCTGCATGAGTGCATTCTGGAGGTGGCAATCTTATTTCAACTCCACCCCAGAGGAAATCGAGAGCCGGAGGCTCGGCGCTGGCAGCCTGAACTCGGCCTTCAATACGGACGAGTCCGTCAGCGAGTTCCTGGGCCGGATATTTGCTGACCCTGACGCGCCTCCCATCAAGAACCTTGTCTCGGGTATGCTTCATGGCATATATGGCGGTGATGTGGCCAAGCTCAGCGCTAAGCACACCATCTTTGACAGGTTCTGGTACCAGAGCAAGTATCCTCTGCATGAGGGCTTCCTCTGGTTTGCGCTCAAGGACTTCTACCTGCAGTACGACATGTTGGACGGACCAAACAGCCGTCAGATCATCGAGATGGCCGAGGCTGCGAGGAGCCACAATCTGATGGCTTTCGAGGACGGCCTGATTACTCTCGTTGATGCGCTATCTGCGGATCTGAAGGGCCGGAAAAACGTCACCATCAAAACCAACACCCCGGTCTCGTCCTTGGAGTACAAGGGCGGCCGCGTCGAGGTAGGCGTGCCCAAAGACAACAGCTGCGTGTACACAGCTAACGTTGCGATGGCAGATCTTAAGCGACAACGGTGAACGGGTTCGATACGATCAGGCGCTGAGCACACTGTTCTCGGGCCAGCTGGCCGACTTGGCAAAGCCCGCCAATTCTCTTCCATCGCTCGCCGCTACCGAGGCCGTCTCGATCCAGGTTGTAAACCTCTGGTACCCTGATGCGGACTTGTTGAGCCAGAACCCGGGCTTTGGCTACCTCATTCCTCAATCTGTCGACCCCGAGCAGAATCCGGAGTGCGCACTTGGCGTTCTCTTCGATTCTGACATTGAAACCGGCAAGGACGAGACCAAGGGAACCAAGCTAACTGTCATGCTTGGAGGCCATTACTGGAGCGATTGGCCTGTACTGCCTACCGAGGAGATGGGCATTGCCATGGCGCGGGCCGTTGTCGAGCGCCATCTCGGTATTTCGCCGGACGAACATGTCGTCGCTGGTGCGAAGCTCTGCCGCGACTGCATACCGCAGCATACTGTGGGCCACTTCGACCGTCTGCGCAAGGCCCACTATGAGCTGGAGGCTGCGTTCAAAGGCAAGCTGACCGTCGCCGGCCCAAGCTACACTCAAGTTGGCGTGATTCCAGCCATGCGCTCGGGCTACGACGCGGGCATGCGCATCGCAAAGGGCCACGGACAACCATGGTTCCGGCATCCGGAGAAGGACAAGGGGATGTGGGGCCACCACAACCTGTTGCTCAAGCAAATACGGGAGAGGACCGGTCAAGCACCCGAGATCATGGATCATATCGGGACCACGGGCCTGGAGTGGGCTACCGAGAGCCCGGCTTCGCAGATGACGCAGGGCGAGCAGCAGTTCCTCTGGTTCAAGACGTGGACCAAGGAGAGCGAGAGGTTCCTGGACGGTCAGGGGAAGTGGAAGCCCGATGACCAGAATCCCATGAGGCATACTCTTCTCCCCAGCCCAGACAAGACAGAGAAGCAGGCTCCCCAGAAGTAGACGGACCTGGCAACCAGGGACCGTTCCGTATCCTTCTTAAAAGCGCTGCGTGTGGATAGAAATAGCATCTAGACCTGACGGTGTGTACCATCATAGAGTTATTAACAGTGTACATATATGGTAATGGTCACTTCCGTGACTGTCCCAACCACGTCTTTCCCACCTCGTTATCAGTCTCAAGAGATACTCTGCAGCCCTACGAGAGCCTCCACAACCTTCTCTGCAAACACTGGATCATTGATCTCAACCGCATGACGCTCGACCCGAATCCCACTCCCCTCAAGTCCCTCCTCCAGACCCCGGAACAGCGCCTCGTCCGCCGCGCGGTCCTCAAACGGCCCGCCCTTTCCCGAAATCATGCTGATGCCCTCAGTCGGCAGCAGCACGCGGACCCTGTCGGGCCGCCGGGAGGCCCGCAGCTTTTCCACCATAAAAGCCGCCACCCGCCGGCTCTCGTCAGCGCTCGTGCGCAGCAGCGTCACGGCGGCGTTGTGCTCGTGCAGCGTGCGCCGGCCGGCCTCGGCCTCACGGGCCAAGGCCGCGGGGACGCTGGGCCGCGGGCCGAAGTTGACCATGTCGCAGGCGCCGACGCTGAGCACGAGCGGGAGGCCGGCGGCGCCGGCGGCGGCCAGCCGGTCCGGCCCCGCGCTCAGCACGCCGCCGCCCACCTCGTCCGCCACCTCGGTCGTCGTCAGGTCCACCACGGCGTCGAACTCGCCCGCCGCCACCAGCGCCTCCATCGCCCGCCCGCCCGCCCCCGTCGCGTGGAACACGACCACCTCGGCCCCGTGCGGCGCCCGCGTCAGCAGCGCCCGGATCCGGTCCGCCCCGGGCGTCGTGACCCCGAACATGGTCAGCGCGATGCGCTGCTTCCGCTGCTGCCGCGGTGCACCGTCTGCCTGGGACGGCGAGGAGCCCGTCGTCGTTGTCGTCGATGACGCGTACGCCCGCGCCATGCCGGCCATGGCCGCCGCCGCGTTGCCCAGCACGCGCTCGGACAGGAAGTTGAGCCCGGCAATGTCGACCACGCTGTACATGAGCGTCAGGTCGACGCCGCCGACCAGGTGGCCCACGTCGCCGCTGGCCATGGTGCTGACCAGCAGCTTGGGCACGCCGATGGGCACGGCGGCGCGCATCACGGCGGCGACGATCGAGGACCCCGTGCTGCCGCCTATGCCGATGATGCCGTGGACCGGTGGGTGGTGGCTGCGGCTGTCGTTCTCGTCCTGGCCGGAAGTTTGGGACGACGTCCTGGGGTTACCAAGCTGAGCGTGTATGTAGGATGTCGCCGCCGAGGTGATGGTCTTGGAATACGCGGCTCGCGTCTGTGAGGCCATGTCCGGAGGCGGTTTTGAAGATGTGGTCCGTACTAGTTGGTCTGGGGAGACTGTGATCAACGGGTTGGACACGGCAGTCCGCCCGATATCGATGAGTGTTAGACGGCTGTCAGGATTTAGTGTTGAGAGCCGGTTGTGCACGAATGTGATTTCTTCCATCTTGGTGTCGCATGTTGCCAGCAGTATTATGTGAGGCCGCTCGCCTGGTGTCCTGGATTCCGACATCTTTGGGGGCGGATAAAGCAAGGTTCAATATGTTTATTTGTAAATACACGGCTCCGTACCTGACTTATAGAGTTGTTGGATGGGCCTAGTGCAGGCTGGTAGAAGATCAGGTCGGGGTTACGTAAGGAGGACGAGGCCGTCTAGATTTGCAGCTATGATGAGGCAGCAATTTGTCTTAGCGAGTATAATACGATACACCACCCAAACAGGGGCTGTAGAGTATCAAGGCTACGTACCCGAGTTCAAATCCGTACCTCGTTTGATGTCGTTAGGTAAACGGCTCAGCCGTGTAAGACCAAGTGGGGAAATGGCCCCGTTGCGTCATGGTGCATAGTTGCTCCCAAGAGCAGCGCTATGCGTGAGCAGTTGCTTCTGCATTCATTCAGGGGTCGTAAACTATCTGATTTATAAGCCAAGGCTTTACCTCGTGTACCACTCGTTGCAATAGCATGCCTAGACCCACGAAACGTGAGGATGTCCTCGCACACCTGCGCGCCGCCCTTTCGAGGGGTGAGGCCATCGTTGGCGCGGGAGCCGGCACCGGCTTGAGCGCCAAGTGCGTTGAAAGCGGTGGCGGCCATCTGATAATAATCTACAACTCTGGACGGTTTCGGATGGCTGGCCGGGGCAGCTTGGCCGGACTGATGCCGTATGGAGATGCCAACAAGATTGTGGTCGAGATGGTATGGCCCCCCAGGCACCGGCTCATTGAAGCCTATCTACGCTTAATCTACTAACCTCAAACCAGGCCTCCGAGGTTCTACCCATTGTCAAGTCTACTCCCGTGCTTGCGGGTGTCTGCGGCACGGACCCGTTCAGGGAGATGCCGTACTTCCTATCCCAGCTGAAGGCCCTCGGCTTCAGCGGCGTCCAAAACTTCCCCACCGTCGGTCTCATCGACGCGGGCTCTGTGTTCAGACAAAACCTGGAGGAGACAGGAATGGGCTACGGCATTGAGGTCGATATGATCCGCGAGGCGCGCCGGCAGGACTTCTTCACCTGCTCGTACGTCTTCAGCCCTGACGACGCCATCAAAATGACCGAGGCCGGATCCGATGTTATCGTGGCGCACATGGGCCTCACGACTTCTGGAAGTATCGGCGCCCAGACGGGCATTTCGTTGGAGGAGTCGGTCAAGAGGGTACAGGATATCCGAGATGCGGCAGCGAAGGTGCGGGATGACGTGATTGTGCTGTGCCATGGTGGGCCGATTGCGACACCTGAGGATGCGGCGTATGTGCTGGGCAAGACAAAAGGGGTTCAGGGGTTCTTTGGTGCCAGCAGCATGGAGAGGCTGCCCACGGAGCAAGCCATCAAGGGTGTTACAGAGGAATTCCGGAGGGTCAAGCTAGGTGCCTAATATGAGAGGACAAACTTGTGTTTCAGAAGTTCTTTCTGGGCATTAATTGGTAACGGGAATCTAGACAAAGCGAGGCTCCTTCCTACAGATTCGCAGACCCCGCACCCAGAGATGTCAGCTTAACCAATATGTGGGGAGTACTGCTGGTCTGAAAAAGAAGAGGTCTCATACAGCTTGTACTCGATGCATTTCATCATCTGCTCTCATCATCACCCCGTGTACTCTATGACTAAAGCTGCGAACGACGTCAAGCTGGAAACCAAACGTTGAACCATTACCACTCAATACCCGTCACAGCCTGTTATTTGCAGTACATGTGTCCACACCGTTGCCTTCCTGTAATCCATTTTCAATAACCCCTTTTTAGTCTTACCACCAGTCAGTTCAGTTGCACCATGGAGGAATCAGTTGTTTTGTCAAGATTCGATCAGATTTTTCATTCTGGTCTAGTGAAGTTCGATAAAGATCAGAAAACCGTTACGCATGATGAAGAAGGTCTGAAGGTAGTTCGATCGGGAGACAACAACCCAAATGCTTGAAAGATACGTTACTAAAAGAGTCACGGCATAGTTTCAGTTTATACTTACCTGTGCTCTCTCGCAAAAGCCTTCATTAGGCGCTCGGCAGGATAGTAAAGATAGTGACAGCCATGCTCAGTGAAGACAGGACGGAAGTGACATCAACAGAGAATTTTTGAAATTGGCGATGTCGGTAGCAGCCACTTCCTCTCGGCAAACATGTTCTGCTTCGCTAGACCACGCCTCATGCTCTTGACCTCCAATCCACTGGCTCGGCAGTACGAGCCTCTTCACAATATTGATGTGGAAGCGGCTTGGACTCTTCTGAACAATTTCGACAACGAGTACGTTGCGTTCTTCAATTGTGGCCAAGATGCTGGGAGCAGTCGAATGTGTAAGCATATGCAGCTGATGCCACTTCCGAAGGACACTTTTGCAGCTTTTCTCGATCGGGACGATGGGAAGGAACCCAACGTCCCCTTCTATTGGTTTTATCGACGATTGCAGCCCCAGGTCACAACCATATCTATTGTAATCCCAGCCTACGAAGAGCTTTGCGGCACAGCAACGCTCGCTCCTGCTCTTGCTCACTGACGGTCACCTTGATTCCGCGGATAGATTGATTGAGACACGGCTAATGTGCATTGAGCACAACGAAAGCATCGAAAGCTACTTTCTGAGATGCGTTAGAGTCTAAATCATGGAGTGTTGGGTTGATGAGGATAGTTGGCGGAAAACAAATGGCGAGTTTAGACACCTTATTATGAGTTAGTGAAAACGTCTCAGACCTTCTATAGAATTTAAGATGCTAAACAGTAGATGATGTTGTATACTACGTTAGAGAGTTTCAAAATGCAAGGCTCCCTTTTGCTTGGCGTCTATTTGTCCGACCTTACAAGATATCGTGAATGCTATAATTGGAACAGCACGTTACCGAAGGTTGGAGCTGAGGAAAGAGGCGGAAAAAGACGGTTTGAGTCGGAGAAGTTAAAGTTGTTTTATGACTTGAGCTCATGGTGAATTAGTGGTTTTGGAGATGGTAAGTATCGTCTGTAGAAAAGACAGAAAAAAGTGATTGTCTACTAGGCATAGATCATCCAAAACTTTCCACGTAGAGCCACAGCAAGCTATAGTTTTACTCTTTATAGGTTGCTAAACAATTGATTGTGCTAGTAGTTAGTTATTGTTTTGGACTTATTTGCCGCCTAGAGACCCTTAGAATACTCCGTAGGAAGTAACATGACAAATTTGAAAGTGCTGACTTCGAAGACTTCTGAGTGCTTCAAGACGTAAGATACAAGGCTCTCTTTTGCTTGGCGTCCACTTGTACGACCTCAAAAGGTATGGTGAATGCTATAATTGGAAACATGTTGCCTAAGGTTGGAGATGAGCACAGAGCTCAAAAGGGCTATAAAGGACCACTTAAGCTGAAGGCGAAGGTTGGGGTTGTTCTATATAATGAGCTCATATTGATTCAATGATTTCAGGAATGACAAGCATCATTGGTAGGATAGGATCTAGAAATGACTGAAAAGTAGAAAGAGGGAACAAGGAGGCTAATGCGGCATGATGATCTCAAGGCTGATTCCTTCAAATCCCTTGGATGAGGTCCCAGGCTACATTGCGCAGTTCCATCTGTGGTAATATTTAACCAACCTGATGCTGCAAAGGATGGAATTTGTAACCAACCAACATCTTGACCCCGCAAATGATTGAAGAGTGACCAACCAACCATGCAACAGACCACCAGGCCTATGCAGTCCAACGGCAGCACTGCCTCAGTCTGGAACCCAATTGTGGCAAGCTCAATGGAACCTTTCTGGGAAATTCATGTCATTCTCATCTGCCCGTTCGCCCTCATGCCTTCCCTGGTCTTCGAGTTTGGGGCATTCTATTCTTGGGATAGTGGTACATAACTTTGCAGTTTCAGCATTATGCACCGAAGACTCGAGCTATCCAGACCTATTAAGGGGTATTCCATTACAACTTAATGAGGTCTTCGATAATCAAAATGCAATGGAATAGATATGTAAGCCCACACTCTAGGAAACAAGACAACGGGGATAAATTATGCACCCGTCGCAGCAACTAAGAATGATTCTTGCTTAACATGCGCAGATTCTATACATTCTATCTATAAGGAGACCAATTTTACCGGTTCTAGCGAATACATTCAAGACTTGGGTAACAGTCTGGCACCAGCGTTTAACGTAGTAAATGATACCAGTGTGGAGGCATGAAGCCGGTGATTTCCCGATTCCTATCAACATTGTCCCGAGGTGATCCCGTCTTCTAAGTTTCCAACACGTTTCTGAAGTGCCTTCACTAGTTACGATGCCGTGCAGCACTTGTGGCTTACCTACCTCGCGTCCTCTCTCGAGTTGCTGAGAGAACATTGAGGCCATCTAACCTTGGATACTCCCTCTTTCCCCACAATAAGCCATACATCCCACCCGCAGGAGGCTTGAAGCACGCCCGCAAGTTAACATGCCTCTTGTCAGCGTATCATGTCTGCTTTGCGGTAGTGAAATTGACGAGTCAGAGCACCTCCCGGATTGGATGGGCCGATTTCGGGCGCTCTATACTGTGCTTCAGGAGTGGGATTCCGCACAAATATCTAGGGCTAGCGAACGGCGGCCAGACTCAGACCTTGTTCCGCTTGATCAGGCAATAACGCAGGCTGTCAGGCATCTGGACTTAACCGAGCCGACCATCGATGGAGACTTTATCAAGATACACCTATCACCAAAGCGTTTTGGAGAGCCATACCCCCCGCCTCTGCCCTTGACGCCGCTGCCTCTCTGGGGTTTTGCGTTACATGCAAGCTGCTGGAGTCTGCTGGGGGTGAATTACCCACGTCTGAGATCGGAGCCAACTGCTTGCATCCAAGCTCTGTTTCATCTTTGCAGATCGCAGCCAATAAATCTCGGTACCATGGACTGGGGTCACGACTATGGTGGGCTGTTCTGTCGAACACCTGAATCTCATGAATTGCTGCCAGGTGAAGACACCCAGCTTCAAACACCGCAATCCTCGGACAGGTTGTTTCACTGCGACCCGTTCCACATCCCACAGTTGACTGCTCAAGCTCATACCTCTGGTGCATTGCCTGGCATAGAGCCAGTACGACAACATTGCTCTCGGGATCAGGGTTCTGCAAACCGTGACGTAGACCCATTTCATCGTTTCCCGCTCGAAATTGCCACGGATATCCTGGTTCTCCTTCAATCAGCAGACGTAGCCAGTCTTCGCCTAGCATCGAGAAGTTTTGCAAACAGGCCATTGCTGGACTGCTTTTGGCGATCACGATTCTGCGCAGGCCAAGAATTTGCCCACCTCTTCGAATACGCTTCATCGAAGCATACTCCCGCAAGAGAGTTATTCGAGACTGCGAGGTCTATACGGCATCTTCCAGCTGTAAATAATCGGCGTCGCGTCTGGTCACTCGCTTCTTTCCTGGCCAGCCTGATTGAGTCCAGGTTAGGGGCATCACGTTGTGATGGAACGCCTTGCCAATCATTTTTTGAGCCAGACGCCAACCCCGAAAAAGGAAAATGGCTCGTTGCGCAAGGCACCGTTTCTGACGCAAAGACACACCTCACATTTACAGAAGGCTCTCGACCCTTGTTTAATCGGCTGCTTTCGCCCGGGGCCTTAGCTGCCGCCGGCTGCGTTTCTTTCATTTGCATCGGTGATAGAAGATATGTCACAGGCTTCAGATTGACTCAACACGGCGGAGGTATGTTGCAGTTTGGTTATCGCCAGCCCGAGCAGGAAACCAAAATTATTTGGCCTGGCGACATTCCACAAAGCATCTCACTGTCTGGGATCGAAGTTGCGTTAGATCCAAGAGGCATCCGCGCTTTGCGATATCTCACTTCCTGTGGCAGATGCTCGAACTGGGTTGGAGAGCACGAAGGCCTTCCAAAAGCGAGACTGGTATCAATTGATGCAGATCACCCCCTACAGACTTTAAAGGGTGGTTTTGATGTGAGTCTGGCCAAATATTCAATTGCCCTCAGATTGGTGCTAAATATGTTCATAGGCTCTTAAACTCGTCTCGCTATCCATAAGCGTCGACACATTCAGAGGAAATCCCATCAGTCCTGATGGAAGACGTGAAATGTCAAAAGCCTGGTATCCTCAAGTTCCTGCTGATTCATTGAAATTCTCGGGTGTCGAAATCGGCCGGCTTTCGTATTCCCAAGTTTTCTCTCCGTTCTCAACTTGCTTGTTCGGCGGCAAGAGCGGAGAGCTGCTTCCACATCTCACTCAAGTCACGGTGTGGACGGTCACATCACCGCAGCACGCCCTGTGGGAAAACAGATTTCCTTGGGCTATAGTTTTTCACTATGATCGCCCAATTGATGGCTGCGAGACGAGAACCTTGGGTCTCGTACCTCGGACCGAACATAATCTTACCCAAGCCCACAACTTCCAGATTAGCTCCGGGGAAGGTGAGCGTATCACTCGAATTGATGTTCACTACTTGACCGACAAATGTCCGGCGGCTTTTACGGTAAGCGTATTATAACGATATGATCGGTATATGTCTAACTTGAGAAGTTCTATACAAACCGGGTGCGGAGGACTCGGATCCCGCGCGGCTCCCTCGAGGATATTCCCGAGGACGAATTCTCTACGGAACAGCTAGTCCCAAAAGGAAAAGAGGTTATTATAGGTTTGTTTTCATCACTAGTAAGTATTGTCTTGTTGTGTACACCCAAGTCTGTTTTGGCGTTAAAATCAGATCTGATTATTTCATAGAAACAACGTACAGTACTCGAGAATCTTGGTATATTATGTATTGAGAGACCAGATGATAAATAAACAGATATATTACCGGTATTCGTGTTATATGAATGGGAGACAGTCCATTTACCTGTCCCGGCACTCCCGACTACCTTGCAAAAATGTGCACAACTTCATTCCCAATATGATTTGACCAACTTGGCGCTGCAAAAGATGGAATACGCGGCCGACCAACCAATCAGCTGACCACCAGGCTGAGCCTTCCTGGTTCCCAGCTTGAATCCTTCCAAATCACTGACGCGATTTGTGACCAACGAATAATAGGTAGGCTATGTCTGTTCTCCTGGAAATCGATAGTCATAGCGGAGGATGGCACAGCAGAACTCGTGGATTAATGGCTTTGCGTTAAAAGAATTATCACATCATGAGGCAAAACCAACATTCAGCCCTACGAAGGGTCAATGGCAGCACTGCCACAATTTGAACCCCAAGTGTGGCAACCCTGATTGAACCATTCCAGAAAACCCATCTCTTCCATCAACCAATTTGATTCATAGTTGTCTGAAACCTCTGAGCGCGTTCTTTGAATTCTCTGACAGTAGTCTTCAAGATGTGCGCCCCAATGTTGATTGGCGTCGCCAACACCCTGTTGCTATGTTCGGGACTCCAGAGACCTCTCTTTGAGGCGCAATCAGACACTTTGTCGCTGGCGCCAGCGCACGTTGAACTACCCGGCGGTTCTCCATTCAGTCTATGCAACGTCTCACGACCAACGGACCTCTTCCAGGTCACATCCATTAACATCTCCCCACAGCCTGTCTATATGTAGGTTCATTTGACGTGCCGATGATCACCTCGAAGCATGACGCCAAATATATACTGCTGCCTATTGACCATCACCAGCGATGACATGTTCACGGTCTACATTTATGGGTCTTTTCGAGACACTTTCTCCAACTCGAATGCAACCGTCGAGCTCGCGGCGGACTGTGGCTCGCATTGTGAAGAATATGGGGTTCCGCCACCACCTTACGATCGCGATGAAACCTTTACGATGGGCTTTTGCGACATGAGTATGATTCAGCAGCCGCTTGGGGGCAAAAAGTCAACTTGTCCTCCGGAAAAAGGATATGCTATAATGATGTCAATGGGCTGGGTTGTGCCCATGTTCGTGCACGCTCCTGTAACTTGTCCTTTCCCTTTCATACTTTCCCCCTCGCCTGATAGTCCAATTTTAATCAGTCAATACAGGCTTGGTATAACTTCACATTTGATGCCAAGACTGCTGAAGGCGAAAGAATTTATTGTTTAACGACGGAGGTCTGCTTAAGATGGGAAGACGAAGAGAAAAACAAAGGATACCCTCCAGGTCCCTGGACTAACTGTACATGGCCGAGATAAAGAGTTAGGGATCAAAAGCGATACGCGGTAGGGTCTGGGGCTACTGGGATATTTGAGGCAGTAGAACCACGGGCTATTCTGCAAGGAGGTTGGCTGGGACTTACCCTATGCGTCTTAAGGTCCTGATGAGTTGAACGCATACTTCTTAGATTGTACCAGAAGCAGGCGTGGCCAAGTCGGGCAGCTGGACCACGTCAAGGCCAATAGCAATGGTAATTTTTGTCTTTCTAATTCTTGAAATCGCCCCTTTGTCTGAGGGTTCGTGAGTTGACAAGCTTCTGAAGTACGAACCGCTGTCTTCCCGCGTCTACAGATGCAGGTGGCTTCCGCATAGGAAGTGCCTACTCCGGCCTTGTGACTTTTGTTTCCGGATTTCAACTCTTCCCACGAAACTGAGGGTAACGACAATGATTGCACACGTGATGCTATGAAGCGAACCACGGCGAGCATGGATGGAGATCATCGCGTAGAGTTAAGTACTGCTCGTAAGTAAAACAAGTCTGTTTGGTCCTGTAGACTATCTTTTCTAAGCTCTTTTGATTTCTACCACCAAATCATTCACCATGTGTGTTAAGATGTTGATGAACCAAGCCTTGGCATCGCATCGCATCGAAGTGCGATACAACTCATCGCATCACTAGGATTATTAATATCACAGGATTACACTGACCTAGCTTAGTAAGTCATCAAGTAGATGGGCACGCGTGATGGTCCGGACAGATCAATGTGACTGGTCAGCGAAGGTTGTCTTAGCCTGGCTTACCCTTTCCATAGGAGGCGCAGCTGAAAGAACAGCCCCGCATCTTACAGCCTCGTTGGCGATGACGAATCTTCATGGCATGGATGTTTAGTTCTGGTTTTGGCTCCGAGCTCTATATGTTTGATAACAATTTCATTCCTCATTCGACAAACTTACAGTCTCATAATCTTGTGTCGTCGTTTCTTGCAAGCATCTCTCATCCAAAAGATGTGGCTGATCGACACCGGAAGCGAGGAACTTCATCCAGAGGAGTTTTTTGAGGACAACCGTCCGCAGTATGCAATACTGTCTCATCGATGGGGCGCCGGCGAGGTCACGTTTGCTGATATGAAAGAGCCGGCCAAAGCCAGGGCCAAAGCCGGCTGGGTCAAGATCAGCAAGACCTGCGAGGTGGCCAGGCTATCCGGGCTGAGGTACGCTTGGGTCGATTCGTGCTGCATCGACCGGTCAAGCAGCGCCGAGCTCTCGGAAGCCATCAACTCGATGTGGCACTGGTACCGAGAGGCGACTGAATGCTATGCATTTCTAGGGGACCTGGACCTACGCTCCACCACCTCGAGCATCGAGGACCAGCTGAGGGCTTCGGAGTGGTTTCGCCGGGGCTGGACGCTGCAGGAGCTCATAGCTCCCAAGGCCAAGTCCTTGTTCTTCCACGACAAGGAGTGGAATGTTCTGGCGAACAAAGTCACGCTCTCCAAGCTCATCGCCGAAATCACCTCGATACCCCAGGAGGTTCTCCTGGACGCCAGTCTCGTGCGCCACTGCAGCGTCGCGCAGCGCATGTCATGGGCCTCGCGGCGCAAAACGACCCGGATCGAAGACGCCGCCTACTGCTTGCTTGGCATCTTCGACATCAACATGCCACTATTGTATGGAGAGCGGCAGAAGGCGTTTCGTAGACTGCAGCAAGAAATCATCGGCAAAAATAGCGACACCACCTTGCTTGCCTGGGAGCCTACCGATGAGGCCACGGGGGACGATGAGTACTGTGACATCTTTGCCCCCTCTCTCGCCGCATTCGCCAATAGTCACCACACGAAAATAGCCAAAGAGTTTAGGCCGCCCCAGTGGTACAACACCTCTAGTGGCCTAATCTTTCATGCTGAAACTTTCAGGTTACCAGTTGGAAACGTGATCAAGACAGTATTCATCCCCGGCGTCACAAACCCCAAGTACGGGGGGAAACTGCGTGGCAGTCTCTCAGTGTATGATGTCAACACCACTCTACTTTGTTTTGAGTTAGAAATGGTCGGTTCGGCTACATACTGCCGCAGAAATCATCCACAACTTCTCAAGCTGTCAAGTCGCGTATTCAGAGATATTGAGCATGTTACACAGCCTCCGTTCGGTATTAGGACGCTCAGTTTCCCACATTTGGCAGAGTCGTATATGTATAGCTCCAAGCTGCACCTGCGGACACCGCCAGAGATGAAGATGGTGCGGGCTTTTCCTGAGAAGTCGTGGAATTATGAGGGCAAGTTCTTCTTCTCGGTTGACGTGTTTCAGGTACTGGGTGCTTTGTTCAGGTTTCCGGAGGGCGACGACTTGATCTTCCTGGCTAGTTCCGTTTGGGACTCTCAATACAACGCCAAGTTCAAGATGCAGTTAATCAATAGGCGTCTGCTACCGGCGGTAGCAGATGCGGTATTGCAATGGACGCAGACAGAGGAGGTCGATGTCAGTGAGATGGAGTCTACACACCCTGAAACTGCCAAGCTATCCCACTCGACATCCGTTAAGATTCGTGGTCGAAAGCATGTCGTTTCTGCAAATTATGATCAGAGTAACGACACTCGTGATGGCCGTGGATCATGGCACCAACACATCGATATCTCAATAAGACCGCAAGGCATCACAGGTGGCTAAGGATAATGTTAGTGGAAGGACAAAGTACATGAGCCGCCTTGCTCGTTGATTCTTTGACCTACTTCTCGTGCCATACAACTCACAGCCCACAATAACAAGGAAGGCGGCAGAAAATAGAGGGCCAGCCAACCACAATAGAGAAAGCAACGAGAAATACGAGAAGCGCTTCAACAGGAAAGAATCCTAGAATGCATGAATCCTGGTCGTATACCATTGGCAAGACTCTGTATGCTGGCATATTCAAAACCCTCTCTGCCAAGGACGCGAAGCCATGCGGGCAGACGGTCATCACCTGCATAATTGTCAGCCGTGGCCAATCTGAGAGAGATGCCTATTTCCCTCACACCTCACCAACTCTCTCTCCCCTCTTAACATCTGCCTCCCACCGTCCTTTCCCTCCACGAATCCCCGCCTCCGAATACGGCAGCGGAGACGGCCACTCCACCGTCGACCCCCTTTCCATAGACCCGCGCCCGCTAGACAGCCGGCGCGGACTCGACTGCGGCCCTCTGCGGCTGAACATGAAGTCGATCACGAGATAGCTGAGGACGCCAAGGACTAGCAGTGCGAGCGCAAAGCCGACGAGCTCGAAGGCTTCTCCCATTCTCAGCTGGTGTGTTTTCCTGTCTGTCTGCTTGTTGTCGTATTTGGTTGGTGCATGAATGGATGCACGCGCGGGAGGGGGCGTCTGCTGTTGTGCTCAGGAGCTGTCGCCCAAGTATGTGTAAGCTATCGACGTCCCTCAGTACTTCACATTCAGAGTAGTGGTATTTGCACTTGCTGTGGAGGCAGCGCGCACATATCTATAGAAACGTCTGCTTATACAGTGAATATACCGAGCGCTTCATCACCTAGCAGTCTGGGAAAGGACCATGAATCACATAGAAGAAAGAGCCTGTAGATTTCAAACCACTCAACGTATTTTAACGATCACGAACGGCGGTGCTTGACGAGTCGTTGTCTCATTCACATCTGTCTAATTATCTACCTGGCACCGCGACGATTGGGAATACCCCGTCGCCGATGCCGAATTCCGCCGTAAGTGAGCGGATGGGTATATCCTCCCCCGCCTACCTCGATCAATCACGAAAAAACAACCGCAGCCCTTTCCGTCGCAATGCAAGAGACGCGCTTGTGAAACTGTTCTGCCAGCTTTATAGTGAAAAGGCCTCCAGTAGTCATCCACCAAAAAATATATCAAACAATTGGCAACCCTGCCACGAAAGAGAGAGAAATGTGCAACGCGCAGTGCTCTTCAGTTGAGAGCCATCTGAGAAGGGGCAATGGACACGACGTTGATGTCCTCGTCTTCGCCGAGGAGCATACGTCTCCGGCACTCCTCCTCCACGGACTCCTCGTCCTCGACGCGGCCTTCAACAGAGGCGGCCAGCATCAGCTTCTTGACGCAAGAGTTGTAAATCAGCCCTTCAACCGTGTTCTCGGTGATCAGACGAATGACTTCGACCTCTCGAGTTTGGCCAATACGATGGGCTCGGTTCGAGGCTTGGACGTCGTCTTGGGGGTTGTCCGATTGATCGAAGATGATGATCTTGTTCGCGGCAGTGAGGTTTAGCCCGGTGCCGCCAGCTCCCGTAGTAAGCAGAAAGACGGGGATCTCAGGGTTGTCATTGAATCTCTCGATCTCCGGGAATCTGTCAGCAACGCTTAACCTTCCGGAAAGGTCGCAGTAGTTGATGTCCGCGAAGTGCAAGGTGTCTCGAAGGACGTCCATGACCATGTCGTATCGGGAGAACACCAGGCAGCGATCTCCGTTCTCCTGGTAGCCCTTGACAAGCTCAAGAAGCTTCTGGACTTTGGGAGCCTTCTCCCAAGAACGATGGGGAAGATCGAATTTCCCGATGTATCTCGGGAGTTGTTTGCAGAGCAAGTGCAAGTCGAAGTCTGATTCGGACCGCAGCTGGTCGCGGTATTTGATTCTGTGGCGATCCTCCTTGCTCTGCACATAGAGCTCTTCTGGGGAGCACTTAGCCCAGAGGATGTCTACCATCTTATCAATAGTACTGTCCGTGAAGTGGCGCCGGAACAGGTGTGGGTGAATGGCGGCCTTGCGAAGTTGCTGCCACGCATTGCCCTTGTCTTTGGAAGCATTTGCCTTGCCTTTGCTCTTCTGCAGGAAACTGGTCTTGATGCCCTCGTACAGTGTCCTCTGATTGTCGTCCATAGGAACCTGGATCAGTGTATCGATCTTCTTCGGGAGATCCAGTACTTCGTCTTTCTGACGCTGAAGAATGAACGGGACCATGATCGTGCGTGCGTTGGTAACACGCTCCTTCGCAAGAGCAGCAAAGTTCAAGACATCCTTGTTTGGAACCTTTGCCTCGAAAATGGTGTGCATGTCCTGCATAATGTTGCCTTCAAAGAGGGTCGGCTCCACGAAGCTCAATAAGCTGAGCAGCTCTTTCAGGTTGTTCTGAACCGGGGTACCAGTCAGAACTAGACGCCACTCAGATGGGAGCTGTGAAAGATTCTTGTAGACCATGGTGCCCGGATTCTTCAGCTTGTGACCCTCATCATAGATCGCAGCGTACGGCTCCAGCTTGGCCAGCCACTGGATATCCTCAAAGGACCGTTCAACCATGGAGTAAGAGGTCAGAACAACGTCGTGCTTTTGGGCGTCCCGGGGCGATAAATCCCTTCGATCGGTGCCTAGTCGACAGATACAGGTTAGCTAGCGATAAGTTTGATGACACAAAAGTACTTGCCTGAATACATAAAGACGTCGATATCCGGCGCAAATCGCTCGAACTCGTTAACCCAGTTCTCGAAAGTACTAGGGGGGACTACGACGACATTCGGCTTCGCATTTGGACGGGTCTGAACAAGATGTGAGATGAAGGAGATAACCTGGCAGGTTTTTCCAAGTCCCATGTCGTCTGCAAGGATACCGCTGTATCCAACCTTGTGAAGAAGATTCATCCAGTTCAGTCCAAAAAGCTGGTATGACTTGAGCTGAACATCATCCGCCATAGGTGCTGGGCGTTTCGAAATGGGTAGCTTGTTGTAAAGCTCATGAGTCTTATCTGAATCTTTGAGTATTCCGTTTCGATCCATCTCCCAGGTATCCATGATGGACTGCAGTTTCCGACCCCTCGCATCGCACTCGCTGATGATACTTGTAACTGAATCAAACGCTTTGAACCAAGTGTCGAGCTTGTCGACAATGTTCAGGCCCAGGTCGTCCTTTTTGGACTTCTTGGTGCCCTTCAGCTTGATTTTCTCGACCTCTGTGAGTGACTTGAAGGGCTTCTTGGAAACGACCACCTGGGCGTCTTTGAGCGAATTTCCCGTCATGCGCGCAAGCTCTTCGGCAGAGCATTGATTCAAGTACTTCAGCACGCTGTCATGCTCCGTCCGAGGTATGTGAGCCGCAGCGCCGCTGGCGGAATCGTCAGAATCGTCGATGTTGATGAAAGATTGGGCTTCCACGGCAGCTGCCTTCTTTGCAGCTTCTTCTTGTTGAATCTTGGCCCCGCGGTTGATGAGCCGACTGCGCTTTTTGGGCTGAGGTGAAGGAGCAGCGGCGGGAACCTTGCGTTTCATCGCCAGCTGGACGAGATCAGGAAACCCACCGTCGGATTTATCCGAGTCAGAGTCAATTACCATTATCTCAGTCTCGGAATTGGGACGTTTGAGTGAGCCGGCCTGCAGGCGACGACGCGGGGCGACATCCTGGGACTGCGATTCGGCCGGAAGGACCGCAGCGATAGCCATCTTGGGATCAGGCTCAGACGCCGAACTCGTGGGTGTTGTGGCAGCGGAAGAAGTTGTGTGTGATGAAGGAACAGAAAATACTTTCTCCGGAGAGGGTGTGCGTTTGCGACGACCCTGAATCAGGCGTCTGCGCGGTGCTGCGTTCTTGGCTGGTTCGGGTGAAGGTGGCGGCGAGCTTGAAGCATCGCGAGATTTCTGTGGCATGGGGAGTTTTGTTTGATTGAGTAATTTTGGTTGGTGGGAACCGATTGTCTTGGTGGACAAGGATTTGTGATTGTTCGAAGAAGAGTCAGAGCCATGGGCAGGGCCTGCTGGATTGTTCTTGCGAGGTTGGCCGATGAGGGAGTGAATGGCATCGTCGACGCTCAGGCCATTCTTCTGCAGTGCATCTCTACACTGGCGAATGGTGACGTCCGGCTTCAGCTTAGCGACCGTCTTCTGGGTCTGCTTTGTCAAGTAGCGCAACCTCATATCATGTATGCCATTGAGGGTCAATTCTTTGTCCTCAGCCTCGACCTTGGGCTTCGAGACTGCCACTGGTTGCTTGACAAAGGACGACGGCCGTATTTCGCCCCTCATGGGCGGCTCGTCCTCATCTGAGCTATCACGACGCCTATAGTCGTTGGTGAGATCGTCGTCGTCGGATCCGGAGTTGGAGTTGGACGCGCTGAGAAATCTGCTCTGTATGGCGGGCTGAGGCCGGCGAGCCAACACGGGAGCAACGGGAGACCGAAAAGCAGTGCCAGCGGGTGCCATCAAGGAGGCCAAGCGGCCACCATTGGGCCCTGTCCGGACGCCATTGGCCTCTGTTCTCACAGCCGGCCGCCTCTGCTGTGAATGGCTCTGGAAAGGGGAGGAGGCCGGAACCTCGACGACGCTGCCAGGGGTATCGGGGACGGGAGGCGACGACCTTTGCAGGGTAGTCCGCTTCTCGACGATCTGGGTTGGCTGGGTAGCCCTGTTCATGATCTGAGTCGGCTGGGTGGTTCTGTTTATGATCTGGGTGGGCTGAGTGGTCCTGTTCACGATCTGGGTGGGCTGGGTTGTTCTGTTGATGATCTGAGTGGGCTGTGTCGTCGTCGTCCGCCCGACGATCTGCGTGGGCTGGGTGAAGTAGGGCGACGAGGAGGGCAGGCTCTCGGCCAGCTCGTCGAGGTCCTCGTCCTCGATGTCGAAGCGGCCGCCCTTCATGCCGCTGGCGCGAGCACCGGCCGACGGGCTCCCTGGCACGGCGGGGGAGCTCGTCCGCAGCCCCGGCAGGTTCCCGTGCATTGTTCGCCGCCTGTGTCTCCCGCGGAGTGTGGTGGTAGTGGCTCCGGAAGTTGTGCGCGTGGGTGAAAGTCGTGGTGAGGGGCGCTGGGGAACGCGAGGGAGGGCGGCCCAGAGTTGCGCAGGGAGAAAGAATTCGGCGTATCGATGCAAAAGAGAATGCCCAAATTGCGTGTCCTTGGGTCGTCTCCCTGGGTGCAGAAGTCGAGGGGCAATGGAGAGTCGGAGACAAAGTAGCAGCAACTGGGAACAGGGGAATGGAGAATGGGGAATGGGGAAACGCAGAACGGGAGACGTTCACGCTACGCCGTATACTATGGGGAGAGGCTGGCGGTGTCGCCGCTTCTCGCCGTGAAATTTTGGCGTCGGGGACGCACGGGGACGCACGGGGACGCGCTGGACCCAGACGCGACGTCAGCTGATATCCAGTCCCTGGTTAATTGACTGTACACAATTCGTGAGCTGTACCCCGGCCAATGCTCTTCTTCTGCTTCACGCCGTACTTATATAACATGCAATGAAGCACAATTGCCAATATGTTTCTGGTCAACTTAAGATAGAACCGTGCGCTTTTCCCTGTCGTGGCAAGAATCCAGCCTCGACAGAAAGCGGCCTGGCATTTGATTCTGACCGGGTTCGGCCTTGTAGTTAGGTACCACGGTACCGTCCTGCACGTAGTAAACCGGACTCTCACTCGCTGTGTAGCTCCACCCAGCACGGAGCTCTCGCTCACTCAGAGAAGCTCCTAGGTGACTACATACATCGACCAGACCATCAGCGACAACAACGACACAATCCAGCCACGATTGATACAGCGAGCCATGGCTACCCGCAGGATCGTGTCGACCGAGAAGTCGCTCCTCGAGAAGGACGACAGCATCGGCGCCAGCCCCGCCGCCCACGAGAAGTCCAGCATCGCCCCGGCCGTGCCCACGTGAGTTGACATCACAGGCTTTCCTTTGATTCCTTCTGCACACACTTGGTTGCTACGGTGCATCTACCCCCTATGAAAATCTCATACTGACTTCCAGCCGCAGAGATGTCATCATGAAGCTGCTGGCCTTCACGCTAGCCATGATCGTGGTGCCCATCGGCTCCTACTTTGCCACGGTGCACACGCTGTTCAAGGGTAAGTAAGCGGAGAGTGAGAGGGGAGACGGTTCAGCACCAAAGACGAAAGTCGGGCTTATGCACTGTCATCTTCGGGCACCAGTTCCCTCCGTCTCTTTCATCCCACGACGAGGAGGCGAAACCACGCAATAACACGGGGCTGACACACACACGCAACCCCCCACAGGCAACTCGACGTACGCCGGAGCGCTGGCCGCCATCATGGCCAACGTGGTGCTCATCGGCTACGTGATCGTGGCGTACACCGAGGACCAGTCGGAGCAGCTGGACGAGAAGAAGAAGGAGACCAAGAAGGCTCGTTGATGAGTTTCTGCGTGGGAGAGAGACGAGGGTTGCGGATGGAAATGTCTACTAGTGGTTTGGTAGTGTCCAGGGTTGCATACTGCTGCAATTGACACGGAATGAGTCTTACGTGATAGGCCTGGCGGACTCATAGGCTACTTATATCCATGGACACCATACACGGGTTAAGTAGTCAAGCGTCTTCGGGAACCGTCGTAAGCAATAAGAAGTGTCTCATTTGATCGCGATCTCTTAGTGAGATCCGTTCTATAGGCGTACCCATCACACCAGGTACGCATGCTGATCGGCAACCTTCAGTCGCCTTGCCATTGGTTCCACCCCCCTCGGTGCCCAGTCTACAACAGCAATGTGCGTGCGCTGGCGAGGGAAGAGGCGAGTTGGGAATATTAATGTAACCTTGTCGCACGAAATGCTGGGCCAAATAACGCTTTTTGATCAAATGTCGGTGGGCCCCCAATAGTCATGAATTAGTCCTGGCCCTCGAGCTGAGCGGCCTCCCAAAAGACGATTTGAGATGGGGGACTTGCTCGGCCCCCTCGCAATACGAATCCTAGCTTCCTATGTACTCCAATTGCCCTGTCATCTCGCAGTCGTGCCTCTTCTACACCTAAAAACAAAGGAAAGAAAACCATTTCGCAGATGTCGTGTGCAGCTTCCTTCCTGAGCGCTGTGCCTTCGTCAAATGAAGCAATGAAAAGGTGCCTCAGGCACATGAGTGTCGTCAGTCGTCGCATTGGGCGAGTGTTGCTGGAACTCCTAAGGATCGTCTCCGGCGGCCAACTTCGCAACGGACAATCGACCGTCCCCATGCGCAGCGTGGTGGTAACAAAAACAAAAACAAAGGTAGAGAGAATTTGTGGGTATCTGGGAGAGAAATCGGGACGAGTTCCATCATCATATCCTATGCAACCCACGGCTGCCAGTCGTCGTTCGGTTTAGGAGTTCTTGCTGAAACGGCGTGAGAACCAACTCTTGCGTTTCTCCCCCATATCGGGTCTTTGCGTGCCTGCCATGCCCGAAACCTTTGACGCCTTTCTCAGGAGTGAGCCGCCACCCGCCTTCGGTGGCGGCGTGGGAGCGTGCGAGTTGTCTGGCATAGTCCGGGGCTGCGACTCCGGCGCACCCAGCTTGGGAGCCTGGTATCCCGGTGACTGCCCAAAGCTGATGCCATAATCATTCATGGGCTCCTGTCGCTGCTTGGGCGGGGAGCGACGGTTGATAGAGCTGTTCTCGCTACTAGTGGGATCAGTCTGGTATCCCGACGGTTCGCCCATGCTGGCGCTGCCGCCCGAGGCAGAAGCCACCGTCTCGTAAGACCGGTGGTTGTTGGAGCCCGGGTAGAGGTTCTGCCTCACGGCAGGGTGGGTGCTCATGTGTGGATCAGTCTGCATGCGCGACATTCTGTTCCTCCCGCCATTGCCACCATAACCGCCGCTGGGTCCCGACTCCATGCCGTCGTAATAGCCGTCTCTCGGGCCGCCCATCATGGCCGAGCCACGAGGGTCGAGCATGGCACTGTCCGGTCGGAAAGTCGACATCGGTCGGCCGCCGGGCGCCCCATAGTAGCTATCATGGGGAAAGCGAGGGCCGTTACTGTCTGGGTTCAAACGGTGAGTAGAGCCACCTGGATAGCGATCACGCTGTCTCGGCTTACTGCCATAATAACTGCTCCTCCTGTTCCAGTTCACAACCGAGTCAGAGTCTCCTCTGTACATGGACTGGCGGCTGCTGATGGTGCCGTCTGTCTTGCCATCCAACGCGGCCTCAAAGCTGCGTATGGTGTCCAATGGGCGTTCCCATTTGCTGCGGGTGGGATTGGAGCGATCGGGTTCGGCTGGGGTTTTGGCAGGCCAGGATTAGCATAGCTGCAACGGGGGGAGGGGACATGGGATATCACCAACCTATCACGACGCCATTGAGATCCTTGTGCTGCAATGATGAAAGCGGCGGTTTCTCGTCAAAGTCTACCGCGGCGCGGGCGACAGCAGCTAGTCAACAGGTTAGAGTCAATTCTTCAGTTGGTAGACCCGCCGATCGCCATGGGGTCATGTAGGTGTTAAGTATAGCACTCCCGACTTACAAGGCTCCGCTTCCTGCATGGCCAATGTTGGATCAGCCTTGCTGTGCAATCGCTTGGATTCCTTCTCCTCGTGTGTCTCGTGCAGCCCAGCACTCGAGACCTTCTGGACGTGCCCACCGCCGGCGCCGTTGGCCTGGCCGCTCTTATCGGAGCGGAAACTGAAGCCTCTCGATCTCGGGCGGTGCTTCTGGGGCGGCCTCTGCGGGTACGACGGCTGCTGCGTCAATTGCGCCTGCTGCTGGCGGGACTGGTGCTGCTGTGCTGGCTGGGGCGGCTGGGGAAGGGGGGACTGGTCGTACGCGGACGGTGGTGACTGTGAGTACTGGTTCTGGTACGATTGTTGACCATGCGGCGGAGGCGCAGGCAGTGGGTGACTATTGTATTCCTGGGACGCCATTGTCGCGACCGGGCAGAGCACCTAGTTTATGTTATATTACACCGGACCCTTGGGAGGGAAGCCACCGAACAGTGGAGTTGATTGTGGGAAAGTGGACAAGACGGTGGATCAGGGACGCAGACGGGCCACTGAAAATAGCGGGTGATAGTCCTGATAGTGCCAGGAGCGATCGCAAAGCGCAATGATCGTTGGTGTCGGGTCCAGGGTCGACGCTTCTATCTCTGGGCACTTGCGGAGGAGGCAGGGTCGAGGGAGTGTCGAGGGAGTGCCTGGCAACGCTGGCGACGGTGTGGTGTACTGTACGGTGTCTGTCTTATCGTGGATTACGCAGGAGGACGAGACGACCTTTCTGGCGCATGCGGGCGTGGGTGAGCAATAATGACAAAGCTGCTGGCCAGCTCTGGGATCCCGGTCCTGATAGCAACCACTGAGATGCAGGCAGTCGGGCTGTGGGCCTCCCCCAATACGACAGTGTGTTGTCTGGTCGCGAGGTTGGCGCCTGTGCATGTACCCGAGCGGCGCGGCTGCTAGGAAAAGTGACTTTGAGGGGGGGGCGATAGGATCTCGATATGGATGATCCGTTGCTGGGGGGGCTTGACGCTACAACACGCACTGCCCAAGGGCCGCCAGGGGTATTGTCGAATGTTGTGTGCTGCACTCTCCTGGGCGGCGACGCTTGCTGTCGACGGGCACGCTGACCTGCGCGAGGCCCGACACTCTCCTGCGTCCTAGCGTGGCCGGCGTGGGTCCAAAGTCGCTCGTCTCAGAAGACAGCCAGATTCAAGGAACTGCCGTTTCGCGTGGCTGGGATGCAGCGCCCGCGGGTTACCACTTGATTAGAGGGGAGTACGGAGTAGACGCTGCAAGCTCTCTGACCAGGTGCTGGTCGATTCACCTCACAGTCCAGACCAGGCCGGACCCAAAAAATCTTGGTTGAGGATTTTTGGGATTGGTGCCGGACTTCCTTTCGGGGGGCCTTGGCTCCTAAATTGGTGTTCCCCCCGATAAGTTAGAATTCCAAACCTTGGCCTGCTCTCCGATACTAGCGACGCGTTTATTGAGCAGAAGGCCCCCTTGAATGAGTCTGGTTCGGGTTTGACAGTGAGACAGACAAATCGTTCTCGCCACGAGGACGGGCGTGATTGCGGGAATGTGAAAGGGCCACAGGTGCAGACTGCCTCCAGGTGACGTCAAAACTGGGCGCCCAGGTACGCGCTGACGGTACCGGCGGTCCCTTATTGATGATCGATGTTTCAGAGCGACCCAACCGAGTTCCGTGCCTTTTAGTGGCCGCCGGGAAAATAGAAACGATCGTGTATCCTGTCGCTCACCAGAGTCGGTCGCTCATCCTCCCACCGATATCTACAGCTGCCCTTTGGCGAAGTGACGGCGGAAGTACTTGCAGGCGAGTCGGGAGGTCACAGGTGAAGCCAAGCTGAAGTCGGGTGCCCGCGGGGTTGGACGGCAAATTTCAGAATTATGAAAAGCTTCGTATGCTGTACCTGGAGAGGTCCCGGAGATGTCAACGAATGTGTGGTGAAATTACGCTTGTCTTTACGGAGGGAGACAAGATTTGTCGGATGGGATGAATTGTTGTAAGACGATGAGGAGAGATGCGCAGGCCTTGAAACAGCAGCTCTTGCTTTTCGGCCTCGACGGACTTTCATGAAAGCAATATCTGGATCGAAACGAAATGCCTGTTTTGGGCTAATCAGAGCGCTGCGTGTGAGCGTTTCTCGCCTCTTATTAAGGTTTTATCTGGTTAGGATTGTCCAAGGTGACGCAGCATGTACTTGGTGATGAGTGGTGGCCCGCAGCAGGCAAGCAAGCTGGCTGGCCCGCTGGCTGCGATGGAGGTTGGACACGCGTTGACAAGCACGCAGTTGGTCGGCGCTCCTCTCTCTAGCGAGCCCAGGTACGTACGGCAGGGCACTTAGTTCAAAGCCAACACGTGTTATGAAGTCTACTGTACTGTGACTACTGTACGAATGATATCCGCCCCGAATTATCCTTTCAAACAGACCATTGTTCATCGAGGGCCGAGTCCGAGGGGGCCGGTTGAACATGTGAGCGATGGGCAGCCCCGTCTGGCACCATTGACTTATACCTTCGCCAAGACGGGCATCATCTGTTCGCGAGCAACGGCCATCATCCGATCCCTCTTTAATTCGTGGCTGCACCTGGATTGCTTACTTTGACACTCTCGCCGCTCCGACACACTGGCGGATCCTACGCTGTGCGGGATGCTCGGAGGGCCATCTGGAACGAGTGTGGTGTGCCTGGAGTCCTCGACGGCTGACGGACCAGGGGGGTTGCCTTGTTTCGTGCAGCTTCCCATGGTGCCGTGCCGTTGCGAAATCGACTTTTGGACAAATCCCATCCTAGGCCGCATACGAATTGTCGTTGACCAGGCCCCAGATAGTGGACACAGCGACGGACCCACAGCTGCAGCTCTCGCGCTAGAGACCTCCTGAAGCCATGATCGACCGCCTCTGCTGTCAACCGCCGGAAAGGTAACTAGGTTGGGGGCTTTAGTGGTGGATACCGCCTATTTTAGCAACCTCAATTGCCCGCCAGACCTGCTACGCACGCAGAGGGACTAAAAAACCGGACACTTCCAAGAACACTTCTCAATCGCGAAATTCAACTTTCGCAGGACCTCTGCTTTACAACCAATAACAAAATAGAATGTTTAAATTGTAAAATAAGAGAATGCCCTTTTGCAATTTTTAGTTACTTTTAAAGTAATTATAACGTACGCCTACATGAAGTTATCCGGTATAAAACACAAAAGGTGCTTATAAAAAGTGTCCAATTTTTTTAAAGTCCCATTGCGTGTGTACGGTACGCTACTGTCCATCTCTGGGGGTCTCGACTCTAGATATCGCCTTGTTTCTTCACCACACAGCCCAGCCTTTCCAATAGCTCCGATCAAGCGGAACCGGCCTGCGAGATCGATGCTGTAATCTCTAGGCCGCTATCTCCACAATGGCTGTGCCATTTTCTCGAATATTTCCCCATCCTTCTCAACCCAAAGCCTTACTTGATCTCGTTGCCCAAAGTTCGGACGCAAGGCGGTGGCCCAGCAAACACCAATGCACAGTCGGTATAAACATCCCCAATTCGGTGAATGACCGGTCACTTTCAGAACCAACGCAACCCAGGCCAGAAGAACGCCCTCCAAGAAGACGCATTCTCAGTACAGTCCTTCCCGGACATGACTGGAATGCCCTCCCCTCCGATGAAAACCCACAGAGGACGTTTCGGACCCGTATCGATTACGACTGAGGGAACCTGTCAGAGTTCGTCCAAGCTCCACCACCACGCAGCCAGCCCCAAGGCCACGAAGCCGAAACCTTCCGCCAGCGCTAGGCCGCTTGCATCGACGCCATCGATGAAGAAAGCCTATAGCAAATTGTGTGTCCTGGTCCTAACTAGGCTGGACTACGGTACATGTGCTTCAGAAGACCGCTGCCTCGTTAAATCTTGATGCTACCGCATATGCTAGTGTTGTGAAGGAAACATGCTCCCATCTGGCATCCAGCTCCCAGCTCCCAGCAATTAGCGGCGTGTACTTCCAGAGACTGTTTGAAAACTTGATCCCAGAAAGGCCTCATTATCTACGATAGTAGTTCAACTTACAGCACTAGTTCCACGACAGCCGGGCATAGCATGTAGCCAAGACAACCCGGCCACTGCGTCCTGTGCCAATGAGCGTGTTCAAGTTCCCCAGCTGGCTTTCCTGGAGCGAAGAGCTGCGCCACGTGACCTTGCACTCGTCATGACCTACCGTCTTGACTCGTAGAGTTTTTGGCTTGCAGCGCCATTCGCCAATTGCACGGCACCGGAGGGCATCCCGAAGCTCTGCGAAAACGTGGCCAGCTAGAGATGAATACGATGCACACAATATGTACGTCCCAGGCTAGCGACTACTGTTCTCGGCCAGATCTTTCAAGTGAACTCGCCTCAGCTCGTATAGGCCTCGCCACCAACACGCGTGTCTTCGTCAGATCGGGTCTTGGAGCAGCATTACCACGCACCCATCATCAACAGCATTCTGTACACAGCCCTCTGTCGGCCTGACTTGTATTCATTAGTGCCGGATCACAGCGCCGCGCCCCTTCATTGACGGCAACACACAGCCCCGACAAAAATGAGTGTCTCTTGTGCGTGCCGCGGGGAGATACTCACAGGCGGCATATGCAATGCAGGGTCGGCCACCCAATCCCGCAGCACTCGGCTGTTCCTACTTTTTTTCACAAGCCATTTGGATGTAGTGCGGACGGTGCATGCACAACGCCCGTTCATCCCGCTCAGCAATCAAACCTGTCGCAGTTTCAAAAGAGCCCGGAACCCGTCTATTGACTTCAATCCATGCCGAAGCCTGCCTTTCGTTGCGCGCCGGCGAAATTTCCCCAACGGTACAGTAAGACCCCGTCGATTGAGAGTCTAAACACAGACCCACCTCGCGGTATTCTACATACAGTACAGTGCTCGCACGTTTTCTGGCCCTCGTTCCCTGCTTCTTCCCCTGCCCGCCCGTGGCGGGAAGGTTTGGTTGTCCGAAGAACCTCCTCGACCCCTGTTTACTCTCATGTCCTTCCCAACGTTTCCCGCAGCCACACACTTTAAATTCATCACATCTCCGCATCTTGCATGGATCGCGATGATTGGCGCTGCCGCGTGAAACATAGTATCTGCAACTCTAATATTGGGACTCACCCATATCTCCTCCTGACTTGAAAATTAGACACGTTCTAACTGGGCATCGCGTCTGTCTCCTAGGCGTGCTCGGTATAGAGCCCACGCGTCCGACTGCTTCGTTTCCCGCGAAAGATACTTCATTGGATGTGCCTTTTTATAACGTGTCTTTCTGATAATGGCACAATGTTCGGACTTGTGAAGAGCACCCCCAGAATGTCCAAAAGCGATTCAAGCTGTTGAGGAAGCTTTAGTATCGATAGTCCTTGTGCCGTCTAAGAATAATCACCACCATCTGTGTACCACTTTCTTTCATGGGACTGCCTACGACGTAGCACTAGTTTGGGAACCTCGGCAACCCAACCTCAAGGTAGTGCGTACTTCAATCCTTCTCTTGAGCGGCGGAGAGAATTCAGACAAGACTATTATACTGCGAGCGATTATATCGGTATGGACTTATATCACAACTGGAGACAGCAGCGCTTGAAGGGGCATTCGGTTTCTCTATAACCATGAGCGGCGAATGCCAAGTTCAGTAATATACAGTTGGCCAGAGATGGATGGGGTATTCTATACAAAAGCAGGCCACAATAACTCCTCAACTGACCTTACTGACGTCCAGTCCTGCATGCGTTGTCCGAAACGCTGTCCAGATGCATCATGTCCCTCGCTCCACGTCATATCATTATGCTATGTATACATGTCCGTCAATATTCCTGCTGCATTTCCATGCAGGCCCCGTAGTGTCGCGTCGTAGTTCGTGGTAAACGGATGGGTTAGACTACCGGTCCAAAGCCTGGCTTTGACACTGTAGAAAAGTCAGTTACTTGTACATTCCCGCACACAACATATCGCACAGTCCAAGGCAGGGAATGGGAATGGGTCGAAAAAAACTTACCATATTCCAGTAAACCCCCCTCTTCTTCAGCAGCTCGGCGTGGTTGCCCTTCTCGAGCACGCGGCCCTCGCCCAGGACGAAGATGACGTCGGCGTTCTGGACCGTGGCGAGGCGGTGCGCCACGACGACCATGGTGCGCCCGCCGGCGGCGCGCTCGAAGGCGGCTTGGACCAGCTTCTCACTCTCGCTGTCGAGACTGCTGGTGGCCTCGTCGAGCAGCAGGACGTCCGGGCGGCGGATGAGGGCGCGGGCGATGGAGACGCGCTGCTTCTGGCCGCCCGACAGCGAGACGCCGCGGCTGCCGATCGGTGTGTTGTAACCGTCGGGCAAGGACACGATAAACTCGTGGATGCTGGCGTCGCGGCAGGCCGCGTGCAGCTGCTCATCGGTCACGGTGCCGGGCTCGACGCCCAGCAGGATATTCTCGCGCAGCGTGCCTTGGAACATGTTGGGCTCCTGCGCCACAAGCGACAGGTGCTTGCGGTAGTCGTAGACGTTGAGGTCGGTGATGTCGACGCCATTGGCGAGGATCTGGCCCCGCTGGACGTCGTAGAAGCGCTCCAGCAGCGAGACGATGGACGTCTTACCGCAGCCGGACGCGCCGACCAGGGCGGCGAACTGGCCCTTCTCGATCGTCAGGTTCACGCCCTTGAAGATGGAGACGTCGCGTGTTGGGTACTTGAAGTGCACGTCTTTCAGCTCGAGCTTGACGCCCCCCTTGGCGTCGGGGATGCTGGAACTCTCGTGGTGGTCCTGATTACGGGACTCGCGGACACTCAAGATGCGGTTCGCTGCCGCTGATGCCTGAGCCGCGTTGGGTCCAAAACTAAAGCCTTGGCCGGCAGACTCGGCTCCTTGAATGACCGCCATGTAACAGACGAAGAACTGCATCGGGTTATACTCCCTGGACCCCATGAGCCGGCCACCATACCAAAATATGAGCGCCTGACAGCCCAAGCTGATGCTGTCCGAGAGAGCGAAGATCAAAGTCGACCACCGGGCCTTCTTCCAAGCCTTGACAACATGTCCGCTCAGAAGCTTGTCGTACCTAGAGGTGATGGTATCCTCAAGGGTCATGGAGGCTACAGTTCTGAACGCACCGATGGCCTCGGCGGCGAACTTGCTGCTCTCTGCAAACACCTCGCTATACATCTTCTCGAACTCGAGCTCATACCTTAGGCGGAAATAGCCAGCCAGAAGACCCAGCGGAGCGGTCACGCACAGCGCGACGAGAGCCAGTTTCCAGCCAAAGGCGAAAGCAATCGATAAGGAACCGATGAGTGTGAAGATCGAGTTATAGACCATAGCCATGTTCATTCCGAGGAGCTCTTCGAGCTGCTTCGGGTCGCCTCCGACACGGGCTGTCAGTGTGCCCGTAGAGTTGTCCTCGGCGTCGAAGAAAGCTGTCTTCTGGTAGAGCAGGCCCTTGAAGTACTCCTTCCGGTAGAAAGTCGAGATGTAGTGCGCCAGGTGCATCGCAAAGAAGCCCACGCCAAAGTATGCCGTGCCGGTGCCTATGGCAAGAATAAACCACATCAGCGACCAGAATCTGGACTCTCTGGCGAACTCTGCACTCTGGGGGTCGTACTGGAAAACGACGATGATCTTGGCAAAGAGCCAGGCTTGGATGGGAGACGACGCGGCGGTGCCCATAGCGCAGAATATAATCATCCCGTAGTTGGGGAACTTATTGCGTTGCTCATACAGCAATCGCCCGAAACTACCGACAAGCCCTTGAGTCTTGTACTTGTGCTTCTCAGGGAGGTTTCCGGTGTCCGAAAAAGCGGCACTCTTTTCGCGACTGAGAATGGCATCAATGTCTTCTTCGGGTGCTTCTGAGTCGCTGGCATCCGCGGGCTCCCCAAGGGACAACTGCTGAGCATGGACAAGACCATAGTAGACACCTTTATTATCTTCCAGCAAGCCGTCGTGGGTGCCTTGCTCGACCACGCGCCCCTTCTGAAGAACCACGATGGTGTCCGCCTTCTTGATGGTGGATAGTCGATGGGCGATGGTCACTGTCGTCCTGCCTTGCGAGACCTTGTCGAGAGCGGCCTGGACGATACGTTCACCGCGGACATCTATCGCGGATGTCGCCTCATCGAGGATCAAGATCTTCGGCTTCTTGATGACAGCTCGGGCAATACTAATGCGTTGCCGTTGGCCGCCAGATAGCTTGGTCCCGCTGTCCCCGACCATGGTATTATAACCATCAGGTAGTCGATCGATAAACTCGTCGGCGAACGACTCCTTGCACGCCTCGATCACGAGTTCCTTCTTCCGCTCGTCGCTTTCGTTTTCGAACCGTGATCCGATCAGACCATGAGCCACGTTGTTGAATATAGTGTCGTTGAAGAGGAAAGGCTCCTGTTGAACCAGGCCGATCTGAGACCGCCACCATTTCAACTCGATGTCGCCGAGCTGGTGGCCTGATGTCGAAATAGAGCCTTTAAGCTCCACCGCGGGGCCTGTCTCCTCATCACTGGTGATTACAGCACCTTCCTCCTCGGCGTCGTCATCATCTGTGCTACCTTTCTTGTTCTTCTTCTTTTTCTGCTTCTCCTTCTCCTTCTGAGGGTCGACGGCCTTCGCAATTACGTACTGGTCATCCAAGCTATACCATCTCTCAATCAGCCCGACGATGGTTGACTTCCCAGATCCAGAAGGTCCGACAATGGCGGTCAGCTTGCCAGCTTCAATTTTCAGGTTCAACTTATCCAGAATCTTGACGTGTGGCCGACTCGGGTACGCAAAGTCCACACCCTCAAAGATTATGTCATTCGTAGCCGAGACGTCAGGGTCCTTGAGCTCTCCGCGCTTTGGCTTGGGCGCATCGATGACGACGAAGAACTCGCAAGCGGCAACCACGGCCTTGCTAACCGCGATCAGGGGGGTTGACATTCTCTCAAGAGAAATGGCCATCAGGAATACGGACATGATGACCACGACAATGTCCCCCACGTCTTTCACGCGGCCTTCAGCCACCGATTTTGTGCCGTACCAGAATGCCAGCGCAAAGGTGGCGTATAGGCCGAAGAATACAAGCCCAAACTGGACGGCCATCAAAGGCGCAGAGCGCTGTCCATGTTTCTTGGCCGCCTCGGCCCATATGTCAAATCGCCTAGCCACCTGTGACTCGGCGCCACAAGCTGTGATCATCCGGATACTCCCAAAGGCTTCGCTTGCCACGGCCGATGCCTTCGTCTCGGCGGTGGTCTGGTTGGCCTGTCCCTTGATGATAAAGGGCAAGAATATGCTGACGACGACCATGATAAAAATAAGCACAGTCCCCGTCACGAGGGTTAGAGACCCTAAGCACCACGAGGAATCAGCATTCGCGTCCAAGACGAGAACATGACAAGCGCATCGCGGTTCCATATCAGGACCAGCATATGGTAAAGCCAATAAAGGGAACGACAACAAGCCTTTGATGACTTACAGCTCTTCACAAAAGCCACAACCAAGGCTGCAATAATGGTACCGAGGAATTCTAGAAAAGTGGCAAGCTTCTCCGAGATACCCAGTTGCAGCGTGTTGGCAGTCGTAGTGATGGTCCCGGCTGCAGCTCCGGGCGGCATCGAGTCAAGGACGTGTATGGTCTGGCCGAAGAGGCACTGGAGATAGTGCAGGCGGATGGCGGCCGACATGCGGATGCCGATGATGCGGAAGGAGAACTTGTTCATGTAGGTCAGGCCGAACTTGGCGATGAACAGCGCAAAGATGTACAGCGCGTTCTGATTCAGCTGTGCCTCGAACTCAGCCTGGGACAAGGTCGGGGGCTCCCTGAAGTAGCCGACGAAGTTGGTGGTGAGAGCGCCTGGCATCCAGTCAGCACATTGATGGGCAGGGAGACTGACAACTCCCCCTCTCTCTAAGACACTCACCAAAGACCACATTCATCAGGGGCATTGTGACCCCTGAAGCTATACAGGCAAAGCCCGCGAGGGCCATCAGCGGATAATCCCATTTCTTCGCGTACGAGAATATGCGCTGAGTTCTCCGCGTTAGTCTTAGTTTTTCGCTTCACCACAAGGAGTGTTATATCATATGGCTCTCTGCGACTCCAGGCAGGTTTCCTCATCTTAGATCTGTGACTCTCATATACCTCTAGGAGACGCCCAGCGAAGACCTATAGGCCTTCATCGGATGCGTGCAGCGCGTGGCAAGCTACGCGATTGGCGCAGGAAAAAGGGTACTCACGATATAATCGCTGAACTTTGCCGCACGTTCAGGCCTCAGCTTGGCAGCTTGGGCGGCCTGTTCTTCCTGGGCGGCGGCGTCCGCGGCGCCAGCCGCTTCCATCCCCTTCTTCGTCGCAGGCAGGCCGTCGGGACCCGTATCGGGGTCCACGATCTGAGTCTCCGTCGTGGTCATTGTGCCAACGCTGTTGTGGCTTCCCCTGTTCTATGATGGACGCATGGAGGGTCAATACACAGTCAAGCGACGTGAATGCGATCTGATGGAAGTAAATAGTCGGAGGGGGAGAGTGGCTTGCGAACGGCTGCCTGGTGTGAGGCGACCAAGAGGACAGACTAAAAGGGAACTAAACAAGATTATATTCGTTCTAAAAAAAAAGTTCCTGCAGCGAGAATGCGAGAATACGGCGCCCGGTCCAGCGACGGTGGTCAAATATGTAAATACGCCAAAGAACCGAAAGGTCCAATTACAGAGAAAGTAATTATTACGCTGACCCCAAGCGAGGTGACTGATGACAGAGATCCGTGGTGACGGACGAGAAGGTGGGGCGTGGCGGCCAGGAGGCCAGGATGCATTCCTGGGGACTAGCATAGCACAATCTCAACCCCGTCCTTCCCCCCTTGCGGCGATCTCAGCAGTCTGGTTCCATGGCCAGGTCTGCTATTCCATAGCGGCAAGCTCCCGTCCGCAAACGAATTGCTGCTGCCATCCACTGTCGAATACTGTCGAGATGGCCGGCCGAGCTCAAGGCTCAGCTTATGAAAGATGGTCTAGCTCATCAAGTGATTTACGGGACTTGACGCAGCCAAGGCCGGCCACGCCTCGTCATTGAGGACTTCGCCGCCGCACAACTGACTCAACGGATGCAGAGTATTTTGCATCACAATCTTGTAGGCCTTGGCAGACGAAGAGCCGTGCCAGATTGCGGTAGCGAGACACCCACGTCTGTCTGCAACGCGAGTACGTGTTCTGTAAGATCGGGGCCTGACGGGGCAATCAAGACTCCGCTGACCCACCCCGAGTTCCGAGCACCGTACGAGTGGATCCGAGCGCAACAGCCAACGGCGATGCAGCACTGGAAAGTCTATTTCTACAGCGAATCAACACCCAGGTTCCTGGCCGCTCCCGTCCTATACCATGGTAATAGCCCCAGGCGCCAGTCGCTTAAGAGACAGTGGAGAGACACACACACCATGAGTATGCGGCCGCGATTGAGTCATGTTGTTTCAACGCCGTGCTGCGACCTGTCCCAGGACATAGGTCTTCATTACTGACCAGAGTACGATCCCACGTTTTAAGCGGTCCACGGGCTGCGTTAGACCCCGCGGTACTTCCTTTTGCCGAATCGGGTTAAATGGTGCGCTGTGTGGCATGGTGACTCGAATCCCGAATTGCCATGCTGCGCAAGTATCACGGACCTCGTGGAATGAAAGGACAGGTCTATACTATTCACGTTGTCCTTCCATTTTGAGTCACACGGCATGGGAGCCAAAACATCTGCTGCAAGACAGGCCGTCACTGTACCTCTGCCTCCATGATGTTATTTTCGCTTGAAAGACTGTCAGCGTGAGAGAGTGGATTGTCCACTCGTCATCTAGGCGGTGCATTGGTGAGAGACTGCAGAATTCAAAATATCGAGGTGGGCAACAAGAAGCTTATTCTAATTGTCTAAGACACCCTTGCTTTTATACGATTCTCAGATATATCCTTTCCCGAGGGATTTCCTCTGGCAAATGACGACAGAAGCCATTTTCGCCTGTTTAAGCTTCAAAAGCGCTTGATATAATATAAAACACCCGTTGCAGTCGTTGAGGAGCAGCGCCAAAGACAAGAGGTATCACAACCCACTGTGATCATTACGTTGCCAGATTAGCTGCGCCGCGCATATCAGCAAAACGTCCTTTCGATCGAACCCAGGATTCGCTAACATGAACCACCGAAACATCAAGTTGATGTCTACTTACAACTTGTTAGGTGGGACAGCCGACGTAGTGGGCCACTGGTATCCTGAGGCGTCGCTGAACTTGTAGCCGTAGCTGGCAGTGAAGTCATCCAGCACGGCAGGGCCTCTCGAGCCTAGAGGAGCAATCGTCAACATGATTTGTGAGGGGAAATTAAAAAATGATCGATCTTACCGTAGGGGTACTCCATAGGGACAATCTCCTTATTATCATCAAGGTAGTGAAGGAGGGGAGTGAAGATCCTCCAGCTGGCATCCAACTCATCATCACGGACAAAGTTGGAGTGGTCGCCCTTCAAGCAGTCCAAGATGAGCGATTCGTAGGCCTCGGGGATCTTGAGGTCGGAGAAACGACGGCGGTAGGTCAGGTCGAGCTCGGTGAGGACGGTCTGCATGCTGAGACCCGGCAGCTTGGAGTTCATCTTCAAGTAGACACTCTCGTTGGGCTGGATGCGCATGACCAGCTCGTTGCGTGGGATGTCCTTGAAGATACCACTAGTGACATCCTTGAACTGGATCCGGATCTCCGTCTTTTGCTCGTTCAGCGCCTTGCCAGCCTTCATGATGAAGGGAACACCGTCCCATCGCTCATTCTTGATATAGGCAACGAGAGCGCAGAAGGTTGGGCAGCGCGAGTCCTTGGGCACGGTCTCGTCCTCCTTGTAAGAAGGCTTGCTACCATCAAGGGACTTTCCATACTGGCCAATAATAACGTTCTTGGGCTCGATGGCCGGGATTCCCCTGAGAACACGGACCTTCTCGTCACGGATGTCCTCGGCGGAGAAGGAGATCGGGCGCTCCATAGCCAGCAGGGTCAGGACTTGAAGCAAGTGGTTCTGCATGACATCGCGGATGATGCCGAATTCGTCAAAGTATCCGCCACGGCCCTCGGTGCCGAAAGGCTCCTTGAAGGTGATCTGGACGTTGTCGATGTGGTGTCGGTTCCATGTTGCGCCGAAGAACTCGTTGCCAAAGCGCAGGATCAGAATGTTCTTGACCATCTCCTTTCCGAGGTAGTGGTCGATGCGGAAAAGCTCGGCCTCGCTCCAGTCGGGCTCCAGCGACTTTTGCAGCTCTCGCGAACTGGCAAGATCCTTGCCGAACGGCTTCTCGACCTACGCAAGCCGTTAGTCAGGGCGGCGACGGGTTTCTTCGGCCACTGCGTCCACTTACAATGACACGGGCGATGCCGTTCTTGGGGTAGCAGCACTTCTTGAGGTGCTGGGAGACGATGGTGAAGACGCTAGGCGGCAGGGCCATGTAGAATAAACGGTGAGCCTCCTTGCGGCCCTTCTCGATGTCTAGCAGGTGGTTGTTAAGGTTGTCGAAGGAGTCGTCGCGGTCGTACTGGCCCGAGACGTAGGTGCAGAGCTCGCAGAACTCATCGAGCTGTCTCTCGAGGTCCTTGGTCGGGGTCTTGATGTACGAGCGGACTCGCTTAATGTATTCGGGGTGGTCCATCTTCGTCCGCGCATATCCGACGATCTTAATGTTCTGGGGGAGGAATTGGTTGCGGTACTTTGGCCATGTTAGTCCCGCCCGGCGACACCACGTCTGTTATTCTAGACGGAAAAATTGCTTACGAGGCCAAAGAGGGCAGGGAACTAGGAAAAGTTAGCAAACAGCTTGTGATCTGGCGCTGAGTTGCGTCTCGTGGGCGGGGCGACCTACAGTCTTCTTCTTTGCGAGATCGCCGGAGGCACCGAGGACCACGATGACCGTGTTGTCCTTGAGCTCCATTGAACTATAAAAACACCATGGTCAGCTCTGCAATGTCCTCGGGATGTCCCCAATGGATGGTGCCACACGGCCGAGACGGCCACTGGCGCCCATCGCATGTCCGGCGCCTGGTGCAGAGCCTGGTGCAGAGCTCTGGTTGCGTCGAGCAACTCGTTCCGTCATGACGGAATAGCGGGGTTGGTTGGCGGGGCTTTCGACTTACGCTGCGGCAGAGTCCATCTTGATCGGTCTGGTCTGTCTGGTCGGGGAACGAAGAGGTCAGCGGGAAGGGCAGGAGAAGATGCAGAAGCCGCCTCGAAGGGGTGGGAACGGGGTGAGACTGCAGCAAGACAAGCAGCCAAAAAATGGAGGATGATCAGGGAGTCGAGGTGACGTTGGAGCAGCTGTTTTAACTGGGCGAGGTAGGACAGGGCAGGACGATTGATAATGATTGTTGGGCTTGGGAAGTGGGGAGCTTACTCAGGGTCGGCTCGCCCGGTCGCACTGGACGGATGGGATGGCCCTCCGCTGTCAATCTGTGTCTTGACGGAGTTATTACTTCTTGCACGGAGTGGGTTTGCTTGCTTGCTTGCTTTCTCACTCGCTCGCTGCCTTGCACGCTGCCGGCCGGTTCTCTTCTATTTTTCTGATTTTTTTTTTTTCTCTCTTTCTGTATCTCCCCGTCTGGCTCGCCTGTGTTTCACTTGCTCTCTTTTCCCGGCGGCGATAAAACCAGGGCTGCAGCTGGTCAACTTGTCACGCTTCACCGCAAATGCGCCCGCCCTCTGCGCAATCTTTTCCGCCCGTGCTATGTGACTTTTAGAGTGAAGACTGGATCTTGAAGCGAACTCGGAAGTGTCGGGCCCAGATCCACCGGGTCGATGTGGATTTTTGACGTCGTTGGCAAGGCTCTTCTTCGGAGCCCTGTCTGGCTGGTGAGAGATTAAGTCCGCAGCCGCCGCACTATCGTCGCGGGAGTTGACCGTTGGTTGGTTGGGCTGCTGGCCGATCCTTTCAACAAGAAGAACACTACGGTGCCAAGGGAAGATATGTCAAGTCACTCGAGCCCGGTGGGATTTCCCAGAGGCTGTGCACATATATATCTGTCTTCCAGACTCAAGCGGTACAGAAAAGCAAGTCGGGATCCGTCCGCCGCCATGCTTACAAACAGCCCGTGAGCTTGGTCGGCGCGCTTTAGCTACGAGCAAGTGACTGTGGCAGCTATAATAAAGCCCCGAGGTGGCTATGACGGCGGCAACCCAGTATTTCAGACGGGACGGCTCCCCTCGGTCTTGGTGTTTCAGGGCTGTCGTCCCAGCGCTACAGATAAAACAGTCATGGAAACAATCTTCCTCTCGGTGCCTGCGCACTGCACGCAGCGGCATCCAAGACATTGTCTCTGGTTGCACGTGTTGGGACGAAGACCACAGCGGCGACACCGTGACTGGATGCTGGCCGGTTTCACTGATATGACGAGCAGTGGCATCGGCGTCGCGAGAGCCCTGCCGTACCCTGCACGGCACGAAGCTATGCGCCGCTACATGATTGGTCCTTTAGTACTCAGCTACGTTGCGCTTGCGCGGGGTTAAGGCAGAGCTTGACAGAGCTCTGGGCCTTGGCCGGCGGGCCATAGAGGGAAAATTGCCGCAGCAGGGATATGACGTTGATTATTGACCTGCAGTCTGTATCCGTATGTAGGGTATGTATGGGACATAATAGCAGGACGTCAAGAACGTAACTAGACATCCAGGTTGCCTACGCACCCAGGCCGCGATAGGAGCAGGGGACATACACCCCGTACACCCCAGCGATGCGACGAAAAGACGGTCCTATACAATGCTTCGTGGGCGAGGCACTTGGACCCATGCATCGGTCAATTTCAATTCTGCCTAAGCGAGTGCTTGTCACAAGTGCGTGGCGGCGTGCGCCCCGAACATTTCGGAACCAAAACATCATCAGAGTTGGGGGCTTCCGACGTCCGGGAGTCCGCATGTAGCGAGAAGATGAATCCAGACACTCTTTGTCAGCAGACTGCAAACTTCGGACTCCGGTGCCAGAGAACCTGGAGGGATGCAGTGCCCCTCCAAGATCGGGGGCAGGGCACCTCGTTCGGATTGTGCAATACTCCACGATGTTCCCGTACTGCATTTTCTCTTCCTAATAAAGGCATGGACACCTCTACGGGCTACATAGGTAGCAAGCTTGCATTGCCGTGTCATGCGTATGTAGAATGGGCTCCGGTCTAATCTGTCCCTATTTCCCGGAGAATAATGAACATGAATCTGAAAGAACATACGTGCCGTACGTGCCGTACTTATCCGCGAGGCCAGCAGTATCCGATCCGACATCGTGACCTGCTTCCCTCCTCCGTCAAAGAAGGAGCAGTGCAACTAATGAATATCCATGGATGACTCTGACTAAACAGTCGGCGATAAGGATAACAGATTTCGGGTGGGGAACAATGAGGGAGAGAGGCCTATCTTATCAGTTGCTCCAGACTTCTGCCAGGCCGGACCGAAACCCTGCCAAACTCCCAAACCCCCGTGTGGCTGCCAACCCACCACCAGCCACACCACGACGCCCGAAAAAAATTGGTTTTGTGGAGGGCGTGCAAACCCTCCTCTCGCCCTAGGCTGTCTTTGCGGAACACTCTACCAGGACGAGTCCATCCACGATAACACGACAACGCCAAACACGACAATTCGCCCAGCGTCCCCGGATCTTCACCTCCATAGATTTCGAGAGCGGCGGATCACCACAGTCAAGATGCCTACCGAAGCAGGTCACAGATGTGAGTACTCTACGCTCCCGCCCGAACCCCCCGGCACGTTTGACTGCGATGCGGTTTCTCCATTGCGCCCCGACAGCCTCTCCCCGAGCATCGGCTGGAGAACGTATTCGCAGACAAACTGCAAACTGCCCCTAGAGACGTACATGTCTCTCCATCAGGCTCGAAGGAACCCTTTGCTGACACAGTGTGATTGCAGTATACGTCAAGTGAGTCGATCCCGAACCTCGAATCCTCAACCCGCCATCCTTCCCCCAGATCCGATCGACACATGCGCCTGGCATGCCGAGACGGACTGGAGCGGCCAGGGTGTTCTCCCGCATGATGGACAGCTCGCCTAGCGATTCGAAACTACTCCAGATAGCGAATACTGACGTTTTGGCTTCCGTAGGGGTCGTCACCTGAGCTACCAGCGCAACCGACACACCACTCACCCTAACACGAGTCTGGTCAAGATCGAGGGCGTCGACGACACTGCTGCCGCCAAGTATGTCTCTCTGTGAACTGCCGCTGCGCTGGGAATCGAGCAACGAAACTAACATGACCACAGCTTCTACCTCGGCAAGAAGGTCGCCTACGTCTACAAGGCCCAGAAGGAGGTCCGCGGCACCAAGATCCGAGTCATCTGGGGCAAGGTCACCCGCCCTCACGGTAATTACTCGCCCATCGACCGGTCCCTACCAGACGGTGTACTAACTGTTCTCCCACAGGCAACTCTGGCGTCGTCCGTGCCAAGTTCTCCTCCCCCCTTCCCTCAAAGTCTTTCGGTGCTTCTGTTCGTATCATGCTGTACCCCTCCTCGATATAAGTGATGAGGGTTCTGGCCGGAGTTGGTAGTGCGGATGGTTCATTCATGACTTGGCAGCATCAGGGTTAGGGCAATGGTTGCAAGGTAAAAAAGAATTCGGCTTCAGCCTTGCGTCTAGCATCACAAATCAAGAACAATACCAACAAAGACCGGGACGTTTCGAGCGATCGCACAATTGTGTCAGGGTGAATGGTTGACGAGGAAATTCGGTGGCTCTGGCATTCGAGCTGCCAATGGATGGTTGGCCACGCCAGGACGCAAGTGCCCAGATACGCAGTTACGACTTGTATGGGCTACGTTGGTATCTAGTACCGGAGAACTGATGCGTTGGGTCTGCACTCATGTACAGGAAGCTGTCCTGATATCTCGAGAGAGCAATAAATACGACCTGCACGCATCACTGTCCCATTTTGGACTCACCACTCCTATGAACTCGTTCTGTCGTTGAGACCCCGTTGCCTGCCTGTTCCATGCGTCGACTACACGCAAGCCGCCGTGTCAACTCGCTACATATACTACTCTACTAAAGGCACCTTGCGTATTCCTTGCGACTACGGACCGAAGCACGTAATTCGCTACTCATCTCAGCGTTGGGACACGGTCTACCACAGTCAGGAGTTCGTGTTCACAGGACACTTGGACTTGCCTACCACGCCATCTCTGATGAGCCCCTGTCCCTTGGCCTGTGACCGTTGTCCTGCGTTCTATGTATCTATGGTGCGGTTTGTGAGCAGTGCGCGCAAGCAAAGTTGGCCGCAATGCCGCTTAGGACGTCCAGTTAGTCGCGTTCGGGCCAAATGGCCATCACTCTGCTGGGACATTTCATCCCAAATAGAAGCACGAAGTAGCATCAACGGCCCACAATCAACGCCCCTGATTTGTCTGAGGATTTTGCAGGAATGTGGCAGCACCTCAAGGCCCCAAGACACGAATCCGTGTTCCCTGGTCAAGATTACTAAACCCATACATATACTGCTCTTCAGTCTATGCCCTGGCGCTGCGTGCAGATACCCAGGGTGTAGTTAGGAATGGCAAAGCATAAATTGAATCATGACTTCCCTCAGCAGTCATTTGTCCAACACCTGAAAGGATGTAGCAAAGCCATTAAAAGCACATCGTTTACGTGCCTAGCCCAGTGATCATGACTCCATTGGTACGTTACGTTGTGTCCAGCAGCCCGTGGTCGGTTCTTGCCAAGTGCACAGTAGACAGCGTATAGAAGGTGGCGTGTAGGATAGGATCGTCATTCATATATAGCTAGTTTACAAACACACGGGCCAAGCCCGTCCTATCTTGCAGCAGGAACACTCTGAACTGGTACAGCAGGGTTCGGGTCTTGCCTTATTGCTTCCCATCGTATGGGATCATTTTCTCTCCGCCGTCTGCTATAGTCATAAAGCTTCTGCGCGCACTCGTTGATGTCTGCCGTAACCTCGTTTGTTGAAGTGGGAGGGCGAATGTAGTCCAGGGTCCTATCGCGTATCTTCTCCAGGGTCTTGTACTGGTACTTGTGTGGCTTGTAGCCACCCTTGCGTTTCTCTCTGGCCTTGGTCTCTATGCTTGTCAGATCATTGTCTTCCACAGTCCTCTGCTTTTGTTCAGACCACGGGAAGCGTTTTCTTTTGCTCTTGTTGCAAGAGTCCAACCTTATTGTGGAAAGTCCGTCCAAACCAAGACCTTCGTCCGAGGTCGAAACGTTGAAGCGTTTGTAGAACCCACCGACTATGGCCACGGTCTGCTCCATGTTCTCGTGTGGCTTCTCTACGTCCACAACGAGGCCTTTGATGTGACGTAGCAGGTTGAGGAAGCCAAATCGTGGGTATTCCTTCTTCTTTCCAGTTCCAATACTTATCAGAGCATTTGGAGTCTCTTTTGGGGGGCGCCCAGGTTCGCCAGCCATTAGGACACCTTCTGCCCACGCGTACACCGAAGGATTGTTACCATGGATTGCCCCATCAATGTAACGCCGTCCTCCTATCTTCAAAGCAGGGAAATAGAAGGGGGCCGCCGTTGTAGCTCGACATGCATCGACAATTTTGAGTTCTGCTCGATTCAGCTTTTTGGGGTTGAGGTCTCGTTTCCAATCCCTCGCATCATGGTCGTATGATCGAAATAAATATGGCACGTCAGCCCTGTTCTGGCCTTCCGACTTGGATTTCTCTCTAACGGTGAGAACAGCTCTATCTTCGTTCAGAATTAAATTGTGAGTGGCTGAGGACAGTGAACTTACACTCGGCATGTCTTGTTTATGATATCGCGGTTGGCCGTATCATATCTCTCAGCATAGTCATACTGGCGAAGATGGTGATTATGTGTGCAACTTCGCGGGTTACCATGACAGCCACATTGTTTGGCGACGACCTCTTCAACTGCTTGCCGGAACTTTTTTGCCGAGTATGCCCTTATGTATCGTTTTGGGCGGAAGATCCTGTTGCTCAGCCTCAGATACTCTTTGATGCACTCTTCAACACTCATACGTAGCCTTCCCAACATGATCGCAATTAGACTGCCAATCATTAGATGCATCTCTGCAGTGTTCAACAAACATGAAGTACTGACCCTCCCGTACTTGTACCAATCATGAAGTCAAAATAATTGCAGGGCAGGGGAAGCGCGTCGCTACACTCCAATGTTTGCACCGCCCTCATAATCTCGTGAAGGATGATCAGGGAGGACAAGCCTCTGACGCCACCTCCATCTTTCAGATTTTAGTCAGACATCAGCCTCATAAAGGACTTTTCAATGTACCTAGCGAAAGAATGATTGGCAGCCAAGGGTCCGAGGGCTGAATTTTTTCATTGCCAAGCTGAGGTGGCTGCGAGTCGACGCCTTCAGCTCGGCTTGACATTGTGCCTCAGCGACAGAATGTTCTCGATTACTTTTGAAGAGTTCTATCATTTCACGGACATGATAATTCGGGAGGGAAGGCTGCTCTTTCATTGCCTTCGACTGATTTTTGTTCGGTTTCTTCAATGCATTCATCGCCTCGAGCAGCATGAGAGTGTCACATTGAACTGCAAGAAAATCTAACTTGGCCAGTGGTCAACCGCTGCTGCAGTAATCTATGCATAGCTGTCGGACTCTCGACACCTGGTTGGCTGTACAGATACATGAGTATGCAAAGAGGAAGCAGGCTGGACAACAGCCGATGGGCAGAGCTTTTCCGAGCGCCCTGGTAGCTTGCGGGTCGGCTCGCTTAGAATTCTGAGCCAATGGAAAAATCCACTCCTCCACGATTCTTGCCGTACAAGTGACAGTGTGATGCAGTAGACATGGCTCATTTGAAAAGTGCCGCGTGAGGGGGCCAAGGACTTGAATATAGCCATGCCGCCACTGGCCTCCCATCAAAACGCAGAACGTGTCCACTCCGAGCCAAGCTGTACGCAGCCAGTCGCCAGAAGATATCATTGGTTTCAGATGCAGCTGATAGGTGTGTTACACAGAGACACCATAGGTCAAATGGAGTAAGTAGAAAAAATAAATGGGGCTCAATGCAGGTCATGCTGGCCAAAAATCGACTGACAGGCACCTGACCGCCCCCATTGCCTCAGGATTGCATAAGAATCCTGGAGGCTGCATCACTTTGGCCCAGAATTCCAACCCTCAAATTGTAATGAATGCCACATTTTGCTGGCAAAATATTGACTCTTTGACTATCTTCCCCTCCTACGTTGAAACCCGAAAATAAACGACGCAATGGGCTCCTCTAGTACCCATAGGAATAAGAAACGCGGAGGCTCACGGCAAAGCAGTGTTATGGTCTATGAGACGAGAACCCAAAGTCTGGGTAAACGAAGTGAGAGTGAACTAGACAGTATGTCTTATACCTATCTGTCCCCATCTCTCAACTAATGAATCATATAGGAATATATGGGGGAAACGAATACTTCTCAGTCCCTGTCAAACCATGGAAACGAAGCGTAGATATTTATGTACCGGCTGAGGAGAAGCCGCATAATTACAGTCAATATATCGCAAGAGTAGATATCCCGCGCTCCGATTTTCTCAAGAATGCCTTTCTAGGAAGGGGAACAGATATTCGGGTAGTCTCAGGTGGTTATCGATAGAGGATCCCATCAGCACTGTAACGGTAGTAGACTCAATGGCGTTCTGGGCTCATGAAGCTAGTGGGGAATCGCGTGCGAGGATCGCTTGTTGTTTTCATTGGTAGTTGGTAGTTCCGGCGGTTTCATTTCAGCCAAGGCTTTCAATACTGTACCGATTTAACAGCTCGAAGGAAAATTGACTTGATCGGAGGAAATGAATATACTTATTTCAAGTCTGACATGATTGAGCTGGACAATGGGTGGCAGTTTCTATCCTTAACGATCTCAAGACCAGAGTAGCTGGAGCAACTGATTGTAGAGCATAGCGCCTAAGTTTTGAGATACGAAAGTTTCAAACTTTATAGACATTGAGACATTTTATAGACGGTCCAGGCCGCATTCCTAAATGAAGACTTTATCATAATATGGATGAAGGCAGACACGTTTTCAGGCTGGTAAATTACGAGAAGGCTTTCTTTCATCCATGCCATATTAATAGAGTGGTTTGTCTCAATATTCCAGCATAGGAGTGCATATACGGAAGGTGACTCATAGATTGAGTATAAAGATTCTGCTGCGATCTATTCAGCGCTCTCGACACATATATATCATGGATGGTTTAAATCAAGGAGCATCTGTCGGATCCCTGGTTTAACGTGTTAGCATCAAATGAATAACTCTGCTAAGACGTTTACTTACCAATCTGTGACAAGATCTTCGTCTAGATCGTCCAGCTTAGCCATGTCATCTTGGGATATTTCAAACTTGTCAACCTTGACGTTGTCTATCACCCGTTCCTTTCTCGAGCTCTTGGGCAGCGGTACAAGACCATGCTGTAGTGACCACCTACTCAAGTTTTAGCGTTGTGACCTGTACAGTCCTCGAAGTCCGTGAATACATACCTCACCATGAGCTGTGCAGGTGTGCAAGCGTATTGCTTCGCGAGGGCGAGGATTGTGGGATCTCTCATCCGCTCTGCTCTTGCTAGCGGAGCGTATGCCTCCACGACGATGCCGTGCTTCGCACATGCCTCGCGGATCTCAATCTGGGTGTTGAACGGGTGGACTTCAATCTGATTCACAGATGGCTTGATCCGTGGACCAGATGCCATCAGCTCTTCGATCTGTCTTGCGCGATGAGTATCAAGGCAGCTGTGCGGTAGGGTTTAGAAGGGCTCACGTGTCGGACACCGTAGTTGCTGACACCTCCACTCTTGATCTCACCCTCCTCAATAGCATCCTCGACGGCCTTCCAGCTCGTCAAGCGAGCCTCGGGTCCACCGTAAGGGCTATGCAGTAGGAACAGGTCAATGTAACCAAGCCCGCACGCTTCAACGCTCTGTTTGATGCTCCGACGCACCGAGGAATATGCCGTGCCGTTGCTAGCCAGCTTGGATGTGTAGAAGAGATCCTCGCGCTTAAGACCTGGGTTGTTTGATGATTCCAGGAAAGTTCGAATGGCTTTCCCTGCTTCGGCTTCATTGTGATACATTTGCGCAGAGTCGAAGCCCCGGTACCCTGCAGCCAGGGCCCAAGGAACCGCAGACAGCACTTCGCGCCCTGACATCATGTACAAGCCCAACTGCATCTGGGGCATGAGGTGCCCAGACGGAAGCTTTGGTTCGGTGAGTTTATCTGGATAGAGACTTAGGATTTCGACGGTGTTCGTACCTTAACCTTGCTGGCAAGCGTAAAGCTGTTGGAAGCCATGACGCTGATCTTTGCTCCAAATTTGAAAGTGCGGCCTCTCGATTTTGCTAGCTGTCTCTATGCACCGGATACCGTCGCAACGAGATAATATTCAGGGTCCAGAGAAAAACTTCTGCATCCGCGTTCTAGTGATATCGATTGAAGACATTTCCATACGTCACGCCATCAAAAGCGGACGATGTTGTCATGCTTAGTAACTGCCCCGGCCGGGAAAAGCGGAGCGCCCCCGCCGGCGCCGGAGCAATTCTGATCACAAGTTGACAAGCTCGCTTGCTTCCAAGAATCACAAGGCCAATTAAGTTGCGATGTTGCCCAGTCATCTCCCTCTATTCCCATGTATATTTTATTTTTGTCTTATATGTACACTCTATACCCATGAAAAGCGTGGCCGCATTATTTTGTACAACTTGAAACGGTAACGACCGTGGGGGCCTGAAGAAACATTTTCTAGGAGTCCACTTGATCCCGAAGTGAAGATCAGCGCATCTGTCGTATGAATGTCGAGTATATGACCCTTTAACCCTTGGCCCCTCCTACTTTCTACCGTCCATCATGGCAGCCAGCCTGGCAGCCTCTTGTCCGAATTTGGTCTTGCTACGGATGATGTGACCATACTTGTAAAACATCACTAGACAAGGAACGAAGACTAGCGCAAGAAAGCCAGGGACACTAGACGCCCAGTGAATGCCTGCGAAATCCGATTAGCTGAGTCCGTGTTTGAAAGGATGCAGTCGAGCAACATACCAAGTGACGTATACATCTGAGCGGTGAACAGAGGAAAGACGGCACCAGCGATTGATCTAAGGACGGTACTAGCTGCCAAAGCAGATGCAGCATATCCGAGGTAGGCGTCGACAATATAGTTGGTGAGGCTCATGTAAAGCAGCACCATTCCAAAGCCAAAGAAGACTCCAGCACTGACGCTGATAAGCCAGAATGTAGAAGGGTCGTTAGTCCAGGCGAACCAGAAGAGGCCTATAGGTAGAGCTATGGAGCCAAGCATGGCCGGAGGCAAACGAGCCTCTGGTGGCACCATGCCGTGGTGCTTCTCGACGAGCTTGGCATAACGCTTCTGGTCGACGAGGGCAACGTAGAAAAGCGAGATGACAATGCCAAGGGCGATTGCAAGGAATGGTAGGGATGCCACGCCTTGAGGCCAACCGCGCACTTGTTGAAATACAATCGGGTAGGCAGCGAAGAGCAGAAAGAGGGTTCCATGAACGACAGACAGGAAGAGACTCAAGAGGGTGACGATGGGCTCGTATATGAGGATGACCCAAGGTCGAAGGGCTCCAACTCGGAGCTGGGTTCCAATGGTCTTCTCCTCCTGCATGCCGTCAACGATATGAACCTTCCCAGTTATCTTGGTGAGTTTCTGGGCCCTTTTCTTGAGTAAGACGGGGGCATAGGTCTCCGGGAAGGTAAGAGTAAGGATGACCCAGGTTGGGAATGAGGCGCATGCGATCATGACACCTAAAGAGCGCCAGCCATAAGCAGCGTCAAGGAAACCACAAGCGATTGGGCCAAGCATTTGACCCATCAAGCCGGCTAATGTGAAGATGCTGAGCACGAATCCTCTCTCCTGGGCCTGGAACATGTCGGCGATGACCGCAGGTGCGACTGCTTGGGTGAATGAGCCAGCCAGGCCACCAAGCATTCGAAATGCCAGAACAAATGAGATAGAAGGGGCTAGGCCGATGACTCCAGATGTAACGACGAAGGCAGCGAACGTCCACACGTACAGCTCACGGCGGCCGTACACTTCGCTGAGAGGTGATAAGACCAGAGCACCAACAGCGAAACCCAGCACGAAGAGAGACGTCATAAGCAAGGCGACCGTCTGGCCAACATTGAACTCGCTCTTGATATCGGCGGTGCCTGTAGGAAGTCAAAACCCGCTTTTCCAGAGATGATTGCTTGACCTACCTTGTGAGAATCCTGAAGATGCTATCGAAACCATGAAGACGGCGAAGGCAAGCACCATTGCGTTTGTCCACTTCCTCGACTTGGGGAACAACATCGGGTTTGCTGGGTCGTTCTCGATCCATCGCACAAGATATGGTTGCTCAGGAGTGCCGTAGCCCTCAAAATCGTGATTGAGTATATCCACGGAGACGAGAGCTGAATCAGCTTGGTCGAGCTGCTCTTTGGTGAGGGGCTGCTTCCACTTTGCCTTCTCTTTCTCGATCTCAAAGCCATCCGATAGACGATCTGGGGTGCGGCTGATCCATGATTCTCTCTTCTCCACCTCGAATGATCCATCCCACAGTTGAGCATCGTCTTGGTACGTTCGGTCGTCGATCCACGTTGTGCGGTTTCCTCTGCTTTGCCCGGGCCATATTCTGTGGTCACGGGGAGCGGAGGAAGGTAGCAGAGAGTTGCCAACCATGTGACTCATACGATTGGCGCGAGCCTCGACATCGAATGCCCCCGTCCATCTCTTATCCGCCTGTTGGGTGCTGAATCGGCCAGGCCATGGTGCACTGAGCTCTATATCTTCGCCGAAAGCAGTCGGCCATATTGTTATGCGGTTCGCTCGACGAGCCGCCGCAGAAGGTTGAAGGGACATGACAAGAAGACCAAAAGCCAATACGAGAAACAAAGAAAGTCTATCAGTCTATTTGAAAGAACTTGAAAGTAATATCAGAATAGTGTATGCCAGCACAAAAACGAAGTGAAAACCTCAACACCAACTGAGAGGAAAGCAACAAAAGAGAAGCGAAGTGATGAATGCCAAGAGTGGCATACGGCTAGATGCCGTCACCAGCGGGAGGCCACGCTCATATACCTACTGCAGAACACATCAGCGCCGGGCTTCGCTACTGTGTACACCAGACGGCTATACCCATGGTTGGGGCTCTGGTAGGCAAAGGCCAGGACTGGTTGACATTGATTAATACCAGGGTCGGATGGTATGAAGTGGGTGGAGAGTGGATCCGCCGCGCATCGTGGGCTCCACGACCCCCTATCATCGGACATCCACAATTTCACCAGCCTACTAATCTTGACGCTTTGCCAATGATCTCGTGGCCTCCTAGTTCTCCTTCTCCGGATTGCACAGGTCAGCTTATGGGGAAACGCTTTTGATGGTCAGATGGTACGGATACTTCACTTAGCCCTCCGAGGATTAGCTCACAAGACCTCTCTTACTGTCAGTAACCACGTTCACGATTATAAAAGATACAAATCCCACCCCGGGCGCGACGATAGTAACTCAGCATCATTGATTCTGAACTGTATTTCCTAATTTTATGGGCACATCGTGTGTTGACGCATAATCTCGAGTCAGTACGACGTCAGCATGTCCCGAATGTGGGAAAATGAAGTAGTTACTTGACCATGCTGTTGGCGACTTGCGGCACCCAATCGCATAGTCCCCAAGGATCGCTTGCCATCATGCAGAAATAAGTGGGCTACCTGGTACCGGCTGCATGCCGCGTGGGACGGACTAATGCACAGGTGCCGAGATCCCTGAACCAAGCCCGTTTGTTCGAGGAATGGGATCATTCCCTACCAGAATCAACTGCGAAACAAAGTGTTTCCCTCGTCCTTTGAGTCCTGCTCATAGAGTTCGGGAAGCCCGTAGATCGCGTAGATCATATGAAGCTCGATGGTGACGCATGTGCTCCGATCATGTCAAACAGGGAGGCATTATCTCATTCGATATCTGAAGCTGCAAAACGCCTGCGACGCAGCGGTTGACTCGCGCGTCTAGACCATGCCAGGGCACCAGCTGAAGACGCAGACTGGGGTTTGGAAATCTCTTCGCGAGAGCCTCACCCAGAGTCGCGGGCCAATGAGGACACGATTGAGATAGGAGCAATCTAAACGACACGAAAGTGAAAGGGGAGAACGGGGCAATTGGAAACGAGCCAGAGCTAGGGGTCCTCCCGCCCAACGTCGTCTGGTATGGACCATGGCAGCCAGACGTGCTAACGCTCCCCATGGGAGTCTGGACTTCCCAATACGGCCTGTTCCGCTCTCCAGGGCTCCCCAGCAGCCCCGGGCCAAGGTGCCAAAGCCACATGCTGGACGCTGTCAAGTCCAGGGGCTGCTATGGAAAGTGGGAGGCGCTGTGAAGGGACAGACGAATTGGAACCAAAAATACTTGAAACGGCGTGCCATGGTGACAGCCCATTGGTCTCGGCTGGCATGGGTTTTTGAGGCTCTGTGCTGCAGCTATAAGTGGAGCCAATGCGTACGTAGTCTTTTGGCGGGTCCGACACTCTGAGCCGCCGGTGTCTACGTGTGCTGGACCTTAGTTTCTTCGTGTCCTTGTCCCAGTCGAGACAAAATGCACTTCTGATAACCGTCCATTAATGACTCCCAAATACCAGGAGACCGCCGGGCAAGGTCATGTCGCAAAGCGCTCCTGACCCATATTATCCAGCCTGGTGCACGTGTGCCGATTGAGGATGCCGAATGTTGAATCTACCATTGAACAACTCTCCAAGAGCAGTCCTCTGACGCAGTCAAAGTAATCAAAGCCGTGGACAATGGCACCTTCCAGATAGGAACGTCTCCCAAAACAAACGCTGAGACGCATTGCACGTAAGCCAAAAGCGGTGGCACTGCACCAGGAAGTGTCGCTGTGGTCACATGCCCTGATCCTTCAAATAAGCCCACTGGTATACAGTACCGTAATTGCACTGGTCCGAGAGGATAAACAATCCATTTGACTGTGCGCTCAGCTGTTGAAGATCAACAGGCATTTTGTCCAAGAATAAAAGGGGGGCAACTAATATCGGATGGACGCCAAGCCCAAGCCCGGTGATCTGCGATGAGAACCGCTTGGCTTGGCTTGGCTATTTCTATGTGATGCGACGGGTCCTCAACCGAGATGTGGTGGCTTGGCTTTCTGACCACTGGCTGTACACACAATCCTAGGCACTAGAACATAACAGACGTCGCCCCCAGGCTTTTGAGATTGAGCCTCAATCCAAACGAATCCATGAAACAACAAAAGTGTACAGCAGCATGTATTATCGCGGCCCTGCTCTAACCACCAGTCCCTTGTACATTTGGTACACCGCTGAAAATGGATGAAGCCACTAGATTAGCGAAAGATGATGAGACCTAGAACTACTCTATACGTGAAGTTACAGTCTCAGATGCCTCGCCAAGTTTCTTGGAAGAAGATGATAGGGCAAGCGGTAGAGCGTAACGCAAAAGGGCGGCTATCAAGCGGAATAACACAGTGATCACATGGGCTTCCGCTACAGAGTCGCGTATTGATCGAACTACCAGTCTAGGCATCACTGTTTCTCAATTTGTGCTAGATTGATTTACGTAGATCATTGGCTGCTGTTCGTGCCATGTAGCCAAGCACTCCTCAAGCCAGCTCGATTGTAGCCTTGATGTAGTACTAGCAAGGAAGAAGGAGGTTGGTGGCAACAAGAAATAAAGGAAAAGTAGGCAATACGGTAGAAATGAAGCAATGCCAGCAACAGAGAGAAAGCTACTCTAATGCACCGTCACTAGCTATGGCCTGAGCCATGGAACCCTCTTAAGACTCCAAACTCCGAAGCGCATTTGAAATGAGTCGGATGTTGTTCACAATCAGCATGTCTATGCCCTCCGCTGCTTGTTTCTGTGCTCTGGTAAGTACAATTGAGGGCAGATTATGGATTGTAGAACGTACCTTCGCGAATTCTGGCACATCATTCAACACGCCATACGACCCGCAGACTAAGCCCCGGTTCCTGACATGCTGGATCAGTTTAGGTGCGGCAACGAATGGCTCAGCGGCCATAACGATGCCTTGCAGATCCCATTGGCGCACGAAGCGCATTGCCTCCTGAAGGCTTGTTGCTCGTTTATCACCTGCTGCTCCACTGATCATGGAGTCGTTGAGGAAGACCACGGGATAGGTCTTCTGCTTCGTTGATAGCAACACACATACTTCCGGGTTGAAGCAGGTGAAGAAGATCGAACGGTCCCCGGCCAGCTCGAAGATAACGTCAAGGGTGGCATCGATGTAGGCGTTCATCTCGATCCAGTACGGTTCCATTTCCCAGTAGTCGCACTCCCAGAACATGGGGTACTCTGCGTGGTGTCAGCTTAGAGGGCAGAAGGTAATGACAGAGTGCTTCCAACATACTCATCTCGATGTCGAAGCTTACATCGTCCGGGAACTTCTCGAAGAGTTGACGTAGGGTGACAAAAGCATCGTGGATGCACTCGCCCCGGATATTCCCCTTGTTGTGATTCCTAGCGTATTCGACCGTGTGCTTCATACGATCCGCCAGCGCTTTTCGAGGATGATCTGGGACCGCACATAGGGACCTCGAGTTCCTCCGAGATGGAGCACTTGGACGGGCTCTCTCGTCCCATGGCAGACGGCCTCTGGTGAATTCGTGATGGTTTATCTGTGTCTCGCTGATGGACATCCACTATAGAAAATTCAGTCACTGGACATGCAGGAGATACTTAGATGGGACCATACCTGCTGCAAGGTCATCGCGTGGATCGGTATGTCGAGCCCAGTCTCCGAAACGTGCCAGTCATGGTAGATGACCGGAACACGGTCTCGGGTGATTTGAACGTCTGACACCAGTTCTTAGTACTCTTAGCCTTCCGTGTATTTTTCTTGACGTACCAAACTACAAAACCATTAGCCGCAAGTTCATCAGACTACCAAGTTCGGATTGCTTACCTCTATGAGATCTGCTCCTTGGTCCAGTGAACTTTGAAGAGACTACCATATACTATTAGACAAGCAGCAAATGCAGCACCGATAATAGCCTACCTGGATCGTGTGTTCTCCTATCTGCATGCGCCTGAGCCCTGGCATATTCCACCCTAGGCCTGGGACTCTGTTAGTAACGATCACCTAATACGAAGGCAGAAGGCGCCTACCACGGTGTCCTACAACTTGCGTTGAGTCGGAAAGGCGCATCGTCTGAGTAGGTCTTGGCGGTGCTCTCGCGTTGTAAGGACTGCAGAGAAGAAACGTGAATGTAATTGTTCCGGCAGCATCACCATCTGAGGTGATCAGAGCAACGCGAGAGTCGCGCCTGAGACTCTGACGCTCTGGGCGAAACCAGCCCTTGATCGAGTCAAGCAGAGCCACTCCTGTGGCTATGAGTCGTTTGCTAGGCTTCTCAGCATTTCCACGCTTGTACAGCTTGAACGTCAGCTTCATGTTTTCGGGCTGCGTCGTAGAGAAAACCCATGTAACTTCAGTAGGAGCTCCCTCGAGTGGCAGCCTAACAGTATATGGCTCTTGCTGGCAGGGGCTCCCAGAAACTTCCAGTATTGTATCATGTTCCATACTCTTTGACAGAGTACGGAGGATGCCTGGCTCGACTTCCAGGGCCTCCTTGTCCGCATATACATCGAACGAGCCCAAGTTGACGAATACAGATGTGTATTGCGGCTCCGTGTAGACTTGGGCAGCATCAGCGGATACGCAGGTTGGTGGATGGCTCTTTGCAGGGCGTTGAGGCTGCGGCAGTCGAGCAGCCACATTGGAACCGCGACTCAGCTCCGGGGTGGGAGACGCTCTTTGGAGTGCATCTACGATGGTGGTGTGTGCTCTGTAGCATGCATGTTCTATAGCTGACCAGCCGCCAAAGTCTTGAATCAGTGTGTCTGCGCCTGCTCGGAGTAGTAGTTCAACTATTTCAAGATGATTACGCACACAAGCTACGATCAATGGTGACCAGCCCCGTGTGACTTCGGGGCGATTCAGATCTAGGCCAACTGACACAGCTAACAGTGCTTCCACCATCTCGGCCTGGCCACTGCTAGCAGCAAGGTACAAAGGTGTTTCCCCGTGTTTTCCGCGATGATTTATCCCTTTACCAAGTGTCAATAAGCATTTTACAGTATCTGCAAAACTTGATTGGATAGCCGTAAGCAGAAGAATACCAGCCATTTCTTCACGAACCATGCTTCTTACAGCATCAGGACGTAGGAGCGCCTCTACCACAGACACATGACCGGAACTGACGGCCAGATGCAGTGGTGTAAGCCCACATGAGTCTTCTTTGAAGACTGCTGCTGGCTCCATGAATTTGGTGATTTGTGAGCAGAGCTTTCCTAAGCCATATTGTGCAGCGTAATGGAGAGGATACCGATTTCTCCAGTCCTTCACAATCAGCATGTGGTGCTGGTATGGGGAAAGCTCACGAATTGTGTCCTCGAGTATCTTCAGATCACTGAGGCAAAGCTGAGGACGCGAAGAACGAATGATAAGCTGGTGCAGAGCATCCCGATGAACACAACCCACGTCCTCTACAGGAGCAGTGATTTCTTCCAGTAAAGAGGTGAGGCACATCGGTGACGAATGCAGGATTGCGACTTGCAGTACGGAATAGAGCATGGCTTGGTTCTCCAAGTAAGAGACCGGCGATGTCATCACGACCATAAGCGCCGCCGAGTCATCGATGCTGATGCTGCTGTGCACTTCGTCGCTAGTGCAGCCAAGGGCCTGAGGGCTGACCCTCTCCAAGAGCAAAGATCTCACCTCTGACTCATCGTCATGGAGCTGCTCTGCACGAGCTGTGAGTCGAGTAAGGCCTCGCAGATGTGCAGCTGTTTCGACCCAAGGTTTCGTGTTGAGAGGGCCTTTGGCGAACTCAATCAGTGGTTCACGCGCCCCCCTGGGGCCAATCTTCCCCAGCAACTTCTGTACTGCATCTTGGTTGACCTCTGCGAACTCATCGAGCTGAGTGATGAACGCTAATATCTCCTGCAGGCAGTTCGCGAGATCTCGAAGCTCTACAAGCGCGACTTGCGCGAGGTCGTGGATCTCAAGCGCAACAGCAGCCGCAAGAGAGAATCGCGAGAAGGTTGCTTCTACCCAACGATCGATGAGGGAAAGCTGTTTCTGCAAGAACGCGTTGATGTTCTCGATCTCTTGTTTGAAACTCTTGCTAAAGGCTAGGAAGGAGAACAGTAGCCGTCAGCAAGCCCACTTAGACGGCGGTCGATAGTCTTACAGTCCAAGTCCCGGCACGGATGATGGGTCTTCACAAGCTGCTTCAAGCCGTCGTAGTCGATATAGGCGTCTGTCCATTGAGGAACCTGAAGTCTCTGAAAGTCGCACCCAAATCGCATTCTGTTTGGACGCCGCGGATGGTGATGCAGAGCATCCATCCACGGCGATGGGTGATAGGCACCCCACTAGATATAATCTGTCAGGGCAGCTGGGTGCCTGGGGAACCCCTGTCCCCCTGTGTAAGCCCCACCAAAATTTAGACAGGTGACAAGGAACACGCCAGTGTTTGCTTTTCTCTTGGCCTTGTCGTGTCTTATCTTGCCAGCCTCACCGCCAATCACCCACGACTTTGCACAGACGACCCATTGATAAGGAACATGAATCGTTCTGTGAGCGAAATTGCTGAGCGAAATGGCTTGGCTTCGTCGGCCTGTTTGCTTGCGGCAAGGATTGGCACGCTGAGACGACGCAGTGCGCTGTCCTCGGATTGCAAACACCGACCGTTGAGTCTGTGTATCCTTTCTGGCTGTTGGATACCCCCTACAATGTTTGCTCCTCCGCGCCAAGCTGTCAAGAGGCAGACCCTAACATGATAAACATGATGACATCAACGTTGCTGGAGGCACAGAAAGTTTGTCCAGGATAGTTGATACTGCGAACCCTGACCCACCGACTTTCGCAACCTTCAAGAAACTTATCTATGGCACGGAAGGACAAACCCACCGTTCTCGAGAGTGGACACCTCCGGCGGCCGTTCCGGTCTCAGGAAATCAGTCAGGCTGACGTTTCTCGCGCACTCTATCCAGCGCGCGGTGAACAGGAATCAATGCAGTCAGCAGCGCTTCGATAAGGACTCTTGCTGCCAATGCTCGATTAAGACTCTGCCCACAGGAACCTTCTTGGTATAGTATGACTCTAGCGTCACCCGACTTTGCTAAGCACAAAACCACCAAGTAATGAGAGCTATGTTGTTGTGGCATGATTTATTGAGCTTTAACTAGCTATTGCATACTCCCCAATGCTTGAGAAATTGCTCAATGTAGAGCAAAAGACAGCTTAGGGTATCAAGTTGCTGAAATATCAGCGGAGCTAAACTACTCCATTCTTTTGACGTTCCGGTGTCCCATGATTGCACCCTTCTCCGAGTCTCATGATCTTCTCATGCGTCGTTGGCGTGGAGCGGAAGACAAGCAACACTATGTAGGGTGTGGTATCAGTCATTCAAATCCATCAGTTTTCATGTCCTCTCCATGAGTGTGTCGACAAGGAGCTTGACGTCAGTGTGAAGCTCATCGAGCAGAGTCTGCTTTCGCGACAATTCAGTCGCGGTGGCAATCTCGTTGGGGTGCTTGCAATAGCCTGCAAAAACAATCCCTCGGTTCCCGTTCCATTTCAAAGCCCTCGGACCGGCATCATCCCGTTGAAATGATAGTTGATCAGTGTGGAAAGACTGAGTCCATCCGTAGGACATAGACTCGGTAGGGTGTTCATACTCGCTCCATCCAGCTGCTTGGAGTGCCTTGAGGAGGACCCGAGTATGTATCCGCATTGGCGGTTCCGCCGCAAGCCCGAACGCTGCTAGGTACCGCCCAGTCACACTGGATCCCGTGCTTGCATGTAGAGATTTGGCAAGGGTGGCAGACTGAGGTGGGGAGCCTATGTGAGATGTTATGGATGGATCTAGGTGATTCCCACCTCCACTGGGCCATACGCTGACTAGATAAACGAGATCAAAGTTGTATTTCTTGGCGATACCGGCTGCCATGATGGCCCCGAGTTCTCCAATTGAGTGACTGGCCGGCATTGGGATGAGAAACTGTGGATCCGTGGGTGTTTCCGGCGGAGTCACCTCTCCCGCAGGAAGGTTGAGTGCCTGGTGTGCGCGTACAACTGATCTTGCCGATTGGTGGTGCCGTATCGACCTTGGTACATCCTTAGGAGGTGGTGGCGGCGGAGCTCTGGGTGGTGGGTGAGGCGGTCCTCCTTCGGCAATATCTTCATCGCTCAATGCATAGATGTCATTGATGGTAGGCTCCTGCAAGATTTGCTCCTGGGCAATCTGATACTTGACTTCAGAGAGGCTCGCCACACTCGCTGTTTTCTTCAATCGCGAACGCGGGAGCGGGCTGTCGTTCGATTCAGGGGACCCAAGAAGAGGGTCACCGGCTCTGACTCCCCACGTCTCCCGTGGACTGGTACTTTCTTGTCTTGGATCGCGATTCTTGCGCCTGTAAACCCTTTCTGGGGTAGACTGGACACTGTAAATGCTTGGAGAATCGACTCTGCCAGGCGATCGAGATGGATCTCTAATCCTCGCACGGTACTCCTCCTCACTATCTGAAGAAGGCGGCGAATAGACTTGTGGCGCCGTGTTTTGCAGAACGGAATATTGCTTCGGAAACAATGAGAACCTCCACTCGTGCGCTTCTGATACGGTTTCGCACTGCGGACTAGGGGTCCTTGGAAGCCTGGTTGGCGATGACTTTAGAGGCGTCTTCTCAGGTGAAGTAAACAAAGGTGACGGCATCAAGATCAGTGATTCTGCAAGGTCGTCCTTTGCATTCAGCCCCAGATTCTCATTCACGGACGAGAGTTCCGCAGGATTGAACATCAAGGATATATGTGCAGGAGTCCAATCTAGGAGCTCGTGACTTTGCTTCGCAGCAACTGATGTAGTACCCATGCTTGGTATGTTCATCTGCGGTACATGTTTTGTTGGACTGATGCTGTCTGCAGGACGGAATAATGAGTCTTCTGGGAAGCGGAAAGCCGCCGGCCGCTGAGGGGACTCTGGTTGTTGACTGAGCGCAAAGGATGACGGCCGGTGAGTTTCGTAACTTCTAGTCTTCCGTTCAGTCTCTGATGTCATGTACGAGGAAGAGCATTTTCGCAGTTGATTTTGCACATTTGGCAAGCTCTGCGATCGTTTCTTCCCAAGGGTTAGCACAGGTCCCCCTTCCTCCTCGAAAAGTTTCTCATAGGTTGGGTCTCTTGGTTGCATGCGAGCCGAGGTGGGCTTCATGAACGGCGGAGATGGGAACAGCGAGCTCCCATTGCTCGTTGGCGCTTGGCCTGCTGGAAATGGCGAATAAACGACCGAAACCTTCCTCCTAGCAGCGAGTTGCTCTTGTAAAGTCTTGTCTTTCCTCCTAGTGGAACCGAAGAATCTTTCCAGTCTATCGAAGCCATGGGCCATCATGGCCTCCGAGCCGAGGACTCGCGGTCTAGAGTCATTAGTGATTAGCCAATGAGTGGTCACTTCACGGGGTGACTTTGGAATAGCAACTTACAGCGAAGACCAGCGTATATAATAATGCAGGCCAGAACCAAGTATGTCAGACGAGAGTAGGATTATTAACAGCTGAAGAACGACGTCTCAAAGCCCACAACACGCTCCAGGAAATGGTCGTCTGAGATGTGGACAGCCAGGTTCTTAGATGGTCCAAATATCGAGGAAGAATGAGCGCACCGCGCACAGGAAGGTCAACCAACGCTAGAGTATCACAGGTAATAGGCAATTGCAGTACAATAATTTCGAGGTCGACAGAACATTACACGGCGGCCGGCATTTGGTACACAATGGTACGACAGACGCGACGCGGTGTGTGATCTCTTGAAAAGATGGTGAACACAAACAAATGTGATGTTTCTCCCCAGTCTCACGACTGCACCAAAGGTATAAATGGTAATGGGGGGAGGTCTGGCAATCAAGAGAAGACGGGTCCCTCAGTTGTCTCAGATGCGGACTTTAGGGAGGAAGGACCTCTGACGAAGGGTGAAGGCCTCAGCTTGGCAAGCCTAGGAAACTAGCGGGATCTGGGGCCGTTGAAGGCGAAGATGCAGTATACCTCTAGTCCGTGGCTGCTGTGGGTTCGCAGGGCATTTGAGAATATATGCTGCGATAGGTGGCTGCAATATGCAGGTGGCTGGAAAGGAGCGGAGGAATCGAGAGGACGGACGGTGGTCAACGGTGGGTTTGAAGTAATAGAAAGCATACCTACCCTGGCAAGCCTGGTAGTTCACAGCAACGGTGTGACAGGTGCTTTTGCAGAAAAGCTACGCACTCATAGCCCCATACGACATGGTTGGAACGCCGCCCTCTGCAGATGTCATGTATACCCGAGTTGGTTGACAAGCTCGATCGAAAGCAGACCATTCAGTTAGGATGGGATGCTGCTATTGGTAGAAATAGAGCCCACGCCACCCAGTTAGGAATGCGCAGCTGTGGTGGTGATAGCCAACGAGTCCGAAACCAGCAAAAAATTGAAACGTTGGCGCAGGGCGACGGAAGAGTTCACAATACCTATTCTTTCTTTCCTATTACTGATGATTGGAGTCAGGGCATGTGCTCGTCCAGTGGTGCAACGGATTCCCAACAACCAACCCCGACCGAACCCACTTACATGAAGACATTCCATTGATGCGCTTGCATCGTGTGGGGTCGTCCAGCATTCGGGCGGCCGTCATCGCGTCCAGCGCGGCTGCGATGCGCTTTCAGGCGAATTCCTGGAAGCCAACAACGCCAAACAAGGACTCACGACGATGTCATCGCCCTAGCATGCAGCTAAGTGTTAGGTATCACGTTTGGTGGCGGCGGTGGTAGGTGAGCCACAACCAGCTCAAAAGCAATCTTGACGCTGCTCATTGCCTTTCCCACTCCCCTTCAGCGCGCACGGCTTGGACTAATTAGTAACACCTTCGGGGCTGCACTTCCTAAGCTTTGCCAAGGGAGGCTCCCCGATACCTATAGCTGCCCTGCCCAAAAGGAGCCCTCGATAGCTGGAAGTCGTAAGCCTATATTCAACCCTTGAGAGCACGCGACACAATGGTGACTGTAGACTGCAAAAGCGTGGGACATGATTGGTACTCACGAGATGGGAGGCCAAGACCTCGTCGCATACCGGCTCCCCATGCCCAGACTAGCCAAAAGTCAGTAGTTAGGTCCCTTGTGCGGCAACACCATCCAGGGGACGCTTACGGTATGCTGAGCCGGGAGTGTTGCAAAAGCAATCGGTCTAAGCTAGTCGTGCGAGCGTATCCGATGTTGTCTCCGTCCCCAGCTCACTTCAAGTCAGTCCTTGGCAGGGCCTCGGCCAGCCAAGTCCTGGGTATTCGCACTTCTCACAATTGACAGCCTCGGGGCCTCGGGGCCTCGTAGTGATAAGTGCCTCGTATGCAACCTGTCAGGATTGTGAGCGACGCCAAAACCAAGAAAAGCTAGTCCAGGAGGACCAATATTACACGAACCAAGAACACTTCGCTCCCCGGGCCACACAGGAGCTGCCGAAGCAACTTCTCGCGTTTATCTGAAGTTGCGTGTCTTAAACATAGCTTCCCACGCTTCTAAGCGACTGAGACCTGCCTTCAGCGCAATGCGAGGCATAATCCCTTGGTATTTCTTATTTCGCCCGCTTAGGCAGATGGGAGCCCCGCCTACATGAACACGCACCCGCCAGCCCCGTTGTGCGGCCGTTGTGCTGTTGGCTGGGCGAGGACGGGTGGCCACGCGAACTCACGAACGGTCTACCAACGCTCCAAAAGCAACCCGGTCCCACGCTGCGCTGCGGAATACCTGTGCAGCCGGCAATCCGGGTGGTCAGGAACTTCAAACCACCGTGGCCAGATAGACTTCGGCCACCATATGCATCATGTATCTCACTGCATGCGGGCCTGCAGTGGACACTTTCATCGTCACTCACCCAGTAGCATGTTGCGATCAGTTTCGGGTTCATCGCAGAGAAGTGATATGTCAGACGGACATGGGTTCCGGATGCAATCGCCGCTTGTCTGTTGGTTCTGTTGATGATCGCCGGGCCCAGATCCACGATACCGGAATTCTTGCCGCTGACCTGACATATATGCTCGCACCGAGCGACAAGGGTGAGTATCCATCGGAGGTCCCGTTGGTAGTGATCTGGACTCGCCAAGACCTGCCAAAACCCTTGACGGTCATATGTTGCCCCAAGATCTTGGATTGCCGACTCGGAACATCGTGCCATTGGACTCGATGCCGAGCGACCTTTTACAGCTTTCGGATTCGGGGCCCAAATTGTTCTGGTTGTGAAGAAGTTGGGTACTATTTCTAACCATAGTTGCTTTGGCCTATCTGACATTGCGTAACTACACGTTTTCTTTTCGAGGCTCTACATGACAAGCAACACTAGATCTAAGTAGATATGATCCACGTAGAGATGAGTATGACTGAAGAAAATGCTAATTCGACATCAAGCGGCACTATCTTGTTCAGGTGATATGATACTACAGAAGTTCTAGCGAAATAAGATCTGCATGGGTGTATTCACCAATAGTCCTCCTCGAGAACTGACTGATCGTCTTGGAGGACCAGCCTCAGAAGATGATATACAAGCAGCGCAGCACAATGTATCGAGTTTGTCATGATTGGCCTCTTTCAATCTAGCCACATCGTGGGCATAGATCATGATCCTGATGGCTCCCTTTGACTTAAGAGGTTGTGTCGTCGGGTCATACCGCAACGCGTAGACTTGTTACTGTGTGTTCATCGGAATTAGGTACCGTCGAGCCAATAGTACTCCTGCTGAAGCGAGGCCAATCTGCTATGCGATAATCTGCAACGGGAGCTCCCCCCTTGGGCCCTTGTTCTACATCACACGGACGCAATTGTGGGACGGCTACAATTACAGGGATGAAAGTTCGCAAAGACGCAAAGGCAAGTACATGCATCAAGCTCGAGCCTCGACAGCACTGCGGTGCGCGCGTGCGGCAGCATTACACCAGGGAGCATGCAGCATGCAGGCCCCCGGCGTCACCTCCTGTCTTGCGTCGTCCCGACAAACTCCGTAAGCATCTCGCCATTGTCTTAACTTCACACGCGCCGTCTGAAGGCGGAGCTCTGGGCCAGCAGAATATGTATGCCGCAATCCACGACGCCTGAGGAGAAAATTTCAAACCCCCTTACATGGCAAGTGGCCTGTGCCTTTCGCTCTTTCGACCTCTCCATGTAAGACCAACCCTTCTGGAGGCAGCTGAAAAGATGAGCGTTGCACTGCCATTGAGGTCGTGCTGCCATGGCTAGATCACCGCGAACGTACGTGCATGCAATGGCCAGACATATAGATGCAGCGGGTACCTCACATTTGACTGCAGTGTGAAGCAGAGTGGCATACTCCATACATATAGGGACTTGTATGCTTGACACAAGACACACAGTAAGTTTTGAGCTATCTTAGCATACGTACGTCCCCCTTTTCTGGACAGCACACATATGGTGACAAGACACGCAGCACTTTTGAATTTCCCTCGGCCTCTAGATGCCAGACTGATAGGTGTTGGAGCCCGCGACTTTTACGCCATAATCCCCTTGATATCGACCCGCTTCTGAGCCCGCGAAGGCGGGACTGCCGCAGCATACGTTTGTACGCAGTGGTAGTATACGAGGCAGTGGTGCTCTCACTCTGGGACAGAACTTTATAGACACTTGTCACTTCCTGTCTGGTTGTCAAGACGTATGTCATTCTGATGTTCTTGCAATCAGAAACTTTCTTCGACTTCCCAGAGCTGGACGCATGCCGAAGTACGTTACTTGGCCGTGACGCTCTCCGCAAAATGCATGCACAATCCCGAAGCAGCGGGCTATCGTCTGATCACTCCATACGCACATGACGGGATGTAGGTCCTACATTTCAACCTGTAGACTTCAGACGGGATCATACACAATGCAAGCTGTATTTGCCGCTTAAGAAAAAAGAAGTCAACCCGTCTGCCACTCGATCATGTTGCATCATCTCAAAGGTCCCCCCTTTCCCCTCACAGAGGTTCAGTTGTCCTCCTATCCACTCTAGAAATGTCAAGCCATTCTTTGGAATCGGGAAGGCGAGTGGCAAGATTTGACGAGAGTTTCCGGGACCAGAGACAGCGGCCATGTTGCGGCTTCTCTCGTGTCCCGGTCAACCCAGCTGAACGTCATAACACCTGCAGCTGCATACGGGCTTCTCCGGGAATGCGGTGCAATGGCACTGCTGTCTCGATGGTGCAGCATTCTTCGCGTGCCCCTCAGCGCATCACCGCAGCCTGGGTCAGGGGGCCCACAGGGACGCAGGAACGGGTTCCAGTACGGCGGTAGAGACGCGGAATGGCCGTCATCTTGCTCATATATGATGCAGGAGAGATAAGACGACGCAGTACGATGGGAGTGGGCAGCGCTGACATCTGAAACTGTATAACATGGAATAATCCAACCTCCCTAATGTGACTGCTCTTCGCGTACACGGTATGGACATGATGATGTGACTGATCCAATGAAGTTAGGAGACTGGCGTGTTTGATGCCTCACAATCGAATAGCTGTACTGTCCATGTCCATAATATACTGCGCAGATAGTACAAGCTTAATTGACGTTGGCGACAACGCTACTCTTATACGGATTGCGTGATTCTCTTGTATCTGGTTCCAGCCGAGTATCTATGGTATATTCTCCCGTCCAACCTCACTTTGGGCGTGGGTATGGGAAGTTTGCAGGCGAATATCGTCATAGCATAGTGATCCTCATTCATGCAGCAGCACGATCCTATACCCACACCCATAGGCTTGGGTTTATGGGCCAGGTTTTGATGAATCTACGTCTTGCTATCTCTTGAACCACCCGTCCGGCCATCGTCATAGCTTGGCATCCGGCTCGTCCTCCCCAAACAACGTCAAGAACGCACCATAAACCTCGTCCGTGAGATCGCTGGCCTGTAGGCTGCGGCCCTTCTTCTTGAAGGCCTGCCGTGAGGCTTCCTGACCGCATTAGCCTAATTAGCATATCTTTTCCCAGAGAACGCGCAGAGAACGAGAACGCGGAAACTCACCCTCGTGATGGCCGCTCCGCCGAACGCCGCCAAGCCCAGCAGCTCCTTCTCGTCCAGCTTGCCGCCGTGGTCCCACAGGCCGTCGAGGTACGCCTGGCGCCAGCCCAGGAACGTCGCGATGCTGCCGGTGAGGGTGTCGCCCTGGCCGCCGCTGCGCTTGAGGCCGCCCTCGAGGTCGACGACCATGGTGTGGTCGCCGTTGCTGATCATGTCCTTGCCGCCCTTCTGCACGATGGCGACGCCGCCGAGGGCCCTGCTCAGGGCCTCGACCTGGGCCGTCTCGGACTTGCCGGAGCCGGGCTCGATCTTGAGCGCCTTCTGCAGGCGGCCGAACTCGACCACGTTGGGCGTCAGCACGACCTCCTTCCAGCCGATGACGAGCTCCGGGTTGCTCTGGACGAGGCCCAGGGCGTCGGCGTCCATGACGACAGGCATCTTGCGCTCGCGGGCCGCGGCCAGCACCCGGGCCAGCGTCTGGTGCATGAGCGGGTCGCGGCCCAGGCCCGGCCCCACGACCAGGACGTGCAGCCGGCCCAGCATGTCGATGATGGCCTTGGAGATCTGCTCCGGGTCCGCGTCGGCCGAGGGCGGCGGCGCGTTGCCGGCCGTCGGCGCCGTCGGGTGCGCCGGCGACTGCCGCATTAGAGGGTGCACCATCAGGTTCGGCGAGTAGGTCTTGATGACTGCCGCGGCGCCGGGCGTGCAGATCACATGGGACTAGATATGCGTCAGACGTGTCCAGACAGCCTCATGGTGTTGCGCAGGGTCCGACGGCGAACCGAAGGCCCCGGGAACTCGTAGCCATACCATATCACATCCTAACCTCGCGCTAGCCATGGCCGAGAAGTAGGGAGCGCCCGTGTAGTCCTCACTGCCGCCGATGACGGCCACCCGTCCCAGTTGACCTGTGCATGCCCGTTAGCCGAGCTGTCCTTCCTGGCGGGGTAAGCTGGGTGAGGCTGTCACCTTTGTGAAACTTCTCCAACATCGGCGGCACCATCTGGCGCACCTTGCCGAGGATTTCTCGAGTAGCTGGCGACATCTCTATGGATTCGGAACTCATTGGATGATACGAGAGGGCCGAGGCCTTGAGGGCTGCTCTGGTCGTCACGGCTGAATATCGAGATAGGTACACGCAAGCGTAAGGCAGTCAGGTGTCTCAGAATCTCGAAAGAAAATTAGCGAAACTGAGCAATTGAGATTGGTGATGCGTTGATATTTGTCATTCAGCAGGCGTTTGATGTCTGTAAACTGGAGCATTTATTCCGACGTGACTGTCCACACACCAGTGGTTCCCATCAACATGACATCATGAGCTGCAAGCTCCATTGTCGAGCAGAGTGTCCTACACAACCACATCAACAGCAGTCGCAGAAGGTTGTACAGAAAAGGATCATCTCACGGTACAGCAAGAAGCAGAGAGGTGGCTTTCAAAATGATTTAACAGACAAAGGGAATCGAGTGCTCTTGAGTTTTTGGCTCTATTTTACAATGGCTGAACTGGAGACCTTTCCCCATTCCAACCCTTTCCTCACTTTCCAGCACCCGATGACATACACGCCTCGCCTCTAAGAGAAACACGTCCGACCAAAACGACTCAGGTATAGACAGATTTCCCCTCCGCTCGCTTCTTCTCTTTCTCTACTGCTCATTATCTAGTGGTTTCGCATTTATGAGAGGAAGCTCTTGGTGAAGCTCTGGACGACGTCACGGAGCTTGCCCTCAAGCTCCTTGCTGAGAGCACCCTCCTTGTCGATGGTGGCCAACAGGTCAGCCTCGTTGGTCTTGAGGTGAGCCAGGATGTCAGCCTCCCACTGGAGGATCTTGTTGACGGGGACGTTGTCCAGGTAACCGTTGACACCAGCGAAGATGAGGGGAACCATCTCGTTGACGGCCATGGGGGAGTACTGCTTCTGCTTCAGAAGCTCGGTCAACTGTAGAGACGAGACACATTAGCCATCTTCGTAGCTTGGTAAACGACATACGCAGCGGGGATTACTTACACGCTCACCACGGGACAGGGTCTGCTTGGTGGCGGCATCCAAATCGGAACCGAACTGGGCGAAGGCAGCGACCTCACGGTACTGGGCCAAGAAGAGCTTGAGCGAACCGGCGACTTGCTTCATGGCCTTGAGCTGGGCAGCGGAACCGACACGGGAGACGGACAGACCGACGTTGATGGCAGGTCGGATACCCTTGTAGAACAGCTCGGACTCCAAGAAGATCTGACCGTCGGTGATGGAAATGACGTTGGTGGGAATGTAGGCAGACACATCACCACCCTGGGTCTCGATGATGGGCAGGGCAGTCATGGAACCACCGCCGAGCTTGTTGTTCATCTTGGCGGCACGCTCCAGGAGACGGGAGTGCAGGTAGAAGACATCACCGGGGTAGGCCTCACGTCCAGGGGGACGACGGAGCAGCAGAGACATCTGACGGTAGGCGACGGCCTGCTTGGACAGATCGTCGTAGATGACCAGGGAGTGCTTGCCATTGTCACGGAACCACTCACCAATGGAGGCCCCTTTTTTCCAGTTAATAAAGCGTCCCAAGAGTGTCAAGTCAAGTGGAAGATGAAGTGGGAGTCCAACTACTAACCGGTGAAGGGGGCAATGTACTGCAGGGGAGCGGCCTCGGAGGCGGTGGCGGCAACGACGATGGAGTACTTCATGGCGTCGTTCTCCTCCAGGGTCTTGACGAGCTGGGCGACGGTGGATCGCTTCTGACCGACGGCGACGTAGACACAGTAGAGCTTCTTGGTCTCGTCGTTGGTGCTGTTCCATCGCTTCTGGTTGAGCATGGCGTCCAGGGCAACGGCAGTCTTTCCAGTCTGACGGTCACCAATGATCAACTCACGCTGACCACGGCCAATGGGAACCATGGCGTCGACGGACTTGAGACCGGTCTGGACGGGCTGGTTGACGGACTGACGGGGCAGGATACCAGGGGCCTTGAGCTGAGCACGGCGCTTCTCCTTGGTGTTGATGGGGCCCTTGCCATCAATGGGGTTACCCAGAGCGTCGACGACACGGCCCAACATCTCGGGGCCGACGGGGACATCGACCTGTCACGGGTGTGTCAGCGGCGAGCTCGAGAAGAGGCAGGCGTCCTTGTCATCAAGGGGGTGGTGGTGGCTTACAATCTCTCCGGTACGCTTGACGGTCTCACCCTCCTTGACCAGACGGTCAGAACCGAACAACACAACACCGACCTGGCCAGCTTCCAAGTTCATGCACATTCCCTTGACACCGGAGGCGAACCTGCAATGGGGGATTAGTTCGGGGTGTCCTCTAAGCCCGGGGGGATGCGATGCACATACTCGACCAGCTCCTCGGCCTGGACGTTGGCCATACCGTGCACACGGGCGATACCATCACTGTAGGGATCAAGTTAGCGGACTGAGACCAATTGAGGTAAAATAGCGCCGTGCATTGGGACCGTCGACAAGGTGCTCCTGGGCGCGATCGAAAAAGGGGGTTCGATGCGCGAAGGTGCACGCTTGTTGAGGCTGGAGTGCGTCGTTGATGTTGTTGTGATGCACCCCATGAAAAATCCCGACTCCGGGCTCCACCCATGCATTGGGACTGGCGTAGTGCGTAGCAGCAGCTGGACTGGACATACCCGACGGAGAGGACACGGCCAGTCTCGGCCAGGTTGGACTCCTCAGAGACGCCGCGGATTCTCTGCTCGAGGATGGACGAGACCTCGGTGGGCGAGGCCTTGTCGGCGTAGGATCGGGTCTGGAGGTTGAAGGCGGCGGGTGCGGCATTTCGAGCCTGCGAAAAAACAAAGCGCCAAGGTTAGCCGAAGCCCCGACAGAGGAGAAGAGGACAGCAGGCGGCGCGCCCACGACAGCTCCGACGACGCCCAAAACGGTCCCAAAATGCTCGCGGGAGCCCAATTGAGCTTGGGAGAGGGCCGTCGCGATGCATCTCGGTCGGGGGCGCGGCGCGGCGGATGGGATGGTGGATGGTGGATGGTGGATGGGTGACGGGACGGGAGGAGGTCGACTTACGGCAACCACTCTGCCCGACGCAGAGAGGGCGCTCACGGCGCGCGGAGCCTGGCGGAGGGCGTTGCGGAACATATTAGAGAGGTGTCTATGATCCTCTGGGAGAAGGGAGAATCAATTGCAAGGGGAGTTGCAATTGATGCGAGAGGAGATTGGGGGATGGGTAGGATGGTCTTGAGGGTTTGGAATTGGGACTTTTTCCAGGCGAAGTGCAAGTTTCTCACGAAGCACCAAGGGGAATGGGAAAAGGTGGACCCGAGGTGACCCGCTAAGCCCGAAATGTTCCTTCCGGCTCCTCTTCTAGTGAGATTGAGGGCCACTCGGCCACCGAGCACACTGCGCACACTGGCAGACAGCGAGGTGGCCCATGCGCCAGCGACCCCCGACATGGAACACACACTGTGTAGCACTAGACGCAGCAGCGGTCTCCCTCCAGGTTTCCCTTCAGGTTTCCCTTCAGTCCCCCCCCCCCAACCACCACCGACTCTCTGCTTTCATGTCGGGGTTCCTTTCTTGCTTGACATGGACGCCCAAGCAGAGCTACTACAGCTTTCATCGCATTGGAATTCACACCTGTGGCCCGTGCCAACTGGTCTTTGTCCGGCGAGGGTCAGATTGCAGGCAACAGCTTCCACCGAGTAGCGCTGGTCGAAGGAGTTCGCCAGCAGCTTGGCCTGGGCTGGACCTCGGTGCTCACAACCAACCAAGCATAGCAGCCGCCAGCACGACGTTCCTCTCTCCCTCCAGGCCCCCTTGTGGATTTTTCACTCGACCGTGTGAGACACGGTACCCACACACCGTGCTCGCCTGTCTCCGGTCCTTCCCAGCGGCAGCAAGCAACGACCAGCACAACTCATCTTTCGAGCTCAAAGCCAATTCCCCTTCGCGCTAGCCATTGAATCATGCGCCAGTCCCCTACAATATGAAGCTCGAGTACAAGCAGGCAAAGCCCAATTGCAATCGAGTCCATATTCCTCGCCCTCTTTGAATTCTTTCTTTTGCCTCGCCGTGTCCAACCCCCATTGACCGACGACCCTCTCTCTTCCTTGTATGCCGACGTCCACATTGACCCCATTCGGCTATGCTGAGCCGGAGCTGCTGGTGTGGAGCTGCGCGCAGCACCCAAACTCAATTGGCCAGCTCCCCAATAGACATCTCCAGCTTCTCTCCCGCTTTCCCTGTACTGTGCTCCAATGGATGCATCCCAACCTCAAGATGAGGTCGAGCTCTGTTTCAAACGCCGAAGAACCGACTCCGGCCATGGAGGCCACCTCCAAGCCTCCAGAGCTTCGAGTACCCGTCTGGAAAGACAGGATACCATGAGCAGCTCGGGCAAGCGCGCATGTTCACCCATTCTACTATCCGATGACCACGAGCCGGAAGTTCTCGTTACGGAAGAAGGCAAGGTGAGGTCGACTGAGCCTCGTATCATAATCCATCTTGGGGGCGAGAGGCAGCAGGTCCCCCAGTCCAAATTTCTCGCGCACATCTGGAAAGATGGCCTGAACTCCCCGTGCATGGTCTGCCAGCGCGGCTTCAACAAGGAAGACAATGATCCCCCCATCAGGACTTTTACCTTGGAGGAGTCCGAAGACCTCGTCGGAGACACAGCCGATGTCACGCGGATCCCGCTCGCTCCTCACCCAATCCGGGTAATGAATCGACACATGAACTGTATCAAGGCAAGGAGGCTCACCTACATCCCCGTATCCCACGTGTGGCATCAGCCCGTCTCTTCAGCGCAGATGGGGAAAGCCACTGGTGCAAGAGCAACTCAATTGGCGTACCAGGTGCCCATACAAACACTCATGGCCTTGACCAAGAAGTTCGGGCCCACTGAAGTTTGGCATGATTATATAAGTGTTCCACAATGGCAATATGAAATACAGCGACAGCTCTTACTGCAGATTCCGACAATCTTTGCGTTCCCTGCGCTCATGATCATGCACCTCGATGACAGTAACTCTTTTCACCTGAGACAGCTTGAGGATCCTGACAGCTATACAACCTTCGTTGAAGCTATATCGCATGTTACTCAGTCTCGTTGGTTTGACCGGATGTGGGTTGCTCTCGAGTACATCCAAAGCCAGGAAGTTAGCATTCTCTCCAAGTACTTTGATATATCCGATACCTCCGCTGCGGATCTCTCAGCGCTGGCTGCCTCGAATCTTGGAAAGTATGCCAAAAGACTCGGCCAGGACCGATTCAACCAGATTGCCAAGTCCAAGGGTTTCCAGTGGCAAAAGCGAGTGTCTTGGGATGACATGGAAGTGTGGAAACGCATAGACCCCAAGTATCGATCACTTGGGGCGGCTATCTTCATTATTGGTCAAAAGCAGTGTCGGGATCCCCATGACTACTTTTTCGCCCTGCGTGGGCTGCTCGACCTCGGGCAGAACCAGACGGAGATCAAGACCATCCTGTCAGACGACATTTTCCAGTCTTTCTTGGACCTGACCTGGGACGCGCTTACTGTTGGTGACTACTCACCACTTCTTTTCATCCCTCCCGACGGTGAACAAGCGGATCAACGTGTGCCATGGCTCCGGGGCCATTCATCAATGTCCGAAAGGCTTTGGGACCTCGGCACTTGCCATCAGTTAGCCAGGAGCCGTATCATCATTCAACAGGACAGCATTCGGCCGATGTTGGAGACGATTGGCATTGTAGTTGATTTCGAATACTATGATTTCGGGGGAAGCTCCGAGTCGGTCTTCCAGCGCGTGGCTTCCAGGATGCTACAGATGTATGGGCCGTCAGCACAGCTATTCTGTGATGGCATTGATCGTGTCTTCCCCCATATGGCGCGCAAAGGCTTACCCATTCCTCAAGGGGAGATCTCAGATGCAGAAGTCGGATCTCCTGTGTCATATGATCTCGATCGGATAGGCGAAATGCTTGAGCGTTACAGTTTCTCGTCCAAGGGTGAAAGCCATGGGGAACTTGCGATATTGTCGAAGAGACTGATCGCCTTGTTAGGACTTGCACTTCCCGACAAGACCTCCCATACATCTAGATTGCAATCAGCAAGGGACGATGCCGAGTTCTTTGGCAAGAAGAAAGAAGGGCTCGCATCCGTTAGATGTACGACCTGTGCCGGGTTGTTCTTGTATCGGGTCACAGCCTGGGAAGAGCTGGTGCCCCAAGAAGCGCGGCTCTATCGCATACCAGGTCTTTTATATGATGATACTCTGCCCGATGGAGTGGGAATTGCAGTCGCCAACGGCAAAATTGTTGGTCGAATGGCATATGCTACACCTGCTTGTGAATGCCACCCAGAAGAGGCAGTCGAGCTTGGACACCGCCCATGATCATTTGCCTATACTGTCAGGTTCCACTAGCGATTAAACGCAGGCATTTGTATTTCAAAGTCCAGCAGAAGTTTCCTGCACCTTGCCGAGTTTTGTTCCGGTGGCGTTGATAACTTGCAAATTGTGCGAGCCTGTACATGTACCGAAACCCCTCAATCTCCACATTACAATAGAGCAGTGTTACAAAGAAGAAAACGGATTCGCGAATTTCGGCGTGAATTCAAGTATAACTTTGAAGACCAGATTCAGCTGTATCTCTCTACTCCGCGCTCAAAGTGGGGGCGGTTTTCCCCATAGGGGCAGTAGGATATCGTTTGCTGACATTCTCAGCCTAGATTATCTTGAGGTAAGCACCAGGATCGTCATAACCAATGAAAGGCTAGAAAATTATCCCCAGCGTTTGTACAAGATGCAGTGTGTAGAGGAGGGCTTTTCAATAGGTCAGGTGCTACGACTGACTACCAATTTGGTCTCGCCAAGGCCCGCTCATTTGCGAAATCCGCACTCGCCATGAATCCTACGGGGGCTGGAATCTGACGTGGGTGAGGCAGAACTTTCCATCGCGACGCGCTCTCTTCCTTTTCCTTTCCGTACATGCTCCCGCTGTTGGTTCTCTGTCCATCAAAGCATTAATTCCTGGAAAATGGCCACCGCTACTGCGCTCAGCACCGGGGCATCCTCGTCGACGCACACCAGAAGCAATCTCGGCCCGCTTACAACCACCTTTGTAGCCCCGAGCTACTGCAACAACATCATCGCGGGCGATGCATTGTCGGGATACGGCTGGCAAGCCCAGTCGTGCCGCGGCACCGTAGTCAGAGACGACACTTCCTGTTGGCCGACTACAACGCCAGGTGCTCCCGCTTCCTCCACGATACTTGCCGGTTGGGGCTTCTACTCGCCGGGAATAGTTTGTCCCAGTAACTATGTTACGGCATGCTCCAAGTCTATCGGGCAAGACGGGGGGTTCGACTTTCAATTCGGCTTGATCTCTTCAGAAACCGCGATAGGCTGTTGTCCGACGTAGGTGCCCTCATCTCAGCCAGCCATGCTTTCAACTAACACCCAGATAGTGGCTATCAGTGTTCGTTTGACAGTGGTGGTCGTATTCAGACATGTATCAATAAGGTGTCTTCCACGTCCATTCTGACTGGGACGTGTCTGAGTGATAGTTCCGTGAACTACGCTTTCAAAACTCTGCCTTTCGTGGCGCTCTCTCCGACATCGAGTGGCGACCCAGCCTCGACGACAACAATTGCGAGTTATGTGATGTTTGCTCCCCTGTTCCAGCTCGTGCACAAACCGGAAGATCTGCCAGCCACGGCGACGGGGGTAACCTCGGCGGCACCCACCAGCTCAGGGAATGCCACTACGGACCCGAGCCCGAGCTCAAGCCCTGGCAGCGGTCTCTCGTCGGGCGCGGCAGCCGGAATAGGCGTGGGCGCGGCAGCAGCCGTTATCATCATATGCATTCTGGCTTACTTCCTGTGGCGGTCGAGGAAGAGGAGACAAACGCCAGAGCTCGACAGCACCGCGCCTGCGCCCATGGCACAATATGGGCAGCCGACGCAAGGCGGGTATGCACAGTCAGCTGGTCATACACCGGTATATTCAGAGTTGTCACCACAAGACGGCGTGAAGCCTCAGGAGCTGGGTAGCCATTACGTTCCGGTTGAGCTATCTGGTAATGATGTCCACTTCGGACATTCGCCAGCGACTGATTATCGGTCGCATTCAGAGATGGCTGCTTATCCGGGCCATCGACAATGAAACTCTGTACTCCCCTATATTCGTCATACAGCACAATGTGCCTCACTCATCAACTTGGCCTTTGGCCTTGGTGATGTTGACCACAGTGTCTCTCATGTCTCATGGTATCACAGGGGGCTCACTCGACCTTGGCGGTAGATGGCCTCATACTGAAGCGTAACACCCTCAGAATTCCCATCAACATTTTCTTCACCATTTCGTGGGATGCAATCCCTTCGGACTGCTGTTTCCCGCCGTTGTTCTGTTCCAACATCTTCTCTTCCTCTGAGGTCTCCGACTCCCTCACCGGAACTGCCCGCCAGCACGGCAATTCTATGTCCTGGCAACTCTGCCGGCACCGCAGCTTCTCGACGTATACGCTTCTGCGGCGCTTGACTGATCGTGATGTGTCTGCGGTTTCGAGTGTCCTTCTGCTGGCGCAACTAGACAGAGGGTACGGGCAGCGACAGCCTCGGAAGAACGAGCCCTCGGTCTCAGCATCCGCTACGGATGGCAGCTCAAGACACTTCCAAGTATCCTGCGTATGCCATCCCGAGGACTTGTGCGGCATGTCTTCGATGCTCGGTCGCGCGCGTCTGGCGTTGATGGAAGATCCCGCCTCGATTCCGCAGTGCGAGCACTCTGTTCTGTATCGATCACGCAATGCGACGGCATGAGTTGTCTGGGGTGCCACATCAATCTCGCCAGTTGATACAATACCATCTGGCGAGTATTGGGAAGATAGGGAAGAGACAGACGCCCACTTCTCCTTTTCCAAGGCTGTGTATCTTCTTTTCTCAGTGATTGATTCTCTTCTCGGTCGCTGCAGCGATGTCCGGATGCGGCGCCATCTCGAGGAAGGTGTATCGATAGAGGTAGTCGTTGTTGTTGTAATTGTTATCGCGCTGCGAAAGGAAGGGTATTGGGACTCATGGAAAAAGATCTGTTCTAGGGGTAGCGTGTTGGCTGCATCAAGTTCGTAGCCGTCTCTCCGCAGTTGTGACGGGGACGAAGGGCTACCACTATCATAGTCGCTATCGTAGTCGGAGTGACACAAGAGACCGGGGAGAAGCGGCGACATGATGGCTCGCAACAAGTCTTAATACGTCTTGCCTGGTCTCAAGAAACGCTGCAGGCCGCATGGTCCTGCAGGAATCAGCCATGGCCGAGGATTGCATTTTGATGCAGGAGAAACGGTGTAGGGTCGAGCTGTAATTAGAGTTGGTATGCGAAGGTTGCAGAGTGGTTTAGACATGGCTGGTATCTGGTTGATGGAGGCAAAATTCTGTAAATTGCTCTTACGCTTCTTATCTGCTCATATACTAGTATTCTCCTCGTGTTCGATCTCTCACAGCCAAAATTCTCGAGCATTGAGTGACTTGGAGTAGGGAAGCAGCCACCAGATAGCCACTCTCTCGTGGTCATCAAAGCCCGCTTTCCAGATAGGTAGATGAGCCTGGTTCTCAACGCCCAGCTCTAACAAGTCCTGTCTGATCTCTCAATGCCTGCCCTTAGTCCAAGTCCTGGTAGAAACGGTTGGCCTTGCTTGGAGTGTAATGCGGAGCAGATGAGCATAGACTCCACCAGTGCGGGAATCTTGCTCCGTCCGCTTTTCCCACAAAGGCCTGACGAGACCTTCGTGGGTTCCAGGAGCATGCACCGCGCTGCCAACAGAAGCACACAGCGTTTGCCATTTACGAAATTGGCTGCATACGACCAACATGCACAGAAAACGCGAGGGATGTCATCAGTCACGGATTCGCTCGTAACATTTCCCCTTTAGAGAGGATTACAAATTGATTGCACAAAGGGACATTTCATGGAACCGCCCAAGCAACGATCATCCCTTGGAAGTAGCTGATCATCATCGGGAATGGGTACTCCATGATGTGATCTATACCAAATATCCCTGGACTGTGTGATGGATGACAGGCTTTGGAACTCCTTACGTGCGGAGGACTTGTCCCCCCTGAATGTGAGATTGTACTATCCTCCAATGTACTCTTCGAGCTTCTGTTCCAGTCATTCTGGTCAGTTCTGGCTCACATGGGAGATCGCAAAAGAGGCGAGGGCGACAGTTCCTTGCAGGACAGTGGCCCCCAAGATGGACAGTTGTCGATGGTATCCTTTAAACTGAGCGGATCAGTATCCGTTTACCCTCAGAGCCCGCCCAGTGGATACAACCCCTACCGACGGGTCTCCCTTATCAGGGGACCCTCCTGGTATTTTTCCTGGTGTCGAACACTTTGCTCTACAAGGCTGTCTTGCCGTTGGAACGAGTGGCGAGAATATCGTTGGCTGCTTGGGTTCGGGGTGTTGCTAGTTGCCTGAGCTCGCAGTCCTGGAAGCCACCTGTTTTACCGCTGAAAGGGAAAGACTCGTACTGGATCACTTCGCCACTGTTTGCTTCATTACAAAGCCTGGCCACCCAGACTACAGCGCTCAGCATCGGATGATGCGTCGGCCTGTGTTCACAGCAAGGGTGGGGCTATGTACAACGAAGACGCGGGAATTGCGAAACTAGAACTGGAACTTATGGTGATACGTAGACAAAATCCTACCTGCAGTTGCGCTTGAAAAAGAATCTCCCAAAGTTGTGTCCTCAGCCGATGTATCAGCGCAGACGTGTCACCAGGAAGACATGCGATATGTCAAACTGTGAGGTATCGAATACTGAGAGCGACTGCCCATGGTGAAGAATGGATAAACCGGACTAGCAGGCCCATTGGCTATGATCATTTTAGGTCTACCATATCAAGGGAGCACTTAGTTATTGGCATGACCTGGCATAGCCTGGCCCTGCCTTAAGGTGTACAGGGATAAGAAGCTCGTCATCGTGCGTTATTCACAGCTAGCCCCGGAGAATTTTTCTTCTTACCTTCTGACCCCAGAGTTGCCATAGAGGCGAACAGATAATTCCCGGAGGTACGTTTGTAAAATGTACCTCTGCAGGGTTGGCGAACCGTACCAGTTCTAGCTGGTCCACTTACATGGAGCAGGGAGCCAAAAATGTTCAACCCTGCCGTTCCATGCATTAGCACATTCCCGATCTGCTGGGCCAGATTTTAATCGCGAGTGTGGATTATGGAAGATCGCAGCTGATACACCATGAATGTTTACTGTTGATGTCTTTTAATGGCCTTGTGGACACATATCCAGCTCCTCCGACTCGCAATCTAGGCTATCTGGCGGTCTACGTTAGTTCACGTATAATGTGAGTTGATAGAAGTGCTATCTATAAATGTCGTGGGACGTGGTTAGCCTTTGTGATTCATCTGTCCGGCATGACTATAATAACCATGCTTGCCTGCCGTCGTACGGAAGGATGCTCACCAGCAGGACTGACCCTAAGATGTTGGCTGGCGCAAACTGCCGCGCTGCCACAGAGTCTAGCCGCTAGGGAAGCTCTCTCATTTCCAACACATTAAATTGGTTGTTTACGATAGGTCAGTTACGAATAAGTCACATCATACATGCAACTGATACGGGAAGGTTGCACCGAGCGTGTTTCTGGGCTTCAAGGGGTGGCTGTGGCTTCTGCACTGCAGCCACGGCCGGTCCACTGGGTAACCACAGTGCCCAGACTTCGGCATAACTTGCATACGCGCGCACTGCACCCCATTGATAAATTGTAGGGTCTTGAGAATTATAGCCCCAATACCAACGAAACAAAAATGGACCAATGATTTCTGCGCCAGACCGGAGCTATAGTGAGTGAGTAAGTAGGTCGTAACACCCGGGGAATAAAAACAGAAAAAATTTACCCCCCAAAAAATCGGAAATCAAACTCATGATCGAATTCGAATAATCGATGCTATTGATGAGAGGGGGATTCGAACCCCCGCCTATTACTAGACTGCAATTATTCAACCCTTGGGGTCGCAAGTGGACACACTTGAGTGCAGCGCCTTAGACCGCTCGGCCATCTCACCTCACGGTTATTGAAGCGATTGTGGCTTATCAGTAACTCTATTAGCTGCAGGATTGTGCCAAGACCGCTGTGCAGGCCGCCGTTACATTGAGGTGCCCGTTACGTCAAGGTGTGGGGATGATAAAAGTCCGGTTATGGGGCTATACCCTTTGGGCTGCCAAGCAGCGCTTGAATTCTTCAGCAAATCGACATGGGTTCGCCGAGACTGACGGGGAAGTTTAATAAATTTTGGAAGGAACCTTTGGAAGTAACTCAACCCAGCGTTTGCATCCCAGTACGGTAATGGACCGACACCAATCTCAGTACATGATTGCTTCATAAGTCGTAGTGCCGATGTGCCGATTGCCCTCTAAGAGTGTTTTAGGTCAATTTGTAATCAGTCTAACTGCTTCATTTCTATGTTTTGAAGAGTTGCCAAACAGTGAACACAGCTTCCATTACCTGGATGGGTTGTTGCACTACCTTGTGGTGCAAGTAACTTTAGCGGGAATTCTAAGACTCCGTCGGCTTCACATTCCGTTATCAGAGGCTCCGTGCGACTAGTCACCAACACTTTCTCATTCATGACTGGCCGTCGTATCGCCCAAATCTTTTGAGCTACTCGCTGGTCCGGTTGAGTGGCTCCAATGAGCGATAGCAATACTGTCCGACGCTAGGGCGGATGACTCGCCTGGGGTGGCCGCGGTTGTCAAACCTCACAAATATGATGCCTTCCTTCAAATTCCTGTTTGTGTAAGTCGTTACCAAGGTCATTTCTCAAGTGCAGATTCATCCTCTTCCACGGATCAGTTGACCCTCAGATTTGGCGACACTGCGGCTTAGGCTACTGTGTTGATTCCGTCAATACCCGGCTGAACAGGTGCTTACTATGCGAAGCACGCAGCATCCAGCTTGGAAAGGAAAGTCGGTCGGTTAACCCTGGTCCACGTAGCTATAGTCCAAGGAGCTAACCATTGGCTCTCTACCTAATGGTGGTTGCTGAGTGGACTGCATTATTGTGGCCCCAGCACAAGCATGGTCTTTGCGGCGATCCGAGCTAGGGTTGCTCGAACGTGGATGCTGTGAGCATTTGACCGTCTGTTTCTAGCTGTTCATGATGCACTGTTGGTGACTTGCGTGGTGGCTGAGGGGGCATTGAGACGGATCTAGGATCAACAGTTTGAGACCCGACGAAGCAGTTTTCATCGTCATGTTTGCTGATTGACATCCACAACTGCAGCATGCTCTTCAAGATGGAGAGAGATACATTGCCTTTAAGTATTTTCCTGTCAAAGGTTGCATGGCCAAAGGGTGGGTAAGCTTAATTTGATTCCGTGCCCCCAACTTGCATCCATTGGGTTTCTTTAAGGGCATGCAGGGTGCACTCTAATCCCAGCTCACACGCAAGTACAGTACCAACAGCCCCCAGCTACCCTGGAGTTCCAAGCACCTAGAAGCACGTTCGAAGCTAGGGAATCATCGCAAAGCGTAGGTATCACTCTCTCAATCAAGATAGGTCAGAGCATGAAGAAATCACCGAGCACATCACAGGTCGCTTGTCACGCATCAAGATTGACAGGTAATATTCTTCCAGAGTCCAGACGCCAATCAGTGGCTGAACTGGTGTGATCTAGGAGCATGGAAGCGAGAGTTTTTTGCGTCTATGTTCTGATCATGAGTGACGGTGTCACCCAAGAACCCCAGGTACTTGGCCCATGATACATGTGTGGTGATCCATAGTAGGTCATCATGCCGCAGAATATGCATGGTTAGTGGTGGGTGGCCAGGTCCAGGGCCTGGGGCGGGGCATGAGTGATTCCTGGTGGTGTACTCCCAATTGCAGCGTTAGCCGCTGTTCCTTGCATTTCAGCATGCCCCTCCCGAATCGCTAATTCGATCCATGCATTCGGCAACCTCATTGGTTAAATCAAGCATTGCCACGGCAACAAATGTCAGTGTCAGAATTCCACATCACAGTCCAAGCCGACCCCTCCACGTCCACCTCCTGATTCTGAAATCCTCGCATAGATCTGATTGCACTCTTCGCTTTCAGAAGTTGATCCCCAGCTGTGACATATCGTCCGATTGGCGATGGAAGCGCCCAGGCTACCTTAGTTCATGGCTCCGGCTCCGATAGGGGCCATTTTCTTTGCTGCCCCCATCTATCCTCTTCTGCCCCTTTCCGTCCCCCCCTATGTATCTGGTACTCGTACGACTCACTTTGACCATGAGATGATTGATGTATAAGGTACTTTAATAAGGAGACGGTGAACTCGGATGATGGACTCATCCTCCTCAGACTCGTCACATAGGGTAATACACCGCTCTCGGGCAAGATTTTCATATGTTAAGGTCAAGATGTCTCCGGAACATCTATATAAAGGGGTTAAACATCCAGAAGTGACATCTTGAATCTCTTCTTTTCTTCATCATCCTTCTCGATCTCCTGATCCAAGTCTGAACTTGTTGAAACGTCGGAAGACTCTTGTGAAGTTCAGATTGATATACTGTTATCACACATCCAACAAACGGCAACATGCTCGTGAAGAACTACATCACCGCTTTGACGCTTGCGGCTGGCAGCCTGGCAGCTCCTTTGCCAGAGCCGAAATCATGCGGAACCGTAAGATTCTCAGTTCTTGCAAGAATGAAAATACAATGGCTAACATATAAACCAAAAGTCAACTGTTGATTCACGAGGGCTCGGCATTGTCTGCACGGGAGCTTCTGCTTCGAAACGGGTTCCTGAGCCAGCTCCTGAGCCAGCGCCTGAGCCAGAGCCATGCACAACGGTAAGTCCGTCATCACCAAGATTGACTGGACAGCGACTAATGCGGGTTGCAGTCAACCGTTGATTCTCGGGGTCTTGGGATCGTCTGCACGAAAACTGCTGCTTCGAAGCGGGTCACGGAGGTGATTATCCATCAGGCTGCTACCCGGGGCTGGGCAAGTTGCTAACGATCAGAATCAGGAGTCGCACAAGGAATCGCCAGCTCTCACCAAGAGGACAGGCATGGGCATCATCAGCTCGAATGACGACGCTTGAGGAAAGATCGAGCAGAACACTTCAACGACAGAACCATTTTCTAGTGTGATTTACAGGGGCCAACTTTGGCATATACTTGACTTGGGAATGGTCTCGCGACCGGCAAGTCATACCGGGGCGTTGCGGAAGAGTGGGGATTTTTAACGAACAGGGACTCATGAATCTTGTCCCTTGATTTTTCGTTCGCGGCGTTCAGGTAGCATTCTGGTAATTTCAATACACTCGCATTTTCCGAAGCCGGGCTCCCGATGATCGACGTGCTTCACTAGCCGCATGTCTTTTCGGTCTATGTTCCGAATGCAAGTTTATGAGATTTGGCAGTGCTTGCTTACCAGGCGTGCATACAGATTGCGATCGCACGATGCAGAAATGCCAGAAAGCGGGGGTTGCCCAAAGCGTCCCCCGCAGCAACAACGGCCCGAGGACGTATCGGGCCAGGCCAAGCAATTGGGGGCGTGCGGGCTTCGAAAAGTGCCAAGCGCAGATCATTTCCCTCACGTTGCGACAGCCCATTTTAATCGACCATACGACTCTCGGGAAATGGCGACTAACAAGGGGCACGGGCGGCTATATCACATGACCCTGTGGCCCCGGGCCAATCAGACGCGGACTTGTGTCCGAGTGGCAGGGAAGCGACCTCGAAATGGGGCTAGCGTCTCTAAATCGGGGCCGCGCTGGTGACTATACAAGGGTCCCATTGGCTTCCGTGAACACGGTCTACTTCAAACCGTGACAGGGTGGTAGGCATTGGACCCCAGCGACCAACGCAGCACACCAACTCGCGCGGCTGCGCCTTTACCTTCAGACTTGTCTGACCATGCGCGCCCTTCTTCCCCGATCTAGGTTCTTCAACGTACAACCGCCGCGAAATGGAGCAGCAACAGCAGCAGCAGCAGCAGCAGCCGCCGCCGCCGGCCCCGCCGCCTGCGCGCAGCATCACGATGGCGTCAAGAACGAAGACCCAGTGGGCCAAGCCTGAGGACTGGGAACGGTATCGCAATACCATCACGGCCCTGTTCATGTGCCACTCCCTCCCGGTGGTGATGCGCATTATGCGCGAGGAGCACCAGTTTCATGCGACGTAAGTGATCCTCCCCACGGCGATTATCGCCTCTAGTTGGACACTGTGATAACACGAGGATAGTCCGAAGATGTTTCAGTCCCAGATCTACCAGAAATGGGGTCTACGGAAAACCAAACCAGGAGAAGCAAAGAAGGAAGCAAAGGAAGCAAAGGCCCGCAAGAGGCTTCGCGAGGAGTCAGAAGAGGTCGAGAGTGTTGCATCCTCCTCTAGGTCTCGAGCTCCTGTCGTGGCAGAGGATCTCAGCGTATCTGGCAGGAGTGCTGAGTCCACATCTCCAACTGGACCTGCGCCATGGCAAGCTGCATCTGACGACGCCAATACCACGCTGGACCCTCTTGACCACCAGGTGCCCGCCTCATTGACGTCTCGGGGTATGCAGCCGCCAATTATTCAGGAGAGCTTCGACCCACAGGCACTGGTTCCGCAGGCTTGGACGAACTTTCTCAACCAAGGCTCTGGACCTCTTCCTCAACCCAACGACCACCAAACTGCATCGGCTCCCAGCGTGCCACAGTCTCTCAACGATGGCGAACAGTTCTTCCCCCAAGAAGGCACCGTCCATCCTAGCAGCGACTCAGGTTCGTGGATATCGACAGTAATGCTGCCTACCGCCCCCACCTCTGTGGCCAATTCGTATACGCAAGCACCGCAGTCTACCAAATCTGGCTCTTCAGAATCTTCATCGGGGAGCCGGCCTCGTGCTTCACCTTCTCGCCAAGGAGGCGCTTCATCCCCGCGTTTTAGAAACAAACAGTCCATGGCTCGAGTCAAAACGCCAATGGGTTCTATCCGACATCTAGCAGCGCCTAGAGATTTGTTGGTTCCCGAAAGAACCATGTTCTATGCACGCCATTTTATCTCAAATAGATTCTCCACAGGACTGTGGGCATTGTCTCAGTCATCGGACCCAACTTTTTTCGACAGCGAGTGTGGCAAGCTTGAACGTTGGTACAACGATTTCAACCCCGGTTTCGACTGTCTAAGAGCGCGAAAGGTCAAGAGAGCATTTCGTCTCCTGAAGCGGTGCTTTGCGAATACGAAGACGATCATCGAACCACAGGACCCGAGAGTGATTATCTACGTGTGCCAGCAAGCAACGCGATGTATGTGGTACGATGAACTAGGACGGAACCTCTCTCAGACGCTGCTCAAATATATCTCTGGTTTGTGCCAGGTGTTCTTTGGCATGCAACATCCCCTATTCATCATGCTGGATCAGCTTGCTCGGATGGACAGCTTCCAATTTGCACATACCTTGCGGCCATTCATGGATTGTTATTTCGACCACCTAGAGCCCTTCCTCGAGCAATCGAGCAATGCTTTCGGACATATAACCGAGATGAGAGGCTTGACAGTCAGCCTGATGGAAGCTACTGGCATGATGGGAATCTACGAAGCCAAACCCGTTCTTGACGGACTTGTGGAGAAGGCTGAACTTCATGGTCTCCCCAGTCTATACCTAAAGGTGGAAACGGCAGCACTACTGCATCGAAATCGTTTCTTCTCCGAGGCTTTGTCATTGCTAACGGAGGTCCGAGAGTCACCCGAGGCGCCACTATACCCGTACGAATTCCATTATGCGGGAATTGTGTGGATCCTCACCCTTCAGAAAATGAAGGACATTGACGGGGCTATTCGCGCGGAATACGAGCTGGTCAACTTTTTGTCGAGACCTCTGAGCCATTTCCCCGGGTATCCTGACCAATTGACCATGTCTTTGAGGCAGTTCATTGAAGCAAGGCAGAGCACCCTGCTCTTGATTCTGGGGAAGCTGGAGAAGGATTTGCGCGAATCTGGACGTATAGAGGAAGCAGAGAAGATCCAAGCTCGCTTGGATCGCGGTGTAACGCAAGAATACGGCGCTGAAGAACCGAACGGAGATCCGGAGGCAGAAGTAAACGCCATGGTATGAGTTTCGTGCGCAAGCCTGTTAATGAGTTACGAATTGCATGACGATACCCGGTTTGCTCTTTTCAACACTTACATACCACTAGTTCTAGCTGTTTAAGTCACTTCACCCAATTATGCATATCATACATGAATCGATCAATACCTGCGTACCCAATGCCTTGTAGACTTGTGTATAACAGGTGGAGCACCATGCCGCCATCCCCTGTCTGCGCGAATTGCTCATACTCAACCCAAAATCGGCATTCCGCCTCCGTTCGGCTTCCACTTACAAGGACATCTCGGCCCTGCTTTTGCCAAAGGGCCGGTCGGTTCTAATGTCGGCGATGTCACCCATGGCTCTGGGGTACGCGCCCCACCGTATCAATATTACACGCGCTCTTGCGTGAGGCTCGAAATTAGGAGTGGACTATGTGGTCCGATGGAGGCGGCCAAGTCCCTGGCGCCTATGCACACAATCCGTACCGGCATCATTGGTTCGCGATACCCCTGTTGATCCACTGTCAGGTCTGCATACAGCGGCCCGCGCTGTCTGCTTCAACATCTGCAAAGACACGTTTCACAGCCAATCAGAATCCAAGAGCACTTGGGTGAGGGTGGCGGCTTCGGTAGCATGGTGGTGTGCGCTACCCGACTTTTCAACGTAGCGAAGCGATGAGTCCGACTTGCACTCGGACAAGTAGGGTAGATCTTGTAATGTCCGACTTGCGTTGACGATAACAGAAGACCGGCAATAATAATCTCGCACCTAGGCAAAGCCCGTGGCTCTTTCGCGAGGCTGTAACTCAACCATTTTCGACATGAAACGCACGCATGGAAGGATGGCGCCCCCAAATCGACCGGTCACACTCCTGGAGGAGGAACACGTACAGCGGGATGGCCCATAATGTGTCATCTGAGTGGGTGTCAGCCTCCCGAACAGTCGTGGCACTTTCGGCTTCTTACATTCATGCTGTGTAACCATCTCTCTCTGCGCCATCCGTCGGCGTTAAATTGACTGCCCGTTTTGACAAGCGACGAGCAGAAGTACGGCATAAGTCTACCCCTTTCTTTCGTACCTATGATAAACTGGGAGTTTGCATTGACGCTGGCGTAGAGGTTGTCACAATCTGCAAGTGAAGTTTCAGCGCCAGGCTGAGGAATCGTAAGCTGGCGTGTTTCTAGAAACTCCAAGTAGCAAGACTTTGGCTGCAGCAACATGAAACGTGCTCTTCGGGGACATAATTAGTACCTCCCGATTGATCAGGACGTTACGCCTGGTATCAAAGAAACAGGATCTGCGAGATCTTTGGTTCTCATTATACGCTTGTACCTAGTTATATACCACCGTCTATAGTCTTTGCCATAGGTCAATGCGTCTGGGGAGGAATTGCTACTGAAAATGCAGTGTCTAATAGGTCTTGTTCCGCAAAAGCAGCCTCGTCCGTGTCTAACTCTGCAGGCGTCTAGAACTTTCTGTTTCTAGATATATCACGGATATATAGTGAAACACCTGATTGCTTCTCGAGACCTAACAAGTCCAAGACGACAAATTCAATGCCCATATCTGAAACCACGTAGCTTCGTTCCCGTCTCCCACATTGCGGTGTATACTCAGCTCTGGAGTAATTCGTCTAATTTCCGTTCCGTATCGTTGAATTAAGCGTCGGCATCTCGGGTTTCCTCGCAGTGACCTGGATGTACCTCCACAGCCCGTACCCACGGTACGACTGGACGCCCGCCACCGTGTTGATAAAGTGCCTCTCCAACTTCAAGAGACTCACGATCTTGAACGGCACGATGGCGAGCAGATAGAAGAACCTCGTCATGGGCCGTATATTATCCGACAGATCGCGGACTTGTACATCGACGAACCCAGCTTTCTCCAGCATCTCCTTGAGTACACCGCGTTTCGAAATGGCGTAGGTGGGCATCGCCGACCACTCATTGATCTGGTGCTGTGAGCGCTTGAGGTCCTCCGGTATGGAGTCCTCGTCATCGTCACCATCGTCGCTGTCCTTCAGGGTGTGGTCATACTCGTTCATAGCAATCCGAGCGCCTGGCTTTAGGACGCGGAAGAACCCAGCGAGGACTGCGTCCGGATCCGTCGCGTGCACGAACGTCTCCATGGTGTACACTCCGTCGAACGAGTTGCCCGCCAAGGACTCTAGGTGATGGTAATCCATGCGGTGTACCTCGATTGATCCGCCTCCCAGGTCCGACTTCGCCGCTATCTGGCGGGCACTTGCGACGTGCCTGTCGACAACATCAATGCCGGTGACTCTGAGGCCCTTTCTCGCCATGTACCGAGCAACATGCCCATTGCCGCACCCAGCGTCCAGGACCTTCGCACCGGGTGTCAGGTGTAAGGCGTCGAATAGCTTCTCTTCCATGCGCCGCAGACTCCGGCCGATGGGAAAGGGGTTGTAAGTGTCCTTCTCATAGTACCCAAAATGCCTCGTTCCTCCGAGGATAATGTTGTATCCCAACACCGACTCGGCCGAAGCATAGTAGGCCTGAAGGGCTGGGTTTGAATTGATCTTGGGCTCATCTGGAGTCATCGTAGGGACGAGGTCTGGTTCCAACTTGCCCGTTCCGAATGCTGCATCCGCATTTGAGGTTCGTGATCCGATACCTTGAGAGGGAGACCCCAGGTCCGCGACGAGTAATTACGGTGGAAGAAGATCATGGAGGAAAAAGCAGTGCGCCATGGGATCGGGTCCACGATCTCTCGAATTTGTTTGCTGTGTTGGTTCCCGATTCCCACTGGAATGCCGCTTCCCAAAGGCGGTTTGGGTGAACCTGCTCAATGCAGGGATGGGACAGCACCAAGCGACAGCTCCCGCGAGAGTGTCGCTACTGCAGGCGCCCGCGCGCCACTGCAGGCACGCATCAGCATCGGCCTTTAACAAGCACGAAGTGAGACACATGGAGTAGACTAAATTTTAAGCATCTGAGGATGACTCAACGCAGAGCGCATCCATATTCGCCCTCCTCTGACCTTCGATCTCGTGCTACCCCTAACCTCCAGATGTAGATAGCATTCCTACGGAACTCAAGAGGCTCCTGAAGTGACCATTGAGCACCGTGCTTATGAGCGAAACTTTATGGCACCTAAGATTCTAGTCCATTAACAGCAGTCAAAGGCCAGCCCGTCTCAACTCGTGATATGAGGGTCGCCGTCCCTGACAGTGACTGCGTAAACATAGGATAGGATATAGTCAGTCTAGAGAGAATATACCCCACAGCCCACATCAAGACACACCAGCGACTATATGATTGCGTCTAGGGAGCTCCTTGGCAGCGTTCAGTCGGTGGTGCGACCACTTTTGCCGAGTTCCCCTGATCCAGATCATGATGGTCAGATGGAGGATCCGCTTGCAAAACCAAATCATCCATACACATGACATGATCGAGCCCATATAGTCAGATCTGGAAGAAATACGTCTCAGTCAAAAGTTCTCAATGTTTATAGAGTCACGTATATAGCAGGACATGAAGCCAGGTTGATGCTCTGAAATTCAAATGCTCGGTATTGTAACATTGCCCATCAAATTGCCCTATATACAGTTTTGACCATCCTGCTTGCTGAGATAGCCCATGAGAGAAAAACTTCGAAATAGAAGTTAGCAAGAAAATAATGCGCCGTTTGCCAACATTGATGCGTCAATGCAAGATTTGCAAAGCACTTTTTGGGGGGTTCTTGCACGCCCAACCCTCAACACCACACCCCCGCGAACCATCGATCGTACTATATGAAGTCGTCCCTTTTTTTTTCGATGGAAACCAGAAAAGCCGCTTATGACAGATGCCGCCGAACCACTTTTTGATCAATAGGAAAAATAAGGCGTGGCGGAATTAACCGTGCAGACCAGACGTCCTCTCCCTCATCATCTCTCTCCGCTTCTTGTCCTTCTCCGAGTCGAAGACCAAGAACTCATGCAGACCACAGCCTGCGGGAACCATGGGCAGAACGGGAACCTTCTTGTCGGTGATGACCTCGAGGAGGGCCGGGCCGTCAGTGTCGATGAGCCACTGCAGAGCTTCGACGGTGTCCTCGGGCTTGATCAGACGGCGGTGCTGGACACCCATGGCGTCTGCCAGCTTCATGAAGTCGGGGTTCTGCTGGTGAGTGTGTGCATATCTGTCCTCGTAGAAGAGGTTCTGCCATTGCGTGACCATGCCTTGCTCTTCGTTGTTCAGGACAATGACCTTGACACCAATGTTGAACTGCGCAGCCGTGCTCAGCTCGGTCAAAGTCATGTTGAATGAGGCGTCACCGTCGATGTCGATGACAAGGGCGTCAGGGCGGCCAACCTTGGCACCGATGGCGGCGGGGAGACCGTAACCCATGGTGCCAAGACCACCAGAGGTCACCATGGTTCGGGGGTGTCGCCATCTGAAGTGCTGCGCGGTCCACATCTGGTGCTGGCCGACGCCGGTTGAGATGATGGTCTCGTGTTTGCGGTGGGCGGTCAAGTTGCTGAGCTCCTCGATCAAAGTTTGGGGCTTGATGAGGCCAGAGCGCTCGGCACGCTCGTATGCGCCCAGGGGCCACTTCTCCTTCCACTCGTTGATCTTGCTGAACCACTCGGCACGATCCGACATGCTCTTCTTCTCAATGTGCGGCAGGAGCTGGACCAGGTTCTCACCAACATCACCCTCAACAGCCTCGGTAGCCTGAACGACCTTGTTGATGTTCTTGGGCATGATCTCAAAGTGGACAATACCGCCGCGGCCTTCAGCAGCGGCAGCCTTGGCGGCGGGCGCAAACTTGCTGATGCTGAGGGTGACACGGTCATCGAAACGGCCGCCCAGGGCAATGATCAGATCGGCGTTCTGGATGGCCATGTTGGCGTATGCGGAACCGTGCATGCCCAGCATGTGCAGGGCCTTCTCGTCCAGCTCATCGAAGGCACCCAGACCGTGGAGGGTGGTAGTAACGGGAATCGAGCACTTCTCAGCCAGCTCCTTCAGGAGAGCGGGTCCGTTCTCGGTCTGAATGATACCCTGACCGGCATAGATGACCGGCTGCTTGGCCTTGTTGATCAGCTCCGCCACGCGGCGGATAGAGCCCGACAGCTGCTTTTGTGTCAACTGCATGGCGGCACGCGAGGCGGCACTGGGCAGAGCCGGGAGGGCTGACTCAGTAGGAATAGCCTTCCTCAGGACGGCGGCAGTGACATCCTTGGGAAGATCGACGAGGACGGGTCCGGGGCGGCCACTGGTGGCGATGTCGAAGGCCTCGTTGATCCTGCGCGGCAGCTCGGCGACGTTCTTGACCATGACGTTCCACTTGGTGCAAGCTCTCGAGATACCGATGACATCTGCTTCTTGGAAAGCGTCGCTGCCGATGGCGCTGGTGACGACCTGGCCGGTGAAGACAACCATGGGGGTTCCGTCGGAGAGGGCGTCCTGCATGGGGGTGATGACGTTGGTGGCTCCGGGGCCGGAGGTGACGAGAACGACACCAGGCTTGCCAGTGGCTCTCGCATAGCCCTCGGCCATGTGTCCAGCGCCCTGCTCGTGCTTCGGGAGGATGAAGTCGAAGTGTTTCGAGTTGTAGATGGCGTCGAAAACGGGAAGAATAGCACCACCGGGGTATCCAACTATAAGTCATGTCAGGATGGGAGGTGCCTCGAAAGGAGACCAGGGGAAGACTTACAGACGTGCTTGACGCCTCTCCTCAGCATCATCTCGTGGAAGATCTCACCACCCGTCTTGCCGATGAACCTGGAGATCGTGTTAGAACCCAATGCGCCTGCGAACGGTGGGTCTTGGGCAGCACGTACGACTCGTCCATCTCAGGGACGCGGGGGTTGACAAGGGGTTGCACATGGCTCTGGTCCTTGTCGTCGGTGTTGAAATGCGCAGCTGGCGTAGCTCTCGCGGGCCTGTTGACAGCAACAAGTTAGGGCACGATCACGAGGAAAAGCAGTCGAGCAGGTGGCTCGACATAGTGGGCGGATACGTACGCAGGGGCTGCGGCCGAGGTCTGATTCCTGACACCAGCGGGTGCCTTCTTTGCTGCCTTGACGGCGGGGGCTGCGGGCGACGAGGTCAAGAAGCGCTGCTGGCACCGCGAGGTCTGAGCCAGGGCCTTGACGGCGCGGCTGGCCTGTCGTGTTCGGAGCATGGCGGCGGCGGAAGAGGGGAGATTGGGAGACGGCAACGACGAAGGAGAGCAGCAGAGGTATCTCAATTAACAAGAACGGTACGAAGGAAAAAAAAAAATCGAGTCTACCGGGATGGCAATACTCGAGGGCGTCTTGTCTCCCAATGGGTCTCCTTTGGCCTTGCACAAGAGGAAGAAGACGACAAGGTGCGCGAGTGGGTGTGTGGTGGTGATGAGTCGGCCACGGCAGTCAGTCAGACGGATGACTGGTCGACTGGATGTGTAAGAGGATGCTCCCGCCGATCGGGTAGCCAAACCGGCCACTGACCGGAGGCAGAAAAAAATTGAGGCGCTGGCCAGAGACTGTGGGGTCGGCGCGCTGGAGCTAGGCCCCAGCTAGGGGCAGCTAGGGCGGTCCAGGCCAATGGCAGCCCCGGAAGGCCACAAAAGTGGCGATATCGGCCACGAGTTCTCCAGTGGGCTTCCACCGACGGCTTGACCCAAGCACCCAAAGCAGTCAGAACTGCCAGACTAACAGACTGACAGACTGACTGGAGGCGGCACCTGGACCTGCAAGACGGGCTCCTGGAGGCGTCCAGGGTCTCCAAGGTTTTTTTTTCCTCTGGCCTGGCTGCCATTTGCGCCCGCTGCCATTGGCCACCCCCGCCAAACTCCCACACCTCCAATCCATCCCGTCCCCCAAGCCACCGAATCCCGTTTTAGCGGTCTGGCCTGGCCTGGTAGTAACGAATGCACCCAGCGGCCAAATATCTAGCACCGCTTGACATTGGACGACACACCATCACGACTGCAGGAGTCAATGAATTGACTTTTGAGTGGCGGTAGCCAACTAGGCTGTATAGACTCTCTGCATATTGCCGTTTTGCACTCTCTCTACTGCCACCTGCATCATTGTGCAGCTGGGATCAAGCAGTTTGGCTGCCCGCATAGTCAGACAATCGTGCCACTCAAGTCTTCTGCATTCGCTTGTGATGCCGAGGATCGCCTGCGGACATCGTCCTAGCCAGCACAGGACTGAAACTTCAATATTGTGAGAAGGACCTGGTATGAAAAGAAGAGACATCTATAGCCTAGTGTCCTACATTCCCAATTGCATCTTAATTACATGCTTGAAGCCTCAATTGATCCCTTGGTGGGAAAGATCATCGGCTATCGTCCGATGGGAAGTCCCCTGCTATGCCCCGCTTGTTCACGCCGGGTTATATTCGTGACGCTAAACCGATTGTATAGACCCTTTCAAGTATAGAGCCTACACTCGCAGGGGCGTACGTAATCAATGCACCTATACTGACACAACGGCGCACTTCCAACACAATGCGTCTTTTGCCCATTGACTACATACCCCGGACCAAGAGCATGTTCCCGACGTATCAAAGAAATCTTACTGCACCCCATTGTGGCCACAACACTTGGCGCGGACAATGACCTCTCTTTATATAGCTGTCCAACATCACAGTACCGCTAGTCGGCGCGAAGCATGCACTCGAAAGCTCCACGGGAAACTCTGGTCAAGCCCAAGACTTGACGACTCTCTAATATCAAACCATTACTTGCAAAGGAGTGGTGTAACTCAAGTCACCATGAACCCATCGGCAGAGAGCCGTCCGCCCCTCCTCAGTTGCGGCATCGAGATGGAGTTCTTGGTACAGTACATGATTGAAGGTGGCCAGGACCATAGCTCCGAAGATCTCCCACCGGTCACCATGGTCCCCGGCTATATAAAAGACCGGGCCTCCACAATGGGTGAGTACATGGGCAACAATTTCATCGCCAACCACATCCGAGCCATGATCCGCCAAACGCTGCGGGATGCAGGGGTTGCCGTAGAGAAGGGTTTGAATCCACCGGTAGACGACAAGTACGCCGGGTTTGAGAACCTGCCCGTGAGGAGGGCTCTGCGCTTCAAGGACTGGGTCATCAAGTCCGACTCGACGGTCACGAAGCCCTCGGAGGGCGCGTACCACTACGCCGGCATGGAGCTGACGACGCCGAGCCTGGACGGCACCGACGCCAACCTCGCCATGGTGCAGTCCGTCATCAACCTGCTGAACGCGAACTACAGGATCACCGTCAACGCGTCGTGCGGGCTGCACGTCCACGTCGGCAACGGCGTGCGGGGCTTCGATCTGCGGAACATGCGGCGCATGACCGGCTTCTTCTATGCGGCCGACCGCACGCTGGCGATGCTGCACCCGCCCCTCCGCCGCTTCAGCCGCTGGGTGCTGAGCATACGGGACAGGAGCGAGCTCGCGTGCGGCATGACGGCCGCCCAGCGCGCAAAACCCCCGGACTACTGCGTTCCCCACTGCCACGACTTTATCGCCGTTGATGTTCGCCACGGGGAGCAGCCCGTGATATGGCGGCAGATGAACAACGTCAAGGCCGTCACCGAGGCGTTCGCCAAGACACGCAAGCCTGGACGCTACGAGCCGTTCCAGATGCTCCGAACAGAGCTGCCGGCCCCTTACAGATACAATGTCGCTAACGAATCGCAGGAAGCACGTGCTTTGGACGGGCATGGTGCGGACGTACACCGCAGGGCCGCAATGGCGGACACTATTTCCGACGAAGGTAAGTACAACTCCTCCCGGCCACGTAGTCTGCCTCGCATCGCCGTCCGAACTTTCACACCCGAGGACGATGAGAAGTTCCTCGAAGCCGAAACCAAGAAGCTAGGCTACGAGCCCGCACCGCTGGCCGACATGGCCGAGGTGGACCTGGGCACCTACCACGGGCTCGCCGAGATCTTCTCCGCGGTCAGCACGTGCGCGATCCAGCAGCTGCTCATCGCCAGCCTTCGGCCCAACTATAACATCGAGCCGTACGCGTGCGAGATGCTGGAGTTTGGCGAGGACCAGGCCCCGACCCTCGAGTTCCGCGAGGCCACGGGCTCCATGGACGCCCGCTGGGTCGTCGCCTGGGCCAAGATCTGCTGCGGCTTGGCGACCTGGGCCACCCACGCCAGCGCCAGCGAGTACCTGAGGGTGATCGCGCACTGCGACCGTGGTCAGAGGGGGGAGATTGAGTACGATGTTGTCGATCTGCTGGACGAGGTAGGTCTGATTGCGGAGAGCCAGGTGGCCGAGGAGAGACTGAGAGACAACGTGGAGTCCTGGGGACTTCGGTTTTTGAAAGAGTAAGTGTGCCAGAACTCTGTAAGTCTAACGTAGGTTATTTGTAGAGAATGGGAGAATTATCGTCTTTGTCATGCTCGTCTCCTTGTTCCCTCTACTCCTCTTTCCGAGATTATTTCCTTTTTAGGACATTTACTCTTGAAACATCGGCAATTAGTCTTCCAAGGCAACATGTCAGGTCTTGGCCAAAGGTTTGAAACGGACTTATCGTGGGTTATCTGACAGGCAGGATCGCTAGTGGAAACTATCGTGGTACATTGCTTAACGAACAAAGAAAGTGCGCACGTTCTCACACGAGAACAATGTCTCAGTTTCTGTGTTAGCAAAGGTTATGTATAGCTGTAATGTGTCGCCGCCGTGCCCAAAAGCATTATAAATAAATACCGACCACCATGTAAACCAGTCTGTCGTCTCCCCGTATTGCCCACTCAAGAACTGATTTAGTACCATCTCAAATGTATAATTCAATAATGTCGGGCGGTTTCAACAGTGGCAGTGAATATGACAGCTACAGCGACAGTGACAGTGGCGTCGGTGAAAGTCCCTGGTCCGGGCACTTCCGCGCCGTCTGGACCGAGTGGGCGCATGGCAGGGCATTTGAGAACGAGCAGGTGGTGGACGATCTGAAGCTGCATCTCGTCAAGCAGCGGAAGAAGCTGACCGAGCTCAAGCGCCGTGCTGCTGCCGGCACTGAGGGGGAGCAGTTCTGGGGCTTCGTCGATAACTGCGAGGAGAGAATCGAGCGACTCGAGAGGGAACTGTGGAAAAGGGAGAACAAGGTTATCCAGTGGCGGGCCATAGCCAATGGAGATGTTGGCGCCAGCATGCGGAGCAGTGTCAAGGAGTTCAGGAGGTGGGTGGAGGACGACGAGGGCAACAAGGTGAGGCAGAGGCTTACGAAACGGGCGCCCACGGTTGTAGCAGATTGATATTCGTTGAAACCGAATCTGAGAAGTCAGATGAGAGGGTAAGTCGCGAGGTCAATCACGTTAAACTCTATTTTCCGAGAGGATTATTCGCGTATCCCGCAGATCCAAAGACTCGCCTTCAACACGGGAGCGCCCACTGACATTGGAACCGATAGAGACAGAGTAACTCGGTGGTGATCTATACACCTGGAAAATGATCACAAAACTTGAGATCTCCATGCCGTATAATTGTGTGTTTCAAATGCGAGCGGTTGATCTCCTGTCTGGAGCGCTGGCATAGTCTTCATGTAGGATGCTCGATATGTGCTGTATTGCCGCTGACTTCCAAAGGTACATATTGATCGTTGCTGATATTCTCCCTCTCTCTCCCTCCGCCCTCTCTTTCCAACAGGTATGATAGAAACTTCAACATAGAGTGATCCACTGGAAATCATCGTCGCCTCTCAACATTTCCCCGTCCATGATGCCGTGGATATACGATTGTCCAACATATTCGTACTGCATTGAGCGACCTTTTTGAGCTATAAGCGGTCGCAGTACGAAGGGCATATTTCCTCCATAAAAAACAGCTACTACATCCCCGACGGTCACTTCTGGTCCTCCTAGACCTATGTAGCCCTTCTCCGTGACAAAGAGCATCCTACCGGAGAGGTAGTCTTCCTGGTTTGTGGAACCGCCCTTGCTCACCAGCCCGTTGTAGACTTCCTTGTCACCTGGGCGGCACCTACGAAAGTCCACAAACCCGTTAGGCTTCGGGACAAGAATACTGTCTGCCAAAACCAGCCGCCAAAACACATCATCGTATGTTCCGCCGCCAGGGTAGCATTGTTCGTGAAGCTGACCTATCCGGCCAACAGTGTCACGCCACTGAGAGGAAGCGCGAGTATAGTATCTTCTATCGTCGCAGAGCGCGCCAATCTCAGAGACACGGTCTACAATGACACCTTGCAAGTCTAGTAGTGAGTCCGAACCCGAAGGTCTGGTCCGCACGCGCGTGCCAAGGGCCGTGCTGTACCTGTAATAGTATTTGAGCCATGCGAGCTCTTGATCAATACGATCCTCATCCACCTCTGCGCACCAATCTGGTACCCAAGTCGGTAGCCCATTAGACCGCCGATACTCTGGAGTTCTTACCAGCGCGGCTAGGTTACCCTCCTTAGCAAGTAGTGTCCGAGTCATGGTCAAAAAAGTCTCTCGGGGAGAGAGAGAATAGTCCGCGCAGAGTGTACGCTGAAAGCCTAGCAGCGCAAAAATCTTGTCTCTTGGATCTGAGGCATGTCTGGCCCTGAACTGATTCAGTAAGAAGGGAAAGACCATCTCGGCATTATGATTTGCGTGATGCAGCCTCATAAGGCCGAGGGCGTGGGTCTTGTGCCAGAATATGTTGAGACCTTGCGTGTGTGAGCAACAGTCTTGCAAGGCATGACGATGTGAGTTTTTGGATGCTTCAAAGATTCCGTTCACCGTGATGCTCAATGTACCGTACACAAGAAAGGCGTTTGCTGGAAGCACAGCTTCTTGAACTGTCCAGATTCTTCGCCACCAATCTAAGTCCATTATTTTTCCAAGCGCCCGACATCCAGAATCGTGATCGTGACTATTTGGCTCGTCTTTTGGCCAGTAATGATTATTTGCCGCCATTGATTTCAACAAGTTGAACGCTTGTACGGCCTCCGTCCTACTAAGAGCTTTGGCCGCATGTGCTGGCTGTGCTGGATCTGGCTGCAACTGTTGATCCGCGGACTGTTTTCCAAATTCAAACACGTACCCAGGTTGCGTTTGAACCGGCACATCAGAGTATTCCCCAAGCCAGAGTATTGCTTCGGCACATCTAGAGTATATCTCTTTCATAAGATCAACCTGGTGTGACTTCTCTTCGTTATCCGCCTGATTGATGCAGAGCGCATCAACCCAGAGGTGTCTCTCGTAATCCCGACGCCTCAATCGTTTGAGGGCTAACATTAGATTTGTTGTCACTGTTGTTGGTTGCCCACTGACAAAGATCTCTTGTCGATCGTGTGGGTCCCCCCAGGCATAAGAGAGCGCCTCATAAGGTGGAGGGTTGTCGAGGTAGGCGGTATAGAGCGAACAATGTATAGACTCATCATGAAAACCTGGCAACAGTTTGAGAATACGAATCTGATGACCATGAAGGTCTAGTTTGACAAAATTGGAGCGAGGCTGGCTGGCTTGAGTCCCTTGCCTAGTTTCACGAAGCCTAAGTCTTCTGGCGAGTGACCTCAGGCGTTGGTAGATGCCTGCCGCCTTAGTCTTCTTCATTGTCTTCTCCATGATGTAGCAAGAATCATTGTGTTTCAAGAGGTGCGCTGCAGTCTGCGTCACGAACAGCCCGGATAGAAGGGACAAAATTGAGCGGCCGCACCTAGGCTCTATGCACGTCTGACTACATCGCTGAATGGCGGTCGAAGCCGCCACCAAGGCAAGCTGTGCCGTGGCGTACTCACGAATTGGTTAAAAACCACGAGGCAGAATGACCCGGCGCCATGGCGGTGCAGCACAGAAGCTCAGCACCTGCAGGTAGCAGTCTATGCCTCCTCTTGTTTACAGGCGACTGATTTCAGGGCGGTTTTCCCGGAGAATTCACGTACGTTAGATATGGGTTTCGAATGCTTACAAGCGGTTCGGACAAAGATGGATTGGCGGGGTGCGGGTACGCCGGACCAATTACTCAGCTTCGGATGCTTCCTCCAAAATCCCATGGGAAACAGCCGCGCGGCCAACTTGCAACCTACAAGTAGATGAAGCTGCGCGTACTTGTTCATCTTCATTTTTGAAACAGCAGATTCCATCGTTTCTTGTTCTGCTTGTCACGCAAAATACACAATAGCCTGGGCTGAACAACACCACATCCCACACGGCCCCACCAGGCCGACCTAAGCTCTGTGATAACCCAGGTTAATACAGATCGGCGACACAATGATGGCGCCCGCCAGAGGCGAGGCCAGAGACGCCTACCGCTGCCAGACCCAGATATGCCTGAGCCGCATCTGGCAGTCATTGACCGCAGAGGAAGACCCGGCCCAGCCGACCTATCCGCCCATCTCGAGCATCCCGCGGACTTCCCCAGAGCGCCTGGCCCAGGCATCACCCGACAACGATGCCGACGGCTCAGCCTCGACGAAGCTGTACCTGGCCTACGGCTCCAACCTGAGCGCGCAGACCTTCATCGGCGTCCGGGGCATCCGGCCCATCTCCTCGATTAATGTCTCGGCCCCGGCCTTCGACCTGACCTTCGACCTGGCCGGCCTGCCGTACCGGGAGCCCTGCTTCGCCAACACGGCGCCGCGCAAGAACGTGCCGAAGCTGCCGCTCCCCGGCGACCCGCCCACCAAGCCTCCCATCGACCTGCCGCCTTCATACTCAGACTACGATGGGAAGCCCCGGACCGCGGGAGAGAAAGAGGCGGGCCCCGAGGACCCGGCCGTGTCCTTCCCCGCGCTGCCGATCCGCCGCCCGACCTGGTCCAAGGGCCTGTACGGCGTGGTGTACGAGGTGACGGCGGCGGACTACGCCAAGATCGTGCAGACCGAGGGCGGCGGGGCGTCGTACCTGGACGTGCAGACGCTGTGCGTCGCGCTGCCGCCGGCGGTGCACGTGCCGGAGCAGCCGCCGATCCCGGAGCTGCGGCCGTTCCTGGCGCACACGCTGTACGCGCCGCGGCTGCCGGTGGAGGACGAGCCGCCCGCGGACCAGTGGTGGCGGCGCCTGGCGACCCCCGTGCGCCGGCCCGAGGCCGACTACGCCCAGCCCAGCCCGCGCTACCTGGGCCTGCTGCGCGAGGGCGCCGCCCAGCACCACCTGCCCTTCGAGTACCAGGCCTACCTGGAGCGGCTGGAGGCGTACACGATCACGACGCGGCGCCAGCTGCTCGGCCGCTGGGTGTTCATGCTCCTGTGGGCGCTGCCGCTGCTGCTGATCCTCGGGCTCGGCAAGGTGTTTGCGGATGGCGACGGCAAGGTGCCGTGGTGGCTGGCTCTGTACTCGGGCGCCGTGTTCAACTTGATGTGGATCAGTTATGATGGGGTCTTCAAGAAGCATTTCGGGGATGGCGAGAGAACTATGGAGGATGATGACGACGATGGGGATGCACGAGACACAAGGGGAAGGAGTTGGTGGCAGACAGGTAGTGCGAGTCTCGGCGAGAAGAATATGCTGCTTGGGGATTGGTGAAGGACAATACCAACGGTGCGGATATAGGCAACTATAGGCTTTGCTCAATCTTAACGCAGAAGGTTATTATGAAAATATGGATCTGTTTCGACGTCCTCGAGCATAGTATCACTCAAAAACAAGTCTCGGCTGTCGATTCTTTTAAACCAGTAGGATATCATTGCTACCAAAAGCACAAGGGAGAACTGTGTCTATCCCGATCTATCGTTCATGGTCATACCAATAATTGCTTAGAAACCGACCCCCAAACCACGTAACCTCAATGCTTGAGCAGTATCAAAACATAAGCCGACCTCAGTCATCCTGAATCAAGGACAGGAGGTCACTAGTAGGATACTTGCCCTCGATGATGTCCCTGACGGCGGTGAACAGGGGGTACTCCTTCTCCAAGCCGCGCTTCTTCAGGAAGCTGTAGACCTCCTGGGCGGTGGACGTGCCCTGCAGCTTCTGGCCGTTGAGCTCCTTAGCTTCGATCTCCGCGACGCTGACGCCCTGCTCGACGGCCATCTTGGCGCAGCGGAAGTTTCTGCCGCTGCTGCAGCTGGTGATCAGATCCGCCACGCCGGCGCTCTCGACCGTGAAGGTGTCGGGGTGCACCGTCTCGCTGAAGAACTCCTTGCCGAACTTGAGCATCTCGCAGAGGCCAACGCGAATGATCTCGGCCTTGGCGTTGTCTCCCAGCCCCTGGCCGATGACAAAGCCTGCTGCCAGTGCCACAATGTTCTTCAGAGCTCCGCCCAAAGATACGCCTGCCACATCAGAGACCATGCGAACCCGGAAGTACGGTCGCTGGAACAGGGTTTTGAATGTTTCGTGGTCGAGAGGGGGATACTCGGGAGGGACCGAGACAAGCTTCGTCTTGCTCGGTCGACCGCGCGCGTCCTTGTGCTGCAAGTCTGCCAGTGGCGTAAAGCCCAGGTTGACGCCTGAGCCGCGAGGCGAGTCGCGGCTAGGGGTTTGCGTTCGCGGCGTGGGGTTTCTCGAGCTGTCCATCGGGGGAGGATCGTAGGCAATGGTGGTGCCGCACCACTTCTCAGCGGCGATCTCGGATGCAATGTTGGCACCGCTGAGGGCGCCGCAGTAGATGCCCAGGCCGTCGCCGATCCATTCGGAGAAGAGGGCAACGCCCTCATCCGAGACCTCGACACCCTTGATGCATGATATCCCGCGCGCAAAGGGCAGGATGTGGCCCTGCAGCTGCTTGGAGACTCTGTGGATGAACTGATGCGGGAGGTTGAAGATGAGGATGGTGGAGTTGTTGACGGCGTCCACGAGGGAGGGGTTGGCGACGAGGTTGGTGGGCAGCTTGATGTTGGGCAGGTACTTGACGTTCTCGTGGTACTTGTTGATGACGGCCGTGAGCTTCTGCGGCGCGTCGCCTACGGAGGGGTCGTAGTGCGGCGAGTCCTTGGCGATGGTGACGTCCTCCTCGTACACCCACATCTGCACCTCCTCCTCGAACACGTCGGGGTTCTCCTTTGCATTCTCAGCCACGATCTTGGAGATGGTGGAGCCCCAGTTGCCGGAGCCGACGACGGTGACCTTGTGTCGCTTTTCGGAGACGAGGCCCGGGGGGACGAGTGCCGGTGCCATGCTGTAAGATGCTGCTACGAACCCGAACCGAATATGCTTGCAGGGGGGTTGCGGCCTGGGCGGAGGAGTACGGAGAAGACGAGAAGGTGAAGAAGTAACAACAACAGCAGAAGCAGAAGCAGAAGCAGGTCTCACGCGGGTGAAGGCTCGCATAAATGGTCTAGAGCGAATTGTCTTTGGAGGGCCAAAAGCAACAGAAGTCCGTTCCAGGAGCAAAGGGCGAAAAAGTCCGACTGTACTTTCCGTTGCACAGGTCGTGTATCTCTCTCAACGCTGACCGAGGGATCATTTGGTGGCACTGGCCGTCCAATCCATCCATCCATCCATCGCCCATCCCACCCTGCCATCCCATCCAAAATCCAAAACCCACCCCCATTCAACGTGCCGGTCTCCAGAGCCACAAGGCACTAACACATCCCACCATTTGTGTGGCTGTTGAGACGACGACAGCGCTGAATGACGCACCTAATGAGGGCAGAACCGCTTACCGCCTGCCGGATCTGCATCGCGTGGGATCCAATGACTTGGGTCGGGCAGGGGCTCGGTGGCGGCCAAGTCCGAGGTGCTGCCCGTCTGCCGAGGAATGGGGCCCTTAGCCACAGGCCATTGCCCATATGCTCGCCTGGTTCGTACCATCAGTGAGTGGGAATCGAGGATCGAGGCACATTGGCCGCTGCATGTGAAAGGGAGGAGACCCGTAATATTACTTGCGGCCAGGTATTGTATTTCAGACTGGGACATTTTACGGACTCTAGTCCTGCCCAAGATGGAATCGAATCACTCGAAACTTCGAGAGGCCATACCAGCAAGCGCCAGTGCTCGTTTTGAGCGCGTCGGGGATTGTATACAAGCCGTCCAGGCTAATCTAGTCGCAACCAGGAAGCAGACTAAACTTCTGGACGGTCGAACCCAGTGAGTTTTGCGAATGCAAACGAGTGCACGTATATCGTACTCGTCGACAACATGTCAAGCGCGTCGTAACCTAGATCCCGCAGGGAATGCGAATGGGATGCGAATGTTTGTAGGGAAGAACGTCCAAACGTCCGGAAGCATATATGCGTGGTACCGTAACATGGGACTGCGAAGGACTGTTCTCGGGTCTCGACTCTTTGACTGCAAACATTTTGCCCAGTCAATCCACACTGAACCGGACCAGCCCAATCAGCCAGCCCAGCGCGGATCGCACTTCGGACGAGATAGATTGCAAGAGCCTCATCGCTAACCTGTTAGCCCGCCTGCTGGATCAGGATTCGACCCAGGTCCTACCTAGTTCCTACCTAGTTCATGGGTAGGCACAATGCATAGGTACCAAGGTAAATGATATTCAGGAACACGCCGACATCTCGCACGCGGCTTTTGCTCCTGCTGCACGCCTGGCCCCAATCCCATCTCGAGCCCCCAGGCCCCCTGCCAGAAACACACCCCAGGCTCGCGGGCTAGGGCAGGCTAGGCTCGAGTGAGGCCTAGAGGCCTTAGCAACGCCCGACGCATGGGCATCCACGCATCGTGGGAATGTCCAGTGACGTCAATATAGCGGTCCACAGCCGGCCAACTCCAAGTGCCCCGCGTGGAGCTCCCACCCGCCGCGAGCCTCGACGGGGAAATCGAGCTCAGCAATTGGCTGGAGCCTGTTGAAACACGAATGCTACCACTTACCCACGGGGGGGCTTGCGGCGGCCTACAGAGGGGCAGGCGGTCGAGACTTTTGGGAAATTTTGCACCATGACTGCAGTCTGGACGGACCAGCCCACCCGGCCCTCGTTGCCATTGGCCTTGGTCGGCATGCCTGCTGCAATGTTGGATCCATCCGTGTGTGTGTGTATGTGTATGTGTATGTAACTACTAGCCACCGTGGAAGTCCACCGCCCCCGACTCGAGCCAGGGAGAGGGAGATATGAGACTTCGAGAGCCGGCCGGGGGGGTCAGGGCGGGCTTGACTGGGCTCGACATTAGCGGACCTCGACGACTCCATTCCCCTGCGATGCCTGTCACTTTCCTTAGCGGCGTAGTCCATCCATCCATACATGTGCAGCACATTGGCAGGCAGGAGAGAAAACCATCGTCGATGACAAGCAGCCGACTGCAGACTGCTTCCCTTAAATATAGATCCCGGGTGCTGCTCCCCTCGTACGACGCCTAGCGAGCTTACCTACTCTTATTGCCGCTGCCCTTCTCGGACAACCCTCCTTGCGTGCCCCCAACTGCTTCGCTCACTCGCTCACTCGCTCACTCTCCCACTCACTCACTCACTCACTCACCTTCTCTCTCTCGCGAACACCTGCTTCAGTTCGCGTGCTCCTTGTTAGTCCCTTCCCCCTTTGTCGTTGTGCATGGGCAGCAGCAGGCCGAACCACCACCAGGTACTTGAATTGCGCGCCCATGACTTGTTGATCCCAAATCGCCTTTTGGGTGCAAATCGAGAGTACTAAATCATGGCCCCCAGAACAATGACCTCGAACGAGGTCTACGTCCTTCCCCTGAAGGACAACGGAGCTCCGGATGTGACCGGCGAGTACATCTACCTGGCGACGAAGGCCCGCGGCCCCATCACCATCCGCTTCACCATCGAGGGCACCTCGTCGATATGTCGCCAGGGCAGTCTCTGGGTGAACATCCCTGACCACGGTGCCGAGTTCCAGAGGAATTCCTTCAGAGAATTCAGGTAAGACGGCGCGCCCCTGGATTGCCAATCGGCCTGCAGGCCTCGCCCGGTGCATGCACTTGACTGATTGCTGAGATAGACTCGTGCCCGACTTCAACCGAACCATCGAGATCTCCATCCCCGTCTACGACGCCGGCGCATTTGCCTACTATGTTACGTACGCGGAACTACCAGAACTCTCCGGCGAGCTCGACTCGAAACAGCTGGCGTCAACTGAGAAGAAGAAGTCGCAGCTCTACTACATCGATGTGGCGCCCAAATTGTCGCTCGACGGCAGGCCGCTGCCGCTGCCGGCACTGTCCATATTCTCTGTGATCAGCAAGTTCATGGGCAAGTATCCCACCGACTGGGAGCGGCATCTGCGAGGTATAAGCGACAGAGGCTACAACATGATCCACTTCACACCCCTCCAGGTTCGCGGGGCTTCGAATTCTCCCTACAGTCTGTACGATCAGTTAGGCTGGGATCCCGACTGTTTCCCGAAAGGAGAGCCGGACGTTCAGAAGATGGTCGAGAGTCTGGAGCAGAACCATGGGTTGCTGAGTCTTACCGACATCGTGCTCAACCATACCGCGGACAACAGCAAATGGCTTCAGGAGCATCCCGAGGCCGGATACAACCTGACCACCGCTCCCTGGCTGGAGTCGGCCTACGTGCTAGACACAAAGCTCCTCGAGTTTGGTGCTCAGCTGCAGGAGCTCGGATACCCCAACGAATTCAAATCGGTGGACGATCTTGTCAAAGTCATGGATGGCATCAAGAAGCATGTTGTTGCCGAGATCCGACTCTGGGAATACTATGCGCTGAACGTCGACCGGGATGTGGACGCAGCAATCGAATCCTGGTCAGCTGGCAAGACCTCTGTGCCTGAGGGGTCTGTGGGCGGTGACTTGGGCCATCTGAAGGATGCAAGCCAAAAAGACCTGGCTACATACCTTGTTGAAAACGCACTCCTTCATGATGATCGTCTAGGCGAACGCTTCAGAAGACGAGTCGACCCCGAAGTCTCGGGTGCGCTGATCGCTACGCTGTTTGGAAAGTATCGAGGAGAGGCCGACGAGGCGGCGATTCGCGCAAAACTCGTCGAGATTCTTGATACCGCCAACGTACGGTTCTACGACGAGTACGACAAAGAGATCGGCGAGATATTGCAACAACTCTTCAATCGCATCAAGTACGTTCGCATTGACGAACACGGGCCGAAACTGGGTACCGTGAACCAACAGAACCCCCTCATTGAGTCGTACTTTACTCGACTGCCCCAAAACGACACCACCTCAAAACACAAGAAAGAGGACTTGGTCCTTGTAAACAACGGATGGGTCTGGGCTGGAAATGCCTTGGTGGACAACGCCGGCCCACAGTCTCGGGTCTATCTTCGGCGAGAGGTGATCGTTTGGGGTGATTGTGTGAAGCTGCGATATGGCAGCGGACCACAAGACAGTCCTTGGTTGTGGGAGTACATGACCAAGTACGCAAGGATGTTGGCCAAGTACTTTGCCGGATTCCGCATTGACAACTGCCACTCCACTCCCATTCACGTGGCGGAGCATATCCTGGATGAGGCTCGCCGTGTCAGACCTAATTTGTACGTCGTGGCCGAACTCTTCACGGGCTCGGAAGACATGGACTACGTCTTTGTGAAGCGGCTTGGTATTAGTGCCCTTATTCGGGAAGCTATGCAAGCTTGGAGCACCGGCGAGATGAGTAGGCTTGTCCATCGACATGGTGGCCGCCCTATTGGAAGCTTTGAGGTCGATGACATCTCCAAGTCTGCTTCGCAAAATCCTGGGAGCCCTCCGATGAGCCCAGGTAGCAACGGTGAAACGACGCGGGAGATAGTACGACAGATCAAGCCGGTCCCGATCCAGGCTCTGTTCATGGACTGCACGCACGACAATGAGGTACCGGCCCAGAAGAGGGACGCTCGCGATACACTGCCAAATGCCGCCCTGGTATGCATGTGCTCCAGCGCCTCTGGAAGCGTGATGGGCTACGATGAGATATATCCCGAGCTCGTTGACCTTGTGAATGAGACCAGACTATACACATCGGAGTCATCAGAGAAATCAGTCAAAGTCGGTGGCGGAAAGGGAGGCATTGGTGGCGTCAAGAAACTACTCAACCAGATTCACACTCTGATGGGCAAGGATGGCTACGACGAAACTCACATTCACCACGAAGATCAATACATCACAGTCCACCGGGTTCATCCAGAATCGCGAAAAGGTTACTTCCTGATCGCCCACACCGCCTATCCTGGTTATGGCAACGGCAACGGTGCCTTCAATGCCGTCCATCTAACCGGTACTAAAGCTCGGCATCTAGGAAGCTGGATGCTCGAGGTTGATGCCAGTGCCGAGGCCAGGAAGGAGGTCACCGAGGACAAGAAATACCTCAGAGGGCTGCCCAGCCGTGTGGTAGATGTTCCAGGTATTCGCATGGAGGTGAAGGGCGATGAAACCGTAATCACGGTGCGCGACAAGTTCCCGCCCGGCTCGATCGCGCTTTTCGAGACCTGGATACCCGCTGCTGAACACTCTGCTGGCTTGGACAACTATGTCACCTCTGGGGCCAAGACTGCCATGGCTGAGTTGGACTTGGTCGACCTGAACTTTCTCCTGTATCGCTGCGAGGCTGAAGAACGTGATGGCAGCGACGGAAAGGACGGCACATACGACATCCCTAGCCATGGTAAAACGATTTATGCAGGTCTTCAGGGCTGGTGGAGCATATTGAAGGATGTGATCAAGGACAACAACCTTGCTCATCCTCTCTGCCAGAACCTGCGCGACGGTCAATGGGCTCTGGACTACACATTAGGCCGTTTGGAGCGGGCCGGTCAGCAAGGTCCGTTCAAAGCACTGGCGAAGCCTGCAGCGTGGCTTAAAGAGCGTTTCGACGCCATTCGAAGTATCCCAAGCTTCCTACTGCCAAGGTATTTTGCCTTGATCATCAGAACCGCTTACAAGGCTGCATGGGAGAGGGGCCTGGAGCTTATGAACGAAAACACTCGAAATGGTCAATGGTTCCTCCAGAGTCTTTCCATGGTCAGTATCCAGCAGACTGGACTCGTCAAGTCGGGCTCCCTCTGGCCCACCAAGTTGGTACCTTCGCTGGCTGCTGGTCTACCGCATTTCGCTGTTGAGTGGGCTCGTTGCTGGGGTCGTGACGTATTTATCTCGCTACGTGGTCTGTACCTTGGTACGGGCCGCTTCGAAGAGGCAGCAGAGCATATATTTGCCTTTGCGAGCGTTTTGAAGCACGGCATGATTCCAAATCTGTTGAGCAGTGGCAATCTCCCAAGATACAACAGTAGGGACTCTGTATGGTTCTTCCTGCAGTGTATCCAGGACTACACACGCCTGGCTCCAGATGGCGTTGATTTCCTAAAGCGCAAGGTCAAGCGTCGATTCTTGCCCTACGATGACACCTGGTTCCCTGCCGATGACCCCCGCGCCTACTCAACGGAGAGCATTATCCAGGACGTGATTCAGGAAGCTCTGCAACGCCATGCATCCGGTATGAAGTTCCGTGAAGCAAATGCCGGCCCAAGTATCGATTCGCAAATGCGCGACGAGGGATTCAACATCGAGATCAACGTGGACTGGTCCAATGGTATTATTTTCGGAGGTAACCAGTTCAACTGTGGTACCTGGATGGACAAGATGGGTGAAAGCGAACGCGCTGGTTCCAAGGGTATCCCAGGAACGCCCAGAGATGGTGCGGCTATCGAGATTACCGGTCTGCTATACAGCACTCTAAGGTGGCTCGCCAAACTGAACTCGGACGGTAAATACCCCTACAAGGGAGTTACTAAGTCCGACAAGACCGACATCACCTTCACCGAATGGGCCGATCTGCTCAAGTCGAGCTTCGAGCACAGCTACTACGTGCCGACCGACAAGTCCGAAGACAGCAAATATGCTGTCAACTCTCAGATTGTCAACCGCAGAGGAATCTACAAGGATCTTTTCCGCTCAGGGAAGGAGTACGAGGATTATCAGCTCCGCCCGAACTTTGCTATTGCCATGACTGTAGCGCCTGACCTCTTTGAGCCGTCACACGCCATGGGGGCTTTGGTTCTAGCCGATAAAGTCCTTCGTGGCCCGACAGGAATGGCAACACTAGACCCGGCCGACCTCAACTATCGTCCATACTACATCAACAGCGAGGACAGCGATGACTTTTCGACCTCGAAGGGTCGCAACTACCATCAAGGACCCGAGTGGTTGTGGCCCACTGGTTTCTTCCTCCGTGCTCTGCTCAAGTTCGACCTCAAGCGGCGTCAGGGCAACAAGGAGGGCCAGGTTGAGGCGTTCCAGCAGGTCACTAGGCGTTTGCAAGGTTGCAAGGAGATGATCCAGAGCAGCCCTTGGGCCGGTCTACAGGAGCTGACACAGAAGAACGGCGAGTACTGTGGTGACTCGAGCCCGACTCAGGCGTGGAGCGCAGGCTGCTTGATTGATCTCTACTTGGATGCTGCAGAGTTCCAGGCTGCGGAAGCATAGACTTGGGAAGAAAATGGGGATTACAGGACGATCTAGATATGACGTACTTTAAGGATTACAGAAAATTCAACTGGTAGATAGCAGGTTCGAGACAGAGGCCAGGCGCAGCGTCTCGGCATTAATTGGGTTGAGGAAGTGCAGGTTTGGCATGACAGTATACGACGTTATGATAACTTTAAATGCATGAATATATTCTTAGACATGAATCCCTGGGAGCAGATATAATATAAGGAATATAGAAACTGGCGAATATCTTGAACAACTTGGCTCGATGGGTACGATGAAAGGAGCTGGGATTGCTTATAGTTCAGGCCACCCCCTTCCGCTGGCCAAGATAAAGAGACCCACCGATCACATATTAGGGCCTCATAGAGCCCATTCTCGTTCTGACTCTATAACTTAAAGGGTCATTCTTTGGTGTCAAACTCATCAATCACGCTGACAGGCTTCACAAACTTGCCCAAGGGTTTGTACGTCAGATGGTCCATGGCGAATCCCTTTGGGCCACCGATCTCAATGCCCCTTTCCGTGGTCCACCGCTCAGATGCCGTGATGCCCAACACAATTACCAAAAGCCCGTACCGGTATTCAGGTGTACCAATCGCCTCGCCGTTGTGGGCGTCGATCACGGTAATGAGATCAGGCACGACGCCGAGGACTTCTCCCTCCTTATCCGCGATTTCGCCATCCACTTTGGCTCGTGAGAACTTGATGGCTGCAATGTTCTCGTTCTTGAAAGGGATCTTGATCAACCCTTCGAACTGCTCTCCCGAGGATGGCCGCAACTCGGATCCGTTTTGGTCATCAACGATGTCCGCGCCCTCGATGATGCACTCGCCGTAGACGTGGCCCATCCGCAGCGTCCGCTCCACGCCAATGATCTTGCCCTTGAACAGCACCTTGCCGGCCTCGGGGCCGCCGCACTCATCTAGGATGGTCTCGGCGACCGTGTCGACGCGGTTGAACTTCCTCGCCTTGGCAACCGCCCGCCCAATGCGCCACGACTGCGATATCGTGTGCTCGACCACCCACCGCTTGCACTCGGCGCCCGACACGGGCGCCTCGGCGACGGCGACGGCCGAGCCCATCTGGCTCAGCGCCGCGCGCATGATGCGCTCGACGTGCATGTCGCTCCGGGCCCGCGGCATGACGACCGTGTTGCCGTTGCCGTCGGTCATGGCGATGGGCGCCCAGACGGGGCGGCGCTCGTCGAAGACGACGGGCGTCGTCTGCCACTTGGTCGGGTACGCGCGGCCCATCCAGTCGCCGTCGACGGCCGGCAGGTCCATGGCGTCGCTGGCCCCCAGCAGCATGGCCTGCAGCCCGTTGCCGCCGCCGATCTCGACGCTGATCATGTGCGTCGGCCGCCGCTCCGGCGCGCACACCGCGTACAGCTCCCGCTGCGCCTCCAGCATCGCGTCGCCCGCCAGCTTCTCGATCCCCACCGTCGGCGACCCGGCGCCCCCGCCGCACCCGACCTGTGCCGCGTCCGGGAGGTCGTCCGGGCTGACCACGCGGACTGTCGCGCCGGACCGGAGCTGCTGCCGCAGCTGGATCATCCACGGGTATGGCGACCCGCCGCCGCCCGTCCCTAGGATGTAGCACCCTGTCGAGATCCACTCGAGGTCGGTTTCGTTGACGTACCAGACGCGGCCCTTGACTGTTGGGCGGTAAGTGAGTATGTCTATGTCGTCTTTTGGTTCCTGCTTGGGTTTGCTAGCGGGTTCCCTTGCTGCCTTTTCGTATTCTTCCATCTGCACCTCGCCGTCGGCTGGAGATTCAGGGGGAACGGTAACAATGTCCGTCCTTGCGTAGTCACACTCGCCTGCCGCACGAACAATGAAACGGGTCTTATTTGCGATGTACTGTTTTGAAGGCATGTCAGTTCGTTCTTTGGCTGCGCCCCCAATCCTCGTTTGGGTTCACGTACTTGTAGCGGTAAGTTCTCCATCTCAACGATCTTCACGGTCTCCCTCGAAGCTCCTGCCGCGACTGTCTTTTCTATAGCATCTTTACATATATCGTCTAAGAGTTGCTGTGTCGTCTTAGATTCCGTCGACTTGACTGTATCAACAACTGCGCTGACTCGAGCAATGGCTGCTCCTATCGCATTGGCCACCTCGGCGAATTGGGGTTTAAGCACTTTGCTCGCCCCTTTCAGTTGTTCTGGAGCAATGATCGCGCCACCGCCCACGAGAATGACGGGCAAATCCTCCGGCGAGGTCTTCATTGTGTCGATAATTTTCTCCAACTTTTTTCTAACAACTGACTTGAAGTCTGCGACCCCTTGTTCGCTCAAAGTACCCTTGACTAATCCTGCGTCACCAATTGCAACAATGGGATCTGCGAGGACGGTGCAGTCAGTCGCAGTCAGGACTGTACCGCCAAATACCAAGGCTTCTTCAGTCAGCTTATAGCCCACGCTGTCGGGTCCTACGGTCATGTTTTCTCCTTCTCTCACAATAGATCCGCCGCCCAGACCGATGCTTTTTATGTCTGGGCACGAAAAATTCAAGCGAACTCCTGCAAAGTCGCTGTATGCTGCTTGCTGTCTAGGGAACCCATTCGCAAGGAGAAGTCCAACGTCAGTCGTTGTGCCACCGATATCGACGACCATCATCGCCTCATCGAGCTGATTTCCCACGAGAAAAGCGGCGCCTCTCATGCTATTCGTCGGCCCGCTGGAGAATGTCCGAATGGGCAACTTGGCAGCCATCTCGCCAGAGAGAATGGTACCATCATTCTGAGTGATGAAAACGGGACATGTGAGGCCCAGCGTTTTGATAGGTTCTTGGAAAGACCGGATTGTCTTTCTGGCGAAGGGCAGGATAGACGCATTGAGTATCGCGGCATTCTCCCTTTCTAGAAATCCCAGATTGGCGACGTCCTTGGATAGAACGACGTCACACCCCGGTATTTCAGCACGGATGATGTCCGCTGCCCTCTCCTCCTGGCGCTCAATCGTATCGATGGGACTGAATATCCCAATAACCACCACACTCCTGATTCCCAGCTCCTTGATCCTTGCGCATTGTTCTTTGATTTCCTGCGCGTCTATATCGGAGATGAGATATCCATCGACCTCAAGACCACCCTTGACTCGAGCGTAGTAGCCGAGAATCAGCTCTCGCATATCTTCCGGCCAGTCGATGCATGGTGTGGCATGCTTCGCGAACGGGCCACAAAGCCGTATGACAGCGACCTTGCTCAAACGACGGGCATCTCTCTCAACAACGGCATTAACGAAGTGAGTTGTGCCTATCGTGACGCTGGCGACCTCATCTGGGCTGATATGAGCTGCCTTGAACATGGTCGTGATGGCATCGTTTATGCCAAGACTGGGATTGGTCGTTGTGGGCGCCTTGTGCGAGGCGAGGATTCCCTTGTCGGGCTCTGGGGCTCTCGACGGATCAAGCACAACGCCGTCGGTGTTTGTGCCGCCTACATCGACGCCTATGCGAAGTCTCCTGTCGGTGGAACCCATGATTACTACTAGAAGCCCAGATATCCTGTCAATACTTCCTATAAGTCTACGATGGTTAATGGAGCAATGAGTGAACAACGATTGGTTATATGGAGATCGAAAAGAATGGCAAGGGCTCCATCACGCCTCGAAGCAGGTCACCACTACTGGCAAAGGACCCGTTATCCCCACGCATGATGCAAGTCAAGATAAGGTGGGGTCTCTTACCGCCGAGTCCGACGCCGGGTACACGGAGATGGACGCCGGATCAGATAAGATAAACCTGAAGGTATCGGACCACCGTCATATAGGGTGTGACTGTGTTGAAGCGACGTTACACTGAGAATACAGCAGCTGTAGTACTCGTGGCTTGTAGTTGGTTGCGCGGGGCGCTGCTGGCAATTGCGCAGTTGCATGCTGCAGCTAGCCAACCTCCTGGAGAGCTTTACACATTGCCGATCAGCACAACCACCCAATCCCATAAGAGTACCACAACCTGGGCGGTATCTTATCAGTAGTACTTGGCATGCACTGTACCGCATCGTGCTATCAAACAACTGAGCAGGCACAATGGCATTCATATATCAAGCTGGCCCCCTGATTCTGACAAGATGGAAATAGTCATCTTTGGGACTCCCTGCCGTCAATATGACTAGTAACATACGACGTCGAGTGGTAGGTCTCAAGGAGAAGATCCGTCTACACGGAGATGAGACGCAGCATGAGCAGACTGACCACTGGTCCAACAGGGACTTGATCCCTCTCCCTCCGCACCGGAGAACGTGGGGTAAGCCCGTGGTGTCTTAGGCCCGAGGACATTCAGAAGCTCGATTTGCAGGAGAGAACTGACATGGCCACACCCGCCAGGATGGTTTCACTTCTACGGGTTCTGGACGCTGTCGTCGCTCAACATCACGAATTGGCAGACGCCAAACTCGTTCCTTAGTAAGCAGGCTTGACACAAGCATAGCTCATGGCACACCGCAGGCTACTAACGGACGCGAGCAGCCCAGGGGCTTTCCGTCGGCCAGTCGATGGCGATTATCATCATTGGTAGGCTGTTGATTGTTGGGTTCTCGACACTGATTGCCTGGTGCGGTCTGCAGTGGCATATCGGCTTCACGGTGCAGAATCGGTATACCTGGGGCATGCGCGGCAGCTACATTCCGCTACTTCAGAGAATCTTATTGAACTTTATCTGGAACGCTGTCCAATGTTGGAACGGCGGTCGCTTGGTCGCCGTCTGTCTGACTGCTATCTGGCCGTCCTATGCGAAGATGAACAACTTTCTTCCAGACAGCATGCCAACGAACGGGAGCGAGTTCGTGGGGTTCATCGTGTTCTGGTTTGTCTCGACGCCGTTCCTGTGGATTAGACCAGAGAAGTTCAAGATGCCGTTTCTCGTCACTTCAAGTATGCCCTCATCCCAACCATAGTGTAGCGGAGATCATGTGGTTACAAGATGCTGACTTTGTCTAGTATACTGCGGCTGTGGCATGCTAGCCATGATGATATGGGCCTTGTCCACTGCTAAAGGTGTTGGCCCTCTTTTGTACTCGGGAGCATCAGTGCCAGCGACATCCCGTTGGAATGACAGCTGGTTAATGATGGCAAGTATTAATCAAATGATTGGAGGTATTGCTGCAGGGATCACCAACGGTTCAGACTTCTCAAGATATGCCCGAGGCTGGAAAGACTATGTGATTGGGTCGATAACTTCAGGCTGGATTACTGGTGTGTTGGTGTGCTTCGTCGGTCTCGTAACGACGAGTGCTTCTCAGAAGATCTACGGCGAGGTGATATGGAATCCCCCTGATCTCCTGTTGAGAATGATGGAAAATGGAGAGGGGACTTCGGCTGCTCGCGCTGGAGTCTTCTTTCTCGCTTTTGGATTCGCTCTGACGAACGTGTTCGAGAACATCTGCGGCAACGCTGTGGCTGGAGGAATAGACCTCGCTGGGCTCTGGCCTCATTACATCAACATCCGACGAGGCGCCATCATCACTTTCATCGCAGCTTGGGTCGTTCAGCCGTGGCAACTAGTCAACCGAGCGGTAACCTTTATCCTAGTGCTCAGTTCCTTTTCGGTCTTCCTGGCGCCTATCATCGGCATGATGGCAACGGATTTCTATGTGCTCCGCCGGAGAAGGATCCAGCTCTCCCATCTATATCGCATCCACAACACGTCCTATTGGTACTGTCGTGGGGTCAACTGGAGGGCAATACCTGCGTGGCTCTGCGGCTGGGCGCCGACGATTGGTGGTCTTGTTGTAAGTGTTCGCGGAGATATTGATCCGTCCAGGGCTCTGCAAGAGCTGTACTTTATGGCCTTCTTCATTGGTAGGTACAGCTACAACACCAATTGCATGAACGAATGTCAAGCCCAGCTGACCTTTGACATAGGTTTCTCCATTAGCGCTGTGATCTTCTATGTGCTAAACTTGCTTTTCCCACCTGGTGGCCTCGGCGACTACGAGACTACGGACGTATATGGCACATTCACGGCTAGAGAAGCCGAGAAGCTTGGTGTGATACCATCTAGTGACAGTCTGGAAAATCACGACAGCCACTATGCAACCCAGGAAGTGGTTCAGGAGAAAACATAAGCCAAACCTGGGTGTAAGCGGTGAGCTCGTGGACTAAGCTACCAGTTGCGATGCACCGGGAAGATACTTGATAGACTGTGTTAATACATACATTGGAATGTATCTTCAGGCATGTGAATAACGACATACTATCCGTGTACCAAAGCAAGTGCTGCGTTCAACTACGGTGTTTCGTTATAAACATGTCTCTCTTCAGAACATTGATTAGATTTAGAATGATGAGACAGCCTCAACGTCTGGCTTCAAAGTTTCTCCAGCACTGCCTCAGACACTACTCAGAAAATCCACCTCAAATGTAAGCATGGATCTTCGGATTCCTCTTATACCAGATCCTAAGAAGCCCTATTCGCCGGACCGATGGTTAGACATTTGACAATCGCACACCGCTGACAACAGCGCCTTGTCTTAGACCGAGGAGGCCCTTTGGTTGAGGAGGTGAAGTCGATTTGCTGACTCTGCGAAACCGGTGAGAGTTGGATATACACGATCGTGACCGACTCCTCCTTCAAGTTGTCCCATCCGACGCACGTGGCAGCCCAATGGTCACCGCCTATTTCTGCACTTGCGCTGACACGGTCTGAGACGGGGCTTGGAAAGCTACACTGAGAGTCACTTGGCATGGCTAGAGTCGGCATCCAATATGGTCTGATACTCGGAAAGTATCGTACGGTCTGGCTGCTCTTGTACCTCCTGCCCCGGGACAATTCCCGGCGGCCACGTGGGTTGGCAACGGTCTGGGCCGCAAGGAGGCGGCCATTTACCCTTCAGCTCAAGGTGGAAGCGAAGTACTCGATGACCTTGTGGCACCTGGGCTCCTATCTGGACCCCCAACAGGAGGCGGAAGTCTGTCTGATGCTGGCTGACTGGGCTGGTCGCCGAGGTTTCTGCTGTCAGCCACAGAACGGGGGTGCTTTTCTTCACGAAACCCGGCAAATAGTCCAATAGGTGGCGCATTTTAGGACAGGCGAGGAACGTGGGCGCCATTCCCGACCGTTCAGGTTGATCCGACAGGACAGAAAAGGAAATGGGTTGTCTCGGATCAACGATGGCCGCGTCTAGCTGGCGGCTGTTGTTCCTACTACGGAAACTGGTCGCACGAGGTGGTCTTGGATATGCCACCCAAGAACAGAAGTCAATTCCTTGCAAGAACTTGGTATCGTGATTGCTTTTGTGGGGGTTCAGTTGCGCTGACCTTTGGCTCAGAGGCTGCGATGATATAGGTGGACGACCGTGCATCGTGATGTCTGATACGCCTAAACCTAAGATTACCGACAGTATGGCTCCGGATCCTGTTGTATCCTGTTGTGGCTGCATAATGTTCAAGCCCAGTATAGCATGCTACAGCCTCGGCTTGCCGCTTGTCATACATGTATGCAGAAATCAGAAGTTATCCTAGTAAGGAAAACCGCGGGCGTCTTTCAAGTGCTAGATCCACGGGAATATTAAGAGAATCGAACGCCTGGAACGTTGCATTGTAAAGACCACAGGGCTGATATAGAGGACTCAGACGCCTGATTTTTGGTGATACTCCATCTTGCCAGTTGCTCAAATACCTGAACAGTGAAAACGTCGAGCAAGTACCTATCTTGCGGAGTCACACAATCATCCCTCATTCAGGAAGGGTGGCTTGTTCCTACCCTCAAATGGGAGTATGGGGGAGATCAGCTATAGGTGACTGTCACGCTTAGTGCCTGCAGCCACCCGTCTTGGCATGTCAGAAACGATGGTCCCCCCCGGCTTCCATTCTCCGAAGTGATCCAGTGAAAGTACCTTGCTTCTACATCCCTAGTCTACAGGCAAGTGAAGTATCTCGGGTACCTTGAAATCGGCGTCTATTGGTGCCTTTGGCGGGTTTGGCGCTCTGTCAATGTTTGGAGGTCTTGTAAGTTCAAGATGGTGACCGAAAGGCAATGCAATGAGGCTATCTAACCACAAGATACATTCGGCTTCCCCGTAAACTTTCTTTCTACCAGTTGCGGTACGCGCAACGAACATCTTCAAACCACCCTTTAGACTGGACGCGAAGAGCAGCTGGTCTCGAGGAGTCCTGCAAGAATAAGCAGTCTTCTTGGACATCTCTGCTTCAAACCGTTGTTCCATCACGGCCCAAGTACCTGTTCGGCTTGAAGAAGTTCGCTAGAGCATGTGAATTTGAATGGGCATGTACAGCCCAAGGTGTCACCTCCTGAGGGCTAGTCTCAGGGCGTCACCAAGCCTGGTTGAGGGTATTGCTGACCATGACAGCCGAGGAGCCACCAGGCAGATGGCTGTGAAACAGTGCCACGTGCGAATCGAGTGTTGAGGATATGAGCTTCTACCTGGACCGCCCACTAGTTAGACGATGAGCGCATGGCATATGCTAAAGAATATCCTTTGCAAATCACTTCAATACATCAGCTCTCTACGAGTTGCTATTTATGTATATAAGGTCAGATATCTCCCATTATCTTTCCTAGAACTCGTAAAAGTTACTCTCAATCACCATCCTCTAGGTTCACATAGCAATCACTATATACTTTTTCATCCACAAGTCGCAAGGAACTCCTTGAGCCATCTTCAACCCCCAAGTCCGGAAACTCTCAGACCCTCAACATTACTCAATTCGGAATACGGCAGCCGCTATCAAGATGCCTCACCACATCTCCACTTCAAGCAAACACTCCTCCTCCAAGAGCTCCAGCAAGAACTCTCGTAAGTTACGCTAGTAGCCATCCCATAGGATGTTCTACTCACATTCGTACAGACGGCAAGAGCCACAAGAGCTCCAGCTCGCACACGGCATCCCCAAACATCACAGAGCAGTGGATGCAGCACCAGGCCGTCGAAGGCCCCTGGGATGGAGTCAACGAGGTGGTAGGAGGCTGGTCTACTACCGGCGAATATGGCGAATACGCGTATGCCGGTTCCATGGCGGCTACCCAGGGCTCGACCAAGCACAAATCCCACAAGAGCAGTCACCACCACAAGTCGAGTGGGAAGAAATAAGTAGGCTATACTTGCCGAGTTGCCCAGAGGACAAATGTAGATGTGGCTGCGTGGTTTCGCCAAGAGTACACAAGTAGGGCGCTGTGGGACGCGAGAAGCGATTGTCACACTTGCCTGCCTTTACATTCGATCTTCTTGTCGTTTCAACTTTTCTGTTTCATCTCCTTCCTTATCCTTCCATAGCTTTCATAGAAACACAACCGGAACGTTCCATCCATCAGAATGTACCCAGCCCAGTCCTCGTATGATATCTTGCCTCTTCGACACTAACCACCACTCTCGAGTTCTTCGCCTCTGGTTCCGACAGCCATCGTAGCTGGAGTGGCTTTCCAGAGCTGGATACTCAGTGCGCCTCCTAGGCGGTTGTAAGGCGTTAGCTACATCGTCGCAATGAGGAACTTCCGTAATCTACGTCATAGTGTCCTGGTATCGTACACCTCTGGATAGGCGTCGAAGGCTCGGGCGACTGGGTCCCTATGACGGAAGGGGCCTCAGCCGAATTCGTGGCAATTCAGGCAAGACTGCATGGACCTCGAAGTTGCACAGGATCTGGTGTGTTGGCCGCTCCGTCAGCATCCTCACCGCTCCAAGGCAGTGCCGGTGGGTGGCTGAGATGCAATGTTATACACATGGCAACGTTCCAGGCCTTGAGGCTTAAGGTAAAATGCGGAGGACGTGGGGGCTGCTCGTTGAGTTGCGGCCTGTCAGCTCCCCTAACATCTTTGCTCGGAGGTAACGTTTGCGAGGCAGTGAGACATGTGGGCGTCAAGCGAAGTCCGTTGGGCGTCAGCAAAATACCAGCAACCGAAGGATAGCTTGTCACCCTTTCCGACTTTTGCAACACGGATGGATATATGACACTATTGCTACTTTGGAGATGATAGAGATGAGTGTGCATCACGAGGGTCCGCTACGGGGTATGCTGAAGACCAACACATGCTTCACCCGTGAGAGAACCAGGCCAGTCTGCCTCGTACTATGCTTGGTGTTCCTGGCTGTGTTTTTTTCTAGTTGTCCACGCAGCCTTGAGCGATATCCCTGACGAAAGACATTGGCATTCCCAGTTATGAGTATAGCAGGCTAGTAAGATGGCAATGTTAGGCGGGAGGTGAACTTGCTGCTGCATACGTTGTGCTTTGGCAAGCCCGCATGAGTATAATAATGCCCACGTGACACACTAATGAGCCGCCCGCCCGTTTCAAGCAGTCGTGCCGTGTCTACAGGCATTTTGATGCAGCAGCATCTACAGTACTACGACGTTAGCAGACAGGGCAGATGTGTTCATTTCGGCACAAGACTGTTCGGGGGCCGTGGATGAATGAAGCGCGGATTAGAATTGGCCCGTGCGCGTCAAGCTTACGCGCTACTCCAGGAACGCGAATACACTGGGAATAATAAGTCAAGGTTATGCTTGATTCATGTCCCAGGCCAATCCCTCGACAAATCTCTGATTGCGAAGACAGTATGTAATGCGGCCGATGGAAATCTCCATGAACAACAAATGCCATCGGCGTCTCGTCCCTTGGACGATATCCCGGAGCTGCGATTGCACACAGCGTTCACCGTGAGGACGCCGACCAGCTCTGATGCAGACATGCCCTGTGCCGTGCCACGGCGGGTAAAAATAGAGCTGTACAACGAGATACGAGCTGAGCCCAGGAGAGGGATTGGAAAACTCTGCATGACGTCAAATCTAGATCTCCAATCTGAGGATTGGCTGCGGCGCGGCGTGAAAAGGCGTCAGAAAAAAAGTTCGCCAAGGGCCTCCTGACTTGGGGCCATGTACGTGAGTCGTCGTTGGGGCGCGGGTGCGATGGGACTGTTAAGGTTCTATCCTAATCATGCGGCACACCCGAGCGGCGCCTTTGTTGCTGGCCCGTCCTATCCCATCGTGCCCTCATGCCCTACACAGTCAGCCATTCATTCCTTCGAGACAAGAGATCTCAGACCGAAACCACCCCTCAAGCGCCGCCGTGCCCCCAGCGGTCGGTTGGGAGGGGAAGGCCTCTCCATACTTGTGGTATGGGGAAATCCAATTGGCAAGTCATTTGCTTCCATCGAGCTTCCAAGTTCACCCCCTGCGACAGATCACATGTGGGATTCGTGTAGTTATTGGCAGCATGGTAAAACCAGCAGGTTACCCTGTGTAAGTTATTGCTGGAGCCTGGCAATCTGGGAGGCCTAACGAATTGCCATGCCGGAAACACGGCTAGCCCGGGGGCAGATAGCGCCAGATTCTGCGAAAGTGCTCACCTAATTTAATGGGTACGAGCTGGGAACTCCGTTCGGGCTTGGGAGGGTCTTGGGGGGGCCCCTGGCTTGGCTGCACACTGCACGCCCCATCTCGCGACTCTGATCATTGAAGGGTGCGAGGACTCCAGCGTCCCAAGTACCATAGCATAGTAGTAGTACTCCTGGGTGTGCCATGTTGTCCTGGTCGGCTCGTTCGTGATGGGACCTCGAGGAGGAAGCCGAAGCCACGGGCAGTCCTCGTCACGAGCCAGTTTGCTGTTGACGCTGCCGGCGAGTTCCAGGTCGAGACCCGTGCATTTTGTTTTTGTCTCTGGCACTCATCACTGGGGCCACTGAGGCCATGGGCCCGGGCTCCGCAATTGGCGGTCCCCTGCCTGTCTCTCGCTTCCAGCTTGGCCAGCCTGTTAGCATTAACCACCAAGACCCCCCAGGCCGCCTGCCACGACGCAGACCCCCATCCATGGATCCTGGGCTTGCTGGGCAGCTCTGGCTGGGCTTTTGGGCTTTGCTTGGGCCAGGGCCAGTTGAGTTAGTTAGTTAGTCTGTCGCTCCCCGTCCCAGAGAGGAGAGGAGAGGAGAGGTCCAGAGAAGTCCCAGCTAGCAAACCCAAGGCTTGCTTTGGTGCCAATATTTCCTCCGGGGTCTGCCCATGTCCGAGTCATCAGTCAGCTCATCATCAACAAGCCTGCGCTTGCAGCTGCTGCTTGCTAACGTTGCTGTTTAGTCTGCTGCCCGGGCTGACCCTGACCCTCTCTTTTCTCCCTTCAGTGTTCACTCCTCTCTTCCTCTTCGGCTCTTCCCCATCCATCCCAGCGGCACAGGTGTTCCGCCACTCGACCATACTTACAACACCGGGCGGCTCCCACGAACCAACACTCGTTTCCCAGCGACAGACAAAGAACAGGGCTCTCGACTTTCGTTTCGAGGGGGGCATCATCGTCATTGGATAGCGTCTCGTCTCATTCAGGGCATTCTGCAAGTGTGTCGCCGAGCCGATCAATTCACGCCAAGACCACATTCCCAGCACCTGCCTACCTCCCGACCGGCAACTCGTGATCGACCCTGGCATTGCCATTTATCCTGCATCATTTTCTCTCCCAGCAACCCCCCGAACCCGACAATCGCTAGCACTCCTCGGCGACGAGACTGGAACCTGTGCGAACACGTTTTCCGGCCTCAAGCACCACGTCTGGACCAGTAGACGAGCCTAGCATCGCAGTCTAGGCCGGGTCACACGCCGAGATACGGGCTGCTCCGGAGGCCTAGCTGGCCATTTCTCCTGCTGCTCTGCCTGCCGACACGACACGACACGACACGACAAGGGCCAACTCGGTCGCTTCCAGCGCTACGGCAAACGACGTTTCCTCGTCAATCGTTACCACCACCAGCATCGAATCTCGGTCTGCGCATCGTCGGCATCTCCAAATCCGCTCTCTTTTCCATCCTACGCGCTACTTGCAACTGATCTTCCTGTAAAATGGGTACGGTTTCCCCACTCTTGGCATCTGATTCGATCGAAACGTCCTGTCGCTGTGTTTCGTGACATGCTTGCCGTCTTGTGCATGCGGTGCTAATGAGGACTCACAGCTACCACAACTGCTGCTGCGTTGGCCACGACGCTCGTCCCCTTCGCCGACTTCCCCTCGTGTGCGACGTCATGCGGGCCTCTCTGGGATGCCAACGGTGCTTGTGTGCCGCCAAACGTCGCGACAGCCGACGGAAGCGTCTATGACAGCTGCTTCTGTGCATACAGCAAACTGCAGCCCTTCAGCACCGCTACGGCCGGCGTGTGCGACTATCTGTGTGCTGACGGCCTGAGCGCCGTTCAGGGCTGGTTCACCAGCTTCTGCCAGAACAAGGCGGCCGCGACGACTACGGGTGGCTCGGCATCGTCGACTAGCGCCAGCGGGAGCAAGAGTTCTTCCAGTGGGGGCGGCGATTGGTAGGTTACGCAGTCTTCTCGGGGCGGAAAAGGAGCTAACATGGTCCATCTACGTAGGCTATCGAATCACTGGAAATGGGTCATCATGATCGTCGTCGTTGTGGTGGGCATTGCTGGCATCTGGATCGGTGCTTGCATCTGGCGCCGCAAGTACCTCAAGAAGAAGGATCGCATGTACGAGCTCGGAAAGGGCCTACCCAGCACCGTGGCGGTCAATGCCCAGGGGCAGTTGGTCGGACCGGGCGCACCCAAAGCCAACGGTGATCCGGGCGTCTTCATGGCGGGATCGGCTGCAGGGGCGGGATACGCCGAGAAGCCCAAGAAGGAGAGGAAGAAGTGGAACGTTACCCAGCGGACGTAACGACCTCATCAACGCAATTCGACGTGGCGGATCGCTCGCTCACAGCGGCGATTCCCAACCTTACTACGCCATCGCTTCTTCTACAGCACATCGACGACACGACCAACGATTGCTGTCGTATTTCGTTTTATATATCATTGCATCTCCGGATGATCTGGAGTTCTGCACACTATCATTATGGGCGTTCTAGGGTCGAGGGCTGGGTTGATTTTTCCTGTTAGCTAGGGAGTTGCAAGGGTTTTGGATAGGACAAGGCATTTGTTATCATGGGACACGATTGCAGTCCGAAAGGGTCGGTCGACTCTGTCCAGCTCCTTCCGAAGCGGACGGTGTGTCCGCCATCCTGCAAACAAAAGACGCTGTTTTCTGCTTGGAATACCCCCAAACTACCCCCATCTCTGCGGGTTCGCCCGGCATAAATTTGCCGAGCTCACTGGTAACAGTTGTTCCTATTTTGTCGATGGAAGGAATAGGTAGTCAATGCTAATTAATGTCATGAGGTTTGGGGATTGCTCCGCCTTTTCTACCCTACCATTCTTGCTCGAATATATTAAATAGATAGAACTGATCATGGCTGGTTGCCAAGGTCATTCAATAGCGGGCATGACTTTCCTCCGAGGGCTACAACCACTTCACTATGGTCTTCCGTCTAGGATAAGGTTGGCCGGATGAGTTGGCTTCCGAATGCACCAGCAGCCGCGTCATGGGGGTTGAAGCACAAGCATCTCAAGGTAGAAATTTATCTGGCGTTTGCCGGCCTGTCTCGACCTCGTTACGAAAATAGTGCGTGTGCATGGGCGGAGGATAGGGGCCAGGTTCATTCGGACAATCATCATGGTGCTGATCCCAATAAGGACTCAGCTTCCAGCCTCTTTGGGACACTAATCATTATCATTGAATTCATCTGTAAGACTTATGCACCTTCCGTCTTGAAGACACAACCCGGTATAATTAATGAGTCAACAACGCAACTAACTCGCGATGAGGTGGACGCTAGACTACAGCAAAGGGAGAGATGATCCAAGGGTGTCTAGCATGGGAAACTCACCGAAAAAATTTGTTCTCTTACGATATCTCTTATGGTATAACTATAATTCGCATTGAAAGTGTTGGCTCTTGAACGAACCACATATTCCCAGTCGAGCTACCTAGCCGACCTGTCCATCTATCTAAACCCAGTTCCAGTTCTTCTCTCCCAGCCTACCGCGACCAGTGAACCTCTACTCCAGCGTCCAATCGCCCTCGGCCCTCCTCTGCTTGTACCACTCGCGCACGTACGGCAGCTGCACGTGCGCGCCGTAGGGGTCCTCGAGCCACTGCGCCGCGGGGGCCGCGAGCCCCGTGTCGGCGACGGCCCGGGCCCGGAGCTCGTCCAGCGAGCCGCCGCGGTTGTAGATGCTCGGCAGCTCGACCTTGGCGGCGGCCATGTCGGCGCGCAGCGCCTCGGTCCCCGCGGCGTCGACCGCGAACGTCGCCGGGTCGACCACGACGCCGTAGTTGGCCCGCGCGCCCTCGACCGTCACCAGCTTCTGGTGCACCTCGAGCGCCACCTTGTCCGCGGGCCGCGTCAGCGCGTCGCCCAGCCCGCCGCCGCCCCACGTGATGTACTCCAGCACGTCGCCGGGCAGGACCTTGACGTGGTCGCACTTGCTGGGCAGGTACTCGGGGGCCGGGTCCGCGGCGCCGCCCGAGTAGCGGTAGAGGATCTTCTTGGAGCGCTTGCCGGGCTGGCCGCCGTCGATGCCCCAGGGGTGGGTGAACCAGCGGTCGTCGTGCAGGGAGAACTCGCCGCGGTTGAGGAAGCGGAACCGCGTGCGGTGGGCGTTGCCGCCGCGGTAGAAGCCCGCGCCGCCCGTGTCGGCCAGCGACTCGTTGGCCTCGACCAGCAGCGGGAACCCCAGCTCCACGCTCTCGGTCGGCACCGACTTGATGGCCGGGAACAGGCAGTGCATGTCGGGCCCGTCGCCGATCGGCCGCGCCGGCACGCCGCCGAAGGCGATCTGGTAGAGCTGGAACCATTCGCCTGAGGGGGATGTTAACTTGATTACAATCGAGAGAAAAAGGAAGGGGGCAATATAACTACGTACCTTCAGGTGTCCATCCGGAGTAGAAGAAATGCGGGCTGTCACTGAACCCGGCGGCAGCCCGGTATGCCTTGTTATGCTGGCCCATCAGGGCCTGGATGATGTCCATGACACGGCCGAGAAGATGTGTTCTGCAACTTAGAGCAGCAGGGCGGGTTGGCTTCAAGATACTGCCATCCGGGATGGCGACCTCGATGAAGTCGTACAGGCCCTCGTTGACGACGCAGTGCGGGTCGAAGACGGCTAGGAGGTAGTAGCCCACGAACATCTTGAACATGGTCGGCGACAGGAAGAAGTTGAGCGACGTGTTACTCTGCGCCGAGGTGCCATCAAAGTCGAACCGGAGCTTGTTGCCGTCCACCTTGGTCATCTTGCACTTCACGGCGTAGGGCCCAACGCCGGCGCCGTCGTCGTCGACGAAATCCGTGAACACGGCTTCCTCGTCGCCGAACTGGGTCTCTATGAGCTTGGAGACGGCGAGCTGGTTGCGGCGCAGGAGCTCGTTGCAAGCCGCCTCGTACAGCTCGAGCCCGAATCTGTCAATCGTCTCGCACACGCGGGCGCCGGCGGTCTGGCAGGATGAGATCAGGGCCTGGATGTCGGACTTGTACCATTTGGGCATGCGTGAGTTGCGGCAGAGGATGTCCATGACATCCGCGTTGTACTCGCCCTTCTTGTACAACTTGACCGGAGGGATTTGCACTCCGTCCTCGTATAAGCTGGTCGACGAGATAGACATGCTTCCGGGCACCTTGCCGCCCACATCAGAAAGATGGCCAAAGTTGGCGGACCAGCCAACCAGCTCGTGCTTGTAGAATATGGGCAGCAAAATGATCACGTCGTTCAGATGGCTGATGGCACCTGCTGTTGAGTAAGGATCGTTGGTCATGAACATGTCGCCTTCTTCGATGGTTCCACCGGTCTGGTTCCAGCCCTCCAGGAACTCTCCGATGAAGCTGCCAAACTGGCCAACCAGCATTTGGCCCTTTGCGTTGGTCACGACATTGAACTCGTCTTGCTGTTCACGGATACCCGGTGACATTGAGCAACGGAGCACCAGGGTGTCCATCTCGATTCTGATAGCCTGCAGCGCGGATCCGACCAGCGTGGGAATCAACGGAGACTTGGCCACCTCCTCCTTGGCGGCTTCCGGAGTGAACGTCTTCGTCTTTGCGACTACTGAGTCGTCTGCCGGGTGGATCAAGATGTTACCAATCTGATCGATTTCACCATAGAAGCCAGGCAGGATGAGAGTGTTCGAGTCCATCTCAGAGATGACGGCAGGTCCATCGATGCGGTAGCCGGCCTTGTTAAGAGCCGCGCGGTCGTAGTACTTAGCCTCTACTTGCTTGCCTTCGACTGTGATGGTCTTCTTCTTCACGAGGGCAGCCTCGGGCGGCGCCACCAGCTTGCCGTCGGACTCGGAGTTGATCTCAGCGAAGACGATAGGGGAGGAAGCGTCCGTAGCGGTTGCGCCCAGTCGGACCAGTTCGAATTCGAGGCCGTCCAATTTGAAACCAAATTGAAGTTCGTGAGTGGTGTTGAATCTTTCTGTCAGGGTCTTTGCTAGCTCCTCTTTGCCGTTGCCGAGTTCCTCGGGGCTAAAGTTGATCGTAATATCAAGAGCTTGGCCCTTATACCGGAGGTCTGCCTCGTACTTGACTGTGAGTTTCTTCTCAGACGACGACCCTTCGAGAGCTGCATTCATCTTCTCCGTGCACTGCTTTCCAAGACCCTCAAGGACCCCAGTCAGGTCCTCATGCGAAGTCTGCGAGAGTCCCTTGATGAAAGAAACTGACTGGGAGTGGCTGAGTTTGGTCGTCGCGTCACCCTGCGCGCACAGCACACCAGGTGCCTGCGGGATGACGACCGGCCATGCGCCGAGGAGTTTACCGACGGCGTTGGCGTGCAGAGGTCCGGCACCGCCGAAGGCTACGAGAGCAAAGTCCCGGGGATCGTAGCCCTGTTCAACTGAAACCTGTCGAAGGGCGCCATACATGGTCTCATTGACCAAGTTGACGATACCCTCGGCGGTCTCCTCGGTGCTGATGCTCATCTGGTCTGCCACACTCTCTACTGCTGCAACGGCCGCAGCCACATCAAGTTGAAAGTCGCCGCCCAACAGCGTCTCAGGCAGATAGCCCAAAACCAGGTTGGCATCTGTGACCGTAGGCTGCTTCCCGCCCTTCTGGTAGCAAGCAGGCCCGGGCGACGCCCCCGCGGACTCTGGGCCAACACGCATGCTAGCTGTGAGGTCAACATATTGGGCGATGGATCCGCCACCGGCTCCGACGGTTCTCACGTCAACAGAGGGTGCGCGGACGGTCAACTTATCCACAACTGTCTCCCTTCTCAGAGCCGCCTTGCCGTCGACAATGAGAGCAACGTCGGTTGACGTGCCGCCCACTTTATAGAACATTTTGATTAGCACAAGAATCATAGAAAAGATTGAACGGCGTGACCTACTATCAAGTGTGATGAGATTCTTATAAGGGGTCTGCTTCGAGATGACATCGACGACACCCTGGACGCCACCAGCGGGACCGGACATCAGCAGGTTGACGGGTAACTCTCCAGCCAACTCAAGACTCGTCAGAGCGCCATCGCTCTTCAAGATTCGGATGGTCTTGCTGTCAGGCAGTAGCAGCTTCTTCAATCCCTCCATGTACCGCTTCACAAGCGGCTTGACCACAGCGTTCGCCGACGCCGTGACCGTCCTCTCGTATTCTCCGGCCTCGGGCAGGACGTCAGCGGAGCAGATGATCTCGATGTCGGAGCCGAATTCCTCCCGCACGACCCTTTCCACGGCCCTCTCGTGCTCATCGTTGACGTACGAGTTGAGCAAACTAATGGTGATGGCCTCGGGCTTCTGCCGCTTCAGGTCCGCAAGGTCTTTGCGCAGTGCTGCCTCATCGAATGGGATGATCACCTCGCCGTTGGGTGAGATACGGCCGGTGCATTGGACTGTCCGCTCCAGCGGCACGACGGGCTCCGGTGGCACGAAGCTGATCCAGCCTCCCAGTCCTCCGGGAATCTGACACCTCCGGTTGGTGAGGACCTCCTTGAAGCCCGCAGTTACTACAAGCCCAGATTTGACTCCTTTGGACTCCAAGATCGCATTTGTCGCTGTTCAAATGTGTGTCAGTTGGCATTCAACGCTGGGTACATGTTATATCCACTTACCAACGGTGCTGCCATGATGGATGAATGAAAACTCTCCTTCCCAGTCATACTTGGACTTCAGCAACTTTCGTACCTTGGTGATACCATCCTTGACACCCACGCTCTGGTCTTGGGGTGTAGACGGCGTCTTTGCTCGGAGGGTTTCACCATCAGGTGTGATAACGCAGACATCAGTAAATGTGCCCTGGAACGAGATTAGTCAAGTCATATCACATTTTGCTCGAAGCAGGAGATACAACATACTCCAACATCGACACCAAGACGGTAATCCCCGCTTTTAGCTGAAGCCATGGCGGAATGTCCTACTATGACGACGCTGCGGGTGGTACTCTTATCGCAGCACGATCTTGTCTACTCGGCGAGAGAGATAGGGCAGTAATTAAGTCTAGAAGCTGCTGGACGGCTCATGAGCGAGTCTATACATGTATGTATATAGATAAACCCTTCGTGAGGCCCTCGGACTTTATCGAGTCCCTGCAAGGCAGAGTGACATAATTACCGGGGGTCATCGAGCCAGGGAGATGTCCGCCGCGGAGGATCCGATGGAACGGAAAGAGGGGAGCGAGCAGCTTGCGGCGGCGTAGATCATCGGGATAGGGATCCGAATACCTGGGTGCGGCACACGGGCTATCATTCGTCAGGGCGGAGGAGTTGACTATGCTGTCGGCTGCCTCATTGGCCGGAATCGCAGCTGACAAGCGGACATTGGCAAAATACCCTCGGCACTTGGCCAGCAAGGCATTTACCATTGGCTGCGCGCTGCGTTGTTCCTCGTCGTCGCCGTCTTCCCCAAGCTGTCGCAAGCTCGGCGATGCCAAGGGGTGGAGATGGCGGGGCCCCGGAGGAGAGATGCTGAATAGATCGACTAGTTCACGTCTAAGGCGGCGGAGGCAACCGTCCCCGTCGGATGGGCTTCTTGCGAAAATGCGTCAAAGAGGGCACCCAGGCAGGGCGGCCAATGGGGCGGCCGCAAAGCTCGACTCGGATCGGCGCCTAACATCTCTGAATGAATCGTGTAGCACCGATGGCTCCGGGAATAGGGAGTCATATGCCAACACCATTGAATGACACTACTTCCCTGTGAGGCGTGGGCCCCCGCAATAGACTCACATAGTCCGGAGACCGCAGCTTTTGGCGTATGCAGGAACCAATCGTGTGCATACGATCGAACGTAAATGGCATGACCCTTATCAGAGCACCGATACCCGCGCCCAGTCGTGCCGTTGGAACTGACAGCCGCATCCATCCGAAGCCTAGTGCAAAGGATGGACTGACAGGATTCCTACCACAGGAGAATAGGTATCCCCTCAATTATATATATACACCAAGTGAATTTCCACTAAAAGTTCAAAGTGCTTGTATAGGTCTCTTATTAGAGTACTAAGTATTCGGTTGTCACCCGAGCTCCTATATGAGTACAGACTAAGACTAGGTAGAAGACATTAGATATACAGTTCGGCACATATACCAAGGCCTTTCGATATATAATACAAAAAAAGACGGGCTCGATCCCCGATGAACAGTAAGCCACAAAAGCAAGGCAAGATCTTTATGCCAACGCCGTGCACCCCATCCCGCGGAACTGCTGCACTAGCCCTGAGTGTCCCGTGGATGCCCAATACCTGTAAATGCTTGAAATGACCACCTCGTCGTCCGCGCCGTCAGGCACGTCGTAAGGCTTCTATACCTGCAACGACTTGAAGCGGTCCTCGAAGGCTTTCACCTTCTCGGCCTGCAGCTCCCTCTCCAGCCTTCTCGTCTGGCTCATGGCCGCCTCTCGCTCCTCCTGCAATTGCAGAACCTCGATCTGAGCCGAGTTCATGCGGCCTACAACCTCTTCCATGTCTGCGTCGGCTTGTGTGAGCGCTCTCTCGAGCTCCAGTACCTTGGCTCTCAAGGAGGCAACTTGAGTCTCATCCGCAACGCTCATCGCAGGGCCGGAACGTGTTGAGCTGAGACGAGGCGACCTTGCGCTGGAGCCGGCAAAGAGCGGCGACATAGGAGACTTTGGAGGGAACGTGCGGGGAGACCGAAGGTTGCCACTGAGTCGGGATAGTTGCTGGTTGTGGCTTTCCTTGAGCGTGGAGATCTCTTCCTCGTGGCGAGCAACACGCTCATCTGAGGCTGTCTGAGCAGCGATGACTTGGTCCTCAAGGGTGCGCAGACGGGCTTGCATGGCGGTGATGCGTTCGGCGTTAGCCTTCTGCGCGGCATCGCCTCGAGCCACCGTGTCGGCTAGGCGCTGGCGCAAGTTCTGGTTGTTAGACAACTGCTGACGAACTTGGGTTGCCAGCTCCTCCACGCGGCGGGCAGACTCGGAGAGCTCGTCCGAAAGCACCTTCTCGCTCTCGAGATAGTTCTTCTCGCCAGCCTTAAGAGCAGCCAGCTGTGTCTTGTACGAAGATGCATCCTGGAGTAGTATATCCCTTTCTGATACAACTGATTGCAAACTCTGCTCAAGTTTCTGCATAGCAAGCATGGTCTTCTCATCCTGAGGGGACGAGCCAAGCTCAAGCTGCTTGACACGGCCCAATGCAGACGTGTACGCAGCCTGCAGGTCGGCATAGGCAGTAGTCAGAGATTCCGATGTGACGGGAACTGATGGCCGTCCGTCGCTGCTGCCGCTGGAGCGAGCAAAAGCCTCGGGGATCAGGATGTCCTTCTCCTGAAGCAGGCTCCTTAGAGATGCAATCTCCTGTTCAGCTCGGTCGAGGTCCATCTTCAATCCCGCAAGACCCTTTTCGACCTGCCACTTCTGCTCGAGTGCCTCCTCAGACCTACGGCGTAGTACATTGATCTCTTCCCGGAGATGGGAGACCTCCCTGGCGAAACCAGCCTTCTGCGGTGAGCTAGTCAACAGCCGGTCGCGCTCCACCTCAAGGCTCCGAATCTTTTTCTCATTCTCGCGGTTCTGGCACTCTTGACGCTCGAGGAGCGCCTTGAGGGCTCGGTGGAGAGCATCTCTTTGCTCTTCGACGTCCTTGAGTCTGTCCGAGAGTGCCTCTCGGGATTCAGTCGTCTTGACGGACTTCGATCTCGTGAGACCAGCAGGCGCCCTTGACATCTTGAATGCAGACGGCGGACCAGTAATGGAGTTCGACCTGGCAAGGCTGGAGCGACGAGAGTTCACCTGGGAGTTAGACTGGGAAGTGGAATCCTCTGCGATGCTGCTCATCGCCTTGGCCTGTCTCAAAGAGTCATTCTCCACCTGCAATGCCTGTAGCTGCTGTTGCATCTTAGTCGATTCGTAGTTCATCTTCTCAAGTTCTGAAGCCTGGCCTTCAAGACCTTCGACGCGAGCCCGCAGCTGGGGAACAATCTCATCACGCAGGTTGTCACGCTCATTGGCGGCGTTCTGAAGCTCACCCCTGAGAGCCGACAGCAGATCTTCGAAGTTATCCTTGACCTGGCGTTCTTCGGACAGCTTCCTTCGCAGGGTCTCACAGGTCGCTTCCAGTTCCTTTACGCGACCAGTGGCGTCCATGTTGTTCATCTGGGCAGTATCAATCTGAGAGGCCCTGACGGATAGCTCCTTGATCTGGTCGTCCAACTGTTGCCTCTTTGCCCTCTCATCCTGAACCTTGGTCGTCAGCTCCAGCCTGAGCTGCGCCTTCTCCTGCTCTGACCGCCGTTGGATCTTCTCGATCTCTTCCCTTGACTGATCATAGTCGCTGAACTTGGCGGAGCTGTATCCGGAATCGGAGAAGTAGTCACTAGTTCTCTTACTTCCGGTCGTGGTAGGGTTATCTCTTTCTGCTTGATATCTGTCAACAAGATCTTCTAGGTCCATCTCGCGCCGAATGGACGCAGCCAGTTCGGTCGAGATGGCCTTCAACTCGTCCTCCATCTCGTCGATCTGGGCCGAGGCCGCCGGCGAGATAGCTGGTGGTGTTGCGAGGTAAGAATCGCAGTAGTCTCTCGAATTCCCGGATCCGAATGACGATGCTCTGGGGGCTTCAAGATGCGACGACTGTCTGAGAGTAGCAGGAGAAGCATCTGGGAAGGTGTTGGACTTGGAGAACCCGTATTGCGAAGAGATTGGAGAGAAGCCTTTGTCGGAGAACTCTGGCGATGCTGGCGATGGCGATCCCCAGCCGAAGAAGTTGCCTAGCTTGGAAGCGGAGCCTGGTGACTTGGGTAATGGTTTGTCTGTATTAGGTGTCTTGACGACGTCGTGGTGACTAGCTGATGTGTCTGTGTCTGTGTCTGTGTCGACTGGTACGAGACTCAGATGTGGTGGTCCGGGTTTCCTGGCGACGTTCAATGACATATTAGAATTATGAGAATTAGAATTATAGGACGAATCGGTATTATAACCGTCGAGAACGCTCAGAGGATCCTCGTCAGCGTCAGCGGCAGCGGCAGTGTCAGCTTGCGCCTCGGCCGAATCTTGTTTGCTGTGTTGTGACAGCCCAGCTGCGAGCTCCGTTTGAGGTGCTGCAGGGTTGTGGTCCTCTTGGGGGTCTGCCAAGAAGGGATGTTTGACTTCACCCGCTATGACAGCCGGCTCAGGCGTCATGGGAGAAGGCGGGTTGGAATCCTGGATTCCGGGAGAGTTCCTGCTTATGAGTCGCGTTTAGTATTGCCGTTTTCCCAAAAATTTGGCCATTGGCTCGGCATTGCAACTGGATTGCAGCCCAATGAGACATTGACTCACCCTATGTCTATCTCCTTGATTGGCGGCGCCACCTTGACCGCGGTAGACTGCAGACCTGTCACTGCCTGTACTTTGGCAGTCTGAAAGTCGTAGACAGTTGGGCTGTCGACCGAGAAGGACCGCGAGTATCTCTGCTCCGGCCGGGGAAGTCCCCTGGCGATAGTGAGGTATTCGCCGGACGAGTACCTCGTGGCTATAGGAGAGGCCGAGGACGACAGCGGCTTGCGTCGAATCAGCTGTGCGCCGGGAGGTGGCCTGGCTATCGAACTATCGATGACAAGATTCCGCGTGTTTCTCGAGGCAGGGCCCGTGGCCAGGGAGCTGTCTGGTAGGGTAGGGAAAGGGAAAGAGGAGGAAGAAACATCAGATGAAGCAGCAGGAGTATCAGAGTTGGACGTCACGGAGGGGCGGCGCTCGTGCTCGTGCTCCTGCGGGAAGTGTTGGTGAGAGGGATCCATGGCGACGGTACCAGGCAGGCTAGAAGTAGCACTAGAGAACCCCTTGTCTGGATGATGGCTCGTGACCCAGACCAGACCAGATAGAATCGGGAATGGAATGCAATGTGGAGGGCAGATTATTGCCTTTTCCCAACGCTCTGTGTACACGAGGTTTGCAAAGGGGGATGAATTGTGCTGGAGAGGTCGAGCGACGGGTCGAACGCCAGAGCACCATCAGGAGAGGCACGGAGAGTAGAGGACGAGCACTAGCCTGGCACTCATCTACCGACAAAGACGGCCTAGGGAGCCCGGCCGGGGCTCTCATTGGCAGAGCCGGCGGCCAGAGTCGCAGTGCGCCATTTCGACCGCCGATAGACCCCTGATCTGCCTTGGCCCCAGAGGCTCCGCGTGCCCGTGGTCCCTCAAGCTCATCTTTAGCGAGCCTTGGAGCAGCGGTTCTGGCAGGTCTAGCGCCATCTGGGTCCCTTCTGCGTCCCTGGGTCTCCAGGTCCGTCCAGGGCAGGGCCTCCACTCGGACACCCCAGTGGCTCGTGGGCTCGTCTTGGCGCCCTAGCGGTGCGTGCTGCAGGCCAGCCGGTCGCCGTTTTGGTATGCTGCAATTTTACTTATCGCCGTGCCCCCTGCATTGGCGAACACCATCTGATGTTCTCGCAGGTCCCCAAAGCCCCACCGACCAATGGCTGGCGGGCGTGCTCCAGGATCCTGGAGAGCCGCTGCAAGGCACAACACCACCAGCATAACTTCTGGAAATGATCTTCGATTAGTTGACAGCGGATGGCTTGGATGTGTTCGCGGCTTGCCCATTTCCATCTTCGCGGGGTTGATGGATGGAAGGCCATGCATGCGCACATTTGCCAGATGGCTTTTTGATTGTCTCCTCCAACTGCAGGATGCGGCTTCCACTGCTCCTTCACCTCGCCTCTCTGTTTACGGTCCCTGCAACCCCTGCGCAGGGGAATGAACGGAAAAGTCAAGTGAAGCAACACCCTTGGGGGCAAGGAAAAAAAGAGATGGACAAGGACAGGGGACAAGCGAAGCGCCCAGGCTCGAATCTGGATGCGTGTGGATAGAGCAATGACCGCAAGTTCGTCCATGTTTCAGGAGTCTGTGCTGAAGAAAATGGATCGGCCACCAAAGTCCAAGATAGCGCGCGGCAAGCTTTAGCACCGTGCTAAAGATATCGCCCGCCGCTGATCGCAGAGCGCTGCAGCAAAAAGCAAAGTTGCGACCTGCAATCATGCGCAAGTTCGAGATATCGATGGTCAAAGACCGATGGGGATCCGTCCTGGCGATCTAGGTAGTCCAGAGTCCTCGTCAGCTCGTGAGGCAACCCATGATCCATTGCGTCTTCCAGGGTTCTGTGCAACGCAAGGGATTGGCCAACTCGCCATAATTGCGATGTTGGTTCATATTTCTACGGCTAGCCTGCTGGAATGAATGGACGATAATTAGATGCACATTCTCGTACACACCATGTAGGCACAATTCATCGCCTAGCGTCGTCCGGTCACCGTGGGCTTTCCAATTGCAACGCGCATCCGGGTCGATTTTAAAATTACTTGCCAGTCTAATTCGACGTAGCATTGCCTGAGCCAGTCGGTACCAATTATAGCCTCGCGATGATTAATCTGGACTGCCTCAGCCACGGCCGGCCGCTAAAGTTCAACCGTCTGTTCTGTCAAATGATGCAAAGCCGCATCCGTCAGGCGCCTACCTATTTTGGTTCATCACATTCGAAGCCCCCTATCAATGCCTCCAGCAGCCTCCTCCTGTCAGCTTGACTGCAACGCCATTCGGGGCTCGTCGAATCCTACACCTTGATTCGCCCGACATGTTTCCTCGTCGGCTGGCTTAGGGCTACGCTGTGGACCAATAGCAGGAACTGTTTGCGAATCTCGAAACGGAAGCTCCTGGCCAATGTTTCCTTGCTTCTTCCCTCTCGAGGGGGCACGAAAGGGGTTTAGCGTCAGGTACGCCGCCGATGCTTCGATGTCGTCCGAGCGCGACGTTTCAACGGCCGCTGGGCAGCCTCGCGATCCTTACCTCTGTCCAGGATGCACCCCATGAGTTTCGTCCGATTCGCGACATGTTTCAACCAGCAGCACCTGATCAAGCCTTTCCTTTCGGCTTTCGCTCTGCCCTGGATGCAGCGCCAGCATCGTTCTCTCCTCGTATGACAAGTTGTCTTTATTCTCTTCACTTTCTTCGATCCTGCAGCTGAGTCCCATGCTCATTGACACCAAAGACCGAGACGCCCACGTTGTGTTGCGACTTGCTTTTTGCGCAAGCTAGACGCAGAGAAAGTGGCTATAATTGGTAAACGCTGAGAAACCCTCGGACCTCTGCCGCCGTGCCCAAGCCCGGTTTCGCTGTGGACGGTAGACGCCGGAACTCGAGTTGCACGACGTGTGATCAGCGAGTCGCTCGGCGGCATGGACATGGCAGACGGCAAGTGATGCATATCCCATACAAACCGTAGATCAGAGCGGCAAGTTCCGCCAGCGGATCGCCATGCACGCAATTGCTGGTGTACCAGTATCCAGAAGTGCTGTGCTGATTTATCTGGTTGTGCCTTGGGCGCGATCGCCTCGATGTACCGTCCATCATGTATTACGGTACGGTGCATGAGTGAGTACGGTCCTGGACGGACCACGATTGTAGTGAAACCGTATCTTCTTGAGTCCGAGCGCGCATGTTACGCGATTGATCTGCTGCAAGCACTGAGTTCTGAAAGGAGGCTATCGTAGATCAAGAACTGACGTGGGATACAAATCAATCGCAAGACCGACAATCGCAAGGTGCTTGCATCGTCGGCGTACAAGGCCCGCGACTCGCGGCTGGTTATAGTTAGACTATACGTCCTGGCCACACAGCATCAGCTGTATAGAACTGATCCCCACTGATAGCCCATGAGATGGACAGATCCGGAAAACTGGGTGCGCACTTGTGCGTGGATCACCCGTGTGGATTCCAACTCCTGCCCCCTTTTATCTGACGTCAAGCAATGGGTCGGACTACATTAATCACTGCCGTAAAGATAGGTATCGTGTGTAGGTCATCATTACTAAGTAGGCATTGTATATTCCACCGCGTTGCCATGTGTGCCCATAATCCATCTACCCGTGTGTCTTCCCAAGTATGCATGTACCGTGCGTGTAAGTATGTACCCACGCATATCCCCATCCGATGGTATATGCCGTGCAAAAGCAAATGATATCAACGCCGGCCTTCGTCATGCAGGTCATATACAACAAAGGAAACACATGGCATGTCTCGTGTCGTGTTGTCCATAGGGCAACTTGCTCGCTTCTCTTGCTGCTCTCAAGAAGAGCCACTCCCAATCATCTGCGAGGCCATTGTCGCGCCAGCAATCAAGAACATTAGACTGCCACTTCTGTTCCTGTGCCCTTCTCCGGGCTTAATCTCCTTCTTATCCTTGCGGGCCTCATCCTTGCTCTGCACCAGGACCATGTCCTGCAGCATGTTCGAGCTAGCAGCCTTCTTCATGACGCCCGGGTCCATGTCAACCTCTCCATAGTTGACCTCCTTGCCGGCGGAGCTCGCCGGCCCCTTGGCCAGTTCCAGCTCCTTCCCCGAACTGGCGGGCCGCTGCGGCAATGAAGCCGCATCGCGGCCGTAGTTCATGCTGTTAAAGAAAGACGTCGCCGTCCTCGGCCGGGATAACGTGCCTCCTCCACCAATCGGTATCATCAGCGCCCTGCGCAACCCAATCTCGATTAGCCGTGGCTCACCATAGCGGAACCCGAGCAAGCCCGCGCTTCCGAACGAGCTTTTCCGGGTCCGGAAGGGCGGACGTACCAGGCTAGAAGACATTGATCGGGGGATTAGTAGGTTAGTAGAGTGTCCAGCTGGGTCCTGGGATGTCCGTTCGTCGTCCTCGATAGCCTCGTCCAAATGCGCATATCTGCGATCTTCGCTGAACGGAGTAGAGACGGTCCAAGGGGACGAGAAGTCAAAGTCTTGCCTAGTCTGCGCGAATCCATCTGAGGGTGTCTCGATCCCGTCAACAACATTGTCTGTAGGCGTTCTCGGCTCCTCTGTGAAGGTAATTGCCACGGGAGCTACAGCAACCTGCTCAACAACCGGTGAGCTGTTGTTCGAGCTTGGGGCTGAATCCAGATAGAAATTAGGCCCAGTCTTGACTTGTTTTTGCTCTGCCGGTGGCTTCTCGACGGGTCCTTCCTCAACGGGAGCTTCAGCAGCTAATGCCTTCTTCTCGCCTTGGGAATCAATCTCAGCCTTAGGGGAGCTGGCTGGCCAGTCAGCTTCGACAGAAGCCGGGCCGGGCGATGACTTGACTTCCGCTTCCTGTGCAACGCTTGACAAATCTCGACTTTGATCGGTAGGAGGTGTCATTTGCTCCTGTGACCCTTCACTTGCTTCGACACCACGTTTGACGTCTTCAACCTCAACAGTGGTTGAATCTTCTGGTTTGCTCTCATCGCTATGGCGACTTTGGTGTTGCAGTGGAGACGGCGCAGGTCTGGGCTTGTTTGTGCTGGACATTCTGGAGGGCGACCCGCCGGGGTTCAGTTTCGGGGGCTTCTGATCAGACTCCAACTCGACATGACTGACTGGTACCTGATCGTCAATGTGGCTTTCGGGTGTACCAGGAGCAACCAACGGGTCACTGTCCATACCAGAAGTGACCGCTTGTATATGTGGAGTAAACAATATACTGCTCCTCGCAGAATGACCGCCACCATAGACTAGACTTGGTGTAGAAGGAGTCAGAGACAGTTCGTCTGCTTCTTTCCTCTTGTGCGAGTCCAATGTGATCGTCGACGCACGTCTCTCTTCCACTTCAGATTCGTCCTTAGCGCCGACACTCGGCGTCTGAGAATCGTGAGCCTCGGCGTTCTCCGCTCTAGGCTCTTGGTCGTTGGGATCCAGCTCTTGACTCTTGACGTGATTATTCTCAGAGTTCTCCAAGACATTCTCTGCTTCTGCAGTCTTTATAGCTTGACCCTCCTTGCGGTCTGAAGGAAGATCGTCCACGGTAGGTGGGCTCGTGGGCTCCTCTGGTTGCTTTGCTTCCGGCTTTGGCGAGCTCAGAACAGGCATGTCTGTGAAACCGTACGAGCTGGTGGTGGGCACGAGTGGGAAAGCCCTAACACCGGTTTTGGGGCAGATGACAGATGCTCGTCGGCTCTTGTCTGAGAAGACACTTCCATCCGGCGAGAGCGGCACGTCCTGGTGGTCATTTGACCGGGTTATCCACGGGCTCGGAGATAATGTTGGTGTAAAAGGCGTCCCGGTCATGTGTTTTGGGGTCTGAGCAACAGGGCTTGATGGAGTTTCAGGCCGAAGCTCAGAAGTGTCCATTTCGCTCTGGTCAAACGCTGAACTCATGTCAGGGTTAAATGCAGACTTGCCCTCCTCTGCTGCCACCTCGTCGAGATTGTCGAGCGAACATGTATCTTTGCAGATCATGTCGATATCTTGTTGAATTCGACGGTTGAGGCGACTGACAACCTTTGCCTTGCTCTTCGAGGGTATGACCCATCTATGCGAGGCTGCTGCCGGTTCCCGAGCAACGAGTGTTTTGTCCAATATGAAGTGGCCACGTTTGGCAGCAGTCATTCGAACTGTAGCAGCATTTCCGCGCAGGGTATCAGCCACGCCAGATTGGACCCGATCGAGTATCGCTTGAACACTTCGCCGGGAGTAGGAGTCCGAAGGGCCTAATGTGAACACCAACGGCTCATCCAAATGCCATCCCTTACCCCTCAACTCCACGATCCTAAAGTCAAGGTCGTTGATTTCATTGGTAGTGTGATCAGCGCTGTCTCGTGCATCTTCCATCGCGCGTTCCAGGCTATTGACAAGATCAACAGTTTCCTTAGCCTCGGGGTGGCTTATCAGGACAAGCTTGCTGTACATCGTTCGATGAAGATGATCAAATTTTGGGCCAAGGTTGTTGTTCACGCGTAAACTGATCTCAGTAGCATCGTCTTCGTAATGTTGACAGATCCCGCTGATGAATCCGCAGCGATGGCGATGGCGTTCCTCGATCGCCTTCTTCCTAGGTCTCAGAGCCGCCTCCATGGCGTAGGATGCATTTGAAAACAATGCCTCTGCCACAGCTAGGTTCAGGGGCGTGGTTTGCTCGCTGTCAATCTGTATGGTCTTCTGCCATTGCGGCTTGCAGCGCTGGCTTCGGCTCGTGAGGGTGAGCTCGAGAGAAAAGCCGGGTATCACCTCAAATGTTTGAGACTCCTCCAGGAAACGTGATCGAGGGACGCAGTTCATAGGTTGAATCCCGCCAACTCGGTAGGGAGAGAGCTCTGGGGCCTCGAGAATCTCATCGCGTATCGGGCCATCTTTCCAAACAAAACCAGGATCATGCCGACGCAGAAACAGGCCGATCAGACGATGCGATGATAAGATGATCTCCTTGATAGCCTCCGCGCTCAACTCTGCTCTTTGATACGACTTGTACGTCCTCGAGGCCCATAGCGAACCCTTCTGGCTGATCTGGAAGGTCATCTCAAACCTCTTGGGCTTTGGCCTCCCTTCACTTCTGGTGGCCGTGGAGGCGTTGGGGTCCTTGCGCGTGATGAGTTCATACGAGCCATGGTCGATCCTGCGGACCAAGCCCCTGAGGAGCTGCTCGCTCGGCCTGAAGTCGGCTGAGCTGTTATAGCAGCGGTTCCAGCAGAAGTCGAGCGGCGAGTCAAAACTTAGTGATAGTTGGACAGAGATGCCCGCATGGCTGTGAGGCTGCTCTTCGGGAAAATCAGTCTCGATGCTCCACGCCTGCTCTGAGGAGACGACCGATTCCGCCGTCTGCGGACGTTGGCTCCCGCTGTGTGACCTCTTGAGACTGGCCACATCCCTCATGAAACTCTTCAATTTGCTAGGAAAGACCGCGGTCTTGCCCTCCTTCGGCGAATCCCTTGCCATCTTTTCTGAAGCCCGTCTCAGGATAACCCCCCGCTCAACGAGGCGCAAACATAGGACAAAAGGACAAGGCTTCGCGACTGTATTTGGAAGTGAGTGAGAGGTCGGGATACGGTAGGTATCAAGTGGTTAGCGAACGTTATGTTTTTCATAAAAAAATAAACTAGGACAGGGTGAGTATGAGAAGAGATAGCCACCAAGGGCAGGGTTCGAACATTTCTTGGGGTCGAAGATCGCTCCCGCGTTCTAGTCCGGCAGACTGACTCGGGATCTCTTGAAAGCCAGGGACGATAATTAGACACCAGTCGGGGTTAGTCCACGAAAATGTGAACCAATTTTCATGCCAGCGCAAGGTGGCCGGGGGAGAAAACCTGGCTCCAATCGCGCTGAGAACGATGGGGGCAGCGAGCGCCGGAATTTCACCTTGTTCAATCGAGTTAAGCCAATGGGCGGCAGACACACCAGCCGAAGACAGAGCAGCAGGCAGTACGTACGTGGGTCGTGGAGTCGTTGCGCTGTTCGGGTACCGATCGGGGATAACTCAGGCGGTAAGGCCGACGACTGCTGGGCGCGCGTTACCTCTCCAGGTCACTCAGGCAGGCAGTCAGTCAGTCAGTCATGGAGCGAGAGGAAAGTCAAGAGAGCATGAATTTCGGAGACCGGGGGCGAAGCATGAATCTTCTGGTGATGGGGTAATTTGGTGTTCTTAAAGCGTCTCAGTTAAACCCCAGGATGCGCGCGCTGACGCGTTTGGCACTAACAGCCCGCGTAAACTCGCCTGGCTCTCCAGAGGAGGATGGCAATCTGCAGACATGGCCCGAGTGTCGCCCCAGGCAAGCCTGATTTGCCTGCATGCCTGCATGTCTGACTGAATGACGCCAGAAACTTGTTTGGATTCCTTTTTTTCGGGCCCTGGGATTCGTGCGGAGCAGCGTTTCGGCTGCCTTTGCCGAGTGATCGGTGGCCGATGATGTAGGCGGAGTGGGCCGCTGTTGGCTGAGGGGGCCTGACGATCTCCAGCCTATCGTTGGCTCCCGCGCGCCTCATCGTTCATCATAACGTGATTTGCTGTTCAGCTGCAGGGTGCGTTGTGCAACTGGAAGCGACAGCAGCGGGCGCATGTTCCTGCAGCAGTCGACATCTCGATCGTGTGCCACTAAAAGACGACGGCCACATCAACAGAAACAGCGCAACTGTGACTTGTTCTCTTCACACATAGCCAATTTCTCTTTTTATTACACTTTACCCTACCTGCCTTGCTACCCAGGAAACAGTCTATTTTTGACAACAAATCGCTGGCCCAATGCAACGCTTGAAGAAGATTTACGCTTGCTTCATGGCTTTTGGATATCAATGATGGCCCCCCGAACGCCGACATGCTTGCAAATGATGGTGATACCTGAATATAACCAGCTGGGAAGAGTATTTGCACTCGCTCCTCGTAATACATCCAATCTACTCTTGATCGCCTATAGGCGCGATGCCGCTGATTGCTCTCAATTGGCGTTTGCCAGGGTGTAGTTGGTCATCGCATTCATGCGCTCCGTGGTGAGCTTGAGTGAGATGCTCAGCAGTTCCTGGTAGACATCGTTCTCCTCCCTGCGTAGCCTTTCCCAGCTTTCCGTATCCATGACCCACGCTACGCAATCTTTCACCGCAAGAACGGTTGCCGTGCGGTCGGTCTGTGAGAAGAACGGCAACTCACCACAGGTGGTGCCCTGGACGATGGGCTCGGATAGCTTTCCCTGCGGAGTCTCGTAGTCGGCGCGTAATTCACCTGCCTCAAGAAGGTAGAAACCGTTTGCGTGTTCTCCCCTGTGATACAGCACCGAGCCGGCCTTGTATTCTCTCCGTACGAAGTAAGGCTTTGCGCGGTACCAGAAATCCTCATTCTTGTCACTGAGGTCGTGGAAAATCTGGAGCATGAGTCGAAGGGGCTCGCTAATAGTGCGCCAACGTGAAGCGCGTTTGACCTCGTGCTCGGTGAGTACGTTCTTTGCCACCTCATGTCGGTAGTCTCTCCTCGGAGACTGGGAGAGAAACTGGTTCGGATCGAGAGGCTGCACGGGCTTCTGTGGGGTCGGCACTTCGAGCGTGCTTGGTGGCATTGATCGAGTGACTCGCAACGCCTCCTGCTGAGTATAGAATGTTTTCAACTGCTCGTTCTCGCAGCTCTCCAGCGCTGAATTGAGATCAGGCATGAACATGACCTCAATCCCGTCATCGCCAAGACCCACGGCTCGAAGATCCCGTCCGATTCTGCTTTCAGCGTCCTTCCCACTGATGAGAAGGATGATGCCCTTCTTATGCAACAGTCTGCTGATTGTCATGAAGCCCTCGGCAGCCGAGTAGTCGATGCCGGTTACTTGCCAAAGGTCGATAATCAAGTACTTGATGGGATGCTCAGCGAAAACGTCATCCGCAATGAGACTTCGGATCTTTTCTTGGACTCCGACGATCGTCCCAAAGAAGAGATTGCCCACCAGCTTGATGATATAAGTCTGGCGGCCAACATCTTGCAGGTAATGGTGTTGCGAGGGGTTCCTCCTAACCATGGAGCCGACCTGGTCGCCTGTGTAGCAAGCGCGGATCGCAGAAACACTAGATTGGTGCACTACAACAGAGACGAAGGCAAGAATCATGCCGAGAAAAATGCCTGCCACAAAATCATACATGCCCATTGTCAGGACGATAGCGATGATCTGGAATAAAATTAGCCCGCAGCAATACACAACACGGATATAAACAACTCACCGTAAGGTATTCAAGCACTTTGAGCTTGCGTCTCGGAGCCACGAGGGCATCCGAAAGAAGCTCAAATCCGAGTACGAAGATCAATGTGCCAACCATCATGACCGGGATGAATCCAATCATTTTGGGGCCCAAGACCAGAGTCACTGCCGTCAGCGCAGCAAGCATCAGACCAGCGAGGCGGCTGTTACCACCAGACCGGATGAAAAACAATGTGTTTGCGTAGACCAAGTAATTCTGGATACTTCCTGCACATCCAGAAAGGAAGTTGGAGTACCCATGCAGCTTCAGCTCGCGGTTGAGATCCGCATTGTCTTCTCCGGTGGACTGGGCCAGCGCAGGCACGTTGATGGGCACATGGAGCAGGCTGAAGAATGTCAGGGCGAACATGGCGCCAAGTGTCTCAAAGATGGCACCCCAATGTACAAGATGAAATTCTGATCCTGGAGTTAGCGAATATTCTTGAAGATCCAGGCGCTGAGCAATGGAAACTCACTATACAAAGTCCAGAACCTGTACCAGGGCTCGTTGTCCTCTGGGGCTTCGAAGATCCACCCATGCTCCCTCAGGTTCTCGGGGACAAGCTCGTCAATAGAGAAGACAAAGAAGTAGAATATGAAGGGTATCATGAGAATATAGATGGACAAGAAATACTGAGAAGTGATCTTCTTCTGCAGAGCAAAAAGGAGGACGGCTAAGGCGAGCGGGATGATCCAGAGTGGTAGTGTATCCGGTTGTCCCAGCCTCTGGACGGTGTCCAGGTCATATCGGAACTCCTCGATGCGAGCAGATACTTCAAAGCCAGTCTGGATGAGGAACCAACCCACACCACCAATGCAGCCAATGAGGATGTGGCGTGGAATGAAGCCAACAATGTAGCCCAGCTTGAATTTCCCCATCAGCCAGAAGATTATACCGGTCAACATCGAGCTCAGGGCGTATGATGTTATCGTGGTAGCAATGACAGCGTCGGGCTGATCCTCGCCAACAATGGCTGTAATCGTTGCAGCCATACTATGGAAGAACGGCACGACCTCAATCTGTAACAAGTCAGTTGGTGACATAGATCTCTGTATATCACTCAAGTGGGCTTACGAGTTCTGAGCCGACACCACCTCGGAATATGCTGCCTAGAGAGAAAGTAATCTGCGATACAATTGTGCTGACGTAGAAGATGGATATACCCGACGGTCCTAGACTGGCAAAGATCGGGTTTCCTAGAGGAAACAGAATCATACCTACACAAGTGTATCAGTAAGATGCAGAGTAGAATGAGTGTTGTCGGTTCACCTACCATAGGATAGAGCGTCCAAGATATTGAGTAGCAAACCCACGACGACTGATGGCAAACAGCTTAGCGGTTCCATCACGACGTTCTGCCATATTGCCTGCTTGTCCCAAGTCTTTGGGTTTACCATGGTCGACGCAACCCTGACTCTGTCCCGGGCGATATCCTTGATACTGCCATATTTGTGGTAGCGTGACGGCGGGCGGGTCTTCTGGCTTTCGACATCACTCAAGTCGCCATCAGTAAGGTCTGGGCTGTCCGGGGGCCGCGAATAGCTTGAGCTGGTCCTGATGAGTAGTGGCGTGCTCTCCCCCATCCCATTGGCCCTGTGACTTCCAGGAGCTATCGGATCGTCCTTCTGCAGATGTTGGCCTGGCTGCCTTCCAGATTGGCCTCTGTCCTTGCTCGGGGAAGTATCATCAGTTGTCGATGTGTTGTCGTCCTTCGGTGGGGAGTGCCTGAGCATGCTTGACAGTATAGACGGCCCCTCATCAGGAATATCCTCAATGGCGCTCTCCGGCGAGCCAGGCTCCGAGACCTCTGCTATACTCTCGTCGTTCGAGTTCCCTATGTTTGCAGCCGCATGTTGGGACAAGGAGTTGTATTCGCGGTATGAGGCATCGGACGGCCTTCGTCTCAGAAAGGAAGCGCTCCGTTTATCCTTCTTATCGGACAGGACATACGAGGCAAGCTCGGCGGTGTCTTCGCGGACGCTGCGGGCAAAGCTCGCGCTATCGACGGGAGCTGGAACGACTGTTAGTGGGCAATGGCATCGGCTGCGTGGTTGGGCGGGCACTTGCATAGGTGGTCCCTTGCGGAACCGGGGATGAAGGACCTTGTTGGCTCCCGGTGGCCCGCCGAGCTGACGGAAGATGATAACAGTCTGGCGTCAGGATTCGCAAGCCTCGAGACCTGGCCCGGGCTGGCTGCTGCGCCTGGGATGTCCTGCGAGGCCGAGCGGGAGGCCGCGGAGGGAGACCTCTTCCTCCATGAGGAGAATCCGAAGGGAGTCGCGGACATGGCGACACGATGGAACTCAACGCGAGCGCAAGCTCAGGTCTGTCGAGTCTCTGCGCATCAAGGACAGCTAGGTGTAAAAGTCTGGTCTGGCTACCTGGCGTAGGCCAGAAACTCTAAGTGAGGGACGACACCGGAGCCAGAAGGCAAGGCATAGAAGCAGAGCGTAACTATAGGAGCCTAAGCATGGAGAGAGCTTCGCGTTGGGTGAAACGTAAACTTGGCGATACAGAAGAACGAAGCTCAGTGTTTGGCAGAGCCAGGCCGTCTAGCTACCGCAGTGGGGGAGATTATTAACGAGACCGAGAAACCTTGTTCATGGTCGACTTTCTAGGCCCGGAGCAGTTGGGAAGCTCTCGTCTTAGTACCCGTCTGGTGGCCCAAACAAATTTGCATGTGGTGGCCCCGCGCGCTGCTCGCAAGTGGAACATATCCAGGGACGAGGCCAGGCCGGAAGCGACTGATGGGCGACAAAAATTCATCACGATGGGGCAGGGATTCAGCAGCGTTCGGCGCCGATGACGACCCCCCGGTCTAGCCCTGTAGCCAATCCTGTAAGGGAAGGGATACCCGGCCGAGTGCCGCAGCTGAACGGCAGTGGATGCGGTTGTCAGCACGCTCTCTCGATCAAAGTTTGCTCTCTGCATACCACGTCTCTCTATGCCAGGTTTAGAGAGGTGCTGTTCTACCTGTCTCACAGTATAATACCTCGCACACTCCGAACCTCAGTCCCGAATCGCTCTGTCTAGTGCGGGGTCGCTGTGTTCCAACGTTGCTGGTGCTGGCGGCTGGCCAAGGTTTGCTGCGATCTTCCAGGTTCCAGGTAGGGCTGCGTAACCGGACGCAGAGAAATGGCGTTCGCTCTCATGGCAACGTCAGTCTGCAAGGCGAAATGCCGGGAGGCTTGGGAGGCCCTTCCGGTCTAGGTCGCTAGGGACATCACTAGCTGCAGTGCGACGCGAGCAACAAGGCGGCCGTGCCACGATGGAAATCCCCTCAAGAACGCGTGCCTCCTTGTGTGACATATCACACCTGGCCTGAGGGTGTGTTGATACAGGAGCATAAACCCCCAAACGCGGCTCAAAGAATACATGCCACCGATCTGCAAATAGAGGTCCAGAGCGTCCCTCGTGCTTGGAAATTGTGGATGCCGGCTGCATGATGCAATCCCTGCTGCAGGTTGCGACGCACGGCTGGATTGCGGGGGTTAGTTGGAGACGGTGCGAGCTGCTGGTTGGAAACTTTTAGTTCTTCTGTGTCTCCCGGCTCATTCTCTGTTTCTCCGGTCCATCGTCCGCGGAGAACTGTGCAAGACCATATTGCCGCTGACGCTCGAAGGTGCTCGAGGCACCTCTGGCTGCGCTATTCGCTGCCATTGTCGCTCTGGAGCATCTGTGTGATGAGGGACGGTTGCCTCCGGGTCACAACCGAGTATAGCCGTATAGCAGGGGTAGAAAGTGGACGTTGAAAGAATAGGTACTCCAATCGCCAATCGCCAAGCCGAAACCCCACTGATGCATGGCAGCTCCTGGGGACTTGCTCGATCCTAGTTTCGTTTTACGTACGGACAACGGTTAGGATTCGTCCGTCTATAAGGATCGATGCCAAGAACCCATCGGGACGGCCCTTTGAAGACTATAATGCTTCACCATGCAAGTATCAAAAGTTTTCCACGTCAGATGGCACGCTTTTGATATTGATCTCTGTATGTACATTGAAGACCGTTGGACCCCCACAGAGGGGGAGGATGCAATATACTGTGATACTGTGCACGACCTGGGGTGTGTATCCGTGCAGATGGTGTAAGACAAATGGATCTGCATCACATCTACACGTTGCAATCCGAAGCCCTCGCCGTATTCGCTTGAACAATACCCAATCCTGGGAATAAATTTCTGCGGACATAGCGAATAGCCGATGCAGACAGGTGTTCCATTTCCTGTAGGCATTGAGATCTGGTTCAAGCTCAGCTTCTAGTGAGTGAGTTTGCAAGCTGGAGTTAGCTGACAGGCCGGCTGAACTCATATCTAACGACGACGAACTGGTGGTAAGACGCCTGCTACCTGTCGTCCTAGTAGTTGTTGATGCTTGCAGACTGGCGGCCAGGTCACGCTATATGGTGTGAGAAAGTCGCGATATCGGATCACATCGGCGCCAAAAATACGTCCAACCCCTTGGCTGTGTGGTGAGATACTCGCATGGCCCAGAGCATGGCACCCCACGGCGAGCCGTGCGAGCCGTTGGAGCACCGCGCGTATATGCTGCAGGCTCTTCCGCATAGCCGACATGAGCTCAAGCCACTACGACCGCAGCCAGCGATGAGCATCCGCAAAAGAGTACGGGGAATCAGCCAAGCTTCTGCAGGTAGCCTTGTGCTATCAGACGCTCAACATCGCCCTGCCGAACAAAAAATTGGCTGTTCTTTGTCAACGTGATAGCGCTGTCGCAGTGCATTAGTAGGTGAATGCAGATATAAACAGGGATGAATAGATGGGATATCGCCTGACTCACCCATATTCGGTCTGGATCTCGCCGGCGTCTTTCAGGACGCGCACGTCAATGAAGAGATCCCTCGGCGGCTCCAGGCTGCCGGTCAAGTCTATGTCGGTCCATTGGCCCTTGTAGGCTGCCAGAAGATCGCTGTACTGGCGAACGTAATCCTCCTCCTGCGGGCTCAAGCTGCTGGAGCCGGCGTCGGCAGCACCTTGGTTCCCGGACACCTGCTGGCCGGGGAGGTCCACGACGTCTTCTCCTTTCCAGACCAGTTCCTCGAGCTTGTCGGTCCGGGTGCGGTGGTAGGCGAGCAGGCACCGCTTGTTGCGCCGCATGGAGAGATGGTTGACCAGCATGGTGCATGATTTGGCCTCGTCGGCATGAGGCTCGAAACTGCCCTGGAAGGATTCCAGGATGCTGGCCAGGTCCTTGTCGAGGTCGCGCACCTCGCGCGTCACGGCGCGGACGAGTTCGGTCTGGTACGGTGGCAGATATGCCAGATTCTGGGCCCGTTTCGCATGATGAACCTGGCGGGCACGGGTGAGTATACTCTTTGCGCGACTACATATTCCAGCTGGTGCTGGATTTCACCGAGGAGAGGGCCGGCCGTTGCTTACGAGCTTGTTACCTAGATCTCCGTACATCTGACCGAAGGCGTCTACAATTGGGCTTGAGCTGGCGGGTGGCTAGGGAGGCTTTGGTCTTGTCGGTGCGGAGGAAGCGTGGCGGTGGACGGTGACGGGTACGTATGGGCTGGGCCAGCTGAATACCTACAGGTAGGTATGGGTATGGGTATGGGTATGGGTGGACGCGTTTAATGGGCGGTAACCTGGAGACCAGACGCGACGACGTGCTAGAGCTGGGCGCTGGGTTGCCAAGGAGGGGCAGCAGTTCAGGGCCCTGCAGCGGACGACGGTGGCCGGCCCGGGGACGGGTGTCAGCGCCAACCCTGAAATAGCTGGAGGCCGGCAGCGGCCCGGGCACCGCCTGTGTTGGATCCTTCAGAGCCACTTTCTGCGCGTAGATTTTCCCTTTTCCAGCCCAACGGGTAGCGGAACAGCAGGGTGGGTCCGCCAGGAGCCACTGAGAAGCTGCCCCGCGCTGTGATCCCTGCCGCCCGAGCAAAATTGCAAATCCAATCCTCGCCGAACAGCTCCGTACCCCGCCAACTAATAGGGAGAAAAAAAAAAGACATCATAAGTTTTAGTGAGGGGTGGGAAACCCGATCGAGGTGATAAGTGTGGACAGACGAAGCGAAGCAAAATCAACCACCTCCTGTCTCCTGTGGCTCACTCTTGATCGATCCGACCCGATTGATCGATTGATTGATTGATTGCTTGCTCGCTCGCTCGCCTACCCCGAGCACCTCTTCCAACCCCTCAAAAGACCTCACAGGGCTTCAGTCACCCCCCCGCTCCCGAGATGGCTCAGAGAATCGCAATCGTCTCCGTCTTCGACAAGACCGGCCTGCTCGACCTGGCCAAGGGTCTCGTCCAGCAGAATGTCCGCATCCTGGCTTCGGGAGGCACGGCCAAGATGATTAGGGAGTCTGGCTTTCCTGTCGAGTAAGGATTCATGTCTTGTCTTGCACCGCCCTCGAGGCCTCCGTTTTGGTTGTTCTCTGCTCATCCGCCCACCACGCGAGATGCACCGAATACTTACAAACTTTTTTTGAAAATTGCAGGGACATCTCAGCCATCACCAAGGCTCCCGAGATGCTCGCTGGCCGCGTCAAGACCCTGCACCCTGCTGTCCACGCCGGCATCCTGGCCCGCAACCTCGCCTCGGACGAGAAGGACCTCGCCGAGCAGCATATTGACAAGGTCGACTACGTCGTCTGCAACCTGTACCCCTTCAAGGAGACCATTGCCAAGCCCAACGTCACCGTCCCCGAGGCCGTCGAGGAGATTGACATTGGCGGTGTCACCCTGATCCGCGCCGCCGCCAAGAACCACTCCCGCGTTACCATCCTCAGCGACCCCAACGACTACGCCGAGTTCCTCAAGGAGCTTGAGGCCGGCGAGATCAAGGAGGCCAGCCGCAACCGGTACGCCCTCAAGGCCTTCGAGCACACGGCCGACTACGACGATAACATCTCGGCTTTCTTCCGTGCCCGCTACGCTGCCGATGGCCAGCAGTACGCCACCCTGCGCTACGGCGCCAACCCCCACCAGAAGCCCGCCGCTGCCTTCATGAAGTCGTCCACCAAGCTTCCCTTCAAGGCCCTCAACGGCTCGCCGGGCTACATCAACCTGCTGGACGCCCTGAACAGCTGGCCCTTGGTCAAGGAGCTCAAGGCCGCCCTTGGCAAGCCTGCCGCCGCCAGCTTCAAGCACGTCTCTCCCGCCGGTGCTGCCATCGGCGTGCCCTTGAGCCCCGAGGAGCGCAAGGTGTACTTTGTCGACGACATCCAGGGCATCGAGACCTCGGGTCTTGCCCAGGCGTATGCCAGGGCTCGTGGCGCCGACCGCATGAGCAGCTTCGGCGACATCATCGCCCTCAGCGACGTTGTGGATGTGCCCACTGCCAGCATCATCTCCAAGGAGGTCTCGGACGGTGTGATTGCGCCTGGCTACGAGGATGCCGCACTCGAGATCCTCAAGAAGAAGAAGGGTGGCAAGTACCTCGTGCTCCAGATCGACCCCGAGTACACCCCGGAGCCCACCGAGACCAGGACCGTCTACGGTGTGACTCTGCAGCAGCACCGTAACGACGTCGAGATCTCCCCCAGGTCCTTCAGCCGCACTGTCACGCCCAAGGACTTTACCTTGCCGGAGGGTGCCGCTCGCGATTTGACCGTCGCTACTATTGCCCTGAAGTACACCCAGAGCAACTCCGTCTGCTATGCCAAGGACGGTCAAGTCATTGGACTTGGTGCCGGTCAGCAATCGCGCATCCACTGCACTCGTCTTGCCGGCGACAAGGCCGACAACTGGTGGTTCCGATTCCACCCCAGAGTGCTCGGCATCAAGTGGAAGAAGGGCACCAAGCGGCCCGACAAGAGCAACGCCATTGATCTGTTGGTCAGCGGCGAGCTCCCCAAGTCTGGTCCCGAGCGGGAGCAGTTCGAGGCTGTCTTTGAGGAGGTGCCCGCCGCCTTCACCGAGGCCGAGCGCGAGGACTGGTCCAGCAAGCTGGGCGACGTCGCCGTCTCCAGTGACGCCTTTGTAAGTTTGCTTCCTCCGTTTTGTGGTTGTTGTTGTTGTCGTCACGTTGGCTGACCAGTCCCAGTTCCCCTTCATCGACAACGTGTACCGCGCACACCGGTCAGGCGTCAAGTACATTGCGGCCCCTGGCGGCAGCCAGAACGATACCGCAGTCTACGAGACAGCCGAGAAGCTCGGCATTGTCTTTGTCGAGCAGAACGTCCGACTTTTCCACCACTAAATGCGGACCTCGGAATAGGATGCGTGGTGAAGGATTGCGTTGCAACCGGAGACTGAAAACGACAAAAAGTCAAAAGTTTAGAAAGATACCCGAGTGACGGAAGGACGGTGTCTTATGGGAATGGGAAAACTTTACGAATACTGAACGATGTACGATACCGTTAGCTTCTCAACTGAAGATGGGCCAAGAGAAGTCTCAACACTTCAGCCTGTGTCTTTTTGCAATCTGTGATACTTCCGTCCTCAACCGCGTAAAGACTGAGATGTCCATGTGCAGTCACTGAAACGGAGTTCCAATGTTGCGCGGAACAACAAAATGGAACCTGCTCGACTGAACCGCCAGAGCCTTATATACGGGAGAAGCAAGCTATAGTGTATGTGACCCGTAAAGTAGTTGGATACTGTTCATAGGAACAGCACAATCCTAACCAGTCCCAGTCCCAGTCCCAGTCCCAGTCCCAACCAAGCCTCGTCTCTCCCTCCCCGTTCCCCGTTCCCAGGAAAGCGAGACAAAGAACCAAAAAGAGAAGATCGATATACCTCGGTGCTCCGAGGTGCATCGGGAATTGAGCCCGATGCGGGGGTCGAACCCGCAGCCTTGAGATTAAGAGTCTCACGCTCTACCGATTGAGCTAACCAGGCCGATTGGTGATAGGATCCAACCGGGCAGGACAGATGGTTCTGCTGCTGTTGGGACGACGAGAGGCTGTGTGAGGCTATATTGGCGATATGGGCTGTGGGGTGGGCCCGGCGATGCCCTTGGGTCGTCGACGAGGGCTTGGGGGTGGCCCGGGTGGCTACCGCTAGCAGAATTTGGCCGAGGGTTAGGACAAAGGGGAGAATGAGGCAGATCGCGGTTAGTGAACACTGCCCTTGAAGGGGTGGTTGTGCTACCTTGCTTGCACCCGACTCGGTGATGACGCTCAGGGCACTATAGGACCTCGACGGAGATGAGTATAGTGGGCTACCCCATGGACAAGTGTGATACGATACAGCTGCCTTCTAGTTACCTGTGGTGACCCACATATCTGCCGTGTAAGTCCAATATTTATATCATTACCGTACTCGGAGCTGTGCCGCCAGCGGAGATGGTCGACGTCGTACTAGCTATGGACTCGTCTATACTGGTGATGATGGTGCCCGGTGCTTATGAATGGAGCAGTAGTAGCAGTAATCGTCACAGTGCCCGCAGCAGTAGCACTTCTTGCATTGGGCGAACTCGTGTATACTTAAACCCAAGCTGACTCTGTCGCGATTTGTCATTTCGCTTCTCCCCTTTTTATGTACTAGCCTCAAGCTTCCCCACGTAGACCTGGCAGGATTATAGCCACCTCCTCGAAGAGTGTTGCTTCTGAGACGTAGTATGCCTACAGGGCCCCTCGCCGACATCATTATGTCACGGTGAACTGAATCGCTGGTCGTCGGCAAGTTTAGGGGATATTCGCATCTGACACAATGCTCAGACGAGCTGAACTGTGAATTGGTAGTCTTCAACGCTTGGGCTCTCGCTTCTATTATTTGGTTGGTGTCATGTAGCGTATACCTAAGATAATCTAATTTGCATACCCCTGTGGCAGGTCACTGTCAGTCCTGGCATCTTCCCAACAGTCTAGCATTATGATTGTCAAACTATCTACGAAGATATTTCGACACGGACTTGGTGTCAACGGATATTGCAGAAAACCTTGTTCTTTTTGATGTCTTTCTACTAATCACCAAAGATCTATTCGGAGTTCGGATGTTTCGGGAAACACTCATGCGCTTCCACTCTCTGACACACACAGCCTTAGCCGTGCCACTCCCTTCTGAGTCTGACAGGGCTAGGGCTTGGAGTTGTGACAGTCGATACTATCCAAGTCGGGGTGTCCATCTGTAATGTTGACCACCCTAAATCGGGGACTAACCACACTGGAGTATCTACGGCTGAAGTGGACCATGAAGATGGTACTGTCGTTGCTGCCACGTCTCTTCGAACCTTGCTCGCGGTGGCAGTCGGGGTTCCCACATGGTAGGCTGACGAGCCCCCGCCCGTCGCAAGTTGTGTTGATGTACTTGTTTTCAAAGTCGACCGGGGATAACTCACCCCCGGCCCTGGTGGGCTGCCCACATATGAACTAGGCCGTGGTCCAATAGGATAGCCCAATGTTGGCTCGACGGACGCCGCGGAAGTTGGTTCCACGGTTTGGGTAGTACTGCTTGGCGCTTCGGACGGAACAGGTGAAGTGAATGGCGGTGGGGGGCTTCCGTAGCTATTTGAGTATTCGATATTATCCAGGAATGTAGAACCAACTCCAGCTGCTGCATAGTCGGTTTCAAAATGGAGTGTGTCTATGCCAATGAATTGGCGCTCCAAATCAGCTCTCGCCATCTTCTGGACTGCCCCGGGAGAATCCGGAACAAACTTGAATGAATTCCTCGTAGCTTCCCTATCCCTATAGTATCCAATAGCCGTGACATTGCAGCCGACGGCAACAGAAGCTATGGCATCAGGTGGGCCCAAGACGCATCCAAAGTAGAAGGAGCTAAGAATGAAGCTTGTGTAAACCGAAGTAGGATATCGAAGAGTCAGCTGTGGGAGGCCATCCACGGCTGTAGTTGAATCATATGCGCCAACGTTGGGTGAACTTTGAGGATTGACCCCGGAGAGAAGAATTCCGCCTTGACCGGGGCGAACGACCTCTGGGTGACTTCACGTCAGTTAATGTGGAAAGGAATGCAAGGCAAAAATTGGCGTCCCAAGTCGAACTTGAACCATAAATTAAGCCTGGAGACTAGAAACTTACTAACGCCTCGATAATCTAGCCCCTGATAAAGCCCAATCGATTGCGAGGCTGTATTGTTACTTGGAGCTAGTTCATCGAATGTTGCCCAGAACCCTACGCTGATAGCCTGGACTTCTGATGAAGCAAGAGCCACGAGGGCAAAGTACAATAAGTTATTAGTGCACAGCATGGTGATAATAGTATTGACTTATACGATTTTGAGGAGTGACAGCTAGTTAGAAAGAGTCGTGATGTATGAGCAAACGGATTCTATCTGCGAATGAGATAGATGTCAGCGGGCTTTATAGACGACGAGCTCTCCCAAAGACATGGCCTGGAACTCTTATGACCGCACTGATTTGGACATCCTTCGTACTAATAGGACACCGAATGCTGCACAGGGTATACTGGAAAGGCACTTTTTCAAAGAGTCTCACAGAAACAGGACGATCATTACTGCCCATCACTGTACAAGGCTGAGACTTTGGTGCCATTTCGAAATAATAACCTGCGCCTATGGTCTGGGGGTCTGCCTTGCCGTGGGCAGACACCTTACGTTGCACGAATTTATCTAGGTGTCACACGTCTGTGGCGTCTACTGGAAGTCTCAGAGGCTCAACTCTGCCTACGAGTTAGAATATTCTGTGGCGCTTTGGCTTGGCCAATGATAGCAGAAAAGGCGGCCAGCTGCAGTCTGTGGTCCGCTACCCCGCGGGCGAGGATCGTCAGGGGGTTTCTTCAGTTTTATTGGGGTTGCATATAACACTACCAAGTCATTTGCGAACTGGGAATATAAAATTCACGTATGGTTAGACACTCAGGCTTGATAATGGAGACTACTTCTGGGTCTACCACGAGAGTAGTGACATGACCCTCCGTCGGTGGCTAAAATGGATAACGCTGATTGGCAAGGCAAGTTCCGCAAAGCCACAAAACCCAACGATGCACGCAGGCCGATCTTGGCCTCGCCTCTCGTGGGCTAGCGAGACATGATCACCCATGCTGTATGAAGCTGACACCAGTGCCTGCACCAAAGGCATCGTTGGGAGAATAGGGGTCCAGGGGTCCAAGGCTATGTCACCAGTTGACCAGCTCCTAAACCGTGGAAGAACCCGTTGTCTTACAAGATTTGCGTTCCTTGCCTCCCTTTCCTCCATCCGGAGTTGCATGTTCCCGGTTCTACTCTGGCGTCTCAAGCGCCATCCCCTCCATAATCGCGATCACAACTTTGTAGCCAAACTTACCGTCACTGGTATTGTCAGACTACACAGTGACCGCGGACAAATAGGGCTGGAAGGCTTACAGTTCACGCTTGTTATCTTCTGAGCCCTCGGCTCTCCATGCGCCCGCGCGTTAGATAATATTTCGAGCCGAGAAAAAGGGATTGATGCAGAAGTCATTTTCCCCAGAGTAGACAGACGTACTAATGCTGAAGATTTTCTCTTTCCCGTACGCCATGAGCAGTGACATATCCTTTCCGATATGTGAAGTACCGGAACCAGCGACTTTTTTCGTCACAAAATAGATCACATTAAGTAGTAAGAATGGATATAAGAGGGGCACACAAAGATTTACCGTTGATGCGGGTCTTGGATTGGTCTCAGCGGAACAGCTTCACTGTCTCACTGAATGGGGTTGACGTCACATGGCACAAACGAGACGAGTGAATGATGTTCCGAATACCCGGTGCATGGTTGATTCGGACAAATTGCATGAACATACTACAAGATCGACGTTGTTGCCATCAAACAAAATCTCTCGGTAATTAGACGACGACTTTAAGTAATAAGCAACTGAACGTCCAACACAAGTACTGGTGTACAGGAGTATTCCACTTCAGGTGCTGAACGGTCTCTCTGCTTGCCGGTCTCCACTCCCACACATGTATTTCTCTTCTAACACTAGAACCAGCAGTCCAGTTCAGAAGTCTTACGTCCTTTGCTCGGCTCGTCCCACTTTCCAACATTACAGGGTGCCCTGCCAGTTTTGCTGTATTGCATCTAACCAGGGTTTCCGGTTCCCGAAGCGTGATCCTTGTACTGGAAATAAGCCTATAAAAATGAGGAGAGGAAAGAGTCGAAAGTCGTTCCTTTCTATTTATCGATGATTTTGATTTTTCCGTGTAAACTTAGGAGGTTTCTCCCACCTCCAACAAAGAATGTGGACTTGAAAGGCTGAGGCAGACCTGGAATGTCGAGAGAGTGTATCTTCGTAAAGACTTCCTCACCGCCATAGCAAATTTTCATTTTCCCGTCGAAGATCTGAACGTCGCCCATTGGGAAGGTTGCGCGGTCTCGGAAAGTTAATTTTTTCGGAGCTAAGGTGCACTCTACAGGTTCCTCCATTGAACTCTTGTTAACTTCGTGAGATCCTGCATTAGAGGTGCTACAAGCCTAGAACCAACGGAGGCAAGGGTAAGAGTGAGAGATATAGTGGAAGGCAGGTTTAAAGATTTTGAATCAGGATTTGAAGACTATTGAGAGGATTTCGTTTCTGTTTCTGCGAATACTGTCGTAGTAGCTATCAAAGGTTGCTGGAGAGGATAGCTGATGAGGCTTATTAATTTAGTTTTATTTTAAAAAATTAAAATAAAACTAAATTAATCCTAAAGGGTTTAATTACAAAAGAAATTAGTGCTATCAAGATTTTAAAAAATAATGTTCTATAGCGTTGAAAGATAATAGCCTTGTATTTCTGTCACAAGAGGGCCGAAGGTCAGGTACAATTGGTGTATTCAACTGTATGATGTGGTAGATTACAAGACTGAGTCTTGCCCCTGCTCCCATAGGGCAGCAGACTGGAGAATAAGCTTGTAGCGTAGGTGGTACGGGGCCGGAAGGTCTATGAGACCCTACCAACACAATTGAACCCAGCTGCCGTGACAACTTCCTTCCACAAAGATATTATAAAACAAAACCTAAACCCAATCCATATTCTACTATCACCGTTCTATGAAGTGCCACAGTTACATGGCGAAGATAAGACCAACTGCTCCCAAGACAAGTGCCGACATGTCAGGGAGGTCGCGGCCGATGGCACCGCCCTTGGCCGGGGTGGAGGTGTCCGAGGGAGTCGAGGCCGTTGCAGTTGTGGCGGTAGTTGCGAGCGTGGTGCCAGCATTGCCATTGCCATTACCGCCAGAACCGCTGCCCGTGGATCCGGTACCAGTGCCAGTCGCCGCGGGACGGTCAGTGGCGTCGGGATTGGCGAAAGGGGTGGTGGTGGGAGCTGGTAAAGTTATCCCAGCGCTGGTGGTTGTCCCACCGATGGAGGTCGTCGAGCTAGTCAACTTGCAGACAATGCTGCCAACCTGAACGACATTGGTGGACAATCGCGATGGAGTGCCGAAAGTGAAGGGCTTGCCACCCGAGCCGGTGCCGTCTGTACCCTGGTACGGCGTGCAGGTAACGCTTTGCACGGGGACACCGTCGGCCGCCGTCAGGTACAGCGTCCCAACCTGGGACAAAGCCTTCTGGTTGGTGTAGACAGTGTCAATAGGCACGGTGATGCTCACATTCCCGAAACCACCGCCAGCTACGCCCTTCGTCTCGACAAAGATGGTGGCGCTAGGGGCAGCGTATGCCGTACTGGCAATGGCGGCAGCTGTGGCGACAATGGCAGAGGCACGCATGATGAGGAAGTAGGTACTCTGTATGAGCGAATGTGTCAAGGAGATGGAAGGAAAAAAGAAACTAGAAGAGATCTATAAGACTTAAAATGGGTTGGATGCTGATGAGGATGATGAGAGTAAGTTAAGAGATTCACCTGGAGAGGGCAGCGTCTTATATCTGTTTCCGTTTGATCACGTATACTATACACATCCAACATCAGCCTGGTACATACGAATCAGGTAGTTAAGCACCAGTGTATACGGGGCCAAATGGGCTATACGGTGAGACGCAGCCGCCAGCTGAAGAACATACGGGCCGCATGTTGCTGAGGCGCAATTCTGACTACTGCGTCGGTCGGCTGTGGATGCTAATCCCGGGCCGCTGGCGTCCAGGGTCCACCCGCGATTCGTCCTAGAGTTGCGGCACTGCTGAATGGCGACCGGCTAGCACCAGGATCTAATTTACAAAGCACTTTTGTGGCTGTTTCGCTGGCTGTCGTTGGCATGGAGCTGCCTAAGACTGGAGCTTTGGGGAGTCGGGAAAATGGAAACCTCCATGCCTACGCTACGTCCAAAAATGAGGCACGGTTATGTAACCTCACCTTGCGAAAATCGCGTTACAGCTTCCACCGCGTGCATTGCGAGCAATTAAAGCCTGATGAAAAGATTCGATGCAGAGAACGATCCTTCCATGTTTGGTTCACCTTTGAGCCTTTTTTTTAAAAGGAATTTGTTAACGTTGTCTCTCGGGGTATGCGGATAAAACTAATCTTATTTAAGTGTACAGGCTTGTCAAAGATTCCACCGCCGAACATAGGCCTTGAAAATGACCATAGAGGTACTGAGTAAAGCACCTCCTTTCCAGTTTTTTTTTTTTTTTTTTTTTTTTTGGGCAGCCTCATCCAACAGCAGCTTCTGTTTGATCTATGCATTTTTTCGGCTTTGTTACACTAAAATGTTTTCTTTTCACTTCGATGCATTTTTGACGAATTTGCATACTATTTTTCTGTAAAGTATTTGATATTTATCCTGAATTGGCATTAGGTAGGTTGTGCCTAATCGCTAATAACCACATAGATAGTATATGCCCATCATTAGAAAGAGTGGAGGCACAAAACTGTAACATATACATGCTCGTTCGTGTATTTGATCACGCCCCAAGTATCGCGTCCGCAATCTTCTCAGCCAACATATACACCGTGCCCTGCGGATTCGCCGGCACGGCAAACGGGATCACACTCGCATCTACTACACGCAGACCCTGTACGCCAAACACCCTCGCCTGCGAATCCACCACGGCCATGGCATCGCTACCGTCGCTATGCCCCATCTTGCACGTGCCACTCGCATGCCAAACCGTCGTGGCCGTCTGCCGAACATAGTCCAGAAGCTGCTCATCCGTCGCGGCATGCACACCAGGTGCGATCTCGGGCCCGACCTGGATAGAGGCAGTCGACGGATCAGCCCAGGCCTCGCGACAGCGCTTAAGTGCCGCCACGGCGACCTCACCATCGCCCGGGTCCGAGAGCCAGCCCAGGTCGATGACGGGGGGTTCCTTGACGCTGGGGGAGGTGATGGTGACGTTGCCGCGGGACAGCGGCGCCAACAGTGTTGCAGTAAAGGCGCCGATGGTTGGGGGATCTACTAAGCCGGACGGGATACCGAACGGGACGTATTGTATTTCGGGCCAGTCTGGGGGGAAATCTGCGAGCTTGTCTATCGTGGACTGGGAAAAGTTGGAGCGTAGAGAGGTGGGGATCTTCTCGAAGGAGGAATAACCGCCTGCTGCACTGAAAGGCCCGGCCTGGTCGTCGAGGTATTGGCGTAGGATGTCTTGTCGTACGGCTGGATCGGGGGAGCTGACAAAGGTGGTGCTGGCTGAGGTATTAACCCCCTGTTGTACGTTGAGGGCGAGTTGTTCCCAGAGATTCTGTCCGACACCCGGAAGATCCTTGATTACGGGGATGCCGAGAGACTGAAGGGTGCTCATGGGGCCAATACCTATATCGAGGCTGCGTCAGTGCGAATACTGAAGGAGTCAAGTGACAAATGTCTTACCCGAGATCATCAAAAGCTGGGGAGAGTGGATGCTGCCGGCCGACAGAATAACCTCTTTGGTTGCATTCAATGTGTATTCAAGCCCTTGCGTGTCGACTACCACGCCCATGGCCTTCCCATCTTGGAACAGTATCTTGGTCGCTTGTGTATGCGGATACACCATTAACTCAGTCTCCTCGATGGCCTCAAGCAGGTAACTCGCAGCCGACGAACAACGAGTCGCATGGCGCGGGTCAATAGTTGACGAAACGAAATCACCCAGACCGTTTAGTAAACCAGCGTTCAGGCCTGTTGGGCCCAGCGGCATTCCAATGCCCTGCAGTGCTTTTGCGAGCCACGCTATAGTCGGGTCGACCCAATTAGCAAAAGACACCTGCAGAGGTCCACCACCAACACCGCACGTATCCGGGTCCCAGTACGGCGTCGCGTTGGCCGCGTTCCGCTTCTCCAGATCGGGCGGCGTAAACTGACAGCTCTTCCGAAAGAACGGCAGCACATTATCCCAGCGATAGCTCTCATCGCCGACCAATTCAGCCCACCAGTCGTAGGTTCCCTTAGACCCGCGCAGATACGCCAGCGTATTGAGCGCAGAGCTGCCGCCGAGCGTTTTGCCTCGAGCGTAGTGAATCTTGCGCCCGCCGGCTCCCGGTTGCGGGACGGAGACCAAGCTCCAATCCACCAGAGGCTGGCGTAAATACGTCGCCGCGTCTGAAGACAGTAGCGGCATAGTCAGCGCGTAATAGGGCACTACGCTCTGGTTGCCGTTGTCCGTCTCATAAACTCCGCCGGCCTCGACCACGGCGACGGAGAAGTTGGGGGCTAGACGCGCCGCTATGGCGAGTCCTGCCGTGCCGCCTCCGATCACTAAAGAGGGTCAGCATTCTCGTGTATGTGTTGAAGGGACAATTGGTGACTTGCCTACATAATCATAGGTCGCATTGGTTCCTGGCACAGCGAAGGCGCTAGAAGGAAGTCTGCGGGTCTCCACTGAGCTGGCCGCGAGCGCCACGATACATAGCAATTGAAACAACATTCTTGCCGGCTGCTATCAAGACTGAAGGGTTGTAGATCAGGGTCTCGGGTACGTATATGTAAACGTTGTTGTGTGAGCAGCCACCTACGTCATATACCACCCTTGGGCACAGTCGTGACAGACGCTTACCAGGTTTAGAATCCTCTAATTACAAATAAACCCTGCCATCTTGCATTTCAATTCATTGCATGCAGATTACATGGTGCTGTGGCATTCGGCTTACGATAGGTGCATGGAACTATGTAACTTTGATTTTAAACCATTTTCGACGTCTTCCTCGACGATCGTTAAATTATTCCACCTAATTAATTCCACCTCCCAGCTTAACTGGTCGTAGACTGGATTCGAGTGAGCTTCTTGAACACCGCAAATGGTCATTGGCAGGATGATCGAACTGACCAACTGATTGAGGCCGTGTGCTAGCTTTGGGGGACAGTTCAAGGCGCAGTGTATGGAGGGATTATGCAACCATTGGACGTGGGATAGCTTTCCGAGAGGTCGTACTTCGGACCTAAGGCAGCATACTAGGAGACCAGACAAGAAGCAGAACTCTAACATGCCGTCCCTGGGTGCGAGAGGAAGACGAAGCCAGCTTAGCTTTCCAATGTCGGAGGCATAGACTAAGATGAACATTCTGTATAACACTGGTGGACCTGACTTACGACGGTGTAGCGCACGATATTCCGCCGGCTCATCGTGTCCACTTGTTGAACGTTTTATGCACAACTCTGACAGAAGAAACCCCGGGTGACCTCATGATCCGTCTGCAAAAGGGTGCTTGGCCCAGTGCCGTCAGTCATTATGCGTTAGGTTGCTGAGAAGGTGCTGTGGCTAAGGGCCAGAGACAGCGAAGCCTGCTTGCAAGGCAGACCTACGGGTCTTACCACTGTTAATAGGCACTTGGGAGCACTGCATGTGTACGTCAATTGGATGCAGGATGGGTTGGGTTGGGACAGGGCGATTGCCGCAACTCCAAAACGAATCTGCTCTTGCTTGTACGCCAGACTTCTGGCATTTCTTTGAACCTTCTTTTAAGCTCGCCTCGTTCCGCAAAGTCTGCCTTTCCCGATTGGACATCCTCAGATTCAGAGGCCTGCTCTTTGAGATGTTCTTCGCTCATTCGAGGCCCCATGGATGGCGTAAGGATGGTAGGGATGTCAGATACAAGGCAGTTATCGACAGCTAGGTTTTAATATATAAAGTTGTTAATGAAATCTAGAGCGTAACGTTAGTTGTAGGCTTATTACGATGCGCTGAAGCAATACCTGATCGTGCCATTGCCATGTCAATCACTCTTTCGGTGCCGAATCCGCTGATATTGGTTTTCGCTGCAACACTAAGAGCTTTCTCAACTGTATTTTGAGTAAGTCAACGCGACCAGCCTCGCGTCTAATTGCTTTCGAGGAGAGAGTTGCGTGGAATTCCGCGTTTGAGGGTAGACCGTATGCAAACTCATGTGGCCGTAGAATCTCTTGTAGCTTCGCTTTCAAGATTTTGCGCCTTGCCAGGAAAAATCATCCACGTAAAATAGTAAGACAGTATTGATAGTGTGCGCATCCGCCCCAATGACGTGCGGGGAGAGCTGCCTTGCCACTACTATAGGTGCCCCTAGCACCTTGAACCTCTGGACTACACAACTGGGTTACGCAGTGCGCGAGGGTGAGCCCAATACTTGCCTTACCTACTGCAGTCAACAGAACTTGCACAGTCTGGCGGCCCAGTCAATCACAATGATTGTGCGTCCGTTGGCGGTTAGGTATGTATTTGCCCAGGCGTGCTATAGAAGCATGGAGGAACAAGTAGGCGATGCCTTTTGGCCCACTCCAGAAGTATTCGAACTCTGTCTCGTAGGTCTCTTGTTCAGGGAACTTAGCCACAATGTTTGCCAGTGCTTCCTTCGACAGTCCGTCTTTGTCTGAGATTTGTCGCAGCGTCCGCTTTGGTGCGAAAAGAAGCTTGGACATGGCGTCTGTCTGATTTTCATTTAAAGACTTCCCGTGATGGACACCCGGACTGGCGCTTGCTCTGTCTACCAAGTGCAGCACGACGACCTCTGCGACTGGTTCGGACTCGGTCTCACATCAGCGTAGGAATCCTCCACTATACCTTATTGGTTTCAGGCTTCCCGTGTAATTGTGGGGCGAGTCCGAACCAGCGAGTGGCCCAGGGGTCTCTCTCAAAACGACCCAGTCACTCTAATTCGGGAGACTAGGGTGATCATCCAGTGCCGAGTTGCTGTCTGTGTTTTGTCTTGGCCGCAACGAATCATGAGATCTGCCATGGCTGTGCCTCAGTCGTATACTCCTGAATGCCAAGTCAATTTCCACGACTTGCGAATCGAGGAACACAGATGTTGGCTAACGAGTCCGGTTCTGATTATAAATATGAGAGATTGCTCTGTTTTGCCCCTTCTGATGTAATTGGACTTCATCTAATCTCTCACCAAAGTTGCAGTACTTCTGAGACATCAAGTATGCGACTATGCGCTGCGTCTACCGTGGCCCTGGGCCTACTTACCGTTGGCTCAGGAGCTCTCCTCCCGGAGCCCGCTAAGGACCTGAAGACCATCTCTAGCGGTCTCTTCCCGGGTTTCTCGATCTCTTACAAGCAGGCAAGCCTTCGAAACTCCCTAATTCGCTGGTCTCCCATAATAACCCCTTATCGAACAGACACATATATGTGAGACTACCCCGGGCGTTAAGTCGTTTGCTGGCTACGTCAACCTCCCGCCGGGCACCATACCGGGACAACCCTTCCCGATTCACTCGTTCTTTTGGTTCTTTTCTGCACGGTCCCCCAACAGTCAGAATGCACCTCTCTCGTTGTGGCTGCAGGGCGGGCCTGGCTCGCCGTCGGTCGTCGCTGCGCTGGGCTCAAATGGACCGTGTATCGTGCTCGAGGATTCTAAGACGACAAAGTTGAATGAGTGGAGCTGGAACTCCGGCGCGAACATGCTGTATCTTGACCAGCCCGTGCAAGTCGGTTTCTCCTACGATGAGCTTGTGACAGGGACCGTCAACGAGACGCTTTCACCGTTCTTAGTTACGAAGAGCAATGCTTCGGTAGTTGGCGGGGACGATTTGAACGCACTTCCGGGGATATTTCCGTCACAGAAGCCTTCCCAGACCGTAAATACCACGGCCTCATCGGCGAGGGCGATGTGGTGGTTCCTACAGAGCTGGCTGCAAGAGTGAGTTCACTTGTTCTTTCTTTCTTCCCCTCTCTGCCCAGAACACTGAAGATTGAGTGAAAAAATAGATTTCCCGAATATAGCCCTCCTAACAAAACTTTATCTATCTGGGGCGAGTCATACGGCGGACATTACGCCCCGGCTCTTGCGTCGCACATCGCGGCCCAAAACTCACTGCTCCGCTCGTCGCAGTCCAATATGTCGAAACACGCGATTCCTATTACCGTCGATGCCTTGGGACTGGTCAATGCGTGCATTGATAATATTGTGCAGACGCCACTTTATCCCGAATTTGCATTTAACAACACGTACGGGATCCAAGCCATCAACGAGACTGAGTATAAGGCCGCGCGGGCTGTTGTCCCAGAGTGTATACGCCTATCCGAGAAGTGCCGCGCCTTGGGCGACGAGCTTGATCCGCACGAATGGGGATCCGTCAAAGAAGTCAACGATGCATGCGCGGCAGCATTCATGTTCTGTTTTGGAAGTGACAAGGCCGCATCCAAGATGCAGCCGTTCCAGACTAAGGGTGTGAGTTTTGTTATCCCCCTTTCCCTTTCCGCCCAATGTTATGTAGTCCACATGCTGAACTTCGTGTTGTAACTGAAATAGCGCGACCTCTTCGATATCACCCAGCCGAAGCCCAACCCATTCCCGCCTAAGTTCGCTGCCGGCTACTTGAATATGCGCGAAACGCAACAAGATCTAGGTGTCCCTCTCAACTTTACAGGCTTCTCGGCGGCTGTCAAGACGGCTTTTGATTCGACAGGCGACTTTATTCGAGGAAAAAGTCTCGCCGAATTGGGCCAGTTGCTCGACGCCGGCACGCGAGTCATGCTGATGTATGGCGACGCTGATTATCAATGCAATTGTAAGCCTGCGTTCCGTCCCTCCGTCTGTTTATGGTGCTATCACGTGGGTTGGAACAGAGAGCTCAAGATTTCTAACCTGATGCAGGGCTCGGGGGAGAGCAAATCAGCCTCGCAATCAACTCGTCTGTATCCGCAGGGTTTCGCGCTGCAGGATACACAGATTTATTCACGAACAGCTCGTACAAAGGGGGAGTGGTGAGAGAATACGGCGGTCTTTCTTTCGTCCGTGTTTTTGATGCCGGTCATGCAGGTACGGCCTTCTCCCTCACCTGAAATACCCCCTCTTTCCCAGAACTGACTCTCTATGATTTCTAGCACCATATTACCAACCCGAAACAGCACACGCAATCTTCACGCGCACTCTCGCCCGCACTGATATCGCTACAGGCCAGTCTAACAGCTTTAGAGCCAGCAGCGGCCCGTCCAGTTCTTTCGGCATCAAGAACGCGATTCCACCCCCAAACAAACCGTTGTGTTACGTCTGGGATGTTTTCGAGACGTGTAGTGCGCGCGAGACTGCCCTTTTGGCGGCCGGCAGGGGCGTAGTGCGTGACTTTGTGCTCGTTGGGGAGAGGACTGATAACGGAACGGAGATTCTGTATGGGAACGGAAATGTTCATGGTGGCGGAAATAATCCGTCGGCTACAATTTCAACATCAACACCAAATAATACCGAGACGGCCAGAGCAGGAGCGGGCAGACGTGTTGTTGGTGGGCTAATTGGTGGATTAGTAGCTGCAGTTAGTAGCGTGGTGCTCTTGATCTGGCTATAAATTCTATCGATAGTTTGTAATGTGGATATAATTGTGTACCTATTTAATTGAATTTCTTTTTAAATAGGTGGGCAATCTTTGATACTCCGTTGCCTTGGTTTATAAACACTTTCAACTCTCGTGTCGTTGGCGTGACGGTTGTGAACAAAGGCTGTTGCCCCGAATAGTTATCCAATTATTACGACAAATGGCAGGCGTGCGAAGACGTCACGCAACCGCATGAGAAAGCTCCGAAGCATATCCCCCTGTCTTTGACTATCTGATGCTGAAGACAAGACTTAACTTTGCATTGGCTGAAGCCCCCGCTTGGCAATAGATTGGTTATACCTGACCTCGTCTTCCTCCCCGTCACGCTTATGCACATCCAGCTGCAAGTTCTTCTGGTTATGATGCAGTCCTTATAACAAGACCAAAGCTTTGCCCTTCACCACTTTCATGGCGCAAGACACGCAACAGCCCTTGCCACGAGCTATTATGGGGTAGTCGTTAACCTCCAATGATAATCGGTCGAGATTGTCCAAGCCCAGCCATCTCGCCGCACCATCGCCGGTAACATAGAAATACCAGACGTCCTGACAGCGGAAGATTCTTTCAGGTATTCGAGAGGCGTTCCACTCATCCTCAGGATGTTTCACGACGTAAGTCTGTGTGGTATCATTCTCCATCTTTGCAGCCACCGGCCAAGTCAAGTGCCTATCGATTACGCGTCGTCTCTCAACCTCAGACTGTCCCGTCTCGCAGGGACATTTTCTTAGTATCTGCAACTTCACGCACATGTCTTGCTTTTCACGAAACCCAAGTCGCCACTTTTTGCATACTTGGCCGCTGTGAGCCCAGTCGTAGCTTTGCACCACTGTAAAGGCGTCCTGTCCATGGTATCCGATATGTGTGCCAACAACCTTGGCAGTCCACACCCCAGGCCAGAATGAGATGCGGGGCTCAGAGTTAAACAAAAGCTCTCGGGTGGCATCGATACCAAAATCAGTCATTCCATCAATTATCCGCGCCTTTCGAATACCGTCCCGTGCGGGTACGCCAGGTTTTATGTGCAAGCTACCACTAGCCGCATCCGTGGGATCAGATGCCTCCATGATATCCAAGAAGACGCTCCAGCCGTGGGAACTGATCAGAATTGCCCTTGACACATACTCCTTTGTGAACCGACTTCCAAGTAATAAGCGGCAGACCAGATCGAAACACTGGAGAGTGTCAGGCACGGCTTGCCGAAGAAGTCCCTCACTGTCAGTGATGCTTTGAGTTTCCGTGCTAAGGTCCTCGAATGTGTCCAGGGAAAGCGGCATCAGTTCGCACCCAGTCAGGTCTCCCACTTTAGCAAAAGCGTAGACAACGGCAACGATTGCTGACCAAGAAATGTTTCTCTTGCGACTGATGCTAACCAGCTCGATCGTGTCGTCACACAAATCATCAGTATCGATGTCGAGAAGAAAAGAAGCTGCTCGGAGGATCTTAGGTCGCAAAAAGTAATTGGTAGACGCATAATCCACGTTTTGTTCGAGTGTATTCGAGTCTTCGCTATTCTGTGATGACTGGTTGAGAGAAGCAGGCTGAATTGTGTCGTACTCATCTAAATCTTCAGTATCCTGGGATAAGTGACTCAGAGATGCAACCTTGATGGTATCATCACTCGGCGGACTTGAGTTGATATCAAAGTGATTTATACATTTTGAGACGAGCCCTTTCCCATAACCAATCAACTCGTCACCTTCTATGCCATGAGATGTCAGGATCTGCCGTAGAAAGCCTCTGGCTTCCTTTCGTTGATCACAGCGGATGTAGGGGTCAGCATCATCCCGGTTCAACGTGAACACCGGTACATTCTCCGATGCCCGCTGGAGAAGAACCGCAGAGACCTCCAATGAATTGCACGACTCAATCGTTACATTATAGGGCCCGGCTCCAAAATGCACGAGCGTATCGGACAGTCGCACCAGCACACTGATGCCCAGGATGTGGTAGCACCAAAGCACAACTGAGGAAATACCTCGATCGCAAGAGAGCTGCAATATGCAGTCCTCGGGAAATCTCTGAACGGAGTCAAGAGATTTGATGAGGCCACGTAGAATGACATATGGCATCGCTCTATCTGAGAGGGATTGTTGGTGGACAGGTTTGGCGGACTGACCACCACGAGACTTGCGTCGCTTTGCAGGGCGCTCCTGCGTGGAACGAGCTTTCAGCTCCTTCAAGATCTTGTCCTCAATAGCAGCATAGTGGTGCGCCCATGAAAACCCCGCAGTCTGCTGTTGGCAAGCCAAAACGGTTCCGAGTAGCGACACATAATTCAATCCGTGGCTGGTCGCCGCCCTGCTCTCAATGAGCATATCATCGATGGCCTGTGTCAGAGCCTGCGATAGCGATTGATGTTCGTGGGACCACGCCAAAAACGACACTTGAATGACCATCGACAGCAGGGCTGGGTTGCCACACGTCAATGCTTGCGTGACCGTGGGACCCGAGCCGCTCTCTAATACCAATTCTTTCATGAAGTGTGAGAGAGGGGTACTGCTAGACCGGGATACAATATCGCGAAAATGCGTTGCTATCACATCGTCCAGGCGATGCCGGCCTAGGATGTGGGCAAGTTTCAATTCGGTCAACTCATCGGAGCCAGAACGCTCAATTGCCTCTCGTACAGCGAGGGATCCCAACCTGAATGCGGTCTTGGTCAAGGGAGCGACAAAATTGGTCAGCTCAAGCCCTATCTGAAGGCCTACGGGGATAGACATGTCGATCCCTCACGAAGTAGCCTCTCTCGAGCACAGTTCCGAGATTTGTGGAAAGCAGCAAGTAGCAGTAGTAGTTCACCATGTAAGCGTTCAATGAGGATTTCCTCCCCCGAATGATGGTGACGACCACCATATGCAGATGGATATGCGGCTGAGGATTGGCGCCTCCGCGGTCATCAAGGAGGTTAAACCCGAGCCTGCCGTGACGCCCCTTGAGCACTGCCACGGCTGCAGGCAGACTGGCAGATTGGAGTTATTACAGTTGGAGTAAGCCTATGCTGCGCCGCCAGTCGCTTCCCACCTTCAGCTGCTAACAACCCGGGCTCCTTTGCGCATGGCAGGGCGCAGGGGATATGCGCTTTTTATCATGATAAGCCGAAGCTCTGCACTTGTACGCATTACTATAAGGGGGAAAAATCATCCGAATGCAATGTCGCCAGCCCATCGAAATAGTCTTTACCGCAGCACACTGTCAATTGACCCATGAGTTTCCACAGGGCTAACGCTGGCCTGCGATTGGGTGTCCGTCAAGAGACCTGAGGCGCACGGCAATAGGACAAGAAAGCCTAGGATTTTTGACTCGGGACAGGACGCCGGCCCGAATTCTCTTTGTCGCTGTGCTTAAACTAACCAGCAACCGTATAGACCCGAGTCTCGTTTAACACACACCAAAGCCAAATATGTGCTTCTTTATCAAAAGTCAAAAGTAGTCCTTCTACATGTTATGAGAAGGCCGTAAAACTATTTCGATAGATTACAGCCAGCTGGCTAGGTGAACGGTCGTTCTCATGGCCGCAATTCATGGCCGTCCTTCCTCGAGCTGAGTTCATAATAATCGTCTCGGGAGTCAACAGGTATACTCATCAACATCAATGGCATTACAAGCCAGTTGCATCTCTAGGAAATGTCACTCTACTTAATTTCAGTTGATAACCAGATTCCATCGTCCCAAATGCATCCATCGCCTTGTAAGGGTCAAGGCCAAACGATTGACTACCTCTTCCACACTTATGTTAGCCCAATCATACCACGGAACATCTTTCAACACATACAGCCCAATGTCTAAATAGTGAGCTGAGATGGCTCTAAGGTGTCGCTCGTGTTGTATTACTCCCGCAGACGGCGGTATCTACAGATGTACCCGGAGGACGGCGCAGAGACCTTTGGTTCGGGCTGTGGGGTACCAGATGTGATCGTCTACCACCAGAGCGAACTTCCCTTGGTCGAAGTCGGGGAGTTTGGGAACTTGTCCCAGCCAGAGTCGCTCAGGGTGCAGGACGACACTCCATCTCTTAATCTGTGCCTTTGTGCGCAGAGTGATGCGACTCGGCCCACCAGTCTGGAGTGGGACTTGGATTGCTTTGAATTCCTGCTCGTAACCAGAACCGAGGAGGAAACCTCTGGTGATATCAGTCCACGCTCGTAAGACCAGGCAGGTGAGGTCCCGACGAGAAGAACCACGACCAGAACGTGTATCATTTGCATGATGGCACGGATGACCCATGGGTACATTCGGAAGATAAGGAATGGACAACATGTGACTCCGCTGGTACAGATATTGAGCAGGGTCGGGACGAAGTCTCAAGCATCTAGCATTAGGTTGGCGGCAAGTTGCGGCATGTTGCAATTCTACGCGGATAGATTGATGTCCCGTCTAAGCCAGGTTTTCTGCACAGCTGGGGAGGGAGGAAGTATTGATATAATAAACCACTTAAATCCATTGTGAAAATTCAATTTCTTAAGCCTCAGGTTACAGATAGCAGCTAGCTCTTCCAGAATCTGACACGGGTCTTTCATGTCTCGGGAAGCCAGCAGTTTGTATGTCGGTCATTGTGCTAGCAACACTGAAAGCCCTGGAAAACGCCGGCTGTTTCTGCGTCACTTGTAGCCTGACTATCATGAATCTAACTTTCGCCTGAAATGGTTCCTCGCCAATGGCCGTCGGCATATTCCACTTTTGTCAGGTGTTTCATCCAACCAAAGAACTTCAGGGGTCCGTTGACGGGGTACCTAAGGAGGTGGTCGCCGGTGACTACTTGTGGCTCTCTATTTGTTGCGTTCTCTAACCTCCTCGCACACCAGACTCGCCACACTACACTCTAGCCACCGGTGGTTCTCAAGCATGTTCATACTTCTGACTATCACTTCACCCGAGCACTAAGACAAAGCGCTTCCGAGCAAGCTTGATCTCGATAATGGTGCTCACAATGAAGAAGAACACGGGCTCCCACAACCAAGTGGCTGGACTCCAAGCCACGCCCAAGCCGAAGGCCGCGAAGATCGTGAGACGCTGGAACGAGTACTGGAAGGACGGCCAGCCCGAGAACTGGCAGCAGCTGATGCGAGACCTCGGCTTCGACAACTTCGAGTTCAAGAGCAAGACGCAGTGTCGCAAGGTAACGTGCCAGGAGGCCCTCGCCGGCGTGAGTGCCGAGGGCATAGAGGCTAACCCCATGTGCTGGGATTACAGAAGCTCCGGAAAGTCTGGGTCAACATCCATGATTTCCTCGACGCGGTCAAGCAGGGAACGCGCGTGCATCGATTCAAGAGCCAGCACGAGCTGTCGCAGTATACGCTGCGCTCGCGCAAGATCTATCCTCGGAACCAGGTGGAGGACGGCAGTCCGCTCCGCCAGTTGCTCGCGCACATATTCAACCCCAAGCTGCAAGAGAGCAAGGTTGGCGCAAAAGAGGTCAGGGAGATGGCAGATATGTTCGCAGGGATCACATTGACAGAGTAAGCAATGGGATGATGGCATGAGTACGAGTGGCCAGACTGCGCGTTGGAATGTTCATGTATTGGCTTTGGTATCGACGACTAGCTCCTGATCTCCCATAACCTGATTTTCCCTGTGTCGTTGCCGACTGCCAGCGAATCGCTCTTGCTTCCAAACGCCACTGCTGTGATGCGACCCAGCGGCGTTTGTGCCGTGGGCCAGTTTCGGTAGACTGTGCAGCTTGGTAGATGTGCAAGACGAAGGGCATCCTTCTTGTGTCCGCTTCCGAATGCTAGAATCTGTCCATCTGGGCTGAAGGTCAAGAACGTAACCGGTGTCGTCAGCTGCTCGAACCTCCGAGTGGGCTCAGGCCTCTCCTTGAGCTCGAGCTCATCATCCGTCGAGGGCAGAATCAGGTCTTCGCGGTTGTAAACGTTCATGACACCACTATTTGATCCAATGGCCACCCATCGGTCGCCGCCCAGGAGTTTGGGTCCATTCCGCCCTCCGAGGGCGATGACGGTGCCGCCAACGGAACCCTCATCGTTCCAGATTGCTAAGAAACGCCTCGATGCCATGCTCCATTCGCCGACCTGACCTCCCTTGCCGAGAATGGTCAGACCGTTTCCAGACTTCCACCACTGGAAGTCGGCAATGCCTCCCCTGCTATCCAATCGAGCAGCAGCAATCCACTGCATCGTGTTTACGTTTACAATGTTGATGGCGCCGCCTCCTTTTCGGGTCGTCGCAATCATGCCCAGCCACCTCCCGCAAGGGCTGAGCTTGAAACGTTCCCATGTCCTCTGCTCCAAGTGATGGCCCTGAAGCTTCTCGGTCTTCTGAACTTGGCCTGTCGGCAAGTCCCAGGAGTGGATGAAGCGCCGGCGGCCTGCGAAGAAGATCTTGTCTCCACTGGGGCCGAGAAACTCGGCATGTCGGACGGGTACTTGTTTGACTTGCACGGAAGTCAACAAGGGGTTGGGTGTAGGGTGCGCAGTCGGGGCGATGTGGTGTAAGTAAAGAATGGTCGAAGTACTCGAGGACAGGAGGACTGGGTATTCCGGGTGGAAACAAAGCGCAGTAACTTCGTCCTTGTGACTGTCGGCCATGTCTCTCGATCGTTGTATGTCGATGACTTCGGGTCGTAACTTTGTCGGTTTTGCGCCGCTTCCCATGAGCGAGTTTGCGTCCCGCAGGAACTTGTCCAACGGCAAGGCAGAGGGCTCGTCACCAGCCTCGCTTCCGCTGAGATCAGAGGCCTCGGAGTTGTCCGAGGCAGCGGACGACCTCCGGCGGCGTTTGGCTGGACGTTCGTCTGCCATCTTGGCCCAGTCAGGCAGGGGGTTTAACCGCAGATACTGCTGTCGCAGCCGCCTCGTGTACTCTAGTCCGTTGACGACGTCCTCCTCCTCGCTTATCCGCAGCTTTCGCAGCTGCGTGGCAGTGGCCAGAGACACAGTGAGGCGCTCGTCGTCGCTGTCCTCCCAAGCAGGTGGGTTCTTGGTGTCTTTCGGGGCGGCAGCCTTGGCTGTGGCGGGCGCTGGTACCAGCTCCTTGGAGCTGCCAACGGGCGCATCCAGGAAGAACAGTTGCGCATCATCTAGCTCCTCGAGGTTCCCGCCGGCACCCTGCTCTCCCTCCTCGTCCAAGGGCTCAAGATCGGAGCCAATCTCTGCCAGGGCATCGTTCTTGAAGAGGTTCTCGCGAAAGTTGGCCGTGTCGCCCAGGACGAAGCGCTCGAGCTCTTCTTCGTCCGAGTCCTTCTCGAGGATGCGGGTCTTCTGGGCTTTGGCGGGTGCATCCTCCTCGCTTTCGTAGTGGGACTCATCGCGCTCGGAGAATGACGCGAAGTCATCCTCATCGCTCGAGTCTCTCCTCTGCTTGGGCGGCATTTTTGCTGCGTGAGAGTCCAGGGATTGGTGAAGCAAAAGTCCAACGATCGCACTTCTCTCGTGGACGGCTTCTGGCAGGAAACTTTTTTTTACTGGGGTCTGGTAGCCTTGCATCATCTGGCGGACTGGCAGGGATTGTGGCCCCACTCAGTCCACTCACTCACTCGAGCCTTGTGATTGCCCCTCCTCAAACGTCTGGCTGGAAAATGCATCCTAGGTATGGTACCTACTGGGTACCTCTACTACCCCGGCAGCCCCAGTGTATTGTGCACAATTTGGCCACTATTGCGACTATTGAGGTCACTGTCAACTACGTCCTTAAGTGACCAACCTATATATACGTTATGGCAGGCCGATTTATGTTCGACCGCCGGTGAGCTCATCTCGGCCACTTTCAATCTGTAAATTAACATTTATCATATTAAAGCTCTGTATTTCGAAGACGATTCTCTACTCCAGCCGTCGCCACGGTTATATGAAACTACACATTGGATTGCCGTGACACAGCTGCTAACTCGCTCGTCAGCGTCCCCAGATCATCGCTGACCGATTCAGCACTCTTGAGGGTCAGGACGGCGGCTTTTTGAGAGACATGCATGAGATCCTCAATTCCACCTCCGCGGGCCAGCCCCGCAACGAGGACCCCCAGGAATGTGTCGCCAACACCGTTGACTGAGACCGCGTCCGTGACTGTTTCTGCCACCGGGAATAGCCTCATGTAAATCCCCCCAATCTCGGGGTGGTCGTGGAAGGACCTGGTCAGAATGAAGGGCTCGAACGCTGCGTCAAGCAGACGTGGGTCGTCCTTGCGCAGTATGGTCGTCAGCAGTGCTCCTTGGTCGCCCAGTTTCGTGATGAGGGTAGGTATATATGGCAGCAGCTGGACGGCTTGCTGCGGGATGCCCGCGTTCGTCAAGCTGGCCGAGGTGATGTGCACAAATCGGCCTCTTGCCCCCTGCATGCCGAACGCGTCGATTACCTCCCACCACTTCTGGTTGTCCAGGTATCCGTTTTGCTGTGCTGCGGCGTGCATGGCTGCCAGTTCGTACTGGTTAGGTGTCGCCAAGTCAATGCTGTTCTTCGGATATACCCCAAGGTGAACTTGATTCTTCAAGGGGCAGAATATACGCGCTGACTTGGCATTGGACACAGGCTCGAACGCAACTCGAGCGTTGTTGTGCTTGCCGGCTTGAATCCATGACCTGATGCTCGACTCGGACCAATTTCCGTCAACGACCAGCCATTTTGGCTTAGCTGCGGCGACGGTAGCGCTCCATTCCGTAGGATAAGAGTGATTTGCGAAGATATCCATGTCGGCCATGGCCAGAACAAGACTCTTGTTTGCATCGTTAACGGCAACGTATTGCGCTGTCCGGCTTGATGGCTCGCTTAGCTGACGTATATGTTGTGTATCCATACCAGCAGAACCAAGCGAGGCTAGTACAGTCGACCCAGCACTGTCCGGATCAGCGTATACACCAGACGACAACAGATTTACTTGTACTTACACATCATTTCCCACCATGCTACAGAGCTTAACCGTCATATCGCCAGAGACCTTGTGTGCGGCTAACGCTACATTGCGCCCTACGCCACCTACGGATTGGGTAATCCGAGCGGGATTGGATGTATTCGTGTGAGGGACTGGATGGTTTGCACTATCGGCACCGGCATAGTCACAACTCAAGTCTATGGCAACCGAACCAGCTACCAGGATATCTGCATGCTTAGACACCTGTTACTGTAGTTAGTCAACGTAGATGTCAGGATCGTATGGATATATGACCACGTGATGGCCTCTCGTGTGATTGAGAACAGCACTCTTAGATGCATACCTGCTTGCCCGATTCTGGTTTACTTGACGACAGCGTTACACCTGTGAATTTTGTCGAGGACTTTTCTTGAGGCTTGCTACAGGTATGTGTTAGAAATCTAGCTCTATAAGATGAGAGTCCAACGCTCACGCTTGCATAGGTATGGCTATATCCCCTGAAATCATCTGAGACACCGCAGCAGCCACCTTCGCTGCCCGTTCTACATTGAACTGGACAAGGGCCTTGTTGGCCGGTACGCTCCGGCCGTTAGTGAGCTCGCGGATCCGCTGCAAAATGAAAGGCGTGTTTGCGTGGCCGAACGCTCCTTGTTCCTGTGATTCGCGAACAGCTTGCTCTATGATCTTGTTCATCTCATCCCTCGGGATCGAGGACTGCTCAGGGATAGGATTCGCAAATAGCAGACCCGACTCAATGCCCATAATTTCCTGCGCCAAGATCATGGCGGCAGCTTCCTCGTCGCTTTGCACCACGGAAGGACTCTTGACTCCGCTTTCGCGCGCCCAAAAGGCAGGGAAGTCCACCTTCCCATCACGCCCATCGGCAAACGTCGAGACCAGAACTCCATGGGTCTCCAGGAACTCGAGTGTTCTAGGTATATCAAGGAAACCTTTACAGCCGCTGCTGACGACAGCTACTCTAGTTCGCCCGAGCTCGGTCAGATCGGCCGAGATGTCGAGGGTGTCCTGACCACCTCGATGGACACCGCCCAAGCCTCCAGTACCGAAGACCCGAATTCCAGCTAGCCTTGCGAGAACCATGGTGCCAGCAATGGTCGTGCCACCGTTGATTTTCCTTCCCGCCATACCCTGCCTATAGTCAACACACTGGCCCGGCTCGGCGCAAAGCGTTTATGCTCGCGGTTCTGGAACTTACCATGCCGGTGAGGAATGCGATATCCCTCCGTGACGCCTTCATTGGGGAGTTCTCAATCATGTGAGTGATTTCCTCCGGAAGAAGCCCGACAGTGGGAACACCCTCCAAGATGCCGCAGACAGCTGGGACACCGCCATTCTGGCGAACTATGTTCTCCAGGTCGAGGTCGTCGCCCAGGGCCCCGTGCGTGTAGATGGTCGACTCGAGCGCCACAACGGGCTTGTTCGTTGCCAATGCATCCCTCACTTCCTCGGATACGTTAAGGACGTTTTTCAGCGCACCAAGAGCTGGCGGCGCGGTCGCCGGAGCCACCTGCCACGATCTCCGTAGTGTCGTCGAAAATTGGCGGTACTGTTGGGGCCGGCTGCATCGCCCAGCCAGAGCACCCGACTTCCACATGGCCCTCATTATCTGACCCTTGCCCGGTCCTGGTCCAGTTTGAGCCCGACGCAAGAGGAAAACCGGGCAGAAACAAGTATCGCTCGCCAACCACCAAAGGCAGTTCAGAGGATCTCGACGTCAGATGGTCTTGGAGTCGGATCTCTGTCAATGCCGCTCTTATACCTGGTAGATATAAGTCGTCTTGACCAATCAGCTATCTCTGCAACCGACCTTGACAGCAGCATGCCTTGCCAGGATGTAGAGTCACTGAACTGTTATTGGGGGGGCCAGCTGTGAAGTTGCAAAGGGCGTGCGATGCCGGCTTCGGCAGGCTCCGAACAAGGGGCGGTGCCGTCTTGCCTAGCGTGCCCCACATGATAGTTTAACGATCTGGGTATCTCTAAATCTGAAACCTGGGCTGCACGGGAAGAAGCTTCATCGTCATAATAGCAGTGCTGCTAAACCCATAGCTTCAGGGCTTCCAACGCGAATGAGAGAAAAGATGGGATGAAAGAGCCGTTAAGACGTTGGTATTCCAATCGTGCTGAGTCCCAGCCAACCGGAAAGTGCAACCTGGAGGTTTCGCCCTTGTTAACAACTCAAGAACCCGCCAAGAGTTAAGTGACATGATGAATTCAGGTTCATTTCGTGATCCTCCTGGGTCATATTGCAGCCGAACGCCAACGCATGAAAGCAGACTAAAGATGCGAATGGCCCAGGGTCGTGAGCCACCTGCCCAGGTTCCCGGGGTGGTCCATATTGGCCTTTCAAGGTTATCGCACCCTTCGTCACTTTTAATAAGACCACCAGTCATCTGTTATTGGTGCATCATGCCGTGTCCTTTCCTGCCTTGTTTCCACATCACATCAATGATGGTGGACATATAGTTGGCTAAACGGTGCACGACTGCCCACTTAAGCACTCTGTTTCTCGACACTTCCTCTTTCGCATGATCGTCTAGTCATCAGCAAGCCGCCTTTCTCGCGACGCAAACTGCCTAAATGGCGTCAAAGATACTGGCCGCATATGCGGCGCTCTGCATTTCCCGGTCCGCGGCGCTCAATTTCACGATCGCCAACGGGCAGATTTTCACACCGGGCTTTGCAATACTTGACGCTCCCCAACCCGGAACACCGCTCGGAGGAGGTCGGTAACTAGGCCAGAGCCCGGTATTCGGGACACATGCTAACAGTGTTTGAAAGATACAATTGAGGTTGCTTTGGATGTTTCAGCCAATGGTAAACTGAATCTCCCACCGTACGGCGACGATAGCCCCAGCCAGATCCACAACATCACGATATTTCTGTACAGTTACGAGACGGGGAGGAATTTCACCATCACCAATGGCACCGAAACTGGGAATAACGCAAGTCTTGGCGACATCATGCTCTTGGAGCCTGGATCAACAGTGAAGCACGTCAAATGGCATTGGCCGGACTGCCTAGCTGGCGACGGACAGCCGACGTCACAGGACAGCGACCGTGGAGTATACAATGTAAGGAGTGCCGGCTTCCCTCACCACAGCAACTATATGGTGACCAATCTAACACTGTGCACCAGATATCTATCCGCCAGAACTTCCGGCTGAACGGAGACGACCACTACACGATCTTCGATGTCCCGATTTCAGTGACGAACAAGATTGACTCGTCCTCAGACAGACCATCGTGCGATGCCCTCAACAACCCGCTCCTTTCACCGGAAGAGATCAATGCCACGGCCGCCAACAACGTTGGCATCCTCTTTGCGCCCGGTGACGCGACGCAAGTTGAGCAGTCGGGTACGGGTTCCACGGGCGGCATAGGAGGCGGTAAGCCCGAAGCGACACCTGAAGATGGTCTCGGTAGTGGAACTGCGATGTTGAGTTGGAGCGCGGCCGCAGGCTGGATGGCTACTCTATCTCTTACTGTTGCATTTTTCTTGTAGTTATACCCAGAAGCCCAAGCTGGTTTCACCTTTCTCTTTAATGTGTTAAACCCTCAATCATTGCGAGCTACTGAGCCGCGACATAGGCAATTTCCATCGAATCTGGACTCTATTACCATTCCCTCTCCGCGTTAATATGACCAGTCATGGTCTTGATAACCGTCCAGAGCCCAGCTACGTCGAAGCTTGGCGACGCAGAGCTGGGACGTGCACCAGTGTCGTTCATCGCCCAGACTATTTCTTCAAGTTGCAGATCATTACGCAAGGGGTTGGGAATGAATTGAAGACGAGTGGCATTGCTCCGTTTACAGTGCTATTGAAAGCGACTCAGTCTACACGAATCTTCACACGCCCAGCGTTCATCGATGATTTTTCCACGTCATAAGATTTTAGCGCATCAGACAAAGTAAATAAGCCTTACCAAGGTGATATGGTGCCCCCAATGACACATGAAACCTTTGGAGGGACAGGACAACTCCAGCCGAAGTTGGGGAAATGACACCACAAGTCCACAAGTCGATGTGCATTAGCATGTCCCGAAACGGCCACGAAGTCGTGGGACCCCTTGGCTGCCCGTCCCCATCCCCCCAGCATCCCCGCACTTACAGGAACGACGCTGTCGTCTTATTCGTTCCAGCACCTCCATGGCGCACAGGGCTGCCTCGGTAGCTTGCTTCCCCAATGTCTTGTGTATGCATGCATGCGTGCAGATGGGAATCGCAGTGGGTATCACCCAGCTGTGACACACTATTTAGGGACTGCACAGTCTCTCACTTGGAGGGCTTGCTTTTGTTTGGAGCTTTCCCTACGCCCCTTAACGCGCGGAATCCGACCTGAGATATACAACAGAGCTAAGGCCGACTATAATCATAGCACAGGTTGCCCCGATCGACACTTCCTGTAGCAGATATCGAGATGCCGTTCCACAAAGGCTGGCTCCCTCGCGAAGGGTTCACGTCGGACCCGGTGCTGAGCTTGATCGGCAAGACCGCATTTAACCCAGCATTGCTACTGCCTGTTTTGCTGCTGGCCAAGTTCACGAAGAAGGGCGAGGACATGTCTATACTCCACTCGCTAGCATTCTCGAGGGTCAAGACTTTGTTCTACATTGGTCTGGCCAAGTGGCTGAGCGCCTACTACTCAGAAGGGGTCGTGAATAACTGGACTAAGGACAAGTACGACTGGCCGAATGAGATTGCAGTCGTCACCGGTGGAGCTGGTGGGATTGGTGGCCATGTCGTCCAATTGCTTGCCGAGCGAGGCGTGAAGGTTGTGGTGTTGGATATCCAGGACCTAACTTACGAAGCTGGTAAGCTCTTGAAAGATCGTGTTCCATCCAACGACGAGACATTCAGACTAATAACCCAATCAGGCCCCAATGTCCACTACTACAAGTGCGACCTGACCAACACGTCCGACGTCAAGAAGGTGGCCGCCAAGGTGCGCGCCGAGGTGGGCGACCCGACGATCCTGGTGAACAACGCGGGCATTGCGCGGGGCAAGACGATCCTGGAGACGACGGAGAAGGACCTCAAGTTCACGTTCGACGTCAACACGTTCGCGCACTTCTACACGGTCCGCGAGTTCCTGCCGGCCATGATCAAGCGCGACCACGGCATGGTGGTGACGGTGGCCAGCTTCGCGGCGTGGCTGACGGTGCCCAACATGGTCGACTACGGGGCGTCCAAGGCGGCGGCGGCGTCGTTCCACGAGGGCTTGTCGGCCGAGCTCAAGACGCGGTACCGGGCGCCCCGCGTGCGCACCGTCGTCGTCAACCAGGGCTACACCAAGACGGCCCTGTTCACCGGCTACCACAACGACTCGCCCTTCCTGGTGCCCGCGCTGCAGCCCGAGAGCGTGGCCGAGGCCATCGTGCGCCAGATCCTCACCGGCAAGAGCGGCCAGGTCATCACGCCCGCCTTTGGCTCGACGCTGCAGTCGCTCCGCGCCCTGCCCCATTGGTACGGCTATAGCCTGCGCGCCAAGGGCGAGAACATCATGACCAACTTCAGGGGTAGGCAGGTGGTCAAGGATTTGGACACCCATTATGAGGGTAGGGATAAGGAGTCTGTGGAAGAGAGCGCTGTGTTGGTGCCCGAGGAAAAGTCAAGGAGAGGGGAGTAATGCTGCGGAATGGCAGGTGGTATCTGTGAATGTGCACACTTGATCGGGAGCTGGCCTTGTACCACTGCGTGGGTCCATTCAGTGCTCGAGGGTGAAATATGCACGTGGAGAATGTCCATGTGGCAAGAAACATGTCGAGGTCTGGTAAATAGCCCCCCTGGGTGGAGAGAGAATGTTCGAATGTATAATATCACATCGAGAATATATCAACAGAATACCGTATCACTATACTACCAGTATCATCTCATCGCCAGCGTGTCTGTAATGGTTCGAAGCAAGATGGGGCCAACAACGCCAAGCCAAGCCAAAGTTGCAACTGACATATGTACTTAGCAATTATAACAGTTTTCATAGCTTGGGCTTCTCCTTCCTCCCGCTTTTCACATGTTTCGAGACTTCTCCCGTGAAAAGAATATCGGGATAATTCATGCCTGCTTCCATGCCCACGCCATTCCCAGTCTTGAGGCGCCAATTTGCACCATCTACTACCAACACTTCACCGTTCACATAGTTGCCGGCATCGCTGAAAAGGTAGACGGTCGCGTCCGCGATATCGCGTATGGTGCCCCAGCGGCCGAGGGGAACACTGGCGGCGATCTGGGCCTTGGTCGTTTTGCTGCTCGACAACCGCAGCATGCCCTCGGTGTTCTCGATGGCGCCGGGGGAGATGACGTTGGACGTGATGCCGTAGGGGCCGTATTCGAGGCTCACAGATGCCATTATTGAGTCCACGGACGACTTTGCAGCGGACACGTGGGCCTGGAATGGCATGCCAGTGTAGTGGAAACTTGCAGAAACATAGATGATTCTGCCGCCCGTTAGGCCGTCGGCAGTGGGGTACTGATTCCGCCTTGCGGATTCGATGAGATATGGCACTGTCGCCTTGACGGTGTTGAAAGTGCCAAGGACGTCAATGTCCATGACGGACTTGAACGCATTGGAGCTCAGCCCAGAGATGGGGGCAACAAAGTTACCGGCGGCACCGGCGCTATGGTCAGGACATATCAGCTTGCTGCTTATTAAGAGGTGGAAATAGTAATCTGAGTCTCACATGACGAAGTCAATACCACCCAGTTCATTTGCGCATCTTTCAGCGGCTTTCTTCAATGCTTCGGGCTGTCGAGTGTCAGTACGAGCACTGCATAGAGAGAGTAAATGGTCGACCTACATCCCGCACATCGCAACCGCCAATTCCGATGACCTTGGCGCCTTCCCGCGCCGTCGCGATGTCCTTGGCCGCCGCCTCGGTCTTCTCGACGTTGCGCCCGATAATGCAGGCATTGGCACCCAGATGGACGAGAGCCCTTGTCTGGGCGCTGCAGATGGAGCCAGCTCCGCCGGTGACGAATGCCACTCGGCCATCTGAAGGGGGTCAGCATCGGCAAGCCATGGGACCGGGGACCTGCATTGACTTACTGAAGATGCCCTCCTTCCACACATTACTCAGATACTCGGCCCTCTCAAGCGGCATCTTGACTGCGATGAGGGATAGCGAGGACACTTGGCAGAAGTGGAGTGCAACCTGGTCTCGCAAAGGGAAGGTGGCCAGCGAGGAATTTGCACGCACTTGGACTTGAGGAGGGGGGAAGGCAGGTCTTGGCTGACTTTGGGCTTCCAAGAAAGAAATCAAAATAAGAGTAACATGTTACGATACTCGAGAAGTCAATAGGCTTCCATCAAGGACATCTCGTCTCCGGGTGTCTGGGGTAGTTATCGATTATGTGGTGGCATTCGGCAGCGACCCGCAGCCTCGGTAGAGTGTGGGGAACGACGATCTTAGCGAGGTCAAACTAGCAGAGTCCGCGCCGCGTCCCCGGCTGACTTGAGTAACCAGGAAGTTATCGCTTATCAGATACGAAACGGGGCATCAGTCAGTCTCATACATGAGTCTTTCTGGGTATACTAATGCGTCGCCAGCAAGGCGTGGATAGAGTCTTCCTTTCCTGGGTTCCGCAATGTAATCTCTGTAGGTAACCAGTCTGCTGTGCTCATCAATGGTAACAGCTGGACATCAGCGACGAACGGCGGTATCGTCATTGTAGTTTGATGTATTGAAACGGCACAGCACGCAAACCATATTCAGCCACTGTTTAATGATAGGCGCAGCACATATATGCATGATACTGTATCGTAGGGGGAAACCTGCAGCAGAACAGCAGAACCCGCGTATTGATTTTGAGGATGGCAATGAATTTCAATAGCATGCTCTTGATTGGCCGGCCCCGGATTCTAACGTGGTATGCACCACACAGAGAGCGCCCCGACTTGCCTGGAGACCTGACCTCATGTGGAGCGCGCCCAACTTTAGCCGCTAACTTCAGACTTAAGCTACCTGAAGCTTGTTGGGCTAGCGGCAAGGTGCGTTGATGTTCCCGCCCGCCAGCCAGCAGCCCGCCCTGCACCCATACCGTCACCACCACCTTTCGACCTCGTGCGACCACCGCTCACCTCCCATCCCACTGTCCTTGCATCAAGCTGCCCAACACCCCGACCCCATCGCGACTTCGCCCACTTGGCCACTCTCAGCTATGGCGTCCAAGAAGGTCTCGGTTCTGAAGTTCGTCGGGACCGTTTCCCTCGGTCTTCTGACGGTGAGTAACGCCCTGTATTCTGCGATGACGTCGGGCTCGATGCCGCCCTCGCACTCCCCCCACTTACTCTCCTCTGCGCGCCCCGCCTCTGCGTTTCGCACCAACTATCTGCTGGACGTCGGATCGTGGTTTGCAGACTGGATTATGGCTGCAGTCTGGAATACGGATCAGAGTGTGCTGACAGTGAGCAGGGCGCATCCTACACCCTCTCGACCTTCACGATCCCATCCCTCCTCGACCTCCCCTCCTCCTCCAGCGCCGCCAAGGCGTTCCGCTCGATCAGCAAGACCGCCACCACTCACCTCAACGCCCTGACCGGTGCCGCCGGTTCCGCCTTCCTTCTTGCCTTTGCCCTGTCGCCGCGCGGCTACAGACATCCGTACCTGCTCTACACGTCCTTGTTCGTCTTCGGGTCGAGATTGACCGACTTTGTCACCCCCTCGCTCTTCGGTACCTCGTCTAGCTCATCCGCAGCCGCCCAAAGGAGAGCTGCCCTTGCCAAGGCTCGCAAGGATAAAGCCGCCGCAAAGCGCATGGAGGCCAGCTACGAGGTCCTCGGCGACTCGCACAGCGAGGAGGGTTCGGCTGGCCTGAGCGGTGAAGAGCTGGACGAGGAAATCAACGGCGAGGAGATCCGTGGCGAAGTTGAGCTGTTCGTCAAGAACCAGCTGGTGCAGACCGCCATGGCCGGAATTGGTTTCATGATGGCGGTTGTTGGTATTTGGGGCGACGGAATCTATGATCTTGCTGGTAGCGAGACCCTGGTCATTGAGCTATAAGGGAGGGACGAGGAGGGGGTGGTTCATACGACAGTGGTTTCAAAAAATGCCCAACGCAGGTCAGGCTACTATTACACTCATTATAGGCGAGAAAGGAACCATCCCTTGCACCCACGGGTGCCAAGGGCGACAGAGGATGAACGAAACCAGAATATCCTAAAGGGACTGAGGAAGGATGTATGAAATAGGTACTGCGCATGTTTGGGCTCTCCGCTCCTGCGAATCCTCATGTTTGGAATTAAAATAGTGTCTAGAATACGAGCCATTTAGGTCTACCTACTATAAACAACACATTCCACATTGCTTCGAGATCTGGCAGCTGTTTCTACCCTCACCTAAGGTTCAACCAGCACAAGCACCCGATATTGAGGGCACTCAGACCATGGAATTTATGGTTCAACCCGTGTCCAGCCTGTATTTTGAGAAAACCATTATGTACAACATCATGTTGAACCATCCTGCCGATCATGCTACACGAAATAAGACCCCCGTCGACAGGGTCTTACACGTTACTGCATGGAGTGGGCTGGGCGCCATGTACGGCAATTTAGCGTGGGTCAGCTCTGGAGACCAGCCTTTGCGATTTCCATCACGATACCCCCGTGAATACTGCTTCGATCCCCACATCCGCTACTCAGCCACATCGGCGGGCGTGTCTCTGAAGCGGACCATTAATGGAAGCTGTCTCGTGACTCCGGTGCTTCAGCAATTCAAGGCAAGCAGCCTGCCATGTCAGCCATGGCCGAAACCGAGCCTCCGAACCCGCTCCGCGAGTTCATGAATGATGGACCCCTCCGGTCCAATCCCACCACGGAGCTGCCGCCTCGCAAGAAGCAGCGCATAGTGCGCACTGATCAGGAGGCCTTCAAAGACCGACTGCTGCGGGTAGCTTGGCGCGCGAGGAATTTCACCTACAAGTACGACAAGATTACCTCGGAGCAGATACGCCTGATTATTCTCAACCCCGCTGAGGATTCTGGGGAGTCGATCAGGGTAGAAATGGTGACGGTCCCCGTGGCCAGCCTAGACATATACAAGTACGAGGCGCTTTCATATCACTGGGGCGAGCTTATCGCCGAACGGCCCGTCTTCATAAGCTCCCAGCATGAACAGAGCAAGGTCGGTCGGGGGCACGCGCCCGAGGCCGTGCGATTGAGTCGCTTGCAGTTATACGTCCACGATAACCTATACAGAGCCCTGAAGAATCTCAGGCTGCGGGATCGTAAGGTACTACTGTGGGCTGATGCGCTATGTATCAACCAAGAAGATACGAAGGAAAAAGAGGCACAAGTCGCCCTGATGGCGAAGATATACTCCAAGGCTCATAGAGTTTGCGTATGGCTAGGTGATCGGGATAGGCACTCGGACCAGGCCATGGGTTTCATTTCACGAGTTGTCAAAGCCCACGACCTGGATGAGCTCATCGTTGACCATGAGGCCGAGAACTGGAACGATCTCTTGTTCCTGATGATGCGCAGCTGGTTTTCTCGAAGGTGGGTGATACAAGAGCTCGGTCTGGCGAGAGATGCGACAGTTCATTGCGGCACCATGACGGTGCACTGGATGGATTTCGTAGATGCCATCAGTCTCTTCAACCTCAATTTCGGCAACATACGACGCCTTCGTGGGTTTGGGGACTCTTCTTCTGAGAGCCAGGACCGCACCCTGTCTTTAACCTCGTTGGGCGCAACCATACTGGTGGAACAGCTTAGCAACATCTTCCCTAGGAAGGCCGATGGAACGCTTCTGGAACCAACGAAAAGCCTCGAATACTTGGTCTCAACATTGACCGCTTTCCAGACGTCTGATCCACGAGACACAATATATGCCTTCTTGAGTCTTGCCGCGGAAACTTCCAGAGTATCTGCTTCGCAGCAGGCACGGGTAGTGAGCATAGAGCCCAAATATGACAGAGATCTACTTGAGGTCTACGTCCACTATACCAGCTGGGTAATCAGTAACAGCAAGTCGCTAGATATCATATGCAGGAGATGGGCTCTCCCCGAAAGACAAAAGGCCACAGTAGGATACTACAGGCTAACCACACTTCCTTCATGGATCAAAACGATACCCCAAACACAGTATGATAGACGGTTCGACGAGATCGACGATACGGATGTAAAAGATGAGAACTTGTTCGTTGGTACGCCTGGGAGCAGGCGATACAACGCTTCTTTTAATCTCCACCCAGAAGTCCGTTTTGGAATGGAGGTCGCGTTGACACGCGGGTCATCGGACGAGAGCACCAACAGCGCGTCAGCACCCATCACTCCTAACTTCAACCTCAAGACCTTAAGGCGTCTCGATCAGCAGACGTCGGATGCGAGACTCTCCATGTTTCTCGATGATATGCACCCAAGAGATCGATCCTTGTATGTCAAAGGCTACGTGCTGGGCACCGTGGTCTGGAACACCCAGCCTATTGAGGACGGTATTATCCCTGGCGTCGCACTGCAGAAGTTCGGTTGGTCCGAGGACCCCTTTGCCGAGGGCGAATACAGCAACGTTCCCGACCCTCTGTGGCGAACCCTCGTCGCCGACCGTGGCCCGGATGGCAACCCCCCGCCAAGTCTGTATCACCGAGCCTGCCTCAGGTGTCTCGTCCATCATGCGGTAAATGGCCACATAAACACGCGGGTCATCCTGGAGAGACGGCCCCCCGCGATTGTCAAGGAGTACGTCCAGCGCGTGCAGGCCGTGACTCGGAACCGGGTCCTCTTCGAGGGGAAAGCCGCGCGGGACCGCGATGAGACCATCGGCATCGGCCCGCCCCAGACGGCCAGGGGGGACGTGATATGCATTCTGTTCGGCTGCAGCGTGCCCTGCGTCCTGCGCCAGAAGAAACTGGCAGCCGACGATCCGGCGCTAATACCGGGCACTCGGCCGGAGTACTATGAATTCGTGGGCGAGGCGTTTGTCTATGGCAAGATGGACGGGCAGGCTATCACAGGGCTTACTGTTGAGGAGCTGGAGCGCAGAACGCAGGAGTTTCGCTTGCTGTGAGCAAAGTCCAGTCTTAACCACCTACTATACTTATTTCACTAAATTGTATACCGGTGGTTCCATGGCAGAGGTTGCAAGGTTGTGGCCTATACCAGAGCGGAGCTCAACGTCAGCAATGCCTGCATGACTGTGATGAGACCTACTACGCCACGCGGACCAGATCTGAGGCAAAACTTTGTCAAGTACTTTATCGACTTTGGCGTTGAGTGAAATCCAGCCTAAGAGCCTGTAGAGGGGGTTCTTGATGCTGATCAACGGATACGTATACGGAACTAAAAGCCAGAGCCCCTTGGCCCCGGTTGAGACATTGCTAAAATAAACAACTTGTAACCTTTTTCTCTATCGTTTTTTTGACTTCTAGCTCGATGCCTGCGATTGGTCATCGGGATAAGTAGCGATTTCGAACCATTTGTCGTCCAACACCTCCCTAGCACTCAAGCGATCCTCGGGCTTCCATGTCAAAAGCTTCCCTATTAGCTTCGCCATTACTTTTGCTTCACCCCGAGAGACAAGTAGGTATCGCCCGTGTGAGCATTCATATCTGGGTTTTGTCGAACAATTGTGTACGGCGGCCATTCTGTCCTTGATCGAACGCGGCTCAGACCTCGCTAATACGGGATCTTTGGATACTGTTTTATGATCCAGCTGAGAAGGATCTTTCTTCGGCTCGACAAACTGATCATGTCCCGGTAAGGATTCCCACCAAGATGCTGGTGGCTTTTTAAGGAGCGGGATAAGGTCAAATATGTAGTTTGTGTTATGAAGTCCGAAAGGGTAATCGAAAACCAAAAACCGCTCCCCAACACGGATTTCGAAAAGTGTACAGCGACCCTCCACCAATGGGATTCAATGAGGCTTCTCCACAGCGCTGGAAAGCTACTCTGCTCCAAGCTGGGGCAGATGCACAGTTCAACTATCAAAATGGGTCACGTGACCGTGACATCGCTTGCATTGTCGATAAGAGGGGAACTTCCAAGACGGGGAGGTGGGGGGCTGTCTGGATATGTTGTCTGTGACGTGCTCAGAGCCAGCGGTTTCGGATGGGAATCGGGTCAGACTGATTCTCCATCGTAATCAGGTAGCACGGTTCTTCTGTTCTGCTAGTGACGAAACTCTAGATTGGTCTTATTACTTTTCACATATACCAGATAATTACTGAAATGGAGCGAGTTGATGTCCATTGTCATGCCGTCCCCCCGGGCTATCGTCAGCATGCTATTGATAATGGCCATGGAATGCCTGATGGAATGCCTGGTCTTCCTGTAGGTACTGTGTAATGAGAATACTCTTCGTGCCAAGACTGCGGCTAACAAAGCCAGGCCTGGAGTCCAGAGCAGCACATTGCGCTCATGAAACGACTGAATATTACCAAGTCGATATTAAGCATCACATCTCCAGGAACTCACCTTGTGCCCACTAAGGACCATTATGCCGCAAAAATAACTCGCCAAGCAAACGAGGAGCTCTCTAATATTTGCGTCAATCATCAACCGCACTTCGCCTTTTTTGCATCATTGCCGCTCCCATCTATTCAGGAGTCATTGCTTGAGATTGACCATGCCTTGGACAACCTGGGTGCAGTCGGATTTGCTGTCATGTCCAACGCGAACGGTGTATATCTCGGAGACGTGGCACTGGACCCTGTTTTCGAAAAATTAAACGCACGCAAAACTATCCTGTTTATCCATCCTACTACCTGCAACGTACTTGAGCGAGGAGGCGAAATACACACCGTGAAACCACTTGAACAATACCCTCGTCCGATGATGGAGTTTATGTTTGACGAGACACGCGCTGTTGCAAACCTGCTCCTCTCGGGCACTGTAGCAAGATACCCAGACATTACTTTTATCATGTCACATTGTGGCTGCGTACTCCCCGCAATATTAGACCGCATTGGCTCTTTCGCGATGGTCGGGGGAGGAGAAAACCGAAGCAATGAGTTTCGAAAGCTGCTGCGCGAGCGATTCTTTTTCGATGTGGCTGGATCCCCCTTTCCAGATCAGATTCGGGGACTCCTTAGAATGTTGGGCAGTGCTGGCGAGCAAAGATTGGTCTACGGGACCGACTATCCTTTCACACCTGACAAGGTTGTTGTCCATTTAGCAGATCAGATGGACGTAGGCTGCAAGGAGCTACTGGGCACGGATCAGACACACGCTATGTACTCGGGCAATGCAGCGAAGGTGTTTGGTCTCTAGACCGTCAAATGCTACGTATCACAAAGAGAGAGGAATAGCCACCCGCTTGAATTCATAACAATAGAAACGTAGATTCGCTAAGAGAAAAGAAGATTGATATTACCAAAGCACCAAAGCTAAAGTAAATACGATTAGGTGAGATTGAAATCAACGTCGCAAATGATGTGAATTCAATCCCTGTACAAAGCATAGGCCAAGATTGGAACGTCTCTCATTGCGTCGAGGCACTTGCCGCCTGAAACCACACCGGTAGGTGCCCTCAAGTCATCGTCGATGTGGGAGGTTCGCTCGGGACGCTGGTGGAGTCTGATCATGTAAGAAGCTATGTCGAGTCGAATGTGCTTACCTGTGGTCTGCATCTCGGGCGTGTGTATGGGCTCCGGGTGGAAGAGAACACATCTCGTTAAGGATGATGCGAGCGCCCGGTTTCAACACCGGGGTTTGATTTCTTAGAAGAATGATGCACTTTGTGTCGGACCAGTCGTGCAGGATCTGTCGCAAGAGGTACACGTCGGCATCTTTCAGCGGTTACTCATTGAAGAAGTCGTATTCCATAAACCGAAGCCGGCCGTTATTCTTCAAGCTATCTGGCACTTTGGCGTCCTCGATGGTCTTTGGCAGGTCCTAAACGATCACGCGCTTGATTCCGGAATATCTGCGTTTGAGGGACTCTCAATTACTGATCCTCGTTTTGAAGAGGCTATGACACCGCGATGAGGCACTTGTTCAGCGGGAGAGAACGCACAAGCGAGAACTTCCGGGCAGTTTTTGCGCTGTTGACAAGACATTCGATATAATTTCCATTTTCAAGCCCCGTGGATCTGTAATGTCGGTCATCGAGGTTATTTGGTCTCATCAGATAAGATATGCCCCTATATGACTCAGTCGGTATACCATCAAAATGCAATCTTCTGTCCTGGCCTAAGAATGCGATGGATTCTGTCATGACCGCATCGGCAAGCTTTTAGGACAGGCGTGAACTGAGGATAATACATACGCTATCAATGGTAAACTGACCATGTTGGCGTGGTACACCATGTTCCATCGCCTTCAGGGTTTTGAAGTCGCGATTGAAGACGCTAGCGAAGCCGGCCCTAACAAGTACTCATGCTTTCAATGCATCAAAGGACATCTCGACAAGGCTGCATAAGTAATTGAGTCAAATCTTCCAGCAAAATCATAGCAGCTAACTTAAATTGCAGTCATCCATGACCCGGATTTCTTGGGGCAGACATATACACGACGCTACTATGGAAGGTGTCCGGCAACCTCTATTGTAAACATGATTGAAAGAACCACAAAAAGCCCTAAAGAACGTGATGAGACCGCTGTATGCATCAGAGATACCCCAACACTTTGCATAACAGCCTCGCTAGTCAGAACCACACCGTTGCCGTCAAGGTCCCCTGTTGGGAGCTTCGTGGTATTGACACGCATACATGAGAGCTGGGGGCCCTGTATGTATGGAGCATTCTCCAGAGTCCCTGAAGACCCCGGTCCGCGCACTATTGGATTGACCAATATGATCTGTAGGCGATTTGTTGCGGTATAGTACTCTGCACCCCCGCTGCGGTTTTGCGGGGCGCTGAAAGACCCATACCATCCCTCACCGTTCTCCCAGCTGTTGGTCGAATTGCTACTGTGGTTGAAGAACCCGTAGCTAAACGTTACTGCACCCCAAGTTCCAAGTACAGTATCCGTGTAACCCAGTGTACTCTGACACTCTGGTAGTGCATACCAACTGCGCTGGGGCGCGGAGCAACGAACTGGGGATCCGGTCTCTCTATTGGCTTGGGATACGATGGCATCAACACATGCCTGTCCAAGGACGGGATTGCAGCTGGCGCTGTTTACATCATCCTTTGTGTAAGAGTTGGTGACGTTCACAGGAAAGTCCTTAGGAGCATCCATGATAGTAAAGCAAAGGCCGCCCTCGGACAGGTCAAGCTGAGAGCTCATGTCTCCAGCGCCAGCCCAAGAAAAGTCGTATGCAGTGCTGATGATGCGGGAATCGACGGCAGCGCCTTTCTTTTCGTTATCCGGCATTGCATATTCGCTAATATTGACACCTGAGATCTGTTGGTATCCACTACTAGTGTTTGCACATATTAGAGTGCCGAGGGTGATACTTACGCCACGTCCATTCAACGTCGGCTAGAGACTGAGTATTGCCGGCTCTTGCAGCTGAGTTGAACGGCCTAAAAGCAACAGCTCGTGTTGCGTTGGGATTTTGCTGGGCATCCCTGATAATCTCACGCGCACTTGCGTCTAGGTCATCTGGAATTGATGAGCCAAGGGTCCCTAGGGAATCATAGGCTCCAGCTAGTGCTAGGCCCGAGAGTAGAGAGACTAGTAGTATCTTGCTCATGTTGACTGCGCATGGAATTACGGAGGAAGAAGAAGAGGAAAAGCAGACTTGACGGCAATTGTCGTAGGATGATGTGTCCGACCTACTACGCCGCATGTCAGGAGCTGCGCCTTACTAACAAGTTCCAACAAGGCACAGACATGCAACTTCATATAATCACTGTGTTTGGTCCATCCATGAACCTCTACCGATGCGGCAATCTCACAACCCTACAGGTGCGGTTCGAATTGAAAAAGTGACATAATTACATCAAAAGTCATACCCCACCTTAAACGACATAAACTGCGATGTCCTGTGGCGGCCTGTAGGTTGCCTCCGTGCCTTTGTATCGCCTGAAGGTCTGCATTCAGAACTACATCGCTTGCCAGAGGTGTATCCATCTGAGTTTCCGGCAGGGCTTATCCAGCATATTTGACCAGTCTTCTTTGTTTCGCGATTTCACGAGCCTGGTGCAAACTCGACTTCGTAACCGCGCGTTCAGCAGCTTATCTACCCTACATAACTTCGCAAGCAGGACGGTGACATGGGGCAAGCGGGCCCTACAGTGCGTCTCAAGGATCCAGCAACTGAAATTACTTATATACGTGATTGGCCTATGACGCTATGCGGCACAAAGAAATGCGTGGACAATGGGTATGTAGTCGCAGGATGACACGAGGCAGAAGTAGGAGTCGGCATTTTCTGCTTGGCGGTTGTGACAATGTTCTATACCAGACGGCTGGGCAATTATTCGAGGGTCGCGTGCGAAAATGTGGATCTGTGGGGGCGCATTAGACGAATTTGAGTACTTGTCCGTTCTGAAATAAAGCACGGACTCTGCCTGTACTTAGGTAGAGATGGCCTAGCTTGATTCTCCCTACAGCTCTCCGCTAAATGCGGTAAACGTGGTGTCAGCACATCCTACGCAGGATCTTAAACCACCTACCACGGGCCCAAAGTCGCGCGCACAACTGCCCACCCCGAGACTTTAATCGAGCCCCAACAAACCATGAGCGAAACATCGGAAGACGAATCTCCATTAGCCGCCGTCTACCCTCCGGTAGATATCTGCCCCCACTACCAGCTGTGCGAGCAAGAGGTCGTATACTCGGAGGGTCGTGTATCTAGTCGCTACCTCATTGACACCGAGTACAAGGAGGAGAAGATATCTGTCTCTTTTGGCGACTTAAGGCCATGGATTGAGGTCATCGCAAAGTTACTCCTGGATTCGCAGATACAGAGGCGTCTAATCAGTGCCATCATGGAGACCTATGTTCCCCGCAAATACCATGGCACCGCTGAGCTTGAGGACCTGTCACTACGAATTCGCGGCGAAGTTGAACAAGAGGACAGTTTCCACCGTTTCATGGAGCTCCCTGCCGAACTCAGGATGAAAGTCTGGGAATTTGCAGCCACAGAACCTGCACATATCATCTATTGGATGGAGGAACCGTCTTGTCTACCAATCAATGGAGCAAGGCACATGCCGCGCATCGCGCAGACCTGTCGCGAAGCATGGAAGATAGTTCGTGGGCAAGGCCGCTATTGCCAACCATCCTGCGGCGAGGGCCTAGATATCAAGTACTGGGCGTCTTCACAGGATATTGTCTTCATCAAAGGGGTCGACGTCTACAAGAAGCACCCCAGCGATTGGGATGTGGAGTTTTTGCTCTCACGGGAGACCATTGCGGTTGAGTACGAGCATTGGATCCAGCACGCTGCCACAGCTGAGCAGTACATGTGGCTGCGCAATTCCAGCGCGCTCAGGACCCTGATTTTGGTCATGAACATGCCCGTGGTGAGGATTACAAAGGACTTACACAGCTCCGATCTCCACTGCTGCGGCCCTGTTTTTGATGAGGTTTGGGATGACTACGGTCGCCCACCAAAGGGCCTATGGAAATTGGTGAGGTATGAAGAAGCAGATCAGCTGCGACAGCTCGACAACCTGTGGAAGAAAATCGAGCCAAATTCCACGTGGATTTGGAAAGACATAAACACAGCAACGCTGAAGGGGGCGTCCATTTATGGTCGTCATTACATATCCCGCTGTGTGGACTGTGAGTTACAGCAGTTCCAGGACGAACGTATCGAAGAGGCTCGGATTGTCTGGCGGGAACTCGTTACAAGCAAAAGCCGGCAACAAGCAGGTGATAATTCTTCTGTTCCACCTTTGCTTGGAAAACAGAGCCCACGGGCCGATGATTCGATTCGACAAGCCCCCTCCTTTGAAGCGTCCATTATTCTAGAAGTTCTCAGTACCTGAAAGGCTTTAATGCATCACTGAAATCACCAAGACTTGGTTTTATGTAGGCTCTGAGGATGCAATGAATTGCACGAGAGAAGTTATAAACGTAAGAGGGTGCATCAATTCTACCGTCCAAAGCTCTATGTCTCCCATTCCTTTTCAATGGGTGCTTGCTCCTTATCCTCATACCAAACCATGGCTTTTGCTACCTTCCTCGGCTCCTTCTTACGATCCTTCTCACAAGTGTCTCTCTCCCAAGGCGTGTACTGGATGTAAATTTCCCCCTTGTACGGCTTGGAATCTGCATCGTAATCCGTATCCCTCCCAATGTAAGTCTTTTGCACAATTGGAGAAGCCGGCAGGTAATCCCGCAGTTTCGCTTTCAGGATCTCGATTTTGCTAGAGTACAATGTACTGCTATCCGTTTTGCTGTGTAAAACAAACGAGTTAGCATAGTGAGAGGGACTGTGGAGAAAAACTTACGATTTCTGTTTTGTAAGTATAAAGACCTTCGTGTCTGCAGAGTCCGCCAGCGGGTTCTTGGTGGCACCCTTCTTGCCCTTGCCGCCCTTCAGGTCCGCCAAACTTTCGTAGAAAGCAATATCTGGAGCTGATTGATCAAGAATATCCACAGCTATTTTCCTGAAAACGTCGTCGGTCCGTTCCTTGGGTTGATTGTTCGCCAGGAGCTCGTTGAAGCCGCCACCTTTCCCAGCGGTACCCTCAGCCTCCCAGATATGCCCTTGCCAAAAGCCGTGGGAATTCTAGTTGAAAGGTCAGCATAAAACCTAACGCGAACCGAAGGCTGTTCTTCGCGTGCTTACGACGATGATTATAGCTGTACAGCCTGTGAGTCCTGCCATCCTAAATGTCGTTTTTGTCCTGGGCCAATCCTTCCATTCGCTAGTAGCACTGATCGATATACCATCAATCTTCCACCCTTCCAACTGCGTCTCGTGCGGTTGTATGGCCAAGGAATTTTCCCTCGTTATAGTCTTGTCTAGTCTCTGGATGAACGCTCGTTGCTTTGATGCAGTCACCCTGCGTCCGGGGCTGTCTAATGGATCCGGATCATCGTCATTGGCAGCTCTCTTTTCCGAGGGAAGGCCGTAATCTGCGAATGTAGGGCCCGAAAACTCTCGAGAACCTAAGCCAGAATTATCCGGCACAGGAAACCTCGTAGGGATTGACGCAGCAGCGGCCAATCCGATAAGGCAAAGCCTCCAAGTGAAGCTTGTTAGACGCATAGTGAGGACTGTAGACTAGAACTTAAGCATGAGTTCTAAGGGGTGAAAAGGTTCTCGTCGTTGGTTAAGAAGATGTTGATTCTTCCAATGTCTCAGCGACTGTGATACTGCCATTCGCAAAGGTCACTCGAGGTCGAGGGTATTTCTATTCTACTATCCCTTATGCTGAACTCAAGAGCCTAATTGATAGTGGCTTAGAAGCTTGGCAGACTGTTTTATTTATGGGCTATTAGCGTCTTGGCCCAGCCCGTGCAAGTGAGGCGCAGGTACCCTGCACACTATAATTTCCGCGCTTACGCTTAAGCGCGTCGTCTAATCCTGAGGCTCGCTAGTAATGTCAAAATCGCTTAGCTATTGCCTGCAAGCAGGATGCGGCACAAAACCCATGGTCGCGATCAAACTGGATATCTCTACAATAATAGACTGCGCAGCCTGTCGCAAATAGCTTCAATGGCTGCCTAGCGGCTGTGTGGCTGATTCCCAACTTAGCAGGGCTTCTGAGTCTCTGGTATCAGCTGCTGAATCCTTGCCTAGCCAATAATTTTATCTGGATGAACGCAGTCTTGCACGCTCAACATTGCGACTTCATGGGTGCTTTGCGTTAGTAATTACACCACCAGAGCGGCACTTCCACTCAGCTCTGAGGCTTAGCTTATTTACCTTCCTGTCGGCGCTGGCCCAGAAATGCAAACGAGGTCGCTTCGACTGACCGCCTTCGTGTCAAGCATTGCGCCACAACTCACTTCTTCATCAAGCCGTATTATACAAGATCCTCTTAATGGTTACGTAAGTCTTGAGTTTATTGGAGTAAAACGATGGAGCTTCGGTTAGCAAGAAACCGGCCCTGTCAGTGCTTCATTGGTATAAAACGCTCTGGACCAATCATCAATAACTAAGTGATTGAGATGTGCTTCACAATTGTCGTCACTAGAATTGATTAAAGTGCTCTGACGGTTGATGTTAGATGCAGGAGCTGTGCAAGGTTTGAACCGGTGTAAACGCCAAGTCGACAAATATATACTTGGAATCTTCTATTCGAAAAGCTTTGCATACAACTCTCCACCTGTACCGTGACTCATGCTTCGCTTGACAGTAGTGTCAATGGCTCGAAGTTGGTAGGGTGCTTTATCGGCGTCAACTTCACTGATAATTCGGGCCACGGGTTCGGCAGTACCGCACAATGCTTCAGAATCAGCAAATTCCATATGGGAAAATAACAGAGAAGGACCATGTAGGTTCGAAATACAATTGATAATGGAACGAACATTGAACAAATATATAATCTCAGTTCTCGTGGTATTCCTTGGTTTATAGGAAATGAAGTCATATGGTTGTGTCTCAAGTCTCATCTCCTTTATCCAGCCTTTAGTTCATACAGTCCAGCCCATCATTCTCACAAACACTCCAGACTTCGAAACTCCCATATTTTCCTTCCCAACAACCAGCTTCTAATCCGTTGATCTCAGATGTCTCATCTACCGTCGCGAGGAGAGTGTCAGGGTTACAATCGTTGCTGCTGAAGAAGGCTACAACAAGAGCGTCATCACCATTGCCAGCCGTGACCTTCGTCGCTTGCTGCTTGCCAGCTCCGTCCGTCTTGCATCCAAGACCATTCCAGAAGAGCTTCCCATCGACGAGATTGTCGCCCGGTCCACCCCTATGGCATTGTTTGGGGTCTGATGGTTTATCGCCCCACCACTGATTTAATTTGAAAGCCGTTGACGAATTTGCGAGGCAGAGGGTGGTGAGGCTGAAGAGTGTCCGGGGTAACATGGTGAAATAAGGGGTTGTGTGTTTGTGTCTGAGAAGTGCTCTGCGAACCTCGTCAAGGCTGGACAAAGCTGTTGAGACTGTTTCAATTTCTTGAAAGACGATTGATTGCCTTAATCCAGCGGGATATATGGTCGAAACGAAGAGCGTTGATATTTTTGCAAACGGAACTTCAAGATCAACAGTGAATCTGGTTGAGTTGGTTCAGAAACAGCATCGAACTGAATTTGGTGACTTATATATTCCATGTCCGACAGCAGCGATGCGTAGTTTTGGAGGAAGCCCCCAACCCCTGCACCCGCGCAATGAAGCTGATTGCCAAGCTTTCACCTCAATGGCAAGCTAGGCTCCACTGGGTTTGGTGCTAGTCAGATGGTGGCTGGTGGTATACGGTCTCGGCATGCGGGTCTCGTATGCCAGTAACCGTGCAGATCCTTCCCGGGGCGCAGTCGCTGAATCGTGGTGCCTGGATAACTGGGGCCTGCCGCACGCAACCTCGACTATACCTTTCAAGAAAGCGCTTAATTGTTCCATTAACATGAGCCAGACCCTGGAAAGCTTACTCGGCTACTAGATCAAATCCAATTTCATTGCAGTAGTACTAAATTTAATTCTCAGATCTCCTTAATGTCTATTTGTAGAGTTGTTCACAGCCGCGATGACTAGCGTCAAGGTCTCAATCCCACTCGCTTACAGCCCAGAGCACATGCTTTCACAATCGAATGTCTAATGTATACCGCCTCCTTCTCCTGGTCTAATACAGAGCTATATGAACATCTCTCATCGGCAGCTTTGCCCATTCTCCAACTTCAGCATTCCCCCTCTGGCTTTCAAGATTCTGCTACACCACTGCGTGCAATATAGCTTCGAAACATCTGAGTAGCCTACTGTACCCTTCTGGAGGCCATCCAGTATGAAGTCTCATATTCTGCTCTCCTTACTCTCCTTCGCTCCACAGCTTTCTGTGCAGCTTCCATCCGCCAATGGAGTCGCCATCGTAAACCATCCTCGAGCTTCCCCATTGATCGATGAGCCGTTAGCCCTTGCGGAACGACAGCAGCAGCAGGAGAAACAAGAGAAGAACGATACTTGTGACAAGTGCACGAATCGCAAGTGCTCAGGTGGTCGATTTCGCGACCAGAATACTTGCAGATGCGCCAATTGTCCGAAGGGGCAGAAGGCCAACCCGGCGGGTGACGGTTGCATTCCAGATGGCAACAACAACAAGAACAACGAAGAAAGAAAGAAGAAGAAGCAAGACTTGTACGTGCCGCTTTTCAATCGATGCTTGAATATGACTGACAGCAATTTGAAGGACCCAAAAGACTGTGGAACGCAAGAAGAAGGCGTTCAAAAAGAAGTCGAGGGCGGACAAGAAGAAGAAGCTGATTGAAAACACTCGCAAGAGAAAGAAGACCGAGTTCCAGCGCAACAGGAAGCGGACACGCATGGGAAAATGTCTCTTGCTGGTCCCGCTCGCCATGTTCGGCGTGTATGAAGGCACTACGGCGGTGTCAACCTACGCGGAAGACTTTTTCTCTGAGGACTTCGTCACTGGAGATGCGATCGATGAGTTCTGGCCAGGCGACTTCTTGGACCCGCTTGATGTCAATATCGACTCAGACGAGTACCTGCAGGCTTACGTCGAGCTAGCGGCAAAGAAAGAGGATGATAAAGACACACGATGGAAAGACCCGATCGTGCCAATCGGCGTGAAACGTGAGGAGTCTGCTACAATTACCGCCCCCAACGACATGGCCATTCCAGAAAAGTTCAAGCGCGTTCCCATCCCGCACCCATCAACTACTGATATGACTGTTGGAACACACCACCTGGACAAGCGTAATCCCTTGGCGGTAAGTGGCATATCTCCGCGACTCGATCAAGATCAATCTGCTAAAAGTTGTTTCTAGGCTATTCTCAGAGCCATACTGGCCTTTACAGGACGACTCGGATCCGTGACTACCACCACAGTATCAAGATTCGCGTCCATCGGCCAGCGAGTATCTGCTCGTCTCAAGGACTTGTCGGCCAGGGGTGGGGCCCGCCTTGCCAAAGGAGGCGGCAAAGCCGGCGTTAATAAGATGAAGGACGCCGCCCGGGCGATATCGAAGAACAAGAATTGGAAGAACTGTCTCAATGGGGCTAAGCCGGTATAGAATAGTACACATTTGAAGAATGTGTCATGTATCAGAAGTCAGGGTCGAGGTAGCAATGATGAAGGACAGCAGCGGTTGGGCTGTCTACTATGGTGCTGTAACAAGTCAAACACAAACGAGGCAGAGCCTTTAAAAACATAGATACATTATCCAACCCCCTATTGTGGCCCTTGTATTGTATGATGAGACCTACTGTAGCATCAACATTGATGCGATTCCAGTCGGCCACTTAAGGGTCTAATGATTACCCTTCAAGCAAGAAGTCCTGAATTGTTGCCGCAGCCATGAGTTGGATGGTGCTGGTTGCAGGCTGGCTATAGTGCCGCTTTGATGCTTGCGGGACATGCAGATCAATCATTGGGACGATTTTCTCATGTCATACTGAATTTGTAGGGCATTGTTTTGAACCAGGAATTGCCAACAAACAACTGAAGGTATTTAAAGTGCCTAACTAAAAGCATACGACAACCATTTTTGTAAAGCAACGCCATACTCCGGTGCAAGCCAAGATGGGACAGAACTGCAAGACTGTCTAGTCATCTCATTTCTTGCTCTTAGGAGCCTCGTCGTCGTCGCCAGCAGCCACCTCATCGTCCATGTCACGACTTCTCTTGAGACCCTTCATCTTCCTCGTCTGCAGCTCACTCAGGTCTTGTCTGCCCAGGTGGATTCTGCCGAGCTTGTCACCCATGGAGTCTGTCGTCACGTTCTTCTTGGTCCTCTCCTCATTGGTCCTAGGCTTCTTGAGGGCCTCCTTCAGCATCTCCGCGTCAGGTTCCTGCATTCTGCCGACGCGGAAATCCATGCGCGGGCCCATCTCCTCAACCTCCACGCGGGGCAGCTTCTGGCCGCTGCGCTTGGTCGAGATCAGGTAGACTCGGAGGTGGATGGCGGGCTTGTCGTCGTCTCCCAACGGCTCCTCGGCTGAGATTGACACAATGTACTGAAGTCCCTCGACATCGATCTTGTCGGAGCCCTCGCCCTTGAAGAAATCCAGGAAGAAGCTCTTTGCCATGGTGTACTCGTTTGCGACGGGGCTGTCGAATGCGGTGCCAGCAAAGACGATCATGGGCCTCAAGCCGACGGCGAATTTGCGGCCCTTGAACTGGTCAATCTTTCTGTGGCTCTGGGGGTCGAGGTGCAGCTCGAGCATGTCCAGGGTCTTGTGGCCGAAGGTTCTGATCATGGTCAGGGTGTGAGGGCGCTTCTTGGAGCTGCTGCCGAACACGAGCAGGGAGGCATCGTTCTTCTCGGAGAAGAACTCGAGGGAGGCGGGGTCTTCGAAGGGGTGGATGGCGTTCTTCTTGGTGAATTTCTTGGCCAGAGGGACCCTCAGCGAGTACAGGTCGGTGATGGCATCCTGCACGATTTGCGAGCAGGTGGTGCCGCGCAGGAACAGGCAGGACTTCGGGTTCTCGATGGCCTTGGGCGCCTTCTTCTCCAGAGCGCGCTTGGAGCGGGCGTTGCGGGGTTTTCTAGGGAAGAGTCAGCAATCGGCGGGCCGCGCAACGAGGGAGCGCCTGCTCACATTTGTCTCAACATGGCGATTTCTGTGGTGTGGATTGGGGGATGGCGTTGGATTCGAGTGTCGCAAATGTTTGGAGGGGACTTCGAAAAAAATCCTTATCTCTACGATAAGCAGGAATGCTCCAGGTGGAAAAGCGGAGCCCTTCCGCCCACCTTGGGGCACTAGTTTAGTACATACATACTCCGTAGTACTACACTACTGCCACTATGCACTTGGCAACCCTGTTCACCACATAACACTTGTGAGCACCGTTATTACTAAAGCGTTTCTCTGTGGGAAAACCCGCCGTGGGTGGCACTGGCCGTTCACCTGTGTAGTTTCTGCTACAATCTCTCTGCACTGACTGACAGGTACTCGAAATATTTATATCATGTCTAGGTTAGTTTCTGAAATAACTGCGTAGTCATTTAAGATCTCGAAAAGAACATGTTGACACGAGTAAAGTAGGGCAATTTTACTTAGGAAGGACGTTATCCTCAAACGGCAATGTGACTGTTTTGCGCGTGAGTTGCAGTATGTCCATTGGGTTAGTTTAGTTCTTTACAGCCCCTCTCAACCGCTGGACGAATGCAACCCAGTGGCAAGATGTTGCATTAGACCCGATTGGAATCCACAATGAAACAGCTCGTGTGAGCGTCACAAGCTGCTGCAGGCACCATAGCGATAGATACCTAGGAATTTGATTGGATCACGTGTTTAAAGCAAGGGATGCAAGGAGTCCATTACTGCCTGGCCCAGAGTATATGAAGGAGTACCAACGGCACCATAGAGTACCGCGTGTCTGATCCCTCCCTTGTGTGTCCATATCCAAAAACAGTCTGCTTGAGTCTCGGCTGCACGCCATTTTCTGCATCTACAGCCAAACAGCAACTAATTGCGACGTTTCAAACCCCAGAATAGCGATACCCGAAAAGTACCCAACCCTCCTTGTAGCATGTCTGGGTCTCTGATTGCTACCATATCCGCCAGGATCGCGGAAAACACAGCCAAAGTGAATGAGTACTTGACAAAACATAACCTTCCTCAGCCTTCATTTGACCTCGGGGCACCTTCGCAATCCTTGATCCCACCTACACAGTCTGAAGTCGCGGCAGCACGCCAGGCCGTGATCCACGACTGCCTGGAGCTTAGACAACTTGTGCTCGGCCCCAAGGAGCATTTGACTAGCTTCCAACACAATGAACTTGTCAGTCAGCATGTCATATTGCGGTTCCGCATAGCAGAGGCCGTCCCTGTCGGCGGCGAGACAACTTTCGAGCAGCTAGCTATGACAAGTGGCCTCAATGAGATGCAGTTGCGCAAGCTGCTTCGCCATGCAATGGCACAGCGAATATTCACCGAACCGCGTCCCGGCGTCGTGGCGCACACGGCGGCGTCGCGACTCCTTGTCGAGGACGAGGGTCTGTACAACTGGCTACGGTTCAGCACTGACGATCTCTGGCACGCCGCTTGCCGTACTGGTGATGCTCTGGCACAATTCCCTGGTTCTGAAGAGCCAAACGAGACGGGGTTCGCTCTGTCCAACGGGACAAGTAAGGACATGTTCCATTTTCTCTCCGAATATCCCGAGCGTGCAGAGCGCTTCGCCGCTGCGATGCGATTCTTCACACAGAGACCTGGCCTTGAGCCAATACACGTCGTCAACAACTATGCCTGGGGCGATATTCCCCAAGGGGGCATCGTTGTGGATGTAGGTGGCTCGCACGGCATCATCTGCATCGAGCTAGCACGACAGTTTCCTTCGCTTCGGTTCATCGTCCAGGACCTCGATGAAGCCGTGATTCGAGACGCTGAAAGGCAGCGGCCTTCAGAGCTCAAAGATCGTGTGAAATATATGGTGCACGACTTCTTTGATGAGCAGCCAATCGGTGGCGCTGAAGTGTACTTTCTTCGCGCTGTGCTACACAACTGGTCTGATAAATATGCGAAGAAGATACTCCGTGCCTTGATTCCCGCTCTAAAACCGGGATCCAGAATTGTTCTTAACGAGCCGGTGATGCCAGAGCCCGGTAAGATGCCTCCTGAAATGGCGGCACGCATGCGTGCCAACGATCTCGTCATGCTTCAGCTACAAAATGGAGGTGATCGTGAGATGGCGGATTGGGAAGTGCTCTTTTCGGAGGCACATAGAGGCTTCCGTTTCCATGGTGGGAAGAAGCCGGTTAACTCAAACTTATGGATACTAGAAGCAGAATGGGTGGGATAAAATTATATGTTGAGGGAACAAGAACCCTGATTGATTGTATCGCCATCAAATACTTTACAGGCTACCTGTGCTGGACTTGTAACCCATGCATTTCGGATATTGTATTTGGTATACCGAGTTCGCCACCGAAATGGCGTACCGAAACCTCCTGTAGCGCTGCCCCAAAAGTGACTTCTCCAGACTCTGCAACCTTGTTGGGCTTAACACCTGAAGCTAGACAAATACGCGGTGACGATCCAAACACGAGAGAATGACCTATAAATTTTCATCATTGGCGGCATTCCTTATTTATATAACATACACCAAGGCTCATCAGTCCCATGTTTCTTTAATGCCCGTAATCGCACAGAGATATGTTGTAATCACGTTCATAATGAATATAGGGATCACGCATTGTTGTCCACTCTCAGTCTCGAACCCCGCCTTTGCTAAGGACCTCACGTCTCATATATCAGCCGAGAAGAGTTGTAGACACCAACCTTTTGCTAGCATTTGTATTCGCAATCGTATGTCCGTGACTGTAGACATTGTCGTTAGCCAACAAATAGCGGCGTACGATTGCTTGCGTGAACTTACCGCAGCGGCTCCTGGACACTTCGGTCCGTTACTGTCCCAATTATCTCCGTTCAACTTACAGCTTGGCGTACCGGTATTTGATGAGGTCGTCCACGCTTGGTCGCCGTAGTAGAACTGCATGTAATCATTTTGATGCTCACCCACAATAATTAGCGTGTTTCCCATCCCGTCTTCCTTCAACTCCCATCGATGACCGTCATTGATCGGGACTCCGGGGCTGGACGTCGATCCTGGGGTGGTGTATATAGTTTTGCCCGAAGCATCCGAAAGAGAAATTCTGGCGTAGAGATTGCTGTTGGAGACCTCACAGGTCCATATCTCATCAATAGAGAATTTGCAGGTTCCAGTGGGCTGAGGGGCACCACTGGTGGAGGTGCTAATCGTTGTAAAGGTTGAGGTAGCCACAGATGGTGCAGCCGGTGATTTGGGGTCCTCGACGCCTTTCTGTGGAGGATCGGATGTGTAGGCAGGTTCTGTACATTTCGCACGCGCTGCAATGAGGCCTTCTGAGATCGTCCTCGTGGCAATTGGCGCATCGTCTCGCTTGACGAACTCGTCGATGACTTTGTCTTCCCTGGCTGAGCGTAAAACATGATTTTGGCCATGTCCTTGAGGGACGCGTTTGGAGAGTTCGATGACAGTGCCGTTATCAAAGGTACGCTCACTAATGAGAGTCAAGTGTCTAGAACTCCTGCGCTGGACATTCTCATCTACTCCGTATATGAACCCCGCCTCGCCGCCAGGTATATAGTAGTCCACCCGTGAGGCCCATGCATGATCATCGTCGACGAAGTCTGTGAGGAAGCGGATGGTAAAGATACCCACGGCACCAGGGGTGGGACCAGCTCTCTGTTTGATTGTACCATGAGCGTTGCTTTGCCAGTTCTGTTCCGACAGAGTGAAGGCACCATCACATGCGGCCATGCCCCAGGGCGCGCAGTAAGTGTTCGCCGAGACTCCATTTGCGTCGTTGCCTCCCTCAACTGAAAAAGCAGGGGGAAACTCATCGCAAGTCCAAGCCATGCCTGCGTCGGCACCGCTTGGGTCTGCGATCTGGTACGACCCTCCTGCGCCCTGGGGTAGGTTAGGATTAAGTCGTTGGCCGACAAACCCGGTGGAAACAGTGCGACCACCTTGGTTGAAGGGCTCAGGGACTACCAGGGGTTGGTTGTTCTCGGGGCATGGATGACCAGCTTTCCAGTTGCCTGGACAAGACTCTTGGTCACGGCGGCGATCGATGCGAGCCTGATCCGAATCAACATTAAGCTCCAGGAATGCCACGTTCTGGAGTCTTCCCAGATGTCCATTGGCATCCCTTCGCAGAGCATAATTGGCTCTTCCATTCCGTGCGGCATTGGCATTGACGTTCTCGCAGATGCTAGGCATTTTAGCGCAGTTGTATGCCATCGTAGGAATTCCTAGAGGGTTGGTCGCTACAGGTGTGCCATCGTACTCTGGCACGCCCTGCACTGTGCTTGTCTGGCAGTAGCAACGGACGGCAAGGACTGCGAAACAATAAGTGGCGGACAGTTTCATTCTACCTGCTATCTTAGTATCTATACTTTAGGAAATACCTGTTATAGCAAAGAACTTTTACAAGTCAATGCTCCTTGGTCAGAGTAGACTGGTGAGTAGAGCCATCTTTCAGAGATCTATCGGCTTAGATATACGCCGTCTTTATGGACTTTACGTTGATGTATTACAGACTTACTCGACTGGAGACATTTTGCGCAGCCATCCCATACTAGTCAAGGATAATACTGCCCGATATGATATTTTTCTCATTTCGATGCGCCTCGATCATAATCCTTTTACCATCCTTCTAAAGGGGGCTATTCAATGTTCAGCTGACTGTCACTCTGACGCAACACCCATTATGGTTTCCATTGCAAAGTCCTATCAGCGGCACAAGACTTATATTTATCTGTAGGAGCATACCATTTGCGTCGCATTCCTTGATTTCTAATATGTAATAGACGTAATCACGCATGGAATCCTTATCAAAGTTCAAACAGCTCAGCCTCGTGTCTGCTTATTCTCTTATGCGATTATAAAGTCCTTTGGGATCCTCTAGGCTATTATGCTGGCCCAATTCAACAGGATTGGATCTAGACATGATCCTTGATATGCCGTAAGCGCGGGGGCGGTCAATGGTCCGCCGCCAATTTACGCAACCTCTGTATTTTTAGTACTAGCGGGCAAGAACTACCAGTTGCTAACTGAGCACTGCGGCATGTTCGCTGTGTTTGCAAAACCGCCACACGTTTAATGAAAAGATTAGGAACTAATGCCGATTCCGAAGGTGCGAAGGGAATCTGTTAGCTCATGCTAAGTTCTGGTTTTAGGGTCTGATCGTCCGAATATGGTAGTAATGATCTGCGAACCCCCCAGAAAACAAAGTTGGTGAGGGTATTGTGGGGAAGTATGTATATAGACGGCTCAAGTCCAGGCTGAGACTTGCTGCGACCTGCTCAATGTGGCTTTGGCGATATTGTTAATGGCATTAAGATTGTATAATAGTATGCAAGAATCAATATTGGCCCCATCAGACGATGCTAGTCCCCTCCGCTTGGAAATATCTCTTTGAGAGTCGAATAACGCGAGTGAATTTGACTACGATCCAAGATGACATGCAATTATGTAATAAGCTCAGATGATATATGAATGACAATGTCCTTTCATCTGAGAAGGAAGCCAGGACTGGGTATTTTCCGTTGGATTGCGAGCATTTTCTTCGCAAAAGTCAGCGAAATGAATAGAAACTAGTCTACAACTCAGTCGCAGTGTTTGACTCCTTCAACTGCCTGAAAATTTCCCTCTTAGCCAGCTCTGCGGTTCCGATCGCTGCACTAAACTCGGGCTGTTGGCCAATAATATCCAGGTCGCCACCCAGAACAGCATCTATCACTTGCTCCAGAACTTCCCTGAACCTTGGCCTCTCAGTCGTATCCCCAAATAACAGGACCATGGAGATATTCCTTCGGACTGGGCTATTTACAACAGGATACTGAAGTGCATCTCGCACTGCTTCCCAATAAGACTCTTCATGTCTTGACTCATACCCGAGGCGCAAGTTTCTTAACGTAGGGGTTTCTTCGAGATAGTATGCATTCGAAATATGCGCTTGGCTCGTAGTCAAACTTGTATGCGTGTATGAAACCGAGAGTGCAAACTGAGGCGGGATATGCAACTCCTCCTCTTCACACGCTGCAATGGCTCTGTAATCTTCGCAAAGTCCTAAGCCATTACCCGCATACGCTGCGATACTTGCGTGGATGGGCCGGAAGTTAGAGAAGGGGAAGAACTCCAAGTAGACTAGCGACAGATACTCAAAGGCATCGTGAAGGTCTTCCCCATACAAAGCGACGAGATGTGGGATGGAAATGGCTGCGGCTGAAATAGGTTCGCCAACAGAAATCGACGCTTGGTCTCGCAAGTCATTGATCATGTTGCTGAGTATACCTACGTCTCTGGAGGAAGGAAGGCCCAGTTTTTTTCGGGTGTTCCGCACCGTCCGGCGGGCACTGTCGCGGATCGCTTCTCCGACGTTTGAATAAGGTTGGCTTGTTTTGTGGTTAGGCAAGTGAGTCGAAAGAGTGTGCGAGGAGAAAGAGAGTGCATACTGCAAGTGTTGTGACGAAAGGAGAGATAGTCGAAGCATCATCTCCCGGTACGATTGATTGCCTTCGACCCTAGCGATCGACTGAATGGAGCCGTTCGGATAGGAAACAGCAACAGTCCTATGTCCGGTCAGATCCTATATGGCTGAGTATGATGTGCAAGACTTACGCATATGAGGGGCTTAAGTCAAAGCCGATGCCGAACTCATGAGTAATCGAGAGTTGATGCTGTTTCTTCGGGAACGACAGCAGTAGAATCCACACCGTGAAGATGAAGAGCAACACTGCCCAGATGTAACGAGCGGCACTTGGAAGCTTCATAATTCATTCAGCCGATCAGGGCTCGGAGGTAGTAGCGGCTTGAAGCTGTTCCAGCGCCAAAGGAATTGAAAGTCGACTGCGCCAGTTGATATCTGTGGATGGAAGATGCTTTGGGTAGAAGCCCGGTGGAACTTCTTGGCAGTACAGGTGCTCTCCAAAAGGTCTTACTGCCTAGAAGCTATCGCGGCCGGTTCTGGCGCGGGAATGTTCGGCCTCATGCGTTCGTACTGCTCGGGTAGCTAGATAGGTGCCTTTCTATGCACCCCAAACGAACGCAGGGCTTTGTGCATGAGGAAACTTGACGTCACCGATGTGTTGTACGAAGAGGAATGCAGAAGGAAGCGGCGTGAACTAGATCAGTAAGAGTGACTTTTTAAGAAGGATTGCGGGGTGTTGGTCAGCCGGACGCTGTGTCACCTTCAAGCCGTTTCAGCCTACCACCATCATATTTGTCGCCGGGCTAGGCCTTCCTACCTTATGTTCCGAAGTACTGCTAGTTGAGTACCCCTTCCGAAGTTGTGATGGGTTAAATTTAAGTGCTCATCAAATAGCCGATGCTATAGGTACTAAGGTAGTCTAGGCCCGGAGTTGCATTACGCCAGGCAAGTCATGCTTTGCAATTATCCTCACTTGCACACGCACATCAGCATAGAGAACAATGCGGGCATCCTGAAACTTCAAAATCAATATATACCGGGCTTATAGTCATCTCACAAACTGGCGGGATTCATGGAATAGGAATAGGTGGCGACTCTGCCACTATATCCTTAAATAGCTGACTCAATACGGGCACCGGCTGCTGATCCGACATTCCCTTTTTACTCCACCTGCTCCTCAGTTATTCCTTTTATTCCATGACTCAGGTTCGAATATGAAGCCACCATCCATCTTCGCAATATTCCTTGTTTATGACATCACAGAAGAGGATTTTGCCAGCCCTCGATATCGTCGAAGAGCAAGTCAACGGTTATGCTTCACTGCAGAAGTAGAGTCGGTGATTTATGTTAAGCTCCATACCATGCCATCTCTCGTGCAACTTGTCCATGGGATGACACTATTTATTTAATGGCGTCTGTGGATGCACGTAACACGTATAGTGCGTCGAGCGAATGCTTGTGACAACTCAATCTCTCGGTGTAGATTGTAATCCAATATAGATACGAGATAAATGAGTGACGAATAGCGCTGCATGACGGGGGATGCGACCGAAGGATGAGGATGATATGAAATGAAACGCCTCCATAGGACTTGATAGAACAGACATTCCGATATTTGTAATATATACACTGATATATAATACTCTTTGCAATGCCATTGCTTCGTTGACTGTCTTTTAGTAGTCCACAGTCTGTATAGGCCTTCCACTCTTTAGATTCGGACATGCAAGATGTCTGCCTTTACCAATAACCTGATTCTCATCCTATTGCCTATAGCCCTCGGCAGCCCGTTGAACGATATTCATTCTTCTATGACCCTCAGAAGCCCTGTCAATCCAATCAACGAAAGAGACAACAGTTTCGTATGGGCCTCTGTCGGAGATTCATGGGCGGCTGGCGTGTCCTACAGCCCGACGCAGCATACGGATTATGACAATGATAAGAATGGATGTCATCGCTGGAAGGACTCTTATGGTCCTATTATGGAACGAAACAAAACTTGGACGACAGGTCTTCAGACGTTCAATTTTGCTGCTTGTACGTTAATCTCTCCAAATTCATACAAAGGGGGTCGGTTTCGGGTATTCTGATACTCATCTTTCGTCCCTCGAAATGACCCCCTCTCTATAGGCTATTTATGTTCTAAACCACTAGCCACGCAGGTTCGGGTGCCATACTTTCCAACATTGTCGCCTCACCGCAAGGCGACAACCCTCCCCAGATGACTTTGGTCGGCAGTCCACAAATGATCACCTATCATGCAGGCGGCAACAACTGCGGCTTTGGCGCCGTCGTGAATGATTGCATTTACCAACCTTGGGGAAATTATGGTGCGGAGTACCCAGATCCTTCAGGACAGTGCGCGAAGCAGCTGGCGGACCGCAATACCTACATCGACAAGGCTGGCGATGGTGGCCTTTACCAGGACGAGCTGAACACCGTAAGGGACCTGCTAGGCCACCCCGCTGTAAAAGACAACAAGGATTTCCACCTCTACGTACTCGGCTATGCCCACTTCTTCAATGAAGGCGCTAACTACTGTGACGATATTTCGTTCGGTGTCTTAGCGTCAGTACCGCTGGTGGGCAACGCGCCCAAGGTCACTAACCGGCTGCGGACAGACCTCAACGATGGCGTCGAGCGCGTGAACAAGATCCTTGCGCGTGTCGCGAAAGATGTCGGCGACTCCCGAGTAAAATTCCTCGACATCTCGCCGGCATTCAAAGACCACCGATTCTGTGAGGACCGATACAGCTACAAAGACCAGTGGTATAACGCCGACGTGTGGCTCTGGAACTTCAACACGCCCGCTGACGACCCACCCGCTGACCCGGCCCTGATAGATGCGTGGCTGAATGGAAACCGCTTCCCAGATAACACTACGCTGCCTAATTATCCCAACGGCACGAAGGTCGGCGTTGAGATGCAAGGAGGCGTGGTGACGGATGGCTCAGGTGGAAGTACAGGGCCAGGACCAACGTGGTTCCAGAGGCCTTTCCATCCAAAGAAAGGTGGAACACAGGCGATTGCGGACATTGTTATCGCGCAGGCAATTGCAGACAAGATTCCTGGTGTTGTCGGCTCATCACCCCCTACTACGGGAACCTGTGATTGTAATGAGAACGGATGTAGTCCCGAGTCACCGGCTTGTTGCGCAAACGGCACTTGTTGATACTCAAATACAGTTGCACGTTATAGTTGTCCAGTATTGGAAATCCCAGACCGAGTGACAAACATCTCTTGGAAGGGATCCTCCACTTAGGCGTGATGAGTTGCAAAGATGGTGTATGGAGAAAGCAGCAATTTATACATCCTTGCCATAACATGGAAGCTCCAGACATTACATACTCCCTGGCGCTAACTACCTGTGGTAATCCTAATTTAGTGAACCGACGTCAAACTGTTCCAAGGAGGTCCAAGGAGATAAAAAATAACACTAGAGAACTTTGCCATGTTCTAGTGTATGCTTATAGTGATTAAGCCTAGATCCGTCCTTTTTGAGCGACCATGGTTGCTTCTGTCCAGTTAACAACAGCGACGTCATCTAGGCCGGTGGGGCGTCATCCGTGTCATGCATCTCACATCGCAGGATCGTCCGGGCGGCTCAGCCCTATCATCGAATCCTAAACTTGTAAGCCGAAGTATTTCCACATGCAGGACTCAAGTCTAGGTGAAGAGCAGGAATTGCTGTACCGGAATCCAATCGCCAGGGACTCCTTGGTGGATACTATTGAAACTGGGAGAGCAGCTCATTGACTGTTCACGACCCCAAGCAAACGCCAGCCAACTCTTTTTGGGCCGTGGTTGTTCCTCACAAGAGCGCGCCCATTCCAGACAGAAATATTCAGGATGTCACCACCTTTGCCCAACGAAGTTCTGCAGCATATTTTCTCCTTTCTCCGGCCAAGCCTCCGACGCAAGGGCCACGGTCATGCATTTGATGCGGTCGCACCAGACCATCTGGCGGAGGAGGCATCCCGTCAAGTCACCCTATCCCGTGTCTCACGCAGCTCCAAGCAGCTCCGACGGCTAGCTCTGCCATTTCTCTACCACACGATACCCATGACTTCAGCCAAGCTCCTCCCTGAGATGTCGAAGAACGCAGAGCTCGCGGGCTATGTGAGAGCCATCGACCTCAGTCACACGGGTATAGATCGGTCCACGTTGCGCGACGCATTCAAAACTGCAAGACCTTGGTTGTCTCTGCCATCTGCCTTCGAGCGCCTCTTAGAGCAAGCGATCGATCGCGTCGGCGACGATCTCACCGACACCGGTGCAGAAGCCGCGCTTCATTTGAGTCTCCTAAAGAACCTCGAAGCACTCGAATATCGCGGCTACATTGGATCCAACGACCTAGTTACGGCGTTTTTCGACGGCGCTGCGAGCAGTGACGAAGCGCAAGAAACCCAGGTGCCGCACCTGCGGGAGCTTCGGTTACGCCACTGGAGCGGCGAGAATACAACGCGTATCACCCATGTTCAGCGGCTGCTGCAAAGCTCCGTGGAGAAGCTGTATGCATGTGCTATCAACTGGGAGGTGGATCCAAATAGTGGTGAAGGAAGACCTCTTGCTGTAGGCCCGCAACTTTCTCTCAAACATGTCGATCTTGTGGATGCCACCATCAATGGACCCGGATTGGACGACATGCTACAGCGCTGTCCTGACTTGATAACTCTGAGCATCGTTTGGGGTGACCCTTCTAGGATGCCGACATTTCCACTCGACTTCAACGCCATAGGCGCAGCGCTCCGTCAGCACGCCCGCGGCCTCGAGAAGCTGACACTGGATTGTTCAGAGGAGCTGAGCTACACGCAGGGCCATAGCGAAGGGAGATTAGGGCCACTCTCAGAGCTTCCAAAATTGAAAGTACTCGTGGTGGCCCAGGATGTCCTCGTGGGTGAAGACGAGGAGGAGGGGGAGGAAGAGCCCCTCAGCTTGGACCAAGTCTTGCCAAGTTCTCTTGAAGTTTTGCGTCTCTTGACCTGCCAAGATGACGAAGAGAATCTAGATGAGCAATTGGTCGACTTGATCAAAGGCGGTCGGCTGTCAAAGCTACGAAGAGTCCAGATGAAGCGCGACGAGGACTTTGCGGGGGACGCTGCTGAGTTAGGTTGGAAGCTATGGCATCGCTGGGATAAAATGATTCTCAGTAGGCTGTAACATAAAGAACCTCTGACCAGAAACCTATCCTGAGGATCACATGTTGGGTGCATATTCTAGTGCCCTCACCTTCGGCGTAGTGTGATATAGTAGCATACACTAACAGGAGCTCCCGACGGATATCGCAGGCCTGCAACGGGAGCTGCTTATTTAATCGATTGCCCATACCTGCGTACATATTCCGAGGCTCCTCCCTCTCGGTCAATACCTCGTTTGTCTGATGGGTTCAAAGTCGGCCTGTAGCGGCATGGCGGGGCCACGATCCTGACGTAGCAACTTCACAAACCGCATGAGAGGCTGCACCCAGAACGCTTCTGCTCAAAGGTCAAACGTAAAACCAATTCAGCATTACTGTATTACATCACTGACGTTTCATAAGATACGGTAGAGTCGGCCGCACTCCGTGTGTTCCGCAACCGCCTTAATGGCAGTTATGTCCTCGGCTGTCTGAGTATTGTCGGATTTCCAGCAATTTTCAGGCTTGGTTATATCTTTACTGGACGCTTTATGTGCAATAGAACTTCACAAGACAAGTCTACAGTCATACCCGTGGCCTTAGTGATCACAGCCAAGTATTCCTCAACGCATTGAAACCCGAAATTCCGAAGCCCTCAATCCGAAGCTAGCGTTAAATGGGCCTCTCCATTCGGAGTAGAGAAAGGACACTAAAATGATAACGGATTGGATTATACTCTGTGGCGTGGGAGATGGCAACGTTCAACGGTATTTATACTAGAATCTGCTAGGAAGATGTAGGCTTTTCGAGTAGTCGCACCTCAGATAGCTTGCATCATAGGAAGGATCAATGATAAGCTACTGATTAAGATGCCTGCTGACAAATGATGAGAGTTATCTCCCTACACTTCCCCTAATCATGGTTACAACTGTCCAAGCGTGGCGCAGCTGGCCAATTCCCAGGAGTTGCCAGTTGTGATTCAATGATGTGTAGGAGATATCGCGAGCGCATTCGTAGCACGTTCTTACGTTTGAGGATCTGATTTGTTGGATGGCCCACAACGGGGCAGGCTGCCAAGTATATATAAAGGGTGGCCAAGCCCGATCGCAAGATTGGCACGAAGAGCGCGTTCCAGTCGACATCAAGCGCTAACATTCTGGGCTCGTGGGAAGTTGTTTGCCAACCTTCTTGGCCGAGACGCCATGCCCTCAATTTGGGTCTAAATCGAACCTCCGCCACACAGCCATCCTGAAGCAAGTCTTGGAAACGGCACAATGGGAGGTATCATCCAAAGAATTGACCATGTGCGCTTGGTTCGAATCGAATCTGACTTCACCGAAGCCTCTGGGCGGTTGCGTTGCGATCAACCCTCAATTGGAAAATGCGTCACCGTCGGAATTCCGCGGTTCTGTCCCATTGCAATGGTTCATTTTAAAGAGTCGCATTCGCGCATCGAGGTAAATGTGATGTCGACATAGTGTCTAACTTACCAGATTGACTTCTTTTCCCGCAGGGCTGCTGCCAAGTCAAGACAGATTTGTTTAGCAATCTTTCACAATGGTCAACCTCGGGCCCATAACCAAGGCATGGGACACGTTCACCCCGGGTGAACGGAGGAACATTGCCTTCTATATTCTGGGTATAATGTGTTACAAGTTTGGTCTCGAAGCATTCAACGGCTCCATCTCCGCCCTCATGACCAACAAGTACGACTATGATGCCTGGAGCACAGGCACCGCAAAGCAGACGTTCACCAAACAGCAGTTGGCCGTCGGCCTCAACTACGCCTTCCAATGCGTTGGTTCCATTCTTATCGCACCGCTGATTCAGCGCTACGCAACCAAGAATGTACTATCGGTTGCCATTCTTGTCTTTGGTATCTTCACAGCCATCTTGCTGATCGTGGATGCTGCGACTGGCGGCTCCTTTCCGCCCGAGGAATACCAGCCACCAAACACCCACCCGTCCGACGACGAAGCATTCTGGTACTACGGCCGATACAACAGCGATGGAATCATTCCCGTTTATTGTGTGACTGGTGTCGCCTACGGCATGGTTGAGTTGATCCGCCGCGTCATCCCGCGGGACATCGTCGGCGGCAACGTGCAAAAGCTGCGGAGGATGGACTCGATAGTCCACGTCTTCTACGAGATTGCAGGAACGGCTGGTTCCTTCTGCACAGCTCTTGCCCTGATCCCCAACTTCGGAGCCAACCGAGCTTTCCTCATCACCCCGGTCTGCTTCTCCCTCGCAGCGGGCTTCTGGTTCCTGGTCAGCAAGCTCGGGTTCAAAGCCAAGCATGGTGACAAGCTGGCAAAGCAGCCGTCTTACATCAAGCTTCTGATCAGCGGATTCTACTACTTTGGTCAATCTGTCTGCACCGGTGGCAAAATCATCTTTACGTCCCGCAAATTTGTGTGGTTGATGCCTGGCTATGCCATTGCGCTCTATGGCCACAGGTACCTGGAGAATGGACTCGCTCCCGTGATTGCCCGGCGTTATATGGGACAGTCGTCGTACCAACAGATCATGGTGGGCGGCTCAAACTTTGGCGAGCTTCTCGGCGCCTTATTCGTCTTCCTTTTCACGAACCTCATCCACACACCAATTCCATGGCTGAGACTCGACGGTCTCTTGCTACTAATCGTCTGGTATCTGCCGTTCTTTTATCCTGCCCGTAACCAGATCTCTGAAGCTTGGAAGGTTGCAGCCACCTTCATCCCGATCTCATTTGGTTGGGCTGCTGGCGACGTGTCGCTCGCTGCGTATATTCAGGCTTCATTGGCTCGTCTTGAGAGCACCAGCTCCGAGGTCTCGCCTTTGGGTGCTGTCATGGCATTCCTCTACGTCACATACGTGGTAATTTATGCTGTGGTCTCGCCACTTGTGGGATCATATATCGACAGCTACCAGGGCGACATTCATGAAGTGGTTCTGAACATTGGTGGTGTTCATTTCACCATTATCATGGCCATCGTTCTTGCGGCGACCTTCATTCCCAAGGGCTCTCTCGCCATCAACCCCGAGATGCTCTTTAACGAAAAACTCGACGTGGATCTGACAGACGACGAGAAAGCTATGACCGCACCGCATCAGGAATTTGCAGCCGAAGCCGAGAAGGTTGAGGATACCAACAGGAAAGGGTCGGAAAAATCATCGTTGTGAAAGAAAACCAGGGCTGATGAAATGGTTGGCGGGACTTCTATATCTGCAGTAACCGAAATATAGTCTGAAGTGGATCAGTGTTGGGTATAACATCAACTAGGGGTGGGTCGTGTCATTATAAGTTAGTATAGTAGAATCGACCTGAAGTATGCTATCCAGACTTGCGGTAAAAAAGCAATGAAATCCATGCAGGGATCCGGTGAAAGTTCTCTGACGTTTACGGAAATATGTAGGTATACCTTCCATGGTTGGTTGTACAGTCTATGTGCCCAAGAAGAGCGATTGTGTGACATTAAATCGATGAACACCGACTTGTAGACGAGAATTATGTAGGAAATACCAAGAACTACAAAACTGTTAGTCGCTGGAAGGCCATCTGCTAAACTGACTATATCTCACAGAGAGCCCAATTTGGCGATTACTTGACGGCATAGGGGCTAAGACTCGGAAGAATAGTGAACTTCCATATCCTCCAAGCTACTGACAAGGCAAAAAGGACGGCGACGTTGAGCAACATCGTGTGAAGCACCTCGATAGCTTTAGATTCTTAGAATCGACAGTGAACCCAAGCGGAAGTGTGCGAATGATGCTAAGAGGCCGTAATTCCATGGGTATCTTTGAGCGGTTCCGTGTATTGTACTAAGTCAGCACCGTCTCGTGTTTGGGGTTGGTCGAGGTGGCAGGCATCGGGGTCACTACCTAGGGACTATCTGTACGGCACAGGGATTGCGGTAGGGCGCTGATTCCCACCAATAGCCAAACTTCTAATTGCATGGATTCAACATGCACTAACGAGTGTAGTGCTGATTTTTGGCCTTTGTGAGCTGTTGGTTCTGACCTCTCCAAGGCACCACAGCCCCCCACGCCGGAGTGTGCAAGGGCGCATTCACATATTGGTTTATAGGCTTCCACATTGTCTCTGGTATCCTCCAGCGCGAGCCTGAATGCCAGATCCACGTCATTGATACCAACACAAGTCGGAACCGGGTCGTCGGCGTCAACTATCATACTGCTGACATCTCCTCAGCTACGGACGTCGACGCTGTATTCACTGCAGCCCAGCCGAAGACGATCTTCCACGTGGCTTGCCCAGACTCCACTGTCCAACAGCCAGAAGTCTTTCAAAGAGTAAATGTTGGCGGCGCTCGCAACCTACTCGCATCTACAAAACGAACCAAGGGGGTCCAAGCTTTTGTCAACACTTCCACATCATCTGTCATACACGACAACCTGACCGACCTATTTGACGCCGACGAAACCTTCCCGGTTCTCAAATACCCACAGCAGAAGCGAGTTTACACACTGACCAAGGCAGAGGCTGAGGGAGACATCCTCGCTGCCAACCGTGCAGATGGCGACTCCTCCATGCTGACTGTCTCTATGCGTCCCGCCACTGCATTTGGAGAACGCGACACAGTCTGCATGGGCAAGATTGTTGCTAATGCGCGGGCTGGTAAAGGCAAATACCAGATGGGTCCCGGAGGCAACTTGTATGACTTTGTTTACGTCTCTAACTTAGTCGACGCTCACATCCTAGCTGCTGAAGCACTTTTGAGGGCCTTCGGGCAGCCTCCCCAGCCCCAAGACGCTCGGGTAGATGGGGAGAGCTTTAATGTCACCAACAATGAGCCAGTCTACTTTTGGGAGTTTCAGCGGGCCATCGGGGCATCCGTGGGGCTTCCAGTCAAGAAAGAAGAGATCAAGGTCATCCCCATTTGGCTCGCTTTACTGATGGCCACCATTAGTGAGTGGACGACTTGGGTCTGGACATGGGGAAAGCAACAACCTAATGTCACACGCGAGGCTGTGAAGCTTACAACAATCACGCGCACTTTGAAAGGGGAGAAGGCAAGAAGAATTCTCGGCTACGAACCCAAGGTCAGCATGAGCGAGGGTCTCGAAAGAGCTGAGAAATGGTTTGTTGAAGAGGCGGCAAGGGCGGATGACACCAGAAAGACTGTTTAGCTGGCAGTTGGGTAGTGGCCTGAGAGAAGAGCCTCGCACGTAATCTGCCCCTTTTACCCTGTGATCTTTTGAACGAGACCCGTCTACGAGGTTTGTGTTCAAGCTGTACCTTGATTAGACTATTTAAGGTTCTTGTCCAAATCAAGCAGTCTTGACGCCAGGGCCCTGCGCTCTCGCTTACCTGAATTTCTGTCCCATCTGTCTGAAATACTTCTAAGAACCTTGATCTCTTCTTCACGGCTGGTGTACTCCGCCTCCCCTCATCGATCGTACACCCGTGACTAGCCCCTTTGCTCTTGAGAATTCACCAAGCTTCCAAAACTGTGGTCACACTTTCGACACCAGTGGTTGAAGAACGGCTTTGCAGGCATTGGGGCCATGATTCAGGGGTGCCAAAGCCAAAAGACCGCAGAGAATCTTTTGTCGACGCAAATGGCCAAGCATGGATGATCAGCGGAAAAGATGGTTCAGGCTCTTCTCAGAATCTGGTTGGTAGCAGCATCGGCGATAAGGTAGTAGTGGAGGAGGGCGGGTGGATATCGATACTAAAAGCTATACTGGGGAAACGACACTATTCTTAGCTCAAGGTCATGCGATAACTCGGCAATACTTAGGCACATGAAATCCAAAGAGTTAGGAGGAGGTATAGTGTAGGCTTTAACAGATTACAGTTGCAGTCTCTCCTTAAGCTCTCAAGTTTCTTTCGTAATACTAATTGGGATAGAGTTTTTAGCGTTGATAGATCTTCTGGATGCACTGCCTCTACAAGACATTGTCTGCAAATCGCATACTTGAGGCATCTCTCCCTTTCAACCAAACGTTTGCTGTGATGGTGAGGTGCGTTTGGATACAAGTGTTTGTTGACCGCTCGATTACCATGCACCACGGAGAAATTATGAAGACTTTGCACGACGTGTTGGTTTCTCCATAGTATCGTCCTCGCACCCATGGTGGGAGTCCGTTCCATGAAAAGGGGAATATGTCTGGAGAGTGCAGAAGTGGGCCAACAGCCAAGGTTTGAGGTAGCGAGCCGACACCCGCAATGGGTAGTCTCAGCCGGGGGAGCTGTCCGGCGTCAGCCTTGCCCGCTAAATGTACCCGAACGACCTGCATAAGCGGCCCCCATCCTGCCGAAGTTCTTCATTAAAACCCCTGCTCCTGGTCTGTAATCTTAAAAAATTGGCGGCGGCCGGTCATTAGGAAGGCAGCTTCTTCCGCTAAAAAGAGCCCTGAAACCTAGAAGGACTGCTGGCAGCTGAGACATCGACATCCTGCATCGGCTTTCGCTAGATTTTCGTGTGGAGATCTGCACGCCGGGAGAGAGAAAAGCAAAGCAGTTCACAACGTGCTAGGCGCTAGGCCAAGTGTTGCGCGGGGAAGACTGCGAGAAGCACGAGAGAGAGGCTACTGCATCTAACTAGACGACACTGTTCATTACCCACGGAATCTGCGGGCTTTCTCAGCGAGTGGGCTTTCCGGGACTATTGAAGCCAGATCAATAGTGTTGATTCCGGCAGCTTGACGCCATGTGGGATTCTTCGGACGACAGCGCTGGCCACGAGGCCCGGCGTCTGGTGGTTCAGTCGGCGCGCCTCTTTGGGCGGGATAGTCCGCTGAAGCGTGTTCTAAACTGGAAAGGCCAATCCGTCCCCACTGCGGCCGCCCAGGGTTCAAGATTGCGGGGCTTAATTGCGTGTAAGTCATGTAAATTGCACCTTATTTCAAGGCGGCGAAAGCTAGCTGACTCTGCACCCCGAAAGTATGCGCGGCGCGTTGGCAACGGTTTGCTCCTGCAGCTGCGTATGCCGATTTTGCCGTGCTTTTCCAGCAGAGCTGGCAGGAGTAAAATCGAAGACACCAAGACGCAGAGACCTGTATAGTGTCGTCTAACTACGATGTATGTAGGAACATTACGTAGGCATGGTCGCGAAAGGTGGCTACATGTTTCCACGGACCGCTCCGGACGCCGCGACTGGCTGAGGTACATGATTCACCTAACTCCCTACCTCAATAGGCACCCTCGGTAACTAGGTAACTAGGTGACTACTGGAGCATGTTGTGCTGTCCAGACTGGCTCAAGCTGTTTGTGCGCACAGAGTGCACTATTGTTAGCCAACTCATGACAGGCTTCCTTGGTCCTGCCTGTTCGAGGACGTAAGTTAGGCGTGCATTTATCTATATTCGGATGAGCTTGCATTTGTGTTTCGTCCGCAAAGCACAGCATATGCGTGTCTCTCTTTTTATAGCTGGGTAGTGAAAGGCGGGCAGAGGTGCAAAGTACCACGCACGTCTGGGCTGAGCCGTACTCCGTCAGTGAGACGCTGCTCTCCCGATGCCGTGCCTTTCAGCCTCTGCAGGCCACCTGGTCCCCTTTTATTAATGGCAGTTGTTGGATCGTGCCCCTGTGCAAATCATTCCCAGATCCTTACGTACTGCGACCCTACGTTAGTGTTTGTTGCGGGCATCTCCCGACGCACTCCAACAAAGCCAACGGTAAACTGGGCCTTAATATAACCCAGACCGTAAGTCCCTTTCCCGTCAGCAGAGCCAGGGGGCCGCTGGAAGAGCCAATGACGCCAGAACCAGCGGTCTGATATTGTGAGTTTCCATCCGCAACCTTTTGTTTTGTTTTCACTTCACTTACTTTTGACGTGCGGGATGTGTGTGCATGATCAGACGAAGGCTCCCGCTTAGACTCTGCGACTCGTGAGTGGCACCTCGACTGAGAAGGGCCAACTGCTAACTCGGGGACCTAAGTTGGGTAGTTCGGCCTGGGGTCCATCCCAATATTTAGTGGCAGCACTTTGATTCTTGAAACACCAGCTCAGCCTGCCCCGTCGCCTGGTTGCTCTGAATCCACCCTCGCTCGTTCCGTCGCTCCTAAAAAATCTGTAGATCGTGGGCTTGCAACGTCCTCGCCCTTCTGGAAAGCTTCTGTCCACCATCGACGACACCGGTCATGCGATCCAGCATCATGCTGAAGTGATCAGACTCGATTCCGACCGTGGTAGTCCGAACCTAATGCACCCCCCGTCCTGACGTTTCTGCACTGAAACACAGCCCTGCCCTGCCCTGCGCCTACCACGGTACCGCCCTCGGCGCAAACTTGCAGCAGCTTGGAACAGCAGCAGCAGACGCAGCAGACGCAGCAGACGCAGCCAGCCTGGCACCACCCTCCAGCCCGGCTGACAGGGGCCGCATCGTTGGCGCTCAAAACGCCCTCGATCATGAGATGACTGGCTCAACTCTGACCTGGACGGCATCCCCAACCGTCGAGTCGCCGCCGCCTCATTCGTTCCGCCGCCCGCATTCCACCCCGGAAATCGCACCGGCGCAACAGTCCCAGACGACGAGCCCGCCCGACCATCACCGCTCGCTTAGCCAACAGACGCCGCCCACCTTCGACTTCGACGTCTCTTCTCTGGATTTCGATGGCACCGGTTTCGACCTCACCCTCCCAGTTGCTAAGACATTGAGGCCCAGCTCCAATGAGAAATCCACACCTGCAGAACCCGCAACACACTCGGAGGGCGCAAGGCCCCGGACCGGCAAGATGGGGAGGAGGAAGTCCATTTTAGGCCGCCCGCAGTCCTGGATGCCGACCCCCAAGGCAACGCTCGACGCCGGTCAATACTTGGAGGAGAAGACTTCAGTGCCCACGGAGAGCGTGAGCGTGTTGAATGGCAAGGGGGCCGTCGACGGTTCCAAGCTGCTGCAACCGCCCGATCATGCAAGAACAGCCTCGGTCTCGGGCTCTCTCGCATCTTTCGCACGTCGGTCGTGGATTTCCACCTCGCGGACCCCTTCTCCGTCCGCCAATGACCACACCGAGGCGGCCGACTACGTATCCCACGAGACGCGCGAACGATCCCCAAGCACTTCGTCGAGCAAGACCAAGCTCAAGAGGCTTTCCCGCAAGCGCCAATCGTCAAATGCCGACAGCCTAGAAAGCAAATCGTCTGACTCCCTGACCAAACTTGGTTCCGTCTTTGGCAAGATGAAGGCACGGCCGCAACCTGCCATGGTAAAAGGCGTGCTCAACCACGATACCGAAAGCACTTCGTCCTCGGTAGCCAGCTTGGCGCCCGCCTCCACGACAACACGGCCGTCCAATGCAGCATCTGAGAACACATTCACGTCAGTGCCCGACGACCTCGCCAAGTCATCGTCGAGTGCGCCCATCCGGGACCCACTCTGGTCAGTCTTCAAGAGCTTGGAGTCTGAGTATTCCAAGTTCCAGTCCAAAAAGCCAGCCGAGAAGATGAAGCTGGTACGAAGTGCTCTGATGCCTTTCTTGCGAAACTATTCTTCCCACCCCTCGGACAAAAGGCTCAGCCCAGAGCAAGTCGAACAGAGGGCCGAGATTCTCAACAAATGGTGGACCGGACTTCTGGAACTCTTTGATGGCAGTTCTCAGCAATCTGTGCCCGGGACAGACCGTCCGACCCTGCATGAGGTCACGACACTCGTCATGATGCGCCCGGAATGGCGGCTCTGCACCCCATGCTTTAGGCCATTGTCGGAGAGAGGCTCTCAGGAAACCACGAAAAAGAAAGGTCGAGCCAGAGCCGAAACGTTGAGCGACGAGTCATCGAGCCCCATGGACTCTGACTACATCGCCGAGTCGGCGGAGCACAATGTGCGGAACATGTTCACTGTGAACTTGGTGAGACAGATGGCCATCGTGGTGGACAAGCTGTCACTGAGGTACTCACCCCTAAGCTTAGTCAACTTTGCCGGGAAGGCCTGCGCCTATGCCTTTTTCTTCGCCCCTGGCATTGCTGATGTGCTGGTGCGGCTGTGGGCTCTGACCCCTGACCTCATTCGCCGTGTTGCTGACGAGTTCCGGTTACCACGACGGAGTCAAAGACAAGACGACAACGTTACGGCATCATTTCCACCCGCCTTGAGCGCTCTGGCCTGGACGTCTGTTAGGGACATGTCCAGTTCTCTGAGACAAGCTGCGAAATTGCCTTTGGCCGCTGCAAAGATCGCATGGCACGGCCCCTGGATATCACGATGGCGTGGCCGGGATACCGATCTTTTCTTCATCTTCAGCAAGTACTATTTCATGCTAGCAGAGGAGTTCGTGCCTGCGGACATGCCATTGGCCGAGAAAGGTTGTGGCCCGGCTTTCCTGCTCGTAAACGCCCAAATTCTTGCAAACCTGGACTCGACAGTACACCGACAAGCGGCTGTTAATGCCATGATGATGCCCCTTGCCGATGGCCTCGGGGCTGATGCTTCCGCTACAGCTCTCCCCATTGTTCCAAACAACAATGTTATGAAGGGGATGAGCGAAAATCGTTTGATTGTATTGCTGAAGGACTTCCTTTCCGCGAGCTCGGTTACCCTGACTGCCCCTCGCCATACCTTTGCAGAAGCATTCATGGCATTGATGAAGGCGTCGGCAAAACGAACATCGTCATTCGATCACAACGCCTGCTTTACGTTGTGCGATTTCCTTGAAGAAACCTTGGTCGCCTATGACGGCTATGTTGACGTGCACCGTCCAACGTTGGAATACATCGATTGGCCTTTTTGGCTGGATGTCTGCAAGAAAATCATGCAATCTAACAATACCATGTCTGAAGTTAGAGTCTTGTCATTGATCTTCTCCATCTGGGATGCGATCGCTAGCAATCAAAGTCGCAAGGAAGTCATCTGTTTCGACTGGCTCCTCAAGGAAGAAATTTTTTACAAGTGGTTCAACAACTGGTGTCCTATGGTAAGAGCATATTACATGCGTCTATTATGCTGGCGAATTTGTCGGGACACCGGAAGTGCCAACGACCTCGATGCGTAAGTGTTTCTTGATTCGATCATCAAATTTCCCGCACACTGACATCATCGTAGAAAAATATTCGTCACTGTCGCGACGCGACTAAAGACAGTATGGTCTCATTATCTCTGGCTGAGACAGGATACCGAATCCAAGTGTAAACTTCCTCCCTCGACTGCTCCGTCGTATCCCACACCCGGCAAACGATTCATGATTATCCGCACGGAGGTGCCCGCGACCCAGCCTGGGATGATGATGGGATTTGACGCATTTTCCACTCCAGTTGGTGCTCCCGACACGAATTCAGCTGTTCCGACGACGTTTACGGAATTGCTGCCAGCCACAGAAGATCAGCCTGTCCACCACAAAAAGAAGTGGAACGTGTTTGGCAAAGTCATATCCTTTGGGGGATCCAGCAATACGAATGACTTGGAGTCTTTAAGGCGGGAGACTGCAGCCGCTCGAAAGCCTCCTCCGCCACCCAAGCATATAACTGATACTGTAACGCCTCCGGCGTCCGACTCTGACAGCCTTGGGTCCGCGCCTACTTACGAGGCCATGCAGTTCATCTTCAGGTTCACTCTCTCCTGGAATGCTCCGAACAGCATACCACCGCCGAACCGCATCTTGACCAGACCCCGACTCCCAACACCAGCTCAGTCATGGGTCAACGCCAAATTAAAGAAATTGGACGGAGGCGTGGCACTGCCTCCCGCCGGCCGGCCAGCTCCTACAAGGGCCGTTTCTGGTAGCGTGAGCACAGGCCTCATTGAAGAGGCAAAGAATGCGAACTCTTCGGAAGTTAGCCCAACTCTCCCCAGAATTTCCACCAATTTCCATCGCCGCGACAGTGCCGGCCCTAAGAGTCCCCAGACCAACAAGAGCAGCGACGAAGAGCAGCAATATTTCAGTCCCATGACCCCCACTTCCGAACCCGTTGTCCAACCAACTCAGCCACAAGGTGTCTTTGCACAACCGTCGACCTACGCTGGTCGTGCACTTGCTGAATGGAGCCTCATCGTAGCTGAGTGCAACAGTTTCGTGGATCGGAGACGAGATGAAGGAGTCCTCGGGCTCAGTGAAGTGGAGGTTCCTTCCCTCGGCGTCGAAGGATTCCGGAAGATAGGCTAGGCGCATGATGATCTATGATCCATGAGATCTACCTTACTCTCGTTCACCACCACAAATAGGCCTGGCGAAGTGCCAGAAACGGCCCCCGCTCGCATCTCGCAGTACATCCCTGGCGGGGTGTCGCCTCAGGGCTGCACGAATTATCGGAAATCAGAAGCACGCTGGCGGCCACTCGTAACCTTTTTACGACATGTTACATTCTTCAATCAACTACATCTCCGGAGTTTCTTCTTCTGCTTGGTAGTGTTTTTGTTTCCACAACATTCGGATGGCGTTTTCATACATTCCACCCCGGCGTTGAAGGTTGAAGGTTGATGGAAATGGAATTCGAACTTCACGATCCTTATTATGACTATAGAAAACGGCCTGAATCTTTTTCTGGATCACGCTATACACCCTTGACATTGCCGGAGATAGGCGAAAGAAGGTTGAGCAAATGCACCTTCTGGTTGGGACGAATGTATCGCATAGAGAGCAAGGACTTCGCACATATACATCGGTTCATCTGCTCTGGCAAGATAGTGAGAGCATATAAGGGGGGTTTTTCCCGCAACCTTGCGATGGACTTGGGCCCATTTGATACCCGGCTTCCACAGCATGACCATGTACTATATACAATTGACAGTCCAAAGGACTAAATGACCTGGAAGACGTGCATCCGGCGTTACTTTTTAAGGGGCAATCGTTTCGTCTCAAGGCGCAAGACCTGGCAGTACAACGGATAGGGAGATCAATATGGTGTCTCGCAAGTCTCGTGCGACAACCAGCAGTCAAATCTTTTGCGAAACGTGTTGGTTCCGTCTTTGTCGCGTGGTGCTGTCCCCAGATTATGTAGCTCCCCATGGCCGAGTAGCGCATCTAGCACATGGCCATTTCTGTATTCTCTCGGACAAAATAGGTTGGCTCCCAAATGCCGGAGAACTACGAAGACAGCATCCTGTTTCTAAGCCTCTTGAATTCAAAGTTGTCTGTATCGTCAGAATACCGTAGACTTAGGCTTATCGACGGGACGCAACATCGCCCTGATTCAAGCAATCCAGATTCACCTACATGCCGCTAGCGCCCAAGGCAGATACTGAGTGACACACGATCAGAGCAATTTGAAACATCTCATGCGCCTGGCCTCATCAGTTTCTGTTGACAAACCGGGTTCGCTGAGATTGAGGGCGCTGCTGCCTTGTGGTGTTTTGCCTGGTGTAGCGAGGCCGGGGTGACTCATAGATAACCTCTACAAAGCATGCTCTATATGGACGCAAGTAATGATCATACATGCCACACAAGAACTTCAGACCAGGTAGCTTAATTGTGTAAAGCATTATCAAGAATTATTTGGATTAATCAATGCTGGTTCAAACCCAGCCCTGGTCCCGCCCTTTCTTTTTTCGACCTTTTTTTCGGTCCTTCTCTTCTAACTGCTGATTTAGGCTTTGCAGAGAAAGTTCATCCAGCTTAGGAATCAAGGCATCTATTACTCCTCAATTAGGACGGTATAGGCTCCACTAAGTTTGCTTTTTTCTTTGTCACATCGTGCGACGTTTACAGGGCAAGTGGCGCACTTCATACCTGGCACACTTAGCGTGGAATAACAGTTTTGAACGAGAAAGTAGTTCCGTATATTTTCTGAAAATATATGCTTTTTTTTTGGGCATGCTTAACGTAGAGCCCTAGTGCACATATCTGAATGAAACGACAGCTTCGCCTCCGTGTCCAGCCTTCGATCCTTTAATCTGGCTGTGACTCACAGTTCCCCGCTGTTCCTCTTCTTCGAATTTCTCGTTCTGCTTCTTCAAGTAATACCTAGAAGGGTAAATATTGGTTAGCCACCTCACTTCTGTCTCGTTACGTAGTGCGGCTGTGGATACGGCATCGCAGCACTTCGCTGAGTGTGTTGAGTACTTACTTGATATAGATTGCCATGCCTCCGCAGACTACGCAAGCACCGGACATCACACCTCCACCAGCGTAGTACCTTGGCTTTTGGCTATCGGGGAACATGTAGGCCGTGTACCAGTGAGCCATTCCTGCACTGTAAAAGTAAACGTCAGTTGATAAAGATTGAAAATCACTATGAGGGTCACTTACGCCATGAAATTGACGATGGCCAATGCGGCGGCTCGCTTTGCCCTTGGGCGTGGTAGCGATGCACTGACCCAACTCACGCAGAGGTTATAGGGTGAGTATGAGCCGCCAGTCATCAGGAACATGGAGAAGTATCGTCCCCCATTGGTTGGTACGAACATGGCCTTAGAGAAGAAGTCAGCATGGGTTTGCCAGAGAGTGCCAAGCTGGTTAGATGGCAAACTTACAAGAAGGTTTCCGAGGAGAGCAAAAGCCATGGGAATAGCAATATGGTAACCCCGTTCGTGCGTGTGTGATGCGTGGAAAGACACCGCAAGCGAAACGAAGAAAGCGAAGAAGTACGGTGGAGCCGTCAGAAGCAACGTCGTGGTTGAATTGAAGCCCAGCGTACCGACGATCGAGGGGAAGAAGTTGTTGAAGGACTGTGCAGTAATGAGAGCCATTTGCATGATTACGAACATGCAGAGCTTCGGGTCGATTAGAGCCTGCTTGAGGCCCCACCAGATGGACTCCGGATCCTCGTCCGCGATGCCGGCATTCTCCTTACGAATACGCCATTCCTAAGAGATTCTGTTAGTATATTGCAATTCAAGGTCACGCCATCGTGTCCTTACGGCAATCAGCTGCAATTCCCGAGGAATGAACATGTGCTTGCTTTGCAACGGGTAATCTGTCAACAGGGGCAGAAGCAGAATAGCGATGACAACAGTCATTGAGCCCTCGATGATGAACAGCCATTCCCAAGCAGGTCTTCCGGCAGCCCCCTCCATACGAGATGTGATCCCGGCGGCGATCAGCCCAGAAAACGCAGTGGCCATCATATTACCACCGTAGAGGATTGCGACTCGCGGTGGAAGCTCGGCTCGTGTGTACCAACAGCTCATTAGGACGAAGACAGCTGGGAGAAACGGCGCTGCATCGTGAGTCAGCCTACGTAGTCTTCTGCATTGGGAGTATTATGGGCTACGAACCCTCGACAAGTCCCAACAAGAACCGGACGGAAGCCAGCTGGGCAAAGTTCTTGGTAAAGCCTTGACACATGGAGATGACTCCCCAAAGTGATGTGATAAGACAGATGTAGTACGAGGGGTAGACCTTGCCAATGATCATGTTCGAGGGCACTTGTGTTATGCAGTCTGGGAAAATGTCAGCTGAGTGAAATTGCGTCGTGTCACCAGTACAGGCACTGACAGCCAACGTAGAACATCAGCAGACATGTGTTGTATTCCTCGTTCGAGATTCCCAGAGTCTCGGTCAACCCGACGATCTTGGCACTTGCAATATTGTTTCGGTCTCTATAAGCCGGATTAGACGTCTTTCCTCTGAATGATGGATATATTCTAGTCTTTACAGGATATTGAGGAGAAAGAGTAGAAAGACCACTGGCATCAGCGTCATATCAAGGCGCCGCGTCAAGCGACGTTCGAGGCGCTTGCAATCATCTTGTGTTAGATGGGCAATCTCCTCTGGCAGTGGGAGGTCATCTGGAAGCAGGTGTGCCGGCTTGTCGTAGTGCTCTGCAGTATCCTTTGGGGGAGTGATAGTGTCAGACATAACGACGACTGGAGAACCTCAGAAGTGGTAATTGTTCACAGAGAGTTGTTGCCTCTTCGTCCTCGCACTGGTTGTAGCCAGCGCAGGCATCTCCATATACTGCTGACCGTATTCGTGCCAAGTACCAAAATCGCTAAGCCCATTATCATGCCACCAGTGTCCCCGAACCATGCACTCGGGGGACACGGAGAGAAGACCGCTGCTTCTTCCCCGCATTCCAGGGCCATGTAATTGCGGGGACCCCAGAAAGATATCCTGTGACGGTCCCGGGGCTATGATCGCGCTTGAGTCAAAGGGCTGATGTGCCGTCGGTGAGAAGGCCAACTCCACTGTTCAGGGGCTAGGAACAAGCAACCCGTTAGCGCCATGCGGAGAAGACCAAGGTCGCAACCAGCCAAGCAATCCAGGTTCTTTTTGTTTTCCGCTGCGGCACTGAGGGCCGAGCTTGATGGGACACATTGGATATAGACATTGCGATGAAGAGCCGTATCTTTCGCCTTGGTATCTCATGTTCAAAATGCAGGTGGCCCGCAAGTCTGATCGAATTATACCAATTACCTACACGACAGGTTGCTAATATGGAACGAGCCAGTGCTAGTCCTATAGATGTGACATGACATGCGGAAAGTCGCTTCATGGACTTGCAAGTCTGTATTGTGTATATGTCTCAAGCCGATGCTGATTGAAAGGCCTTTTTATTTACGGGTGTCAGGGGCTCTCCTATGAATTCTCCCTTGTCCCCAACGACAGCCATAATATTCTTCATAGCGTTAAGCTCGAAGTTGATTCTTGTGTTCAGTGCACCTCCTGCAATGTGCGTTGTGAGTGTCACATTCTCCATGGCTGCAAGTTCTTTCGAGACTTGAGGTTCATGGTAATGTACGTCAAGACCTGCGGCGGATATTTTGCCGCTCTTCAGCGCTTTGATCAGTGCTTCCTCGTTAACGACAGGCCCTCGTGCGGTATTGATTAGCCGTGATCCAGGCTTCATTGCAGCGAATGCCTCGGTACTAATCAGATCCTGGGTGTGTGAATTTAACGGTGTATGTAGACTGACACAGTCCGCCACTGCCAGGAGTTCATTCAATGAGGAATGAAAAGTTGCATCAAGCGTTTTCTCCTCCTCGTCAGATGCCCTAACCACGTCATAGTAGTGTATCTTCATACCAAGTGCAGTCTTTGCCTTGTAAGCAAGCTTCTTGCTGATGTTTCCTAGACCGACTATACCAAGCACATGCCCTCGAGGGTTGGCAGATATGGTCGCTATGAGCTTGTGTGTGGCGTTGAATTGGTCGGGGTCGCATGTTCGGGCAGCTAACTGAGATCGAGTGAAATTGCGAAAAACTGATAGGATCATGTACAGGCCGGTATCCGAGACTGCCTCGTCACTCGCGCCGGCACCGTTTGCGTACCATATCTTACGCCGACCCATAGCATCGACATCAGCCCAGTTGAAGCCCGCGCCGGCTGAGGCAAAGATTCGAACTGAGGATGGCAACAGTGTGATGAGCTCTTCGTTCCAGTCCCCCATTTCACCACCAGTCTGGAAGTGTGGTCGGTATATCGCAGAGAAGTCGCCAAACTTTCTCTCCTGGAGAGCCTGTATAAACGATGCTCGATCCAGGCACTCATTTCGCACCACCCGGAATCGTTTGCAGAATTCGTTATCGTAATAATCTTGGTTGTATTTGATCGGTTCCCCGATATGTAAGATAATAGGCTTCGACATTTTGTCTAAGAAACAACTTTCGAGAGCCAATGCGTCTAAGTGAACAGAGTTCCTCAGACCTCCCCGTGCGGATGCATTTTGACCAATTTACGAGTCTCCAATAGCACCCCGTCTCCCGAGCTCGCCCCCGAGTCCCCCGAGTATGGGGTTGGAGATGTGCGGGGAAGGGGCCGTTAGGGTGGGGAAACGGGGGACCGGAGAGAAGACCGATACGAAATGTCGGCGACATCATCCCTCGAAATTCGATCAAGTAGATGCAAAAGGCAAAATTCGAGTCAATTAATTGGCTGTAGCGTGGGGTATTTCGGCGCTAGGAAAGATGGCCGGTAGGGGTAGTAACTGATCTCTAAAATCGAAGCTCATTGATTGACCTCCTTGCGTTGGCATCGGTCCCTTGATGTCAAACACGCTGTTGTAACTCGACTTTTGCACACGATGTCCACAACGCAAGTCTCTTTTGCTGAGCTCCGCAGGCATGACAAGAAGGAGGATTGCTGGATCGCTGTGCACTCGAAAGTATGGGATCTGACCGAGTTCATTGATGAACACCCAGGCGGATCGGAAAGTGAGTCGGCTCCAATTGCAAGCATGTCATCACCATGTCTGATCCTGACTGGGCAACAGTCCTTCTCAAGTGTGCAGGTACCAACGCAACACATGAGTTCGATGCGGTCCATGCACCCGGGATACTCGAGGAAAACCTTTCAGATGATAAGCTGAAGGGGATATTAGAAGAGGCAAGCAGTGATGTACCGCCCAAAGGTGCTGTGAGCGAGGCCAGGGAGAAGAACGAGGCATCGCATGAACAAGATTCCCAAACCAACCCAGAGTTACATACTCTGATCAACGCAGCAGACTTTGAAAGGGTTGCCAGCAAATCCCTGACCCCTAAAACGTGGGCTTTCTACTCGTCAGCAGCTACAGACCTCATAACACATCAGCAGAACAAGGCTCTGCTGCGACGCATTATGATTCAACCACGAATTCTACGAAATGTCAAAGACGTGGATTTTCGTAGGAAGATACTTGGTCATAATAGCAATGCCCCCTTCTTCATAAGTCCAGCCGCTATGGCCATGTTGGCCCACCCAGATGGTGAACTGGCTCTGGCAAAAGCCGCAAAGACCGAAGGAATCATACAATGTGTAAGTCGAGGGTATTCATGTCATGAGCAAGAGATATTAATATGCCATTCAGATCTCAAACAACGCCTCGTATCCTCTTGGAAGCATAGTGGAATCAGGAGACCCCCAACAACCATTCTTCTTTCAGCTTTATGTCAACTCCGAGAGACACAAGACGACGGAGCTCCTACTCAAAGCTAAGGAACTAGGAATTAAAGCAATTTTCCTCACAGTAGATGCACCGGTGCCCGGCAAGCGCGAAGCAGACGAACGCATCGCGGCCGGATCCATTCAGTCCGCTATCAGCGGAGCCAAAGCTACGAATGACAAGAAAGGAGGCGGTCTTGGGCGTTTAATGGCCCAATACATCGACAAGTCCCTTACGTGGTCCGACCTAGCTTGGATCAAGGAGACCTCCGGACTTCCGATTGTTCTCAAGGGAGTACAGAATGTGCAAGATGCAAAGATGGCGGTTGAATATGGCGTTGATGGTATCATGTTGAGCAATCACGGTGGGAGATCGCTAGACACGTAAGTCAACTCTCGAGAACAGTCTGTGCATTGCTGATTTGAGGGACTTCAGAGCCCAGCCTGCTATTCTGAACCTCGTAGAGCTCAGAATGAAAGCGCCTGAAGTGTTCTCCAAGCTGGAAGTCTATGTAGATGGCGGCTTTGAGCGTGGCTCAGATATTCTCAAGGCCATTGCACTTGGTGCAACTGCCGTGGGTGTTGGACGGCCGTACTTATACTCCTTGGTCTATGGTCAAGAAGGTGCCGAGCACTTGACACAGAGTAAGTCCACAAAGCTTGAGTATACTTGAATAGCTGCTAACTAGACAAAGTCTTGAAAGATGAGATCGAAGTTTCGATGAGGTTATGCGGAATTACCGACCTGGAACAGGCTTCGCCGGACCTGCTTAATACTTCCGACATTAATCATCTAGTGAGGTCATCGAACAAGTTCCCCGCCGTACCATGGAAAGTTGAAAGAGCAAAACTATAGATATCCTAGATACTAAATGACACATAGAATATATAATATGAGAATTGCTCAATTCATTGCAAGTGATGACCAAAAAGAGCAGGATGACCATCCGATATAACAGCGGGCTTCAGCAAAACAGGAAGAGCTCCATTTCACCCTTTCAAACTCAGAAAGTCACTACAGGACGAATTGAACAATCACTACTTCGTACAATACACCTCTTGATGCTAGTGAAATACAAGTTGACCTTGATGTTGACAAGTTTGCAACAACGATAACGAAACACATGGCCCACACGATACCATGACTAAGAAGCGACTCAGACCAAAACATTGCTTCCATTCCTACATACCCTCGACATTTCTTGGCCGGTACCCAGCTTCTAAAAGTTCACACTCTTCATCCGTCAGCTTGACTTTTAGCGCATCCACAGCCTCCTTGATTCGCCTCTCGTTGCTGAGCCCCACGATCGGCCAGCAACCCTTGTGTAGAACCCACGCCATTGCCACCAAAGCCATGCTGACTCCTTTACCCTTCGCGACGGTTTCAACGGCATCTACGATCTCGAGATTGGCGTCTGCGAACCACTTAAGCGTCTTTTTGTCTGCCTGGCTTCTGATACTGCTGTCGTCTTTCGTGTCCAAACTCGATGAATTTGGCTTCGCCAACATGCCCCTTGCGAGGGGGCTCCACGGGATAACACCAACGCCGGTCTCGCGACAGAACGGCAGCATCTCGCGCTCCTCCTCTCGGTAAAGGAGGTTATAGAAAGGCTGCATGCTCACGAACTCGGTCCAGCCATTGAGCTTGGCCGTGTACTGCAGGCGTGCGAACTCCCATGTATACATGGTCGAGGCACCGAGGTATCGCACCTTGCCACTCACGACGACTTCGCGCAGCGCACGCATGATCTCTTCAGGGGTCGTCTCACGATCCAGCCGATGCAATTGGAGGACATCTAAGGAGTCTGTCAGCGTGAAGGCATGATACACGTGTTCGGAAACTCGCACCGATGTAGTCGGTGCCCAGCCGTTCTAAACATCGATCGACGGCTTCGAAGATGTGCTTTCGACTGAGACCCATTTGGTTGACGAGTGGCCCGTCGTTTACTGAAGCTGGTCGCGAGTCATCATCCATGACCGGGTTGTATATTTTGGTCATGATGACAACTCTACTCCTAGGGATGTTGAATTTTTTCAGGGCTTTTCCTATGATAACTTCAGACTTGCCGTTGGAGTAGGTGTCCGCGGTATCCTTATAGAGTAAGCGTTGAAACCATTATGATGGTGTAGGGCATATTCACCCAAGTGTTGATTCCATGATCATAGGCTGCCTTGATGACATTCAAGCTTTCCTCCTCGTCCAAAATCCACGGTGACCCTTCCCATTTACTAGATCCGAAGGACATGCATCCAAGAATGATCTTAGAGACCTTGAGTCCACTCTTGCCTAATCTTCGATTGTCAAAAGAGCGTTCACAAGTTGTAGAGACTACACACCTTGTGTATTCCATGGTAGAGTGTCGGCGTGGTGACACTTCGCTGGCAATGGTGGCAGTGCTCAGTGGTTAGTCAGCTCTGGCATAACAGGCAGATAGTATGCAGTGACTAAATTGCGCTTAGTATAGTTATGCGTAGAATTGAGGGTGCTCGCGTAGTTGACCGACGACTGTACCGTACCTATCGATCGTCAAGCCCCGCCCCGGATTGCCAGTTCGGAGACCTGCCGGTGTTCTCGCCGACAGCGCGGAAACCTCCCTGATTGGCTAAAAACAGCTGGAATCATCCATATGGGGCAATGCGACTCTCCCCTGTCGTCAGCCATCATTCCACCCGGACGAATTCGCTACTGGGGTAAGATTTATGCGCTCGACATTTCCAAACGAGCAACCCACCATCTGCGAACGCCTCTGCTAGTTCACGGCTTATCGCATCCATTCAGTATCTACTATACGGTTTCCTCCGTTCGAAAGTGGCACACAAACCCAATCCTTCGACCTCTCACTATCCATCACCAAATCTATTCAAAGATGTCCAGCGCTGAGCGGATATTGATCACGGGCGCCGCGGGTTTCATAGGACAGGGTCTCACAACTGCTTTGATACATTCGTCTCCGAATGTCACCTTAACCCTGACCGATGTCATTGAGCCCTCAATACCGGCAGCCGTATCGAATGACGCCAGCCGTATCACATCTGTGAAGAGCGACTTGACAGATGCGGCAGCTATCACATCTCTGCTTTCTACATCTTACTCGGCTGTATATCTTCTGCACGGACTCATGTCTGGCGGCGCAGAAGCGAACCTTGAGCTAGGCTGGAGGGTCAATTGGGATAGCCATCGGTAACCAGACATCTACTAGCCCGCAGTTCACATCAAAAGTAATGCTAATACGTGACAGCTCCATGCTAGACCATCTCCGCCACCACGCTCCAGGAACAAAAACAATCTTTCCCAGCTCCCTAGCGGTCTACGGTCCATCTTCTGCTAGTGATGTGACCAGCGAGTTGACTTGCCCCCTGCCACAGTCGAGTTATGGAGCGCAGAAGCTCATGGTGGAGACCTACATCAACGACTTCTCGCGTCGTGGGCTACTCGATGGACGCATAGTGCGCCTGCCAACCGTAATCGTCCGACCCGGTGCACCGTCTGCTGCGGCAAGCTCGTTTGCGAGTGGTATCGTAAGGGAGCCTTTGAATGGAGAAACAAGTGTATTGCCAGTGTCTCGAAATCTCGAGATGTGGGTTTGCAGTCCGCAGACTGTGGTAAGCAACCTTGTGTTCGTCAAGGATATCCCCAAAGAGAACTTTGGCAAGAGCAGAATCGTAAACCTGCCCGGCATTACAGTTACAGTGCAGCACATTCTGGACGCCCTGGATTCGGTGGGTGGTAGCAAGGCGACCAGTTTGATCGAGGAAGCAAGGGACCCCAGCATTGAGGCTATAGTTGGCAGTTGGCCAGCAAAATTTGATATTTCGAGGGCCACCAGCCTAGGGATGAAGGGAGACGTGACATTAGTGGAGACAGTGAAGGCCTTTGCTGATAGTCTTAAGTCGTAGGATACGGATGAGCGACGGAGGAATGTTACGTTAGGAAACTAGGACTAAGATCGTTCGTTTCGAAAGCGGTTGGGCCGTTGCCAAGATGCATTGCGGATGCACCAAGGTTCATGTTGAAGTCCATGAGGAAATTTGCATCGAATATGGTGTTGTCGCCTTCGAATCCAAGATCCCCAAAGTCTGGGAACGTGTTCGTCTCCAGTCCCGTTGGGAGCGTCTCCGAGTATCTGGTTGTTTCTTGTGGATTCTTTGACTCTTTCAGCGTCTGAACAATCTTTTCGAGCCCATTTGCCATCATGCTGACTAGGTGAAACTTCCCCGCCGCTGTAGAGTGGTACAAATCAATAAGCCTTGTGATCAGCTCAATGACTACGGTTCTTTCGAGAAGCTGGTCGCCGTATGTCATGGCGAGTTTTGCCAGAAACATCGACGCGAAGGCTGTCATCGAGTGCATGTATGAAGGTATACCTATCAATGCTGGTTGGATCTCTGGGTCGTTAATCAAAGCGTTGATGATTGCAACTGCGGCGGTGGTCGCAGAGGCAGCCGAGTCGAGAAAGTACGACGGGATCTCGGCATTCCGTAGCCCGCGGAACACATGGCTATATAAGTGCAACTTGGCAAAGTGAAAGTGGAGTAAGACACCCTTTCTTGGGAATCGTCCAATATGCTCATGGTGTTCTGGGAGCAGAGGATATCAACAAACACCGTAGAATGAAGATGAGGAATGGAGCATCACGTACCAAGAAGTGCAGTTGACCATTGCCCAAGCCACTGGTCTAGTCTACAGATAGCGTTAGTTAGAAGTCTGATAGTAGTATAACGTAGTACTCTGGGAATAGCAGGGCTAACTTACTGACGCCCGAAGCTGACAATCTGCATAGAATACACTTGTGGCACAGGCTCGCCTGTATCAGGGCCGAAGAGGTCGCGGATGCTATGTATTATATTCAATAGAGCGACTTGGCTCACAAGGCGCTTATCTTCATTGGTGGTGATAGACGATTGAATGAATGCATCCCAACCTTGAATCACGAAGTCTTCGCGAATGACTGATGGACGGCCATATAGTGTCGATAGATGCTGATCGCATATATATAAAACGTACCATAACCGTACGTAGTCAGCCGATTCCTCATTCCCATCTTGAACGGCTCTGTTATAATGATTTGCAAGGTTGAATTCGGTGGCTCGTCTTATGGCGTAGCCGGAAACTGTCCAATTTATCTCCGACAGCCAATAAGAGGCAATGCACTAACATATTTATTAGCCTTTGGCATGCGCGCTCAAGTAGAGATTGTGCTCATTGGGCAAATGGCGTTGAATAAATGCCAATGCGGCACGGTCCTGAGTACTCAGGTTGAGTTGACTATAAGTATTGCACTCACCATGGCTCTCAAATAGTCCCTGTCAATACGACGGTTGAAGATTGAAGCGGCAAGGAGTCTTCGAAACTCTTTGCTACAGATGCCATAAAGGGAGTTACTTTGGTGATCATGTAGAGCAGCAACCGTGAGAATTGAAACAGCAAGGATGCGACTACTACGCCGTAAAGCGTCTAGCGTCTTATGGCGCCCTCCTATCCCATACATGAAATGGTCCAGGTGGTTCATGTAAAGGTGGAAAAGCCGTTGCGCGTCCTCGAGTGGCAATGTGCCTCTTGAGATGAAGTCGTCTAAGACAGCTCCTGACCGCCTTGGCGCACTGTCTGGCTCAACGGCATCTGGGGAACGCAGGGCGCTGAGTTTCGTGAGGTGATACAGAGACTGAATCGGAACCTTTGGCAGGTCATGGTCGTCCTCCGGGGAGACTTTTGGTGACACGTCGCAAGAAGGCAGAACTTCGTCCACGTGGTGGAACTCACTTGGCTCTTCTGAGCTTGGAGTGTGTGGTCGCTGTTTCGGGCTTTGTAGCCGTCCAAGAGGAGGCAGGTTCAGAGTGCTCATAACTTTTTGGAGGCTGCTATGTATCATCTCAATGTCATGCACCATCGCCTCGGAAGACCTACGAAACCCCGTTAATAAGCCATTGATGCATATGCTGCACCACGAGGCTGTCGCGTCAGACCCTTGACCTCACGAAACGGCGGCACTTACTCTGAGCGTTCGCTAATCAAGGTCTGAAGACTCTTGTTCAGCACGCAGCCCTAGGACCACGCCAGTCAGGGCATGCTTTGCCAGTATACCAGCACAGGACTCACGAGTTTCTTCTCAGAACACCTTCGACAAGGCGGCCCGGACTCATCCATGATGCATTTGATCTGCAAATCTTGTTAGCCGCCTGTTTAGTGACACCTCCGATTGCGGAACGATCAACAGACCTTGTGCTTGCGACATGCTGCGCAGGCTTTTACCTTCCTCGAGATATTAGGAATTGGCGCGGGCTCGCTCGTTGGCGCGGCATGGGATGTATGTGGATGGTCGATGAGGGAGTATTTCCGAGGCTTCGAGGCTCCCGGAGCTGACCCGTCATCGGTGGCAGCTTGCTCCCATGGCCGTTTCGACATCTTGTCATTCGAGATCGAGCGCCTGACCTGGCGATGTTCATTGGAGGTGAGGGGAAGTTTCTTGCATTGGGTGCTAGTCATGGGGGAAAACTGGGACGTTCGGGGGATGTGGAGCAGGTGGATAACGCCAGCCAGATCAGTCCAAGCCAACGCGGGGGCACCCCAATGGGCTCCCAAGTTACGCGGTGGTCGGATCGGGTGCCCCAGGCCTACAGGTTGGCTGGAAACGAGCTTAAATTAGCACCCATCTACTCGGATACGGGCTAAGTAAAGTCATTCCAGTGCAGCGACACGCGACACCTACCCACACACGCGAACTCATCGTGGGACAGAACACCAGAAATCGCGTTTCTATCAGGCGATCAAACCATGGGCGAATAGGATGTTGGCCTTCAAGAGTAGAGTTGGTCTTGGCCATGTAGAGGAAGCTGCCGGTAAAGTGGGAGGAGTTCGGCTCTCGTACTTCCAAGTAGAGCGTCAGTACAATTCGAGCAACTTTTCCGCCAAAACCCCCGGGCATCAATGGCTGCCAGACATTATTACAATTGAAAGCCTGATCAAACAGAACTCCGATGTTCAGCTGCCTTATAGTCTCTTCTTATTCGAATCCTGAATGGACTCGGCGGAAAATTCAAGCGCGTCTCTCTTCGTGAACCACAGTTGCCTCCAGTTCTTTACCCTCAACCGCCTTTTCCTCGTCCACAAGGTTGTGTACAACCTTTTCCTGGACATCGTGACGGACCTTCTCCTCTTCCGTTGGATACGCATGTTTCCACATCGTCCAGATAGAATGCTGGAACAAGTCGTCCATTGACTCAATAGACCGCCCCTTGAATTCAGGCATGCAGAAAAACACAAACACGAAGCCGATGTAGGTTAACACTGCATATAGCAGGAATGTACCCCAGCCCAAGTTTGTCATCATGAGCGGGGTCGCCTTGGTAATACCATAGTCGACAATCCAGTTAATAAAGAAGCAGATGCTCATCGAGAACGAACGGATGCGGGCGGGAAAGATCTCAGCCGCAACAACGTACGGCGCCACAGACCAACCGAACGACCTGATCACCAGAGTCAGCACGTTTTCGTTACATCTAAAGAGGTTAGATGCGGGACTTCTCACCATCCGAAAGCATATATGTAGATCCAGATAATTCCCACAATACCGCCAGCTGGAGTGCCCCCTGTAGAGTCAGGATTCGCAAATCTCACGTAGAGCGCGATGTAAAGCATGGCTGTTGCCTGAAGAAGAGCGCCGACCTGGAATGAAGTCAGTCGCCAGTCTTCGTGATACTGAGCATTGTAACACTTAAGGTTTGGCTTACCATCAACGGCCTCCGTCGGCCAACACGATCAACGATGTACGCAACATAGATGATGGTTGTTGCTAATTTCACCAGGCCATAAACGCCAGTGGTTAACAGGCTAAGAGACCCGGGTGCGACGCCGATCATCTCAAAGATCTCCGGTGCGAAATAATTCAGGCTATCTGTTCCAGTGAACTTGTGGAACAAGAAGAGCCATGCAGCAAGGAAGAATCGTCGGCGATTACTAGGAACAGTGACGATGTCTTTGATAACAACCCAATAATTCAGTCCTAGGAAGAGTCAACGTATGATCCCGATGACATTCTCTCCATTGCGGGACACCTACCTTTTGTGACCTCTTGCTCGGCATCGACTTGAGCGCAGACCTCCATGTACTCCTGATTCACATAGTGATGCTCTGCCGGGAGATTGCGTAACTTGCATAGGTTCTTGAGGCCTTGTTCCCTCTTTCCTCTAGCAATGAGAGCTCGTGGGGTATCAATGACAACTGGTGTCGGTTGATTAGCTTCGAGAAACCCGTAGGCCAACGTGCTGAAGTCTTACAAAACATCATCAAAAACATGAAGCCTCCAGGAATGATCTGGATACCCAATGCTAACTTCCACTGCAGATTACTTGACGTGGTCCATAACGACACACCATAGTTGGTCCAGAAAGCCAGACTGCGGGGCAATGTCAGTATCTCGTTCGCTATTACACTGTTTGGATGGCAGCCCTACCTCAATGCAAGGATAATACATAAGTTATACGAAGTTGTGAGTGAGCCACGAATGCTCTTGGGAGAGTTCTCTCCGAGATATTGAGGGGCTAACATGCTCGTAGCTCCGATAGCCAGGCCGGCGATGAATCTTCCAGCATAGAAGACGTCCAAAGTGGCAATTTCCTGCATGGTAGCTCCAACGAGAAATAGACAACCGAAAATGATCATCGAATACTTTCGGCCGAGGAAATCCGCAAATGGGGCTGCGAGAAGGGCTCCTGCGGAGCCACCAGCCGCCACTGAGATCTTCATTTAGTACATGTATGTCGGTGACGAGGAAGTCTTGTACGAACACATTGCGGCAATATTCCCAGCTGTGAAAATTTTCGTTAGCAATCTCATCTATGTACTCGAAACCCAGATTGATAGCAGTAATGCATGTATGAGAGAAGCACAAACCTCTTTGGTCAGCTTCATCTTCACTCAGAACATCTAGCCCGAATGCACGTTTGAAACTTGGAAGCGTAAGTACTCCTCCGATGTTCCCTTGGTCGAAGCCATAAGAACACCCAGCAAAGGCGACTGTCGTTGTCAGGTAAAACAGCTTCCAATTGAAGATTTCTTTGGGATCAGACTTCCAATCAGGGGATGCCCATATCGAAGTTCCACCACCCATACTGGATGGCTACAGGCAAGACTCGTTTGTTATGTCCAAGATTAGAGAGGAAGATAGGTGGCTGATTGGAGTCTGCGTATGGAGTATATTATCTCGCAGCGTTGCAGTTCTTGACCTTATAAGCCGAGAGCAGAGAACTCGAACTGGTGCGCGTCTCCTGCGTCGATAGTAGGCCTTTCTCGACTCGGCAGTTCTTCTCCCTGCTTGCAAGACTAGCCAATTAACATACCACGGAGAGCGCATGGAGGCAGACCCATTACCCCGGAAAGCTTAACCGCTTAGCTGTTGTGGGGGTGGATACTAGTGATGGGTCAAGTGAGCGTGACGCGATCCTTCCCCGCCTCGGCGACAAGTCCGATCCAGAGGATAGAAGACCGAGGATCAACGTCTGGCTTACACTTCGGTCAGCCTTGCGACTTGCGAATAAGCATCTACCAGCCCGGAGTTTAGCATATGGTAGTTTCCCTCGTACCCCAGGATTGGTCTTGCACTAACCTTAGGAGCGCTAGAGGTTGGCAGAGGGTTAAAGCTTTTCGAGTTCAAGAAAAACCACTGCAAGCCAAGGCAACTTGAGTTGCTCTTAATTTGTTACCTACATAAGCTAGATGTAACTGAGAAGCGAGCAGACATACGATCAGGCCAGCTCATATTTGACAAGGTTGTCTCCGAATATTGTGATTGCGCGAGAGAGAGAGTATCCAGCCAGTCATGTCTCTTACATCGACCCAAGAAACCCCCAGAGCAGAAACTCAATACATATCACGAGTTGACAACATACCCGCTGCCACCGTTCAATGCCATGCGTCAAACCTACTCGAACTGCCAGACAGAACGTTGCTTTGCGTGTGGTTTGGAGGAACCCAGGAAGGCTGCGCAGATATCTCGATCTACGCATCGAGATTGGACCCCGAGGCCCCGTTGTGGACTCAACCCGTCCGTATATCATCCGACGCCAGCCGCAGCGAACAGAACCCCATTCTATTCCGGGATCCCGTCACAGGCGCCATTTGGCTTTTCCACACTGCACAATCAGCAGGGAACCAAGATGAGGCTGCAATCATAGCTCGCATCTCAAACGATCAAGCAAAAACATGGTCGGAGCCGTTCGAGCCCTTCCCCGGGAAGAAAGGCGTTTTTGTGCGGCAGCCTTTGGTCGTTCTCTCCGGAAATACATGGGTGTTGCCTATCTTCTACTGCCGTGCGCCGCCTGGATTTCGGTGGATCGGGAGTGACGATGTATCAGCAGTCATGTACACCAAAGATGGCGGGAAGACATGGGCCGAGAGCAGCGTGCCAAATTCCAGAGGATGCGTGCACATGAACATCGTCGCGCTTCCTGCGAATAAATCCTATGTAGCGTTTTTCCGCAGCCGTTGGGCAGACCATATATATCGGGCTACCTCAGACGATGGCATCAGCTGGACAGCTCCCACCAAAACGACCCTCCCGAATCCAAATTCGGGAATCTGCTCAGCTACATTGCCGAACGGGAACCTCGTCATTGTGTTCAACGATTCGTGTGCAAGCGCCAGCATGGCCCGAAGGGAAGGACTCTATGATGATATCACCCCGGCGGACGACACACGGGTGAACCAGCCAGGTGTTGATGGGAAGACGGCGATCTGGGGGACCCCGCGCAAAGCACTTTCTGTTGGCCTGTCGAAGGACAACGGTGTCACTTGGAAGTATAGAGTACTGGAGGATGGCGATGGGTTCTGTATGACGAACAACTCAAAGGAACGGTCAAACAGAGAGCTCAGCTATCCCAGCATCTATGTGGACCGCACCTCGGAAAGCCAGAAGAGCGTTCACATCGCCTACACGTACCATCGGCAGAACATCAAGTACGTGCATATTTCGGATGTAGAGGCTTTCGTAAATGAATCGATGTAGCTTTAGCTGTAATTAGAGGTATTTACTCGAATCCATGCATTCTAATAGCCTTTTCGAAACCAATCACTGTAAACCCTATACAAGTAGGACAGTAACGTTGTGGCGAATCCGATGTATACGAGTGTAATAAGAATTTCTCCACAACGATCTGACCGGGGCTTTGACACCAGGGTTTCCATCGAGCCATCTGACTCCTGACTGTGTGTGAATGTCTGATAAGTTGGTAAACCTCGCTCAGCCATATCGACGAGGGTATCCTATTTATCGCTATTAGAGCAGGCAACTTTCCTGGGAATGCTGCAGGCGCATACACTAGAAGAGCTACTATTAGGGGTTCTTTTCCCCTGGTCACTCTCTCGAGTGGAAACCCCGTGGAGTGAGCCAGAAGTATAGGCATCCATCTTGTGTGTGCGGATTCGGCAACCTCTTCTTGTAGTGACGACTTGGTGGTAGAGGGAAGTGCCCAAAGTGTCCTAATCGCATAGATTTATAGAACGCTTTCAATCACTGAATCTTCACAGTTTGCCCAGCAGTGAATATGCCCGCCAGAACGGCTTGATGATGATATGCCACGATTCAAAATGTACACTTGGAAAGTCATAACTCAAGACATTGAGGGACAGTGATATGGAAGTTGAAGGTAAGGTATTCAATAGCATATGAGCATCATCAATAATCTACATATCGTAGAATGTTATGAGGTACCGTTCACCGCCGCGGCCCCTTTCCGTCCAGGCAGACTCTTCTCCATATCCTCCAGCACCTTCATCGTCTCGATACTCCACTTCTTCAGGTCATCCTTCAGCTCGACGTACGGCTTTCGCATCTTGAACATCTTCTCGTCGTTCAATCCTATCTGCCGACCCACGTACCACCACGCGCCGTATTTCGTACACGACAGCGACTTCTTGCAGGCCCACTCGGCGTTGGCCACCAGATCCTGCAGCTCACGCGCCTCGTTGAGTTTGCCCGCGGCCCAGTAGTCGTAGATCTTGGCCGTGGACTTGGGGAAGCAGTTGCCCAGCCCAGTCACGCACCCGTTGCCGCCGGAATGCAGCGTCGGCAGGAGATAGTCGCTGCTGCCGCCGTAGACGCCGAAATACGGCGGCTCGAATTTGGACGTCAGACGGGTAAGTTTTCCGACATTACCGCAGGTCAGCTTGGTAGCCACTATGTTCGGATGCGATGCCAAAGAGGCGAGCTGATCGGAATCCAAGTCTACGCCCGAAGTGACACCCGGGAACTAGTCAATGGTCAGCACTACGACATGATTTGGAGATCTCATAAACTCACGTTGTAGACAACGACCGGGATGGGGCTAGCATCCGCAACATCACGATAGTATGCGATCAGAGCATCGGACGTCAGGGCCTTTGCCCAGTAACTCGGGGGCAGAAGCAATCCCCAACCAGCACCTGCCTCAGCAGCCTCCTTTGCGAACTGTATCGTCTCAAAGGTGCTCTGTGCACTGATACCGGCGACTATAGGGTAATCAGGCAACCCCAGGTCAGTCACTGCCTTGCGAGCGGTACGGATAATGTTTTGTCGCTCTTGATGGGTCAAAAGCGCCAGCTCTCCATTGGTGCCTAAGTATACCAAGCCATGCATGCCACTATTTACCAAGTATTGGCAATGCGTGTACATGGCGTCAAGATTCACGGGCTGGGCTGGAGTATCATCGTAGAGTGTGATCACCTATGCGATCCATCAGTTTTATTGGTCTGGATATTTGTCTTGGGTATTGCTACTCACTGGAGTATAGACCCCCGGGGGTAAAGGCTTGGCCTTAGCGTCAGCGATCTTGGCTCCCATGATGATATTCTGTTGGCTTAGGGGTGATGGTAATGCTGGATTATTGGCCTACTGGAGTCGTACGGCGACAGGGCTTCGACAATATCAATGATGTGGCAAACCAGACTTCAACAAGATGCACCCTCCAGGCTTCTTTTGTTGGAGTAACTATCCCCGCATCTCTCTCCACCACACAGTCGCAACACGCGTGCGGTCGATTACTCCCGGAGTTCTCTCCGAGTGCACTGGGCTCCACCTCCGGTCTCTTGGACTGCCTCCGGCCCGTAACGATCAACAGCCGCTCGATGGCGGACTAGGCTCCGAGTCGGCCAGACTTGCGACGACACCCACCGGCAATATCGTCGTAGCTAACACAATTCTCGGGGCACACCAACAATCACAGGTCATCCATCACGCAAGCAATTCACTAACGCAGTTCATCGGGGGAGTACTCATGGTAATGTTATTCATGGCCAACTACCTAAAGACGTTCACCGACTTCCGGGAGTAGCCCGTCGTGATGGGCCAGGCACTGAAGTCGGGCTCGAACAGCAGCGCGTCCGTGCAGTTGCTGCCCAGCGATGTGTTGTTCAGCCACGCGGGCTCCCAGTACCAGACGCCCTGGCCGAGGCCGCGGGGCACCTCCTTGACGAGGTCGATGACCTTGCCCATCCACTCGACCTGGCCGTCGACGTCGTACGGGATGGCGGGCTCGGACGACTCCGGGATCGGGTTCCACTTGCCGTCGCACACGGCCGGGTAGTCGGTCTCGACCACCTGCACCGGCTTGCCGTAGCGGCGCACCAGGGCGCCCAGGCTCTCGCGCAGGTTGGCAAAGGTCGCGGCCGTGCCGTAGAAGGGGTAGAAGCTGACGCCGAAGACGTCGACGGCCGACGTGGGCACGCCGTTGTCGAACAGGGCCGAGTACCAGCGCGTCTGGAACGTCGCGTTCCAGCCGTTGTCCAGGTGCAGCATGACCTGGGGCCGGTGCACGCCGCGGGCGATGGCGTCGTCGACGCCCGCCCGCGCCGCCCGGTACAGCGCCGCGACGTTGGTGAAGTTCCTGGTCAGGGCGCCGTGCGGCTGGATGTCGACGTCGACGTAGCCCGTGGGCCACAGGAAGCCGTGGCGGATCTCGTTGCCCAGCGACACGATGTCGAGCTCGACGCCGGCGCGCTGGAAGGCGAGCAGCGTCTCCGTGACGTACTTGCGCAGCGTCTTTGAGAGCGCCTTCACCTCGGTCGGCCAGGCGGCCGGGATGGGCTGCTTCTGCGGGTCGGCCCAGCTGTCGGCGAAGTGGAAGTCGAGGTAGAGGCGGTGGCCCTTGCTTTGGAAGCGCTTCGCGAGGTCGAGCGTGTAGTCTAGTCCGTAGACCCCGTCCGGAGGGTTGACCCAGATCCGGAGCCGCACCGCATTCATGCCGCCGTCCCCGAGGATGTCGTCTGCCGGGCGGGTCTCATTGTTGCGAGCCGTGTCGACGTAGAAGTTGGTGCCACTGTCTTCGAGCAACTTCAGAGAGCTCAGATCGTGGCCCTTGTAGAACCGAGCATTTCTGAGACCTGATCAGCAATTGGCCTCTGTAGGACGTGGAGGACGATGCTTACTTTGAGCCGCCCTTCGAGGGTGCCGACGCTACTAACGCCAGGTAGGAAAGGAGGAGCGTTATGATATACATTATGATTAGCGGCGACCGACCCGTGTCCCTTGCGAGGTCATACTCTCGTGCCCTCTAGAGGCGGCATTCTGCATTTATACATGAACAGCGGCCCTGACCGAAGACTTTAGCCGCCTGCCCAGCCCGAGGCCATTTCGACTCCGTTCATCATGATGGGGTCATGAAAATTTCCCAAGAATCGCACACGGCTCCCCACAATGCAACCTTCTCCAACTTTTCTCGTCCTCAGACGGGTGGAAAAATCGTATACCACCCCAAGACAAGCGTCCCCGCTGTGGGGAAACCCCAGCAAACTCTGGACTCTGGAGATATAGCCACAGACAGCTAGCTGGCGCGACTAAGCTTAACTACTAGGCTAGCCGAACCCCGGTAATTGGGTCGCCTGCAGGTATTCCGCTCCTAGCCAGGTAGGCCCCCCAGCCACTCCGGGCGGCATGTCACATGTTCGCCCGCACCTGCAGATGGATTGGGACGGAGCCGCAATGTTGACGGCGTTCTAGAATGGGGTTTCATCATATACAGTATATTAAATCACTAATTTGCACCAGGACTTGTTCCACCTCGCGTAGGTCGTCACATATGAGGGGTTTTCTCGTAGTCCTTTCCCTACGTAATGTATCAGTGTCGTCACATGTGAAGAGAAATTTTGGTTTCCTCAGCTCTGAGATCTAGACTTGAGAGTCAGGCTTGTTTAGTTCATGGTTAATCCGATGCGTGCATGTTAATAATAGGATGGAGTTGAATATGTACTGACGGCGCTTACACAACGTCAAGGTTGCGGCCTAAACTTGACATTACACGTTGGAATTACATACACCAGGCATCGAGTAGCAAAGCGAAGTATTCTCCATTGGAAAGGTTGACTGCCAAGTTTCCATATGCCCAGGGTTTTACCAGAGTACATCCAGTTAGCTATACATTTCCATGGAACTCACTCAACATCTTTGCTCCCAGGTCTATTGGCTTCGAACAAGCTACATCCTACAACTCTCGGCTCCAAAAGCCGGCTGGCTCCTAGTTCGGATGAAGCCTACGAGTCTCTCTAGGGACGGTCGCAAGCAGTCTCCTCGGGCAAATCCTACCCGCCGGTCTCGATCTTCATCCTGCGCTCGATCCAATCCCGCAAATGACCGGCGATCTCAGCCGAGGGGTAGTCAGGCCCATAGCCTACAGCAGCCTGCACATGATTCGAGGCCAACATGGTCTCATCTCTCATAGGGTTTCTCTACATCGGCTTCAGGATAGAAGTCCTTGGTGAGCATTGTCTTGAGGCTGCATCCGGTCCAAGACACATCCCTAGCCGGAGGGGGCCCGGGATGACGACTTCGTACGTGACAAGTCATTGTATAACAGCTTGTCATCGCATGAAGTCTGAGATAAGCGTGGCCCCAGCAACAACGGGTGTGAGGCCGGCAACGTGAGCTTCTGTGCCATCCAGGGCTATGTTGTCGACAGAGAGGAGGCTTGCATGTAAAGCATATCTGAAGACAAAGCCCCTATACTCGGGTTTGCTTTGTAAGGCAGTTTGTCGATCCGCGGCGCAAGTCGGTCCACTTGGAATACTCCCGAGAACGTAATGGTCGGAATATTCTCATCGACAGCTACATTGGTGAAGAGAAAGTCGAAAGACGGCTTTCGGTATTGCCGACGTCTCAATTGTCGATCTGATGCCAATATCGTTCCGCGAAGTCATTTCAGACGACAAGCAGCCGCAATAAAAGTTACACGGCCTCTGGTCGTCAATCGCCACACTGCCGTGATAGATCGGATGCCAAAGGGGTAACCCGACGGTGGGCAATTAAATTCAGTCGCCAGTCGCTCAGACAGCCCTCAGGGGTAGTATATGCTGCACCAAGCACTCACGCCTGCAGAGCGGGCACTCGGGCTTTTCCCTCACCCAGTCGCCGATGCACTCCCAGCAGAAGACGTGGCCACACTGCGTGGCCGACGGGTCCTTGAGCTCCTCCAGACAGAGCGTGCACTTGCGCTGCTGGGTGCCCTTGATCCAGCCCATGGTCTTGCCGTCGGCCAGGTCGTAGCGCGGCTGGCCGAGGACGGGCGTGTGGGTGGCGGCGGCGATGTCGACGTGCGTCTGCCCCGACGGTCCTCCCGCCGAGGTTAGCAGTGCATTGTTGCTGCTGTAAGCATGTTCGTTGAGTGAGACGTGGGTGTCTGAGTAGCTGTTACGTTCTCGACCCTCCTGACCCTCTCCACTCGACAACGTTGATTTGACGTGCAAGTATCCCTGGACTGCGAGCTGCACCACGAGAAGGACGCCGAGGACCTCGTAGCCGGCTCTGTCGGCTCCCTCCTCGATTTTTCGGGTGAAAATGTACCGCAGCCCGGTCAGGCGCTTTGCGATCTCGTAATATGAGCCGCTGAAGTAGAACAAGGCGAGACTGACGGCGGAAACAGGAGCCGGGCTTGTGAGGGTGGGCAGGTTGGCCAAGACGTAGGACTGGGTCTTGAAGCTCCAGGAGTCGACTTTCTTTGCGCCCTGCATGCGTAGCCTTGCTAGGTTGCGCTCCAACCGCGCCCTGATCTTCGCCCTCAAACTGGGCAATACCTTCGCCAGCGCGTAGGGCAGGAGTATGCTGCCGGCGATGTATGCTGCTCTCCGCGGCAACGCGGGCAGAGAGCCATCCTGCCCCTCGATCTGGACCAGATCGCAGTACTCCTCTCCCAGTGTGCGGTTGCCGATCAGAGTCGTGAGGCATAGGTAGATCAGGTCGGCGGCGGTCTTGGACTCGGTCGCCCAGGCATGGGCCGAGCGCGCGCCGAGCAGGCGGCGGTGCAGGTCGGCCAGCTGGTGGGTCAGGACGCCTTGGAAGTAGGCATCCTTCTGGTGCGAGCGGATGATGTCCGGGGCGAAGGCGAAGGGGTACGGCGACGATGGGAGCGTCGCGGCGGACGGGCTGCTGGTTTCGACGGCAGCGGCCATGATGGGCCGAGGGTGGGCGGTGGTGGTGGTCAGGTGTGACACGCGGATAACGTCGATGCACTTGAGGGGCTCTTTCACCAGTATGCCAGCGTTGCTTGGTGTCTATCAGGCTTGAGAGTCATGCATGCAATTCCCAGCACGGTCTGCAATTGTTGCTCTGTAGAAGTCATCGCGAGTTTCCCACGGCCCAGGAGCTCGGAGCTGGGCCAATTCCCGTCATCGCTGGACCTCGGCCGGATCTCTCAGCTGCCGCCTGTGCCCACCAGGCCAGTCCAACCCAACGGCTACCTACCCGGCCGAAGCACGACAGGGGGCCTTGTGCCTCCCGTGGGCCCCGAGCCTAGGTACCTAGGTACCCAGGTGGCTATTGCCTTAGCGCGGCCACAGGGATGTGTGACGTCGCCTGGCGCCTGTCAGGCCTGTCCCATATGCCCCTAAGTTAAATCTGTCTCACGCGGCCTGCAGGGGGGTGGAAATTGATCAATGGCATTCGTGACACGCAACCCAGAACGACGACACATCGCCGTATTTTTCTGTCCGCCGTCCGCCGTGCGATGCACTCTCACCACTCCGGATAGGATCGCAGCATAACAGCACTGGAGCTGGCGTCTGGTCGGTCACGCACTCTGGCCACGGCATTGCCCCCTCTCGACGCTCCCATATGATCCAACACACGACGCGCAGCAGCCATGGACGGTGATCCGGCAGTCGAGCCCGAGCTCGACTCCTTCAGCTTGACCTTCCCCCTGCCCTATCGCGTTGGCTTCATCGTCGTGCTCGGTACGTCCTTCTTTGGCATCCCACGACCCGCCCGCCAGCCTGGCAGCTTGTAGTTCATGACTGACACACAATTGCGCGACCAACAGCCGTCTGGCTCTGGGGCGTCAACCTGCAGTACCTCGCGCGCCTCAAGATCGATGTGCCCTCGCTCATCCGCTACCCGGCGCGCAACTCGATCCACCAGCCGCCGCACCACCTGTCGACGTACCGCCTGGCCACGCTGCTGTCGGCCATCTACGCCTTCAGCCTGCTGGTCTTCTGGCTCTTCACCCACCGCAACCCGGCCCTGGTGCTCGCCTGGGACTGGCTGCCGCTGACCTACCTGCTCGTGCTCATGGCCGTCTTCCTGGCCCCGCTGCAGGACCTGTCGAGCGCCGGCCGCCGCCGCTTCCTCAGCACCCTGCGCCGCGTCTCGGTCGGCGGCATCGCCGAGGCCAAGGACGGCAAGTTCGGCGACATCCTGCTGGCCGACGTGCTGACCTCGTACGCCAAGGTCTTCGGCGACCTGTACGTCGCCCTGTGCATGTTCTTCCGCACCGACGGCTCCGCCACGGCGCGCCCGGACCGCAGCTGCGGCGGCACCGTCATCGTGCCGCTGATCATGGCCATCCCCAGCATGATCCGCCTGCGCCAGTGCCTGATCGAGTACGGGCGCGTGCGCCGCGGCCGCATGGACGAGAAGACGGGCTGGGGCGGCCAGCACCTGGCCAACGCGCTCAAGTACAGCACGGCCTTCCCCGTCATCGTCTTCTCGGCGCTGCAGCGCAGCCGCGGGCCCAGCCCGGCCCTGTACCGGATGTGGGTGGCGGCCTGCGTCGTCAACTCGGCCTACTCGTTCTACTGGGACGTGGCCAAGGACTGGGACCTGACGCTGTTCGCGGGGGCGCGCGAGCGCGCCGCCCCCGACCACGCCTTCGGCCTGCGCCGCAGGCTGTACGTCGGCCCGCCGGGCCTGTACTACGGCGTCGTCGGCCTGGACCTGCTGCTGCGCTGCACGTGGAGCCTCAAGCTCAGCCCGCACCTGGACCACTTTGCCGACTTTGAGAGCTCCATCTTCGTCATCGAGTTCCTCGAGGTCTTCCGCCGCTGGGCCTGGATCTTCTTCCGCGTCGAAACCGAGTGGATCCGCAACAACGCCGGCCCCGCCCTCCCCGGGCCCGTCCTGGACGACGGCGCCGGCGTCGGCCAGGGCATCCTGCTCGGCGACTACGGCGGCGGCAACGGTGGCAATGGCCACTACAAGGACGACGACGATGACTGATTAGACTTGGAGGGGCTTGGTTGTGTATTTTGTATCATATGGATAGGCGTGTGCCGGGAAAGCGCGCGCGGCGTTGGTTGGTGTTGGCGGACCACCATCTGTGTGCGCACTTAAAGTATTTGGTGGCATTTTCAGGCGTTATATTATACAGGTATACCTAGAATTTTCAAATCCGGTCCCAGCGTGGGCTGTGATCACGATACTGGCTAGTTGTCAAACAAGTATTCGTTCATAAAAATCTTCTTCCAACTATTCATCAGGGGTGCTAGCATTCGTGTGCCCATCGATTATAATATAACTTATATATGTATACCATATGCAAGATGCCACCCAACGCCGCGCAATGACCAAGGCGCCCGTATCCTAGAACGATGCATATACCTGCCACACGATGAGGGTAAAAAGGGCTACTGGAAATATAGTACAAAGACAAAGCGTCTGTCTCTCTATGCGACTCAAACACGGCCCTCATCTCTCTCTTTACTTTTTTTTTTCGTTCTAGAGGAACCAGGTCATCCAGGGGCGCGAGCGCGTGTTGGGCTGCTTGACCTTGTTCAGGCAGTAGCCCTCAAAGTTGCGGCGGGTGCGGCCGTCGCAGGTGCAGCGGCACCCGACCCCACCGTCCATCTCGGGCGACCACGGCTCGTTGCCCAGGGCCAGGGAGCCCGGGAGCTGGCCGCCGGGCGCGTTGGCCGGGCACTGGTACAGCTTGTCGTGCCGGTACCCAAAGTCCTCGAAGTGGTGGACTTGGCGCGGGTCGACGTACATGGCGACAGCGAGGGAGTGGACAGCGGCGTCGCCCCACTATATGAGAGTTAGCATCCGGGGTTGGCATATTCAGGGGTTCTTCTCGTTAAAGATGGGGATGTATGACTTACACGCTCAAAGTAAAAGCCTCCCTTCTTGTCCAGGTACTCGAAGAAATCCTGGTAGGCCGGACTGCGGAAGAAGTCCATGTCGGCAATCTCGAAGTTGCTCCAGTAGTGGCACAAGCTCCAGGGGTCGCCGGACCTGTCCCTGTGCGCGAGGAAGTTCAGAAAGCGCCGGAAGGGGAACGGCATCCAGCTGGCCTGCACCATGGCTCGCCACAGGTTGTTGGTGGGGATGCCGTGCATCTCCTTCCAGTCGGCCATCTCGCGGAACAGCGAGGGGCACGTCTTCCCGACCTCCCACAGCGCGATTGTAAAGCCGTAGACCTTGTCGTTCTTGGCCATCTGCACAAAGGGGTCGTAGGTGATGGAGCAGGTGAAGTCAACGTCTGGTTCGAGGCGCCAGTACCACTTGTACTTCTTCAGGAAATCCATCTGGTAGAATTTGCTGCAGATTACTTGATTAGCCTCCGTCTATATGTATATGTGGAAAAGGGACACGGGGTATGGGGCTCTCGTCTCGGGGGGGGGGATGGTGTGGCATACCCAGAATAGTACCGGCACATGTGATGGTATCCCTCGCTCCCGGCGTGCGGGAGGCCCTGCTCGCCCTGCTCCTTGATGGCCTGCTTCGCGGCGCCCTCGTTCATCCACTCGGGAAAGGTCCAGGTCTTCTGGGGGATGACCTCGAAGGTGGCCAGGCCGCGCGAGGTCTTGTTCAGCACGTCGATGAACTTCTGGCTCCAGGGCTCATCGTTCATGAAGACAATGGGGTAGTTGAACCAGCGGTTGAAGGCGTGGTCGATGCTGGTGATGGTCTTGTTGGCGGCGACCAGCTCCGAGTTGCGGGCGAGCATGACCAGCACGGCGTTCTCGCGCGGCGCCGTCGTGTCGGGCTCCTGGCATGTTGTGAAGAAGGGGGCGTCGAGCTCGCGGTCGGGCTTGGGCACGTGGTACTGGTACATATGGATGCAGACCTCGAAGAAGAAGGCCAGGCCGACGGGGAGGACGAGCCAGAGGGGGACGCGGCGCGCCGGACGAAGTACCCGTCGCAGCATTCTTCGGAGGGCGGAGGGCGGAGGGCGGAGGGCGATAGGGAGGCGGGGGAACCCGGGGGGCCGGGTAGGGTTCGCGAGGTTGCAACGACTGCTTCCTTTATTTGACCACCGACATCCCTTGCAGTGGTGCTCTTGTTGCTGAGGGACTCTAGTGTCAAGTCATGGACCCAAGGTGTTTCGGTGTCCTCTCTAGCGGTAGCGCGAGGGTTGGCCAGGTCTGAGAGGGCAGTCCGAGTCGCGCATAGGCTGGGGGCAACGCAATGGGACACGGAGGGAGGGAGAGAGCAAGCAGGGCAATCTACCTGGGGAGAATGACTGGGCTCCGACAAAGATCAGAGAGACAAGATGACAGGATTGATCGGCGCGGCGAAGAGAGAGCGACCCTGTGCCGCTGGGGGGGTACACAATGGGGGAAATCAAAAAGTTTCCAATCAATGCTGCCATGCAAATGGGATGGATTGCCAGGGCCAGGCAGCGACCCAAACCAAAAGTCCCCTGATGACATGGGGGGCATGGGCAAATGGGGAGTCGGCGCGCGCTAGACTAGAGACAGAGACAACCCCTTCCGCCCATCGTCCAGTGTGGGGAAGAGGGAAAAAAGGGCGGCTGTAACTCTACTCCATACTGCAAGTGTCAATCAACATGCTGGCAATTTGAGAGGGTTCCAGTGAAAAAATAAAAAAAATAAAAAGTCAGCCTCCCAGTCGAACCCTTATTATTACCTAGCCAGTGGAGAGGCAGCCCACGTCGAAGCCAGGGTGGGTTCGACCTTGACGAGCTTGACTGCATAGATGCTTAAGTACACTGACTTACACCTGGGCAGCTAGGGGCGCTGGGGGAATAGGAGGTCTCGGCACGCCAGCCGCTACACGGGCTCCAACCACAGCACCGAGAGCAGCCACAAACACCTAGTCCACTGAAAGTCAGCTCAATCCAAGCAAAGCCAAGCCACCTATCGTGCGCAATGTCGATTCGTTAGCGCCCGTTTTTGACACGACGTGAACCGAAAGTTGTGCTTGCTCGATCGAAGGCAGTTGCAAAGGTATCCCCATCCAGACTGGCTGACATCCAATGTGCCAGGTTCGTGGCTTTCCATTTGATTGGTGTGGGAGTCTTGCGTGTATCTGAAATCTTGGTCTCAACTCAGATCCGGACACTTCCTTGGCCTTGTGCAGTGTCGTCTACCACATTTGGTTGCGACAAGCCTCGCAAGAGGCTATAGTGTGTGTTGGGGCATTTGTGGCACTTTGCACGTAACATCGGCGAAAGAGGCTATCTCATGGGCAGCAGCTACATTTCTTGATGTTGATGAGGCCATCGCCTTTGAAGTTTGCCAGTTAATATCAGGATATCGCTCGGTCCACAGATGCTGATACGCCTGGGGCCAATTGCAGGGAGTGCAGACCATGCTCTACTGCCGCCAACCTTGTTCGTTCGCGAAGAGAGACAACTGTCAGACCCCTAGAGACGGGAGGGGAGCTGTAGGTACATAGATACGGCTAGGTGCCGTGCCTTATCACTGCCCTGGCCTAGGCAAGGCTCGAGGCACAGACCATGTGGGTATAGCCGTAGCTCCCGAGGGCGCCGCCCGAAAGTCAAACCCCACATCGCCGGCTGACCTACTGAGGCCGTCAACTCATTCCTGTACAACACCTCCCCGGCAGACCCGGACAGCACTTCTCGACCGGCCCTTCGCCCACAATCATGGAGTACGTCAACCAGCGTATCGCCCAAGAGGCCAACCGCAACCCCCAAGATGCCTTGTACGTTCTGCCGCACCCCCTTCCCTCGCCCTGACTGCAAAAGAGAGCCCCAGCTAACCTCCGCCGCTCCCGGCCTCAGCACCGGCCTCATCACGCCGCTCAACCTCATCCTGGCCGCCATCACGCTGTACGCGACGTACCAGCTCTACAAGCCCGCGCCGCCGGCCAAGCTGCCGCGTGAGCCGCCCGCCACCGTCTTCAAGACCTTCACCCCGCACACGCTGCTGCCCTACAACGGCCTGAACAACATGCCCGTCTACCTGGCCGTGCGCGGGCGCGTCTTCGACGTCACCAGCGGCCGCAACTTCTACGGCCCCGGCGGGCCCTACGAGAACTTTGCCGGCCGCGACGCCTCGCGCGGCCTGGCCTGCCACAGCTTCGACGAGGACATGCTGACCAAGGACCTCGACGGGCCGCTGGACAAGCTGGACGGGCTCGGCGAGGAGGAGTTCGAGAGTCTGAGGGGCTGGGAGGAGAGGTTCGAGAGCAAGTACCTGGTTGTGGGCCGCTTGGTCGCTGTGGGTGACAAGTAGGGAGTGCTTCCAGTATTACTGCGCTGCGCTGCTCAGAATAGAGACATGGTCTTTATAGGGTCCTACGGGGCGTCTGAGGGCTGCCAATCTGTGGGACACTTGGTATCTTTCAAGGGTTTGACAAGTGACTAGATTTTGGAATACTATCTGCTGTTCGCCGATATCACACAAGAAGCTCCCAATCGAAAAGCAGATGAGTGAGGGATGTTGTCACTGCTTCGCATTTCCCGAGTGAGACCCCGCAACGCCCCCACGGCTCGAAGTGGTATCATGGTTCTTCTCCGAGTGAGAACCTGCAACGGTTCTGACTCCACCAATGTTGGTCCAAGGCTCGTCCTTGGGAGACTGGGAGATCCATCGATCCATAGGACTCGCCCCTGTGTGGGTGCCGGAGATAGTATGGCTCTGCCACGGGCGGCTGAGCGAGGAGAACGTCTTAGTGCCCTTGACTTTTGACGTGCTAGGGATGGGATGTCAGGTTAATCTACATGTGCTATGGCTGTGGTGGGTTGTTGACTAAACGACGTACGAGTTCTGTGATGGTGTAGGAGCCATGGTGTACTCTGCCTATGGACAGCTGCTGTGCGTGAAAAACAATGAGTGAACAACGCAGTATCGCTTAATGATATGGCACTATCTGAATCAAGTATAGTTGAGAGTTGAAATGTCAGGTCGGGAGGACAACAGGAGCAATTTCCAGCTGAATATGGCCCTTATATATAGAGGTCTACAACCTCTGAAGGCCGCTGGCCCCAAGCTCGCTCACATTTGCCCTCGTTGGGTGTGTAGCTCTTGTTCCTAAGCAGAGGCGGATTTGATGTGGCACCATCTTGTCTGCGTCTGCATGCATGCGTCTAGTGGGGCCTCGAGAATCAGAAATGAATGGGTCCTTGGAAGGGGGTCGGTCTAGCTGCGTAGGGGGTGAGACTTGGGACTTGATGAAAATGATCAGATACGTTCAATCGGTATGGTGGTAGGTAGTCAATCCAGCCTTCTCGCAAAGCGCTCTATGGACACCACCCAATGCCTTGCGTTCGGATAGGTTGGATACATAGTATGGCGCGCACGCCCCACTTTAAATGTGCGTTCTGAACTGGGCGATCAGTAGGCCCTCCGATTTTGGACCTCCGTGCCACCATCGTCCGCGACGGATGCCAGGGGTGCTGACCTCGAGAATTGTCCCGCTTAGCGCAATCCTTGTCGGGTATTGTTTCTTCGTTGCGACCCTGCCACATTTTGGTCTGCCCTTGATCGCCAGACGACGCTGGGCTCTGCCCTCACACCCCAAATCCAACCCAGTAAACCACCCGGGGCCATCCCAACCCTGACAACCTTGAGCCTACTATTACTGGCCTAGCGAGACCCACAAGAGTTCCCCTCAGATGCCGTCGAGATGGGTTTGTAAGTGGTCTGGCGTAAATGGTAAGGTGGGGACCGCGGAGCCTCAGGCAGGGGGTGCTGCTCATGGGATGGCCTGGTTGCCTCGTCGATGAGGCGGTGTTATTTTTTATTGCCAATTTTTTCTCTCGATTAGTTAGATATATCTACATAACCGATATGAAACGGTTTCTATGTAGTATTAAAGAGCCCACGGCCTGCTATTATCTGCCAGTAGACGACGGCTTCCGGCCGCGAAGCATCCAGATATATGCCCTGGAAACATTCTCATCAAAAGAGACAAAATGACCTCACGACCTATTTGTGTTTTGAGGTGCTGCAATATCGTGACCAGACAGCCAGTCACGTTAATGGTGATATAATCTGGTCCGCCTGGAAGCGTTATAATATAGAAGTTTTGGATTTCAGGAATGCTATCAATTATCATTGAACTGGTGCCTCATCGGGATTCAAAAGGAAAGCAGCTAAGCAACTGACCACTGGCCAGTACCTCATCTCTAGTGGACACGAGTGTGCAGTTCGGGAACATCTAGATCACACTAGAAGCCAAAGCCAGATGTCCTTATCAGGTTTATAAATGCGACCCATGTGAGTGACGCTTGCGGGTACAATCTCTCGAAGAACAGCATAGGAGATATGTCAATGCCCGGGCTAAGAATTTTCCTAGGCGTCAGATGCATCTGGTTTCGTGACACAGAGCAGGCCTAACCCCTGCCGACGAAGTGCGGCGATTGGTGCGCTGCTCCAGCTGTTGAAGTCGGCAGTGCCGATACCTCTGGGGCAAGGCGCCGGTGTGTTACAACCCTGGATTTGACATGGTGTGAGGCGTTGGTGCAGGCTGAAGGATCTGCGAGCTCTGCACCATTGGACAAGTAGTGCAGCTGTTGCATTACTTGAAATATATGTTTTGCCCTGTAAGTGGTCCACACCGAAAAGATTGCGTTTTCAAAGCGACAAAGAGATACTGGTAATAATGGTCACCTATTATAGCTCCTGTGGCGGGCGATGGTGGGTCTATCGACGCACGCCGCCCTGAGCCTAGTCCTTTCGTGGGAGGGTCATGGTGACCCTCCCGGATTCGGTTAGTTTCTCCTCGGGGATGGCTGTACCCAATCGGATAGACGTGTCGGCAGGTGAAAGATTGGTTCCCAATCGTACGAATGCCTGGCCTAAGTTAGGATGAACATGTACATATTGAGAAACCATCTCACTCGGAGAGCACAACTGCAGTGCTAGTATTGCACCACGCACTTACAATGTAGGTACATGGCCCGCGAAGACTTGCGGGTACAGAACTTAGTCTAAGTAGCTACTGGGTTATTCCTAGTCAGCCTATCGGTTATACTGTACGATATAATTGGCCACGAGTTATTTAGTGGAATATAATCTCACAGCGAAGCTGGGAGCTAGGGCGGGCACCGAGAGAAGGGCCTCGTTCATGGGAGGGGCCTTTTGGGCCATCTCGAGTGACTCCAGGGTTACCAACTGTCATTGAATCAAGGCGCGTGGTGGAGTCGTTCTCACCGGGATGCGAAACCACCACGTTTTCACTGCTTGTAGCCTGAGATGCTCTAACCAATTGTGTTTGGGCTTGATATACGGCCACCACTCTAATTTGTGGTTTATGCTACGATAAGTACATAAGAACAGCAGATAGCGGCCTTCGAAGTCCATAAACTACTTCGTATGTAAGCGTTGTGATAAGAGACCTTTTGATATTATGGGAAGCCACCACTTGACATGGAATAATTGTCTCATTAGTTTCAAAATAGGGTAGCTAACCGGCAACATATTGCTGGTGGATGGTCGTGTGGAGACAGGGATGGAAATTGAGGACATCTGGATTATGAAGTTGCAGGGAACGGCTCATTGGAGGAAACCAGACATGAAGCTGAAGGCACCGCATAATATTTGGCACCGGCTACATTTTCGGTCAGATACAACGCAACCAGACAGCGCGGCTTCGCTTTCACTCCCTATATCCTGATAATGTGGTGGCACATTGCCATAGTTCAGCCAAGTTCTTACTGGGGGGTCAAAATAAGACGTTTCGGTAGTTTAACATATAGGGAACCCTAAAAAGTGATAATTTTGAGTAAATTCCTTGGAGCATAGCACGGGAAGTCTGTCAATATCTGGCTTAGGACTTGCCTGAGACCGACCACACTGAGGGCCCACGTGCACCTCATTTTAACAGCACAGAAGCAGGTTTGACGGACAGGGGGAAGAATTTGGACATAGCCCACTGCTTCAAAAGTTTGGCGGCTTCTGGGCGTAACATGCCGGGGAGCGCCGGGGTTCCTGGATAGCGTAAAGTATTCTAAAGCGCTGAATTATTACCCACGCGAGCCACCGACTAATCTAGGGTCTCGTGCACGGCTCAAGGGCTCAAGGGCTGGGCTACCCCTGGGTTGAAACAAGGGTTCTCTGGCTCTGGCTCCCACGCCGTTGCTCAGTAGGTGCATACCACCGTAATTTAGACTATAGAAAGAACATTCGGTGGTAATCATCACCATACATCATGTCCTTCCCAGTCCCGAGTAGCTGTGGTCATTGTGGAGGGCCCGGACGTGGCCGGAGGCAAATGCAACTGTGTCAAATAGTGTGCACCACACCTATATTACGTTTGATTTCTCAATGCAAGTAAGATAGTAACGCGCCGCGTGTACGAGGTGTTCAACCTCTTAAAACAAAACAAAAAAACAAAAAGGATAGCCATGGCGGACCTCTATCCATAATCTAGAGGCAACATTCTCGCCGATCATCCTTCACGCCAAGATCAGCACCGAATCTTCCAGAATTTTGTATAGAAGACGCTCGTCAGCCTTAATAACAGCGCTATCAACGTCGATGCTCAATTGGAGTTATCGGTGGCCGCCCGAACTCACAGTAGAGTCAACAACCAACTGTTTGTGCGATTATGTGCAGGTCGTCACCATGCAAATAAGTTCTTTCACTCGTAGATTCTACCATATTGTTTCTACGATGCTACAAGACATCTTATGCTGAGAGCACCGGCTTCCAACGCCACTATGCGGTTGCGGCAGTATTTTCTCTATTTGAGTGTGGTACCGTCGAGGTCGTCAATTCCAGAGACGTACGCGCGAGGGTGGCTACGAGCCACAGGCAAACTTACAGTATATGAATGGGGCAGGCATATTTCTATGTCCGACACGAACTGTGATCTCCTTCAGGAGCGCCTAGCACACTTAATTCAGAGAAGTCATGTTCTCATTAAACACTGGCGCGTGGTTGTAAAATTGCCAACGGTATAGCTGCATGGGATCGACCTGACGCACACTCCTACTTCCTTCTCCAGTTTCTCTGCGTGCTTCAGACCCCCTCTCATTGCAAGGTCATCACGCTCGTACTGTCACTTGACCTGAAAAATACTTCCATCACTTCGCCACTGGTCGCATAAATTTCGCACCCACCTTGCCTCTACCCACTCCAGATCCAAGCGTACAACGCTGTGTAAAATACTGATGGCTACATCTTCCCCAGGAAACCTGCTGTCCTCGATTGAGCCTTCGCAAGGACGCAAGTACTCTGGTAGATGGGGCTTCAACATTGTACGTAGGAGCGGAAATTCCCATTGAAGCTGCTTTGAAATGATATTTACCATTCCATCACGCTCTGCAAGACAAAAGAACAAATCGTATCGTGAGATTTCGCAGGGAAAGATCCTGTGACCATAGGGGCTGCAATGAGGAATAGTATGAAAGGCATCTGTGCATTCGTCCAGTTCGATGACGAGCGGCTCGCACACTCTTCCACCTACCAATTCTCTATGTTTGATATAATCGAGCCAGTACTCCTTGGTAGCTGTAGCGCTATCATGTTGAACAGCGCAAGAACTCGGACAGCTCGTGAGTTCTGTCAGTTCGTCACTTTGAAGCACCTCCAGGAATGACTGCAACATCTGTTCTGTGACAGCTTTGCCTCGTCGGCTAACAGTCCCACGAAGCATATCGTCAAAATCTGCAAGTAGTGTTGCAGTGTTTGTTGAGCTCGACACCACTACCTTGTCACTAGGAGGTCCAGGGTATTTCAGTTCGAAATAAACGATAAGGACGATGAGATTAAGCAGGACCGATCGATCGGAGCCGAGTTCATTAATAGTCTGCCGTGGTTTATCGAAAAGCCAGTGCTTTCCT